AGGTGAATAAACTATTAGGTTCTAAGTAATAATATATAGATTAATCATAAAGAACTAAATATATATAGGTAATAACTATCTTATATATCTAATCCTTCCTATTACTTGATAAGTCTAGGACTTATCACTTAATATTCTCCAGGCTTATTAGTTAATAAGCAAGTCTTATCACCTGATAAGTTATTATATGATCCTTATCTATAAGATCCTAATGCTCCTAGGATCCTGCTATTTATATAATATTAGTAGTTACTACCTATTATAGGATACCGGTATTCTTAGGATAACTAATATCCTATAGAATCCCTTAATTATGGTATATCCTAGGATACTCTTATTTATATGATAGCTATTGTTATATAAAACCGTGACCTGTATATTATCATAGGATATTCTTTTATCCTAGGGATCCCTAATCCTTATAATACTATTTATCCTATAATAGGCCCTTTCTTATATTACTTTCCCAAATTATAGTCTTTCCATCATAACCCTATATTATTCTGTATTATCTAGGTATAACAGAATAGCCATGGTTCCTAGAACCATGCCTTCCACATGACCTATACATTAGACAATTTAGTTAGGTCTTGTTGCCCCACAGGAGTGCAACCCCTATAGGTCCGTAACACTATATTATAAGGAATATCTAGAACTTCAATACTATACATATCTATATTATAAATCTAGATAAGAGCTAGAGTTCTCTATTTATAAGAGACCTTAACTTAACACCTAGGTCTCTATATACCTAGTATATACTAGGTATATAGGATAAAGACTTAAAGATATTATATAATACTATATAGGGAAAGTTAGAAATAGTATTTATTATTAGAAAAGAGAGATATTTTAAAATCATCTAGTTAGAAATATAAGATACTCTTTTTCTCTCTTCCTTCTTATTTCCTCTTTTTTATTTATTCTTTCTCTCTTATTTATCCCTCCTTATTTATCTTATACTTCAAAATATTAAGCTTTAACAACAGTATTAATCTAACTACACCAGAAAGATCAAACTCATAGAGCACCATATTAAATCTAAGGAGCCAGACTATAAGCACCATATTAAATCTAAGAAGCCAGACCACATCTCAATAATTCCAGTTTGACTACCAGGATTTACCTCCTAGTCCTTATAAGTATAATAACTACAATAACTATAATAAGCTTTCTGCTTTATAGAATACTAGAGATAGCTTTTAACCTAGGTTAATAAACTAGTATTCTACTTTATAGAATACTAGAGAAAGCTTTAAACCTAGGTTAACAAACTATATTTAATAAGAGCATATCTATAGGACTACATCTAGGCCAGTTTGTTAAGGTATTACCTTAGCCTTTTAACATTCAAATAGGACAGCACAAGCAGAGCAGCTAATTTAACTAGGTACTCCTCAGCATTTCCAGGTTATTTTATCCTTCTACCTTCAAAAAGTCTTTTTAGACAGTCAGAAGAGCCTTAAGGAACTTAGTATATACCTTTCAGCTATAAATCAAAGAGCAGAGCCTAATATTTAAATTCTAGCAACTACCTTCTATTCCTTCTAAAATCGAACAATCAACAATTTTAAAGATTTTATTAAAAAGGATCTTTTTTTAGTAGTCTCAGCCGACTTCCTACATAAATATTACAAGCCAACCAATAAACTACAACTCACAATTAGAGTTCAGGGAAATCCCAAAAAGCCCTTATTTATCTCGAATTTAAAGGATAATAAGTACAAACTTACTAATCTTCTTGAATTTGGCTTTACTAAGCTAAAGGATAAATATAATATTTTTATAATCTTTATTTAATATAAGGTATTAGAAGTAGATAAAAGTAATAAGAATATTAAGACAGAGATTAAGATAGAGATTAAGACAGAGATTAAGATAAAGATTAAAGATAAGGAGTAAGAGCTTAATTCTTATACTTCTTATATTATAGAACTTCCTAGTTCTCTTAATAATAATCTTTTACCTCTTTTTACTTTATTAATAATACTAATAGGCTCCCTATTACTTATAGTAAGAGAAAGAGTAATTAGAGATAATTAGCTTACCCTAAGTAGGTTTATTTAGCCTCCTAGAATAGAATATATCTAAGATAAGTTTAAAAGAATATAGGCTAAGAAAGCTTAGCTAGAGGCTAGGTTAGAAGAAGCCTAAATATAAACTCTATAGGTAAGACTTTAGTAGATTCTTTATTAAACTTAATCTAACCTTTTTAAGTAGGATCAATTATAGGATTAATCCTTATAATCCTAAGTGGCTAAAACTACTATTAAAGCTTAGGAAGCTTAGGAAGCTATATAAAACCAAGTATCTATTATATAAAGCTAAGTATCCTACCAAAAATCATATCCTTAATACTAATAAACTCAACCTTAACCTTACTAATAAGCACAGCCTTAACCTTACTAATAGCCATATTCTAAAGAACAACCAAAGGCTATAACTTAAGGTTTAAAGTAGACTTAGAATTAGACTAAGTAGACTAAACTTACTAAAGATATTATTAAACCTTCCCCTTATTATATAAGAAGTAGAAATATTATTTCTTAGTGTATCCCTTTTAGTTTTTCTTTAAGGTTTTCTTTGGATCCCTTTTTGTTTTTTCCTTTATTTTTTTTTAGTATCTTTTTTTTCTTTCTTTCTTTAATAAAAACTTAAGAAAATAAATTTAAAATATCCTTAGAGATAAACTTAAACTATCCCTTAGAATATCTAATAATAAAATATATAGATATAAAGAAAAAAGAAGATATATTATTTAATAAATATATATTATATATTTATACCTAAGGTAGATATTAAGATATATATATTAGTATTACTTACTACTAAGAGTTTATCTATCCATCCTCTCTAGATATCCTTTCCCTCTACTTTTTCTAATAATATTTTAATAATATTTTATCAAAATATCCTAACTTACTATATAAGATAGTTTAGGTATTTAGCTTATAGTATTTAAATAAGCTAAAGTCCTAACTACTTAAAATCCTTATCTAAGGTAGGGATATACCTATAGTGAGAACCTTTCTTTAATATATAAATAATATATATACTAAGCTTAAGCTATATAGGACCGATCCCTAATTATAACCCTAGCTAGTATCTAGTAGTATACTATATATTATTTATGGCTGATAGGGTATCTTACAATTTCCTAATAAGAGATTTTAGTAATATAAACTTTGATATAGTTCTTTATCTATATACCCTATCTTACCTATAAGTTATCCTTAGTAAGGAGAATACTAGGGTATATAATATTATATTATATAGTATAATAATATATAGGTAAGTCTTTAAGAAATAAGGTGCTTTATATTAGTATATTAGATAGGAGTATTTAGGTATAATATATATACCTAATCGGAAGCCTAAACACCTAGAGGAGATCTGATATAGATATAATACTATTATAAAGTAGATACTTATAGGTGGCTGGTGAGAGGTAGTATACTAATTTAAGCCTGGTTAAGGGGCTAAAACTAGTCTTATTAGGTATTAGTATGATGGACTTAAGTGGTATATATATATTAAGTACTTATTTAGTGCTATAATTAATATTATACTAATATTAGATTTAGGAGAGAGGATGTTAACTTCCACCAATAATATAGAAGCTATTTCCATTAATAGCTTATTCCTCCTAGCTTCTATATATCATATACCTCCTACTAATCTAGTCCTTAGGCCCTAGTATTTCTACTTAATCTTTTAGGAGAGGATTTAAACTTAAGAGAAATTTAAATAGGAATAGTACTAATAAGATATTTCATATAACCAACTTAAACTTAAAGTCAACTACAACTGTAACCATAATAAACTATTCCATAAGATTCAGATTCATCTATAATAGTATAAGGGGGTAATATTAGGTTATAAGAAGATTAAGAGTCAGAGCCAGATTCAGAAGAATCTAGTTTCTCATATTATATAATACTACCTATTAATCTTACTTTAGAAACTCCTATAGTCTCTATAACCCCTATTCAGAATATATATAAGGGTTTATCTTCTAGCCCTCTTAAAAGAAAATAAGCCCAGCAACAAGCTTAGGCTAGAAAAAAGGATACTAAATAGCAGTCTAAAAATATAGTTTATATAAGGATTAGCCGGTACAGAGATCAGACAACAAGTAAATATTTTAATAATAAATGACTAAAAATGCACTAGGATAAAGTAATCTAGCTAATAGTTGATGATACTACAGATAAAGGAAAAGGGAAAGGAAAAGCTCCCCAAACACCTCAAAAAGAAGGATAGCTACTAACACCTCAGGCAATAGTATATACTATATAATTTATGACGCCTAGAGAGTCTTCAACTTCACGTGAATACTAATCATCACCTGTATAAGCTTCTACTATAGGAGAAGCTTCAGGCTCAGGCTTAAGAAGGGGTCTTAGGCTTAATCATGATTAGGAGCTATTTCCACCTCCAGGAATGGGTATTCCACTGGAAGAATGGCCAGCGATTGTCCGTCGGATTAAAATATCTCGAGCGAATATTTGGAATGGGAATGGGAGCATAAATAGGGCGCGCTTGATACGAGCGATTGAGATGGTGGAGGAGTATATACAAAGAGAATATGAGGAAGCGATAGGATTAAGTGGGGTAAAATTTGGGTATCCCAGTTTGGGGTAGATTTGTTTGTAATTTAAATTTGTAATTTAAATTTGAAATTTGAAATTCTGCCAATTTGGAATTTGATTATGTCATATTCTCTATTTTCCGGATGGCGGCTAAAATCGCCAGTACCCCTCAATTTTTTATCTTCTCTTTTCTTTCCCTCACATCCAATTTCCAAATTTTGTTTCAAGCTTCGCTTCGCTTCCATATTTCCTGCTGAACATTCTAAGACATTCTCCACTTGGTATTGCTTGACCGCCAACTTCAAGATAAGCCCCTGCCAAGAAAATTGACCCATCCTTAGTACCGAGACAATCTCGAATAACTTTCTCACTGTCCCACCATCATCTCTCTTGGAAACACTCTGCAGTATGGCCACCTTTAAAGTCTCGCAGGAAGATTTGTTCCTTCTGGTAAGTTCATCCACTGAATGCTTATTCACACATTTTAACACTATTCTAGGAGCATTGGCAAGAAGACTCCTCGCTATCTACTGATGCTCAACGGGAGGAAATCTTCGCTAAATATGTGGCACTCGGAGTCCGTGGTCGCGAGTTCATTTCATTTTGGCCCCCGATTATTCTTACTAGACCAACTTATCGGAATAGCCGTATCGAATGCAGCAGGAAGGACTAAGGAAGCAATCTGTACGAGAACTTCCACCACATAGTCAAGACCTCTTGGATCGTATCCGCCTACCCACTGAGCGGAATTTGAAAGGTGATACTTGTTGGCTTCGTACCTACTATGACCCTTCCTCAGAAGTCTCTTGGGCTCAGATTCAAAATTACATTGATTCCATGATTGTTATCCCACCTAAAGTTTACAACGACTCATCCTTGTACAACTTCGGTTCCAACTGGGAAAAGATTTTCCTTCGTGCTCCACAGCTACTCGATAGTGATGATTTGTTTGAAGAATATGAGGAATATATTCAGGAGGCCCTGGAAGGGAGAATTGAGCGTGAGAGTGGTGATGCCCAGCGAGCCGAGGAAGACGGATATGACCCAGTGGAAGATGAAAACCCTTGGATATGCTTTTTTGCGCAGTACCTCTTCCGACTAGTAAGAGGGCGCATCTATATTGTTGATGAAACATCTTTTGCCACCGAAGGTCCCGACGCAGGAACCGTCCTCGTGGTGTGGTACGACGAGTGTGGACGGGAAATCCGTTACTATCGCGAGGAAGCGATGCAAGCAGCGGAAATGGCGAATGTTGATCTTTGCTATATCAACGAACATGCGTGTTGGACGAATGCAGAGATTGGAGAATCCTATGAATGGGGCGCACCCTTAGGGCCCCCCTACAGTATGGTGGACCAGTAGGGGCTACCCCAAATCACATGATCAACATTCACTGTCAAACATAAGGATTTTGCGCTGGGGATGATCAACAAGCAGATTTGGCTTTGAGTTACCGTCTGTTCCCGTCTGTTTTTCTAGTTACTAGTTGCCTGCGTTCTCGATGTAAAATGGCATGTGGCAGACTGACATGAGTGACCCATCATATCTCCGACTTTTGTAGTCAACTTTTTCGATATATTAATATTGGAAAGACGGAAAACTGACATTGAAGTTAAGTCCGATTGGACCTATAGCCACGGGCTTTCATGCATTTTGGCGCCCTACGTAGTCTGCGCAGCCTACGACGTACTCACCAGGGGTCATGCGATCGACAAAATAGCTTTAAATCAAGTAAATAATTAGGACGGACTGAATACCTAGCACCTGTCAGGGGAAGGTGCTTTTCTGTCAATGCTCTTCCGCCCGATAATATGTGCAACAAGGCTTTGTCCGGTTTGCGTACAAGGATGAGGGATTATAGGATTTGTGTAACATTACGCCCTCGCCTTGTTCTTTGCTCTTCTATTTAGAGCCCAGACTTGCCTGCCTACTGCACCTCTCTTCTTATCAATCAAATATGAATTACTTCAATTTTCAATTTTTTTTTGCTGTAACCTCGATATTATTATTGTTATAGGCGTATATATAGCAGCTAGCTCTGGAGGGAGGTGGTCATAAGAAGTGGGGTGGGCCGGTGTTGAACGGTATCTTCCTTAAGGAGATACGTTGTTCCTACCCTGTACCTATCACCTGTATGTGATACCCTCCGAGTCCTTGTAGATAGTCCCCTCTTATTTTCTCTCTCTCTCTCTCTCTCTCTCTCTTCTTTCTCTCTCTCTCGTAGTTCCCAATATCATCCAATACTCGCATGATCTTGTCTTCTTCTTCTGTAGCCCCCTTTCTAGAGTCGGCGGTCCCCTAGTGGTCTACCGTACTCTGAGTAGCAAATTTCATTGCAGTGGACTCGCCTTGAGCACGATTTTTTTTTAGCGGTGCGGAGTCCCTAAATGGGGCTAACGAGCACTGACCAAACGCCACAGGGTTGTAAGTGAGTCGTGACTGGATCCCGCTAATCCATATCGGTACTTACTACTTACTACAATCGCCAGTAGGCGGTGAGGCTGCGCCATTTCAGGGCGGTTATGTTCTAAAGTGGACCGTCAATGAAAAATGATATTCTTACATGGGTGCGAGTTCAGCTTGCGGAACATATGCACAGAGAAGCGCCATTCTCGTGCCGAGATATTCTGGGCCAGGATTATTGTTGTGTATGCAAGATACGCTCTATGCACATGTCCAATAAATTTGAACACACTGCAGATATACATCGTCTCGACTGGACTAAATCTATACTACTAGTAGGTACTAGCCTGCACCAAAATATGCACGCGATAAAATTTCTCACTTACCTTGGTAAGTGACGATAATGCATGCGTATTTGTAAGACCTCCTCCATACCTCGATCGTCAATCCTCAAAGAATAGGCATTGATTTATTTCCTACCTTCCAACATTTCCTTGCTCAAATTCGCATCGCAAAAATCTGTCGCTTTTCTTCGGCGCTCTCTACCGACGTGCCTTCGGTAACCGAAAATGTCATATTTGACAGATATCCTACTGGTCGTGGTGTCGGTCGGACTCTTCCTATCCACAATATCATGGTCTTGTCCCTCGTTGCCAGTTGTGAATGGAAAGAAAATTTTCGACCTATCATGGACCAAAGTCAAACAGCGGTTTCGCAATGAAACACGGCAGATATTCTGCGCGGGACTGTCAAAGGCGAGTACAAAATAGACTGTATGGCTTACTGATCTTCGCTAAAGTTAGAATCATTAGTTTCCTGATGGGTTCTATGTGGGCACGGATATTGGAGTCGAGCTGGTCATTGGAGTTAAATTTATCAGAGATATTTGCAATGACAAGCGATTCAGTCTTTGGGGCCTAGTCAACAAGGTATGTGATTTTGCAAGTTCATACTCTAAGAATGAAAAATCTGACCCGATTCCCTAGAAATGGTTTGGGAATCTCTCGGGATTCGACGTGTCCAGCGATGAGCCGACCGCTGTTACTATTTTTCGGGATACCATCAGAATAAAACTGAAGCAGCATATAGGTGAGTGGCCTCCGAGCGGCCTCTTGAAACACCTTATATGGAGAGAGGATTTCTGATTAACTTCGAATTGCTTAGAGCACACCATGGTGCCTATTTCTGAAGAAGCCAGCGCTGAGCTCCAGAATGTCTTTTCTGAAAGTGAAGGTAAGAAATAGACCCCTGGGCTCTTGCTACGCTTTCCCTCATCTTCTTTCAACCTCTATTTACTAAATGCATGCAGATTGGCATAGCATCGAGGTATATTCCAGCATGCTGGATATTGTATCACAAGAATCGGCTCGCGTTTTTCTCTCAAACGAACTTCGGCAGGATCCTAACTGGCGTCGAATTACTCGAAACCACGTCTCTGATCTCTTTGTCGCGTCGGATTTCTTGCGTCAGTGGCCGCGCTTTTTATGCCCACTGGTGGCATGGATTTCGCCTACATGCCGCAGAATGAGATCAGACCTCCAAAAGGCACGCGATCTGATCAACCCAATTCTTGAAGACCGTAAAGCGCGGAGAGCAACCCAACTTGATACATCCTTACCAGCTAGTGATGATGCGATTGACTGGTTTGAAGAGGGCTCCCAGGGACGACCCTATGACCCCGCAGAGCTACAACTTCGATTATCTATTGCTTCGCTACATACAACTACCGATTGTCTTACTCAACTTCTCTGCGATTTGGCAAAACTACCCGATGTGGTTAGTGAGTTGCGCAAAGAGATTGTGTCTGTTATGAAAAATCAGTCATGGAGTACCGCGACTCTTTACAATCTGAAGCTACTTGATAGTGCGATCAAGGAGAGTCAGCGGATGAAGCCAATGTCGTTCAGTGAGTGGGATTTGGATCTAACAGATATCTTCAATTGCTAACATATACTACTCGCCTAGCCACGGTCTCGCGGATGGCCGAGGACACGGTCAAATTGCCCAATGGCGTGGTGATAAGAAAAGGGGAGATTGTCAATTTTACTGCTTCAAACCAGATGTGGGATGATGATATTTACCCTAACGCAAATCGGTACGACGCATTTCGCTTCGCCAAATTGCGAGAAGATACTGGTCAGAATATGTTTCAACTGGTCTCCAGTAGTTCCGATCATATTGGATTTGGATACGGAAGAAATGCATGCCCTGGAAGGTTTTTTGCCTCTGCATCAATGAAGATTACTCTGTGTCATATCCTATTGAAGTACGATTTCAAGTTCGCAGAAGGGACAAGCTCAAAGGTTGAGTGGCATGGGACGGCCCTGGCTACCAATAAAGATGCCAGGCTTTCTGTCCGAAGACGACAAGAGGAGATAGTCTTACCATGAACACCGCAGGGCTACGCAGCACTTGAGGCAAAGCCTTCCCCACTATCGACAAAAGGATTGTTCAAATGTTGATATTAAACATGTCCACAGAAGGGTTATATAGAAAACAGTCAAGCATTGAATATTTAAACTTTCGGTATCGAACAAGTTCAAATTCTAGAGCGCATGATTACCATTGAATGTAGTAATTAGCACCTTAAGACCAACCCTTGAACTTCACATCTTGAACTTCATAAACAGAACATTGAAATGAAGTTCACAGAAACTTTGTTCGAAGCCGAGGACTGTTTGACCATGCTGCAACCTTGGTCCTGCCTAATTGGTACTAGTATTTGTTTGAATGACTACTTTTGCTAGTTGGAATATGACTTTAGCCCACAAACTATAAGTGATCTGAGCTGCATAGTATTTGGAGTGATTTACCTGCAAATTTGATTAAATGATCATCTTCGCACTTGGAATGACCCACGTGCATGCTTGCTATTCCCAATTAGGTATTCCAAGTGTGAGTGTGGGTCTGTGGGACTCCAAATGTGCAAGCGGATCCGACGCTAAGTGAGATCGATGTGTTATGCCCCACACGGCTAGGCTTAAAGAGGTATTCCGGAGCTCCGATATGCAGCTGGACTACTTTCTGCACCGTGGATCACTCCGAAGGTGCAGCTCGACTACGGAGAACTTTCTCCTGACAAACATTCTGGCCTGAGAAGGAAAAATCAATCTAGCCCAAGCCTCCAAGCCTTATGCGAACTCCACGTTTCTTATCCTGCGCGTCAGCACTTGACATCTGGAGTGTGGAGAGAGCTTAACGCGAGAGCAAACAGCCAATAAAGTCATGAGTCCCAAGCCCGATCTCTTGCACAGTGTGCGAGGATTTTCTTATTGATAGTGACTAACTTTGAGGCCTCGCGTGACGGTCAGCACATGCATTCAAATACAAGTGTTGTCTGATGTGTGTTTTTGTGGCTGAAATCATAATGTGATGGAGAGAAAACTTTCAGTAAAAGAACACGAACGTAAAACAACAGAGACGCATCTGGAAGCCGAGGAGAAGCAAATATCAATAGTGAATGCTGCATAATGGTCCGCCTCAAGTAGGCAGAATCTAATTGATAACATTTGAATGAAACATCAATTGAATGAAGTGGGCGGAATCACCAGTCATTGAAATGGCCAATAGCTGTGAACCAGATTTGTTGTTCGCCACTAGTCTTGTGTGCCGGATGCATCCCCAGTCGCAAATCGATCGGCAAGGGAGTCCATGTAATATCAAACTGATTATTGCCCGAAGACCAGGCGTCCCAGAGAAGTTTACCGAGCGGTGAACTTTTCAAGATATATCATTCAGCTAGAATGGTGTAATTCCTCTCCCCATACATCCGTTTCGCTTGTCGTCACGATAAGCGTCATGAAGACCACAATGGATGAGAACACGCCGCTAAATCCCAGTCCAAGCGACCAAGCAGATGATCCAGAGAGAGGGAAAGGTTCAAAAGAAGATGGAAAATCACCAGTGGACCGCCTATTTTTCACTGTTGCTCTCTTAGGTATTTGATAAACTGCAAATCTGCCCAGGTGACTTGTTGCAATTAGGAATAAAGCTGACACCAGGGGTATTGATAGGGTCTTTCCTTGCCTACACTGACGAAACATTTGTTCTATCGATTCACACGGAGATTGCATCCCAGTTTAATCACGCTTCCCTGGGACCCTGGCTTATCGCCGGCTACAATTTGGGTTACATCATCACATTTCCATTGGTGGGCGAGTTCCGGATGACTTGTCCCAGAATCCTGCTGACTGACAATTCTAGTATGGGCGAATTTGCGAGGTTTATGGTTACAAGTTCCCTCTCCTGGCCGCATATCTCATGTTCGCTGCCGGGTGTATGACTACGTGAGTCAATACTAACTCTTCAGAGTTACTACGCAATTGACATTTTCTGAAAGTGGCGTGTCGAGATCGATCTGGGTTGCGATTATTGGCAGATTTATCGCTGGCGCTGGTGGATCTGGCATGAATGACTTGATCAGTGTCATTCTGAATGGTGATAGCCCCGATACAATTTGCATAGGCATCCGACTGACCGCATACTAGACACGGTACCGATAAAACAAGTCGCGGTATTGAGATCATATATAGCGATGGTAATGACTTTTGCTATTAGCGTTGGTGGCCCCTTGGGAGGGATATTGGCCGATGGAATCGGTTGGAGGTACTCCTTCATCATCCAGGCGCCTTTGGCCTTTATCTGTTTTATCTTGACTTATTGGAGATTGCCATCGCCCACCAAAAGGAACAAATCTCCCTCCCAGCTACAGTTGAACTTGATAGGAATCACTCTTCTTGGAATCACACTTGGAGCTATCATCGGACTGTGCCAATTCGCCTCGGATGAAAGACCGATAGGAAACACAATCAGGGAAGCATTAATTACAAGTATTGTCGCCGCGCTGCGCGCGGCGATTGAACCTAAAGCCAATCCGAGTCCCCAGCTGTAGCATTGTCTTTGGACCCACTTTGGACCTCTCAGCCAACCAGGTGCTGCAAAAAAACACAGGTTCGCGCGTAGTAGAGGGGTAGATTACTATCTTCATCGGCGGCATACTATATGGACTCAATGAGCGATACTGGACAGTAAACCCACTTGTATCGTTCGAGCTGATCAAAGCAAACGGGACTTACGCGGCTTGCATATTACAATTCCTTCTCTTATTTGGGAACTATGGCGTAAGTCAAAGATATCCCAAGAGAGTACGCTGAAGCTAATTGCGTGTATAGACAATGAGTCAGTTTGCAGAGTTTTGGATTCGGACAGAGAATGTCTCCAATTCTCTTGCTGCTACAGCTTTTCTACCCATGACGGGTGGGCTTGTCATGGGCTCTATCATTGCTGGACGAATTATAAAGCGGTAAGTTGTCTCTTAGTAACAATTCATGGGCAGCGACGCTAATTTGCGGAACAGAACGGGGAAATATAAAATTCTATCCTTCCTGAGCTGCACAATCGCAATAGTGGCGAATGTTCTGATAAGCTTTCGGAGACAGCAAGGACCAGGTGTTTTAGAAATTCTATACACAGTCAGTGTAGGGCTTGGGGTGGGCGGCATGTTCACAACTTCTTTCGTTGGGTTTTCGGCCTCAACTCCCAAACAGATGACCTCCGCCGCATTCACAGTCTACTATCTAACTCAACAGCTGGGTATAATGATTGGTGTGACTGTAGTCTCCGCAGTCACCCAAAATATGTTCAAAAAGTGTTTACTTCACTCCATTGGACAAGACTCGGATTCAACACAAGTCAGTATACTTCACCAGGACGGAATATGATATAGTTGAGTATTTTGCTGATATGTTTTTATACCCAGATGATTGGGAAAGTCTTAAAGGACAGTCGATTCGCCTTCTCTCTACCGGAATCGCTACAGTCAATCATGCGGTTTGACTTCATAAAAGCATTTCAAATTGTTCCTGGTGAGGCACTGGCAACCGTCTTCTCACAACTTTGGAATTTTCGTTTTGGAACTAACTTCAGGATAGTGATGTATTCTGTTGCTCTCATCATTATTTTTGGTATTTTCTGCTATCTACCAGAGATGCCGCTTGAATGAGAGTTTCCAAAAAATTGACGTTGCAACATTGTCGGATAAGACCTTTCTTGTCGGGAAATATGTACAATGCTATTCCATGTTAATCTGCTTCTGAGACTTGTCACTTCAACTGTGCTAAGCGATAAGTAATTGTTCGATTTTTATAATAGAGATTCAATTCCCCCGCGGCGGCGACAAGATTTCTAAGAGTTCCAAGCCTGTATCAATTAATCTGTACAAATATTCAGAATATGATGATTTGAAGTGGAAGCCCCTTTGTATTTCTTATGAGCTCGTTGAACGGTCAAACAAATGTTGAGTGGGGCTTTTCCCCTAACTGCTCTTTGCAAATACCGTAGGATGAGAACACAGAGAGAGTCGGACGGACTGTGATGAATTTGCCACCTTATGGAGATTATCGGCGCGATCGAACATGGTAAGCACGTTTGTATTGCTTTTGCATTGTGGGACCTTTTGTGATAGGCTGCACGTTGGGGAGAGTTATGTAGGGTCGTCTTCAAACCCGGAACGGCCCAACTTCAAACTTGCTATTCCCGACTAGGTGCAATTAGGCAGCCCTAATGTAAAGGTGGATCATTTCAAGTGTGAAGCTGAACTGCTTTCTCCACGGTGGGAAAGATCCACCTGCATATTGTCCCTCAGGTGGGACTGACGCTAAGCGTAATTTACATGTTTCGCCTTGGTATAGAATTTTAAATACCTTAGTAATAGGCACCGAGGTTTCCACTTACTACGGAGATGCTTACGGCTTGAAATCTATTATGCTCCACACCCCTAGGCTCAAAACCATAAGACTTCCGAAATGCAGCTCGATTACTTTCTAGGCTAGGATCCTATGCAGGTATTGCTTGCATACAATTTCGATCTTTGAAATTGAAATTTCTTGATATATCACATTTCTGCCCGTGATCCTTGTGCCGACCGCGTAAATTCTGCCTTGTTGCAAGACAAATGAGCTTCCAGGTTTCGTCCGTGATTATCTCCGCATTCGATACGGACCTCGGAGTTGCAATTTGTCCACTTGCCTATCCTGACGCTAAAGTACATGTTCCACCAGTCTTCACATCTGGATGTTCTTCCAATATTCAGGCGGGTACTTCCCTGCATGTGGAGACAGTGCATCGACTTGGCCAAATGTACATACTGGGGGCACTGCTAAATAAATATCCAAACAGGCCGTACTGATGTGGCTCGCGCGGCGGTAGGGTCCATGAAACCTTCAAGGGAGATGGTCGACTGGTAGCATCATTGGAATCACCTGACCGTCCCCTAAGACCGACTCTAGGGTCATCTAGAGACAAAGACTGTTTGGACCCACTTTGGGCCTCTCAGCCAATCAGGTGCTGCAAAAAACACAGGTTCCCGCGTAGTAGAGGGCGGGATTTGGTGACAGTCAAGAATTTCTGGTATTTGCACGAGTTTCATTCAACGTAAAAGTAGATGTTTGTCAATCAACTGAGGAAGCCAAATATGTGGTGAAATTTCCCCCCAAGTTCTACATACTAGGGTTTAAGAGGCTCATTGAGGGTTCTAATTCTCAAGTGCTGGATCAATTTACCCCAGCAAAAGTCACCTACACAGCACTGTACCAGAAGAATTTCAGCAGTATGTACATATTCACTAGTTCCGTTGCTCCAGATATTACCTAGGCAGTGCTTGGTATGTCCCTCTTATTCCACTCTAGCTTGGTAATCCTCAAGGATTGTAATGAATGCTCGCAATTTCTCCTTTGTCTCCGCTGCAAAAATCACTCCTGCCATACTGCGATTGCTCCCACGTAGATAACACCACGATGTGATAACCAATCTCCCCTCTAGGCACTGCTCACTGAATTCCTTTTCAAATCTGTCCCTTGTCCCCGATACACATAAAGGCATAATAAGTGCTGCTTCGTCTAGATTTCGCTGTCGCGAGAAATGGGTGCGAAGCACGCCAAGTGCTGCACCCGCAGGACACCGTGGGTTCAAATCAATCACCAGATGGTTGCCGTTGCTGTCAGTCATCAAATCCATGCAGAAAGGTCCATGGTATCCATGCTGCTGTACAAACCGCGCAACCTGTCGCATGATGGGCGAGTAGTTCTCAGATATCGAGTCTTGTTCTCGATAAGATATAGAACCACCTATCCACTGTTCCTGATCATTGAGGAATTGGGCAGAACCGCCTAGAAAGACCGGGTCTCCTTGCTTGGGAATGAACATGGCAATCGCAACGGTATCACCAGAAACAAAACTCTGAATCACCAGGCTTGCAGGGTGAAAAATCTGGTTTGAACTATTCAACTGCCGCAATGCTCGCCGGAGCTCAACTTCCACTTCTGGTATCCAGCGCTGACGATCCTTCTCAGAACGGAAAAAGAAGGTGCCCAACGATCCCGCAGATTGCTGCAGTTTGAGAACAAAGGGTAGCTTTCGCTGGTGGACACGATTGAGGATCAGCTGCACTTCTCTCGAGATAACCGCCTCATCCTGGACCTCGAGTGGTTGAAGATGGGTATCAATGACCTCTGTCGCGGGAGTCGGAAGGCCGGAAAACGCCAGTGTGCGTTTGCACTGGAGAAGAAACTGTACATCTGGGTTCACCAGATGTGGCAGTTCCAAAAGAGAGTCTGTTGGATTGAGTACGGCGACTCTTTCTCCTGGCGAGCAGATCGGTTCGGCTGGGCCCTTGAAAAAGGATACCCGGGGTTGTTGGTCTGTGGTAAGGTGCGCAAACACCCGCAACACATCTTCCTTATACCCTGCATCGTCGTTCACGTCCATCATATATACAGGCATCTTGCCGGCGAAAAAGGTCATGTGTAAGGGGTACTGCTGCAAATACAAGCCAATGACAAATGCCTCGTCTTCGATCACAGCCGATCCATACTGGTAGATGAATCGTCTAGGCTTCGAGATGCCATATTTCAGCGCCAGAGCTTCGGTGTAGTTGAAATAAAACAGAGTGACTTCTTCGTCTTTCCCCAAATCTGGCGCGTAAAGGTCGTGCAGAGTTGCGTCGAGGAAAATTTTCTCGCAGGGGATTGGTGTCATGATTGACTGGGAGAAAAAGTGAGATCAACTTGGAAAATTTTCAGAAACTGGAGACAATCTCTAAAAAGAAAAGCCTGAAAAGAGCAAGCCAGAGGCTAAATAAAAGATTGCAGATAATCGCACAAACAAACAGATCGACATGGTAGTTTAGCAGATTTTCTTTTTTTTAGACATTTTTTTGAGATCGGGGCCCCCGGTATCCAAAATTGAAATCACGCGCAGATATAGTGCACATACATACATGGTGTGATTCTCTCCACTGCGTGCCTCTGATTCGATATAGGCAAGACAGTTGCTATGGCCAATCAAATTGATATATCTCTTGACAGCCTTTTTATCTTTGTTTCGCCCCCCCTGCCCGGTTCAACCACTTCACCAACCTTCCAAGGTTGTTCCAAGGCTCCCAACCGGTCTCAGCCCACCAGATTTGACTCCACTGGTTACACCACCCTACTGCATGTAGGTTTGGGTTGTATTTTTTGATACGATGTATCACTAATGACTTAAAAATTTTCTCCAATATTTGAAGCATTCAAGGAAAATATCTACAGATTGAATGTTAGTTGATAAGCCATACTTTGTGAAGCGATTGTCGAGATCTTATGGAAACTTTGAACATTTGAAGGGGCGGATTGGATACATTGGCGGTGATTTTTCTGACAGGTCGTGGATTCGCGTACTTTTCAATGTTGTTGCCATGTGCGGATTTTCATGACCTAGATTCATACCTTCCTTTCTGGGCTAAATTCCAACTTGAAGTTTATAATCCCGTCGCACATGTAGAAACTTCATGTTTGAATAATTCATTGTCCGTTTTACTCAATACTACTGTTAGGAGAGAGTGAACCGTGTGAGGTCACATGGTCCGCTCCTAGATGCTCCAGCGCGTGGGTTGGTTTTGTGCGAGAGGGTTAGGGTTGGTAGTTAGTCCAGGAAGTAAGAGCTTCTCTCTTCCTTCCTTCCTTTCCCCTCCATCCCGCTCAGTAGAAGAATACCACCATAGTTGTTTCTTCTCCTCTTTCTCTTTCCTCCTCATTACCATTCGTTCTTCTCCCAGGTCCTCATCGAGGTTCTGACAGATACATCTTCAAACATTCGTAATCGATACATCTTCAAAATAAATTTTACCAATGTTCTCTTTACCCTGATCATCCTATTCTGGATCACAGTGGGCTGTAAGTGGATAAGCGTCCCCCCAAACCCTTTCTCCATGGGATAGTCTCCGTCGTCCAATTCGCTAATATTGACCCGAAGAAATATAGCAGGACACCCTATTCCACGAGGTTCCGAAGAATCGTGGGTCGCTGAGTTGATCCGGCTTAGTGCCGTCGATTCTGGCAAGTCTTTCAAGAAAACTTTGTGCCCGTGTCATTTGGGTGGTTTTTTCGGCCACTATTACTCGCTGTGCAGCAAAACTTCTTTGCCGCATCATACATCACGAGTGGATGCGGTAAGACTTGATCAACGGGAACCTTGGAAACTTATACTAATATATTATTTTGAAAGATGGCGTCCAATCCAGCAGGAGAATCGGCCAACGGATCTGCCGGCAGCTCAGAACCAGCAAAATGCGGGCAATTGTACGGAGACGGATTAGGGTCAGCACTTCTCAGAATCGCCGACATTCAACAACATTGAAAGGTTACTAGCATTTACAAATACATTTAAGACATCTTACTATTCAAGAGCTGAAAATTCCATCATTGAATTCAAATGTTGAGAGATAGGTCTAATGTTATCTATCGTTATCCAAACTATCATATTCTTGGGGTATTTGTCTAGCTACCCAACGGCTGACTTCAACGGCCCCGAATTTTCGAGAAATCCGCCCGGTGCAGATGCACCCACAACGGCTGATTTTCCCAAACGATGTAGCTTTTAGCTTTATCCCAGTCAACGACACGGGGATCAAGACTGATGTCAAAATTCCAAAACAATTTGCAAAGAATGAGACGCATTTCTGCATAGGCGAGGCTGTTTTAGATGAGCGGATCGGTTAGAGGCAAGCTGAAAATTGCACGACCGAACTGAAAACTTACTTTCGGCCTATACAGGCCCTTGGGCCCATTGAAAAAGGCTGAAGAGCTTCGCGTTTGTCGTTTTTGAACTGCGTATCTCCCGTGTCTTGAAGCCACCGTTGAGGCAGGAATGAATCAGGCTTCGCAAAATTACACGAGCCACGAAAGGCGGAATAATGGGCGACTGATACAGAGGTCTTGATTGTGATTGAAAACCTGGTCAGTGTCAAGGGATCTCTGGAGATCTGTAACCAGGAAATCTATTTTCTCGAAGACAGACTGACCTTCTCTGGCAAATGCTGCCCGCATACCATTGCTCCCCCCTCTGGGACTACCCGAGGACCAATAGCTGGCGATGGAGGATACATCCGCAAGCCTTCCTCAATAACGGCATTCAAAAAAGGCAATCGAGCGACGGACAGAAAGTTGATCTCTTTCTCTGAGTTAAAAGATGAGCGGACTTCCTCAACGAGCTGGGCGTAGTAAGTTGGGTGTTTTTGGAGATAGAAATTGCACGCAGCTAATGCCGTCGCAGTCGTCTCACTACCAGCTTGAATTAACAGCGCCGCATTGGTTTGAATCTCAGAGGTTTCCATTCCGCGTTCATCATTGTAACGCAAAATGTAAGAGATGAAGTCTGGTCGGGATGTAGAGGTCGCCAATCGTCGGTCAACGCGCTCTTTGCTGAGTTGATAATGCTCCAGGCGCTTTCGAATCAAGCTCTTAGGCATAGCCTGTCGAATGAACATAGCGACCAAAGGATATATTGACAGGGCTCGGAGGAATGCTCCCGTCTTGATGCTCTTAAACATTGTGGCAACCCATGGATGGTGTTCGGAATTCTCGAGACAGCCGAAAGGCTCGCCAAAAGCAAGGTCTCCAATGATATCGAATGTGAGGAAGTTAAGCCAATGGACTAGGTCCAAGGCCTCGCTCTCTCCTTCCGTGGTGGTATATCTTCCCAATCGCTGAATGAAGAGGTCAATGTATCCGACAATCAGCTGTTCCTGCTCTTGTAGCGATCGTACCGAGAACGCATGCGTCAAAAGCCGCTTCTGGCCACTGTGGTCCGCGTCGCTCGAATTGATAAGGTTGGCAGCACCCCCGCTGGAGGAAGGAATGTAAAACTGGGGGTCTTTGGCAAATGAAGGTGCTCCAGACTTGCGATGGGAATAGATATCTGTCCAGGCCTGAGCGTCCCGGTATGTCAAGGCATTCGGACGGATTCTAATCACATCGCCATAGTGGTCGTGAAGCTCCTTGATTTTTAAATGGAGCTCACCAGTAAGCGACCATTTGATGTACGGCAAATTCGATATAGCCGCCAATCTGGGACCCGGAAATTTGCTCAATGGATGGAAGAAAAGCCGCCAGGTGAGACGTATAGAGATTCCGGCAATGATCTATATCAATCCATTCATTAGCTTCATTTATCCGTTGTCAAACTCAGCACCAAGGTAAAGGGGACATCACAAGCGTGAAAAACGTCAAGGCGTGCGCCATGGTGTCAACTGTATTAGGATCGTGTAGGAACTGACTCTGCCAGTTTTTCGAAAACGCGCAATAGTTTCACAGTTCGTCATTATTCGGGAGGACAAAACACCCCTGTAAATCGAAGGTCCTGGGTACCTAGTCCATTCCCTCGTCAGCTCCATTTGAGAAATGAATTGCGGTGTGAAGGAAAGTGGTGGAACATGCATGTATGTGTATTGTACACTGTGACGGACTCGACTGGTCTCTCTGGAAATATTGCGCATGAAAGCTGTAGCTGAATATGTGATGGCTTTCAGGTTTTGATTGGGTAATGGAAGATGTAGATCGAAAGCCGGAGGGCAAGAAAACCAAACAAAAACCAAAGATAGCAAACCGGGCCGTAATGCGGAGACACCCGAAGGAAAATAAATACAGAGAAGAGAGAGATTTGATTGGAGAGTTGAGGAACAAGTGGGGACTTGAGTGCAATTATATCGCTTTTGGAGCCGCAAAATACGAATAATACGAATAATACGGCCTGTAACAATACCGAATTTAAAACTTCAAAAAAACCCACGAATGCATCCTTCGAAATAATTGCACATTATACTATGAGTCCTTGAATGATTGGTTGAATTGATTGATGACTTCCATGTGCACATAAACGAGGGCCTTTGAATGTCATGCATATGGGTCACACATCTCACAGGCAACAAATCTATCGTCTCACAACGCCGATCTTCCCGATATAGTATGTGATAACTGGAGGCTGGAGTCATCAATTGCTATTCAGAAATCTCTGCAGGAACTCCAGCTAGCAAAACCTTCAGCTCTCCACAAAATTGACTAGCCTCCGCACCCTTGAACAGGAAGCCAGTCATACCCACATCTTGCGCCGCCACCACATTTTCCTTCTTGTCGTCAACAAAGATTGCCTCGGCCCCCGTCACACCAATCTCTTTCACAACGTGTTCGTAAAAGCACCGATCCGGCTTGCGCATTCCCAAGTAGCCCGAGGCAAATATTCTGTCAAACAAATGCCAGTCATATTCCATGGACCGCAGCTGGTCAAAGTCGAGCTGCGGAATATTCGTCATCATGTAGATTGCGAATCCACGACTTTTCAGCTCATGCAGCAACTCAGCCATTATTGGATTGGGCGTCAAACAGCTCGTACTCTGATGGAATGTCGATGCAATCTCCTCTTGTGAGACGCCGTACGTTTCGCTCAGCTGCTGATAGCATTCGGCTGCGCTCATTTGGCCTCGTTCGTAGTCATACCACAGGTCTGACTGGACGATGGCTTTCAGAATATCCACAGAGATTTTGGTTTTCATTTGGGGTTTCCATTGGAAAAGAACATCACCCATATCGAAAATAATGGCTTTGTAGGATGTCATGACGGTCAGGCTTGATAGGTATGACCTTCAATTGGTGCGGGTGATCAATGGAGTTATAAGTGGGTAGTAGAGTATCTGGAATATTTCCTGCTATCATAAAGAACCCTTTAGGTGGTAGAGTGCACCTTCTGTCGTAGGGGATGTCGATTTAATTCTTAATAGATTACCCCTGGAGGTTGAGAGTTGTGGAGAAAAACCTGCATGTGGCTGTGGGATCAAATGTTTGATTTGAAAAATGATTCCTGCATGTGGGGCAAAGCATGGAATCTTCAACTTTATGTGACTAGCTGGAAGATATTGAGCACATGCATACTGGCTACTATGATGCATACCGAGAACCGATATTCTAAAGTCAACTTGCATTGAATCTAGATAAGGGCGCTTAAGTGGGGTGGATGGATATCGGGAAACAGAATATCTATATATACTAGTCCGCATGCAACCGATATCTCATCACATTGCATACCACATGCAGGGTCTTTGCTAGTTGGAAGGAGAAAACAGATGAATCGAATCGGCACAAACAATCAAGCGAAACCGAACCAAAATTGCGCCATCGATCAAACATCATCTAGTTACACCTGAGAAGTTGTCTGCGATCTTGCAGCCCGAACTGCAATTACCCATTTCGCAATAAAGCATTAGGCTTATCAATCATTGCAACAAACGAGTTGCGGTGGGATTTTTCTTCAGCAAGCTCACATGCAGTTCCTAGAGAAACTTGATTTTTCTTCTCTGTGATACTCGCAGCATCCAGCATTTTGAAAGCAAAAGGAACTACCCACATCTGTCCACTTTCACAATGGTTCACTTCCAAGCGCTTGTCCTCGATTTTGGACAGGTTGTATCATCCTGGAAGCCGTCTTCAAATTCCCCAGTGCCCCCCAAGCTACTGAAAGAGTTGATGACCTCTGAAATTTGGCTTGACTACGAACGTGGACACTTGGCTCAGCGTGATTGCTACGCGAAACTTTCAGATAGGTTTGGCATCGCTTCGAGCGATATTGCTGCCACAATTGACCAAGCGCGTCAAAGCATTCAAACCAATCATCAAATGCTCGAATTTGTCCAGGAACTTTCGACTGTGCATGGTCTGAAGATCTATGGCATGACCAATACGCCTAGGCCTGAACAGAGCTACCTGCAAGCCATCGCCGACCAATATGGCGTGTTTGAAGAAATCTTCGTCTCCGGGAACTTAGGCATGCGTAAGCCCGAGCTTGGCTTTTACCGACTTGTTATTGAGAAGATTGATTTGCCGGTTGAAACAATCATCTTTGTGGATGACAATCCGGGGAATGTTCAAGCTGCCAAATTGACGGGGATGACTGGGTTGGTCTTTAGATCTGTGGAGCATTTCGCTGGTCAGATGGAAGATCCCCTGAGTGACTAAAATGGAGGGAGGAAATGTCTTTAGTAGAGCACAAAGCCAATATATTGGGTTGGCAGCTCAGAGGAGTTGACTCGGGAGACAGTTGATGACAGCACATTAGAGATGGGACAGGTGGCGAAGATGCGAATGAAGATGCGAACCTCCTGTATGTTAATTTCGTTATGGCATGACGGCCCGGCCCAATCCATAGATTTTCGCATGCAATAGAGCTCAAACGAAGAGGATATTTGTATGGCTTTCGGGCGCAAAATACTCTGTTTTATTTGATTTCTTCCCAATACTGTATGGTATTCTGGTCCATTAATGCGTTTCAAAGTTCAAAATCGAAAACAATTCACAAATAATCTACGGCTGCCTATAATGTAGTACAAAACTTCCAGCCAAAAAAAAAACAAAAAACAGCCTCCGATGTCCTTTTCATGCCCAGGCAACTTGCACTTCATTCCGTGGGCTGAGCATGCCGTATTCAAGTGTGGGAACCAGAATTTCGAACGCGCCATTAGTAGACACGCCATTAGAAAAATCTTCGAGTACTCCATTTGAAAGACCGATCGATTTGCCATTGGGCCACGGGAAGCTCTCAATTGCACTGACTGCCAAAGCGGTGCTCACTCCTCGGTTGCCGATCTTTAACTTTTTGGAAGCATATTGGTAGAGAAGACCCATATCCCATCCACCATCTTCACACTGTGTGGCTTTAAGGGTCTCGAGACCAATTTGATCAGCAATTCCAAATTGGTTGCATGCAATCAATCTCATAGATAATCCGACAGAGTCACATGGTGTACCAAGGCGCTCCTTCAAGCGCGGGATATAAAGGATCGCAAGCTCATCGTGAAGTGTGGAATCGCTTTCTTTAATGAAACCTAGGAAGCGGGAGAAAAAGAAAAGGAAGTGCTCGGGAGTTGGGTAGAAGGCCGTTCCATGCATATAGGCTCGACGAATGAGAACATCCTTGAGCCACTCGAGGGTTCTGGACAATTGATGTCCACGGCCGTACCGGTAGAACAAACCGAGAACGTTAACGCAAACAACTGGATCAACGCGGTTCTTGAAGGAAGTAAAGAATGTCTGGGAGATTTATGGGTTAGCAAGACGTTCATCTTGTTTGGTATCAAGGACGAGTCTTACAAGAATGATACCGTCTTCGTTGACATATTCCAGCATACGGTCTAAAACACCATGGACGATATGATCAGGTTGTATCAGGACCATAAGTGCCAAAGATGTAGTGTCAAGATCATCGGGAAAGACCGTCTGCGTAAGCACGGGTGTACCAATGAAATAATTCCATGTAGTCTCATGATGGTCAATTTCAACGAGTTCGCTAAAATCGCCCTGTCGCACGTTAGTATTTGTAAAAATGAATGTTATTCCACGAATGAAAAACTTACTCGTCTCCTGTGGCTTCCAGAATCATGAGTTGGGCAAAGTTCTCATCAATGGCGACCCCGTTGGCACTAATAGATTTGTATGTTTTCTTGTTCCTGCGAAGGAATGCTTTGCCCCTCGCGACTGGGTCAAAAACCATGTTTCGAACAGTCTGCTGGAAATTCACCGCTCCATCAAATACAACCCCTTTCATTCCCAACGACGCTGCAGTCATCACATTGTCCGTGTCTCGGTCCACAAAGAGTATCTCATGTGCAGGTTTGTTGATCGAATCGAGAACGTGATGAAAGCAGTTGAATTGTGGGTTTCGCATTCCAATTTTGTAAGATGCGAAGATGTGGTCAAAGATGGCCCAATCCACTGGCAAATGAAAATTGCGGTCGTACTCTTCTTTCCCGATTTTTGCAAAGGCATATATCTTTATGTCCTTCGAAACAGATTTGAGCTCTTTTAGAAAGGCGAGTAACTGTGTGTTGATAGTGTAGGTTGCATGGACCTGGTCAAATGCACACTCAATCTCGGCTTCTGAGAGCTCAAATTCAGCCTGAAGACGTCGAATGTAGTCTGGGCGGCTTGAGGCGCCCTGCTGGTATGCGTATGTAGCACAGCAATGCATGATGGACTTGAAAGTGAATATGGGAATGGCAGTAAGAGCCTTAAAAGACGTCTCTAGAACGACATCGCCAAGCTCCACAAGGATGACAGTAGAGGCGACTCCCGAGCTGGGAATTGACGCGTTTGCCATATCCATCCTGGAGGAATTTCGCTAGGGCGTTGTGGCATTCAAGAAGAAAGAAAAAGGGGTTCTTAGGGAGTTTATTATGTATTGGCAACTTTAGAAGAACGACATGGTGTAGATGCGGCAAAATTAAAACGCCAATCGCCTTGCAATGTTGCTTCTTCACCTATGGCTGATGCCAGCCAGATTTCAATATTGCGGCGGGGAAGCGGATTGAACCATGGATCCATGAATAGCGCGCAACTCCGACCCATAGTAGTTCGTCACATTGATAATGCAACCTGCAAGCTGAAGTCGCATGGATATGGATGCAAGTCATGGCTTGGTTGCAAAGCACAATACGTGATACGAATTTTCGCCCTGGATTTGCCTCCCTTGCAACGATGATATTAAACTCGGGAGAAAGTGGAAAATAAATTAAATGAAATTACTGAGGAAATCGTTGCATTGCTTCGTCTGCATGAAATAGTTCATATAGTCCACGGCTGCCTTTGAAAACGGGTCCCCACTGAGCCTTGTTCTACGATCAGGATTTGAGACCCGGTAAACTAATAAGACACAACGTTTACAAAAGCTCGTGTTCTTTGAATGTACTACAGCCTGATATTATGATGATTAATGGGGATAAGGAGATTTTGGAGTAGTCTTAGTGGGATGGATAGCTTGGAATTTCTCGGCTGTGCCGTTCTAATCTGGGCATTTGCCATTCAAATGTTGTTATTCTTCATGCAAAACAGAGTTATATCGCTTACCATCGATGCCAGATTTAATCAAATAATCTACCTACGATATGCAAGTGCGCCCATGTCGTCATTGGGTGGCGATCTTGGCAGACTGATCTACACATATGATGGAGATCTATTGAGACTTCAAAGAAACATCATGCAATGCACTCGTACCTCATTTCCATGAACCCTGGACCCTGGAGTGCACAGAAAGACGCCGGACTACCTCGGGGCTGCCGAGGTGGCGCATGCGTTGCGTGAGAAATACAAGAATTAGGGGCCTGTTAGTTTGAATTTAATTTATTTGTTGATCTGCTGCAAGTACATCCCAAAATCTAGTCTCATTGAGAATTCTGACCTCTTCTGCAGGTGATATAGGTAGGTGGACATTAATTTCAAATTTTACGAGTTGAGGTTGTCCCTGGGGCCTGAATCACATATGCAAATGCACATTTGTGGGGATGGCCATGTTTTTGCAAACTTTCAGTGTGATTGATAGCTGCAGACCGCAAATGGAGGTGCTTAGTGGACTAATCTAATACTACAACAGATTTTACCCACCGCGTTGGGATCACTGGATAACCCGGGTTTTTTTTCCTACTTGATTCAATTTAATCTCGCCTGGCTTGCTACACCATTGTTCAAATTCTACCCCATACGCCCAGTCCGTTCTCTCAGGAACGAAGGCAAAGCTCTCACCACACAATGGCACCCCAAACCCAGTTATCGGGACGCGTCGCGCTAGTTACCGGAGGTGGTCAGGGTATCGGACGCGCTATGTGCTTAGCCTTCTCTACAGCTGGAGCCAAGGTAGTAATTGCCGATATCGACCAGGCGAAGGGCACACGGGTCGCGACCGAGATAGTCGAGCGTGGAGGTGATGCCCATTTTGTCCTGACAGACGTCACCAAGTCTGAGAGCATTCGCAGCCTAGTTCAAGAGACAGTTCGCCGATTTGGAAAATTGGATATCGCTGTCAACAACGCGGCACTTGGGCCAGATACCTCGGAGATTGCCTCTCTTGACGAGGAATCTTGGACGCGGATCATCCAGACCAACCTCACCAGCGTGGCGTTTTGTCTGAAGTGGGAGCTACAACACATGCAGGCGCAGGGTGGCGGAGGTTCAATCATCAATCTGACTTCGGGTTCGGCCCTGAGACCTCAAGCCACCATGCCGGCCTACGTTGCCGCTAAATCGGCCGTTATTGGTCTGACTAAGGTTGCAGCCGTCGAGAATGGTCGGCACGGGATCAGGGTTAACGTTATTTCCCCCGCAGCTACCAATACGCCTATGCTTGCTCAGTCATTGACCGATATGGGAGTTACTGCAGAACAGCTCGTTTCCAGTTCTGTGGGTGGGCATCTTGGACGACTGGGCGAGCCTGAGGATATTGCAGCGGCCGCACTTTGGCTGGCTTCTGATGCCTCATCATATGTGACAGGAGCTTTGTTCCCAGTAGATGGAGGATATTCCGTCTAATGATATCCAGTATTTCTGGCATTGAGAGAGGGCTGACAGAAATATTGAGCCGGCTGTATACGTTGCAAAGAAAAGGCCACCTCAATACTTTTCGCGTGTTTGTCAATGTGATTAGGGAACCTTCGAACTCATTAGGCCCCCAAGGAGGGAAGAAGGCCACCACATAGAGAACTTTTGTACATCAGAAGCGGGTATTTCGCAAAGTGCTCAGACTACGTCGAACATTTCAATGTTTTGAATGTACAAAGTTAACATTATTTGAGGAACTGGAACCTCATTTCAACCCTTCCGATGAAAATTGATAGACATTGACTGAAAACAACTCGAATGGGTGTTTTTTATTACAAAAATAAAATTCAGTTTCTCATAGACTGATGGCTATGATGCGCGTGTGGATCACCAAGTTCCTCTCCCTCCTGCCGATGATGGTCTCCCAGCTTGACACCAAGCTCATAGTCTTGCTTTTTCCACGGCGCCGGCCACAGAAAAGCATTTTTAGGAACTGGCATTGCATCGAACTTATCTGCATCAACAGCGTTATTGTGCTGCCAGTCTACCAGTGCATTAAAGTCGCGACATTTCCGGTTCACACTAAAGTCCGGCCATGGCGCTCGGCGGTCTTCCACCCAAGCCAGAGTTAATACTTCTGTATTCGCATTGCACTGCAGGTTTTGAAGTAAAATCTCGGTGCAATGGCCAAGATGGATCCACCAAAACTTGTCTTTAGTATCCAATTTGGGCTCATACCCGGGATAGTCCGCAAAAGCAGCCTTTCGGAGCATATTAAGGCAATGGATTTGCTGTGGATTTGCACCTCAGTCAATTGAATGGTCCTGTTTTCGCCATCCCGATTGCACGAGACAGGGAGAGGAAAGACATGATCTTACATGCATCACATCAAGCTGGACCATATAAGCATCGTCACCCATTCCCCAGTATTTATCATCGAAGGAGGCGACTGTCTCTGGATCCTTGCCCAGCTTGACGATCTGATCGCGAGTGACGACGTGTGTCAAAACCTTTTCATATTGAGCCCAAATAGCATCGTTGTCAGTACTGGGCTCCTCGCGTGCAATCGAAACCTCTGGCAAGGGGAAAAATGTTCCGTTCAGCATCGTTGAATAACCTGGAATGGTTATGTCATCGAGAATGGGAGCTTCGGTTTCAACCTGGTTAGTCAATTTGAGGATTAGGTGGTTCAAGGGGTTCATTCTCAAAACTTACACCACCATGACACCTGCCTCAAACTGGGGTTCCTCTCACTTTGCCAGAAAGCCCCCTTGGTGCCCAGGACTAGGATGATAGTAATGCTCAAAACAACGATGTTCAAAACCGTCAGAATTATACAGACATTGGATAAGGCCGTTTTTTTGACGAAGATCGTTTTCATGAGAAGGCTTTCAGACTCAATCTCATCTTCTTCGCCATCTTGGATTTCGGTGCTCAGACTATGGAACTTCGGCTCTTGATAAAGTCTTTTCCAAAAGCTCGATATTATCATTGCACCGGTGAAATCTGTACAGCGGTGATATAAATGATGGGTAAAACGATAGAGCTTTGAGCTGTGAGCTTTGGGAGGAGATTATGACGACGGTTGAAAACAATGATCAGGGCAAAGTAAAAAAGGCCTCGCGCTACCCACCTATTGAACGGATGAAGTCATCAAATTCAATGTTGAGGAAATCCTACGATTTCCTGCCCAATTCTAGACTTTAGCAATCGGATCGCTCGGCTTGTTACTTAAACTTGCTTTCAACGCTCCACCCCATGGCATGGCGATTTGACCGCAGATGAGGGCATACATATTCATGATCAAGGATGTTGTTACACGGGGCATTCATAGAGAAATGGGCAAAAGCCCCAATCGTTAGCTGCCCTAGGCGAGAGTGTAACAATATCCTGGAACAAACTTTGGATTTGGCTTTTCCGAGATTGAAGTCGGACACATGTTGTGTGCAGATACAGATGGATAGCTTTTAACCCTCGAGAGCCAAAGACTAGAATGATGATCCACCGATGCACTAAGGTGCTATACCCAATGAAACAATTGGTTGGATGAAAGCTTAATGAAGGGGACGCGTACGCCTCACGACGTATAAGAATCATCGTCCCGGCCTCGGAGAACTGACGCAGAAATCCGGAGTAATCTTCTCATCTCCTTTCAAACAAGCCTTTCAGCCTTAATCATCCGCAAACCATAGGATGCATATCTCATGCCTCATCGCTTTCCTGGGAGCCACAGGCATTGCCTTGGGACTTCCTGTCACGAACGGCGAACAATTAGAATCGGCTTCTCAAATGACGGACAGGGGAAGCCTCTATCCCTACGTGCTCTCTCAAGTGGACGAAGAAGCGCAGCGAAATGAATTATACAAGAATACCAATAAAGAAGCCCTTGACAAGCGCTTCTACTACACTCGCTACACTCCGGATGGAAGTCTCAATAAACGCTTCTACTACCACTACACTTCTCCTGAGAAACGTGACGCAGACCTTGACAAGCGCTTTTACTACACTCCGTACGGGACCACCGAGAAGCGCGAAAGTATCGACAACACACACTCAAGCCCCTGGTCCACTTATTCCGAGCGGAGTAACAATGTAGCTTAACGTGAATGCCTTCAGGATATCCCTGCACATTTCACAAACTACGTCAAAATGTGACTTTGGGCATTGAATGGCCATGCCATGTGGCTCTGTCCTGTCGATTTGGGGGGGTGTTTACCCCACATTGCATGTTTTGCACGATCCGTGTGTACTTCAATGTTGAAAGGGCCTATTTGTGAACTCATTCCGGTCCTTAATTTGCAGTATTTCCACTCAAGTGATCCGGACCATAGTAGTTGTATTCTCAAGCTTATTCCTTTAGTGGACTTAATTGTGTTTGATCATGTGACCTGTACTCTCACTCTATTTCCCTGTAGCTAGTTCTTCCTTCTCTCTCTTCTTCTTTCTTCCTTCCTTGCAGCACACAATAATACCATTGCATTGCGTTCCCGCTCTCCTTCCTTCGTAGACTTCGTGTCTCTTCAAAATGGAGTTTGCTGTATCTATTTCCACGCACGCCTTTGTCAACAAGTTGGAATTGAATCCAGAATAATATGTATTGATTGCTTTCTTATACATAATGAGGTAAGAAAGTACAAGCCTTGGCGCAGCGCGTACCGGTCCGTGAAACCTTCAAGGGAGATGGTCAAGTGGTAGCATCGTTGGAATCACCTGACCGTCCCGATCACCTGACTACCATGTTTGTTCTATCACGTGATTAAGACCCACTCTTACAATCGACCGTCTGGACCCACCTCGGGCCTATCAGCCAATCAGGTGCTGCAAAAAAAAACAGGTTCCCGCGTAGTAAAGGGCTGGATGGATGGACTGGATGGACCAAGTAGTAGAGGGAGGGATATATCTGGAAGACGAGGTGATGGTTCTAAACTATTCCACAGCCAATAATACTGTTTGGAACCTAATATCGATATTATTTCAAAGGTATTCCACGACTTGAGAGACACCCATTGATATACATATAACATCGACGACCAGTATTGACAACAAGTTTGAGTCTGCATTGATAGTTTCTGGATGCAAGCATTGTACGACGACCATAATCAGCGTTTTTAATCTGTATCATGATGTAAGTTGTCCCTCCCTATATCACCTTTTCCAAAATTGGAATAAGCTGGCAACTGTTTTCTCTCAGTTTCATCGCTTCTTTACTGTGCGGATACCTACCCCGCGGCTTTCTTTGCCTGGATTCCGCCTGGGCAGTAGATTGAGAAATCAGAAATACCAAGTCTTTTCATTTACTTTTTCTTTTCACTAATTTCTCCATCATCTTCCATGAACGAATCTGGTTTGAGCCCAGAGCCTGGCCATCGGGGAATTTGCGAAAACGTTCCATGTTCCTCGAGAGAAGAGCACAACCCAATCACAGCCAATCAATCCCAATGTAGCAGTTGTCCGGATTTGCTGCTTTCGCCAAAAACTCGTCTTCGCCTGTTAATCACATTGATTGTTATACTATTGACCTTCGAGATTGGTGGCCAGATGATCGCAGGTCCCATGGTGCGAGTGATTGAGATCATTGCCTGCAATCAATACTGGCGTCATCACGACCCCGCCAGACTGCCAGCGACGGGTAATCCTCCAGAGCACCTGTGCAAAGTCGCAGCAGTGCAGGCAGAAGTTGCAACCGTAAAAGGCTATTCTGACTTGCTGGAGAAAATGCTCGGTGCGCCAGTCCTGCCTGTGTGTTGGAAGAAAATACGCTTACGTTGAAACCTTTGACAGGTACCATCTGCGCCATTCCCTATGGCCTTTTAGCAGATCGATACGGTCGCCGACGCGCCATCCACATCACTATTCCTGGATTTCTGCTGAACGCCATCATAACAAACTCTGTACTGTGGTTCTCCGATCACCTGCCGCTCCGGGCCATCTGGCTGGCCGCTTTCAGCTGGATCATTGGAGGAGGACCATCGGTGGCGCTAGTGGTGATCTGGACCATGCTAGCTGATCTCACGACAGATGCACAGCGTGCAACACTTTTCTTTCGGGTCGGACTCATCGGTCAAGCTGGGAGTTTATTTTCGAGTGCCATTAGCTCGGTCTTGATGAGTGTAGACCCTTGGATACCGCTACTTCTCGGCTGCGGAATTATTCTAGTCGGATTGGGCTGCGCACTTTCTCTCCCTGAGACGATGAGAGTATCAAAACCAGTGTCATTATCCTCCCCCGAGTCATCAGCTCCCTACGAAACGCCTCCAAATTTTGGATCCCCGTACAATTTCTTCCAGAGGAAGGCTTCAAGTCTATTCCATCCTTACCTCTTCATCTTCAACCGCAGTCTACTACTCCTCTTGATATCAATTACTGGTTTTCAGGCCGCACAGACATCCTGGTCATTTTTCACTCAGTACATCTCAACACGTTTCACATGGAGCTTGGCACGAGCCAATCTGCTTACTTCCCTCCACACGGCTGTTACGATTCTCGTGTTTCTTTTCCTCCTCCCGTATCTGTCCAATAAAGTTTTACATTCCTTGCCATTACGGAGAAGAGACCTTCAGGTCGCACGGCTCAGTGATATAGCTCTCATGATGGGATCGCTCGGCATTGGTCTGTCTACGTCGAGGCTGTTTTTACTTCTAAGCCTATGCTTCCACGCGACCGGAGCGGGTTTCTCTTTGGTGGCACGATCCCTTGTCACTGACCTGGTTAAACAAGAGGAAACGGCTAAACTCTACTCCGTTATTGAAATAATGCAAATGTTTGGCGGGTTGCTGGGTAGTTTGTGTTTCACGAACGTTTTCAGACTGGGATTGAGAATGAGTGGGATTGGAGCTGGGCTGGTGTGGGTATTAGGTGGTCTATTTTACTTTATAATTGCTCTCTTACTCGGGCTAGTTTGGGTATAGGTCCTGCTCACTTGGTTTACGGTGGACGATTAGGGGCGAAAGGACAGTGCTGATTCATACCAAATTTCAGGCCAAATTAAGCATCGCCTTTGCTCACCGTTCTTCCAGCTACGCCAACAAATCTGGCATGAGATTTGGTGATAATTATTAATCAACACCGTCTTTTCGCCCCTAGGTTCTCAAGAACCGTCCACTGTACTTGAGTCGTGGTTACACTACAACGTACCAGGATTCTCTGGTCATTTGTTCCTTAGCTTCCGAATGGGTAAATGAATTGATAGACTTAGTATTGTTCAATAGGAGAGTTCCCGGTTTTACTAAATTCGAGGGATGATATCCCAAAGTGACGTCGGGACATTTCATCTGCCCCCTCTCAAAACTGACGGCATTCGATCCAACTTCTTTTTGGATACTCTGCTTCCCTTCTGATGTACATAGTATTTTGTTCTCCTCCAAGGTTTTCTCCTCCAAGGTCCACTCCATCTGCCACTTAAACAAAGGGATTTCAATTTATAATCACTCCATTCCTTGGCTAAGCGAAACGGAGCGATCAAATTCGCGACACATGTCGTATAAATAGCTCAGTACTTGGCCTGGTCATCCCTATGCGCGTTGGCCTTATTGTTGATTGGCTCGAACACCCATGATCTTTCAATCTTACGGTCAACGTGTAAGATTTCCATGGGATCCACATTTCTCGTGTTAACGCCAAATTGAGCCGCAGTCCCGTCCTCATTAACTTCTTCAAACGGCCACCAGCAGTATCTGTATTGAGGTCAATGATTTCAGCCAACATATTCCAATTGAAAAAAAAAAAAAAAAAACTTGGGAGCGATAAAAAAACAAAGAGCTAATGGAGAGTGGGACGGGACACTTACACGCATCCGCAATTCTGACAGAAATTGAATGATTTTTCTTTATCGCCCCAAACGTACTTGGAGACTTTGGCGCCTTCTTTCATGTCAAATTTGACTTCGTTCACTTTGTAGTATGCCCAAGCGGCTGAGTAGCGTCGACAGATCGTGCATTGACACTCGTTGATTTCCTTTGGTGCATGAGGCAAGATCACTGTGATCGCGCCACAATGACAGGTGGATTTGAGAGATTTGTCCGCCATCTTAATGGAAAATTTAGATCGGAGCTAAGTGGAGCAAAGATTTACAAGTGAGTTACAGGGCTGCCGGGATTCTTTCAGAAAGATGATTTCCTACTGAAGGAACCCGGAAGCCATCGACTTATCTGTCAAGGGACCGTGCACGCGGGGTACAGTGAAAGTCGAGGCCTGACAGCGAAGGCACAAAGGGGTCTAAGACGCCACATTCCGCCACACTCTGCCTAGGCCACATGTGTATGTCTGTGAGGATGAGCCTTTCCCTTTGCTTCTTTGTTTGCAGTCTCTCTTCTCGATCCTTCCCTGGCATTGTCTCCCGATTTATGCAAATTGGGGCAAATCCTTCGTCTTTTCTTGCCATGTCAAAGATAATTTGTTAATGAGCTTCTAAATTTAGATTCCAGTACATTCGAAAGACAGACATCCTATTGAAATGTTCCAAGCGCACTGGTTATAAAGACCCCGACTCTATCTATCTCTACTACACAGCAGAAAGTTCTACCAAGCTCTTTTATCACCATCACGATGCCTGGCATTACTCAACACCCCATGTTCCAATGGTATTACAAAAAGTCCAAGTTTGAGATGAAGTTGCCAGATCTGAAACGAGGAGCAAGTTGGACAGTTTCTTAATTACAAATCAGTTAATGGCAACCTTGGAACTGACTCTTCATGAATCGCAGCCCGATGGCCTTTATGTGATATATGACCAGGAGCGCTATTGTCGCGCTCCAGCTTGCACAAATTCAGTAAGTCCTGGAGAGAAATCTGTTACGACTGACGTACGTCTTCCACTTGGCCTCAATATCTTCTACTAACCATTAAATCTATTATCTAGACTCGATTCGGCAGCACAAATAATCTTCGACATCATTATCATGACAAACACCCTTACTTAGCCCTCAATGCAACTACAGGCCGTCCAAGTCATGACACCCAGAACGTTGCAATTGGTAAGTTCCCAAACATTTTGATCGATTTAATTGGAAATTTAACGTCTCTGCAGCTTTTTATACTAGTTTGAGACATGCACTGAAGAGACGGGCGTCGATCCGCATGTCCAGAAACGAGGGCAAGTCATTGAAGCATTGAATTTGGCAGTGTGATTTCTGTAGAGGTCTGTTCTAAGATTGCAGGGTTACACGAGAATAGGTAGTAGTTAATTTGATTAGACGAGAAAATGGCAGAAGCCCTGGAGGACTTGTAATCGATTCATGAACGGGTTATGCCCATGCATCCACAAGTAGATTCATGCATGGATGGCTATGTTGAATATATAGCAAGATCCGTAGACGACGTTCCAAGGTTTTCAAGGTTTGAACCTTGAAAGGCCAGGGAATTATCATTAGCATCTATATGGTTTTCACTGACGTGGTAGCAAGACCATACCACAGGCCAGCTTCAATGTTCAGCTGTGGGAGGAGGAGGAGGCTAGTCTGAAGTGACTCCGGCGCCATCATGATTGCTGATGCTTGCTTTTCCACAGATGGGCAAAATGGAACAATTTCTTGACGTCGCCTGAGGCCGTCAACCAGGTTGCGAGAGTGGGCCGAGAATGCTCAAAGCCTCTGGCGTTTCGATGGCTGGCCATGAGAAGAGACATATTATGATTTCATCCCACATGTTCTAGCCTATCTCGTATCGGCTGGCTGCTTCGAGGAGCGAGCAGGATGCGAAAATGTACTGAAGGATAGATATAGAAGCTCGTTGACCATGTGGCGTTTTCTTCTAGCTTGAGTGAGATAAAAGCAAGATTCGGAGATAAGCTCCTTCCATTTGGGCCCGCATCGGCGCTTTGGCGCATTCAAGGAACTACGGACAAAATGGGGATGACCGAGAGGGACCACTTCGAATATACATATTGGTGACTAGTTTGCGTCCCCCGGACCATTATAGCCAATGTACAGGGAGCGCTGCTAAGTGAATCCAACGGAGGGTTCCGTGTGATTGGGCATGACTGCATGTGTTCGCCGAACTTGCTTAGCGAAGCCACGGGCGCTGTAATTTCGTTTCCAGCGGGGAGGCGTGTTGCATTGAAAAATTCCCCAAGTTCCTGAGATCCTCAGTCTTAGTAGACATGTGCAAAGCCGGACGTGGGCCTGCATAAAGTAGATCTTTACTATATTCAATTATGAAAAAGTTACCTAATTGGGGGGTTCAACCCGCCCGATCCCGTCTAGAATACTACCCTATCGAGTTAGATTATTTCCTAATTAGGACATATTCTCTGTAGATCCGCAAAGTTGGTGCACGTTAAATTGAATATATAAATGTTTCCAGCAGAACACACGTGTACAACATTCAATGTTTCAGATGTCAGTGCACATGGACCACCGTACACTGAGCCTTCTTATGAAACTTCGTTACTCCAGTAATCTGACAACATCGGCGAGTTAATTTGTGAATTAGAGCTTGTGGCAACTCCATCCACCACAAGTCCGCCGCCCCAAACCTGGTATGCAGCCCTTGAACCACCGTCCTTAAAAACATCGGGGTTGAAGGTCACCACGATCTTGCCATATGCATCGTCGTTATCGTTACTTTCTGTAAGTTGCCGATTATAAAGCCATGTTGTGATATCACTTTCATCTATGCCAAGTGCATCGGCCACCGTATCCGCGATGTCTTGGACCCTGTCAAGGTATCTAGAGGTCGTCCGGAGCGCCTCGGGGGATGAACCTGTAGTTGATGTCACAATTATAACCTTTTCAATTCCGTTAGTTTTGTCTCACTTTGATATTTCGGAGGACTAATAATTGACGAACCTGAACATTATAGGTTGAGCTAAAACATCCATCTGGCAGCATGGGAATACTGATCCAGTCCGCGTTCGATGAAGCTGTTGTTGCATCGAAGGGATCAAGAATGTAGTCTTCAAATTGTTCGGCGGTGAAAGATGTTTTAAAAAAAGTCTCCCAATGATGCGTCTGGGACAACAAGTTAGCTTTGTAGGTTTGGACCGGCCCCAGAAGTATTCCTCTTAGTAACAAGGCTGACTTGATAACATACCATGTATACTCCGCATTGTGAGGCGATCACAACAGAGACGCATCCCACCAGGCCACGTACAGCGGCAAACATGGATTTTCCAGCAAATTCGATAAATTGTGCTGTAGACTTCCTTTCCGGATTCTCTAGCTGCAGGGTCAAAATGGATGGAGATCCTTCCTCAAAAACAGATGCCGTCCACGAGTCCAGATCACCCGTAGCTGGTTTATTCAGATATCCGAATGTTGAATCATATGTACGACGATGAATATAAGGTGTGTCCGTTGCCCGAGCATCCAGTTGCTGGGCTGGTGCAGCTCGTTTGACTTTACTTCTCTTCTTCAACAAACAGCTGCCGCCCGAGCAGCCAGTGGGTGAACACTCTTGCTCCTCGGTGCTTGTTTCTGTGATAGTCTCGGTAATATCGGTCACAGTCAGGCTAGAGGTATACCCTAGCCAGCTAAGCACGGCGTCTCCGCCATCCTCAATCAAGTCTTCACACCCCTTGAGAATTTCAGGCTCAGCGATCCATTCGCCTAAGATCAGAATTTCTCCAATGACTTTAATAAAGAAACATGGTTAGCTTGATAAATTACTCAAATCAGCGTGGGCAACTTCTTACTAGGAATAGCAAGTTCAATATCGGAAACTTCTTCAAGAAATATTGGAACTGCAACATCGCAGAAATCGGTAGCGACCGCGTCAATAACACTTTTGGCGGCATTAGCGAGCACTTCGGTCACAGTAGCAACCACGACGCTGACAACGGGGTTGAGATCGACTTTGTAGTCCTCCTCCAACTCTAAGTTTGATGTCTTTAGAGATGAAGGTGCTACAAAGTCAGTGCAGCAGTAGCTTTGAAGACCGCCATTGCACGTGCGGACCTCCAATTTACCATCGACAGTATCATGGAAATTAGTGTTCTGTGCGACGACTGTTTCTCCCGAATTGCATCCACCAGAGCAGGGTAGGCCCACACCTCTCCACCCCCGCCAAGTACAAGTACCAAGTTTTGTACCCGATGCGCAGCAGAGGGTCTCTAGCTCAGAGCCTGGGCAGTCATCCGCCGTAGGCAAGTAGCCCGGCTGCCCATTCATATTGGTGACGCCAGTATACCCCGACATACAATCAACTCCGCAGTTTGACGTGTAACACGCCGAACTAGCCTGAGTATTGACGGACTGCTGGACTGAGTAGTCGGTAACCTTCTGGCTGAGGCCTGTATCGGCCTGGGAGCCATAACCTGTCTGCGTGGATTGGTTGTTCAAGTCCGCCGCCCAGACCATCATCCCCCCAAGACAGAGGTCATTGGCAAAAGACAGCTTCTGCTTGTATGTTGTGGCATCATCATAGCTCACCCATTGATTAGTATCCCAAACAATCCAGTTCACTGCATCATCCTCATCATAGACAGGTGTTACATCGTATGTGTCGATAATGACCTGAATCTCCGCATTGGACAGGATACCCGATGTTGCTGTGCAGGAACCTGCGTTTCCTCCGGTGGTGAACTCGCACACTCCATTTGGAGTACTACAGCTGTTTATTTGTTAGCAAACGTAGGCCTTTTGGGTCCTCATTTAAGAGATAGTTGCGCGGAGATTTGTACCTTGGGTCTGCCAAAGTGAACGAACGACCATACCAGCCCTGTCCAAGAACTATCTTCCCTGGTGTCACTCCTGCCCGCCAAAGCAGGTCTAGCGAGGCCTCAATCTCAGTAAGGTTGGTGTGTGGTGCAATATATGGACCTAAACGGAAAAGTCAATCAACAACTGCCGAGTTTTCAAGACAGCTCTAGCTATAAAACATTGAAAAAAACTTCATCTTACCAACATAAATATCCGTTGCATCCCACGTTCCGTGCAAGTCATAACTTCAAAATGTTAATATTGCATGACTATGTATTAGTGGATCCATTTTTAATTGCTCACGCCATCTGTTTTAAGTTAGTTCTTGATCATTGGGGTTGAAAGATTCTGACATCAGATACTTACAAGGTTGAACCAATCGACATATTTCTCCATTTCCACGGGCTTTTGAACATCCTTGGGTTAGAGACTTATTGCCAAATGCGACACACCAAACTAACCTTGAATCCTTGAAGATACCAATAGGAAGTTGGCAGTGTCGCCGAGATTCCATATTTTGTCCCAAAGGCAGCTCGCATCTCCTTTACCAAAGAAACAAAATTGGCTCCGTCATCTGAACTACCGCCACGGTCCGATGCTCCTTCACAATTGACGTGTTAACGGTTGACCAAAACAGCGAAGATAAAAGGGAAAAAAAGACAGTCAGACTTACCTGGGTATTCCCAGTCCAAATCCACACCATCGAATCCATAGGTTTGCATGAATTGTATGATATTGGTAATAAAAGTTGCCCTGTAACTTGATGTTGATACCATAGTAGACCAGGCTGTTTCTGTTGAACCGGGATCAGAAAAAGACCAGCCGCCAACAGAGATCCAGGTTTCTAAGTTAGTATAGTTGGACTTAATACCCGTGAATCGGCTCAATAAAGATAACATAGTCGAGTCCATGGCAGTGATAGCAAATGTTGATGGGTCAAAGTAAGCAAATGCCATATTGGCATGCGTGAAGCCTGCTAGATTGAGTTCCTCAGGGCTAACGCCATCGCAGGCTCTTTCAAGGGACCAAGACTCATAGTATGCTTATTTCCCAAATTCAGTGAAGTCATAAAGCAACAATTGATAGGGGTCTCACCAATAACTCTTTGCTTGGCTGTCGATCCTGAGCATGATGGCTCAGTTACAGTTCCACAGGAACCATAATCAGATTGACACCCAGTTCCACAGCTAATGACATATTTTGATTAGAAATTCTTAAGAGATAAATGCGAGTTAGAAAATGTAGACGGGATAACCTACAAGTCGGTGGTAGTACCGCAGAAGCTGAATTATTGTAATCAGTAATGTTTCAAGAAAGCCAAAAGCTAGAGCAATCACGACTTACCCGTATTCTGAGCAGCAAACATTCAATGGGCAAGTCTGGTCCCCTACGACCCCGTATGGTCCGCACTCTGCCGTTGCATCACAGTTGCTTGTACAGTTTCCTGTTCCGCAAAAAGATGGAGAGTAGCCGCAGTAGCCAGACACAGAACAGCACGCTCCATTGGAGCATGGCGTTGTGTCCGAACATGTGCCCGTTGTGTCTCTTTGGTGTAAATCATGGAGAGAATGCTTCGAAAACGAATTATCCCCATGGATGAGCGTATCGTTATGAGTCGCTCTTTGAAAGACCGATCCGTAATGACCGTGAGAATGTTGGTAACTTTCCCAACTTGCTAAGGCACTGGAACAGGCCAAAGAAAATATTCCAAGGCTGAGTAGCCTCATTTTGAGGGCACGTGAACCGGAATCAAGGTTTCTGAATAGATAAAACTTAAACTCATATAGAGAAGAATGCTCGCATGATATAGAGCAGAGAGAGTGAAATTAAACTGCCGAAGGCCATCCTGAAATGCGAATTTGGCCAAAGATCTTGATTGGAGGCAAAACTATCTAGTCTCACCTGTGTCTGTTACCCACAGCACATTCCATTCCTTACCAGTCCTCTCGAATCACATTACAGTATCTTCATGCAATGTCAAAATCGGAAATTATCACCGTACCTCCGAAAAGCCATGTTTCGTTTGGCGAGGGAGCTAAATCAACAATCTTACTTGAAAGCGGGTAGATTCTCAAAGCTTAGCCGACCATACAAGCTCAGCCAAGTCCGAAGCTAAGAGCTTAGCTCATTGCCCCTACTATAAAAGAGAGGCCGTTTGATATTCGGGGATAAAAAAGGCTGAAACCATGATTATGTGGGGCCGCCAAGAGCTTATGCACTAGCCGGTAAACCCGTAAAATATGGCCCAATCGAGTTAGATAGACCAATTGGATTGAAGTTGGCATCGAAGTTGACGCTAGGGATTGCCGTACATAAGAGTCGGGAGGCGTGGGGCCATGTAACGTTACCACGGATGGTGGATCTGACTTGTTTCTCTAGTTGGTTGCCTGACGCCTCTTTCTTTTACTACTGCTCGAACTAGTCCCAAGAGGTCTATCTTCGAGATTGTGTATCAGCCGCACTTGTACAATAGCGTTGAAAATTATCACAGCAACAAGTCCTTTGATCATGAAATTAGATTCCTGAACATTAAATCGGAGACATTAGTTCCAACTAAGGCTACCTCATTGACGGGAAAATCCGAGCCACGAGTTGTATCTAGGCAAATGAAAAGTCCTTGGAAACGAAGCGAAATTACCATTGAGCTCCGGTTCTTCCGAATGGTGAACGGAAGTTTTCAATGATGTCCTAAACTAAAAGGTGAATATTCATTATACTAGTAGGTGCAAGTCCTCATTTTAGTAGTGGCGCTTTGGGTTCTTCTGCAACAAAAAAGCTTCTCTGTCTCACAGAGTCAGATCTGTTGGAGCGTAAATCTACCACTTACAACTCCTCTCGAGCTCCCTGTTTCCTTTTACCATTCTGGTTCGCCAAACATCGATACCAATTCCCTTCCGTTATTGTCGCCACCAACATGGCACTCCGCTTATTAAGTCTATTATCTTTATCCTCGACTTCATTTGCACAATATAGTTTGTGGCCGACCTTCGACGCGAGTGCTCTGGCTACATACATTGGGATATCCAACGACTGTTTGGAGGCATTGTTAGTATTTTGATCTCCCCCTCCCGCCCTTCCTCAACCCTCTTCAAATGACACTGACACTGGGATGATTCATCTTTTAAGGAACGAAACAGTATCATGCAGCCCCACTCTTTTCAAACGAACCACTTCGGTAGACTACTACTTCTGGACTACAGAAAATGTCACCACACTCTGCACCACTGAGTGCATAGAGTCAGCAGCATCATGGAATGAGCTGGTCATCAGCACTTGCTCCAACGAGACCTACTATTATAACAACAAAGCTGTTCCCGCGGATACTATCCCTGGCAGGCACGTCGAAGGACTAAATCTGGCCTGTATGACCAACTCAGAGTCAAGCTCTTGCCTTGTTGAGTCTCAGAGTTGGGTGGGCTCTGGAATGATCTACAACTCTGATGGTATGATATCTGTGCACTCTGGGCCTTTCCTAATACAAAAAAACACATTTCTGATGCCTGATCTATGTAGGCACTTTGGGTGATGACCAATCTCTAACAACTCTGTACGACAATGCGACATTATGCGATGAGTGCTTCATTGATATGCTCACCGCAAGAGTGAACTCGTCTTATCTTGGGGCTTCTACCTTCAACGACTACATGAGCGCTGAGCTTTGGGCTGTTCTTGAATGGTGTGATGCAGACACCAATATCACTTTGCAAGCCTATGCAACCTACGCCTCATCCACAGGACCTCCAGTAGTTTCAACAACTGCTACCAGTGTGGTTAGCTCTGCTTTAGCGACTGCCACTTGTACGGGTCAGACAGTCTCTTTTTCGTCATTGAGCGCAGCCTCGTCCACCTCAACAGCATCCAGCTCGACAGTGATCACCGATGTTAAAAAGCGCCAGTTGTTATCTGGAGTATCCGCAGACCCGAACATCACACAGGCATGCCTAGATATATCTTTGGAATACTATGTCCCCACTGGTGCGGTGATTATTGCGGCTGGAAGTAGCGATTGTTCTAATATGACGGCTGTGACATGCTTACCAGCTGAATGTGACATCCAACTGGTGACCGACGAATACAGCACCTGTGATCTACTGGCCAGCGAGCTCACGGTGGCCAACAACACTGTGACGACGGTACAGCTGCTCACTTGGAATCCTGCAATTATCGGAACCTGTGACAGCCTCCAAGTTGGCCAGTATGTTTGTATCACGTAAGTACCTATCCTCTCATTATCCCCGGCTGTATATTCGTGTCCACTTTTGGTCATGCCCGGGTGTATATATGTTGACAAGAACTTTTGAACAGTCCACCCGGTGGAGCCTGGACACCTACCATAGCCAATATCACCAACTCTACGTCCGATGACAGCGGCGGCGTCACGCAGTCATTTGCAACGACCTTCCTCACCGCTACAGCTACTAACAATATCACCACACCGACTCCCATTCAGACGGGAATGACTACATCCTGTGATGTATTCTACTTTGTCGAGGCGAACGATGAATGTGATACCATTGCCTCGGAGTACGACATTACACTCGCAGAGTTCTATGCGTGGAATCCAGCGGTCGGTACCGATTGCTCCATTCTCGAGGTGGGCACTTATGTTTGCGTGGACATTTTAAGCAACACGACTGCGACAACCACAAGCAGTATCAGCACACCCTCTCCCATGCAGACAGGCATCACCTCTTCGTGTGACGAGTTTTATCTTGTCGTAAGTGGGGATGAGTGTAGTACAATTGCCGATCATTACAGCATCACACTCGCCGATTTCTACGATTGGAATCCCGCAGTGGGCACCTCATGTGCGAATTTGGAATTGGGAGAATATGTCTGCGTCGCTATATCGACCTCAAGTGCCACAAGTGGCGGTATCACTACGCCTTCTCCAATTCAAACCGGTATGCCCTCCACTTGCGATGAGTTCCACCTCGTCGTCAGTGGCGATACTTGCTCTGTGGTGGCATCCGAATACGGATTGACTCTCTCTCAATTCTACGCCTGGAATCCTGCTGTAGGATCTGACTGTTCTACCCTTGACCTTGGAGATTACGTCTGCGTGCACATCTCAGTCACAACGCCGAGCCCGATCCAAACTAGCATGTATTCAGAATGTGATAGCTTTTACTTGGTACAGAGCGGTGATTCTTGCGACGCAATCGCGACTGCAGAAAGTATCTCACTGGCGTCACTGTATGCATGGAACCCCGCCGTGGGGACGAGCTGTGCGGATTTGTATTTGAGCTATTATATCTGTGTTGGTGTGGAGCCCACTCCGATGACCACTTTGGCAGATACTGTGGCTAAGAGAACTATGATGCTTGCTGACGCAGTTTCAATGATCACCCCGGCACCAAAGGCGAGATTAAACTAGTCAAGGTTGCATGTGTATATACCTAGTTTGAATACATTCTGGCGGTTTTAAAGTTGAAGTTCTTGACGTATAAATCGAAACTAGTTGGTGATTCTGCAGAGATCTCAAGTGCTTCGTGAATCTATGGATGGTGATGCTTCTCAATCATTTTGAATCATATGATATATACCCTCTTGGTGTGGTATCTCTAGGCTTTCTGTCTCTCTTTCCCCCCCCCCCTTTTTCCCCTCTCTTCCCCTGATAATATTTATTATATTAAGAGAGGGAGAAAGGGACAGAATGAGATAAGAGAAGTGATTATGGGTGCCCTGGAGGAAAATAGAGAGAGAGCTGGAAGACAAAGAGAGAGATCATATGACCCTCTTATCATATATATTCATATTTATGCCCCTTAATTATCTTCTATTATAGCAAAAGAATTTGTGCATATAACCCTAGATAGAACTGGGCAGCCCTAAGGGTGGAAGTTTCTAAGGCTGGCTAGGCAGATCGATTAATATACGTAAAAACTTGAAATATAAATACCGCCCGGTCGGCCCCTTAAATCCATCTTAGCTAAGAATATTCAATCTCCCCTTTCCATACACATGCATGCACACCACACCACCCACACACCTAAATAAACATCATGAATCAACATCCACTCGAACCATTCAATTTCGATAAGTTTGTCCGGCGTTCCCCTACGCAAGAAAGACCCCCAGTCCACCAAATACCATGTCACCCAGATGCGAACTGGGTTAGCGTCCAAAAGCCACCCCTCTTCTGGGAACCTCTATCCGCTCATTCACTTGAGGTCAAACTTGCAGCTATGAGGGCGGCACTTCTTGCCGGTGCCGACCCAAATGAAATGGACCACGAACCGGTCAATATTCGCAGCTATGGCCGCCCACTCCATTGCGTTGTTCATAGTAATGGTCCACAGAATTACATGATAGACAATATCCCGCTTATTGAGCTACTACTCGAATATGGCGCTGATCCCCGTCTACCGGGGCCAGAGGTCTTACCCGTCAATGCTGGACTGGGATCTCCATTACATCATGCAAAGCTATTGGCCACTTTCCCAAACCACGGCTTTGAAGAATTATATGAGTGTGGTTTTTACCAAGAGGCCTATCGGATCATGAAGCAGGCTGCTGACAACTTGGATGGTAAGTGAGAAATCAGTACCTAGATATTCTAAGGCTTCTATATGAATATGTGCTAATATTACCTTGAAGCTCGTGATGCGGCAAAGAGGCGGTCGGAGTATGTGGAGTGGGTGCTTGGATTCTTTAAATTTTGGTAATATATTTATTACTTGACTGGAGCGAAGTGTATATAACTTATGCCTAACAAAGCCCGCAAAAATTCAAAAGTTCAAAAAAAAAAACTACATATAACAATCAGAATTCGTATGTGGTCACCCGCCATATTACTACATCAATGTAACCAGTCTGACCGGCCAGCTGGCGTGTAGCTCAACAATGGCTGAGCGAATGGGAAGCCCTATTCCAGGTCTCCACACCCTATGGTCGTACATATATGTATTGCTTGGAGAATCATCATAACAGATTGAGAATTGTTATACGAATCGTTGAACTTCGGTGTAAGTAAATTTAAGGCGAGAATTGGAAGCTGAGCTTCATGGGCTAGATCCATCCTCTATCATAATAGCGTGTACCTTTGTGCTACCCAGCTCGAAATGCCAGGGCTCGATTGGACCCGCTCCCCACCGCGGAGACCGTCGACATCGGGCCGGGAACCCGCTGGAAACAGGTCTACGCGGGGTGTAATAGAGTCGGCAAGATAACATTGATCGAACTTCAAATGTTTAGTTTAATTTCAATGTCCCCCCCCCCAAACACCAACAGAAATGACCATCTAGAGTTCCGATGTCCTAGTTTTCTGAGCAGAATCATGTATATGAAACCCCATTTTATCAATACGTGAACAAAATTTCAAGGTTCTATCGATTGATGGATTTATTGCGACCGTGTACATATGCGGATATCCATGGGTGGCGCCCTAGGTTTGTCTACTGAATACACAAGTATACCTGCTAAGCATCCACAATCTCAACATCCTCCGCTGCAGAGTCCTTCCATTCCGGGATTTTGGAACTAACGGAGGTTTGCGCAAAGTAGTCACCCGAGGGAGATGGGGTCCGCGCGGTAACATCATCAGAAAGCGTGGACAATGAATCTTGCGCCGGCGTGAAGAGGGGACTTCCTGTTTGAGGCGACGAAGACCGAGTTTGGTTTTCGGAAGTGGGCCGTGAACGTTCTTCCTGGGGCATTGTTGGGGCGGGGCGTTGCGCTTTATTCTCAGAGGGCACCACAATCTTTGAGGGGACACTCTCTTCCAAACTTCGCATCTTTGCGAGGCCCGTTTTCACCAGCTCGGAGATAGCTCCGCCGCTCATCACTTTGAGGGTCGGAACATCAGCTTCCAGCTCTTTCAAGAACCAAGCTCGGATGTCAACAGCCACAAGAGAGTCAACTCCCTGCTCGACTAGCGTCATTGAATCGTCTATAATCTCATCAACTGCCCTACGAAGAATGCGCTTGAGATAACCAATGAACGCGTCTCGGGTGACTGAATAAGCTTCATCGGTGGTCTTGGCCGATTGCAACTGAACGCGCACGCGAACAGATGCTTCGTGTGATTGGACTTTGGAGTCGGTATCCTTGTTGAGAATGAAATGGCTGAATTTCACGTCACGGCGATGAGCATCAGTGACCTGCAAGTCCTGCGGGACGTAGTTGATGCCCATCACAACCTGGGAAGGGGAATCCTCTGCCTGGCCCGGTCGTCCAGTGAGAATGGTCTCTGCAAAGAGAACTTGTAGGTCATGTTCACTGATATTGATGTAACCGAGTGACTGGAAGTAATCGAAATCAAAAGTCTCGGAGTGCGCAGCATACCCCACGCCAAGAACCGCAGGAATGTTCATTGTTGATCCAGCCACACCGCGCTTGCGTCGTTTGTTTACCAATGACGTCATGAACTCATTAGCGGCTGAGTAATTACTCTGCCCACTCCACCCGATGACCGACGAGATACTAGACGCGACGATGAAAAATTCGAGGTCAGTGCTATGGAAAGCCTCATCGAGTAGTTGTGTTCCTAGAACCTTAGGCTTTGTCACCCGGGAAAACTGCTCGAAGGACATGTTCGCAAAGAGTTCATCGTCCAAAATCATGGCACCGTTGATGACACCAGCGATGGGCGGAAGCGCTGCGGCCATCGAAGAAAGCACAGACTGCAGCGAATTTGGAGAGGTTATGTCCAATGGAACCACTTTGACAACAGCTCCGTATCGAGCATACATGTCATCAACAAAGCGCGCGTTTGCTGTCGGTCTGCGGCTTGTGAGAACAACGTAGCGGGCTCCGTGAGTGATCATCCACCCGGCTAGTGATTGGCCAAGTTCACCAGTCATGCCGATAAAGAGATATGATCGGTCGCTTCTGAAAATTGACTGGGAGTCAATGGGCTGTACCATGGCCAGCACAGACTGAGACTTTGTCCAGTCTACCACAGCCAAAGGCTCACCAATTGCCTTGTGTGAGGTGACATCAGCCAGGCCAAACAATTCAAATGACGAAAGGCCAAGTGTGTCATTGGAGAATGATTGCTTGAATAAATTTGCCAAATCGCTTGAGGAAGATAGTGCATCAACCTTGTGACCGACCAACATCTCCTCGGTGATTTCGAGACAAGACGGAGACAGGCTTTCCACAATTAAATCGCGTACAGCATCGGAGGTCGCGCCGCGCGAGAAGTGCACAAACACAGAGCAGGCTTCCACCAATGATTGAACAATATGAACTGGCGAGCTAGGGCCGAGATATATACATTCGTCAGGACGACTGCTGGTGGTATTGGACGTGACGCAAACGACCTGGATATTTTTAGCGGAGGCCTCCGCGCGAATTGCCGTTTGAATGATGAGATCGGGCTCGTTGATTATCAGTGTGCTTCCTCGCGACGTGAGAGACAAAAGACGATCGGCGACAAGCTTAGCGCCCACAGCCATGATTCTCGAAGGGATTAGAGATGTAGAGACGTGGATGCAAAGGTCCTTTGGAACCCGAACAGTGGACTGGCTCGAATCGGTCAGAGCCAGAACATGATCCTGAGTCGCTAGATCAACACCAGCGCACACACGAACAAAGCCTCCAGCCCCAACAGCGACGCTTTGCAAGAGGGAGTGAGTGACTCTAATCATACGCGTTGCGCTTGCCGACGAGTCAGTCACAGCCAAAGGTGAGACACGACGAAGCTCAATAGTCTGCTCGTCGCCTTTTCCAGCGCCAACCAATTCGACATTCGTATCAAACAGGTTAGTGACAGTCAGGATATTGCGTCTTTGAGAGTTATATCTATTGTTCTTTTCGCGGTCGGGAACAATGCGAGAGACCAGGTGACGTCCGTTACGAACATAAATATCAGGTTCCAATGACCAGAGCATGGAATCGGTGCCCCAGTTAGTCAGAGCCACTTGGCGGAGGACAGTCGCAGAGAGATCAGCTGCTGTACTAGAATGAATGCCGTTCTGCACAGCAGGATCCAGGTCATAAGTCAGGATGTTCAATCCAGGACTCTCCGTGCGGATGGTGCGAGCAATGCCGGTCATCATGGAGCTGTAAGGCTGATCATCGCGGGAGCCACATGTCACCCAAATCAGGGCACCGGCATTCGTGCACGACTTGAGACTCTCAAGTTTGTCGGCAGTTAGATCTTCCAGGTATGGCCGGTCAAGGTCGACAAGGGACAAAACTGTGACTCCTCTGGATCCATCAGTCATTGTGGCCAAGTCGGATTTAGCAAATTGTTCCACAGTGTTGAACAGCCGTTTCGACTGAAAGCGACGACCCATGGACTCATAGATCTCCTGACTGAGTTTGTACACTGGCCATGTCATGCCACCGATGATTGCCAGGACATCTGTTCGAATTCCGGCAGGGTGGACCTTGACGGAAAGAGGGTTGCGCAGCAATGCCACCCGATCATCTACCGCTTGAGCCACGAAAACGCTCATGGGTAGAGAGGCGCTAATATCGGGACTAACAGTGTCGATTCCGGCGAAGCCCGTATTCTTGAGCACAGTGTCCCATTGTCCCAGTGTAAACAGAGGACCCCATGGGCGACCTGTTTCAGCTCCAATCCACCAACCAGGGAGTGTACCGACGGTCATTCCACTGAACAAGAGGTCTGTAGAAGTCAGCTCAGCAGTGACAAGGAAGCCACCAGGCTTGAGCAAGCGTCGGACATTGGAGAGAGATGCTTCAATATCACCAGAGACGTGGAGAACATTCACAGCAACAACAACATCATAAGACGCATCTGAGAATCCCTGTGTTTGAGGCTCCTTCTCCATGTCAAATGTCTTGAACGTCATACGATGGGCATCCTGTTGACCGAATCGCTCTTCAGCCGCCATGAAAAAGCCGCTCGAGATGTCAGTGAAGGTGTACGATGCATAACGCCCTTCGAGAGCATCCAAAACTGCAGAGGTAGTGGCTCCGGTACCCGCGCCAACTTCAAAAATATTCAGGCCTGGGTGAATTTTGGAAATCTGAGCGAGAACCCGAGCCAGCCAGCGACCGGTCGGACCCGAGCAAATTGCACCTTCTTCATAGAAAGCACGAAGAAGTCCACCTTGGTTCATATGCTCCAGCATCGAGTTACCGTCATTGATGGTTTGAACCAGGTTTTCGCCAACAACTTGAACAAAACGAACATCCTTTCGGTCCGGATAGCGAGCAAGAGTCTCGTCAATATCAGAACGAGTATCGTTGTTGCATGAAGCAGGCACCTTGTTGTGACTGCCACTGCTGACCATGCTGACCATGCGGTCGCACCAAGCCAGGTATCTCTGGTAATGTGGTAGAAGACCGCTGCGGTCTTTGGCAGGGATTGAAATTGACGCAATACGGAGGAACCAGTATGAAATTCTGTCGACGTCCTTGTAAAGCTGTACCTCGTAGTCGGTCAAGGTCTCCCCGGCCCCAGCAAGCTGGCCGTCAGGAACAGCAATCGGGTAATCAAAGCGAGAAAATATGGGGATGTCATTCTTGGGCACGGCGGGTGCAAAAGGAACAAGCTTCGCGCCTTCGAATTGAATGAAGGCGTATTTAGAGTCATCGGCATAGAGGTAAACGTCTCCAGTGACGCCTGCTGCTGACTGTTCGCGGACAGAAGACTCGTATTCCATGGTGGCTTGTTTGCCAGCATCGCCGATGGAGGTAAAGTATGGGTTGATAGTGATACTGGAAATTGACACCGGAACATGAAGAGACCACAAGTGTGTATCGCCAGGATAGGCCCAGGCTGCAAACACAGTTTGAAGTGCTGAATCTAAGAGCCCGGGATGAAGAACAAGATCATCATCTTCAGACTGGTCCGCGAGGATACCCACGCTGTACCCAGGTTTGCGACGGATATTCGAAATGCCACGGAAAGGATGGGCATAATTATATCCCACGCGGGCCAGACTGTCATAGAACTGATCTTCGTTAACAGGAACTAGGCTGTAGGGGTCTACTCTGGCAACAGGCAGGGTATCGGGCTTTGCGAGGCCCAGTTCCACCACCGCGCTTCCCTTGGCATTCAATTGAATGGTGCCATCTCTCGCCGCTGAGTAGCACGCCCAGTCAGCAGTCAGCTTAGCGTCTGAGAAGGCGACCGATGATACACTGAAGATTGTTTCCACGGTCATATCGTCATCATCGAATGCGATCGCGCGTGGAATATCTAGATCAACAAGTTTCACTAAAGAAAGTGCAGCCCCAGGTCGCAGCTCAAATGCGATGCTTTTAATAGCCTCGAGGGCCATTGAAGCATACCCAGTGGCCGGAAAAACGGTCTGGCCCTGCAGTGCGTGACCACTCAACCAAGGCATCTCACTTTGTTGCAAGATGTTCCTCCACTGGAATTCTCCTGGAGTGGTCGCTTCCGCGCAAGGAGATCCGAGGAGTATATTTGAAACATGAGCCGGGTTTCTGTGCTTGAAGTGGTTTGCGAGACGACTGTCGGTCCAGTAGTCGGTTTGGTGGGTGAAGGGATACGGAGGTAGGTCACTCAGAACAAGTGGTTCTTGAGCATTGGCAGACAGCAATTTTTCCACCGCAGAAAACTGCACGCTGTTCGAACCAAATTGCTTCCAAATGAAACCAAGTGCTTTGCCAAATTCGGTGACATCGTTCTCACCGCGAGCCAGAACACCAGTATATGGTGTAGTAGTCTCCCCATTGATGGTAGCAGTAGCGGGACCTTTGAGAGCAGGATGGGGACCGACCTCAATGGCAATGTCAAATGGACCATTGTGCTTCACTGCCTCCGCCAAGGCACCAGCAAAAAGGACAGTCTGACACATATTGTCAACCCAATATTGGTTCGTCAGACTAGATTGAACCATAGCCTCTCCCTCGTACACACTTGAGTACCACACGGGTGCCGCCTCTGTCGATTGCGACAAACTCTCAATGTTGCATTTTTGAAGTGAGTTGTAATATGGGCCGGCACAGGAAGCCATGTGAGCACTGTGGTAGGCAGTATCGACCTTCAGCTTGCGAGCAAAGGTGCCTTTTGCCTTCAAAAGTCTTTCAGCAGCGTCGATGGCATCTTCATCTCCACTGAGAGTGACACTGGAGCTGGAATTAATCGCTGCAAGCTGCAAGCGCCCCTGGAACTCATTGGCACAAATGGCCCGAGCTCCATCTGGAGATTCGGCAACTGCCATCATAGCACCACAGGGAGCATTGGGGCTGGGACTGGCAGCTAGTTTGGCATGCACGCCTCGGAAGTATGCTACTCTGATCGCATCCTTGGCAGAAAGGAAACCGGCAGCATAAGCAGCTCCAATCTCACCCGATGAGTGACCAACTACAGCTGTAAATGCGATTCCAGCTGCTTGAAGGATGTCAACCAGGAGAATCTGCACAGCTGAGCAGAGGGGCTGCGACAGAGCTGCCTCTGCAAGCCGAGAACTTTCTTTCGATGCGAGCAGCTCGTCAAGTATTGTCCAGCTGGGTCGGTCTTCGGCGGAAGTAATGCTCTGGAGCGCATGGTCCAACTCGGCAATACGCGACGCAGCAAACGGAGACGACTCAATGAGGCGGGCACCCATTCTCGGCCATTGTGCGCCTTGGCCAGTGAAGATCCCCAAGATCTTTGCTGAGCTGTTGAGACTTTTGAATCGAGCATTCATGTCTTCGGTTTCTGCATCAGTGCGAGTCAAGGCTTCCAGTGCAATAATTGCATCATTGACCGTTGGAGCAAGGATGTCCTTCCGGTATGGCAGTGTCGAGCGACGGTGTTGCAGAGTGTAAGCAAAGTCCCGCATCGGAACATCTGGGTGAATCTTGAGATATTCTAGATGATCAGAAATCATTTGTCGCAGGGCCTGTTCCGAGGCCGCTGAGAAGACAAGGGGAGCGAAAATCTGATTGGTCGAGGTCGAGGTGATCACTTCACGTCTTTGAGTATACTCTTCCAAAATACAGTGAGCATTTGTGCCACCGAAGCCGAAGCTGAATGAAGAATAACTGTCAATAAAATATTTTATCAACTTTAGAGCCACAGACTAACCTGTTGACGCTTGCTCTTCGCGTCTGACCATTGTTGATAACCCAGGGAGTTGGGGATACGGGTATCTTCAAGTGATCGAAAAAGGGCGCGACACGATCACTCAAATTTCTGAAGTGCATATTAGGGGGAATGACACCATTCCGTATGGCAAGTGATGTACTGATAACACTGGCAAGACCGGCTGTGCTCTCTGTATGGCCGATGACCGTCTTGATTGAGCCGACAAGCAATTTCTCCGCAGCCTGAGCGGCAAGAGATCCAACAGGGAACAGAGCATTTGAGATAGCCTCAGCTTCCTGTGGATCGCCGGCTTGGGTACCAGTGCCATGGGCGTGAAAGAATTGGGGTCGGTCTTTGAGGTTGTTGATGGGATCGAGTCCAGCGCGGGAGTAGCAGTCGCGGATCAATGCAGTCTGCGCCACGTTACTGGGCACCGTCAAGCCAGAGGTCTTGCCATCCTGGTTTACAGCAACATCACGAATAATGCACTCGATCGGATCATTGTCGGCAAGTGCCTGAGAGAGTGTTTTCACAATGACGGCAGCCACCCCCTCCCCACGAGCATATCCGTCAGCTGCTGTGTCCCACATAGCACAACGGCCATTGGGGGAAAGCATACCCAGATTACTTTCCGAAATATACATCGCTGGCAAGATCAGATCATTGTCGATCATGTGGTGTTCGTGGAATTCGTGCAATACGTACCAGGGCTCAAAATCAGATTCGTTCCTGCTGCAACAGCAACATTCGACTTCCCACTGCGGACAATTTGCACAGCCAGATCCAAAGCAACCAGACTGCTTGAGCATGCAGTGTCAAGAGTCATGCTTGGACCATGCCAATCAAAGAAGTATGAGACACGGTTTGCCATGATGCCCCGTTCCAAACCGGTAGCTGTATATCGTGGCAGGGTCTCCCAGTCACGGGTGACCATGGTATTCCAATCATCGGACATCATACCAACGTAAATGGCAGTATTGGATCCTTTGAGATTCTCCATGGGTTGGCCTGCAGCACACATACTGTCATACACAACCTCCATGAGGACCCGTTGCTGTGGGTCCATCGCGTCAACCTCGCTCGGTTGAATATTAAAAAATCCAGCATCGAACTTGGTAATACTTGTACGATCCGTCTCCTCCAGCCAGTAGGAGTGGGTGGCATTCGTTGTTCCATGATGGGCGCCAACTGGGTGGTAGAACGGATCGATATTGAACCGTGATGGTGGTGGTTTGCTTGATAGATCCAGTGGGTCTTTAATCAGCTCCCAGAGCTTGCTGGGCGTGTCAGAACCTCCAGGGAATCGACAACCTGACCCAATGATAGCAATTGGCTCAACCATGATTGCAAGGTGTAGTGGTGTTGATGTTGAATATCAGGCAGGGATTATGACGACAAAATCATTCCAACTTGTTGGAAGACAGTATATAGTTCAATTGCTGCACAAGGAGTTCACGAATCTATACTTAAGATTGTTCCGAAGTTGTAATCAGTGTTGTGCCTGGATAAAGTAACTATTAAGTAATTCGCAATGGATGCCAGAAGGAGATATTCTCCCTTTCTTTATCACATATGCATGATATGATTTGGAATCAGGCTCCGGATGAAAAAAGTACTCGCTGGGGTAAAAACTCGAGACCGCAAAAGCTAAACAACTTGTCCTCAACGAATGATCGGAGTACTACACCGCATTGGGACGGCCGATGCAGTGTGCAGTTGATTCGGAGAAATTCTTCTTTCAAAGATCTTACCACTCAGGTTGTGCTTTTGTTCGCGGACCAAAGCACTGGGCGCGAATTAAAAGATAAGACCACCATTATGGGATGGCCGAAAAGGGAAAATGTCAGAGCCAAGATTGTTCCAGTGGAGAGATCGGGGCGTTTTTCTCTTGACACCCTGCAGTCAGCCGGCGCAGAACATGCTGGCTTGAAACTGGACCTTGACGAGAGACTTCTGAGTGCTGACTGACAAAACCAAAACGAACATCCTGGTTCTCCGGTATGGATCAAAATGGACTAGCGCCAAAAACAAACCAAGGGGCCAAGGCTCGAAGTCGGAATCATCTTTTGGACATCAACTTATTCGGCGCATTCTATCAGTTAGAATCAAACCTTGGAACACAAGAAGACTACCGTATGCGATGATTGAAAAAAAGGTGTATGTAAAGTGTAGGTTTTAGTGTATAAACCAGAATGGACTTGAGAATAGACTTGAGAAGGAATTATATGGCTAGAATTTCTGCCTGGTTTCTTGTACTAAGGACATGTCCATTATTTTAATGAAAAGGAAACACGGGTCACTCTCATGCAAACACGGGTCACATGATGCGCTAAGCCGGAACAGACTCCTTTTTCTGCTGGCCCCATTTAGGCAGAAAAACGGTCATGTGATTTTTGAATGTATATATCCTTACTAGTAGTAGTAGTACATAATGAAGGAATTCAGGCAGCACGGCAACAAAGAGGCGGTGAAATCATTAGAACGTGGTCTGAATTATGTTCTGCCTCAGGCATAACACAGCGGATGCCGGCATATTGAGGCCTCAGTCCGTCCTAATTAGGCTTAGTGCATTGTGTGACCCGTGCCGTGTTAGCATGACCCGTGTTTAGATTAAACCCCTATTTTTATTTTGGAAGCTTGCTATGTTCCAGACCAAGACATTGGCATCCATTCATCAGGCCGCCTTTCCATGCCATTAAGATTCATTGCAAAGTTCTGACCCGGCGGGAAGCTCTGGCTCGACTGCCCCGGGGGTGTGAAGTTGCCAAGAGGGCCACTCATGACAAAGTAGTCGGCTGGAGTATGATTAGAACATAATGATGACATGGAGAAAGCGTAGCAGGGAGAGACTCTTACGATCAAATAGACTCATGTAGTCAGATGATACTGTAGTTCCATCTGGAATAGAGCCTGGAGGTTCTTGACTGTCAAATGGGACATTGTTTGGCAGGAAGTGTCCACCAGAGTGCGTAATGGCTTGTGTTAATGCAACATTATGACTTCTCCCGTCATCTGCCCGAGCCAGAACGAAGCTGACGGTCTCGGCCGCTTTCTTGGCTTCTTTGGAACCTTCGCTTCTTCTCATCCAAATTGCTCTGCATCGCTGAAGCGCCGCACGGATGTCCTGTTCACGCTCCAGCGTCTGTCCTCGGTGAAGCATATAGCACAGAATCATTGTGGCGAGAAGAAACTGATGATTCATGATGGACGTGACCCGGAATCGCATGGTATAAAGCTGACCCCCAGGACAAGTTTCCTCGTCAAGAATATGTTGGATCTCAAGAGTGCCAAGAGAAGCTTCTAAACAAACCTTTCGCGAGTAAGAGGTCGCTTGATCATCTAAACTGTCCGACCTGGGGTAGAAGAACCGCTTGTGAAGGACGACCTGTGCTTTGTAGATCATGTGATATAGGAATAAACGGGCCATAATGATCTGTGGAGGGTCAGTCATACTCGTTGCCATGGATTTGAGCTTCAGTGGTGGAGGTATGCTGGCTGCTGCCTCCTGGATCATGGAATCGATATTCATCACCTCAGCATAGGTGCATGGTTTGACCGCATCAGTCAGATCTATCACGGATCCAAGTGCCGCGACAATACGCCTTCGTGCGATGATTCCAAGGGTGTTTGTATATTCTGTGAGAGGGCGTGAGATAGGCAACTCGGTCGACTGTTCGTCAAAATCGGTGTCATTCAAGTTTCGCGGCTCTGAGGTATCCCATTTGCCGTCGCAGATCATCCGCGGCATGCCCATTTGATTGGAGATGAGGATATCCCCCATTAGAACTGTTGCCCAAAGCCGACGACGCATTTCTCCTTGGAAGGGTGAGATCCCCGGGAAGTTGCTTGGGTCGCGATGGTAGCCCATTCGCATTGCCAAATTGACCTCCAGAGCCAGTAAATACCAGATGTCCTTATCAGCATCTGTTCGAATGCAGAACTCGGCATATGTGTAATTTATGACTGTCTCCAACACATATGGCCCTGACCTTGTATATTCCCCCAGCGTCAGACATTGCACGATTTTCTCGCGATAAAGGTCGACTTGGAGTGATAGATCTTCAGCATTCGGTTCTGATAGAACATCAGAGGTAAGGCATGCAAGACAAATCATGCTGAAGAGAAGCCCAATCCACATAACAGGTGCGCTAGATTGATTCTTCCAAAATGCCTCGTACTAGTAGTCCAGTTAATCAAATGTTTAGAGAGAAGTTTGATGAACTTACTTCACGTAGAAAACTTGGACCGTGCACCGCAGCTAGACCAGGATCAGTAGTTGCCAACAAGATCCAGTCAAGGGATGTAAATCATACATGAGGAAACCAAATCCAGGTAGTTAAAATACCGAGAAACATATCGATCGACAGCAGATCTCGGAGGCAACGCCGCAAGAATCTCTTCCTTTGAACCTAGACGTCGCCCACCATACAGTAGAAGTGCATATCCAGATCGAGGGCGAGCCAAACCATTTCCATGCTCATCAATATCAATATCTGATGGGGTATTTGCGAGGCGGAACTGCTCATCACGATCGAGATGGTCCTTGAGATCTGCGATTCCATCGAGGATAGTAGCCCAATGGTTATTTCCAACATAGTGAAATTCAGACTCGCTAATTTGCATTCCACCACACTCGGAGCGACCATCAACAGCGTCGACAATTGGGTCATTGGGTAGTGGATGTTGTATTCTCGACGAAGCCGAAACCTCTGAGCCTGGCGTAATACGTTCTTGCACCTTGTTCGCCGAGTCGGCCATCAGCGACACAACCAGGCGCTCCAGCTGAGCTAAACGGTCATGAACACCAGGGGCTGCCCCGGGAGACACCTTTGAGGACCCCATGGGCCCTGAGTTATCCACGTAAGTACATATCTGGCCACGGGCGGCGCAAGAGGAGCATGGCTGTTGACGGTCACATCGGGATCTGAAAGAACGTGAGCATGTAGAGAGAAAATCATGCGTAATAAACTGGTTCATACTTGCGACGTCGGCAGGCGTTGCACGAAAGCTGTGGCTTGTCTCTTGGTCGACTGAGCTTCGGCCGAGGATGTGAAAGCTGCGACGGTTGGGATGTCTGTGAGGGTTGTGACAACGTCTCGATCTCCTGGCCAAGACTCTCCAAATCCATTTTGGGACTTTCAGAGGTGACACAGGGCGAGAAAGCGGATGAACTACAGGAGGAACAAAGCACCCCGGAAGGCTTCAGGGTCTGGAGGATCAGCGGGGTTCTGACTCAGCACCCGTGGCCCCCACGCCTATGTATTCCTCCGATCCTCCTCCGACGGCCCCACCCGCCCGACCCACAGCGGGTGCCAACAGAGATCTACTGGCGATCCACTCCGCGGAGGATCGGAGGATGCGTGGGACAGCTTGTCGGACGGAGACCGGAGGACGGTGTGCTCACTAATCAATGAACTACCGGTGTAGCCAAATTACACAGACTGTCTGCTGGTACCGATATTTACTTAAAATGCCACGAAAATGGTTGGCTAGGATATTCTATCTTCTCCTTCATCATCGTATTCGCAGTGAAGTCACAATGTCTTCCTCATCGAGTTCTTCAAGCACCACTCCGGGCAAGTTAGAGTCAGCCACCCCCTCCGAAAAGGTGTTTGATCCTAATCTTGTTGATTGGGATGGCGATGATGACCCTGAGAACCCCCGTAATTGGTCAACACGGACTAAATGGGCAAATATTGCGATCATATCGATATTGGCATTGATCACGTACGTGTTGAATCCTTTCATTAATACGCATAGAAAAAAGCTAATCAGTGTTATGGGTATAGGAACATGGCTCCTACAATGTGTGCGCCCGGGGTGGCACAGATTGCTGCCGACCTCCACATCACGTCGACCGTGGTTAGCACGCTGGCTATTACACTTTATGTTTTGGGAATCTCCATAGGTCCGATGTTCACGTCTCCACTAAGTGAGATCTACGGAAGGGTACCAGTCTATCATGGAACAATGTTCATTTTTGTTGTATTTATCATTGGTGACGCCTTGAGCAAGACCACTGCCCAATACATGGTCTTCCGTTTCATATCAGGATGTGCGGGTGGTACCCCCATGGCGCTGGGTGGAGGCAGCATTGCAGATCTCACGACAATCCAGGAAAGGGCCATGGCTATGGCTTTGTTTAGCCTCGGACCTCTTGCTGGACCGGTAAGTCATTGCTTATCTTCTCATCCTCTGCGTCTGATCCTTATCGAGTTCGTGTTGAGACCGTACTAACAGATATGGATTTAGGTTCTTGGTCCAGTCATAGGGGGCTTTGTTGCAGCTGGCAAAGGTTGGCGTTGGACCTTTTGGCTTCTCGCCATTCTCGGAGGAGCATTTGGCATTGCATCCGTCGTGCTTATGCGTGAAACACATCCCAGGGTTATTCTCAACCGAAAGGCAGCTCGCATGCGCGCCACGACCGGCAACCCGGATCTGCGTTCCAAGTTAGACAGCACTATATCCCCTCGACAAGTTGTGTTGCAAGTTCTCGTCCGCCCTCTTATGCTTCTTTTGCGATCGCCAATTTTATTAGTCATTTCCCTCTATGTGGCGTTGGTATTTGGCGTCATGTACCTGCTATTCACCACGTTCACTGGTGTTTTCGAGGGGCAGTATGGATTTTCCACAGCTATCTCCGGGCTTACCTACTTGGGGCTTGGTGTGGCGCTATCGTTCAGCATGTTCATCTTCAACATGTTCAATGCTCGGGTGTTGGCTGCCCGAATGAAAGCTGATGGCGTGCAGCAAACACGCCCCGAATACCGCCTCATCTTCATGGTGTGGTTCAGTCCTTTTGTGGCATTTGGTCTTTTCCTTTATGGTTGGACGGCATACTACCAGGTTCACTGGATCGTACCCATCATAGGGACTTTCCTAATGGGATTCGGTGCTTATTTTGTGATCGTAGGTGGATTGATTATTCTTTCTTGTCGCACACACCTTGAAGACTGACCACCTCGTTTTTAGATGCCCGCGCAACTGTACTTGGTTGATGTATTTGGCTCAGAGGCTGCCGCATCAGCACTCGGTGCCAACAATCTGCTGCGTTACATTTCCAGCACCTTCCTTCCCCTCGCCGGGCCAAGTATGTATAAGACCTTGAATTATGGGTGGGGAAACTCATTGCTTGGGTTTCTTGCATTAGCCTTCCTTCCAGGCCCCATCTTATTTTACAAGTATGGAGAGCGACTACGCGCCAAGACGAAGCTTGCGCTCTAGGGCGGCAACGACCCTGGTTTCAGACTACCTGCCAAGAAACCCCCTCACCATTCCTGCAAGACTTCAATTTTGTCTGAGATACTTTTGTTTTCTCCTATCCCCTCTCATAGATATAGCAGTTCAACTAAACAGATATCTTTTTTGTTCATATCAATAATACTTGCAGGTGGCTGAATTCAATGTTGGCTTGCTTGAGCTTTCTGTCCCTCCACTCCCTTAAACTATGTATGAATCATGGGTTCAGGAAGTGGATTCTAAGAAAAAAATAACATTTGAAGGATCTAGTAGTGAGTATCTTCCGAGTCTCGGATCTTCCCCCTATGTGACAGTCTCTTGGTTGCAGGAGAAAATATTGTTCAACGAATAATTTGAGAGCTCCAAATGTGGTTCGCACTCTCAGGGCACTAGGCATCCAGTTCTAAATCTAATCTCATTTTTACGAGCCGAACAGCACATTTAACTCTTAACCCTTCAAGTTTGAAAACACGTGCAGTCACGGACTCCCGGGGTCGGTTGCAATGACCTGCCCCGGTACAGCTTCCAACTACATTAAGTCAACCATCTTGCAAGCCTTTCCCATCAAGGACTAGTTTTACCTTGGCACGCTACGATGTAACCTTCAAGGCAAGCATATCCACGCGAGTTCGTTTTATTGCACCGACGGACGTATTGCGGACGCTAGTCCTAGCGCTTAGTAGTATTATGAGTTTCAACCTTGGTTAGGGAACTGCCCAGCATCCGTGCACAGATTGGAGGTGGGGCTATCTATTCGGCGGGGTAAGCGAGACCCCCATGTGAAAGGTACTAATATGAAACCTTGAAACATTGAAATTACAATCTTTATTGGAATGTTGGGATTCTCAAATGTTCTTGATATTCCATGAATACCTCAAGTGCTCTTTCCACGTTTGTGGTTATTGAACAACGTCTACCTATTTCCTGGTGCATTTAACCTTGTAACACGATTGATACCTAGTATGTACTATCTAGCACTTGAGTTAAGTACGATTCAAACATTCAAATTTTTACGGGATCCCAATGTTGAGTGAATTCAAATTTTGTTAGTTGACACGAGTTGACCATGCAAACCAGCACATCAATACAAAGAAAACATTGTATATTTTTCGCGCTACAAACCTATAATTTACGTAATTTTCCACCTCGCGAATCTGAATGTTAGAACGTAGGACATCAAGGTTCAGGTCTTGGTTTCCCCCGAACCTAATTAACTGAAACACGATACTAGGGATCTTATAATTAGCTATTCAGAGACAATTAATTGATAATTGGAACAAAATGAACCTGCATGTGTGGTTGTAGACCTCGGGAGACATGAATTGAGTTGGAATTTATCGCATTTAGTGTTTACGCTGGCGCAGCTCGCAGTGCTTACCGAATACGTCAAGGGTAGAGAATAACCTATACAGGCATATCTGTAGGTGACTTGACAACAAGCATGTTCCGGGCCTTATTTTTGAACATCTACGGGCGATGGGTTTGAATCTCAGTCGGCACAACTGGGCAATTCTACCCCTAAGAAACAACATTTGAACATCGGATGTATGTTGATAGGCCTCAAGGGATCCGGGACGGACCTGCCGGGTAGGGTTCATTCAAATTGAAAGGTTGGATGGGCCTGCAGTGGAGCGCCTCACAATGTGTATGCAGAAGTGGCATGCGTAAGGTTTCGTATGACCCATTTGGCCATTATCTAGTAGGTAGGCTAGCCTGACTGGGCCTAGCGGGCTGTAATTAATATAACGTATCTTACATCCAACATGCCACTTTGCACCTATACCATACATTTCACGGTTCTATGATGTATTATTTACCGTTTATAGTGGGTCATACGAAATATGCATGCCAGAGGGGGTAGGTGAGACAAAGGCGGATAAAAGCGACGGACGGATCTTGGGAGATCTCCCGACATTTAGCAGGAATATTATTGGACAGATAACGGGCTTTGGTGGATTTCAAGCGCTAGGCCTACAATGGACCCTGGTGGGAATCGCTTTTAAACATTTGAATGGTACACATGCTACTTCTTTCTGAATCTGATATTTACAGACTTAAATGACGAGGAAAATTCCTAGATCTGGTGCCATTATGGGGCCCGATCTGCAATGCCAACAGTACATACTGTAAAACACATGTAGCATAAGGCCGGAGGATCTCGTAATGGTCAGATTTGGCTCAAGGTTCTGGGGGTGAAGGTGAAGATCAGTTTTGGCCCCCGGGGCGAGCCTTGGTCATTCCAAGCGAGTTACCCCTGCGCGGACCGTATTTTGAGATTTCGTGATTGGATGAAAACGTGCAGAAACCATAAGGAAGGCACGTACAGGCGCGCTAGGACTAGCGTCCGCATCACCTCCGTCGGCGCAACCAACAGACTTGGTCCCAGTAACGTTGACATAGTCTTGGCCCCAGGGCGAGTACTGACGACCCGCAATTTATATCTTGCTACTTATTCTCTGCTTCTTTGGGTGCATGCTAAAAGGGAATACGATCTACAGATCCTCGAAAGAATGATTCAACTTGCCTCGTTTACTACCGACGCCGCCATGTGTACCGTCAAGTCAAGCGACAATAATGCTCTGACCAAGTCATTGCGATCGTCGTGTGACAGGTGCCGCGCCCAAAAGCTACGTTGCGTCTCTTCCTCCGACCCTTCTGGCCCTTGTCAACGTTGCCTCCGGGGCAAGGAGCCTAAATCCTGCACCTTCAGTCGACGAGGCCAAACAGGAAAACCCGCTGGCTCGGGGAGAGGATCGGATCACCGCCAGGACCCACAGAGAGAAACCCATACCTCAACGAAGTTCATACCTGGAATGAACACGTTCACACTTTCAAGCCTATCATCGCCGGAGCCGTCATCTGTCGAGAAGAGTCGCACAGAAACAACAACAACAACAACAGCAAGCGACAAAAACCGGAATCTGGAGTCAGATACCTTTTTAGACAGCCTCTGGAGCGACGAATACACTACGTTTATTGATCCGGCGCTACCATCCCATATAAATACGTCCCCACTTGTGCACGGACTCAGTCACACGGAGGAGTGCGATATGTACGACTCGAAAAAGACAACGGGCATGCAGGGAGACCCGAGCTTTCAATTAGACCTCGCCGAATTTCTCGACGTCCAGCAAATGCTTGCTACTCCCCCCTACACGTCGTCAGGGGTAGACAATTATGCAAATATGGACATGGATGTGGGAATTCTGGAAGAGGAAACACCCGGTCTTTTGGTCGATCTTTCCAGCCTGCTGGGGAAACTGGCAAGCTACGAAAAAGAACTAGCGGAGTTGTACGGCAGCACGCTAGACAACTATCCAATAGGCGACGCATTGTATCTTTCCCAGCGCTTTCACGCTATCCTGATCAATCACGGCCGCGTTCTTACCTTCGATCATGTATCCGACACCGACATGCCGACGCGACTCCTTTCGCTCTCCTGCTATATCTTAATAACGCGCATCTACCGGACGATATTCAAATATCTTTACACTCAATTGTCACAACTCCCAGCAGCGTTTTCAACGCAGAATTTGGGCGCATCGTCTTGTTTGATGGATAACAACATGAATGCATACCAGGGTTTGCGTCTGGGTCAGCTGCAATCGATATCTGTTGGGTGGGAACCAGCCATGCGCATCAGGAAAGCCATGTCCGTGCTCCTTAATTCGCTGAGCCATACTGAGACAGCGCTCGGGCTACCTGCAACTGTCCGGACCGCTTTGCATGCGGAAAAGTCCCAGGAAGACACCGATACGCCGACGACAGGAAGCATTCCTCTTTTTGAGGAAGGGGGAGTCTTGGCACCATTGATTAATGGAAGGTTACAGAAGAAGCTAAGAGAGCATGAAAGAGATCTGCGCGCTAAGGTGGAAGATGTGGATGACCTCTTAGATGGGCTACTGGTACCCAGCAGATAGCTGGTTGACTTCACCAACCACAATAGACAACTTTCCAATATGGGAGTGACGGCCTGTGTGATAGATAGCCATCAATTAAGATTTATGCCTTGAAATTCTCACTCTAGAATCCTTCAGACCATTGCTACGTTCAAATGATACGAACAATAGAAGTTTATCGATCCTCTGTGCTTATTGCAGGACTGAGCACTGGGTATTGGTGGGAGGTTCAGACTTGATTCCATCGTATCTTGGCAAAGGATTTTCCAACGACGTATTTGTTGTCGCTTCTAATTAAGATGTAGAAGTTCCGAATTTCCGCAATTGCTCGGACTTCCTTTCTGGTAGTTTACCTTCGGCCCTCGGTGCCTAATTGGGAACATACGGCTAGCATTCGGAGCTACCTGGACGCTCTAGCTGTCTTGACATCGGCATCCGTGGAAATCTGCAAATGTTGTCAGCTCAAAATTTCGATCGGGGAATTGAAAGAGTTGAACAGTGGAAAGGGATGCGGATTTAAAATGCATGACAATACATTAGACAATCATAGGGACTTGTTGTGGGAAGAAAGAAGTAACTAGAGTTCATCACGCATCATGCCAGTTCCTCAGTCTGCCATCATCGTATGTGCTTTTCTAAACACATTGAAGCATCTTATGTTGTTCTAACTTATCTCAGATCGGGGGGTCCGTTGCTGGCCTGCTCCAGGGCCTTCAATTAAAACGTCAGGGTGCCAACGTCATTGTACTGGAGCAAGACCCTTCGAGTGACCGTCATAGCCATGAGTCGGGAGTCTCAATCGGTCCTACTGTTGTTAAACTACTTCAACAGTACGACGCGACCGGTAGACCAGCAGCAATCCCCGCGCGCTATATGAGCGCTGCATGGCGCCTGCGGCCTCGCGTTGGCAGTGTGACCTGGAAACACAACATGAGCAACTGGGGATGCCTTTACTTGATTCTTCGAGCTAACTTCGATGGGATGGCATCTGAAACTGTTCCTCAGCCACCAGCCCCAAGACCTACGGATGGTGTCGTTGAATATCACGCCGGCAGGAAGGCGACAGGAGTAAGCTATAACTCAGAGAAAGACATCATGACCGTGAACTACGTCGACTCCGTGACTGGAGCTCATGGCACTGTCAGTGCAAGCATAGTGATTGCTGCAGACGGAGTTCACTCCACTATTCGGAAGATCATGCAAGTTCCGACACGAAAAGACTATGCCGGGTATATTGGATGGCGTGGCACAGTCCCTGAGCGACTATTGTCAAAGGAGACGGTGGAGTATTTCTCAAATCGACTCAATTTTACTTTTTTGAAGGGCACATATTTTATCAGGTAAGTTCATCCCTTGCGGAAGCGCATTTTCCATTTTCTCGGCTCATCTCGGACAGCTATCTCATTCCAACCGAAGCCGGCAACGTCGAGCCTGGAAAAAGACTGGTGAACTGGGTCTGGTACTTTGTTGTTCCCGAGAACTCTGCAGAAATGGATGCCATTTTCACAGATGTTGACGGGAAGCTTCACCCTAACACCGTCCCACATGGGAAGATCAAGCCGGAAATTTGGTCTGAACAGATCGCTCGATATGTTTCCCAGATGACTGCACCCCTTGCTGAGATTGTAACGAAGACACCTCGACCGTTCGTCACGAAAGTCGGAGAGGCGGAGGCGGCTGCTGCGAGCTTCTATGACGGGCGACTGGTACTTGTCGGCGATGCGTATACCGGTTTTCGATCGCATCTAGGGATGGCTTCTGAGCAGGCAGCGCGACACTGTCTCCAATTGAATCGAGTATGGCATGGTGAGATCACACTGGAACAGAGAGATCGTGAGGCAAGATTCTACTCTAAAAGATTCATCTTGCTCAATCGTATGATTGGGCTGACTGGACTTGGGCTCATGTGGGAGGTGTTCAAGATTGCGATCGCCTATCTGATGATACTCGCACAGTATAAATTATTTTAACTGGAAACTCCTTCATAGAGAAACCGGAGCTTTTATCGGAGTACTCTCAATCATTACTACAGCTTAAACGTTAAAATTCTATGAAAAACCCCCTTTCTCTGGGTTAGACTCATTAGGAAGGGAGTTGTTGACCATCTATGTAAGCTTCCAAGGATTTATAAGTCTACTGCACATGTAAAAGATGTGCAGGCTCGACAACTACGACAACGGTCCATAGTATTTAGCCTACAATTGATATTTGATGGGGTGGGGCTATATTTTAGATAGGGACAATGATTATGGGTAGGTAGTGCACTAGTACTTTCAATCTTTTGATGGGGATCTTTTTTAGGCATAATGTATTGATATGATTCTTTCTATATCCATTACCAGTACATACGACCATAGGGTGTGGAGAACAGGGCTTCCCGTCCGCTCAGCCGTACTTAAGCCATACGCCGGTCAGTTAGTAGTATGGTGGGTGACCACATGCGAATCCTGACTGTTGTATGTTTTTTGTTTTTATTATAGATTGAAACGTATTCAAATGTTTCGATAGACTAAGGAAATGGGGAGGAAACAGGATGATAACCATTTATTTTTGGATTCTTGCTGTGCATGATCATGTATCCACTAGCAACATTGAAGCCACCGAGCGAAGCGAGGGTTTCACATGGCTTAAGACCCTGAGCGGCCTGAAACTGTCAAAAGAGGTCGACCGAAGAATCTGCTTCTCCATAACGGGTGCACCGACAGTAAATGCTCTCTATCTCATGTCGAGTGATATTTTCTCTTTATGCAAATCCGAGGAAGAACAAAGTCCGATGAAGACCAAATACGCTGGCTGGATAGTATACTTATCGACAAGAGTAATTATATCTCTACACCCCAATTCCTGGAGGATATGTTGATTGGGACAATACTTGGCTGATATTAGGGATGTTTTTGTTTGTCCGGATTGTGTCAAAATTCCGCCCGGTAGAGTGGAGTGAATTGGAATCGTCTAGCTGTCCTTCCTCTATGTGAAAGACCGGAAGGAAAATTGCGAAAATGAATACCACTCATACCCAGTGCTTCTCAAAGAAATCCAAAACCGTCTTGTATCCACGGGCATACTCGTCACGAATATGAGAGTCAGACAGATCAGCCCGAGCCGCCATCCAACCATGTACCTGATCCGCAAAGGTCTCCACATGGTGTGGCACCTTCAACTGACTCTCAAACTTCTTGACATCTTCAGCGGGGTCCTCGCCTGCTGCCAGGAGTATATATGGAATGGAGATATTTTCCGCCCCCGAGGGGTCGATCATAGCAGGGTGGCAGGCGGCAGCAATCGTGAACGGGTTTTCTTCGCCGGAGGTGATGATCTCGGCAACTTTACCACCCCAGCAGAACTGTTCGATAGAAACATTAATTAAAATGAAATTGGAACGAGTTATCGTTGGAGAAAAACTTACGCCGACAAGAGCCCACGATGTGATGGATGGGTTTGCAGCCTTGAGGGCCGCAACATACTTGGGCAAAGCAGCGGCAGGGCCTTGCGGCATGTGGTTACCAAACCATTCACCCAGATCCTTTTGCTTCTGCTCGGTATCGGGTGGGAACCTTGTTTGGATCCGTCAGTCAGTGATTTCTGAGACGGGGTGTGTGCTATCTCACCACTCTGAGGGGCAGGGGGTGCCTTCAAACCAATCTGGAATGAAAGCCTTGTACTGGTGACGATGACTGGTCGCGAGAATGTCGGCACCCTGAAGGGCCTGATCGGAATACCCGAAGATGTCGGAAATGATCACAATCCCCTTGGTGGCGTTCTCGGATCCTGTTGCGTCTGTATTCGAATGAAGTTAGCTAATAAATAACACAGGACTGAATGTAAAGGGAGGCCGACAAGTGTTTAATCCTCCGAGCTGGTTGTACGAGCCCTTGGCCACGTATTCAGAGGATACAACAGGCGGAATGTTGCAGCAGGCCTTGCTGTGGCCGTGGGTAGCTTCCATAGTTGACATTGACACGATTTGTAAATGGCGGGAAGTTGGTCCGGTGCACTTGGAAGGAGAGTTGAGAAATGTTGAGGAGCCCAATGGTCGAGATGCCGAACTTAAAGGTCTCAAAGATGAGAAAGCGGCAGCGCTCCTTGGAGTGAAGGCCAAAGATGGTGCCGGAGAACGTTGGAGTAGGCGAAATGGAGGAGGCATGGGTGTACCGTATGAGAGAAGATGACGGAACCGACTAGATGTGGCGCACTCCACCTTTCTCCAGCGACGTATATTTCTGATTAAGCTTGATTTTTTCACCGACTACACTATAATGCTGAGCACAAATCAGTTGAGCCTACAGAATATATTCGGAGTCTTTTATACTTCGATTTCCTAATGCGGGAAGCCGCGGAGGATCATCGGAGCCTCCGAAAAAGGCTCCACTTTCCCGGCCTGCTTCCGCCCCTGATAGATCCGACTATCTCCGAAAGTAGCAATCGGGCGGATATTAACAGCCCAATTGGAATAGTCGACTCCGTAAATGCGAAATACATATATCAATAAAATGGAGCTGTCTGTCAATCATCTGACACTGCCAAGCTCTATACAAAGAAACCAAACCAATATGACTGTTTCAACCTCGGTTCCGGGAGCCGGTGTCGGCCCACTCACATCCGCATATCTGTTCAGTGCAACTGTGAACCTGGGAAAAGCCCTCGTTCCAATCCCTTTGCTGGAAGGGGGAAAAGAATCGTCGAACCCATCACCGGTGGCACTATTTACGGCCCAGGCTTCAACGCCACCATTGACGGAGGAGTAGCGGCTCCGGTGGTCGTCACAAACAATGGAACCACCACCCAGATTCCGTACATCTACGCATATGGGCATGCAGATGACGGGTCTCCGTTCTACATTGAGGTAAGTCTCGTTCATGCTCAAGGGTTTTAGAAATTCACGTCTCACAATTTCACAGGAAGTGGGAATCGGCTCTACAGCCACCCAAAACACTCGTTTGATTATTCAAGTCAGCGGCAAGTATGCGGAGCTACAGAACCTTTACATTCTTGGGCAACCATCTGTCAACGAGGAGAGGACTGTCGGACAGGTCGAATGTTGGAGCGTACCATTGCCCTAATTATTATGCACTATGTCTGTAAATAGTAGATGCTTAATCATATAAGGAAAATTGACTGCACTCTTTCAAATGTTTTCAATTGTAACTCTTATGCCCACCGTATCGCCTTGTGCGAATTGATACCTGCAAAATCGAATGCCGATGATTATGTAAAATCGTAAATGCAAATATGAAAAAGTGTAACACGAATTAAGTGAGGAAATTTCCTCTTACAACAAGTGCAATATAGTGGTGCCCAGGTGGAGGTCAGATTTCTCTCAATTTTGAGATTATATACGCACGTACCGCCAATGCAGGTTAAATCATCATATCATCATATGTACAAGAATTTCTCACCTAAAGAAATGTGCAATCTGCCCAGGTGGCTTTAACATTGAATATACTAACAAATTACCGGTTTATTACCGGGTTATAACAGGAAGATCTACAAGCTTGGTGGGGAGGACGGGCTAACTACCCTATAACCTTAAATACCCGAATCATCTTGTTCATACGGGGCCCCTCTTGACCAAGCGGACCATGAATTGCAAGTACTGTCCAAGCTTTTCCAGTCGCCCATACTAGTCGAAATAGAATTTTCACTTTCCACGAACTCGAGCGCAAGACCCATGCTCGAATGCCAAGCGATATGGCAGTGAACAAGCCACGCGCCCGGGTTATCGAGTTGAAATGCGAGTGCAAGGTAGCCGTGCGCTGGCAGCACTGCAGTATCTCGACGAACTGGGTTCTTTGTTTGGAACGAAGCAGAGCTTCCATCCCAGGGATGACTCTCCTGAGCAAGAATCCAAAAGTCGTGGCCATGGAAGTGGATTGGATGAGCGAGTCTAGCAAAAAAGTATAAGTTTTCAATGCTCATGTTTAGTATGGAGGGTTGACTGACCCGCCGAAGAATGCAGCAGCTTTGTTTTCGATCACCAGCACTGCCCATTCTTCCCTGTCCTCATCTTTTTTCTGTGTTGGAAATTATTAATATCCACTTTAACGCAACCAGCAGACTAACTTACCTCAACTTCGACAACATTGTAGGGGGTGGGGAAGAGTCGCTCCTTGTCATATATTTGCTGAATGGTAGGCCTTGCCCAGTCCAGAACAAGACTACTGCTATTGATGGTCCATTGGAACATAGCAGCATTTGTCAAACGAACGTTGATATCCTCCACGGTCGTGTCGGTTATACTGCCAACATCAAGTTCGAGGTACGGCACCAGGTTTGCCTGAGGTTCGTCAAGGCAGGATACCGGAACAGAGAGAGAACTAGTGCTGGTAGGATTCCTCTTGCTCTGGGAATTGTAACGCACAATTCCTGTCGCTGACTCCGGGTGGTCATTCGCAACACCCTGGCAAGATTGAACCCATCCTCCGCGGAGCCAGTAGTCGCCCGGAGGAGCGTTCGCCTCAACAATGATATCGTACCTCTGACCCACGTTCACAATGATACTGTCCGCAAGGTATGGTTTGATTGGGACAAAGTCATTGGAGATGACAGTCAAGCTGTGACCATCGATGCTGAACTGGAACTGGCTATCGATAGCGACATTGACCAAGCGGATACGGTATTTTTTCCCTTGCTCAAATCGCATCTCGAATTTCTTTCCACCCCCAACACAGTTCTCATGTGGCTCCGCTGTACAGTTGAATGTATTGGTGCCGTTGATGAGAGTCGTACTCTGCGAAGATGTGATGCCAAATTTCTGCTTGGCCTCCCACTCCACAAACGTCGGGCTATGCGCCCAGTCCTGGAGGAAAAGCGCACCAAGATCTTCATCGTAGTTCGCACTTGCAGGCCCGTTGAAGATGAGGGGACCAAAGAGGCCTTCAGATGATTGGAGCGAAAAATGACTATGATACCAGCTGCTTCCATATTGCGTGACTTTGAATTCATAAGTCAGGCTTTCCCCCGGTGCGATCGGACATTGAGTGACACCAGGTACCCCGTCCCATTGATTGCTGTTTCGCAGATGAACACCGTGCCAGTGAACTGATGTGCCGTTTGACGCCAGATTATTTGTGACATGAATTTTCAGTTTATCGCCCCAGTCTGCGATAATCGCTGGCCCTGGCATCGTACCGTTGAAAGTCATACAAGGGCGTTCGTATCCATTTTGATTGCAAATGCCCTCTTGTACAGATAACCAGACTTCAACTGTCTTTCCAGTGTCGGGCGCCGTCTTGTAATAGTTTGTCTCGAGATCATAGGCGCCCCAGCATCCCCGTGTTGTCGGTGTATTTTCGCAAAGTTGTGTTTGGCAATTCGTTCGAGGTGTGAAGTCGACAGAGTTGGCCCCTGTGCTTGACATGCATGCTGCGAAAGCAAGTAGAAAGAATGACCGGGTATTCATATTTTGACTCTCGGATTTGCTAGCACTTCAAATCCTGTGGAAGCATGTGCTTTGATTTGCTAACCCTGCGCGTGAATGTGCCAAAATAATATGATGTCTTGCGGGTCACCGGGGCGTCGCATGCACATGTGTACTGAGGGTTGCGAGAATATGTTTAAGTATGACCGTCGTAAAAAATTGTATCTAGCAGCCAAGTCAGATCGGATAATTTGATTAGGGAAATGGAACCTTGGAAATGAAAGCACCATGCCTGCAGGTTTCCCGGCATTGCTGGATCGGAGGGTTGTTCGAAGTCAGCCTTCAAAAGTTCGGAGACGCCCTTTTAGGAAATTCGGCGATATGCAGCCGAACTCGCGAGTCGCGACCCTGTCAGAATGGATAAACCGCTAGAAAACAAAAGAAGATCAAAGACCCAAGATAACTTTGGAATTTGGTTTACAGCATAGTGGTGAGGAGATTATTTGAACCCTTGCATTAGACTCTCCTATCAAGGAAATCACAACAACTCAAAATGCGGCCCGCCAGCTCGTGGCTCCACGCGGCGGCCCTGCTCTCCGCAATAACCACACCTTCGCAAGCCGTCAAGCTTCCGCTGCCCGTTAAGCTTATTCATCAATTCCCGGCCCCAACATATCTCAATAGCCTTTACGTGCGACCGAACGGAGATATCTACGTCACAACAGTCTGGCCAGATGCCTCGATATACAGCGTCTCCGGCGCAAATACAGACACGCCCACCGCATCCCTAGTTCACACGTTCGACGAGATCAATGTCGCGACATCCATCACGGAGGCTGAGCCTGGTGTTCTAGTCTTCCTCGGCGGCAACCAGAGCAGTATTGGCGTTGGAATATTCGGCACGTTTGGCGTTTATGAAATTGATCTTCGTCCCCAGGCCAAGGGAGAGAAAGCATCCATCCGGTATGCTGTACCGATGCCAGACGCCGGGCTCATGACTGGCATTCAATCACTACCTGACTCACCATCGACTTTGCTAGTCAGCGACTCGTTTCTTGGCTTGGTGTACAAGGTCGATACTATAACGGGCAAATACGAGGTCGCGATCAAAGACGAAGCCTCGATGGGCCATCCCTCATGGACGGTGACACCCTTCGGAATCAACAATATGCAGATCCACAACGGGTATCTGTACTGGACAAACAGCTATTTGGCATCCGTGTACCGGGTCGCTATCACCAAAGATGGATATGCTGTTCCCGGGTCGAAGATTGAGTTGGTCAAGAGGCTGCAGACCATTTATCTGGATTCAATTTGCCTTGGCCCTGGCGACAGTGATACGATCTGGGGTGCGACCAATGCAGATAATCGACTTGTTGCGATCACTCCAGATGGAAATGCGACTTTCGTTGCCGGTGGACCGACTGAAATGACGATCGCTGGATCTGTTGCGCCGGGATTCGGCACGCTCCCGGGCGATACCAAGACTCTGTATGTTGCTACTGGGGGCGCGCTCCTTTTCCCCGTCAATGGCACAGTGACGGAGGGTGGGAAAATTGTTGCCGTAGATACCACCGGCTTCGGGGCGGATGAGAGCAAGCCTCGAGAAAAGGTACAGCCGTCTATCACATTTAGCCCGCAAACCACATCTTGGGTTGATTACCTCTGGCAATTGCCTTTGAAGCACCTATCTCTTCGTCGAAGCTGAATATCGGGAATTTTGACAGATAATCTTGCTGTGTTTGAGCTTCCATTATACAACTCTCAGATTCTAAATCACGAAATCACGAAATTACCCTAAAAATTTCCTAGTTACGTTGACAAGTCATTCCCTACTTCCGTATTGACCTTGGCAAATAATTCAGTGGTAGAAGAATAGTCGACTCGCTTCCAAATCTCCACTACACATTTGTGACGTGGCAAGCAAAGGTAAAATGTATTGTACTAGGGTCCTAACTCAAGAGAAAAATAAAGACAGGGAAGAAAGAGAAGAAAGGAAACAAGGAGGAAACAACCTTAAGTGCCTTAAGGTTGAATCAAGGCTAGGCTCCGTTCGGAAATGTCAATCCGGAGACTGCCAACCTGCAACTCGCAATCTACTGCCTGCAGATCAAGTCGTGGAACAAAGACAGAACAAAGACCGCCAACGTGTGACATCTGCAGTGTCGACGTGTGACAACATTCACCAGAAAACTCCAATCTAGGGGGAAAATCTGCTCAACAACTCAGACAATGGATTCCAGCTGTCAAACACGGAGCCGTCGCAAGCCACAGCTGGGTATCCGATAATTACTGTTCTAATGGGTTTCAGCCCATCCGGTACACCGGTCACTCTCAATGAATGCGTGAACCTTGGTTGGGAGGGGCCCATAATGCCGTAAATTCCGGATCACGCTGCGTATCTGGTCCTGCCGCCGCATGGCTTGATAGCCATGTTCCAGACACGGACTTAGCTTCTTTAGCCACCCATACTCCACCGAACAAAAGCTCATTGAATTTGCATATATATTTAAGCAGTTGATACAACCGAAATCGAAAGGTTGGACTATTGCATCAAGGAGGAAACCTTTGAACATTTCAAAGCGACTCGATTGACTCACCAAATCATGGATCTGACTGGGATCAGATAAGACGGATCAGATAATCAGAATTTGGTTAAGAAATTGACCTTCGGCGACCATGGGAACCATTCCGGTTGCAGGAAGCGGACCCTGGCGGCAGTGCAAAATGCACTGTGGGCAATCAAAGGTTATTTAGCCGATCGTCCATCAGATAACCCAGTACGGAAATCTATCTGTGCGTATCTAAGCGTTTGACGAGCGATTTCCAATTATCGATTTCGAGATACAAAAACAATGATGTTGAAAAAGGAAAAACACGACAGAAGACTATTTTCGACGTCTACTTTCAACAGATTTTCTCGCCCCCGAGCACTTTCTAGAACACAAAGGGATCCTGTGCACTTATTCCCGTACAACTCAATCCTCTCGCCCGAGATCGGCAAATAATATTCCAGAAAGAAATCTCGGAGTCGCCGGTGATTGGCAACCGAACAAACGCTGGATTTGATTTAATTACTTATCTGATCCCGCCAAGCTCCGGCAAGTGTGAAGGCGAATGAAAAACGAAGATGTGGAGACCTGATCCAGTAATCGAGTGCATATGCGCAAATTCAGGGTTTGCTCTCGACAGCCTTGGACCCTTTTTTTGGCTCTCGGGCATAGAAAAGGCTGGGCCTTCCCACTCTGCCAGGCAACTCTGTTCGAATTTTTTTATCTCGTTGCACTCTCAAGGACAATCGCGATACCGATCGCCGGCGATACCCTATAACCGCCAACATGGGCGCCATCGACATTATCAGGGGCCGAGACGAAAATGGACGCACATCCAAGTCCTTTGTGCCACCTCCGATCTATGAGGACGATGCTGGCGCACAAAAAGAGACTGGCAAGGAGATTTCGGCTGTCCCGGCTGGGGAAGAGTCGTTAGAGTGGCACGATGAAAAAGAGGTCCAGGCGCATCCCGACCAAATCAATTCAAATGCCGATATCGGCTTGCAAAAGGCTGAGGCGGCGGCCTTGGTCTACACGAAGAAGGTGGTGCTCGGAATATATGGCTGGTGAGTTCAAGTTGTTGTGGTTCAAAAAGAAAATCTAGGGGTTCCTCTTTCCCCGCGGGGAGCTAAGCGCTAATTTGCGACCAATCGATCGATCTGATTAGGATCTGGCTTTGCTATTTCATGCTGGCTTTCCATCAGACCATGTTGTCGAACCTTTCGCAATATGTGCTAGGTACATTCCAGGCCGCGCCACAGGTTACGACGGCCTACATTACTGCGGCTATTGTGGGAGGTGTGTTGAAATTGCCGCTTGGAAAGACCCTGAATTTGTGGGGCCGTGCCGAGGGTCTGTTCATATCCGTTGTCATTTATGTCATTGGAATGATCATCCTGGCCGCGTGCAATGGACCCAACTCATTTGCTGCTGGTTACACCCTTTACTGGGTCGGCTATTACTTTATTTATCTCATTTTAGAGATTTTCATCGCCGATACTACTGGACTGCGCAACCGAGCCTGGGCTTTTGCGTTTTCTACAACCCCTTTTATCTGCACGGCATTTACTGCGCCGCTGGCGGTGACGTCTTTTATAGAAACGTCTGGATGGCGTTGGGCATTTGGTGCTTTTGCCATCATTCAGCCTTGTGTCTTCATTCCTTTATGCCTTATCTTTAAATTTTATGAGAAGAAGGCTCAAAAATTGGGAGTGTTTAAGAGAGAGCCTAGTGGCCGGACCACTTTGCAATCTATCATTCATTATATTCACGAATTTGATGGTAAGTCATTCGCAAGAGTATAATTTTTTTTCTCGAAGCTAATAGTCGTGCGCAGTGATTGGTGCTTTCATCATCATGGCTGCATTCATTCTCTTTTTACTACCATTTAGCTTGACATCTTACGGCCTCGCCGAATATTCTAGCGCCAAGTTCATCGCTATGGTTGTGATCGGATTCTGCCTGTTCCCAGTCTTTGCCATTTGGGAGAGATATTTTGCTCGCAAGCACTTTATCCGGTGGGAGATTTTCAAAAATCGTTCTATCGCCGGTGCTTGTCTGCTCAGCCTCGTTTTGTTCTTCAACTTCGACCTATGGGACACATACTTCCAAGCCTTCCTGCTGGTTGTCTACGACCTTGGCTACACCAAAGCCGGCTACATGCTACAGACCTACAATGTCGGGTCCTGCTTTTGGTCCGTGGTGATGGGACTTTACATTTATAAAACCAAACACTTCAAGTGGGCTTGCTTGTGCTTCGGTTTGCCGCTCATGATGCTCGGCTCCGGTCTATTGATTCATTTCCGTGGCTCTGACCAAAGCATCGGTTATATCATCATGTGCCAGATCTTCATTGCCTTTGCTGGCGGTACCCTGGTTATCGGTAACGATATGGCTGCTATGGCTGGCGGTGATCGTGAGGGTATCCCACTGGCTCTTTCTCTCATTAGCTTGTTCAACAATGTCGGGAGCTCAATCGGCTATGCCGTCTGTGCTGCCATCTACAACAACACATATCTCGGGGCGCTCCGCAGTCGTCTCCCTGCTGACGAACAAGCGAACGCCGATGCGATATTCCAGGGCTCTTTCGCGACTCAATTGAAATACCCGGTTGGCTCTCCGGTCCGCGAGGCGGCTGCTTATGCTTGGGGCTATTCCCAGCGAATGAACTGCATTGCTTCCACATGCATTTTAATCTTGGGTATCCCGGCGATTCTTTTGTGGAAGAACTTCAACGTCGACAAGAAGCAGGTCAAGGGTACTGTAATCTAGTCTGCTTCCACGGATATCTTCCACGCGCAAGATTTAATTAGTGAATATTCAATATCTCAAGTTCAAGAATCCAGACTTCGAAGGCTTTCCCGAAATCTCCAATCTTCGGAAGCTCACATACATAATTTGGCTGCGAAAACGGCAGCAAAAAAAAGTATATACTGTAATATCCAAATTCAATTATGAGCTGGCTTGCATGTGCTTGGTCGATGGCCGGTATTCCATAATTTTAGCTTGATTCGAGAGCTTTTCCTGTTCTGCGACGATCTCAGTATGGTTCCATGGAAACTGATCTCCCATGAATCACCTGCTGAGAAGCCCGGGAGTTCCGAAGGTGCACAGAATATGGCGGCCGATAGAGGCCGTCCTAATTTCAATTTCTAACTTCACCGCCCTGTTTCCCGCTCGTATTGTATTTATCACATACAGGAATATCTTAAGGGATCTAAATATGGGTCACTTTTAGAATAGACTTGAGAAGGGACTTGAGAAGGGATTATATGACTAGGATCTCTGCCTCTCTTTCTTGCCAGTTATTGTGATAATTTACTGGGAGAAAGAGAAGGGGAGATTCTCGAGAGAGGAGGAGGAAAACCTGCTGTTTGTTTGCCGATATTGTTCCACTGTCCACAGTCCGCTCAAAAGTTTTAACAGTACTATAGTAACATGCTTCTGTTTGGTCTTTTGGTATCTGCGTTCACGCAGCAAATCACGAAGGAAGAATTCCCAGGATATCGCACAGTGAGTTAGATTCTTCTCTGAAATTTTTCTTCTCTTCTTTAACTCTCCTGGTTTTATAGCTTTTGAAACTTTTACTGAAGCTCCTTTTCACCAAAAGAATCCGCTTCTTGGTATGTTCATCCAGGTCTAACTCGACAAATATCCACCCAACCTATGGGTGGGTGCCCCTGGGCATAGTAGTGAAGTGAGAGCTATCTGAAGGTATGAAGGTCTAGACTTCAGCCTATTTATACCCTCAGTATTTGAATACTAATTATCACTTTACTCTCAGTTACCCACCTAGTTCGACAACACTTCGCTTTCAGTTGCTCAAAATGCCGAAGAACAAATCACAAACCTCCATACGGGCCCGCCGTGCTAGCAATCGCCCAGTCAAGTGCTTCAGGCTCAGAGAAGGCCAATTGGGAAGACGTGCATCAAGAATTCAATGTATAATGCAGTTCAAGAACAAATATGATTCATGAATTCAAATGTTTGGAATTACTCGTAATTTACTTTCTGCCAGTCTGGAAGTTGAAATTGGGATGTGACCCTTTAAAGGGTGGCCTCTATCGGCCGCCATAGATCTAATCAGACCCACCCAAAATCGTCAACGACAGTTCAAATGGGTAGAATTGAGGTTGAATCCCGAACTGAACCAACATTTGAATCATTTGCAAAAGAGGTCGGTCGCATCTCCTTCACACATGTGCAGTGGTTCCATGTTTGCGAGTGAATTTCCAACTTAACATTTGAAGGTTTCCAACACATCTGGCAACAAAGGCCACTGAATCATCTCGCCGTGCCAAGGCGACCGCGAGATATATATCATTTCGGCCAGTCTTGCAAATTAATCACTAAAATTTAAAAAAAAATCCAATTGATGGCTGCAACTTTTAAAACGAGAGACTGAGAGATTTGATCAATATAAGCTGTTGGAATTGGGGGGTTGCGATCGATCAAATTCCTCGTACATATTGAACGCCCCGTAAAATCAATGATCTCAAGACTGAAGATTTGCCCCAATCTTTATGATTTGCCCCCTTCCCCTCTTTCTATTATGCATTATTTGATATACGTCAAATGCCTCATATTCTGTTGTTCATGTCAAACAGCAGTAATCTCTCGCTTAAATAGGATAGGAATCTTGCACTTATTGTAGGATTCAAGCCAAAGATAACATATGATTTATGTTACGTTCTTTGTATGACAACTGGAATACGCTTCCTTCTTCCTTCTAGAAGACTCTAGAAGCCCTTATTCCTTCTATTCTAAGTTTATTTGTTGTGTCTGATATCAATATCCCCCGTTTGCACGAATCGCTTATTCTTGCTTAAGCGTGGTGCCGCACAACCGAGTTGTTGTGCACTCCCAACCGTACAAAACGCTATATCTTGGCGTTGTATTGTACACGTAAGGTTACAGGACAGCCTTGATTACAAGATCGCCTTGTTATCTCAAATCCTGCCAGTTATGAGCCCGGCCTCATTGATCTGAAGAACAACATAAACTCAAGTCTCTTCCTAGAGCCTGTTCCTTCCGTCGAACAGCGATTTGAGCTTCTTTCTTATAAGAACTCAGCTTTCTAGAGGAATCTTCCTTCTAGATTCTTCCAGAAGTCTTCCAATTATCTTCCAGAAGCTTCTATTATTCTTCTATTTCTTTCATTATGTCTTCATCTGATGTCAGGAAGCCAGTTACGCTTGTCTCCTATGATTCATGGCCTTCATGGATCGGCTACATTGAGCGTGTCGCCGGCGGTGTACAAATATGGGATGAAATCGATCCCTACTGGATTCCCACCGCTGCCGAGCCAATCAGAGGCCCTGAAATACCGCGTAAGGTTACAGGACAGCCTTGATTACAAGATCGCCTTGTTATCTCAAATCCTGCCATAGAAGGAAGATTCCTCCAGAAAGCTGAGTTCTTATAAGAAAGAAGCTCAAATCGCTGTTCGACGGAAGGAACAGGCTCTAGGAAGAGACTTGAGTTTATGTTGTTCTTCAGATCAATGAGGCCGGGCTCATAACTGGCAGAAATTTCCACTAGGCTAAAAAGGTGTCCAGACCCTAGTCTAACCCAGTAAATCATTCATATAGCCAATATTACCCCTATAAGCCCCACAAATCAGCCAGATAGGCTAATTTTACCAACATAAGCACACCCGGAGAATTACCGTGAACCGGCACCACTAACCTTATGTATTTTTGTTCACTTCCCTGTCCTTGCCTTTTTTGAAAATCGGCATCTCCCCTGGCTAACCCATGACGTGTCAAATCAACATTAGGGAACAGCAAATCAGAACATTTTAGCTTGGCAATAAGGTTTAGCCAGGAGAAACTCGAAAACTGTAAGGACTACGTAGTGATATTTCTTCAGCAAGAAGGTGTAGGATGAGTGCTCTGACTTGCGGCTAATTCCAGATGTCGCGTAGGTTGCTGGTAACATTTTTGAAGACATACATCAGGATGATAGGGCGTGATATTTCAAATGTTGAAAATCTCGACCGAGGAATGTTCATAGAACAAATAGTTTGCCACCACGTGCAGTTGACCATCAAATGTTAGCCCAAGTTCTTGATCCAGAAGTTGAATAATATCCACATCATGTGTGCATCAATGTTCAAATGTTCTGATCTTCTCAACATTTGAAGCAACCTTGAAAAACCCTCACGAGTTCATGCATGTGTCAACTGGTCCAGGTCGGATGGGGAATATAGATGGGCGTGCATGCCAGTCTTCTATATCCATAACCTCGACATACATCATAAAGCACTAGGTCATTACGGTCAATGTTCAGAAGATCCATAAGCTCATCCTTAAGAGGACCAAGGCGAACCGAAGAAGAGCCTGGGCCCGCGAAAGACTGGATATATGGAGCAGGTTGAATATGCCTTCATCTCCAGATGTCGAGTTACCTTACATAGCGATACGGAATATTGACTCTATAGGGCAGCCATGATCTCGCAAAATTCAATGTTTGATGAATATGAGATGTTAGGGTCTTTGCTGGGTTCTCATCTTCAGAGATAAATTCTCTGCTAGTACTAGGTAGCCCTGGGCTATTGAAGCTAACACTCCTGAAGGAAGGGATCAATGCGGTAGAGGTATTCTTCGATCAGCATTCTCGGAGTCTCCAAAAGACGTCTGCGTTTGCGCGGACTCGGCGGGGGACAGAAGCAGGCTGTCTTGGTACCGAATCACCCCTGAATAAAGACATTTTGGAGGCAGAGGCAATTTTTTTTTTTTTTTGAAATTAAAGGTAGATGGGTGAGTGGCTCTTGTTGTTATCCCGTAAACAAAAAGAGTGGGGCCATGGTCTGACGGGGATCAAGAAGGGAGTTTACCTCATTAGTAAAGGGTGAAACAACATGAAGAACGAGTCTACGAGGAAAGGAGATGGAGAGGATATGTGGGGTCGAACGGCTCGGCAGTAGGAAGAGGAGAACCGATCGGTGTCGGAAGGGGGGTCGTTGTTGGGAAGGTTTGCTCAGCTGAGCGGATTGGTTGCTCGAGAGCAGCGATTGTGTTAGCGAACGCCAATAAGATCATCGGCGTCTTCATTGGCGTTGACGTCGGCATCGGTACCAACGGACGCAGTATTTGTTTAGAGGTTGTTGTAAGTCTTGTAAGAAGTTTTAGCGACATATTCTCCTGAAGAGGTAGTATCTTCTTCTGAAGTTGCGGCATTGGACTTAGGCATGGCCTGATTCTTCCATTTGTCTTCGGAAAGCCTGCATTTAGACTGTACATGATTGCCCCAAGAACCGTGCTTTGGACACCATGCAGATTTGTTATCCGTATGAACTGAGTCATATCCAGAGCTGGATTTGTCCTGTGACTTTCGTTTGCCGCGCTTTCGGCTACGGTTTTTGCCCTTGCCAACATTGGTAGGCTTGTCGACGGTGGTGGCGGCGGCGCTGTTGTTGGATTTTTGGTGGTTCTGATGAAGCTTGTGAATTGAGTCACTCAAGAGGAAACGTGAGTAGACGCCGGCGAGTACGGTGTCTGTTATATTGTGAGTATCCACAATGAGGTTCGTCGTGAACGGTTTAATATCAGGATGGTACTGTATGCTCGATATGAACATGCAGAAGATGACGGTGTTGCCAAGCACTGAGGGATAATCAGCAAGGATGTTCTGAATCGCAAGCTGGAAGCGTTGAAGATGACTATGTGCGGTGTCTTCTTTCTTGTATTGAAGGTGCATGATCTTGTCCCACATGAGTAAGCTGTTTGGGTAGGACGTACGGTGGTATGCTTTCTTAAGAATGAGGTAGGCTTCCCTGAGATCAAACATGTTGTTGATCATAGTAGCGGCTCCAGGCGAGACTGTCAACTTAAGCACCATGCATCCGATGCAGTTAATCTGATCCCAATCACTCAGTGCCTTCTGCAACTTATCCATGGCGTCGGTCGGGATTCGTTCTACTGTACCGAAGATGGAGGTTAGGTATGCTGTCATGAGCGGAACGTCATGAATCTGATCTACACTGGGTCCAGCAGGTTTCTTCGCAAGACCCTGGAGGATCTGCCAGCATTTGGTGTCATATGCCCTGATCAATTGATTCATATCCTCACTCCACTTGCGCCAATCGGCATCTGTCTCAAGCTTCTTGATATTCTTTGCAAGTGAGAAGACGTCGATACGTCCGGCAGGATCGAAGCTAGACATGGTGGATGGCTAGAAAGTATGATGATGAAGAGGAGTGTTCCAATGGTGGACCCTTGGACAACAGTGACTGGTCGCGGGGTGATTATGATTGCACGGCAATGCGCAGTTTGTGAAGGTTCCGGCGAGTGCGATTGTTCACGAGTCGACAGTGATGGATCGTGATGACCCGTGGAATGTGTCTGGGGAGGACTGGGAATATTCGGATTCCTTGTGTCCAACAGGTGGAAGCTGTTACTGAACTTTGATGAAAGAAACTGATTCTTCCGATGTGGAGTGCTCGATGGAGATGGAAGTCTTGAGCTTCTGTCTCGACGCACAAGCGAAGGGTGCGATCTGACAGACCAGCGAACGAAGGGTGCAATGCAGGAACGCTGCAAAGTGGGGTGCGTTACAGGAATCACCTGTAATACGGGGGAAACGCGGGGAACGCCTGTGTAAATCGAAGGAACGGAGCAGTTGATCAACGCGTTAGATAGAATCAAGTGGAACGAGGGCTCATAACCTGGAAGAACACGAAGAACGAGTCTATCAGAAAAGGGGGGCGAGAACGCACGTAATGCTGTGCTATTGGGTGCTGCAAAGAAGAAAAAAGAAAAGAGAGAGCACTTGAGAGCACTGAGAAGGAAGATCTATCTACAAGGAGATAAGTGAGAGTATATATATCACATGACAAGTGACCAAACACCATTGCCAGTGGATTGCATCTAAGCACTAGGGCCTTTAAAAAGGCAGATCGCCATAGCTCAAAGCTAGTACTATCCATCAGCGAGTCAAAAGATACAGATTATGCTATGTGGTCTCTCCAAATTGAGGTCATAGATATTTTCAGGGCTGTGTACCGGCCCGAGGATTTGCAGACGGTGGAGAGTATGAGTGTGCTGATAGGTACTAGTATTCATCTGGCTGCAGATGGGCGGCTGCTGAGGCGCTCCAAATGTATATGCTGCTAGCGGGCCTTAGACAAGCTGGGGGGGGGGGGGGGGGGGGCTGATACACCCGAGTAACCAGATGAACACCCCAAGGTACTAATGTGGAACAGGGTCGTTGATGGTTGCCACTCCAAAATTGATGAGTGTACCAAAGGAGTTCGTTGGAGTTAGATGGTTTGAAGGGAATTTTGAGTGTTCTTTCTCGGTAGTCGAGCGAGGTTGCACATGTTTAAACGAAGCCATATCTGAAAGAAAATAAATCAATTAGGTTCATGATATTGATAAAAAGACAAGCGAGAAAACAAGGTATATTTCTCTTGGGCTCTAACAATCCGCTCTCTATAATGCAAGTGCGCAAATGCGAAAATTAGTGATTCAGTTCCTGGCTTCCTCTGAAAGAAGCCTTTTCCCCCTTGTTCCCAACAAGCGCAACGCAACGCGACGCGCGCGCAATCAGTATATTATCTATTTAGCCTTCCAAAACAGCCATCCAAAAGCTGCCACCAGCTTCAAGCCAGCAGCCATCCACAGCGCAGACTCCATACCGCCACTGCTCCGACTCAACCACCCACCAACAATGGCACCAATAAGCAAGAAGACCACGCCTCCAATACGGCGATTGCGCTTGACATTGTCCGTCGGCTTCTGGAGCAGCTTCGCATCGGAGGCAATATCAAAGTATACACTGGTGAGTACGACGGTGGGGATCTCATTGTAACCCAAAGCGCGACTGCAGGTCATACCACCGGCGGACTGGAAAGCCAAGAGTCCAATGGGGATGAGTTCCAGGAACAAGGGGCCGCCGTCCAGGGTGGTATCGTTTGACTTGTGGGGGATGAGATTGGCCTGGATGAGAGCGACGGCGATGACGATGAGGGCCGTTTGCACGAGGAAGGAGACGAAGAGGGTGCCGCGGCGGAGGGAGCCGACCGTGCGCATGGAGATGGAGAAGATCATCGCGCCGGAGAAAAAGGAGACGATGGAGACGAGGGACTTGAGCCAGCCCCACGGCTTGCTGGTTGGCTGGTTGGAGGCGCCGAGGCCGAGGAAGATGGTGTTACCTGTTCATGGGCGTCGGAGGTTAGTATGCGTGTGGGTTGGTTTTGGGCCTTTCGGCGCGAATCGAGTCGCTGGAGTGATTCATACCGGTTTGCATGCCCAGGAAACAGGACCACGCATTGTAGGCGCTGCTGTCGCACAGACCGGTGAGGAAACAGAGGAGCAGACAGACGAGGTCGGCATGGCTGGGATTGAGCTCTTGGGTCCATCGTGTTGTGAGGGTTGATTGTTTGCGCATGTCTGCGGAGGGGCTAGCCTCTAGGTCCGGTGTCGGGGTCTCCGCGGGTTTCTCCATTTTTGTTTTTTTGTGCCGTATGAATGCGCGCCTTGTTTATTATTGACGGGGTCTATGGGGATAACGCTGGGGAAAGAAAAAGGAGATCAAGGCGAGAAACAAACGACGGAATAAGAGAAGGACTTGGGATTGCAAGGGAGGGAGGAGCGGTAAAATGGAAAAGTTCAACAAGAGTTGCCGCGGCGAACTAGACCGATTCCCGTATTTTCGGTGTTTGGGCAATCACGACATTGGCTCAACGGACTAATGTACTCCACTTGGCCCTTGGAGACTCCCCGTAGGGCTGAAACTTGAAGAGTGGAGGGGGTTCCTTTAGGCTTTTTCTTTCACCGGTGCTTCACAAGGTACTTGTCGCTCTCTTTTAACGATTCCTTTTCATACAACTCTACCATTGCTGGAACCATAGCCATGATAGGACATTCACGTTTTTCCCGCCGATATATCTGTGCCTGAATTCGTAAGACTATACAAGTGCGACGTTGAATCATAATCCAATCGCACTGCCAAGAAGGCGATGCCGAGCCGGGCTCACCGGAGAGACAAAATCTGCATGTTCAAGTGACACGATAACTTCCGGAGATACACAGAAAAGGACATTGGCAAAAAGATAAACAGCTCCAAGTGTTCCATGCACCTAGATAAGTACTGGAGTTGCAGTCACACCGCTAGGCCCAGGTTGGTAGTTGCTACGAAGTATCCATACAAGTTCTAGTAGATAGCGGAGTCAGGCAAACCGCCAAGAAACACACGCTAAATCTGGAATCCTGACGCGTTATCGGCTTGGAAGTGCTTCTAATGCTACTCTACGGCAGCCTTGGCCGAGGTTTGGACTCGTCACACAACTCAGGGACGCGTTCAACCTGCAACATTGCTTTTTTCAAGTGCCGGGATAGCCCTGGAAATTTTAGAATATTGATCGAGTCCAATTGATATGTAACATATAGGATGCAAAGATGGCATAAAAACCAACTTTGTGTTTGCTTTGAAGATTTGAGCGTATAACTAGCGGGTATCTACATTGACCGGCAAACAAAATGCTAAGAGATCGGCAGGCAACAATTCAACCAACTGTACCAAATCTACATGCATTTTGGAGTTCAGATGCTAAATTCCAAGATTTTGGCTGCAATGTGGGCTCGCAGCCTCGCTCGTGCTGGAGACCCATTTTTATCTGTCGCTGTGAACCAGTGATGTCGTTCAATCCAGCTCGATAGCCTCGTCATGACTCGGAATCCAGGTTTGGGACCAATTCATAGCTTGGTTTTGCAGTTGATCAAAGAATTCCCAACCGGCAGCTTCCAGAGACAAATAAAAAAAAGCTTTACTGCAAATTAAATACTTGAACCTTTCCTTTTCCCGCTACCCTTCCCTTCAATGCATCAAACTGCTTGATTTGTGATTTGTATGGCGGAGGGCTTTTCCACAACCGGATCCGCTGTTATATGGACCCTGGATCCTAGTGCTCTGACTTGGCAGGTTATTTCAATTCGCACCGATCATCTCTTGGAGATTTTCCTCTCGCTCGACCATTTCTCCCATTCAATTGAATCCCCATGAGCGGACTCTTGAGACATCACATCCAAAATCAATCGCGGCCACAGGCCCGCCGATCATATACAACATGACGACGCCCACATACCAAACCACCAAGCCCTTGACGCGCCTCCTAAGCTTGAATAAGGTCAAGCTCCTAGCCGTCTCCCTAGCACTATCCACAACCATTCTCCTGGCCTCATATTCATGGAAAAACAACCTCAGTCTCGGCCACGTCCTGGACCTATCGGCCGCGAGCGCCGAAAATAAAGATGCAGATTCACCACCAGAACCCGATTTCTGGAACTGGCAAACAATCACCCATTTCGAAAAATATAAATCAAAGGGCCTACTAACAACAGAGGACATCTGCGCCGACTTCCCCGCAAACATCCTCTCTCGCGTCCAGGTCGTGCTCAAGACCGGCGCAACAGAAAGCGCAGACCGCATCGACGCCTCCATGACCTCCGTCACGCGCTGCATATCCAATCTCCTCGTCGTCTCGGACCGCGCAACCGAGCTCCACGGCCACCGCGTCCACGACGTCCTCGCTGACCTAGCACCCCTCGCCGCACGCATGAACATCACAGACTTCGGCGCCTACGAGGCCCTGCAGCGCGGCGACAAGAATTTTGGCGGCGCAGAGGGCTGGCGTCTGGACCGGTTCAAGTTCCTGCCTATGATCGAGCGCGCGAGGGAAGCCAATCCGACGGCCGAATGGTTCGTGTTCCTAGAAACAGACACCTACCTTTTCTGGGATAATGTGTTCCGGCTCCTGGACCAGTTTGATCCAAGCGTGCCGCTGTACTTTGGGTCGCCGTCGCCGGGCTTTTGGCTGGAACATGAGGAGCGGGTATGGTTTGCGTATGGGGGATCTGGGTTCATTCTTTCCAGGGCGGCTGTTGAGGTTTTGACGGAGCGGCAAGTGGGCGCCTTTGGCGAGTACGCGGAGCCGTCGGTTAGTGAGCGGTATATGGAAGTGGTGGATCGCGATTGCTGTGGGGACTCGGTGCTGGGGTTTGCGCTGTATCAGAAGGGTGTTAATATCTCGGGCTTGTGGCCTATGTTTAATGCGCATGCGTTGCATGGGATTCCGTTTGATGCCAAGCACTGGTGTCAGCCTGTGATTAGCTTGCATAAGTCTTTGTTTGCGGATATGACGGGATTGGCTAAGTGGGAGAGCGGGCGGGATAGATCGGTAAGTTTGTTTGGTGGCTGGTGACATCACGGATACGGGCTGACATGGAACAGAACCCTGTTCTATATTCGGATCTGGCTGATTATCTCCAGTTGGGAGAATTGTCGGACCGGGTCGGTTGGGATAATGGTGATTTTGGGGGACATATTGAGCCGCCCGAGTCGGAGGCGCATGCCTCCTTGAGCGCGTGTCGGATGGCGTGTCAAGACAGCGATGCTTGTCTCTCATTCACATGGGATGCATCGGGGCATTGTGTATTTGTTCGCACAATTCGTCTCGGGGCCGCAAATAATGTTTCGCCGGATAAGCTGACGGCTGGGTGGGATAACTCTGGGATCCAGAGGTGGCGTGAGAGTAATAAGTGCGAGGCGCCGATGTGGGTGAAGCCAAGCATAAAGAGAATCTTTTAGAGCTTGTATATGTAGACTGCAGAACACTTGATACCCGATACATAGACAGACATGATTTAATATGATGAACGGAAGCTTCGAAAGAAGCTAGGATCACGACCTTGTTCGAAAATGTTTGTACACATGTACTTGATTGAAAATATGGACAGGTATGCAATTCTATATGTATAAAGCACGAAGGGGTATAAGTAAAAAGGACGCCGGCGCCCACCTAGATTTAGATCGGGAGGTGACTATGTTCAGTGTCACTCTCCTCGTCTTTGGGCCTAACCAGCTGGTATAGTGCGCCCATATCTGGCCTGCGACGCCGTAAACGACGGAAGACGGCGCAGTACAGTCCACCAAGAAGACAAGTGAAGGAAAAAACCAGAATGATCGTGACTCCCCAGGGATGATCCGAGGAGAAACTTGTTTCAGGCGCAGAGCCTCGTGAGACAACCTCCGTCCTCCCGATGACCTCGCCGTTTGAATTTATGGCGGCAACGCGGAAATAAGAGGTAACGACATCTGAGATCGGAACCTCGGTCTCAAAGCCGGAGCGTGGGACTTCGTCAACGGGGACGAATGTCATGTTTGTAAGATTGTCCCCGTCCCAAGCTTCCAGCGCCCATGAAGCAACCTCGGTCGCTCCGTTCCAACTCACAAAGATGCTGTCGCCAGCCATCTCAGCATCAGGGATTGTGTCTGGCATACCGACCCATTTGTCCTTGAAGACTCGGTATGACATTGTCCGGCCGAAAGTGAAATAGGCCGAGGCGCCGAAGTGCGTATTGCAGACGACTTCGCCATCGGCCGAAAACTCTGTGAACGCCGCGCTGTGGCCCCAGCCAACAAGCACGTTGCCCGTGTCAAGCACCTGCACGTTACCCTGCGTAACAGCCATCATGCCTTGTGGGTGGCTGTATTTTGTGACCACCTTAGCCGTGCGCCCGGGGATGTCTAACTCGATCAGGAGACCTTGGCTAACGGCAGACAGATCTGTGTTGTCATTGGCCGCGTTGTTCAGAATAGTGATGCGGTTGGGCCCACGCCAGCGAGCATCGTGCTGCCACTTGAAGCCAGTTGCCGAGCCATCCGAATCCTCGGGATCGTCGAAATCGTTGTATTTCCCACCCAATGTCCAAAGTACCTTGCCGCTTGAGTCGATGCATGTGACTGTATGTGTGTGTCGCGCCGATACGAGGTAGTGGCCGTCATCGTTTTTGTCCACGCTGTTCATGTGGAAGTAATCGTAACCGAGGGTTCGTTCGTGACCTTTGTCGCCCAGTGGTTCGTAACTGGTTTCCGGAGGGTAGGTATGCGACGATCGCCATTCGAACAGGAGCTCACCAGTCGCAATGTCGACTTCTTGAATGACACCTTCGTAAAGCCATCCGAGTTCGGGACCGCCGACAGAGGTCAAATCGGCTGGGATGGGTTCGTAGATTGTGAGGAGGGCGGTGTCGTTGACGGTAATTTGGAGGTCGTGAAGATCGCCCTGAAGAATGCCAACAGGGGATACGATGTATTTTGGGGTATAGGTGTAATCAAGCTGTAGTTGCCGTAAGAAAAAAAAAATTAGCCCCCTGTAGCCAATGAGAAGAAAACGCCCCCAATCGAGGATTGCCAAGCAGATGCTAGGGCCCATACCATATACCATGATCCTCGACCATGTCCATCTTCTTCATCTCCCTGCCAGTATGTGAGGTAATCCTCGCCCTTGTAGTGTTGGACTTTGAAATCCTGAGTCGTTCCCCAGTTGTATTTCTTGTAAACGAGCTCGCCCTGAGCGTCGAGGATCATTGGTCCCGGATGGCGCACGGAGTCGCCCCGTGGCGCAAGGAAGGTATATCGTTGGTCGCATTTTGCGCCGGCCGGAGAAATCTCGACGATTGGCGCCTCCTCATCGAAGGAGAGGTATGTTTGTGTTGGACCGAATCCGGAAAATCCCAAATCGTACCTACTCAAGCCGAGTCGGAATCGAAACCTGAGAAGCTGCGGCACAATAAAGAGGTAGAATAAGACGAGGCCGCCCAGTGACAACAGAAGCGCCGGCAATAAACGTCTCGAGCCGGGTCTTTGTGGTCGATCGCTGCGGCCAAGCCAGGAGCTCAAGCGCAGAGTGGCGGAGGAAGCCCGCATGGACATTGGATCATTGCAGGTCCTCGATCAATGACGGGTGTTTCAGGGGAGGGGGTTAGGGGGGGGAAGAAGTAAGTAGGATGCCGAAGAGATGACAGTTGAGCGGAGCGGGCGTTAGATGGGGATCACTGCCACAGATATATTCTCGACGCCACCCCTTCGATGACCTAAATGGTCTCGCCGACTATCCGGACCAAGCGCTCTCCCCTTGCTGGACCTCCCCGCAAGTACTCCGGAACAGAAATTCTTCACCAGCAACGTGGTGCACCTTCCTCGGCGCGCGTCCTGATTTGGTGGCCCATAGAAGGTTTCCCACCTGCCAAGGTTTAGTGGAGTTCGTCTTTGCGGGATTGCGTACGTGAACTTGTAACTCTTTACCCGGACGGGGTCTATTTGATTATCTGTGGATGTCGTCAACTGAACCACAATTCGAGTTGACCAGTCAAAGTGAGTGGTGGGGTCTCATTTCGCAGAGTCCCCTACCAAGACCCCGGCGGCCGTAGCGCCATCGCCCACGCGTCCTACGTCGCAACCGGGCAAGATGTGGCGTTCCCAGGTGTCCGATGTGGACTCGATGTCTCCAATCTATGGCCAATCATGTCGTCATTCCAGAAGACTCGACCTTGATCAAAAGCGAAGATATCCGTGGATTCAAGTTTCCTTGGCGCGAAAGTGGAAAAAACGAAGTAGAAAAAAAAGAAAAAAAAGACCAATGCTTGAACGATTATCCCTTGGCAAATTACAATAAAAAAACGAATAAAGTTCCAATGATGATCCCTGAAAATCTCTGTTCAATTTTGTGGGAAACAAGGGGAAACTATTGGCTCCACCAACAAAAACTGCCGCTTTTCTATTTTTTTCTTTCTTTTCTTCTCTCAAGGCGGAGGACGGTACGAATACGACTAAACGAACTCCGTATATCAGTCCAATTGATCCATGTCACTTGTGTCATTATCGTGCCATCGAGCGCCATCAATAGACCCGTCACGCTCAATCTATACTCGGGCGGGGAAACTTGATTAGGGCAAGCTCCAGACCAGGATCAATGCCAAGATCTTGTTTTGCGCTGTCATTTCCTGTTCAACTCGGTTAAAACCCTCTAATCCGCTCTAATCCGACCCTTAACTCCGCACGGTGGGATCTCGAGTTTCCAAGACTCGGGGAATTGCAACTGGATTCCCTATCATGTCTATTCCGTAACTCCACATCCGCAGTCCTCCGCAGTATAGCAATATCTAGCGAGACAGAGCCCCGCAGAGTCACGTATCGGTTTTCCCTATTTAGGTGTCTTGCGTGGTTCAGCGCCACATGGCTGTAAAGCCACTGCCACAAGCCTCCTTTTATATTATGGGTGAGCTTAAGTAGTAAGGAGCGCGGAATACTCCGTCTGTGGACGTTATTAATATCTCAGCTGTTGTACTGCCCAGGTGCTGCTTCAACATCCAACCGAGACGACCCCTTTTTCTAGAAGTTCGCTATGTGGGACTAGTGCTTTGAATGGGCCATGTTGATTTGCTAGTTCGAAAAGCTGTCTCTCTTTTGTTCCACAACAGGTTATTTTCGTTAATCTTGCCGACTTGTGGAGCAATTGGGTGGATTTACGGAAATATCACCTCCCTGGAGATCCATAACACTAGTCAAAAATCCCTAGAGATGTTCAAATGTTTGTTTTGATCTGATAGTGTGCCCAAATCCCCCTTAACCAAGCAGCCTCAAGCTTCCAACGCACCAGGAGACGATCAAATCCATCAAAATTCATTGTTCAAACGTTAATGTAAAATGGTACGCATAACGGCCATCGAGAATTTCTTTCAATGTGGGTATAGTGCCATACAATAACAAAAGGCAAGAAAACAACAACAAAGAGTAACGCAGCAAGAAATACAAATAACCCAGCCCAGAATCTTCTCAACTACAACGGCTCAAGAATATTCACAGGAAGAGCAAACCTGTGTTTGACTTTCTCGCCCGCGATCTCAAAGGTTATCTTCCATTTCATAGTGTGGGAATGTTTGATGTTGTATGTCATGAAACTGGGTCGTAGTTGGGCCATCCTCCACGCGTCCCAAACGATCTTTCGGTTTCCAGCCTTCACGCCCCACCCGTGCAAAGATAACTGGAAGATATTGCCGAGGTCTACCGGCATTCTCTTTTCCCCAGTGGTGAGTATCAGTGGTTGCTCAAGATCCGCCAAAGAGCGTTCGAAGTTGATGCTGAGATCTTCGTCGTGTTCATGCGGATGTATCACACCCAAGATGGCGCTCGGGGCCTGGGATTGGGTTTTGAGATGTATTTCAAATTCGAGCTCCACGATGCGAAGATGATGTGCGACATCGTTGATGCTAGCACTGGTTCCAGCGGAGTCTGGGATGATCTCTAGCCGCAATGGCAATGGGGTTGGGTCATCCAAGTGAATGGACGTCGGGACGGTGAAGAGGAGCTCATACCGAAGCCTCGGTACCTTTGACGAGGAGAAAATCTGTTTCGCATGCTGCTTGAACGAGAGTTCTGCATCTTCCATTCCTGGCAGTAGTCGGTAGGTCGAGATCTGCTGTATTTGCTTGAACATTCTCGGCGCACTGATAGGGTCTGGTAACTGGTGACGAAGAGTGATGGGGCAAATGGCTTCGTGGGATTTGTGATGGCCTCCGAACTCATAGTTCATCTCTGCCTTGAGGTAGTACTCAACAAGCTCATATGACCGACCCATGTCGCTGTCGGAGTAGAAGGACCCCGGCAGAAGGCGCTTGGTCGGGTCCGCCGCAGGGTATTCGACACCCATTGGGAGGAAGCTGGACTGCCAATCGTGCCGGCCATGACCGTATGGTTGCATAGCTTGGTGTGGGATATCCACCCTGATCGGCCAGCTCAGCGGAACATCAGCCCCCTCGGCAAGATGCAGGGGTCCTTTGAATACGGTGGTCTCATTGGAAGCAATGAGCTGCCAATCGTCACGATAAATGGATACGGTATTTTGTTCGGGGCCATTTAAATTGTGCTTGGTTATCTTGACCTTGACGCGACCGAAAAAGTATAGTTTTATGGAAGCTTCAGAGGTGACGATTGGCATTCTTCGAACCAAATTGCCGATGATGGTGTCGCCGGGTGAATAGGCCCATTCATACGGTGCTGCAATGTCAAACTTGAAGGCTGGACTTCCAGAGGCCTGATGCGCTGGCATATTGGCTATCGTTGCTAAATAGACCTGTAGTGATGAATTATTTTATGTCTTTTTATTTCAAACGGAGCGCGTCCTTCTTATAATTTCACGAGCCGATGTTCACGGCTCGAAATTTGCACCGCCGAAGCTAACAGCCGCCACGATTGGGCTCAGCCTCACGCTAGCTATAGAAATTTTCCCTGGAGCGTATAAGCCACACCATGAGGTTCTCAAGCTCGATTTAATGGCCCAAGCGAATGGATAATATAATAGCCGCTGGGAATGATGATGAATTGGTACAAAATTATGTAAATGCCGAATGACCTCGGGAGTTTCCGTATTTTGTCGATCTGGGGTTGCGATTGGCTCCGATCGGCATTGAAAGCTTGGCCGACATGTTGATAGGCACAATATGCCATATATACGGGCAAAACTGTACATACTTCTGAGTGGCTCATCGAGTGCCAGCTTCGTCTAGTGAGCAGCCAGCAGTGAACAGTGAAGGTGCTGCTGGCTTTCGCCAATTTTAGCAAGAAAGAGAGGCATTTTCCAGTTCGGCAACATAGACTTCGTATTGCTTTACAGCTCACATGTAATCTTCCTCTGAAAAATCATCAAAAATCCAGTTTGCTTGAACAATTGCCTTATCCTCGTCTGTTTCAGCCACTTCAAGTGCAGCCGCTTTTAACTTCCTTTCGCATCCCCTCGCATGATCATACTGACCAACAGGCACCCATCCCTCGCTTCCAACCCCGATTACTTCCTGGGCAGCCTGGAGTTGCTCATCGGCTTCTGATTGTTCTTGTTCCATTCGGAGACATTCGAGCGACTCTTCATCTGAATATTGAAGCGGGCAAGGTGCTGTCTTTTCACAGTCCAGCTCTCTCCACTTCTTCGATAGCGTTACCAAGTCGGCTTTCAGAGTGACATTGTCACCTTCCCAAGGTTCGCTTGCATGGTAGAAAAGCCGTCGCCTCACCGTGTTCAAATAATCGGTCAAGGCTTCGTAATGCTCACTGTTCATTTTTGAAGTCAATTCAAAGTACACGTGATGCAGCTGGCGTCGGCGATAGATATCAGCCTGTCGGTATTGTTCCATCTCCTCCAACTCATCAAAGTTATCAGGCAAAGAAGGTGTCTGCAGCGATTCTGAGATCGCGTCACCGTAATTCTGAAGACTTTTGGGAATTCCGCATTGCAAAAACAGTGGAAGAACCGTACTATGCTGCCAGTCGATCAAACCACATATTTCCAGGTCATCGGAAACAAAGATGTTGTTGGGTTGAAGATCAGGATGCCGTATTACTGGACGGTGGAGCTCCGGTACTTTGTGCGGTATAAGGTGAGGTGCAATTTGAAGATAGTTTTCTAGTGTAGTAATGTGCTCCCGGTGCGATTGAGGTTTGTAGTCATAGGCCTCTCTTCAAAGTCGCTGAAAAGGCTGCATGTCATGGCCGAATCTATTGAGATACGCAATTTCCTTTTTGGCACCAGCAGTCAATGCTGATGGACAGTCTCCATCTCCAGAGGTTGTTAGCTGCCAAAGTTGTCCTTATTGAGAATGAACGAAATGAAACTTACGTGGCCCACGATCGACCGACAACATATTTCTCCTTCCAAACCACATTTCAAGCGAGGTTGCAGGGCCAATACAAAAGTTATCGCCTTTCTTCGTGTCATTATTTGAGTGATGGCTTGGCAACATGACTCGACGATTTTCTTTTGGCAAGTCATGGCAGTAATAAATACTCCCAGATGCTGGAAACCGTAATGCAAATATTTGAGACTCCAGCTGCACGAGACTTGTCGTCAATTTTGTTCTTTGTCTTTCTGTCAACGTGAACCAGACATCACCAAGGTTTGTTCCCTGAACAAATTCCATGAAAATGTATTCTGTACCGGCAGAGTTGCTGTCAGTCGTAGAATAGCCGAATATTTTGGGAACTGGTATGCCGTGTGATCGGAGGAAATCCGTCGTGGCCACTTCACTTGCAATTACTAGAGATTTTGGTTCTGTGACCGGATAGGGGATACGTGCGACAACTCTCATGCCGTTCCGCATGGTGACCAGGAAACATCGATTGAATCCCCCTTCGGCGAGTTTCTCAAAGCCAGTAACGTCATCTTCCCGCTGTTGCACAGACAGTGCGACCAAGCGGTTGAGTTCAGGAACATTAAAAGCACGTCTTCTCTCGCGAAGACGAAGTGATTCATTATACCTAGATTCCCGATTAGTGAAATAGTTCAGGGTTGAGGAGAAGCTTGAGATCGGCTAACATCCATCGCCCCGATGTATATTCAAAGAGCTCATCATAAGCAGGCCTTGTAGGGCCTGTTGAAAGTTGGCATACTGAAGCGGCTCGATGAAAGGTCGACTTGAGAGAGAAAGAACTGCACTTTAGCAAACCACTTGAAAGTGACTGTTTGGCCACTAGTCTCATCGTGAAAAAAAAATAGACGAGACGGAATGGAAAAGAAAATAGACTGAAATGCATCATAGTGATATGTTTTGAGTCGCGTCCCGTGGAATTTAGGCAGGTAATCAACAATGATAACGTAATTCTCAGGAACACCCCAAAGCACCGTTAAATGCGATTTCTCAGGTTATATTAACAACAGAACCTTGGTTCTGCTTTATTTTTGATAAGTGTTAAACTTCTTAGCATTGCAAATCACATACGTACCAGGTTGGTTGTCAAGGGTGAGCCACCGCCCCACACGGCGCTCAGCACACCTCAAGGGCCAAGGCCCCGGAGCTTCGAAGGTGTGCACTGTGGACCATTTATACGTGCTATGCGCAAGATTTTTCGCGCATACGCTTACAATCCACATGCATGTGGCGGTCAGCACTCCCACCTCAAGGGCCAAGGCCCCGCTGGGCGGAGCTTTGAAAATGTATAATATGAACCATTTATATGAGATACGCGCAATATTTTTTGCGCATAGCCTTATAACCCATACAGTACTCAGCACACCCTAAGGCCACAGTCATCCATTACAGCCAGGCTGAGTATGATGATACCTTAAAGACTCCACATTTTCCCTTAAATAAAGTAACAATGTTTTTCCAATACATCTTTCCAATGATAGTGGTAAAAAGCGCAAACTTTGACTCATTAGAAAAAAACTCCTTGGAAAACGCTCAGTTCGAAAATTTCAGTGCTTAGTATGGATGTAGTACTGCCATGAGTCCTTTTCAACATGATCATTGTCATTTCAAGGCCTCACACAAGACTGATCCATGGATGCGATATAGTTGTATCTATCAGCCATTAGGCCTTCCTTCTATTGTGATTACTTCTTTCCAATAAACCCGAGTGCCATTGAAGGTTTAAATTTCTAATGTAAAATCCAGTCCACAATTAATAGTTCAAAGCCATTGGCCGAACTAGTAGAAAAGGCCCAGAAGTCACGGGAAACAAGTGGAGTCAATTGTCTCAAACATTTGAACTCATTTTTGCGCTTGCGTGTAATACGCCCTGGAACCTACTCTATGCACATTTAGTGAGTTAAATTCTAGACAATAAAGACACTGCTTTTTTAAACCATTCTTTTTTCCTAGCTCATCAACCACTTAGCGTTTCCAAGTTGGCGGACATTTCCAGATACATACGTTTGGACCCCCTGCACGCGTTCTTCCAAAGGTCGGACTGGCGGCGCCACCCGGAATTCCATGATTGTTCCAAGTGGATCACAAATGCATACAATAATCTACGGAAACACGGAATTCACTGTCCATATCGAGCTCCGAGCATTGGTCGAGACTTGGCCAAGCCCGCCACACAGACACGGCAACGCACGGAGCTGCTTTTACCCCTTATGTAGCGAAACCGACCAGAAACGGGGACTCAGACCCCAGAACGATATGGCCTAAGAGTCAAGACTAAGAGTAGGAGAGGAGTGAGAGTGGAGGGACTCCAGTTAATACCCGCTTCCTTCGCAAAAAGACACGCAGTACACGAACTAAGAAATGAAAAACCGGGAAATGCGTCATAGCGCAAGGATCAATTTAAGGAAAAACGATATGCTGATCGTCTGCTTTAAACTCCACCCGGAGAAACGCCGCCCACACTTCCTCTCGTGCTGATTGGCTCCGGCCCCGTTTCTTCATGACCCCCTTGGATCTCTTTTCGATCTCCAATTTTTTTTTTTGGGATTTCGGGGGAAGTGGGTTTGGGTTAGGAATTTGGGTTTTTCGTTTCTGCTTTTCTCATCTTTACTCACGCAAAGATGTCTGCCGACAAGGAGCTTAGAGCCCATGAGGCTGCTCTTGATTCTACCGATCAAGATGATTGGGATATGCAGCGCCTGGGTAAGGCCCAGCAGTTGAAGGTATGTCGGACACTATTGCGGGGGAGGGGGAGTGGGCGCATTTAGAGCGTGTAAGCTGATTAGCTTGCCATAGCGAAATTTCCGATTCTATTCCATCCTGGGCTTCACGACTACCTTGATGGCTACGTGGGAGTCGATCTTGCTGTGAGTAGAAGGATACGGATGCTGGCGCGGCGCGCCTCGGATCGCTTCGGGTATACTGACTTTCCCCCTGCTAGGACGAGTACATATGGCCTGACTGATGGCGGTCGCGCCGGCATGGTCTATGTCTATATTGGCTCATTTGTGGGGTTCTTTGCGGCTGTTATTTCCATGGCAGAGATCGCTTCAGTGTATGTGTTCCAAATTGTTGCCATTGGTGGCGTTGAGAATCCCCTTGACAGTTTATTCTGACTATTCTTGCAGCTCGCCAACATCCGCTGGACAATACCACTGGGTCAGCGAATTCGGCCCCCCAAGAGCGCAGCGCTTTATGAGCTACCTGACCGGATGGCTGTCAGTACTGGGTTGGCAAGCTGCATTTGCCAGTATCTGCTTCCTGTGCGGCACGCTGATCCAGGGACTTCTTGTCTTCAATTACTCGGGCGACACCGGCTATGTATACGACTACCACCGCTGGCACGGAACTCTTCTAACTATTGCCATCGCCGCGATCGGAACCCTCGTCAACACATACGGTGCCAAGTTCCTGCCTTCCCTCGAAGTCGTCATCTTAGGCCTTCATCTCGGCGGCTTTGTCGCCGTGCTCGCGACAATGTGGGGAATGTCGTCCGACGTAGCTCCTAGCGAGGTCGTCTGGAAAGAGTTCACAAACTCCGGCGGATGGTCTAGCATGGGCTTGGCCTGTCTCGTGGGCCAGTTGACTCCCATCTTCTCGTGGACCGGGCCCGATGCCGCAACCCACATGGCCGAGGAAGTGCAAAACGCTGCCTTTGTCATCCCCTGGTGCATGGTTTCCACGGCTTTGATCAACGGTGGCCTGGGCTTCGTCATCTTGGTCACACTCCTGTACACAATGGGACCCCTAGCCGACGTCCTTAATCCGGCGAGCGGCTTCTCGTTCATTCCCGCTGTTCAGCATGCCACCGGCTCCATGGCAGCTACCAACGGTGTCGCGGCGATTATCCTCGTCATGGAGGTTTGCAGCGCAATCAGTATTCTCGCCACTGCCTCCAGACAGACCTTCGCTTTTGCCCGCGACAACGCCCTGCCCTTTTCCAAGGCCCTGTCTCACGTCAACAGTCGGACTCAGGTTCCTGTCACGTCTGTCTTGGTTTCCACCATCATTACCGTCTTGCTAAGCTTGATTAATATTGGGTCTACGGCCGCATTCAACGCTATCGCATCCGTCATGATCGCTGCCCTGTTCACAACTTACATTCTTTCTATCGCGGCTTTTATTCGAGCCCGTCGCCTTCCGGGCGGAATCCCTCCATCGCGCTTTTCGCTTGGCCGCCTTGGAATGCCCATCAATATTTTTGCAGTTGCCTGGCTCTGCTTTTCGGTCATTTTCACTTTCTTCCCTACCGCCAGTAACCCGAGCCCTGTCGATATGAACTGGTCCATCTTGGTCTTTGGCGTCGTCATCATCTTCGCTGTTGTGCAATATCTCGTTCACGGCAGCCGCATTTACGAAGCGCCCGTCACACAAGTGCGCAAGAACAATTAGGCGATCTGCGTTGCACAGATTCCTTTATTGTTTTGTCTCTTTTTCTTTCATTTCAACCCCACTCGATCCTTCTTTCTTTATATAAGATGGGCTGGCCCATCATTCTGACACCCTTACACTATATTCATCACTTAATTGGCAGCATTAGACATGGCCATAAACACAGTACATAGCACAAATTTTCATTACCCTTATGCGGCGGCCGATACCCGCCACCCTACTGCCATAACCCAGTTTCAACTTTCCGACCAGCAGAAAGTAAATTACGAGTAATTCCAAATTCATATTTGTATTTGAACTCCATTATATACAGCGCTGCATTATATATGGAATCCTTAAACTCCATTATACGTTGACTCCCTGTACTTCCTTCTATTTTGAATACTTGAACTCCATTCTCAAGTCCCTTCTCAAGTCTATTCTCAAGTCTATTCTCAAGTCTATTCTCAAGTCTCTTCTCAAGTCTTTTCTAAAAGTAACCCATGTTTAGATCAAATTCCTTAAGACATTCCTATATATAATAAATACAATACCGGCAAGAAACAGGGCGTAAAGCTAGAAATCCAAATTGGGTTATGGCAGTAGGGTGGCGGGTATCGGCCGCCGTAACCCTTAGAACTGAATTATTTCTCCCAAGCAATGCCGCGCTTAATTAAGATAATTCGTCGCCAAGTTCAAAATATCCCCTAAACCTTCCGTATAATCAAGCCCAAGCGGGGACATCATACCCACTCCAGATATTACACCAGGCTCAACACTTGTGATCTCAGACCAGTGTCTATGATCTCTTGCCCTGGCAGTAGGTGGGACTTGCAAAAATGATGTGGATCGGCCCGATATACTCGCACGGTCATGCTGATAAAAAGCCCGGATGATGCCCGAGATATCAAGCCCATTCTCACGCAAAGGAGAACGCCGGGAATCAGCAGACGCGCGCAATTCAGGAATAAGATATTTCCCGTGGCTGCGCAGCTGATCAGCCTCGAGCATCGCCCTTAGCAGCGAAACGCCCCGCTGAGCAATCATGTCCGATTCACAATGGGATAATATTTCAATCCCGTCCTCGATTAGTTGTCGGTGCTCCGACGATTGCCGATCTGCTGCAGATTGATGGAACATATCCAAGCACAAAATAATCTGCTTGAACCATTAGTCAACGTAAAGGAAGTAAATAACTAGCAGCTATGGACTTTGGACTGCAGTTCAGTTCAGATTTTCATTACTCACACTTGCCGTAACGCTGAAAGCCTGATGTATCCACAGTACAGGCCCGCCGCTACGAGTAGCTTCTTTCTGCTCTTTGATTATCGTCCGCGACGCAGCCACACAAGTCTTCCGCGTGAACGCAAACATCGGGTTAGAAAAGCTGAGACTCAAGAACTTCCGGTGGATCATGATGACCTTGTGCGCCGAGCTAATCGCTAGGCTTTTCCGCGCCCACGGGACATAGCACGGCCAGCCAGACTCCAGCGGAACATTCTGCAGGTATCGAGGGAGATGTTGAGTGGCAAGCGTGCGCAGACGCCGATCATATTTCAACACCTCTTCATAGCGCGTATAAAGCGTGTTACACGAAACACAATCATCCTGCAGACCAGGCATCAGAGCCGCGATGTCGTAGAAGAGACGCGAGTAACTTGTGACTGAGGGCTGATCATCCGACAGAATTTCCATCTCCTCGTCGCAGTTCTGGGGCTTTGTCGTGCTAAACCCCAACCGGTGAATCAGGTAGCTCTCCGTAAATGGAATTGAGAACCAGTCCTGAATGCAGAGCTGACACCAGACCCTCCGACCGATCTCCCGCTCCACAAGACCGACCGGAGACGCATCACTAGCCTCGTCTAGCTGGTGTAAACCGAGGCCCTGTGCGATCCGCACAGCGGAGGCTAGTAGCACCGAAAACCCATTCGAGTGGCCGAGCATATGCGCCGAGATCGTGAGCGTCGCGATCGCCTCGACGGCGTAGATAGAATGAGAGGCCATGTAGTCTGCCTGATGCAGACACGCCACCGTCGCTTTCAACCAGCGCTTCGACAAAGTGTCTTTCTCCCGGTCCCGAAAGCCCCAGGACTGCGAAACGTGCCTCGGCGCACAGGCCATTGAGCCTGTCAGAATAGCGAAGAGAAGCGCGATCCACTGCAGCCGAATCCCAGCGCCTTGGATCTGGCCCTGATCCTGCTCGTAGAAAAGATCCAGCTCCGCCAGAAACGTATTCGCGTGGAAGGACCCGTGATACCACAGCAGGGCGTCGCAGTGATACCGGACAAGCTGGTAGACTTTTATCTTGCTCGGAAGTAAGGCCTGGCAGAGAGCGGATGCAGATAGCCCCGACATACCTGCATCCTCCAATTCGTCTTCAGCGGCCACATCGCCGGGCGAGTGGTCAAGGTTATTCTGTCTTGCGATCTCATCTTGATAGGTGGGGTCCTTGCGCCGGCCCCAGGCTAGGAACTCGAGTATTGTTGCCGCGTCTTCGATTTCGCGCGGCGTATTGCTGTCGACATTGGTGTTGGAATTGCGGACAGAGAAAGGTGAATGTATTGACTCGGCCGGCGAAACGGAATCGTGATTGGCTGGTGGGTCGGGCCTTGGGATTTGCGAGCGCAAGGCAGCTTCGTTGGACTCGTTCAGGGCTGCTTCCAATTCACGCACTCTGGATTGAAGTGTTTCGATCGTTGCGGCGGTATCTGGCCTCGGCCGGGACAGGATATGCCGTTCGGATTGAGTTGTGCTGGGGTTCGGGGAACTCCGCTCCCGCGGCCGAGTGCAAGTTGTTCCTTTTCTGGTGCAGTTGCGACATGGGAGAATCTTGTCGCACTTTACTTTGCGTCTTGTGCATTCGACGCATGCTAGGCGCTGTCGGTTAATTCCGGTGATCATCATTGGAAAAGTAGATGTTTAAGTGAGAGTTCAATGTTGTGTAACTTCAAGCTGTTATCTATGATAGAAAAGGGCGGCCAATTAATCCTCGGCATTACGAAACAACGGATTTCCTTATCTGGGGTTTGAAATAGCGACAATGAACCTCATTTGCCTGTTAATATCTTCATTTAGTACCGTATTACAGTTAAATCACTCGTGAAGAGGTACAGTGAAGCTTCATTTGAGAAGCAACCTATTCGACTCTATTGCTCGGTCATGTGACCTCTGTAGTATGTACTGTGACTCGTGAGTCTCGCAGCAGTCTCACTCTACCATCTCACTCTAGATAGTTCTTCTTCTTTCTCTTCTTCTTTCTTCCTTGCAGCTCCCAACAAACAAATTGGGCTCCCCCTCTCTCATATTAGAGCTGTTCTATTACCTATCTTTACCAATATCGCTTTGATTCATCCGCGACCACCGAAGGAGCTGTGGTTAACTCAAAGACATTTCCCAAACCGAGACCTGACAGTTATGAGTGCGCAAACAATAGCATGGCGCACCTTGAGTCATTTCACAAGAGCGTTCAGTCTCCCTTCGGATGATGATGTTCAACAGTGAAGGAAGGGTAAATACGACCACCGAATGAGCTGCGATTAACTCAGAGACATGCTTCAACCCGAAGTCGACGGTTATGAATTGACCAACCACGATATGGACCACATTTAGCATTCCACAAGAGCGTTCGGTCTCCTTTCTGGATTTTCGACAGTGAAGGGTGCGTCAACTTCGAGGGAGAACGAGTGTTGTTCCGATGCAGACAAGGCGATTCAACCCACGTTACGGTTCAGTCTCGCAAAATTGCACTGTTTATAATGGCCGAAATCATGTTCGAATCACGAATAGCAATTGGCGAACTCAAAGTACAATGAAGAAGGCCCACGACGACCCACCCAAGAGCGTGGAAATCACAGTGCCAGACAAGGATCCAGAAGGTATCCTGAAGGAAAACAGTGGACGCAATACTTGGCTGATGCAAGCGACCAGTCCTCAGTGGACAACAGGTCCGAATCGGAGCCGGTAGCTTCGACTTATTAAGGGACTTGAGAGGGGATTATATCGCTAGGATTTATGCCTACTGCTTTCGTCACGCGCCTTTAGATTAAACCCCTTTACAATGCATACTTTCAATTTTCGCATCGGCTTTATCTTTGTTAGTGCGTAGGAGCCAAGAAAAGGAAAAAGGGGGGAAGTAAGGCTAGGGGAAAGAGGAAGGAGGAAGGAATTAAGATGAAGAGTGGAGATGTGCCGATGTGTAGATGGGTACTATATGTAGATGGGGGAAGGAGGGAGAAACAGGAGGGAAAGGACCGAAAGGTGAAGATAAGAAGTACGTAGTACGTACTATCTTAGGCATGAAGGTTTGGTGATGGGCTGATGGGAAACATGGAAAATGATTGCTACCACGCCACGCGCTGGTAGTACCACACCGGCAGTAAGAGGCGGTGAGAAGACGTCGACGACGTTTTAGAGCAACGCGCGCTTTTAGGAGGGGTTTTTGAGCCGAGGTCCGCACGCGAGATTTCTGTTGTGGTCGTAAGATAAACAATTTACGTGTCATTAGACCCCACTTGATTAATTGTACAACTCGATTAATTAATTGTAGAATTCGATTAATGATATTAACTTTTATTCACAAAGTCGTTGGAAATGTTGCAGATTGAACTCTGTGTACATTCAATGTGGTAATTTGTACTACACTTTCTGCACCAATTGATGCAAGTCTGCCCGATGTGTTTTCCGCAGCTCGGCCGACGTCCTCGGCCGAGGTCACTGATAGTGAACAATATTGATTGAATAATGCAGCCATTGATTTCTAGTCTACCGATCTATATCACATCCCTCTTATAAATAAGCGACCAAGACGCCTGACCTTTCAAATATTTAAGTTCATCAAAAATTTCGTCCAAAACCCTGTATCACGTCAATAATCCCAACATGGCCCAAACAAGATATATCGACCGTCCCATTCCGCAAATCTCCCTGCACGACTTCGACAATCGCATCGACCAAATCACTCAAGAGCTAGTCGATGCAGCCGAGAATGTGGGATTCTTTACCCTAATCGACCACGGCCTTTCCAACCAAGATATCGAATCGATGTTCGCAACATCCAAAAGCTTTTTCGAGCTCCCAGACGAGACAAAAAAGACTGTACCCTGGAACGTCAACAATGTGGGATGGGAAAAGAACTCACAAATCCGACCATCGACCGGAAAACCCGACAGCAAAGAATCCTACCAGTTGCAATACGGCGACAACATGGCGGGCCTATGGGTCGCAGACGAGCATCTGGCAGGCTTCCGCACTACCTCCCTACACTTCATGCACCGCGTGCAAGGGATCTCCGAAAAACTAATGACATGTTTCGCGCGCGGCCTGGGTTTTCCCGACGACTTTTTCATTAAATGCCACGACGTCGTACGGCCAGATTCTCAGACCACCATGCGACTACTTCATTACTTTGCGCTGCCGGAGGAAGCGGACGGCAAAGTCTATCATCGCGCTGGGGCACATGCTGACTGGGACTTTTTGACTTTGCTCTTCCAGAAGGAGGGGCAGAGTGGGCTGGAGATTTGTCCGGGGCGCGAGTCGGTCACGCAGTTTGGGATTGGGGACGAGTGGACTAAGGTGGAGGCGAAGACGGGGGAGATTGTGTGCAATATTGGGGACTTACTCATGTCTTGGTCGGATGATCGGTTCAAATCCACTTTTCATCGCGTCAAGGCGCCGTGTGAGCCGGGCGATTATTTTGGGGATAGGTACAGCATTGCATACTTTAACCAGCCTTGCAAGGATGCGTTGATCCAGGGGCCTGTGAAGAAGTATCCAATGGTGACCGGGGCTCAGTTTACCGAGAGCGCGATGAAGAGGAATTTTGCGGCATTGCAGGAGAAGTTGCAGGCGGTCGCTGCGGTGTAATTGGAAGGCGCTGTCGCTTTCGGTTGTTTTTTGTTTTGTTTCTGCCATCCACGGTTTTTCGTTTTGGGAATTGTTCGCGTAGGGGTTCATCTGGGCACTAGTCAGGGATATATTTTTGCTTCAATTTTTTTTTGAAGCTGTGATAAACCCTCGGGAGCGGTAATTTGTGGACCTGAAATCCTCATCAAGTAGGTATAGAGATGAAATGAATATGATACTCGTTATAAGTTTCCAAAGTCCCACCATGTGGAAAATCCGTCAATATTACCGAACGTTGATTCCGACTCGGGATACCCGAGAGTCTCCATGTCAACAAATTGTGAAGGGTCAGCCCAAAGCCAAGGAGTGTTAGCCATCAAGCTGTCAGCGGGGGCAACGAGTTTATCACCAAGTGCGGCAGTCGGGGAATTGGGCGCTGAAACAGCGATCCGGGGCATCTTAGGGGGTACATGGGCGGCCGAGCCACCATCGGTTGTGTTGACTGTAATGTCAGGAGACATAGCCACAATAACTTCAACGGTGGAAGCTGAATTTTCCTTGTCTTGTTCGAAAATGACAGGCATCAGAGAGGGGTGGAGCAGCCCAGCTGATGGGTTCTCATCAGATGTCGGTAAACAGCTGATTTGTAGCACGTCCCACATAAGAGGAATGCTGAGATGGATTTTTGAGGGTTCCCAGTCAAAGTCCACCTTCTCAGAGCCAGAGGCAATGCGTGTCATTTTATCTAGTGTTCGGTCCTTGGTGTAAAATGTCAGTGGGAAGGCTTCCTTTCGGGCTGGAGATCTACATACCAGAGCTTCGCATGCAGGAGAAAATGGAACGAAGCTTTTCAAGAATCTCCTGCATTTCGAAAAGTCGGTCTTGGACTTATACTTTAACCTTGGATCGGCAGCACAACAGAAATAAAGATGCACCGTTGCAGCAATTGCAGCAGCATGTCCAAAGAAAGGATCGATTAATCGCATTTTCTTGTCGGTGACCATATCAATCATGCGGACGATCCAGGTGGCATGAAGCATAACCACTTCCGAAGATCGTCGCCAAAATGTGTTTGGAATCGTCAACTTGTGGTTGTATTGAGAAGCAACAATATAAAGGAAAGGGTGGTTCAAAACTGTCAGAATAGTGTGGTAGGTAAACTGCAGTTTGAGCCAAGAGGCCCAGTAGTCTCTGTTTCCTCGTAGCTCATCTGGGCGACGTTCGTAAAACTTGACTGAATCGTATCGGTGACAAAGGGACAATTTATTTTCCAGCTCGGTAAGATCAGAAAGCACCATCGCGTACATTGAGTCATGCCGCCAAGGCTCTGTCAGCTTGCTTTGTGCACAGTCAAAGACATAGCTTCTGACTCGATTCCATACCCATCCAAAATGGAGAGCGAGATTCCAAATTCCAATGTCAGATATACTGGTGCAGCCAAGCGTATCATTGGGGAGGGGCGGAGGATGGTGCTCGGGCTTCTCAAGAAGCTCGTCGCTACCCGTTGAAAGATAAAACGAGCGTAATACCTCGGCCTGAACACTTAGTATCCCACCTATTTGTCCATAAGTCTGCTCAAGCGACTGAAGACTCCAGAAGAGCCTCTTCTTTCGCTCAGCAGATGGGCACTGAATGCCGTATGTAGAATTTAGGTCCAGCATTGCAGAGCGGCAGAGCTGGAGAGCGAGACCTAGATGAAATCGTCCAAGTGGCCCATCTCCATCTAGGAATATAGTCAGCTTACTCCGGTCTTTCTCTAGACATGGAACAATCATACCAAGAAAGGAGGAATAGGACAAAAGACACAAGCTTTCGATCGTTTCGAGCTCGATAGTTCCATTCGCAATACGAAGCATCACCAGGGTCCGTGCGGTATCCCCATATTGTTGTATCTCTTCACGGTCTTGGGAGAATCGTGAGGTCAATGTTATGATGCTGCAGACTAGTTCTTCGGAGAGATAACTGGGGTCCTTTACTTCTTCTCGCTCGAAGCACCATATCGGTTGTCGATGGCAGTATTGGAAATAGAGTTCGATTGCCCGGGAAACTCGAGAGGGGGTAGCTTTCGTGTCGTCGTAGCCAAGTCCGAAGAAAGGCTCATTCAAATTGCCACTGAACTCATTCGAGGATGGACCTGAAGAAGCTGAGTAACTTAAGTCTTGATTATCTTGCTGTTGAGGTTTGTTCTGGTCGGGCGGACTGGTTCTTCAAGTTAAGATGTAACCGTTAGCATTTGAAAACACTCGTTCTTGACTCTGAGTTTTCTCCTACCCTTTGCCGCTAAGAATAAGATTGACCTTCTCTTCAAGATATGCTAGCCGGTCGGCCTGAATGCAATCAGCTTTTGAGACGCAGGAAAATAAAGAAAGCGCATCATACAGATGGGCCGCCACGCGAGCCTTTGGTGGTAGTAGTGTAGAGACATGGTTGATTCAGTCGCACGCAACTTGAGCAAGATGGCTTTTCCGCTGGGCATCTCGTTTTCTTTCTCCTAAAAGCCAGCCAGTTAGAATATGAAGGAAAAAAGCAAAACATTTGGCATATGCGACTTGCCTGCAATTGAGACAAGCCTCGTGAGACCGCAATCTACCCCGATTGCCGTCCCGTGGCATTGTATAACGCGATAATGGAAGATAAGAATCTAGGAAAGGAGATGTGTTGACAGAGATAAATTAATGATATGTTCAAATTGACTAGAGAATGAAATAAAAAAGGCAGCTTGCAGTCTGCAGTAGGGGTGTACGAAGGTTATGACGAGGGCGATCATCGGTGCGGGGAAGAACACGGATGGGAAAAGCGGAAAACGAGATATTCTAGATGGTCTATTTCGGGTCTAGTTTTAGTCTTTGCCTTGTCACTGGAAAAGGTCTGTGTACATAACGCTAATTTTACCAATGTAACTTAAGCCTCTCAAAGGGGCAAATGTATCCCGCAATGAAATACATCCTGGTCGCAGATCCACAACGGTTTAAAGAACGAGTACCAACATTGAATGGTGTTCCCCGCATATCTGCAGTGGCCGAATGAAATCATTCGTAATCACCGGCAATTTGCTCTCTTTTATCTTGAGCCCGAGTGTACCAATAACACTATCTGACAGTGTTTCCCAATCCAGCAGGTTGATTGAGGTTTTTTCCAAATTCCAATTTCGCCGTCAAAGATAACTTAGATAAGGCTCCCCCCGCAGCCCCGCAGTCCCTCTGGGAAAATCGACTTAACATTGGAAGAAATCGGTCTTTTCAATCTTGATAGCAGATCTTGGCTAGGAAAGGGAACATTTGAAAGATTCCAATAAACCTTAGATAAAGAATTTCGTCATCAGTATTCTTGAAATGTTAGAAGACTCGTCTCAAAAATGAGACGTGTAGATAAGCTAAACATAGAATAAAAAAACATTTCACATGATTCGTAAAAAAAAATAAAGATAAAAAAAATAACCCACTGCGCTAAAATCACCATGCTCATGATCAATGACAAACAAACTCAGTAAGCAAGCGCCTGATTGCCAGCTGTCTGGCATCCTCCCCCACAGCACCCACTGGCCTGTGTAGAGCAATCAGCCCCCTGCTTCTGAGTGGTCAAATTGGTGCAGAAATCCATGTCCTCCTGACTGGTGGTAGCAGTCGCAGGAAGAGCCTGTCGGGATGGCCAAACTTCCCGACCAATACCTTCCTCGCGTTTATGGAAATCAACGACAATGTCTCGGATAACACTCTGGAAATAGAGGGGTCCCTTCTCCAGTTTTGGGTGAAGTTCTCCATTGACAAAGACGCCGTTATTCAAGTTGGCCTGGGCTCGTGTGCAGAGTTCCTTATCTTCGGCCATGATCCGCTTGAACATCTGATTGACGTGGTCGAATTCCTCGTCGCTTGCGTCCTTGTGACGGTACACTTCATAGCGCATAACACAGCTAGTTGGTGTAGTGGGAACGAAGCGTTGCATAAAGAAGAAATGTGGCCTGGTAAGATTATTTAGCAAAACCATTCCGCGTATGTCAATTATGGGTTTTTATCAAAAAAGGGAACACTCACGAGACAGTCATGGACGCATTGGGGAAGTAGTAGGTGCTGCAAATATTCATGCCTTTTGCGAGCTGCTCCTCCGTTGCGCCGGGGTGGTGGATTATGCTTGCGTTCTTCGTATCAACGTCGTAGGCCTCGAGAGTAGCCACCGAGGGAACATCAGGATGAGCCGTTTGGCAGTGATAGCATTCATTATAGTTGTCGGCGAGAACCTTCCAGTTATAGTCGCCATTCATCTCCCAGGTGTGGTCAAATTGGTATTCACTGAAATCAAAGTCTTGGAACCGCGGCTGCAAGTCAATACCCTTGAAGTCCTCCTCCCATGAGATCTCCGGCTTCTCGGCGCTATCAAGATTGACCCAAATAAACCCGTTTCCATCCACATGAACGTGGATAGTGAACAGTCCATTCTGCGATTTATCGAACCCCTCCAGCTCCTGGTAGCCGGGCGCTTTGGCGAGTTTTCCGTTCAAGCCATACGACCAGCCGTGATATTTGCAGGCAAAAATTCGAGTGGTTCCGCTATCTGCGTCATCAGCGACGACGGGAAATGCGCGATGACGGCAGACGTTGTGGAATGCGTTGATATTGCCGTCGCGGTCGCGCACAATGATAAATGGGAATCCGGCGATGTCGTATTTCAAGTAGTCGCCCGTCTTGGCGAGACGTAGTTTGTGTGTGGTCAAGAGCCATTTTCTGGAGAACACTGCTCGTCGTTCAAGCTCATACATCTCTTTGGAAGTGTACCAATTGGCTGGGAGAGCTCTGGCAGGTGAGGTTTCCTGTGGAACCCTTTCCCCCGCGGGGTCGGTGAACCCCATGTAGCTCTTCAGCATTGATGTCATGTTATGTCGCGAGAAGGTCGTTTTGGAATTATTGATCTTGAATCATCGATCTTGGTGATGAGAAGGGGGCAACCATATATACTTAGTACCGGCTTGGCATTTCTGATTGGTGTTGTTGGGGCCCACGGGTAGAAGCCGGTCCCGGTCCAGTGATCGGCTCCAGTATCTGGCCCCCGATGTCAAACCATCGAATCAGCATTGCGGGGCTTGTAAATCGCAAACACTGATAACACGGCGAGCGGATTTTGCACCCGGTTGTTTCTAACATATCGCCCGCTTTATCGGTTCGTATACCGTGTTTCTTCCATCTTCAGTAACGAACAAGAAGCTTTGTCCCCCTGGACTTTTAAGGCGCGAAGTGACAAGCTATCTCTGCACGAATATTCGAAACCAAACTTAATGCAGTCGTAGACCTAAGCCACCAATGGGAAGAGAGTTGTGGGAACAGCGGATTGAGATTCTCAACTTGACAATGTAAATTAAACATTATGCAAACGGTCAACAAAACATCAGTTCCCACTCCATCATCCAGAATAATTTTCCATGGCACGCATGTGTTCCCACTTGCTTCATCCGCATATCTTTCATATCGTTCATTCCGTTAACGCCGTTGTAAAAATGGAATTGATGTCGAAATCACTCCTAGTTGCTAGCATCGGCAAGGCCCTTCAGGAGTGCCTTGGCCTCCTCGGCATCGACGGGATCGGTGGGCTTAAGGCCGAAGGCGAGCATGAACTGGGTCCAGCCACCGTAGGACTTGACAACGGTGCGCTCGGCCTCAGTCAGAGGCGGCTCTGTCAAAATTACTAATTAGTACCACATGTCACGGTTATAAGTTACCGATTCCCCGCGAAAAGTAAACTCACGAAGGCCGTCAGTAGCAGGCATATTGCTGGTATTTTTGGGAGGGGCAAACTGTAAAATTGATTTGCAAATCGAGACAGCGATCAGGACCGAGTTGGTGGTGAATCGTAATGACAGGGGTGGGGAATCGAGATGGAAATGTGGAGAAGGTGGAATTGTGGAGAAGGGTTGGATTTGGGAAAGTGAGACTGAGAGAAAGGTGTTTGTCTGTAGAAGTGGTCCGTGCGTCAATATTGATCGCTCGCTTTGAATGTGCCATCGCCAACAAGTTACTAATGACACAGCACGTTTATTTCAATTTCATGCTCTTTGAATATCAATTAATACCAGTCTACCGAAAAAAGATGCAAAAACAAGAAGTTGTAGGGGATTGGGTGGCTTAGTTCTAAGCAGCAAGTCTTCTAAGTACGAGTATACATCGAAGATCCGATTAAGCAAATTGACCATAATTAACCAATTTCAAAACCGACTACTTCAAATACTAGTATTCACAGGTGGCACCTGAAATACCAGTGTATTTGTCTTTCTAGTTTCGTGTCGATGTGATTATGTGGCGTACCACATGACTTGACCCCCGCACGGCTTCGCGTCAGGTGCCAATCCCCGATCACATGAGCCGTTGCTCGTACAAACTCCGTGAAATCGAACTTAGAACCTACGTCAATAGTAGTCTGGTGGTCGGGAAGTTCGGTCTACCTTACGATTATCTGCTTGAGCTTGAAAATTTCCGTCAGCGCTTCAATCTATATATACACGTCACATCCATGGATCTGTTGATCGGAGCCTTGGATTGTGCCCAGGTTCCAGATGTCTTTTTATTTCTTGGCTGATTTGACTACCACTAGTAGTAGCTATCTTTAGCAACCTTACAAGCTTTCAAATGTTGAAATCCGCTTTTGGCATTATTGGCTCGCCCAGCACCAACCATATGTAACACTAGACTTCACCACTCTCCTCCTCTGTTACCACTTGAGTATCTATGTGCATGACATGTGTTTATTTGTTGATCCAGTGGCTGGCATCGGTGCAATCACAAGATGTACACGTATCACGCTTTGCAGGGTTTAGCGGTCCAATGCACCGAAACGCCGGCGGAAGGCGGAAAGCGATTGCCGGTGGCTAGATTCGAGAAGACGTCGGGCGTCTATGTGTGCTGTAGAATGAGGGGGAAAAGACAAACCAGTTGCTCCATGCAGACATCTGGAGACCGTGGCTAACTCAAGTGCTTGATTCGATCAGTTAAATATTCTTATCAAAATCCTTCAATGTGAGTACTTCTTTATGTTTATCCACTTTTTAGGTACTAAGTATACTCAAGTGCTTCCTACGGATTATCTATCTCGATTCGAATATCGACTGGTTAGGTACATTCTAAATTTTTCTCTATTAAGACCTTAACGGATAATGATGACCTGTCATATCCACGAAGGGAAGTTTCAGTGACTGCATGTGCATGCTTCCATCGTATCCGGCTGTAACTCTTTGGTGAACTCAGGTGGGTTCAAAGGTTGTCAACTTGTAACACAAAGCCAAAATCAAAGCCCTGTCATGGCATTAGAAGTACGCAATTGGTACAGCGTAGGTGTCATCCGCTGATCAGATCGAGAAAATTTCGAATTTCAATTTACCACCCATCAATGCAATGTTCTCAATGCGTTAGTGGCCGTCGGTCATTCCCAGGCTGACATCTAAAATATTCAAGGAGATTCGTCCTCACGGACAATAAGAATATAATAATAGGTATGATTTCACGCGTCCGCCGCTTGATGTATGTACACTTTAAGTCTCAAGGTATTTAATGATCAAATCTTGCTCTGGCGCGCCGAGGCACGGAGCGCAACGTCAAAGGCACTTCGTTCCTGATTTGTCAACTCCCTCCTCTCCGGTCCGCCACGACTCCCATCCCCCGAGAACGCATCTCCCTGGAACTTCTCCTTGAATTGTGTCGGGAACTTCCACTTGCTGAGTAGCTCTTCAGAGAGACTGCGTTCAAAGCTTCCAACAATGTACTTTCCAATGACTGGCAAGAATTTAAACGCGCTAAAATAGAAAACAACGGTCAATTGATTAATGCTGATAGCTTGAAGAACTGGAATAACTCACTGTCCACTACCGCCTGTTGCAATGAAGAGGTTCTTGTGTTCCGGGTGGAAGTCAAAGATAAAGTCTCCGGTAGGGGTATCGTTGTACCAGCACAACCCAACTCGCTCGAATCCCCTTGGCGCAAGGTGCGGGAAGATATCCTTCATACCAGCCTGAAGCCTCTTCAATCCATCTTCAGGGACGAAGTTCGCCCGCGACGCGACTGCAGATGCGCCTGGTGTAGAGACACCAGCTTTAGCTGACAGCTGGGTGTATCCATAGCCGTGAATAGCAACCTTCAGATACCCAGTTCCGTCATGAGGAGGGAAACAGAAGAAGCCAGTGGAGAAGTTGAAATAGATGGGGATATCCTTCAGCTCAGCGACTTCCTCAGGCGTGAGTTTGAGGTACCCAACGACCTGTCCCGCCGCAAGCATCGAGTTCCAGGCAGGAACCAAACTCGACGTCCAAGCACCAGTAGCCACGATGAATTGCTCTCCCTCCACCCGGTTGCCGTCGGCGGTGCGGACGGCTTGTACAACACCATCCTGGTTCTTCTCGAATTCTTCGACCTGGCCGCTCGGGCCCGTGATGAACGATACCCCAGCGGCGACACACCTAGATGCAAGGCGACTGATCGCTTTCCCGGCATCGGCCCAGCCAGCAGATGTGTTGTAGAATCCATCGAAGCCTGGAGTTGCCAGCTTGCCGGTCAGTTTGGGCCACAGTCGCTTTGCTTCCTCCACACTCTTGACTGCGTGCCATGGTTGGCCCATCTCGGTCAAAACGCTCTTAGTCTTTTCGCTGTATTCCTGCGCCCGCGGCTGAACTTGATGCTCGGGGGTGCCTTCTTGACACACCCAGAGGCACGGCGTTTGGTAAAACGCGTCTGAGTACTCTGGTGTTTTCCAGAGGTCAAAGGCCTCCTTGGCGATTTGAGCGTAGATGGCATCGCCGTAATCGAATCGAATAATGCGCGATATGTCGTTGCTGGACCCGTCTGGAACTGGTGGCATTGATCGGTCGAGGACGGTTACTGATGCGTATCCTTCCTCCTTGAGCTTGAGAGCAGTGCCGAGACCGAAAGCACCGGCTCCCACAATGACAATGCGCGCTGACTTGTCCATAGCTAGACGTGGTTTCAAATAAGCAATTTGATCTTGAAAAGATTTTTTTTTCACCGGAGTGAATTCCCAATAACAATTACGTGTGGGGATTCTTATACCCCTCCACCCAGGCGTTCTTCAAATCAATCAATTGATAGCATCTTATCACGGTCCGTAATCCGTCCCCACATGCCCGCAAAAGGTGGGACGCGCCGACGCATATCATTGGCGGGCTATTCACGACCCGGTCCGTATCACGGTCCGTCTTGCCCACAGAGTCGAAATTGCGGGTTTTTCTGTCTAAGGAAACTGCTATAGTTATTTGACAGATCCATAAAAGCGGAAAACAAAAACGAAAATGAGTGTCGCTCAACAGTATTCCGGAATAATTCCTTAGCATAAAGTCCCGAAGCATGCCACTTTCCGACTTTGGTAGGTGACCACATGCAAGTCCTGACTCTTATATTACTTTTTGTTGTTCTTTCTTCCAAGACTGCTTGCACGACTGGGCAAATACTGCAAAGACTTTCATGTCCGTATCAACTTGGATTTTTGTAGCGCATGAAAGTGCCCACGTGCTGGGTGTAGCATTAGGAGGGCAGGTCGGAATTTTCTTAGTAACTACTAGTACTCAATACAGGACAAGGGAGATGAACTTTGGTAAAGTAGTATTTGGAGGATGGAATCAATTTTGGTGTACAGAAGCATGAGCAATGAGTGAGCTCAATAGGCCATAAACAAAATAGACGCAGCAAATAAGTGGAACAACGATTCATGCAGAGGGCGGATGATACTATCCTGACCCATTCTCAACTGGACTTTTCCCAAAAAGGCACTTTCCAAGACTAAACAAAACCCAAACAAGTCACAGCAGTCAACGAGGTAGCAAAGAAGGCATGCCCCAAGCCCAATCTGAATTTGTCCTGACACGCAAAGAGATTATGATACGTGACGCCTGTTCAGAAAGGAGTTGGGGCACAAGCCAAGAGTCCGAAAGTGTGGAGGGGTTTAAGGTGAATCGAATGATCGGAAAGAGAATTGAGAAGACGCGAAGGAAGTCGGTGATTGACGTGGCTCAAGCTCAGTTGAATTTGTCCTGACACGCATCTTGATAGTGATGATGATACGTGACGCCTGTTCAGAAAGAGCTTGAGCATACGCCAAGAGTCGAATTGTGGAGAGAGGTTTGGAGAGTCGGAAGGAGGATCGAGAAAGCGAACGAAGTTAGAAATTGACATGGCCTAGCCCAACTGAATTTGTCCTGACACGTAAGAAAATGAGAGTACGTGACGCCTGTTCAGTGGACTTAGGCCCAAGCGAGTGTCGAATTGCGGGGAGAATTGCGAGACGGTTTGGAAGAAGTTGACGGTGGACAAGCCTCAAGCCCAAACTGAATTTGTCCTGACACGCACCTTGAGGATGATGGTACGTGACGCCTGTTCAGAGAGGACTTGAGCACAAGCCAAGAGTCAAATTGCGGGGAGAGTTGCGAGACGGGTTGGAAGAAGTTGGAAGTGGACAAGCCTCAAGCCCCAACTGAATTTGTCCTGACACGTACCTTGATGATGATGGTACGTGACGCCTGTTCAGAAGGGACTTGGGCACAAGCCATAAGTCGAAGTATTTGGAGGGAAGAACGGAATTGGAAGTCGATTGTTTGGCTCAAGCCCAATCTGAATTTGTCCTGACACGTAACTGTTTTTAGCTACGTGACGCCTGTTCAGAATGGACGAGCTTTCTTTCTTTCCTTTTTTTTTTTTTTTTTTTTTTTTTGTGGCCGGTGACGAGTTCGGGAATTGTTGTTGAGATTGAGTTGATTGAGACTTGAAGGCTGACCAAGGAGGTGTGAATTTCAAAAGCCTCGACCAATGGAGTAAACTGTGGTAGCTCATCTGGGAGTTTGAAGGACTTGGTTGGCAAGTCTAGAAGGTTAACATAGGGAGTTCGAGAATGGAAACCACGAACATACCTTGAGAACTCGTCAAGGCAAGCTGGCTGGTGAAGTCTTATGAATCATGATCAGAGCTATCAAATTGTTGATCAAGGTGACCAAATTGTTGATGATGATGATGATGATGATGATGATGATGAAGACTCTGAAGGCTATAGGAATGATCAGCATAAGGTAAGAGGGAAGGAAGGGGATGGGAGGGAGGATGGAAAGTTGTTGTCAATATAAGGAGAAAGATATGAATGACATACAAGTTGAAAGTCATAAGGTGCATGAGAGATATGCATAGTGGTGATCAACAATGATTGGGTTGATGAACTCTTTGATAGATGTTTGTGTCCAAAGCTCAATAGAGATGGAACAGAGTAGAGTGAAGATGGAAAACAGAAGAGATGGAAGATGGAAGATGGAAGATGGAAGAGACAGAGGATGGGAAGAGGGAGAAAGAGGAAGAAGAGGAGGAGGGGGGAAATAGAGGTATTTATACCCCAGGTGCGAGAGTGAACGCGTCCCAGGATCACACACTTCCTCAGGATCGACCAATGAGAGCACAGGATCACGTTTGGCAGGATCAACAGTCACGATATCTTGCTCAAGATCAGGACACCCAGGACGCGTCTAGGATCACTGATCTTACCTGTGATCGACCTATAGGTTCGCAGGATCACTTCACTTGGACACGCATTGATTTTACGTCGTACTGGCGATACAGAGTCAGTAAGTCACACCCCATCTAGCATTTTCCAAGAACCTCTTAGTATTCTCCGAAGTGACATACACATATCTCTGCCATTTGACTTACAAGACATGGATACCCAGCTGTGTACTCTTCTCCAATGTGCCAGGAACTGGTTTAAAAACATGAAAGTGGTTTGATATATTGTAGCTAATTAAGTAGGAAGTGCTGATTGATGACGCCCATCTGCCTCTTTCAGATCATATGGTAAGATAGAGTTGAGCAACACACCAACAATAGCAGCGATGATGAATGGTGTCTCTACCAAAAGGTTGATACCTTCTTCAAATCCTTCCAAGCTGATATTTGACCCACTATAAGCTAGGACCTTGTCAAACCAACTCGGAGAAACAATATCCATGAACCCGATACCCAGAGCAGCAGTGAGAATGAATCGGTTTCGCCGTGTGAATGGCACAAGACTTAGCACTCTGATACCGGTCACGGTGATGGTACTATAAAGAAAGACTTGCATACCACCCAAGACAGATGGAGGCATGGAGCCAAGCACTGCACCAAACTTGCCAAATACTCCCATGAGAATCAGAAAGGCGGAAGCGCACCAACCTGCTCGACGGCTCTGGTGACAAGAAATCAGCAATGAAGAACATCAAGAGGCACAAAGGGGACGTACCGCGCATCCAGTCAGAGAGATTACACCATTGTTACCTGCCTGGCTGACCATGGGCAGACCAGTGCCCAAGGCACTGATCAAACTTCCCAACCCATCACACAAAATACCACCTTGGATTCTGCTATTGAATTCCACACCATCGATTTCGACCCCTGAGATTTCAGCAGTAGCAAGAATATCCGGCATGCAGCTTACAGCCTCACAGATGAACATGATCAACAGGGGGAGGACCAGTGCACCATCTACTGATAACTTGAAAGTGTGAACCCAGAGAAAGGTAACAACAGGGGCTGCATCAATGTTATCACGCGACCAGTATCCCGTAGCACCAGAGATTGCACATCCAATTGCGAGACCGAAAACAACGGATGCGGAGCGCATCAAGGGCGATCCAAATAGTTCAACTATAATGATGGTTATAAACACACTGAAGCCGAGGCCGATGAGCTTTGTGTCTCCCCTGTATCATAATCAGTTTAGAAGCTTAGAAAATCAAACGTTTGAAAGCATTCTCACCAAGGTAGTGGTTTGGGGGCCGCGGTGTCTGGACAAAGACTGTAGTAACCTGTTCCACCATTGCAGTTCGAGCTTCCACCCCAGTTTTCCATTCCGCTCGAGATCAAATAAACCCCGACAAGCAGAAGTAGTGTACCGGTAACGATCTTGGGAAAGATACGATTCAAGGTCTTTGGAGGAACGAATGATAACAGAATCTGGATCCACACAGTGCATAGCATCGTTCCCAGCATCGCACCCCAGGCCTCTGGGCATGGCAATTTAGATCCATCCGAGGAAATCGGACAAGTGCCGTTAGCATAGCGCATGTCCGCATAGCTGAATGCAATAGCAAGAATATCGAATGTAGGACCGACCACCGACAGTAGACCTGTTCCAATGTAGAAGGGGGTTTTGGTCAAATGGACTCGTGTGACTTGCAGAGCTGTCGCGATCCCGGTGGTTATGAACGCTGCTGAGACAAGGTACTGGCTTTGCTCCGTATTGAGGTAAAAGGCTCCACTTGCGATGGCCAGAGGAGGTGAAACGATGGAGCCGATCATGGTCAAGGCATGCTGCAAGCCCAGAATTATGGTAAGTAGGATCGGCACTTCATCGTTCAATCCGTAGAAGGGTGATTGGTAATCCTTGTATCGTTTGTTGAGTGGCCAGATGCTCGGGGTGATGAGGTACATGTAATCCTGTTAAAAATGTACCCAGTCAGTGGTCATGATTCAAGTGCCGATTTGTATCATGGTGATGGGACAGTAGTGTGTACATAGTTGCCAACCCATCCTTCCCAGGTGGTAAAGTATCGACGAAGATATTGCCATCGGGTTTCGGCGACAGGCGTGATCTCAATGATTTGGGACCGCGTATCGCCTTCAAAAGATGCAGTCACCGGGGTATCTGTGTCGCCTTTCTCCGAGGACTTTCGGCTTGTCTCCATGATCGCGGTCTGGGCGCGACTCCGGGGTTATGCTAAACACGCTACTAAAATTGTGGCTCGCTAGCATTGAATCCCTTAAACGACCGACGTCCATAGCGGGCGATATATACCACCTTTTTCAGGTCAACAAAGTTTGATTAATCTGAGATAGCCCCCTATCTATCGCTAGTTATATGTCGCGTCATGGATTGTATCGCATTACCCTCGTATACTCGCTATCAGGAAGATGCTGGTGTTGATAAGGATCCGATTGCTTAGCCTCGGCCGAGGTTCTGGGGTCCCCGAATCCCCGGACCCCGGATATTAATTGGCATGGATCAAAAACATTGCACTGCGCTTTCTTGAGAGGACACTCTTTCTTTTTCTTCTCAATTGGATCAGACTTATCAGACTTGATCATGACTGTCACCAAATTTTCCTCTGCACCAGATTGCAAATTATTCTATGGCGCCACTATAGTCACCGTCAACCAAAAGCGCCAAATAATATGCGACGGTTATATCCGAGTCGATGGTGATCGAATCACTGCAGTGGGAAAATGCCCATATCCCGAAGAACTGCCTTCTGGAGCGCGCCAGGTTGATTGTCGAGGCAAAATTATTATTCCCGGACTTATCAACACGCATGCCCATCTTGTTCAGTCGCTCCTACGAGGTTTGGCGGAAGACTTGCCATTACATAATTGGTTATGCGATGCGATATGGCCACTGGAGGCTGTGTTTGAGGGCGATGATGGCGTAAAAGCTGCCCGCCTGACCATGCTGGAGATGTTGAAGACGGGAACAACTTGTTTCCTTGATCCAATGTTGACATATCGTGCTGGATTTGATCAAATCTGCAAAACCATGGGAGAGATGGGCATCAGGGGCTGCCTGGTATGTAGCCAATGGAGTTTTGTATTTGTGTTTCTCATTGCTAACTGTTCAAAAGGGTAAATTAGTGAAGTTCACAGAAACCAATCGCCAATTGTCAATTTCGGATCCCAGAGACAGAGACCTGCTTGCAATGTCAATCCCAGAGCTTGTCAAAGCGCACCAAAAATACCACGGCAGTCATGATGGCCGAACTCATGTCTGGGCTGCAGCAGGTACCCCTCGTGGAGCACCAATCTCTCAATACCTCGAACTGGGAGAAACATGCGCGGAACATGGAATATCGGCAACCATGCATTGTGCGGAAGCTCCAAGGGACCGTGGTATCTATCATGATTCCTATAGTTGCAGTGCCATGGAGTTTATCCGAGATGCTAAGCTCTGCGGCGAGCAAAACGATGACTCTGGAAACAAGAAGCGAACACATAATCTTGTTCTCGCGCATATGGTGAACCTGGACGAGGAAATAGACATTCCGTTACTCGCGAGCACGGGGACTTCCGTTGCTCATAATCCGACATCTAATCTCAAGCTGGCCTCCGGAGTGGCCCCAGTGCCAGCCATGCTTGAGCACGAGACTCCAGTGAATGTTTCCCTGGGAACAGATGGTGCCCCGTGCTCAAATCATTATGACATGTTTCAGGAGATGCACCTGGCCAGTATACTCCACAAAGGTGTGAACCACAATGCAGCCCTGATTCCAGCCGAGACAGCGCTGGAGATGGCGACTATCAACGGAGCCAAAGCTCTGGGACTGGAAGCCGACATTGGTAGTCTTGAAGAGCAAAAGAAGGCTGATTTTGTGGTGCTTGATCCATACGGTCGCGGAGGGGTGGGAGCTGCACCATGGTCTTCCGAATTCTCGAGCCACGCGGTCAATGTCGTCACAACTGTTGTTCACGGGTGTACCGGTCGCGAGGTGGACATGACAATAGTGAATGGTGAAATTCTCGTTGAAGGTGGCGAGCTGGTGACAGGTGGAAGAGACGGGGAGATGGACATTGTGGGCCAGGCACAGGTGGCCATTCAAGGTATTTTGCTTCGGTGTAACGGCGGACGAGAAGAGGATTCTCAGATTGGTGGGAAAATCAAGAAGGGTTGGGAATACGTTTAGAGATCCATCTAGTTATGTTAGGAGACTCTCTAGTGATTGACTAGTAAGTACCAGCTGGTTTTCGCGTTGTTCAAATAAAAAAAAACACGACATATTGTGGGCCTCAACCTAGGGAAATACATTATGTAGCCTCACACAATGTACTAGTGGAGTATACTAGATATAGTCCAACGCCAGGGAAATTGACGACTCGCACTATTAATGGCTTAGAATAATTACAAAAATCAAATCGAACTTATAATTTTCTGTACACGAACATTGGAGTCTGGACGACCTTCGAACACCGGCACCGCTGCTATCCACGTGACGGTGCTTAGGCCTTCCTCTTTCGTTCGAGCGCATGCGCTTTCCACTTAGACATCACCAGTGGCTATCGTCATGCCCAACAAAAAACAGAGCGCCCGGCGACTGACACGCTGTCGAACAGGATGCATGCGTTGTCGAGTTCGCCGAAGAAAATGTAAGTAGTCAAAGAACATGTCACATACATAACAACAAATGCATCTCGATCTTCTACATGAGAGACTCGGGGGTATAAAGCTAATGCAGAATTACAATTTACAGGTGACGAAGGCAAACCCCGCTGTCGAAACTGCATCGATCGAGACTTTCAGTGCCGATATGGGCCTCAACTTACATTTCTTACGAAGAATGCACAAACTGTTCAGGCATCTGAAGTGGAAACGCCATCTACGGGATATGAGACAATTCAGGTAGGTTGAGAAGTGACATGGATTATTGGAAGATGACTGTTGACGCAAGGGTATGCAAAGTTTATCAATGAAGACCCCCAAACCGAAGATTATGAAGTACATGCAGTCGGAGGCGCATCTTCGCCCGCCGGTAATGAACCGACTGAACCAGAACGAGCGCTGCAACAATCTGCGACAAGTCCGCATCCAGATGGGGATGCCCCTGACGATGAGTCGTCAATGTGGTTATATGATGGACAGCCAGAGTTTACGCCCAGGATATTCAGTGATAATGATGAATCTGCAGTGGCTGGACTTTTGGCGTTAGGAACGAGTCGCGTTGATATGATGGAGCCCAATTTGAGTCTACCGGACTTGATGATATCCCCGCTCGCACGGGATTCTCAGCTGGACCGCGGGGTGGCCTCTTCAAAACCATCCGATACTGCGAATTTGTTTTCCACGGAAACAGTACCTCTCCTCCGGTATTCGGATCCGAACGTGTCTGCAATAGAGACGCTTGAACTGCTTCGTCACTACCGCTATAATATCGCACCATGGGTATGTTTCCTAGAGGTCAATGAGGGAATCGGAGGCTTATATTTTTAGTTGGATATATGTGATCTTGGGCAATCATTTGGCATAACGGGCTTGCAGTTAGCAATGGTCTCAGAGCCAGTGTGGGATTCATTATTGGCGGTATCAATGGCATCCATGAACAAGCCACCGACGCATGCAGTCATCCAAGGGCCGCTGGTTCGAGACCTACAGTCAGATATAACTAAAGCTGCATTCTTGCATGCACTGAATGCGACAAGAACTTGCATCTTAGATACCCACGGCGCTTGGTCATCGCAACGGGGCGTTGATACAGAGCTTTATGAGGCTCTCAGCTCATATGTTGTCGGCAGGGACTTCAACTCTGCGATCTACTGGCTCTTTGTGAGATTAGGTAAGTACATATTCACATCATCCTTCACGAAGGAAGAATTTGAGAGCTCATTGGTTCCAGATCTTGGAGCTGCTTTAGCCACAGATACCAATCTTCAAATTCCCCTTCCTCCCCTGCCTCCATACGTCGCGGATGAAGATACGGAAACAGATCCATTTGCATTAAGCTTCTGCTATGCAAACCGCCCTCTTTGGGCCTGTGCGCGGGCCATAGAGTTCATGCATGATGAAGACCCATCACTGCAGTGCCCCCCGCTTCACACGTGGATGCAACTGGTGGAAGAGCTCGACAATTGGTATCAAGAACGGCCGCAAGGGTTTCAGCCTATGCTTGAACTTGACGTAGATAATCACCTCGAGATGGCACAAGGATTCCCGGTAGTTTTGTTTGCAAATGGAGCGGGTGTTTTCAGCAACCAACTCTACCATACAGCCATGCTGCTATTACTGCATAGCCGGCCACGCACTGCGCGCATCGCGCACTTGCGTTCTGCGACAATGTCTCCACTGTGGCATGCCCAGAGGATATGCAGCATTGCTCTGAACAATGAGAGGCGTGAATGCTGGGATCCATGTCTGCTGGCATCGTTTCTGACTGCCGCTCAGCGCATGACCCATGAGACACAGCAGCAAGAAGTCCTCCTTGGCCTGTCTAACATTCAGAAGGTAACTGGATGGGACGTCGGTGAATTGTTGCATGGGCTAAGAGAGAGTTGGGGATTTCTTGAATCTTAATCCAATTTAAGAACAAGAAATATTATCCGACTCTTCATACGTCTTGTCGAGGAATCGTCTTACGTCGACGCGGAACTTGATATCCCCATGCAAGCTCGAGATCACGGATACGCCAACAAGCGCCCCAACCGGTCTCCGCCTCTATCCTGCGGATTATATCGATTATTATCGTATGCTCCGAGACGTGACTGAACAAACGGCCAGCAATCCACAAGGGCTGGATTGCGTTGTTTAAACATCCCTGGTGCGGGTTTGCGAGGGAGATGCCGCAGATACGACGGGCATGCCATAGTGGAGAGATAGTCGGTGCTGGTGGCAGCTTCATGCCTTTAGGTCTTGTGTTGAGAAGAAGTATACATGCGGTATGGTAAAGCTGATTGGACGATATGGCCGCCCAATGCAGAAAGAGTATGTGGGGAAATGGTTTGGTCGGAGTTGTATGGACCGGTAGCAGTTCAGAAGGCCGATGCTCGACCCACTGCTGCAGGTCCTCCCAGAGGCTGAGCCAGCGACGATGGAAAGCCTCGCCAGTACAGTCATTCTGCACACCCAGTTCTATAAACTGAGTCCGGTCAGAAACCAGCTCGCAAGCTCTCGCGCAAAGGTAAACCGCATAGTTGGCGTGCATATCGGGGGATTGAACCGCTTGAAATAACCGGGGAGCATCCTCCTCGGTGCAATTCGGGGCAAGCCACTTGCTAGGTCGAAGGAGTGTACTTTCCGTCCCATCGGAGATCAGTGCACCGCATACATCTATAATTGTCAGATATAGGTTCCAATAAAGGACATCCATGATATATTGCTCACCCATTCGGACATAGCACCAGAATACTGCCTGTAGTATTCCACCACTGAAGCCGTGTATTTCATAGGCCTCGAACAACGCGGTGCAACCTTCCAAGTGTTTGCGCCAGTCCTGCGCGCGAGCAGACATCATCTCGAGGCAGCACAATAACACGCAGGCTGCCACGACCTTTGAATCCCGCATTTGCAGTAGGGGCCCCAGTAGACGGATAGCCTCTTGGTACAGTTCGAGACTATCGAATGAGTCTTGGATCCCTTCCTTCCTTTCCATTTGTCGGGCCGATATAGCGAGAATGGCATTTAGAAGCGCAGGAAACGTACAAGCGAGGGCCGGGATCTGGACGCGAAATGTGCATTGAGAGTCAAACATGTCGAGCTGCATTGTAAATCTATCAGCCATCTTTTTCACGGTCGCATCGACGTCAAAGCCTCAAAAGTGCCACTCACCCATGGGGCAACCTGTCCCACATAGTTTTTCAGGTACTGGACTCGACGTGCATTAGATAGCGTCGGTCGCAAAGGCAGTTGTTCCCCGCCCGTCGGCGCGTCTGTATCCTGCTCATGTTCGTCCGGGCTCGGTGCCCGTGTCGTCGCGGCGGAGTGGGCGATCGTGAACAGCATGCACCGCAGCTCTTCCTGCGATGCAAGGAATCCCGGATCATGGGAGAATCCGTCGTGGCCCCAACTGGAGGCGCCAAGCGGGGAGGCAAATGTAAGGCCGTCGGTGGAATCGGAGGGTGTATATGCAGGAGCGTGGCCCTGTTGCGGGTTGGATGGCCAGTTGGCGGTCATGGCATTCGCGTACTGTGGAGATGACAGGCCGGAAGGGCCTCCATCCAGCCTGTTTGAGAATTGAGCGTCGTTGGTGAAACGGCGTCGTTTGGAATGATGGTGCATGGTTGTTGAAGGGGGAGAAGGTGCGCAAATGTGGGGAAGGCCTGCGATCGGCATAGTCAGGCACAAAACTAAAGTATACGAGCCAAGGGTCACTAACTCCGTGATACATTCCGATCCCTCGTCAAACCTTCAAAGGAGTTTCTCCCTTATTATTTCATGGAAGCAAGGGATTTATTTTGTCAAAATGAGATTTCCTCCACGGATAGCTGCGTCTTCTGGACATATCCTCAATCCATCCACGTTGCGTTGACATTCGAACCGACGCTTGAACAATGTACGGACTTAAGCAACTGGCTCTGTTGAGCTTTATGCTCCTATCGGTTTCTGCCACTCAGGATACAACTCGGACAATGGTTTGTACCTCACATGTGGCTGCAATGGAATAATTCGGAGAGCTAACAAGCCCATAGGTTGGCATTGAAACCACCGAAACCAGCAAGGCTATGGATGTCCTCTTGGATGATTGTCACGAAGTAGAACAAGAGTGAGGTCTCTTCAACATGAACTAAATTGTTCTTTCTAATTTTATCACAGTGAGGTTCTCACCATCTCGGTCAAAAAGTACTGTCGCGTTTTCACGTAAGTTCGCCATGCCCATGCCCATGCCCCTGCGGGCCCTGCCCATTCTGTGGACAGCAAGTTTTGACTTAATTATCATAGTGGTCCCGAGTGCACTGGTCGAAACTCACTGCTTCCCCCCGGCGACCATTCGAACACCGATCCAGTACCTATCGAGTCCATTTATTGCCATGCAAAGCGTCCCTACTAGCTCACGGGGTATCCGTGACATCGACTTCCAAGGTTTCTGCGACTGGGATAAAACGCGATCTTTGGATATAAATAGCAGCAGAATGGATATTTTGGTATTGGGTTTCTTTTTAATGCCTTCTTTCGTGCTCATGGCAATGAATCTTGATGCATCGCTGTAGCCTCAGCCCGTAGGTTTCATGATTTAGAAACGGTTTTCTTCGACTCTTCGAGTAGATTCAATTTGGGGTCTCAATCCGGTAAGTGGAAGCGCTGGCGGCTCGGCAAAACGAGTCAGCACGATCCACCTAAAAGCATGGACCTTGAACAAACCTAGGACTCATTATTGGATCACTTGTTTTGAGAGGGGTGATCACACCTGGCAGACAGGGAAGAATACCTACTGGATTGGCAGAAACAGTGGTTAAGAAGCACAACGCAACATTGAATGGACATGTCGGATTTTCTGGGGAGGCTTTGGATGCACATGGAAAACTCCGAGAACGTTGTAAGATTCTGGTCATTCCAGGGTTTCAGAGTTCATAGACTCAGCCTTGGAACAATCGAAGTTGTATAGAAACTTGAGAAGCGCTACATTATCAAGTTCAACTCCAACTCACTGCATGTGTCATACTAACTGAATGTTCACCAATATCGGGAGCTTTGGATGGATATTATCAATCCCCAGGGGTCTACCATCTAGCCCTCGAGCCACTCAGTTAAGATAACTCCTCGATATTCACGATTATCTACTACGTATAAAGTACTCGTGTGCTCCCAGATGCCCTCGTGAATGCACCTGGGCAGATCAGATATACTAGTTATCCACGAAGAATTCCCGGCATTGATTCAGAAATTGAAAATAGCCATAAAGGAATAAGTACTATGTAAAGAGTTGGAATTCCAAAAGTTTCAAACCAGGGCTGCAGTCTAAAGAGTCCTGACGCTGGGGCGGATGGCAAATCATAAACAAATAGGATCGATGGAGACACTTCTGCCTAAACAGGAAACGCACTTTTGAAATCTGCGCTAATCTGATTAGGAGAAAGTGCCGAGGATTGTAAATTTGTATGTCAAATTCTGGACCCCAATTGTTTCGCGCGAACACACCACAATCCATGCAACTTTTACTGCTTTTTATTCCACATCTATTAGTGTTGTGTTGCCACCTTGGTGAGAGCCACAGGGCGACTGGTGACCTCACACTGTGATACGTTATCAAGATAAGATCGCTCAAAGCCGAATTGGCCAGTGAATTAAATGACCACAGAGGTCGCGTTATTCCCAGACAGGTTTGGTGTTGCGCCATTTATAAACCTCCCGGTGGATCTTCGATACAATTGGTCGCCATATTTGAGATCTGACGGACCCAAAATAGTCTCACATGGGGCCGGCCCGATCCATCGATGCTTTCCATCGACTACTTACCCAAGTAGGCAATCAAATCAATGATGAGGCTAATTACAGGACATCTGGAAGGAAAGCACGGTGGTCTTGACGGTATATAAGCTCCTCAGCTTACGGGCCTTCCATTTCCACACGATCAAGTATTTCTTCGGTACATTGGACTCAGACTATCTACTCAGACATGCCTACTTCGACGACCAGCCTTTCGGCATCCACCACCACGGCATCAGCCACTTCAACATGCACAACCATGACAGCTGGTAAAAATGGTTATTTACCTCCAGACGCATGCAATGTGATCCTTTACTATGTGCCGTCTTTGGCTGCCGCAATTGTTTTCTGTCTTTTGTTCGGAATGACATTGATGGCTCATGTTATGCAAGCGATTATTCACAAAAAGGTTAGCGAAATTCGATTCATCTCAGTTGATAAAAGTTCTAACCCGTTGCCAGAGATATGCAATGGTTATCATCATGGGTTGTTTGTGGGAGGTCACTGCATTTGTTTTCCGCTCAATTCAAACTCACAATCAATCTTCCAATCTCATCAACACTCTCTACACGATCTTTTTCTTATTGGCCCCAATCTGTGAGCAAACATTCAGACATTAGCCGTGGACCTGAGAATCTTTGATGGCTGATATTCCACAGGGATCAACGCTTTCCTCTACATGACCCTCGGGCGCATGATCAACTTCTACATGCCCAATCAGAAGCTTCGTGGCATCTCAGCACGCCGCTTTGGAATGATTTTCGTTTGTCTTGACATCTTTGCTTTCCTCGTGCAGATGGTCGGTGCCGCGTTCACCACATCCACAAACGCGAAGAAAGATGTGATTCTGTTCGGAATCCACATTTACATGGGTGGAATTGGACTCCAGGAGTTCTTCATCATTGGTTTTACCTTCATGACCATCCAACTTCACCTTACCATGGTCGCAATGGAGCGCATGGGACATGCCTCGGAGAAAATGACCAATGGCTCATTCCCATGGCGATGGCTCTTTTACACCATTTACTTTGCCTTGACTATGATCACAGTGAGTCATTCTGCGTTGGGATATTGATCAAAACTGGAACTAACTTTTTGCGAGATCCGCATTGTTTTCCGCCTGGTTCAATACGCTCAAGGTTACTCTACCACGAACCCGATTCTGCTTCACGAAGTATACGAGTATGTTTTCGATGCCTCGCCAATGTTCTTGGCTCTTTTTGCTGTCAATTGCTTTCACCCCGGTCGCGTGCTCCAGGGGGAGGGCTCGAAATTTAAGAAAATCAGCCGTGCGGAGAAGAAGCAGCAGAAGGCTCTTGCAAAGTTGCAAGAGGATGAACAACGGCATAAAGAACAAGCTATGCGAAGCGTTGACGAATTCGAAATGGCACCTGCTCCTCACTATGTTTAGTGATATGGTTATCATTTAATTTCTTCACGTGCACCCGACAACATGTTTTCCTTATCCGAGTCGACAGTGCTTTTTTTTTTGTCTTCTTCTAGTTGACGCTAGCTTTTTTGAATTTTCAATCGACTCACCTGACTGTTTAGGTATGGCTCAAGAATATTGTTGTCAGGAATCTATGGCCATGGATCTCAGGTGACGATGATACATTGGAAATTTTCTTGGATATTTCATTCATATTTTATAAGTTTTTTCTTTGGGTTCTATAGATCGAGATGAGGAAAATGATCGTCTGGTACGACCCACGCAATTTGATTATGTTAACACACCACCTCATGAACATTCGAAGTTATACCTTGGAAGTTGGAACCAATTAACTCTTAGAGTTGTTGACGGCCATCTTTTGCGACTATTAAATGAAGAACACCGTAATCAAAAGTGGAGCTTTTTTGCTGAGCGAAATCATAAGAGTCAACCATCATTGCGCAAAACAAGAACCTTGCACATTGGCACTTGGAAATTTGTCCTCGGAATAAAGAACAATTAATTGCTGATTAAATGGAAGAATACAGCGCACATGTGTAGCGGAGACTTTCCGTGCGAGATTGATTGTGTTGTTAGTGGCAGGTGCTGATCGACATTCCATTGCCTGTGTTGTCCCTTCAGGTATGTGCTCACCACCCACTTCCTCTCTCCCAAAACCTTGATTTGTCCCTGTTGTGGGTGATGTGGTCGCAGAAAAGACAAAGCGCTGCCCTTGGAGGCCGTGATAACAGAAAGGCAAAACCCCAAATGGCGCTCCCCCTGCCCTTGTCGACGGAATGAAATACAACCCTGCCCATCTATAGTACGTATTCACGACGAGATTTGTGACATCGACAGCATTTTAATGCAAGGCGACCCTTTCATCCATGGATATCAAGTGACGGACCCCGAGCCTCTACCTACCTTGAGAGTATTGAGAAAACCATGTCAGAAAGGCCATGAAGACAGCGAGAAAGGATGCATGTGAAGTATGTGGTCCCACCATAAAATCACGGAAGCAACCTAGTCAGAAAGTATGCCACGCCAAGTAGGGTCAACTACTCGTCATTTAGTAAGCCGATCCGCGCCTACTTCGCCCTCCCTTGTGTTGACACGTTCTATATAGGGGAGTGTTGAGCTCCTTCAAATGGAAAACCATATAAACAGCCCCATCCAGCATGTCATCACTTTCTGGTGATGTTGATTCATCATCATGTTCGAGAAGTTCTGACAAACATCCGACCAGAACAACCAGCGACGTCTACAAGGAAAGCCAAACAGACATCCCAGAGAAGGAGTCCGGATACAAAGATGCTCTGAGTGAGAAACTCTTGCCTCCCGTTGATGGAGGGGCTCATGCATGGCTATTTCTGCTGGCTGCTACAATGCTGGAAGCATTAGTATGGGGTAAGTCATCTGGACACGAGCCAGAACGCGACTGATCGCGAGGAATGTTGACAAATCAATTCAATGCAGGGTATGCTTTTTCATTTGGGATTTTCCAGGATTATTATAGCGTGCACGAGCCATTCAGGGGATCTAAGAATATTGCTGTGATTGGAACGTGTGCTATGGTATGGTTTTCATGCACGGGCTGAAGCCGATTTGTTAATCGTTTTGCACGATGCTAACAATAAACAGGGCATCGCATATTTACTTGCCCCTTTTACGATTATTATGATGATTTTAATTCCTCGAGTCGCACGTTGGGTTTCAACAGTGGGAATTGTGATAGTTTGTATTTCGCTGGCGCTGAGTTCTTTTGCATCGAACACGACTCAGCTTATTTTGGCCCAGGGCGTTGCTTATGGGATTGGTGCTTGTTTTTCATATACTCCATCCATTTTGTACATGTCAGAGTGGTTCGTCAAGCGGAAGGGGCTTGCATTTGGAATTTCTCTGGTATGCAGTCTATGCCCACTTCCAAAACACGAGTAGTGTTATTATTCATGGACCTTGCACTAATTCGACGCCCAGGCTGGATCAGGGGTTTCCGGAGTCATCTTCCCCCCGCTCATAGAATGGCTCCTAGGTAACTATGGAGTCAACACGACGTTGAGGGTTTCCGCGGTGGCTTTATTCATTCTAGCAGTCCCATTTCTCTACTGGCACAAGCCCAGACTGCCACCACCCAAGACACCCAGCTACGAACGTCTGAACTTCAGTTTCCTATTGAGCCGAGTATACAACATCTACCAGCTTGGAAACACAGTCGAAGCACTTGGCTTCTTCTTACCGACCATCTACCTGCCCACATACGCCCGCAGCCTGGGCGCAAGCGAGATTGTCTCGTCGCTCACCGTCACCCTGATCAATTTGTCCTGGGTCTTCAGCTCCGTCATTATGGGGTTTCTCTCCGATCGGTATCATTGCACAACCTGCATCTTTATCTCGACCGTTGGCACGGTTTTGTCAGTGTTTTTTGTTTGGGGATTTGCGATCAATGTCCCGGTGCTTTATGTGTTCTGTGTTGCGTATGGGCTTTTGGCAGGCGGGTATACGGCGACGTGGGCTGGAGTGGCGGAGGAGATTGAGCGGGCGAACCCGGCAAGTGATGTCAGTGTCATCTATCCGTTCATGGAATTCGGGAGAGGAATCGGGAATCTGGTTAGTGGACCGCTGAGTGAAGCGTTATTAAAGGCGGATAATTGGGAAGGGTCTGCGTTTGGCGTGTATGGAAGTGGGTATGGCACACTTGTGGTTTTTACGGGCGCCACAGCACTGATAGGCGGCGTGTCGATCGCTGCACGACAATTCAAGTGGGTCTGAAGGGTAAGATCTCGAAGCGAAAGGATGAACCTGCATATTTGCCAGTGCATGGGGATCATTGGACGTTTAAAACTGATGGGAAATTATGCATTTGAATTCGCTGCGAAACATGACCACATCATACATCAATAATGCATATAATATAACGACACAAAACTCTTCTGAGCCAATTTATCTACTTGGTGAGCCAACCCCACGCACGCCAGTACCACGCCTGAGGAATCTCGGTCTCCTTCTGGAACTCAATCCGGCCAGTATCCAGATCGGCTTCGGCAGGGTTGATGAAGGGGGAGCGAGTCCACAGCTTGTGACCAGCATAGAGCACAACGAAGATGATCACGCAAATGTAGGCGATGAAGAAATCAGAGACATTGAAGGTGGGGATGAATGAGGTGAATCCTTGTGTGAGGGCGATCAGGACATTGAAGAACAGACCGTACCAAGCGAGGTAAGGCTGGCCAATGGCCTTGTAAGGGAGGTCGTCACGGGAAATTCCACGGGCAGCGCAAGCGCGCATGAAGGCGATGTGAGAAGCGTTGATGCAGGACCAGGTGATGAAGCCAGCAACACTGGAAAGGTTGACCAGCCAGTTGAAAACAGTTCCGGCGTTGTTGGACACGTTCATGAAAGCGAGGAGACCAAAAGCAGCGGTGAATGCCACACTGACGTAGGGAACACCCTTCTTGGTAACACGGGCGAAGATCATGGGCGCAAAGCCCTCGAGAGCGAGACCAGTCAAGATACGGCTACCACTGTATACATTGGAGTTGGCTGCGGACAAGACGACAGTCAAAAGAACAGCATTAATCAGACTTGGCAGAACGCCAATGCCAGCAAGATCAGCTGCGATGACCAATGGTGAGGAAGATGCGTTGCTGTCGCCAGTCGCGAGGCGTGGGTTGGTATAGGGCACAACCAAGCCGATGAAGAAGATGGTCAACACGAAGAAAAGACCAATTCGGACAAAGGTCTTGCGAATAGCCGAGGGGACAGTCCTCTGGGGGTTCTCAGTCTCTCCAGCCGCGATACCAACCAGCTCGGTTCCCTGGTAAGAGAAACCAGCTTGAATCAGGACAGCCCAGAAACCGACAAACTTGCCCAGTGATTCGGGGGTCGAGATAAGGTGAGTGGCAAAAGCACCGGGTTCTCTCCAATAGCGGAAGCCCAAGTAGCCCTGCGATCCGACACCGCAATCAACGCAAATCGCAAAGATCATGAAGCCAAGAACTGTGGCAACCTTGATTGTCGAGAACCAAAACTCAACTTCGCCATAGAATCCGACAGGCAGGAAGTTCAAAGCTGTGATTATGACCCAGAAGACTCCGATAAAGATGGCAATATTCAAATCCTCCCGCCAATATTGTATAATCGTTCCGCTAGCGGTAAGTTCGACAGCGAAGGTGGAAGCCCAATTGAACCAATAGATCCAACCCATGGAAAAACCAAGACTGGGATCGATCAAACGAGCAGCGTAGGAAGTGAAGGCACCGGGAATAGGGATGAAGGTCGCGACCTCACCGAGGGAGACCATAACAGAGAAGACGATTGAGCCGACGAAGATGTATGCGATCAGGGCACCGGCGGGGCCGGATTCCGCAATAGCAGTACCACTCGTGATAAAGAGACCTATTGAGAATCAGTAAACGAATATGGATTCCATATCCTCACGCAATGCGTACCAGTTCCAATAGTTCCACCTAGAGGTTATTGTCAGCTATGGCGAACTTTCATAAGGGTCACGGGCAGGTAGGACGAACCGATTGCGATCATCTGCAAGTGCCGGCTCTTAAGGCGACGCTTAAGCTGGCCAGGTTCCGACTCCACGCCATCATTGTTCTCGGAGTCGCCAACCTTGATATCCTGGGGAACCTGTTTGTGATCGGATCCGAAATCAATGCCAGAGACGTAGGACGAGTTTCTGCTTGCAGGCGCCACAGAGGCGACATTCTTGGGAGGCATATTGGACCACAGTGGCCGGGGTATTTGCGGCCAAGCAAGCGCAAGCTAATGTGGGCTTGAACCGAAGTCCAAAGGTGATCTGGATCTGGGTAGATGTGTCACAGAGGGAAGCTCGCCAGAACAAATTTTTTTCTTCCGTACAGCATCTGGAGAATTTCCGCTTTCGCTTGAATGGAGTGGGTCTGGACCAGGACCCACTTCTTAAACACGCGGAGTTCAATTTTCTTAGGTAATTCACTCCGGATAGGAAAGACAACGCGATCCACGTTGGGATCCATCACTGGATAAAGCAAAACGTTTGTTTTTCTATCCATATATATATACCTCGATTCTAGATATTACACGAGGTTGCATTTTTGAACAGTTCGTGAAACATGACGCTAATCATGCGCAGGACTTGGTGGCTGATCACGTGCGCTCGGAAGCCGCGATCCGAGTCGTTGGTGAAGGAAAAAAACACGTTAGCTCCCTTTGAGTCCTTGACTAGTCACTCTCACTAACGACAATCGGAATCATGCAGCACAGCTTAATCAGTAGTATGATCCACCACTTCAGCTCCATACTTAATAGACATTAGTACGTTTATTCCGTGCTCGGACAACACTTTTCTATTTCACTCTGTAGACTTCACTTTTTTCTGTCTCTTGGACACTTGGCAGAACACCAGCGATTGCTACAGCCAACGCCTTCTGCGTTTTCTCCCGCCACGTGAGTACCCTGACGTGTCGGCCCACTCAGACATTATACGATTCTCATCCATGCACATGTGTCGTTGTCAAACAACTTTTTTAAATGGCAAAACGCGTCAACATTCTGAAAACGACATACAGCTTGGAGGCTCCGATCAGTCAACCCTTGACGCAATTTGATCGCCTCGTCAGATGTGGGGTACAGGAATACGGCTGCAAAATTGCGAGATATATAAGCCAAATATGGGGGTTCATCTTACATATGGCAAAACTACATAGTACAGATTGATTGTCACTTTATCCACATTCTTTTTTTTCAGCCATCGACTGTCAGCTCATGCCACTTGTTTTTAAGGATGACCTCTATTCATCAATTTCCACAATATCCAGCCTACAGTAGTTGGTCTCAGATGATGTTGTTGGGGCCCAGCGGGTGATGCTTAGCCTAACCTGCCCAGTGTGTCGGAATGCGCGGATCATACATAGCAACCTGGAGACGCACATGGCTACTCTGGCATTGTAGAGTATGCCGAATTGTTCTATTACAAAGAAACATCTCATAATTTGAATCCTTTCAGAATCTTCGAAACACACTGGCGCCTTTGACCATACCTATTTGTATGGCAACGACATCAACATTGACGATACATGCGGAACAACCTCGGCTCTAAACTGCTCCTATATCCTTGCGTAATCTAAACACCGCTACTACTCTTTGTTTGATGGATACTCCCGTAATCCCGATTCCGGCGAATGGACCGAGTCGATTCAATTTAACTACCTGTGGAACCCTCTGGTGATCACCCAGGCCCCGAAGTGGTGATCGCTGTTTCCTGAAGAAGAAAAAAAAATCACCACCACCACTACCAAATTATACACAGCTCCAGCGCAACGGCTGTCGTCTTTCCTTTTTGCATGCGCACATGTTTAGAGATAATAAAGTAACCGGAAATACCGTCCCCGAAGAAATAAAACTTGCATTGTTCTGGTACCCAATACTACTTTTAGTTCAGAAATGCGTATTCAGTACGAGTACCTGGACTAAGGCGCATCCATCTACGTGATAGTCGGATCGCCCTGTTTGAATCCGGTGTTAGAAGTCACCTGCAACAATAAATTCTCACGTCAATTTGTGGCTTGCTTTATTCCGAATCATCTATAAAAAAAAATAGGGTACGGACAGATCAGCCGAGGTGGGGCCGTCACACGTCTGTACCATACACGATTCTAAACGCCGAGGCATACACGGCAGTCAGCCCTTAATGTAGGACCCGATCGGCTTGCCGACACCACAACCGAGCCTCCTGATGGGCCCGGGAAAGCGGCATTACCACTCCACCCAGTGGGGCAAACATAGCAATCCAGCAATCACCTTCCTTGATTGTTGATCGACTCAATCCAGCTGATGCAGTTCTTGAAATTTTTGCTTAACTATTTTGATCAAGGATTGAAAAAATACTTTATTTAAAAAGAGACGCCCCCCACCATGGAATCCGACAAGTATACCACCAGTTCAAGCATCGATCGCTCTTCACCATGCCTTCAATGGAGAAAGATTCTCCCGAAGCGCCGCGACCGCAACGAATCCCCTACTGGCGCGTCCTGACCGATCAGGGCGTTTGCACCCCCGAAGTAATCGACTTTCCCTACCATGGCGCCGGCACCGAAGACAAGCCGTATGTCGTCGAATGGATTCCCAACGACCACCGCAATCCTATGGAATTTTCCGCAGGCTTAAAATGGACCTTCACTATCTTGGTCGCATTCTCAACACTCGCAGTCTCGCTATCCTCGTCGGCGTATGCCGGTGGAATCAATGAAGTCCTAACAGGCCTGGATGTTGGCGAAGAAGTCGCTACGCTGGGCGTTAGCTTGTTCGTTATGGGCTTTGCCGTCGGCCCCTTGCTTTGGGCGCCCATGAGCGAGCTTTACGGACGTCAGATCGTGTTCTTGTTCACCTTCTTCTCGCTCTCGGCTTTCTGCGCTGGCGCGGCAGGCGCGCAGCATGCCTACGTCCTAATTATCCTTCGTTTCTTCGCTGGATCATTCGGGTCATCGCCTTTGACTAACGCCGGTGGTGTGATTGCGGATATCTTCCCCGCTGAGAAGCGTGGGCTGGCTACTAGTCTCTTTGCTGGTGCACCGTTCCTCGGACCCACCCTTGGACCTGTTATTGGAGGTTTCCTCAGCGAGAATGCCGGCTGGAGGTGGGTGCAGGGATTCTTGGCTGTCTTCACAGGTGTTATCTGGATGTGTCAAAGTCTGTTGGTCCCTGAGACCTATGCCCCTGTCTTGCTACGCAAGCGAGCTGAGCGCTTGTCGAAAATCACCGGGAAAGTCTACCGCAGTAAGCTGGATATTGATCGAGGAAAGGTATCTGCCCGAAATGCCTTCGGAACTGCACTCAAGCGACCATGGATCCTCCTCTTTTCGGAGCCTATTGTTTTCTTGCTCTCCCTCTATATGGCGATTGTGTACGGCACACTTTACATGCTCTTCGACGCATTCCCGATCATCTTCCAAGAGATCAGAGGGTGGAGTGAAGGTGTCGGTAGTTTACCCTTCCTTGCTGTTATGATCGGAATGATGATTGCGGTCGGCCTCAATATGTTCGATAACAAACGTTATGTCCGCATCCACAACAAGTATAACGGATTCGCACCGCCGGAAGCACGCCTGCCACCGACCATGTTCGGCGGCTTGGCTATTCCTATCGGTCTCTTCTGGTTTGCATGGACTAATTACCCATCCATCCCATGGATTGTGTGTGTGCTCGCTACTGCGCCCTTCGGCTTTGGCATGGTATTCGTCTTCCTTGGAATCATGAACTACCTCATCGACGCATACACCATCTACGCGGCATCTGTGCTCGCCGCTAACTCGATTATCCGATCATGCTTCGGTGCCGGATTCCCCCTGTTCACCACATACATGTTCAACAACCTCGGTATTCACTGGGCATCATGTGTCCCAGCCTTCCTATCACTCTTCTGCTGCCCATTCCCCTTCATCTTTTACTACTATGGACCTGCTATCCGTCGCAAGTGCAAGTACGCTGCCGAGGCAGACGAATTCATGCGTGCATTGGCCAAGAAGAGCCATGAAACTGAAGAGATCAAGGAGAGCGGAATCCCCGAGGGTGAAAGCGAGGGCGAGAAGCAGGTTGTCGAGCCTACCAGAAATTCCGTGGATAGTGAATCGATGTCGTCTCGTTCTTCACTCGAGCGAGTTGAGACATACGAAGCGAATCCCTTCGACATTGATCGTGTGAACACGCGCAATTCTGCTATTACCCAGCAATCGAAGTCAAACACAGGCCGTGTGTCTAAGTTCTTTGGTTTCGGCCGCAAGTGAGCTTCACATGCTCGGTTGAGAATCGCTATTGAAGCACCAAAAGTTTGATCCCCGGATTTACCTGGGTTTTGTTTTCCTTGCGTCGTGGATTTGTGATACCATTTAAATACCCCCTTATTTGATAGAAGATAGATAATGTATAAATGTCTTGCATAATTGAACATTAACTCCATTTTATTGTATTTCTAAAACTCCGCTGCAGTAGGAAGCTGCTTGGGTGTGTCATCTCGATATTCGCTCGAAATCAAATGCTTGAAAGAAGGTGACCATTCTACTCGAGGGGTGAGTATGTCCAGGTCCCAGAGCTCAGAAAGGACTTTCAGGATAGAAGTGTGAGTGAAATCATTGTCTCCATCCGGCTTGTTTTGAATCAGACCCTTTCCGACCCAGGGGGATATCAATACTGTAGGAACACGAACACCTAGACGATCAAAATGAAATGTATAGTCGCCACCGTCGGCGGCCCTCTCGGTGTATGTTAGACTGTCGCCGGCTGGCACCTGGGTCGGTGGGGAGACATGATCCGCAAATCCACCATGCTCGTCCCATGTCAGAATGAATAGTGTCTCATTCCATTGAGGTGAGTTTCGAACTGCTTCATATACACTCTTGATAAAATTCTCGCCCATATTGATGGGGGAAGGCGGGTGCATTGACGTGTAGGTGCAGCACTCCGGATTGATCCAGGTGAATTGAGGCAATTCACCATTCGCAGCATCCTGGTAAAACGTGTCGATGGGTTTCACACTTGTCTTGCTTGTGATCGACTTGGCAGTCCATTCGTAGAACATTGCGTCGGGCAAAAATGGAGGGTTCGATTTTGTGGAGTTCTCGTAGTTGGTCCAGCTAATCCCTTTCTCCGACAATTGTTGGAAAATCGACCTTTGTGGCATAGCCGACCGGAGAAAGGCATCGTCATTTGTGCCATGGCCGTAGGAGGTACCGGATGTGAGGTATGCTCTGTTCGGGTTCGTGGGCCCGGGCACGGCAGCGAACCACCGGTCAAAGAGAACGTAGTTCTCCGCTATCGCATTAAAGACAGGAATATTTTCGGGTTTGAAATAATCGATCACCTCGGCTGCGCGCTCGCGCTCGAGATGGTCCACCATTTCTGGTGACATTCCTCGCGTTTCATCGTGTGTTCCTTCAGGCCTGCCTAGCCTGTCCAGCTCTTGTTGGTTCTCTAGTCGCTCCAGTCTGTAAGAAACGCGTTGCTCGGTAATAAAGCCGTCCATGGAGGATTCGGCTAGCGCGGCGGGATGGTATGATCCAAATAATTGCATATTGATGCCCGAAATGCTATGGTTGGGGTCATCTGCGGCGACGTTCTGTGCGGTATTGGCTGCGCAAACCTGACGCGAGGTGTCGGGTGCAGACACATTTGCTGGATTGCAGTATTTTCGGTTCACTAAGCCATCAATGCTGCTGTTGTATGTGAGGCCACCGGCGAAGTGATCAAATGAGAGGTTTTCTTGGACAAGCACCACGACATTTCGTATCGCACCGCGAAGCTTACTGAGCTGTTCGGTCTCCTCGAACGATAAGGGTTCCTGGTACCTTGCGGCAGTGCCGAGGGCCAGTGCAAGCAACGCTAATAAACGAGCCATGGCTGTCAAGGGAAGCACCGAGAAAAACTTTCAAGGTATTTCTTTTCTCAAGGGATACTTGGGGAAAACAGAAAATATGTTAAGTGCTCTGTGTTCCGGTCGCAACATTCTTGGGGCGTATCAGATGCGCCGATCCTTGGAGTTCCCCTCATTTTCTAGGCTTACTCCACTCGATCCACTCGATCATGTCAACATGCTCGCTCTTTGTCCGATCATTGGCTGCTCCCTACGGTGATCGCTGATGTTTGATTCCCAGCGAACACACTGTTTGGTGTCATTTGATGAAACAAAAAAATAACCAATACATGTATTTGATCCTCGACATACATGAATGTAATTTAAAAAGCGTTCGTCAGCACTTGAGTTAATGTTGAATATTCCAAAGGGTCCCGAGGTCACTGCAAACATTTGAACTTTTGGGTAGTTAGAATCGGTGCTCCCCACATCAATATATATCCAACGGGGTCGGAAAACTTCAATGTTTGGAACTTTGGAAGCATTTCAGACGGAAGTGATGGCAAACCCATTGATATGTAGATGCAACCTTCAAAGCAATCTAAAGCAAGTGCATAGTTTAGTACTACTAGTAGGTACTAGTAGGAGGATCATTTGAAAGTACTACCTACACGACTACTCAAGTCAAGTGGTGCTGGAGGGCGCGACCCATGGACCCATGGACACCTTGTCGCCTTGTCGCCTGGTGGCTGTTGTTCATGCCTCAGGCCTCAAATATCTATGATGACTCATCTCAAACTGCCGACTCCCGCTCCTTGAATTCAACAAATCATCGTCCACACGGCGGCCCCGCTACGGCGAATCCTTGGGTGTTGCCCCCTTTCGAAGTCTCCTCACCTGCGCTGATTTCTCCGATTTCCGGCAGATAGAATATCACGAGCAAACCGCTCACGTTCGATGGGGTTTTATATCGGGCGAACGCAGGCCGATCCTAATGGACTTAGACTACCGGAACTTGCTGGCACCGAATGGGCCACACTTGATTCCCCAGAGCGACTTTCGGCCACCCAGTCTCCCCCGGCCGCCCCCGGGCGTTAATTTCATGCAAAGAAGCCCGGAATCAGGTGAGATGGAGAAGACCCCGCCTGTCACGGGCAAGCGCCGCGGTGGCAGCCGAAAGGCCTGTAACGAGTGTAAGCAACAGAAGGTGAGCCACATGCACATTTCCCAAACCCCCGTTCCACTGGGTTAAATAAACGTGTCTACGCTCCCCCCTGCACCCATGCTGATATTATCGCGACCATAATAAGCTACGATGTGATATTGTACAAACACCCGCCGCGGCGTGCTCCCGCTGCCGCAGGCTCGGGATTGATTGCAAAGTTGAACAATCTTTTAAACGTATCTCTAAACGAAGGTAATTTGATTTTGTGCCTTTGCAATCAGACATTTCACTGATATTGACCAATATCTAGGCGCAATGCGGAGATGGAGAAGGAAATTGCGGATCTTCGTCGTCGTCTTGAGACCAACCCTGAGCATGAACAGGCAGATGATCATCATTCGGGCGATGATATGTCACAAGCCTCTGATGATGCTTTCCGCCGACGTGAATCTTCTGCGATAGATCGCTCGCGCCCGGTATCTGTCCCGGTGGAGACTCATCCTTCTATTTCAACCCCTCTCACGATGCAACGTTCTGGCTCCATTATCTCCCAGGATGAAAACACACCATGGAGGCTCGAAGATGTTGTACTCTCCCGAGCTCGCGTCGCACGACTCTTTGAGCAGTATGGTTCCCACTAAAATGTTGTGACCTTAAACTAACCATGCTACCAAGGTACTTTAATTACTACCACCCATTTCTCCCACTTCTGAATCTGCCAAAACCCCCGGAGGTCTATCTGGGCCGCTGTCCTTTATTAGCATGGACTATTGTTTGTGTTGCTAGCCGACGATCCCCATCAGACCCTGGTTTACTGAGTGCACTCTCGGGGCCATTCAGCCGTCTACTATGGTCAACTATCACCAATGTTCCTCAGGACTATCGAGTTGTGAAGGCGCTATGTGTCCTATGTACATGGCCTCTTCCGACAACAAGCCAGCGCACCGATGCAACTTTTATGCTAAGTGGCCTAATGATGCAAATTGCCATGCAACTGGGCTTGCATCGCCCAGTTCAGGCTGAAGAGTTCACAACATTCCAAATGGGGGTACAAGGTGAAGCACTCAAAGATCGCTTACACACCTGGATCATTTGCAACATAGTTGCTCAGAAGTATGTAAACTCCCTCATCCCCGCAAAAGCCCAATGTCTGATTATATGAAAGTGTTGCGACTGGTTACGGCCAACCACCAAGTACGATGTATGACTGGGCTCTTGAGCCCGCCTCGTTGAAGGATGCAGATTATCACCTACCGACTGATCTTGCAATTCGTCTTCGCATCGAGAAGTTCTGTGATCGGGTGACAAAGGCTTTGTATAGCAGCAAGCCCGAACCCGGTGAATTCATCAGCGTTGAGAAGCTTGTGGTCGTTCAAATCCTTGAGAGTGAACTGAGAGAGATGGAGGTGGAGTTTGGACAAGAAATCTCTGGTATTATATCTTGACTTGGTCCTGTTTTTTACCCTGGCTAATATTTTCAAAGCGATTAACATGATTCACCTCCGTGCTGCCGAGCTGCATTTCCGATACTTTGTTTTCCTGGGTTCGAATGCACGGCCCGACGATCTCACAAAGCTATTTTTCGCAACCACTTCATTCTTGGGTCGAGTATTGGACCTTGAGACCGCGCCTGGCGAATTGATTGGCCATTCCACGAATTATATCCTTCAAATGATTGTTTCCGCTGCTTTTGCTTTAATGAAGCTCCTGAAGAGCAACTTCAACAGGCATATTGACTTCAATCATGGAAAGTTGCTGTTCAACGGCGCCATCTCGGCCATTCGTCGAATCAGCGTCATGGACCATGACCGGCCTATCCGATTAGCTGATATTCTCGCTCAAATGTGGAATGCGACTGGCGCAGAACCCACCACAGAAGACGATCTTCAACTCAAGGTTCGCTGCCGGATGAGTATGAGCCACGTTTATGATACCGTATGGCGCTGGCGACAGCGGTTCCGACCAGTAAAGAGTCTTGAAGAAATGCAAGGTAAGTTTTGATAACCCTAGCGCAATATCTCTATACAGCCTTGCTCACATTTTTATTTATTCTAGCGGCGGCAGCAGCAGCGAATTTGGATATCACTACGACAATGGGACCCATGACCCGGCAACAGGATATCTCACTCGAGGATCCCTCATTGATGTTACCAACCCAATTTGATGAGAGCGGGGCATTTTTCAGCGAGGCTGGTTTCTCTGAAGTCTTCGACTCTCTCAACTGGGTCTTTGAGGGCATTCCAGATTCATTTGTTGCTCCGCCAATCTTATGAGGTTGAGCAGGTAACAGCGACTTGGTTCCTAGTATGTTGTGCTACTTCGGGTTTTCATTGTTGTCTTAATTCGACAATAGACCGTCATTCCCAGCGATTTTCTTTTATCAGAGATACCATGCAAATAAAAGTGTATTCATTGTTTCGAACCTGTCGTGCTATTTAGCCTCAACTAAGGGGAGCTTTCGAGGTTGTCACATTTTAGCCTTCATCTTATCCTCGGCCTCTAGTTGCTTTTTCTTTGGACCCGCAAACCCAAAGATGTACGCAGCGATCTTTCGCATCTGGATCTCTTCTGCTCCTTCAGTGATTCGGTACCGTCGGAAATGCCGATAGATATGCTCAAATGGATAATGACGTGAATACCCATCTCCACCATGGATCTATTCACTCAGCCTTAATTGTTGTCATGAATGAGTGTGAAAGATATTGAAGACTCACCTGAATCGCTCGATCGGCAGCCTGGCAGCATAATCTGTTGGCCCAGAAGTTACACATCGACACCTGGTCACTAAGTGTTCGCTCAATCTCAACCCACGGTGGCCGTTTGCTTCCTGATAAATGACCCTCAGCAACGATGCGATCCATTTGCCAACTCGTTTTCAGTATAAACAATCGCAGCATTTCCACCTGTGTCATAAGCTCCACGACTGGGAATTGTATTGCCTGATTTTCAGCCAGTATTTTGCCTTCTCCCCAAATCTTGCGCCCACGAGCACGTAAAATGCTTTTTTCAAGACAGAATTTCGCGGCACCACAGGCACTTGCCGCCTGTCGGACGCGATTCTCATGTACAAACGTCTGCGCAATGGCCAAACCATTATCCACAGATCCTATAATAGCAGACTCTGGCACCCACACATGGTCCAGTTCGATAGTCGCATGATCCGTCGGCATATTCATTGTCCACTCATAGCTGAGAATCTTAACACCAGGTGTTTCCCGTGGGACAAGGAAGGCAGTAATGCCTTTCGCAGACCCAGACGAACCAGAAGTCCGTGCAAAAACAATAAGATGAGTACAGTGGTGTGCACCAGTTTGCCACTTCTTCACCCCGGTAATTTCGAATCCACTACGTGCGCGACGAGCCACGGTGGACATGAATGTTGCGTCGCTCCCGTGGTCTGGCTCTGTCAGCCCGAAGGTTGAACGGAATTCACCGCGCAGGCGAGCGGGAATCAAGGTGTGGCGTTGCTCTTCGCTCCCGAAGTGATGGATCATGTAGATATCGGGGAAATTCCCCACGACGCTATGCTCATTTTGTAAATCATTTGCCAGTCCCAGGCCTCCACCGTAGGTAGGATGTGAGGCTAGGTGATACCGGATGGCGGCCATCCAAAGATTCGTGTTGGGGTGCTCTTGGCCTCCATATTGCTTTGGGAGCGCGAATCGATAGAAGCCTGCCTCATCGCCCAGTTGGCGAGCTTGACTCAACAACGCCTCCCACTCTGGTCGTGGGTTGCCATTGTTATCCCAGTCTGTTCGTGAATGTTCCCGTCTATAGTCAAAGAACCGATTATTATCGTCAGAGTGCTGGAGGGGAAGGATGGTGGAGTTGATAAAAGAATCCAGAGATTGGATATGGGACTTTAATTCTTCTGGCAAGTCAAAATTCATTTTGTTGTGCTTCCAAAAACTCATGGTGATGACATTCTTTGTTTTTATCTATGACCAAGTAATGCTGCAAGTCGCCCTTGATTTCCCCGCATTCAGGTAAATGAGCGGACCTCGGCTTACCCCCTCGCGACCTCAGCTTCTTGCACCTTTTTGCCTGAAGAACGAAGAGCTTTCTGCAAATTATTGATGTGAAAATTGGTCGACTATGAATAATCTCGTCTGATGCTAACCATATCCCTTGTAGCAACGCCTTTTGATGTGTCCGCCTACCAGCATATCAACGCCGCAAAAATATTGACCCCCGGTCGATCATGATATGGGCCACAGGGACAAGTTATCATGCACAACATTTGGAATCTTCGCTCAGCCAATAGCGTTACGATATCAAGCCATGGTGGCTGGCGAGTGTGAGAACGAGCACATATCTCCTTCTATCATAGGCACCAGCCTACTCTTCTCCAAGATCATGGTACCAAATCCAAGGGAAGGGGGTCGTGAGTAATTCCAGTTTGCATTCAATCATTAATCACAGGTGGGATTCTCAAGTCCATATTCTCTCATTCTGCCTATAATCAAGGGGTCTGCCACATTTCGCTTTCCTGCAGCAGGCGCTGACGATAATCGAATCTGCCATGAGGACCCACGGGGGGAAAATCAGCAATGAATCCTTCTGGGCATGTTTCAGCCTTTAATTTAAAACATGATTTGGAGACCGCTCAGACTGCACATTGAAAAAATGCGTCATACAACAGCCAGGCAGAAATGATGATCAAAGAAACGCGACCGGGGAAATCTTCACGTTGCCGACGAACTGATACCAACCAAGCACAAACCAGAAACCACCCTCGAACTCAAAATATTGCACAAGCCCAAGTTTGCGCCATGACTAACCTGTGTTCCACACAGATACACAATCCAGGGCTAGAGGAAGCCCAAACAATAGGTACCACAACATAGTTCGTGTAACAATCGTTTCACGAGTGGCACAGAGTCTGACCTCAACGACACCTCATTTCACCTGCGCAGCAAATATAAGCCAACAAGAAAATGATATGATTTGGAAGGTGTTCAATTCAATACATTCGCTGGTTCAGCGATTTACGCCTCGAGCTATTTTTATCATTATCGAAGCCACTTTGCCGTTTTAACCAAAGGCACAGGTCCCGTGCAACTCAAGCATTGGGTAGTTCGGAATGAAACTGACGGTGTAGGGGTAAGTGGGGTATCGTTCATGGGCTTTTTGAGCAAGCTCAACAATGCAAATTAGCACGCTCGGGAATATCCCTGCTTAGTTCTGATTTTAATTTTCCGGCTGCCCGGGATATATGTACGACTTCAGCGGCTATTCCCAAACCCAAAAACCTGGGCCCTCGATAGTGTGCTGTCAATGCTGTTCAGTCTCACAGAAACTCACATGGTATCCCTGATAACATGGGGTCTGTGGTACCATGATGGTTTGGGCTTCTCCATAACATCGGCTTTGCTTTTTCACTTTGGATCGAAATAGGAAAGTCACTGGTGTTTGTATGTGCGAATCTATGATTCCCCATTCATGTGCTGCTTTGTGTAATGTTTTCAAAGTTTGAATAGTAGATGAGTTCATGTCGGAATTTTCCATGTCTGTTGAGGCGACATCTGGAGGGTTAGACAAGCAGGTTGACTCCCAGATTGATTGGTGCTGACATCCTTGAAATCCAAATTTTATACCATGAAGGCTCGTAGGCGAAGGACTACTGTACGTGGTGTGTGTTCTCTTCGAAAGATATGAGAAAAGTTCAATATGTCGTTCTTCAAATATTGAATCAAGGAGTATGCGCAAAATATTGATAGAAATCAATATCATTGAGTGTATGTACAATGGGTGGACGCTTCAAACCTGGAAATTGGAATTGTTCTGTAGATGCGCAAAATTGATTCTTGCTCCACAGGTCAACTATTGACACATGTCAAGAGACCCAGTACCGTGGCCATGTATTTTAAACACAGCTATAGCATCTGTTGGGCCTCGTTCTTGGTCTGATCTACAAGTAGAGCATATTCAAATTGGCCATATCTGAAGTATATGCCGGAAAATAAGTACTTCCTCTAACTTGATGTGAATACCGCCACATCTGCTTGCCTACATATACCCTGAGCCTTTGCAATACTATCACCGGCTAGCCATTTTCTATTACTATCAAAATGCACCCTGCTCTAAATTATCGACAGTCGCGTAGATCGGCTTGTGACCGATGTCGCGGGTTCAAACTACGCTGTGAACGCGATCATGTGAATGGCAGATCATGCGAAAGATGTCTCAAAGCTCAGGTCGTGTGTACGACAAGCCTCAACCACCCCTCCTCAAATTACATATCTTCTAAGAACAACCACTGCTCATATCCAGTGGATTGTGATCCAAGATTTATGCATATGGGCGGCGAGCGACAAACTCCAATGCCCATCTTGCACAAATCTTCCAACTCGAAAGTGAAGAAAACCGTGTCATCGGGAGGCTACCACAAACTCGACCATCAACGATACGACATATGGCAGTATCCAGACAGCCTGGTCCCCTGGAATACGGAAGATACGCCCCCTTTTCTGGGCGACATGGGCTATCAGCCTTCGCTCTACCCTGCTAGTTCATTCCAATTCGATCAATGGAATGAGCCACAGCCGCCATGGACCCCGGGCTTCTACCCCATGGTGAGAATCTAAGAAAAGGAATCGCGTTCTGAGGTTCATAAGTAGCTGATGAAGTATTGAGCAGGTCCCAGTAGAGAATTTCTTCTCTGAATCTGACTACCCCCTCGATCACCAGCCTTCAACCGAAGATGCGTTCACAATGGAGCATGCATTTAACCTCAAAGATGAGTCGCATACCAATGCTCCATCCTCCCTGCCATCGCAGCCTCCCAGTCTTATAGACTCGGGTTCATTTCCCGTCCTGGACAGTAACTGGGACAACCCCTGGGACAAAGTCCCCATGGCCAATGAGACCCACAACAACAGAACAAGAATCTCAGTTGATGCGAAGAGCTACTCTGTGCGCAAAAGAATCCTGAAGCTTAACCTCGAAATGATCAATGATCTCGAGGCCTTGGAGTCAGACTCTGATATTATGCAATCCTTGAACATTTTGGGAGATGACATCAGCTCCCTGGGAGGCAGACTTGAGGTTCCCATTTTTCGAATGCTCAATCACTCGACAAAATTCTTAGACATAATTGAATCTGGGCTCGGTAGATCGGAAGATCCATCCCATGATCAAACCCCAAGCGTTGAATCTGCTCCGTTCGAGGATGCCAAGAACTTTCCAAAAAGCCGAGAGCAATCCACCGCATTTGTAGCATCGCCTCAAGACCACACCGATCGCACAGTCAGTTCGCCACAATCAGATCGTAGCAGAGGCCCCTCACTGCCAGCTTACGACCTGGTAACTTCCATGGGTATGCTCACAGCCTATAGCCATCTGAACTGCATCTATTGTGCTATTTTCAACCGGCTGTACCAACTATTTCTTCTTGTCCCACCTGCGGAGGCCTCTTCATTCCTGCTGTTACCCAACTCGCACTACGGACAGTTTAATATGGACAGGAATATCACATTACAAATCCACGTTTTGACTGACCTCTGTACCAATATGTTGGCAAAAATGGAACTTGCTTTGGGGATGTCTTGCGGTGAGGTTGATGGAGACATCAATCCGGTCACGTCTGATCTGGGAATTGGTGGTCCCCTGGCTTCTGTCCGTGATCAAATTATGACCGAAGAACGGAATGAGTGTAGCATTCCGTTGAAAGAGACGATGGCATGCCTCCGAAAACTTGTGAATGATCCAAGCTTTGTATGATAACTTTATTTGGATGGATTCCCTTAATGACGCCCGGGTGCGTATGCGTTCATATAGACTCTGGTCAGCGTAATCACTTCAATGTTTGTTCAAATGTTTGCATGGATTCCGAATGGGTAGTTCAAATGAGTGAACCTTGAAAGTGATTACGAAAGAACAGCGTTAGATCCCAAGCTTCTCCTTATCAGCATATCGTTACTACCTAAGCCTTGAATTAATTTCCATCGAGGTGATGATCAAAACTGTACTCAGCCCGGTCCGCGGTATTTGTACACATGCGATGCATTTCGTCCTCAATCAAGTGCAGTGCTTTCGGGGGAAACTTCACACACATGGATCTCATATGTGCTACTTTGACAAGCATTATACTGAGGCTGGTAAAGAGGCACTGCCTGATTTTATTAAAGGTGCCAATGGGAAAAGAGTCAAAGCACAAGAGATACCTGATTTGTATAAATACATCCTGTAATGTGATTAGGATGCAGGTGTGCCTGGTTTCTGCCTGCAGCTTATGGCGTCGCGCTGTTAACACACTTACCTAAATGCTAGTGTGAAAGACTAAATTAAGATATGCGCATTATCAAACTGCGCGCAAATCATACTAGAAGTGACAATGTCAGTCCTGTAGCGTTTGACGCGAGTATCGCGCAGTGTCGCGCAAGGTTGAGATTTGGATATTAACGTTTTTGTTAGGATATGCGCATTATTAGATTTCATAATCTCGCGACACTCTATGTGAGGATTGTGCAGTATCTTATACAGTTGACGCTTAATAAAAATATTGATAAACTTGTTAGGATATGTGCATTTTTATCTCATCATGAATTACGAATAGCGAATCGCCTACGAAAAGCGAATCGCAAACTAGGAACCGCGGACCGCAAATTGCGAACTGCGAACTACGAACTGCAAACTGCAAACTGCAAACTGGAAACTGCAAACTGGAAACTGCAAACTAAAAACTGCAAACTGTGAATTGCAAATTGTGAATTGCAAATTACGAATCGCGAATCCCATGAAGACCGCGAAATTTAGTGAGGGGATTATATAGTCGGCTGATATCCTATAAGAGTAACACTTAGTAATCCTTATAGTATCAAATTTGTTAGGATATGTGCATTTTTGTCTAATCGTGAATGCGGGTCGTGAGTCCTACGGATCGTACGAAATTCAGGGCCAGGATTTTATAGTACCTTATTAGATTAATATAGATTTGACAATTAATACTTATCATGTCGAATCTGTTAGGATATGCGCATTATTATGATATGCTGCTTAAGCGCTTATCCTTAACGTTTATCGTAAATACTAATTAATGGTTAATACTATGTTCTGAGGACTACGTACACCTGGACCTTTCAAATGTTTGTAAATCCTAAGCTTGTAAGGCTATGTGCAGATTTTCATCCGATTAACAATTCATGATTGACGACTGATGATTGATGATTGACGATTCGATTCACGATTGACGATTGATAATTCACGATTCGATTCACGATTGACGATTGACGCCTCCGATTAACTATTAAAGCCCTCCGATTAGATGTCCTATAGACCCTAAGTCTCTAAGGCTATGCGCAGATTTCTAACAATTCATGATTAACGATTGACGATTGACGATTCACGATTAACACCCTCCGATTGGTGCTCTCTGATTGACGCCCTCTGATCGGACATCCTATAGACCCTACGTTTCTGAAGGCTATGAGTAAATTTATATATAATTGATGCCCTCTGAATAATGGCTAACAATTGCTGATTGATACCTCTGATTGATAATTGATGATTAGACGTTCTATAGAGCTTGAGTTTCTAAGGCTATGTGCAGATTTTCATCCGATTAACAATTGACGATTGACGATTGACGATTCGATTCACGATTGAAGATTGACGCCCTCTGATCAAGTTATTGAAGCCCTCTGATTAGATGTCCTATAGACCCTGAGTCTCTAAGGCTATGCGCAGACTTCTGACGATTCATGGTTGACGATTATTGCATTGATGTGACGACTCACGATTGACGATTCACGATTGGCACCCTCTGATTGGACGTCCTATAGACCCTGCGTTTCTAAAGGCCATATGCAGATTTATATCTAATTGATGCCCTCTGATTAATGGTTAACAATTTTTGATTGATACCTCCGATTTACGATTGACGATCGACGCCCTCAGATTGATAATTGACGATTAGACGTCTTATAGAGCTTGAGTTTCTAAGGCTATGTGCAGACTTTCATCCCAATTGATGGACTCTGATTAACGATTGACGATTGACGATTTTACGCCCTCCGATGACCTCCTCCGATTAGACATCCTCCAACAGAACAAGCTCCGATTGGACGTCCTCCAACTGCAAATCCTCCGATTAGATCTCCCCTAATTGGAGCTCCTATTAAATCTGAGTTTCTAAGGCTATGCACAGTTTTTCAGAATCGGACGTCCTTCTTGTGGACCGTCAAGTTTAATTAGACTCCTATTTTAATGAATTTAACGGGATATGTGTGTTGTATTAATTGCTCATCCTTTGTGCACATAATTATATAAATAATTGTTCTTGGAATTTTGCGAATCCCGCGACGCTCACGCTCAGCACCGCAAGAGTACATATAACTAACGTAAGGTTGACACTTGCTGCTAGTATTAAAGGATGTTTAAGTATATTATATCCCCATCATTCTATTGACCGGCAGAATAAAGAACGTTGATAAGAGATGCATGGAAATCCTGGCGGAAAATGTGCGGTCTAAGCCTCCACACTTCTGTTGCAGACAGAAATCCATCCTAATCGGGTTAAAGTGTGTCTTCCTCGCATCTCCGCCATAATATTCGTTCGTGGCCAATGTTTATGGATGAACAGACCCCACGGCGAGGAAGATTTTTGTGTGCAAAGAAACGTGCCGAGTGACCTTTCAAATCGAAAACTGCTGTGTTTCTGCGTGATCATTCTCAGTCTTCGTCAAAAGAGTGGGAAACTGGGGAGTGGTACTATGGGGTAGCAAACACCTTGAAGTTGATCACTCGCCAGCGGCTTGTCCTTTGTCTCACTTCTCACGCCCGGTGGGCTAAGAGAAGGGATTGAAGGAATGAGCAAAATCATTTCAACAAGCAAACGAATAAGAAATCGATATAACTACCTCACATGATGGGTTATAGGACAGCAGGTCATCAGGTCTAAAAGTAACTCGATGACCTGATTTTCTAAACACTCTCACATGATAGCATCCTTTAGCGAGAAGGATGCTCCCAGTGAAGTTTGATTGGCAGGGGCGAGGAACAACCTTGAACATATGTTATCAAATATTCAGCTTCAGCCCCGTAGTTTCCGAGGCCGATACCGAATCCGAGATCTGGTTTTGTTCTTGCTTTGCATCCCACCTGACAGATGTTCAGATACTCATATTTCAAGAGCGGTTTCCGCTCATTCATGAACGACTGACCAAGCCCCAGAGAAAGTTCCCTTGTAATCCTCAGTCGACGCAATCATAAGGAAATGGCCGCTCCCATCTCCAAAGATATTACTAATCTAGTTGGAAAATGGAGACTGGTACGTGCCCCTGTCTTTCATAAAGAATGAGAATTTGGAATTAATTTATCTGTTCAGAACAGGAAGCTATCTGACGATCCAGATGCAGTGTTCGCTTTGGTATGGACTTTACCTCAAACTCTCTCTTCCCTGTTATCTAAATGACTAAATCGAAACAAAACAAAAATAGCAAGGTGTACCCTGGATTACACGCAAGGTTCTCCGTTTCGCCAACCTTTCTTTGGAAATCACCCAGTCGGTTTCGTTGTCGGATACAAGCAGCGAAAGCGCCACCGACTCCTCTTCGGACATCGGTTCGGTCACGACCATGCATGTGAAACAAGTTGTTCATCCGGGTGGATTCAACAGTGAGACATCTTGCCCTCTGAACGGAGTTGGACAGGACATGTCATTGCCCATTTTTGGAGACATCACAATGCAACTGCGGTACATGAACACCGCGACCATCATGGACGACGAGCTGCGCAACGCGTTCGAAGAAGGCTGCTCTTCCAATTTGGTCATTGATGAGGAAGCCTACAATACTAAAATGGATTGGACTGCGCGTGTTTTCTGGGGGTTTGAGATGATCGATGGGAAGAGGTATTTCACCCGGCATGCGACGACGAAGAAGGGGTCGAAGAATGATGGAATAGTTACTGCGCGGATGGTGTATGATTATGAGACTCAGTGAAGTGATAGCGGCCATTTTCTGCAGGCGGCACATTGAGATTCCAGGTAGGGTGGTTTTGTGGACCTCGTCTTTCTGCACCGTAGGGTAGTCCACCTTCAATCTTGTTCGAAGAACTCTGGATAGTAATGGCGAGAGCAAGATATAGTTCAAACCACTATTTTTAAACTCTGTTGTCTCTGTTGTCTCTGTTCTACACATTTACGTCGGACTCTATGCATTTTGCAAAATAAATCAATTTTCCTCGACGTTGGAAATTGGTAGAACGAATCCCAAGTCAAAACAATAGTGAATCCACACCACGGGAAGAATTCATAAGAGACTCCATACATATGAATCACTAAGAGGAACCCTGGTTGAAAAGAGATTAAAAAATTCAAAGCTCATAGGCAAACAACAAGCTTCTTTCCAGACACCGTTCCATTCTTGAGAATATCCAGTCCACTTAGAATGCCATCGAACCGACCTGGAAGAATATCCACAGGTACAGGCTTAAGCTTGCCAGATGAAATCAACCCCTGGACGCACTTATACCAGGGGCGCGCCCATTCTCCAATTTCCGGACGAGGCGGGATCCCGTACGGCTCTGGAAGCTCAACACCCTTCCCGGCTATAGCCCCACCCATAACCAGCTCATGCTTGATAGTTTTGCGCTCGCAGAGACTGCTATCGTACTGCTCCAGGGCGCAGTACCGACCACCCGTCCGACCCATTGCCTCATGGCATAAGCGCAACGTCTTGGCCTCTGAGAACGGATCGAGGACAAATCGAAGTGTGTTCTTGGTTGCGGCCCTGACATCCTTCGCGCAGGTCGGGGAATTATAGTCGAATACAAGATCTGCTCCGTAGGACCTGACCAGGTCAAAATTGCGAGGAGAGCACGTTGTAATGACTCGGTAACCACATCTGTAAACAAAGCCTGGGTTCAGCAATGTCACTGAAAAGGGAGATGGAACAGACTTACAGCTTCACCATCTGGATTGCCAGTAGTCCGATAGTACTGCTTCCACCATATATCAGGACATCCTCCGGCTTCGTGACCGGAGCGTCGAGCTTGCCTGTGATCTGTAGTGACCAGAATAGTGCCACCCCGAGAGTTGCAATTCCAGTTCCCGATATTCCGGGCGCAGTGGTAAAGGGCATATCGTCAGGAATGTGGAACGTGAAGTCCGGTTCTGCGCGAATATATTCGCAGTATGCCCCGGATTGAGGGTCGGATTGGTTGGAGCCTTGGACAGCACCAACAACTCGATCTCCGAGACTGAATCGACCGTCGGCTGCGACCTGGCTTCCTAATGCGACGACGATGCCCGCAAAGTCACAACCATCCCACAGACCCGGAGTGGGGAATCTAAGGGGCATCTTGTAATCACACAGATTTAGAGCGACTGCTTTGGTAGCGACAAGCATTTCATGAGGACTGATCACTGGAACTGGCATATCGGAGGTGATTTTCAGGACCCCACCTTCATGCTGGAGGATTGCCGTCTGAGACTCCGGGATATTGTAAGTGGTGTTCTCCATTTTTGAAAGTATTGAGTTTCAAAAGACAATTTCCGTGGCTTCAGCAATGGGCCTAGTGTATGAGAAGAATAAACAATAATGCAAATCCTTGATGTCATTATGTTGATCATTAGATTCGAACATGGGTTTAAAGGATTTCGGATTCGAAGCGCCCATCTGTTATCTGCTCACTCGGCCAAGCGTCAGTGAATGCAGGTTATGCATTAGAGTGTTTCGCGTACCACATCGCGAACCAGAGTCCCAGTCTGATTCCAAATGATTTTCGGCCTCGACTGCTAGGCCGAGTTCTCGGGGTTGCATGGAACAGCGCAGAAAATGGCCGACTGGCGCGAAAGAGCAGTCTCGTTGCAGATTTGGGTAGGCTGGTAAGGTTGCAGTAGGATAAATAAAAGGATCAATTGATCTGGGTGTTCAAGTCAGGAGATCGCAGATTGACCCAATAGTAAGGAAGAAACTCAACCGGTGCTTTTGGTGTTGTGGTTTATTGTAGAAAAAATTGAAAGGTAGATATTTGGAATATTTGGGTCCGAGCGACGCGAGGCGTGCGGCGTATGCGAGATCCGGAAGATATAGTACAATACTATATCAAACTATCATCGTATCGGAAAATCATGTAGTTCGTGGCGTTCTACGCCTACATCCGCATACCACCCAGCTACATTCGCTCTCTCCTACCAAATCCGCTCTCGAAACCCCTCTCTTTTATCGTCGAAAGTTTAAACTCCGAGCCACTTTCCAAAATTCCAACATACCACTACATTTAAGAACCAGTCGCATTCTTGTCTATACTTGACTGTTTGTGGATAAAAGTATATATATGAGCTGAGTAGTATACACACGCACGTGATCAAAGCATACAACCCGCATATTCTAGCACGTGACTAGCACACATGCACATCAAAGATAACATGTGATTAGAGTATAAACACGTGACCATAATATACGCACGGATGGATTGATGCCCACATGCATGTGGATTTTGACATTAAGACATGGCTAATATAACAAGGTTCCAACACTGACATTCCCGAATCGATAAATGCATGAACTCAAAAACAAATCAACATTTCCTTCGCCCCGGGGTTACTTAGGCAGCACTCTCAGTCATATAGCCATCTGCGGCTCTTTCCCCTGGAAAATCGCATTGAACATACTGTCACTGGAGAGGTGATTAATTGACTTTCAATGCCATTTGGGATGTCATAATTGGACAGAAGAACCTTGTGGATGAAGAGATTCAAAGCCAAAATTAAATGGCCAAACATAACTGGTTTGTGGTGAGGAACATGAGGAGATTGGATTGTTTTGGATTAGATCGTCAACTCAAAACGCCCGCGGCCCCGCATTCTCCGCTTTTCCATCTCGTCATTCAACGCATGGATTTCACCACCATACGCTACGTCAGCCGATAGGCCGTTATTTGCCGATGGTCCGCCACGTATTCAACGCAATGCCTCGCTGTCGGCAGACTGGTCATTTCGGAATCCTCGCAAAGCGAGTCTTAAATTAGCGACAGGTATAGGAGGTATGGGATCTAAAAATGCCTCAAGACCATCTCGTTCACGGTTTGGTGAGTGTCAAGACCGGAATAAACAAACCATGTCGATATACTAACAAGAATCTAGGTTGTCGTACCTGCCGAGCACGCAAAGTAAGATCATTCAAGTCGTGCCTGCCTTTGACCTTCCGTTCTGATCTGAAAAACAGGTCAAATGCGACGAAAAGCCAGGCGAATGCGGCAATTGTTCGCGACTCCGGCTGGTTTGTTCTGGCTATGGAGATTCACCGAGTTCACAGGCCCTAGAGGTTGCAAAAGACAGGACGGAAAGTTCGAAACGGAAGAGAACTTATAGGTCGTGCACGGCCTGTCGTTCAAGCAAGACCAAGTGCTCGGGAGAGCGACCGACGTGCCGAAGATGTCAAGACAAGGGTCATGGATGTGTTTACTCCGAATCATCGCAGCCAAGTTGGATCCGGCGCGTGGAGAGTATTCCAACAGACACTAAGAAACCACTTTCTAATCCTTTGGTCATTCCCGACCGGTCTTCAAGCGATCGAATGGACCAGGAAACACTACGACTGGACCAGATTTCCCCGCATTCTTCAGGGTCATCATTTCATCAATCTCTCTTGAAAGAAAGTATTGAGCCTACTCCTGCGCCTTTAAATTGGTACTACTGGCATCACACACCTACCCCTATGTGATTTATTTGACTAATACACTGTTATTAGGTTGACTGCTTCACAGCTGCCCGACCGAGGAAAGATAGGCCTTTTGGTCGAAGAGTTCTTCAATAATATCCACCCTCTTAGGTGCTTCGCCTTTATCCATAGACCGTCATTCCTTCAAAGACTCGACAGAGATGGCCCCAAGAGATATCAGAGCCATGCACTCCTGCATATTATATGTGCTCTGGGTGGCCAGTAAGTGACTTCGCTCGAAGTCCGCGTTGATCAAAGATGATTAACAATGTACAGATTCCATGCACTATCATATAGTGAAACAATGTCACCACTTCCAACAAAGTTCATTCTTATGGCCGGGGCTGAGTGGGCTAAGATTGCCCAGAGGTTAATTCTCGAGGCTCTCGATACAGTTACTGTGGAAAAGACAATGGTAAGTCGAATTGTTCTTTATTCACTGGCGATTTGATCTAACACTGCATGGATGAAAGGCGTCAGTTCTGCTTCATGACCACGCGGTCCGCATGGGAAATTTCGCAAATGCTTTCATGCTCAGTGGACTCATAACCCGAATGACCCAAGCGCTTCAGATCAACTTGGAATACAATACAGACGTGCTATGCCAGAACACTGAGGTTGGACCTTCCGTCACAGCTAGAGAATGCCGAAGGAGGTTAATGTGGAGCTGTTATATTATGGATGCTCTTGTTGGGAGTGGAGTTGACCAACTCACGCTGGTAGATGAAAAGGACATGAAGATCCAGTTACCTTGCAACGAAAGAAATTTCATCCAGCAAATTCCTTGTCTTACTGAAACATTGGAGCCCGGAAACTGGTTGAAGTTCATACCTGGTGAGCTTGACAGTGATGCACTTATGCCCAATATGGGAATGATGGCATATTTTATTCGACACATCTCAATTCGTAAAAGAGTATTAAGGTGAGTTCAATATTGACAAAATAAAAAGGGCACTTTGCCACCCACCGAGCTTCATGTCACTTACTTCAATTCTAGGTACATCAAGCACCTTGATGAAGCAATGGTTCCTTGGGCACCGGAATCCGAGTTTGCAATTCTGGATCGAGACTGTCGTGCTTGGTATGACACCTTGCCAGCAAGCTTGCAATTCACGCCGAACGCAGTTTACATTCGAAAGGACTCTTCCCAACTTGGCGCTCTCTGTGTATTGCATTGTGCCCATTACCAAACAATATGCGATTTATATCGGTTGGGAGCGCCTGCTCTTTACAAACTTCGCGCTGCATTTGACTTTCCCCCCGAGCAGCACGCCTTCCTTCGGCATTTGCAAGAAGTATTGTTCGATGCTGCAAGGGCTCTAGCAACAATAATTGGCGAGACGGCTCATCACGGGACAAGGCTATTGGCTGATTCATGGCTGCCAACTATTACATATGACAGCTGCCGGATCATGGTATACCATCTGACACAAATTCTAAACCCTCGTGCCGAGGAAACAAAGATAATCACCATGGAAACTTTGCCACTTCTGAAAAGTAACATTGATGCTCTGAAATTGATGGGGTCACTGAGTGTTATCGCGAACTCACTGGTAAATAACCACCTCAAACTCCAGGTTTCCATGCTTGTGATTGCTAACTCATCTACTATTCACAGTGCTCCGCCGCCGAAACCATGTTGGATCGTTCTGGTATCGGCTCCGAAGTAGTCGCTCACAACAGCATTCCAGATGACCCATATCAAACAGGCGACGAGGGACCGAGGTAAATACACCCCAAGCAGAACCTTGGAATTTTTTAGAGGTACTAACAGTCCGTGCAGTGAAAGCCCACCCGGGACTCCGATCCAAAGCGCCCCCGATTATGTCCTCAATCCACTGTCTATTTTCCGCATGGCGCGAAAGTCGATCCCGGAAAGACATGCACCAGAAAAAGCAACCACTTCGTCCGCGCCGAATAGCGCAGTTCCCGAATCAAATCCGGATCTTGAGCACTCGGCCGTTGGGGTTTCTAGCGAGGGCCCAGGAACGGGTGCCTCGAACGACGTTGAATTCGGTCAAGCAAGCCTTGAAGAGCTCCAGACGCTGTTCATGTCAGATCTTGGGTGGACATGGCAACCGGCCGATACTGCTGTTGGGTCCGGAATTGAGGGGGCTGGTCTGATGCCGTGGGCTGGAGGATATCCTGCCACGCAGGCAGAACCTTGGCTTCCTGTGTTTCCTTTTCCACAACAGAATTGATTAAAGATACCCCTAGTCGAGAATGAAAACCCCTTTAAATGGTGTCTCAAACCTTGTATGTGGATGGAAGATTATGGCATCCGAAGTAAGAAAGTAGATAGGAATTTGACTTGGGGTACTTTCATTGGTTATCATCAAGTTCTATCATCGTTTGGTATTGGTCCTTTTGAAAGACTGGTGAATACATAAATGTTAGGGAAAATCATGCACGATTGGTACCTCCAACTGCAGATAAAATTGGCAAGATTGCGCCCAATTGCAAACATGTCATCACGGATTTCCATCGTCAGTCCCAAGTACACAATTTAATTAACGAAGGCTGTTTCGAAGCCAAAGCGTCAAGTATTCTTATTTTTTTTTTTTTGGCTCCCTTCACAGGTTGCCACGACGGGGATAGGCAACACCATCAATGGCAGGGTGATCGGTGAACCAGCTCACCTTCTCACCGCCACCTTGGTTAACCAAAGCGGAAGGAAGACTGCGACCAGCCTCGGTATCGAAGATCTCCTTCATGATATCCTTCTTTCCAGCACCAGTAGCCACAAAAGCGATGTGAATAGCAGCAGTGACAACGGGGAGAGTAAGGGTAATACGCTTAGGGGGAGGCTTGGGCGAGTTTGTCTCCGGAGCGACCCAAGCATCCTTCTCCCGCAGCAGGTCGTGACCAGGGAACAAACTGCACGTATGACCGTCCGGTCCACAGCCCAAAAGAATCAAGTCAAAGATAGGCGTCTTGACGCTATCCTTGGCGGCGAACACGCGCATCAAGTCCTCCTGGTACAGATCCGCCAGCTCCTGGGTATCATCTTTCTTGACGGCCTCGGCATCGATGGGGTACACGGTCGGAGCTCCGAGCTCCGCAGGGATCTTGCTGAGCAGCTCCTCCTGCAGCAGGCGGTAGTTGCTGTCGACGTGGTCGAGGGGCACGGCGCGCTCGTCCGCGAAGAAGATGTGCCACTTGGAGAACTGGGGGGTGTCTTCGGGGGTGCCGTTGCTGGGGGCTAGAAGGGCGCGGGCGAGCACGGTGGGCAGGGAGCCGCCGGAGACGGCGACGCGGAAGCTGCCGTGGCGGGCTAGGGCGGCATTCTGGCTGGAGAGTACGTACGGGCGTAATTGCTCGGCTAGCGTACTTGTGCTGGGGAAGCTGTAGAGGTTGGGTTGTCCGGTCGCCATGGCTGTGTGTGTGTGTGGTTTGTAGAGGCGAGGCTGGGCTGATGGGTTGTGGGTTCAAGTAACTTGTCTCTCGCGTCACTCGGTGACTCGGCGGGGTTGGCGGGGCGAGGGGTGAGGGGCTGCTCTCGTGGAATTTCCCGCCAAATACGCACCTTGCATTGTGCACAAGGGCTTAACAGGGCCGGAACGGGATATGACGTCGTACTTTGTAAGATGGTGCATCTTATCTCGTCCAATGGTTTCGCGTTCTTTCTCAAGTTCTTTGCCAGTGAGGTTAGTCATCACTGAGGCCTAAGGCTCTGATATCTAATTCCTTACTATTATTCGTCAATTGATCGTGGATTTCTGACGGCTATCAAGCACGTGAATATATGACTCGTAGAGTACATCGGGTGAAGTCTGTACCTAAATGAGCATTGTATATCGCCACGAGTCACGTATTCACTACCCACAACATTGAAAACGAAGTATGCATTCTAGAGGGAGTACGGAGTACAAGGAAACCTATTGCAATTTGCCTTGTCCATATATATTGGTGACTCGATCATTCGGAGCTACACAGCATTTGAAGTTCCAGAATATACACCACTTGAGGTTCCGGCATTGGCCTCGATGTCCCCATCCTTTGTGGGGTATGTCTCTGGAGTAACAGCTTGCGTCTCACTCCCGCTCTTCTTCAGCCCGGGAATGGAAAGCGTGTTCACATCCAGAAGATACATGTACCAATAGTACGTTCCTGGAATAAGGTCAGTAACGCTCAATAACCATTTTAAACAATCAACCGCTTCACCTACCGCAAAATACACCACCACCGAGAATGTTGCCGATTAAAGCAGGGATGATACCCTTCCAAATGTATAAACCAACAGAAATTTCAGGCGCTTTCAACCAGATAGCAAGGGGAACAAACGTCATGTTGGCAACAACGTGGTCCATGCCGAGAGAAACGAAAGCGAAAATCGGCCACCAGATACCCATGATCTTAGACGCGAGATCACGTCCCTGCATACCGAAAAAGCATGCCAAGCAAACTAGCCAGTTACAGCCTATTCCACGCAGCAATACCATGTGAAAGTCAGGTGTAACCTGCTTTTTAGTCGCAAACGTGATCACCTCGGACTTGAAAGGGTCGGCGTCAAAAATTCCACCATCTTGCGATCGTATGTCAGTTTCAGACTCGGGAATAACTCTCTTTGTTGAAGCTACAACTCACAACCAAAGATGATGGCCACCATAAAGAGCGACCCTGCCAAATTACCAAAAAACGTGACCACCCAATGGGCCAGCATCTTCCACCAGGGAAGCTTTCGTTGCAGAGCCGCAACTGTGGTATACTAGCTCGGGGTTAGCAATTGGAATGGTGGCTTCTGAGATGTGCAGATAATATCTACCATGAAAGATCCGGTACAAAGGTCCGCGCCCGTTAAAATAATCATGCACAATCCATAAGGGAATACCAAAGCGCCGATCGTGCGAATCAAGCCAGGGGCATTTTCCGCGAACCAGGGCGACGAGTTCGTGCTTAAAGCAGTGGCACAGGCAAAAGACAGCAGGCAGCCAGCCGATACAGAGCTTAAAAACACCCTGTCTAATCGCGTGTGTCCTTTTATTACTCCGGATCTTGCCACGGACTCAATGACCTCCTGGACAGAGTACGAGTCGAAAGACATAGTGATATATGGAAAGGCTATATCAATTCTTGGCGAAGTCTTAATTCAAGGATGTGGAACGAGAAAAAAAGCTTGAGTACATTAAGCCACCGGGTGCGACACGGAGGGTTTTTCTGGGGTAAACACGCTCTTTTATAAGGTAATAGGCATGTGATTTCCAAAGTACTAGTACAGCGGGCTAGGCCGCCCCTTTAGACATGGAGGAAAGGAATGCAAATAGGAGCTGGGGGCCAAAGTGGATAAAAAGGGTGCAATAATTGGATGGAGATAGGTCCATGCTTTGAATGTTGATCTTCTAAGCTACATAGATCTTAGCTACATAACTTAGACGGGAAAAAGATAAGCGATAAGCTCGTGTTTGTGCAGACTCTGCAGAGAGCTGAAATGCAGTGATCCCTTAGTTGACCAGTGAGCTCCGCATTTTTTATCAGGCTTCCTGCCTTGGCGGTCTTGGCACAAACGCGCTTTTTCAGCTTCATCTCCGCGGATTATGTGAACATTTGAATGTTTTTTTCCTGCTAGCTTCAACGAACGTTCCTTGGTACTCCTAAGCTCAGATTCTACAAATGCGGCGCTGTGATGGAGTGTCCAAGGGCGACATAATGACGTCAAAAAACCAGCTTTGCCTCCAATGCTCGCCACGACTCAGAGCTTCATAACTGAAATAAGGCATCTCATCGCTTCTCCTCGATGAAATGATCAATGAAACGGGCCAGCTATCCACCAGAAAGGAAATTCGAGAAACATCATCTTCCAAAATTCAGGGGCCAAAATGGTGAAAGCTAGAGAAACTGTTATTAGGTAAGACACCTGTATTTGCTTTTTTCCGACTTTAGCGCCCCCTAAATAGAAACTAACGAGAAGCCATTCGGTAGCGAGTTCAATGATCTCGTCAACATGACCCCAAAGGAACTACGTGATTGGCTCAAGGAGGAGCAATCGATCTCATCTGGATGGACAAATGATTCCGGTGAGACTGTTGGTCATGAAAGGTGAATTTAACTTTACTACGCCTGGAGCTAGTATGTCAGGATTGACTAGTACGATAGCGGTCGGAAAATTGTGCAGATCCTTGAGCACAACCCCGATGAGGACCCCTCCGGTTACTCGGATTCAGAGATCGACCACATGCGACGTGTGGTTTCTTACTGCAAGCGCCACCTGGCTCAGGAGGAAAGCGTGAAACGCAACACCGAAAGCAAGAGCTATCGATCCCTCAAGAACTGGGGTCATGATGCGTTGAAGGAGTAGATTGGAATATGACGCGATATGAACTACACATCCAAACAATCGCTCCTTGGAGTCCACTGAGGTTGTTTCACTCCCTCCTAGGTATCTGAGTTCTTTTGCACTTGCGGGCGATTTTTTGAGGATACATTCAACATTGAAATGTTGTCCCTTTGTGTATATCCGGGTGCAATGCAGTTTACGTTTACTATATTGGGAAAAATATATACACTGACCTTCGAGGTATGATTTTTGAATTTTAAAGCACCTCCATTTGTCGAATAGTGGTTTGGCCGTTGGCCATCAATTTACATAACCCACAGCCCGGGATTCTTAGCAACCTGGCTGTTGCTTGTGCCAACATGGATTTGGAATTCGACAGCTGGTCGTCGTTAAAAATATCCCGATCGACCTCAAGAAGATGCAAGTGCAAGCACTTGTGGACGAAACGTCAAGGTGCTACCATCAAAGGTAACATGGAGCTAGCTCCTACCTGTATAGGTAGTCATATATCTGCTGTATTATAGGTTATGGGAGCCGACCATTCGATGTTTGAACATTTGAATGAAGTTTGGCTCCTTCCCGATGTGGTACCTGGAAAGGCTGCCTGATGATTACTTTTTGGGCAGAATCATGGTACTTTTTGGAACCACGCGCGGACAAGGTACCTGACATGGTTCCTTACAAGGTTCCTTGCATTCTTCCAGAATCCTTTCCCGGCGGTGGAGCCATGGCCTCTGCTGCCTCATCTCCAGAGTCGCACAGGCTCAAGCGTGGTATTCCAAATATGTCTGCCATGTGCATTTGTGACATCAAGGTTTTTCCACTCGACAACGTCACTTCGTTTTGTGAGATATCGAAGGATCAGTGGTGGAGGCTCTCAGGTCATCGGGTCTTGTCCACGATCGGATAGTTTAATTCTCCCATGAACCTCATCTCTAGATCTACTGGAGCAAATCTAGGATCTGAGCGCTATACGTGATATGCGAAAAACAGCAAATAATATGCACAAGAGCAAAATGAAGTCATATCATGGCGTCATGTATCGAGCTGATGACCTACCTGGTCACTTTCATCCTCGACATGGCTCCCAGACTCGGAGTCGGAGTCGGGCTTGGGTTTCGCCGTGATCGAAATCCTTCGATAGTGAGTTTTGCTGTCGGAGGAAGTTGCACACCACCTGTCAGGGCGGCATGCTGCATGATGCAAGCGCTAAGGACTCTGTGGATGCAGGTTCAGCCCAGATCGTATATCAAACCGGCTTTTGTGTACAACCATTGCAATGTGATTCGTCTGGATGGATGCAACATGTGTTAAGCGATATGTCGGTTCGGATGAAGCTGACTGGATTGGCTTATCACTCATAAGCTCAATATCCGAATTAGCTTTTGATTTGAAATGTCAGGACAAGGCTTTCGTATCGATATGGATGGTTGATCGCAAGTTGGTACCGGTCGAAGGCCACAAGAAATTGATACTTTATTCGGCCCTGCCGCATTCTGTCGAGTTCCAAATTTTCAATTCAGAGAAATAACATTGCGCTCTCGCAACATTGAACAGCCTACACTTTGCAGAATTCAGACTGCATCATGTCGAGCAACAATGATACCATAGGAGAGCCCATTGCGATTGTTGGAAGTGCTTGTCGCTTCCCCGGTGATGCAACATCCCCTTCCAAGCTCTGGGAATTGTTGCGTGAACCTCGAGATGTCTTGACGGAGATCCCAAGAAGTCGCTTCAATCCCGACATCTTCTATCATCCGGATGGTTCCCACCATGGAACAAGCAATGTTCGACACTCCTATGTTCTATCCGATGATCACCGGCGCTTCGACGCCCAATTTTTTGGGACCAAGCCCGTGGAGGCGAACGCAATTGATCCTCAGCAACGCCTGCTGTTAGAGACAGTATACGAGAGTCTCGAATCCGCCGGCCTACCCATGGAAAAATTGCAAGGTTCAGACACAGGCGTGTATGTTGGGTTGATGTCAAATGATTTTGCAGATCTGGTGGGTAGAGATATCCAAAGCATTCCTGCATACTTCGCGTCTGGAACGGCTCGAAGCATCCTCTCCAATCGCGTCTCATACTTCTTTAACTGGCATGGTCCATCAATGACGATCGACACTGCATGTTCGTCCAGCCTGGTAGCAATGCACCAGGCGGTACAAAGTTTGCGCACCGGTGAAACCAAGATAGCAGTGGCAGCTGGAACAAATCTCCTTCTCGGACCTGAACAATATGTTGCTGAAAGTAAATTGAAAATGCTCTCTCCCACGGGGCGATCGCGCATGTGGGACAAGGATGCGGATGGGTATGCCCGTGGTGATGGTATTGCGGTTGTCGTACTTAAGCCACTCAGTGCTGCGCTTGCAGACGGTGACCATGTGGAGTGTATCATTCGCGAAACAGGAACAAATCAAGACGGGCGAACGAAAGGAATCACCATGCCAAATCCGGTAGCGCAAGCAGATTTGATCAGATCTACCTATGCGAGAGCAGGGCTTGATATAAGTAAAGCCAGCGATCGGCCTCAATACTTTGAGGCTCATGGAACAGGTATGGATCCAACAGTGTGAATCTCGAGAAAAAAATCACGCTAATCAAATATTTCAGGAACTCCCGCGGGTGACCCTGTTGAGGCGGAAGCCATCAGCACGGCATTCTTTGGAGACGTGGCAGATTACCATAGAAAATCTGACCAAGAGCTACCACTTTATGTGGGATCCATCAAGACCATAATCGGACACACGGAAGGGACAGCTGGTTTGGCTGCAGTTCTGAAAGCTTCACTGGCATTGCAGCACGGCGTCATTCCCCCAAACCTTTTGCTGAATGAGTTGAACCCAGCAGTGAAACCATTCTATAATGATTTGCAAATTATCAAGAAGGCCCAGGACTGGCCAGCGATTCCAGATCATTCACCCCGTCGCGCCAGTGTGAACAGTTTCGGGTTTGGTGGGGCAAACGCCCATGCGATCTTGGAATCCTTTGAAGGAGCAAACGGCAATCCAAGACCAGACTCCACTTCTCCTTTATTCGCACCATTTAATTTCTCGGCTGCGTCCGAAAAAGCGCTTGCTGCAACTCTCCGTCAGTTATCGGCATATTTGAAATCCGAGCCAGGCGTTGACCTGCACGATTTGTCATGGACGTTAAACTGTCGACGGTCGACTCTTCCAGTGCGAGTGTCAATCTCAGCTTCCAATGCAGCGGATCTGATTTCCAAACTGGATAGAGCTGCGCAATCACCAGTCGACTTTACGCCCGCTTCTAAAACTTTGAACACCAAGAGGCCAAAGTTGCTCGGCATTTTTACTGGTCAAGGTGCGCAATGGGCTGGAATGGGAGCAGAGTTGCTGAGTGGATCATCACTTGGCGCCGAATGTATTGCACGCCTCGATCTTGCCCTTCAAAACCTCCCTGAAGACCATCGCCCCCAGTGGTCATTGCGAAATGAGATATTGAAAGATGCCGCCTCATCACGCATAGGCCAGGCATTGTTTTCGCAATCTCTATGCACCGCCATCCAAATAATGTTGGTTGATTTGCTTCGCGCAGCAGGAGTTTTCTTCACTGCCGTGGTCGGACATTCATCGGGCGAGATCTCCGCTGCATATGCTGCTGGATATCTGAGTGCTGATGATGCAATCAAGATCGCCTATTATCGTGGTTGGGCCCTGCAGTATTCTGCGGACATCAACGGAGTCAAGGGCGCCATGATGGCAGCAGGAACATCCCTCGAAGATGCCCGGGAACTTTGCGATATGCCGACCCTTGAAGGGCGCATTTGCGTCGCTGCGAGTAACTCTTCTGCCAGCGTCACTCTCTCCGGCGATTTGGATGCCATTGAGGAAGCAAGAGAGGTATTCGAGGATGAGAAGTTGTTTGCACGGATGCTGAAAGTTGACAAGGCGTATCACTCTCACCATATGCTTCCATGTGCTGCTCCCTATATTGAAGCTCTTCAGAATTGCAAAATCAGTATTCAGAAGCGGGCGAATGATAGCAACAGCACTACCTGGATCTCCAGTGTCTATGCTAAAAACATCGAAAAGGTCAATGACAGCCTGACAGATACATACTGGAGCAATAACATGGTGAATCCAGTGCTGTTTTCGCAGGCTATCAGCTTTGCGACCGCTGCTCTTGGACCCTTTGACATGGCTGTCGAGGTTGGTCCTCACCCGGCACTTAAGGGCCCTGCCTTGCAAACAATTCAAGAAGTCTCAGGCAGCGAGCTCCCTTACACTGGAACATGCAGCCGAGGAAAAGACAGCAGAGAGGCATTTGCCTCTACACTTGGAGCTTTGTGGACTTCACTTGGAGAGAATGCCGTGGAGTTTGCAAAGTTCGACCAGACTTTGTTTCCCGATTACACACCAAGGAGGCTTGTGAAGGGGTTACCGACGTACCCCTGGGATCATGATCGGGTCTATTGGCATGAATCTCGTGCCTCAATGGAGTTTCGCGAGGCCGGAGAAAACTTCCATTACCTTCTTGGAGTCAAATGTCCGGATGGTACACAGAAAGAGATCCGTTGGCGAAATTATCTCCATACTCGGGAAATTCCATGGCTAGCCCACCACCAAGTCCAAGGCCAGTTTGTGTTCCCCGCAGCAGGCTACATATCAGCAATTGTCGAGATTTTGATTGAGCAATACGGGCTTTCGTCCATCAGGCTCATTGAATTGCAGGACTTCATCATTGGCCAGGCTCTTGTTCTAGAAGAAAATGTGGGAGTGGAAATCATCTATGCTTTGACACTTTCTCACACCGAGGGCAACTCTGTGACTGCAGGCTTCAACTGCTATTCCGATGCAAACAAAGGCTCTTCGTCCATGTCACTACATGCGTCGGCGAAAATCAAGGTCACTCTGGGCAGTCCAAGTTATGACGATCTACCGGCGGCCAGTGAGCACCAGGGGTCTTACTTGGAAGTTGAGACTGACCGGTTCTACAACTTCGTTTCGGACCTCGGCTTTGGTTACACTGGTCCATTCCGTGCACTCACAGCGCTCAGCAGAAAGATCGATGAGGCTACCGGTGCTATCGCCGTTCCATTGCAGGATATCAACGAAAAACGCTTGTTGATCCACCCCGGGTCGTTGGATGGTGCTATTCAGGCCATAATGCTAGCATACTCCTTCCCCGGCGATGGCCGTATTCGCACACTCTATCTGCCTACCAAGATTGACAGTATTCGTATCAACCCCAGTGCTTGCTTTGAACTGGCAGGTCCCGGTTCCTCTCTTCCCTTTTACTCGTCGGTTGGCACTGTCCAGTTTTCAGAACTTTCTGGCGATGTAGATCTGTATTCTCCAAATCGCGAACACACACTTGTACAACTTCAAGGGCTCCACACAACGCCACTCACTCCCTTGACAGCCGCTACGGATGTTCCAATGTTCACCGAATTCGAGTGGAGCCCCGAAGAGCCCACGATGACCGGCTTGGATGCAGACGAGCATTTCAGACCGCAAAATCAGCAGTTGTTGGACATGGAGCGCGTCGCGCACTTCTATTTGAGAAATCTCCACTTGTCAATCGATGAAGCTGAAATTCCGGAAATTTCACCACATCACGTCCATTTGCTTTCTTACGCCAGTCATTGTGTCTCGAATGTCAAATCAGCCGACAACCATTGGGTGGCATCAGAGTCTGCCGATGATATCACAGAAGATATTTTGAAGCTAATTTCTAGGTAAGTCCCCTGAACTTCGACTTGAATCCTGAAAAACGAGGCTGACATATTCCAGGTACCCGGATAGCATTGAGATGAAAATCATGAGACAGGTCGGCGAGGCGTTGCCTTCCATTGTCCGTGGAGAAGTCAGCTTACTTGAAATGCTGAAGAACGATAATCTTCTCAAGCAATTTTATTCGGAGGCCTGTGGCATTGAATTCTTTCTAGAGCAGCTTTCTCAGATTGCCGGTCAGATAGGCAATCGCTATCCGCACATCAATGTTTTGGAAATTGGTAAGTTTTAAAACTCAACCTCCGCCAGTAGCTCTCTTCTAATAATTGGATTTGTGATTTAGGAGGTGGTGCTGGTGATAATACCCAAAGAATCCTGCATGGACTGAAGGAAGCATTCGCTTCCTACACCTACACAGATCTCTTGGATGATGGGTTTGACAAAGTACAGGAGAAGTTTCATGAACATCAAGCCAAGATGGCATTCAAGGTGCTAGATGTTGAGAAAGATATCGCAGAGCAAGGATACGCCCGAGAATCTTTTGACTTGGTGATTGCGTCGCTGGCCGTCTATGCAACGAGCAATATTGACAAAACACTGTCCAACATTCGGCGTCTGATAAAGCCCGGTGGCTACTTGCTCCTCCTCGAATTGACCAATCCGAGCGTGATGCGATTGGGTCTCATCCTTGGTGGACTTCCAACATGGTGGAAGGGTCATGCGGAGGGACGTACCTTGTCACCGTGTCTATCCACCACAAAATGGAATGGCCTTATGCGCAAGGCCGGATTTTCTGGCACCGATCTCTCCATCAGCCACCAATCGGAATCACCAGCACCGTTCTCAGTGATGTTGGCACAGGCTGTTGATCAGCGTGTCAGTCTTTTGCGCGACCCCCTGTCTCCGACGAATGAGACCCTGGGGATCGAGTCATTGACGATTATCGGTGGACAAAGCTCTTTGACAACATCCCTAGTGCTGGATATAAGGGAAACAGTTGGCCTCCACTATGGCAAAATCACAATCTATTCTTCATTGGCGGACGTGTCTCTTGCGGAGCTGCGAGTCATGGGCTCTGTGCTTTGCCTGTCCGAGTTGGATGAACCTGTGTTACTTTCTATGACGCCTCAAAATCTGGAAGCTTTCAAAAAGCTTTTCGAGAAGAGCAAAAATATCCTGTGGGTTGGCCACGGTGCACAGGGTGACAACCCATCTGCCAATATGATTGTTGGAGTGCAACGCACACTGCGAGTTGAAATGCCTCATTTGAGGGTGCAATTTATGAACCTTCATTCTCTTCGAGACGCAAAATCGGATCTCATTGCCAAGAAGCTGCTACAGCTTGAGGGTACGGATATTTTGGAGCAGAAAGGCCAGCTCCAGAGCATGCTGTGGTATACAGAGCCACAAATCAATGTGATTGGGGGAAATATTTTCATCCCCCGACTGAAGTTGTGTGGTGAACGGAACGATCGATACAATTCGTCCAAACGTTTGATTGTGAACAGTGTATCCCGGCAATCCTCGGCGGTGACGGTTCGGAAATCTGATGGTCACTACCGTGCTTTGAAAGGAAACTATCTTTCTTCCGATTTCGTGGATGAAGATGTGCAAATCCAAGTAACGGAATCACTCCTCCGACCCGTCATGATAAACGAAACGGACTTCCTATTTTTGGTCGCAGGAAAGGACTGCGAAACAGGCACTGATGTTGTCACTCTGTCAAAAACTCTTAGCTCATGCATACGTGTACCGAAATCATGGCGTCTGCGATGCGGCAAGGAAAAGGGGGAGTCTCTCCGATTGATGCTCAGCCTTTACATGCACTTCATTGCCCAAGCACTATTCAGAAACGTGCTTCCTGGAAGTACAATTGCAGTTCTGGAGCCGGACTTCTCCCTGGCTGTGGTGCTTACACAGCATGCAGTGCAAAAAGGAATTCGGCTGTGCCTTTTGACTACAGAGAGAAGCCCACGCCCACACCCATCGGTCTTCATTCACCCCTGCTCTGCACGACGTGATATCGTGGGAATTATTCCGCCAAATGTTGTGAAATTGTTCAATTTTGCTGGCGGCAATGATCTACTATCCGTCCTACTGAGTGCCTTGCCCGACGAATGCCGACTAGAAACCGAACGGACATTGACAATGCAAGACTCACAATACTCACATCGCCTTGCTGGCGTGAATGAAGTCTCTTCTCAGTTGCAGTCCTTGTGGTTTGAGGTTCAAATGGACCGCAGCCCGGTGAATCTCAACAGACTGGAAAGTTTAACTCTGAGAAACCTTATTGACAAACAGCCTCGGACTCTTGAACAGGCAGTTCTCACTTGGGAAACAGATCAGCTGCCTCAACAAGTCCTTCCCGCAACAAGTGTCGTCAGGTTTGACCAAAATAAAACATACTGGTTGATTGGACTTACAGGCGGGCTTGGCCTTTCCTTATGCCAGTGGATGGCTAGCCAAGGCGCCCGGTATATTGCTTTGTCCAGTCGTAATCCCAAGGTGGATCAAGGGTGGATACTCCAAATCGCTCAGAACGGATGCACTGTCCGCGTTTTTGCCAGGTAAGAATCACATTTTTCCGGACAATGTTATGTGCTCTAACAAAATCAGTGACATTACAAACCGCGCGTCCGTCAAGAATACTTACGATCAGATTGCGAACTCCATGCCTCAGATTGGTGGTGTTGCACAGGGTGCTATGGTTCTCCAAGACACAATGTTCCTAGATCTCGACTTGCCCAGCCTTGAGAAGGTTTTGCAGCCGAAGATCCAAGGTAGCATTATACTTGATGAACTCTTTTCGGAGGACACCTTGGATTTCATGGTATTCTTCTCATCGATGGCTGCCATCACAGGAAACCCTGGGCAGGCTGCATACAATGCCGCAAATATGTTCATGGCCAGCTTGGCAGCCCAACGTCGCAACCGGGGGCTGGCTGGGTATGCCATCAACATTGGTGCAATTGTGGGCAATGGCTATGTGACCCGAGAGCTGAACATGGACCAACAATCGTATCTTTACCGAGTTGGTCACACCTTGATGTCAGAGCAGGACTTCCGGGAGGTCTTTGCCGAGGGAGTGCTTTCCTGCATTGAACGAACGGGTAGCTCCGAGCTGTGCAGCTCGTTGAGAATTGACGGCGATGACTCCAAAACATGGGTCACAAATCCTATATTCCAGCACCTGGTACTCAAGTCCAACTCCTTTGCTGTGACGAACAAGAAGAACAAGGCTGGTGTCATTGTTAGACTCCAACTTCTTGAGGCCACATCCAAAGACGAAGTTTCCGAGATTCTGCAAGGTAAGATAACTATTTTTTTGACATCTGAAGAATTCTTAACTAATCCGAGATTGAAGACATGTTGACCATCAAGCTCCGGTCTGCTCTCCAGACAGATCCGGAGAAGGATATTCTCGATTTAAGTCCTGATGAACTTGGTGTTGATTCCCTCGTCGCCGTAGATCTTAGGTCTTGGTTCATTAAGGAGATCGCTGTTGATATGCCCGTTCTGAAGATTTTCAACGCAGCCTCAATTCGTGACCTCTTGCAATCGGCAGCTAATATGATCCCTGAGGGACTGATTCCGGGCGTGACAAAGGATGAGGAAGGTGTCTCAAAGGCCCCTGCTCTTGTGATTCCTAGCGCATCACAGATAGGCTCGTCGGCTCCAGACTCTACACAGGATACTCCAACTTCTGACTCAAGTGAAGAAGCCGTAGCTTTCCACTTGGAGAACGTGCCGTCAGTTGAGGGCAAAAGTGGAACCTCAGTTATATCTGGACGGGCGGGCGATTCAAGTTCGGACCACAACGATGAGAGCTCATCTTCTGCAAGCTCTGTCGGCGATGCTGCAGACGTGGGTCTTCAAAAAGGAACGATTCAGCGAACTGTGCCCATGTCTTACGGTCAATCCCGTTTCTACTTTCTGAGATCATTTGTCGAGGATCAGTCTGCATTCAATGTCACTCCAGTCTTTGAGATAAAGGGGCACCTGCGGATTGAAGACTTTTCCCGAGCAGTTGAAACAGTAGGACAGCATCATGAATCCCTAAGAACTTTCTTCTTCTTGGGAGAAGACAAACAAGGGATGCAGGGAATCTGGGCCAAGTCATCACTACGACTAGAGCGCAAGCTCATTGGCGACGAGAAAGAAGTGGAAGTATTCAAAGACCAAATGAGATCGCATGTTTTCAAAATCGATGATGGCGAGACGATTCGCATACAGCTTTTGTCCTTGCGCAACGACAGGCATTGGCTTATTTGTGGCTTCCACCACATCAACATGGACGGCATCAGTTTTGAGATATTCTGGTCCGACATCGAAAAAGCCTACAACGGGCTGCCACTGTCTAACGAGATGCTGCAATACCCAGACTTCACCTTGAAGCAGCTGCGCGATCATGAAACTGGTGCCTGGGAGAGTAGCCTGGAGTACTGGAAAGAAGAGTTTGCCGATATTCCACCGGTCGCACCTCTGCTACCTTTCTCTCGTTTGTCAAGTCGGCCCATGTTAGCTCCAGGCATCGGAACTCATAAATCTCATATCCGTCTTGATAAGGATCTTTCAGCACAAATTCAGAAGTGTTCAGCAATGTTTCAAGTGACGCCTTATCATTTCCATCTGGCAATTTGGCAAACTCTTCTTTTACGGGTCTTCGAGATTGACGATATATGTATCGGACTTGGCGACGGGAATCGAACAGACCCTAACATCATGCAAACTATTGGATTGTTCCTGAACCTTGTTCCAATTCGATTCCATCGCAAGTCTTCTCAGTCTTTTGGAGAAGCTTTGAAGAATATGAAACTCATCTCCCAGACGGCGTTCTCGCATGCCCACATTCCTCTGAGTGTCATCCTGTCTGATCTCAATGTTCCCAGATCTACAGCACACAGTCCTCTTTTCCAAGTCTCTTTCAACTACCGCCCCGGGATTGCGGAGAACCGTGATTTTTGTGGATGTGTTGCGAATGGATCGCTGTTGACGGTTGGCGGTATATCCTACGACCTTCATCTCGATGTGCTGGATATTGCTGGTGGCGACGAGACAGTGATTTACTTGGCGGTCCAAAAGGATTTGTATGAGCTCCAACATGCAGAAATGCTTCTCCGCAGTTACTATGGTCTCTTGCAAGCATTTGTTCAAAATCCTGCTACCAGGGTCTCATGGCCGCCATTGTTTTCCAACACGGATGTCGAACGAGGGTTGATAGCTGGCAGAGGTATGCTTGCCAATTCCCTTTCTGAATTCTTGAATATTAACAGTCTGCAGGACCCGAGGTAGAAAACCCATGGCCCGAAACAATCGTCCACCGAGTTGACGAAATTGCAAAAGTCTATCCTCATCATGTGGCTCTGAAAGAGCCAGGTGGGATTGGACTCACATATTCTCAGTTGTCGGATCGAGTCTCCGAAATCGCAAATGAGTTGATTGACAGAGAAGCACAGCCTGGAAACAGTATTGGGGTATTCCAAGCCCCCGGGGCTGTTTGGATCTGCTCCATGATGGCTATTTGGCGTGTTGGTGGAACCTACGTTCCCATGGACAAGAAATCAGGCATCGATCGACTATCTGTCATGGTCTCCGAAACTGCCCCTTGTTTTATTTTGACTGATGCAACCACTGCCGAGGATGTCCACCAACTCCGAGCTTCGGCACCGTCCGTCAATGTGTCTTGTCTCCAATCGCGGAGCAGGGTTCCAGTGCCAAACAGCGCGCAGGCCGAAAATGTAGCCATTGTTATGTATACGAGCGGCTCGACTGGCGTTCCGAAGGGAATCAGGATCACTCACTCGGCGTTTTCCCATCAAGTTCACGCTTTTACTCAGGCGTGGGGGATCCAGGAAGAAAAGGAGACAATTTTACACCAATCTTCATATGCCTGGGATATGTCTATTTGCCAAATCCTGCTTTCCCTCTGCAATGGAGGAACCTTGATCATTGCTGGCACTCAGCATCGCGTCGATCCCGCAGCGATTGCGAGCCTTATTCAATCTGAATATGTGACCACCACAGTTGCAACTCCCACTGAATATTTCTCTTGGTTCCGTCACGGAAACTCAGATTTCAAAAACTCCAATTGGAGGCTCGCAATTTCAGGCGGAGAGCACCTATCCAACACCTTGATACAGGAGTTTCGATCTCTCGAGAAGCCGAATTTGAAACTAATCAACGCCTACGGTCCGACAGAGGCAACGATGGCATGCAGTTCAACGGAAGTCCCTTACATGGACACGGACATTTTGACTGAAGAAACATCCGCTATTCTTCATACCTTACCGAACAACTCTGTTTATATTGTCGACGAAGAGCTAAATCCAGTCCCCATCGGATTTCCAGGCGAGCTGGTGATTGGAGGAGCGGGTGTAGCTTTGGGGTATCTCCTTGCCAGCAAGACTAGAGAACGCTTTTCAAAAGATGAACAGTCAAGTTCCCATTTCCGGATCCACGGTTGGACCACAATTCATAAAACTGGTGACCGAGCTCGACTTACAGATGATGGTGGCATTGTTCTCATGGGCCGCATCAGTGGGGACAATCAAACCAAGATCAACGGAATTCGCATCAACGTTGAGGAGATCGAGGATGCAATTTTGAAAGCTTCCAAGGGCAGAGTCCTGCAAGTGGTAGTCTCCCCCAGGTCTTCCGTTGACGATGTCACCAGAAAATTCCTGGTGGCGTTTGTTCACGCAGTTGAAATACCACCAGGCTTTTTGGACCAAGTTTTGCGCGACCTTCAGCTCCCAGAATACATGCTGCCCGCCGCAATAATTCAGATCGATAATCTTCCGCAAAACATGTCAGGCAAAGTGGATAGGTCGGCCGTGAATAAGTTGCCAATTGAGAAAAATCCACAGCACGGTATTCCGACAGAAAGCCACTTGCCTTATGAGGATGCCCTGCGTCAACTTTGGCAAACAACAATTCCTCGCGACATTATCTCCCATCACTCAATTGGATCAGAAGCGGAATATTTCCATTGCGGTGGAACTTCTCTTTCACTTGTCACTTTGCAGAATTTGATTAAGGAGCGCCTTGGAGTGTCAGTGTCTCTACCCCAGCTGTTTCAAGCAAGTACCTTGCGTGGCATGGCTTCTCTTGTCGACACCAAATTGTCCGATAAGATTCGAGAATCCATAAATTGGGAAACGGAAATCGAGGATATGATTTTATCTTCCAAGGACACACTACCTGGCCCTGAAAATCCAAACACAGCTTCTGGATCCAGTGTTGTAGTTCTCACAGGAGCAACCGGCTTCATCGGCAGGGAGATTTTACGTAACTTGTTGGACGATGACAAAGTTCAAGCTATTCACTGTCTCGCTGTCCGACGCCCTCACCATGAACTGGCAGAAATCTTCTCCCATCCAAAGGTGCGCGTGCACAATGGAGACTTGGGTGCCCCAAAGTTGGGACTGGCGGATTCGGACGCAGTTTCGATATTTGGTCAGGCCGATGTGATCATTCATAACGGTGCCGATGTCTCTTTCATGAAGACCTACCAATCGCTCAAGTTGACCAATGTCGCATCTACCATTGAGCTTGTCAAGCTTGCCTTATCCCGTCGCATTCCATTACATTTCGTTTCTTCGGCTAGTGTTACGCGGCTTGCTTCACAGCCAAGCTTCGGGGAGACTTCACTCGCCATGTATAGCCCTGCGGCAATTCCAAACGATGGGTACATGGCAGCCAAGTGGGTATGCGAGGTATATCTGGAGCGAGCTAGCCAGGAATTCGGTCTGCCGGTTTGGATTCACCGTCCATCTAGCGTGTCGGGGCCGGGTGCGCCAGAACTGGACCTTATCAGCAACATTATGCGATTTTCGCAGGAAATCAAAAAGATCCCGGACACGAGAACCTGGCCTGGTGGCTTTGATTTGATTTCTGTGGATTCTGTGGCAGAGCAAATTGTGGAGGCAGTGCACGAGTCTGGGTTAGCTGGAGGCGAGGGTATCAAATTCCGTTTCCAATCTGGAGAACTTGAACTAGGACAGGAGGAGGTGCAAGAGGCTATGGAGGCTACAACGGGTGAAAAATTTGAGATGATTCCTGTTGCAGAGTGGGTTGACCTTGCTGAAAATTCAGGCATGAGCGCCTTGCTTGGAACGTACTTGCGGCAGGCTACAGATGGGCAAACACTGCTCCCTAAATTGGTGAAGGGATCAAGATAATATTCTTAGTTGATTTTGGTAGATAGCTCGTGAGAGTGAATCCACTTATAATTTTTGACGAACTGCGACGTTTCTCTCTAAAAGCTGATGACTGCCAATATTCCTAGAACAATTCCTTCGCAACACCTGCATATTTATAGATGTTCATTAAACCACAGAACAGCTTGCAAAAAGGCTGTCTCCTTGGCATACTTGACAACTCGGTTACTCAGATCACCGCGCACCGCGAATCTAAATCGAGATTAGAATTGCCCATATTGCTAAATTGCGGAATTCAAGATGAACTTACCCATGATTGACGCCACTATACAGATTGATTTGATAAGGTAAACCAGTCTTCTGCAAAATCTCCTCGCTGGTATGGCGCTTCTCAGGCGGGAACTTGCTATCGGTCTCGGCGGCAGCGATCGCCAAGGGGCCTCCAATGGCGCTCAGCTCCTCCTCAGTAACATTGGAGGGGTGGGCAAAGAATCCCACATCGATCTTCGTCCCTGGCTGCAGGAAGCGCGCAACATACTTTGCACCAAAGCAATAACCAACTCCGCCAATGGTCTATAGATTTGTTTGTTAGGAACCGAATATCAGGTAGATAAAAGCCACATCCATGGAGGCTCTTCGAGGGAAACAGTGATTGATCCATACCTTGCAACCGAAAGTATCTCGCATGGCTGTCAGGCAGCTATCAACAATCGGATCGACGTTCGGCGGGAAGTGTGCCGTCCCCTTGGGATTATATCCACCGCTTCGCCATTTCTCCATATCAAAATCACCAGGCCTGTTCAGTGGGATTGGGTCCCCTTCAAACAAGTCAGGAATGACGACAACTATTCAAATCAGCACTGCGTTGTTCCAGCCGTCTCCATCTTCGTCGAAACTTACAGTAGCCATTCGCGGCAAATTGGTCCGCAATAAGCTGCGTGTTGATGAGCTTGTGCCCAAGGATATCGGTCAAGCTGGATGAAAGTCAGGTCAGAGTCTGCATTTCTGGATATCAGTCTCTTACACCAGGAAACACGCACATTAAAATTGCCTTCTCGGTAGATCGACTCTCGGGATAAACTGTGTATGCTTCGGTGCCGGCAATATGCGTGAGCGCACCTTTGGCGACACCCTCATGCTTGACGCCCTTGTAACAGCACGAGTCAGGGGGTAAGGAGGCCATTTCTTTTATTCCGACTGACGAGTCGAACTTGGGAATTGTCGGTTTTAAGTGGGCAATCTAGTGGTACAAGAGATACAATATTTTAATATCATCTCTGTTCCCTGGTGGGTTATAAATAGTTTCACCGCTTCCTACATAAGCTTCTACCCCTCATTGAGGTATATTGAGTCCGAGTCGGATTTAGCCATGGACTTATAATCAATCTTGCTAAAGCCGAGGCTGATCTCCGGACACCGAGTGCAGTAACTTCGACCGATCTCTCGGTTCGTTAGAAGATTGGTTTCATTGACTTTTCAATGTTGACATTTAGGCCTCCAAGGTTTCCCTTTTCTTGAAATTGCCCTCAGACATATAGAAGGAGGCTAAGAAGGCGTCTAGAAGCTCTTGAGATTCTATCCGTCATCCGTCGGTCTTGGCTGGGCAAGATTGGTGTTCCGGCCCGGTACCGGCAACGGGGTCACGTATCCCTTTGAGCCGTCTCCGGCCCCGTGTCAGCTATCCGGCCCCAGTTTCCCTTCAGCAAGTGTCAACCCGTGCTGCATTACTCTTGCGCCGAGTGGGAGCGTCACCGGATTCACAATATTCTACGAACAATTTTTTAGGGTAATGCGCATAAACGACACTTAGAACAACGCGCATATCCTACCAAAGTGGTTAGTTAATACCACATACATAGCATCAAACATTAGTGTTTGCGTTGAGCGTCAAGGATAATCGCTCATGCGGCAGATAATATATTGCGCATATCCTAACATTCAGATTCATCAACATAAGCGTTAAGCATCAACATTTGAACCTCCATGTAAGATACTGTGCGAGTGTCGTACATAGGACTCACGAGATTCAAGTTCGCATTTACAATTCGTAATTCGCAATTGGCAATTTGACAAAATGCACATATCCTAACAAATTCAATACGATAATTATAAATTGTTTATCTTATAAGATAATATGCAATCCTCGCATCCGATATCACAGGTTGATGATTCGCATCTCACAACATTGGAATTGACAATTCACAACTCACAATTGTCAATGGTCAATAATTTTGGCAATTGGCAGTTTGTAATTCTAATTCGCAATTCGCCAATGTAATTTGACGAAAACGCACATATCCTAACAAGTTTGTAGCGTCGTGGGATTGCGTCGCGGGATTGTGGATCTAATAATGGGCATATCCTAACAAACTCTTCAACACTAGCAATTACTAGTAGGTAAGCGTCAGTGTTGGCGCGATGCCATAAGCTGCAGGCAGAAACGCAACCCGGCGCAAGACCTCCTTCCTACCTGGTACCTTTCCGGGTGAAATTGGTTGGAACGCAGCATACATATGTCGGTCCACTGAAATACCGACTAAAACGTGGAGCAAAATTTCGACTTCTAAGGTTGAAACTTCCGGTATTATTTGATTTGATGCTGAACCTCGACGGAATGTTTGAGATTCTCGGTTGATGTTCCTGCGCAGTATCTACAGATTTCTTCCAAGGTTACGACCTTGGCAGAGTGCTGGAGGTTTCCCGATAGACAGGTATATGTATCAATGTATGTCCCTGCTTCCAAGCAGGGGTTATCTTGTGCATCTCGTGCGTGCACCAAATATTAACCATGCTATATTTCAGTCACACGGCAAAGTTATATTGGATGTTTTGATTTGACTTGGAATTATGAAATAAATACACAAGGTGTAATTTTCATTGGAGCACGGTGCAGCGATGAATCAAACAAATAAGCACAGTAAGATACTTTTTCATAGCAGAAATTGGCCCTGAAGAAAAGGATCTATTGGAATTTGCCACCTGAATGGTGCTCTCAGAAGGCAAAGGTAGTAATGGTTTCGGTGATAGTCTGAGACAATTAGCTTTCCTTCAAATGCCGACTTTCACCAGTATCCCGCAGCATAAATTCACGTTTCACTCACCTGAGCGGCAGCTGTAAATGTTTGTGTGTAGTAAGCAGCTGGCGTAATATGCAGACAACTGCATGCGGCGGAGATCTCCCCGGAAGCGAGGCCCTGCAGAGCGGCTGGAGTGGCTCGAGCCTCAATATTGTTGGCCGGTTCGTTGGATCGTTTTTCCATCATCATCCTCACCATTCTTTCATGGCCAAGGGTGGTGGTTCCCATAATGTCCGTATATGTACTGCCTCGGTATTCCTTTTTAGCATATGTCTTCATCAATTCAGTTCAGGCCTTCTTACACTGGTGGTGGTATGACAGTGGGACCAGGGACGGTGCTGGTACTGGGAATATGGAGGTAGGAGCTGCAGAACCCAGTTGCGGGTCCACCAAGTGCCCCTAATAAATCAATCACTTCAACGTAAATATCGCATTGGAGACTACGTTCTTCAATGACGTTGTCTATTCCTGCAGCACGAGCCTCTGCCCACGGTTGCCAGCCATCTGGAAGACAAGTGATGGCTAAAGGACCAGTTGCAAGTGGGATAAGATAAAGGAGGAACTTCTTGGTGAGAAACATTTTTGATATCGCGGACTGATGTGTAGTTGGCTTGCATACAGATATTGAGAAAACGACAAGGAATGTAAAATGAAAAGTGACTTATTTCACATTTTAACCATCACATTCATATAGATCCATGAGCTCGGCAGAGCAACCACTGATTTTGGATGTTTGGTTCAAAAAAGCTACGCTACCTGGGCTCAAGATCAAATTGATACGAGGTCCGATCGATACGAGAACCTTGTTTCGAGATCACCTTTTACTACAATATTCATGGTCTACAGTATTTCATAACGGTTAGTACTTTTTGATTGGTATTGGGAAGATCCCAATCTTATGAGCATTGCCTGAGAATCATTACTCTACAGGAAATTAGAGGGAAAAGAGCGATGAAATATCACGGATTTTAGATGATTGAGGGATCGATCACTAGGGTCTAAATATTATTATTATGGATAACCTTAACAGCAGCCGTGGATCTATAGATTGTTGTAAATAACCTTAACTACCCATGACACACTCAGGGTGTTCATCTTTCCGCAAGCGGCCATTTGAACATAACTCAGTACACATCCTGCGAATATTTTGCAATGGACGAACTATTTAGGACCCTTCCAGAGTCCAGTAAGATAGTTTTTCCGTAATGCTGTTCAATCACCCGAAGCTTGGGTTTAATTTCCTAAGCTCGTGAATGGCCTAGTGAACGGAACTTCGTTTTCAACCTTCCGCTTTGGTGACTATCCGGCAAGTCCGGGAAACCTCAAGGCCTGTGACTTGGTTTAATTGATAGTAACCGTCTTTACTGCTGACATTGAGTGAAACTGTTCTACGCCTTGTAAATAATATTGAGAAGACCCTTTATGTAGTTTGGCCCCTCGGCCTAGATTTGTTTCAATTCCGGGAAAAAACATGCTCCTTGCAAGATGGACATGAAATTATTTTATAACACACCAATGCGACTTATGTACCAGACAGGGGCATATTTGATCATTTTATGCTGTCTGCTATTCACATTTTCCTCCCCAGGCCCCCTGCCGGTTTCGATGTCAATTGGATTAGAGAATGAGCCCATGAATTCAACACTGGGCTTTGAGAAAATATTCTACATAAGTTTACCACAGTGTGTCCCCACAATGAAGTCTTTTTGTCTGTTTCCTTCCACTAACCCCTGGGCTCACACATGCAATTGATGGGTTCGATCTAATCGGTTTATGCGTGCTAATAAACTCGCATATTAGTCGTACCGACCGGCAAGATGCCATGACTTTGATTGCAGCTGCCAGTGGCTTAAAGTTGACGCCGGAGCATGGTGTAAGAGCAACTGACCTCAAGTACTATCTATCTTTACATTGAAAGTTACTGATCTAGTTGGTACAATTCTTTTAGGTGTATGGAAGCCTGATACATCAAAAGGCAAGGCCTTACGGGAGCCATTATCTTAAACATGAACAATTAGGTTGCTGGCGGGCACATGCAAACATTTGGAGGAAGATGGTATCAGAGGATATAGAGACAGCCTTGATTCTTGAAGACGACGTTGATTGGGATATCAATGTTCGCGACGTTTTTGCGGAACTCAGCCGTCAAATGAGCTCCCAGAAAGAATTCAACCAGCTGACTCCGCAAAGAGAACCGATTCCAACTCCATATGGTATGCTTTTCATTATTAGAGATTCATCAGAGATCCGATAGCCTTACTCTTACTGACAACTGATGCGCATGTTTCAACCCAAAGGCTCTGGTTGGGATATCCTTTACGTGGGCAGCAGCTCAAATATCCCCAACCTGGACAACCTACCACCTCGCTATATTTACCAGGACCCAAATGCCCCAGAGTACGACCACGTTGGACGGTCCTACAGGCTCGAAATGGAGTTGTGGGGTGTGAATACCAGTGAGCAAGCAAATTCGCGTGTCGTGGCCCCATCATGGTATCCTGTGGGAGCGCTGGGATATGCTGTGACTAAAAGTGCCGCTCAAACCTTACTTTACAATCTTGGCGGCTACCAGGGTCTTCAATCACCAGTAGATCTTGCCATGATCGGCCTGATACAGAAGGGAGTTTTGGATGCATATACTGTTATACCACCGCTGATTACGCCGTTTTGGGTGGGAGGGGCCAGAGACAGCGACATTAATGAGGAGAAAGATATGGAAGAAAGCGAAAAACGAGTTCTGGGGTCGGAAAACTTGAGGAACAGTGCAAGATTGGCGCTTGCAGACTTGGTCAAGCACTGAGATATTGGAGACACGGAAGACCGGATGGCGTTATCCGCCTAGGTACACTGCAACGGTTGGAATCTTACAAACCATAACATGAAAAATACGGTTTTCCTATAGCCCAAGCCGGTATCCTCGGGTAACTTTCAAACCTTAGAACGATCTCACAGAGGTTAAGTATACGAGTTACTTACGTTGCAGTTAATGACATTCTCCACGAGGGGCAGCTTCTGTTTGATTGGCCTAAGGATCACTCTCTTCAAAACCTTGGGGGAAAGTACCTTTCGCTGTTGACTCACTTTCCTATTCTTTTGAACTTAAAAAGCTTCCCTTGTTCTTCTTTCTTTTTCAACTTTCTTCTTCATTCCTTCTCCTATTTCTGAACCTCTCCTCTATTCCCCCAATATATCCTCTACATCACAATGGCACAGAACGGTACATTCAGCAATGACTTCACTGTCAAGGCTGGCCTTGCGCAGATGTTGAAGGGTGGTGTTATCATGGACGTCGTCAATGCTGAGCAGGTAAGAAGCCATTGACGACAATTGCGCTTGGATTTAACAAAGTCTCAAACGCCCCCAAAAAAATCACAACAAGAGCTAACATCCCCTTCCCGTTCCCCAGGCCCGCATTGCCGAAGAGGCCGGCGCCGCAGCCGTCATGGCGCTGGAGCGTGTCCCCGCCGATATCCGTGTCGAGGGCGGCGTCGCCCGTATGTCCGACCCAGGCATGATTAAGGAGATTATGGAGGCCGTCACGATTCCCGTGATGGCCAAGGCTCGCATTGGCCATTTCGTCGAGTGCCAGGTACGTGTAGACAAAAACCAAAATCCATTCCAAGGCCAAGGCCGCCCTTGCTAGCTAGCGCCAAGTGGCGGCGGCAGCGGATCGACAGGGCCCCATCATCGACCCGGGGAAACCCAAACAAAGCCCAAGAGCCCACCCCATCCAAACCAAACGCCAACACCCAAAAAAGCCCATTGGACCAGACGCCCCCTGGCGAGAGAAAAAAAAAAAAAAAACTAACACTCACTGAACCACCCAGATCCTCGAATCCATCGGCGTCGACTACATCGACGAATCCGAAGTCCTCACGCCCGCCGACGACGTCTACCACGTCACAAAGTCCACCTTCAAGGTCCCCTTCGTCTGCGGCTGCCGCAACCTGGGCGAAGCCCTCCGCCGCATCTCAGAAGGCGCAGCCATGATCCGCACAAAGGGCGAAGCCGGCACCGGCGACGTCGTCGAAGCCGTCAAGCACATGCGCACCGTCAACGCCCAGATCGCCAAGGCACGCGGCATCCTCCAGTCCAGCCCGGACTTCGAGCCCGAGCTGCGCGCCTTCGCTCGCGAGATCGAGGCGCCCTACGAGCTTGTGCGTGACGCGGCGGAGAAGGGCCGTCTGCCTGTTGTTAACTTTGCTGCTGGGGGTGTGGCGACGCCTGCTGATGCGGCGCTGATGATGCAGCTGGGCTGCGATGGTGTCTTTGTCGGATCGGGCATCTTTAAGTCTGGGGACGCGGCGAAGCGCGCTAAGGCTATTGTGCAGGCTGTTACGCATTACAAGGATGCTAAGGTTTTGGCGCAGGTTAGTGAGGGCCTGGGTGAGGCGATGGTTGGTATCAATGTTAGGCAGATGCCCGAGGCGGATAAGTTGGCTGGTCGCGGGTGGTAGGTGGTAGGTAGATTTTGGTTTTGGTGTCTGCATATTCTCGTTGGTGGGGTCGTGTTTAGATCCTTTTCAAAATTCTTTGTACATGAGTTATGAGCCGATTCATTGCATGATAAATTACAGTCTAGAGATTATGATGGTATGTTCAAGCTGTACTCAAGCTGTACTGCTTGCACCGGCTGGGTAGAGTCGGGTGGATGGAATGGAATTGTAAGATTTCGTTCAACTTCAAAAAGCATCGCGCCGAATCGAGGCTCATACGAGATCAACCCGCGATCTATACAAATACTCTCAAGAGTAGACGAGTAGATGGTCCAGTGGAGACTAAGAAGTCAATTCATCGCCTCCAATTGCCTCCAATCATCGTGGCGGGAAATTAGAATGGGATGTCATAGCTTGTCGATGGAAGGATCCAGTTCCGATAATTTCATAGGCTCTCCCCTCCGACCGATCGCCGAATCTTCTGGGGAAGCACTCGAACGAGGGATATCGATAGACCAAACCAAGGGTCCACCATTTCCGTGGAGCTTGGTCCTTGCCTCTATTGCCCCTCTTGCGCATCCAATAGGCAATTCGCCTTGTGCTCGCTTCACCGAGAGTCTCCGGTGTGGGTCACCGCTACTACTTGCTCAACCGGCGGATGCGGGTATGTACTGTATCGTACCATTACGTAGATCGTAAAACGCATTGGACTATCCCGTTCCGTATCCGTGTCCGTACATTGGCCAATTTGGATTTTGAATATTTGAGAAAATGGTGTCAACTTATAGAACCTAAATAGCAGTCACATTCTATCCATATAAACTTGCCCGGAATACTCATCGCACTTCATCAGTCATAAGCCCTTACTTAGTAGTTATCTACAGCCCGAGCCAGAATCGGGTCTTGCCAACCTCAAATTTACCCCGGAGCTCCTCGGAGCCAGTGCCGGTCATCAAGACCTGGTACTCGCCCTTTTCGGAGATCCACTGTTCACGCTGTTCATCCCACCAGCTCGTTGCGAGCTTTTTCTCGACTGCGAGTTGGACGGTCTGAGACTCGCCGGGCTGGAGGAAGACCTTCTGGAAAGCCTTGAGTTCGCGGATCGGGCGGTTTACTTCTGTCTTCGGGGGAACAATCCAAAGCTGGACGATCTCGGCACCTGCAACGGAGCCGGTGTTGGTGACGGTGACGGCAACGGTGATGGGTTCTCCAGATTCGACAAATTTGGATTCCTCAGGAACGGTCTTGATGCTCAGGTCCGAACGGGTAAATGTTGTGTATGATAGACCGTGGCCGAAGGGGAATGCGGGGGCAAGCTCGCTCTTTTCAAAGTATCGGTATCCGACGTAGATATCCTCGCCATACAGAACACGGCCGCGCTCGGAGCGGAAGTTCACGTAAGAGGGATTGTCTTGCAAACGACGCGGGAAGGTGACGGGCAATTTGGCGGAGGGGTTCACATCGCCGTAGAGCACATCTGCAATACCGTTGCCGCACTCGTTGCCGCCAAACCAGGCTTGCACGATAGCACGCGCGTCATTAGCCCATGGCATGGTAACAGGTGTGCCAGACTGGATTACGACAACGGCATTCGGATTCGCTGCCAAGACGCGGGTAATGAGCTCGTCGCTGCCTGGCGGTAGATCCATGTGGTCACGATCGTAGCCCTCTGTTTCCCACTCGCTTGTCAGACCGGCGAAGATGACAACTTGGTCGGCCGTCTTTGCCTGCTCGACGGCTGATGAGATCAGATCCTCCTGGGTGACGCGACGACTGGCTCCAAATCGGAAACCACCAGCACCGAATGTCACAATGCCGTGAGTATCTAGGTCAGAGGTAGGTGCGGTGCCAAACTCGAACAGGACCTTGTAAGTTTGACCGGCTTTGAGCTCCTTCTCGCCACGTTCCTCGATGGTAGCGGTGCCAAAGAAGGCAGAACCTTGCTTTTGGTTCTTGGTGTTATCCACCACTACCTCTCCGTCAATGAGTAGGCGACCTGTGCCCACAACCGTCACACCAAAGTCATAGATTCCGCTTTCCTCGGGGGTAAAGTAGCCCTCCATGTCGACATAGTAAGTCAAAGACTTGATATTGGGATTAACGTAATCCATCAAGAATCCAAGTGATGCCAGAAGCTGTAGCTCATCCACGACGGTGCGCTGGGTACCGGCACTTGGATGCTCGTTGTAAACCTTGAAGGTGAAGCCGGTCTTCCCGTCTTCGGTCTTCAGTAGAGGGCCGATGAGAGGCAATTCCTTGTGGGAATAGACACCCTGGGCGAACTTGACGTCTCCGTTGCTTTTCGCTGAAACTCCATCAAATGGCGAAACGGTATAGTAAGGTGCCAGCGAAGCCGAGCCACCGCCGCAGTAGGAGGCCTGTCTGGCGTTAGGTCCAATGACCAACAGGGATCCGTCTTTTTTCAATGGCAAGGTGGCCCCTTCATTCTTTAATAAAACCACGGACTCTGCCGCTGCACGGCGCATCAATGCTTGGTCTTGAGGCCTATTTAGCGCGATCTCAGCTGCACCTTCGGGAATTCCCAATGGGTCCACAAAGTTGACCAAGTTTAGGATGTTGCGCACCCGCTCATCCAGCTTGAACGGGGCCACCTTGTTGGAGGACACGGCATGTGCAAGGGCCTCCCCACGCCAGCGTGTCTTGCCCGGCATCTCAATATCAAGGCCAGCATTGATCGCGTCAGATGTACTATATGTACCGAACCTGGAAAAGACAATGTCAGATATTTCGTGTGTTGTTTCACCTGGCAATCAACATACCAGTCACTCATAACCAATCCATCCCATCCCCATTCTTTCCGAAGAACGTCATTGATCAAAAATTCGTTTTCGCTGACATGTGTACCGTTGACTTTGTTGTAAGCAGTCATGATACACGCAGACTGGCAGATCCGCATGGCCAATTGGAAGGGAAGCAGGTAGATCTCGCGGAGCGCACGTTGTGTCAGGATACTGTTAACAGCCATCCGCTCGTGCTCCTGATCATTGCAGACAAAGTGCTTTAATGTTGCTGCGACACCTTTGTCTTGCATACCCTTGCAGAGGTGCCCCGCAAGAGTACCAGAGAGGACACCGTCTTCCGAGAATGACTCGAATCCGCGACCGCCAAGCGGTGATCGCTGAATGTTGATTGTAGGACCTAGAACAATATGTGTGCCCTTGGCGATCGCTTCATCGCCCATCAAAGTACCGATTTCTGACAACAGCTCGACATCCCAGGTTGCGCCCAAGGCGGTGGCACATGGGAAACAGGCGGCTGGCACGCCGTTGAAGAATCGCGTTCCTCGGACGCCATTTGGGCCATCTGACATGCGCAGTGAAGGGATATTTAATCGTGGGATTGGGGCCGTGTGCCAAAAGTCGCGTCCTGGCGTAGCTGGTCAACAATGTTCTTCAGGCTGAGGGAGGGGCTGGTTGGTGGGGTAGAACTCGGAACATCAGAGGGATGGAATTGTATTGTATGGGAATGAATTGGACGGTGAATGTGAAGCTTACCCGCGGTGAGAGCGATCTTCTCTCCCAGTGTCAGCTCCTCAATGGCCTTCTCCACGTCGATGGGAGCCATGATTTTGGAGCTCTTTGTTGGTAGTTCGCGGTTGTATATTTATTTTGGTTGTCGGGAGCTTGTTTTAGGCCCAAGCAGATAAGTCTGTGCAACAGCGATAGATTGATGGCTTTTTTACGAATGGAAGCGGGGACTATGACGGCCTTTTATGATCAAATGCTGAAAACCTTGGAAAGCGATCGCAATTCTCCCCGACAGAGCTCAGGCGGGGGGGAAATACCAGGGTGGAGCTCGAGCTCCAGCTGCTCAAATCGCCACGGAGTTAACCCCTCGGCCGAAGTTTAGCCGGCAAAGCACCTGACCCAGATCTGCTTACCTGGGCAATCGGATGCTCGGTCCGCAGAACCACTGAATAACTATTGGAACTTTTCGGGTCCTTGCTTCGAATTAGTCATGAAACCTGTCGGATAATTGCCATTCATTTGGCCTTCTCCAAAGCTGTTGCTTACATTTGGAAATCACCCGTTGGCACGGCTGCATAGTGCATATTTCCATTGTACCGTTTTGTCTGTGCCGCGTTTCGGCTTACCTATTTCAGCTCTCCAGCTTAGTGGTTGTACATGCCTGTAATGACGATTCTTTCCAAAGTCTTTATTCGAGAATTAAGATACAAGATAAGGCCCGACAATAATCTATGGTTAAATGATTTAGGCAAAATTAAATGGATAAATGGGCATGTATCGTCGTCTGTAAGGCGTATTTAAATTGATTTTGTATGGCGTTTTATGGTTCTACAATTTACGAAATTTGATTCAACGCGTATACTCTTGCAGTTTAGGCAATTTTTCTTCACTTCTTTACATATGCAGGTCATATTAGATCTAGCCAACTTTAGAAGTCCAAAGAATCCAGGCATTGTATGAAGATCGAGGATTTCCACTACTCATGATCAAAATTGTCAAGCGTATCTGATATCACCCCATTGATGGGACTTGCTGTGTCACACTGTGCATCACACCGCCAGTCAAAGGAATAGCGTTAGTATAAACCTGCCGAATAACTCGATCCGGAACCAGAGACGACAGAAGTTCAAGAGCTCTCTGGTCTCTTTCTTCATCTCCGAATTTAGGAATTATGAGGCCGCCATTGACAAAGTAAAAGTTCACATAACTAGCCGACAGTTCTTCGTTAGAGCCGCCGGCCAAACCCTTGGGATCCGGCTCTTCAATGGTATAAATCTGCAGGGTCCGGCCTTTTGAGTCCCGTTCACGTCCAAGAATCTCATTAACCTCTGCCGATATCTTCCTCCAAACCTCGGCAGCCGTGTCATGGGGCCTGGAGTAGACGATGACGCCAGGTCGAACAAACCGCGCCCTAGCATCCATATGCACATCACAAATATCAACATTGCGCCGACCAGGAAGCCAAATGACCTTTTGTATACCAAGCAACCGTTTCAGCTCCCCCTCAATCCTAGCCTTCGACATGCCGGGATTGCGCACATCGCAGATGATACTGCTCTCCGTGATCAACAACGTCCCTTCCCCATCCGTCACGAACGCACCTCCTTCAGCACGAATTGGGGAGTCGACCCGTGTCACAGGGCCCGGATCAAAGTCGTGATCAATGACCCAGCGCGCAAAATCCGTGTTCTCCTGAAGCGCCTTATCATCCAGCGGTGGCCACCTCTGGCCCCAGCATAGCCCATCTCCTTCAGGCTTCTTGCCGCCCCATTCGTTGAAGCGAAAGTTTATGGCGAAACGTCGACCGGGGAACTTGCCCGTCGCGTCACGGATGTACACTGGGCCCGTGTCGCGGACCCAGGCGTGGTTGATTGGGCATGGGATGATGGTCACGCTGGTGAGATCCCTGCCGGTGTTTTGGAGGAGGGTCTCCAAATGCGTCTTGTCGTCGGGGCGGACGTATATGCGAACGAGCTCGAATTCGGCGATGGCAGTGGCTAGTTCGGCAAGCTCGGCGCAGACTGCGTCGTATTTGTCCGGTGGGAGGGAGGAGCGTGATGGGAAACCAAGGATCGTGGCTTCGTGGCGCTCGCTTTCGGCGGGGAAAATGTACCTGCCTTGTTGGATTTCACTGCGCGTTCCTTCGTATGGAGTGGCATTGGAAGGTGGGTCTTGTGATTTACTGTGACTCGTTTTGAATATTTTGTCAATCATGCGACGTAGCTTTTTGAAGAGCCTCATCGTGGCCGATCTAAACTGGAAATCATATTCCTAGTTGGTGGCAATAAGAAATTGATTTATTTCAATTTGAAGCAATGTTCATTGTCAGTGTGCTTTTTTCGGAATTACAATTTGTTGAGAAGTATCACTGCAGGGTCGGAGATGGTGCTACATAAAGGGCTCCTAGATATGATTGAATGTGTGGCCAGTCAGTGACACAAGGGTGCAGTTATAACCTGGCTCGAAGATCCGAAAGGCTATATCAAACAGTACATAAAAATTGCTAGCTGAATGGCAAACCAAAAAGTATCTTGGATTTGGTAGCGAAAAGAAAACGATCTATATTTGTCGACAAGGTCCGGTTCTAGCCTTGAAAGGTTTACAGGAGAGGAGAGCACATGAGACCGGAAATAGATGAAACAAGTTCGGAGAAATACAACAAGTAAAAATATCCCATGCAAGCGTCCAGTTACACCTTTTCAATATGCGTTTCAAAAATCCCACTGATGGACCTGGCACTCTTCTTCGGAATCCGCTTCTGGTCATTCTCATAGTCAACAAAGGTCACACCGAAGCGAGTTTCGTAGCCTTCTGCCCACTCAAAGTTGCTATAAAAATCGATTATTAGTATAGATCGCAAGACCGTAGTGGACAAGGGGTGGAAAACTTACTCCATCAGGCTCCAGGCCATATACGCACGGACGTTTACCCCATCAATGGTGTATGAATCTGCCATGGCGCCAATGTAGTCCCGGAAGTATTGCACGCGGAAATCATCCTCGAGCAGCTGGTCGAGAGGCATATCGTTCTCGCCCAGTACACTAGTCCCGTTCTCTGTAACATAGATTTTGGGATAACCATAGCGTTCACTGAGCCACTTGAGTAGCTTTCGGAAACCTAGTGCACACGGTCTTAGCCAAGGTGACTGTGTGATAGGCCCGACGCTGTGACCATATTTATCTTCGAGAAGAAGCTCTAGGTTTCCAGCAATATCGTCAAGCTCGGGCTCCCCTGTTTTGGCGCGGATGAAGTTGGCGCAGTAGTGGTTCATTCCGTAAAAATCATTGCTACCCTGAACGAGCGCGATTTCCTCGGGTGTCCATGTCGGCAGCCGATCACCTAGTTGCTTTATCATGCTATCCGGATACTTTCCGTGATAAATTGGATCGGCAAACCAGGAGATGGCGAATTCGATCTTGCGATCGCAGGCTTCAATGTCGGCTGGATTTTCTGGATCCCATGGATCCGCCCAGTCACCTTTGAATTTGGACCATTGTCAGCTAGGGACTAATCTTATGAGACTGAACTGACATACCGTTCAGGGTGATGCCGATTTCACCGCCATCATGTGCTTTGAACTCGTCACGGTAAATCTTAACTGCTGACCCGTGTGCAAGCAGAATATTATGGCCCACAATCCAAGGCTCTGTTGATCCGTCGCCAACATCACTTTTGGTGCGATCGCTTGTGCGACCTGGTGCAAAGACTCCGAGATTATAACCCAGAACACTGCTACACCATGGCTCGTTGAATGTGATCCAATGCTTGACCTTGGAGCCAAAGGCGTGGAACATAATTCGGGCGTAGTGTGAAAAATCGGCGACAAATTCTTCCTTGTTCAACAATCCACCGTAGCGTCTGTCCAATTCCTCAGGGATATCCCAATGGAATAAAGTGACCATTGGCGTGATTCCTGCATCAAGGAGATCGTCCACGAATTTCTGGTAGAATTGAATCCCTTTTTTGTTGATGGGGTCGTTGCGGCCACCGAGCGGAATGATCCGAGGCCTGTGTAGAGCGTCAGAATAAAGAACACAACAAAAGCCAAAAAAAAAAAAAAATTGATGAAAACTTTGTTCAACGAACCATGATACCGAGAATCTGTATGCCTGAGCACCGCATGTCTTCAAAAGGGCAATATCCTCGTGTGTTCGATGATACGAGTCGCACGCCACATCGCCCGATCCGCCACCAGCGATCTTGCCAGGGATCTTGCAGAACTTATCCCAAATCGAAGGTCCACGACCATCCTCATACGCACCACCCTCAATTTGATAAGCCGCCGTCGCAAACCCCCAAAGAAAATCAGACGGCAAAGTGGATTGCACAATAGATCCCATGTTGAAGAATTTCGATCTCGAAGTTTCCTTCAAAACGCAAACGAAAGATTGGAATCAAGGCCCCAGTTCACCGTCGCCCTCGTGAGAAATTCCTTTATTTATGACCGTGTCAACGCTGTATCTGAATCAAGCCGGTCCAAAAACGAAAAACACTCAGCTCACAGCTTCCTTATCGTGACAGGAACTATCTCCGCGATCCGGAGCACATCCCGCGCCCAGACGGTGGGAGGCTCCACCGCGCGATCGCGCGTCAGATTGGCTCTGGGCCTCTGGCGCATGTAGCGGTTGCCCGGCCCGTTCACCGCAATTGAAGATTCTACGAATCCCGGTTCGTGGCCTTGAAAACCACTTCCCGTCCCCCGCCAACTTTAAGCCCGGACGTCAACGCGTGTCCGATTCGGTTTGCACGGTTGTCTTGCCCCTTATGACCCCCCCCCTATCGGCGTTTGTTGACCCCCTGGTTCTTGTCAAGACCGGGATCTTGTGAAGGCGCCGGTCGCCCTGCATGCTCGCCGAGAACCCGATCAAGTCTATGGTCTTGGCTGTTAGATGTTGACTACTTTGTTTGCTTAAGCTGCATGTTGACGAGATCTGGTTCGTCGTTCTCGGCGAATGTCCGAGCGCCACTGAACTCTTATTGAATGATGATTTGCACTTTCAATGGCAGCGATCCGGTTGATCCAGTGCCATATTCACAATCACATGAAGATAAGATACCATTCAATTAGAAAAGCAAGAAATTGGTATTTACTGAACCTGTTTCCAGACCCGGCGTACAGAAGTCGTCGACTCCAAGGTCGTATCTCCCCCACACGGCCCAACCCGGCCTGCATCACAGATCCCTGCATACGCGAATATTTTTTAGTCACTGTGTTTGTTTTTTTTGGCGCAGATCAACACCAATTGCTCAATGCATCTGCATGTCTTTTGCATCGGGCCTGTCCCCTCTTGGCTTTGGTTATACCATTACAGTGAGGCATCTACTCCGAGACCCAAACACAGCAATATTGGCAGATCATCATTCGATGTGGGAAATGAACATTGATTCAAACGAGAATAACCCACATGCCACGCGCCCTATGTTACCACATACAATCCATTGGTCAATGATCTATGATGCGATGAACCCTTTTAATTGTTCATTATTGTCACATAATAGACGTCATATATATGTGGTGGTGCTTGTTATAGAAAAATCACCCATGAGTCAACCCAGTACTTCTGATCATAGCCAGCTGGCCATTACATATTTCAAAGAGATCACAAGTGTCCCATCTGCAAGCAATATACACAGCTCTTAGCATTCCATATTACGCCAATCAATCGGGAGAAAGAAGTGCTGTTCAACCTGTTCAAGGTTAAGGTTGGAACTAAAGCTCCAAGAGCAGATCCAGTAGCTCTTGTTAATGAATACAAGACGATCTCGTGGGAGCATTCCGAGTGGAATCTCGATTTGATGTTGGATCCCAGGTGGTATATTTATTGAAACAGACGCGGATTGATTGGGTGGTAGTCGGAGCAGTGACGTGGTGGTTTCCCGATAAATATCTTTCAGGAAAACGGTATGAATGAGTACACTCTGCATCAAATCTAGCAGCTGCTGTGGGTCTTCGGACTCGTCCAATCCATCGACCACCCAGTAGATCGTTGTTGCGAGTCTCATTTTGAATAGCAGTCGGACATGAATTTTCTCCCAGATGGCTTTTGCATCCGTCTTTTCCGATGTGTTTGTGGCAAACAAAATATTTTTCAAGGCGCGACGAAATTTTGGGAACTGATTTGCAATCCGGAAAGCCATATTTCTGAAACAGGCAGATAAGGAGCGCTTGGACTCGTCAATGAGCCGGAAAAAGTGGTACACGCAAAGTGAATCCTCTAGTAGCTGGTGTGTCACAAATGATGATAAGACGGACTTTTCACTCCCTGGCAATGAGTGTAGCCACACTATGGTAGGTGTATCATTAGCTCAACTGGATGGATGAACAAAGGATGGACTAGAACGTGTCCATTCGCAGGTTCCAGGTGTCCATCTGGCACGGAAAAGTTTGAGGTCATCTTAAAGTATCTCTGACACTACTAGCAGATTCTGCAACTGCCCAAACTATGTCTTTTCTTGCTCACAAAATAGAGATTCTCTTGAAAATTCAGATCATTAAATTTGCGATCGGAATTTTGTTGAGTATGTCCGCTAGATTGAATCCGTGATGAGGTGTCGCCAAACACAGTATTGCACTGATTGAGGAGACAATGCCGGGATACTGATCATCGTTTTGGTCCATAATATTCGCCCGTTTGACGACGAGCCCGCCCATGGAATGGACAATGAAGATGATGGGTCTCTATAGAGGCAAGGCGTGAATAATTATGGGATAACAAAAGCGGGACGCGCCGAAGAATTACCTGGCCCAGCTCAAGTTCTTCTAGATCTTCACCCTTGGCAAACTTGATTGAATATAAAAGATCCTTCGCGAAATCAGTGATTCCTGTGATGGGAGCCGAACCAGCTGCTGCCCAGCTCGAGAGGAAGCTATTTTTCTGGCCAGAAGTATCGTGGATCTCGACCTCGTGCCCATGTAGCTCGGATAGTACCACCAAGGTCATGAACGAAATTAATGTCCAGAGCAGGCGTTATTTCTGGCTCATAAACAACGGTCAAGCCAACACGATCGTTGCGCCGATCGCTAGACACTGGTGAATTTTCCTCGAGCACACCAAATGATGAGCTTGTTGAGGCCGCTGGGAAATTTTTAGCAAGGGAAGACTTTCGATTTAGATCTATTGGGGCTTGTGATGCATCTCCAAGTTCGTTAGGGGACCACGTCATCTCAGAAGAGGTGGAAGTGGTGGATGGTTGAGCAAGAGATGTATTCCTTGAATGGGTCTCTCTTCAGGTGTGGGTCGGTTCGATTTCTTCCCAAAGGAAAACTGGGTAACGGTGAATCGTGATGTTAGCTGGTGAACGTCCTCAACCTATGTTTTCTTCAACTACCATCCAGCAGAACAGTAACTAGAGTGTAGGTTTGGGGAGAACGAATGGAAATGACGTGGGGAAGGATCAGCTGTGGTGCATTTTTAATGAGGGGGATGGGGGGAAAAGAAAAAAGCAAAGAACAAAGGAGAGAGAACTCTCGCTTTCCCAGACTAGCTATCAGACTGGCTACAGACACGCGCCACAATATGACTATATCAGGAGCAGACCATGTGACCCAAATCCTGGGAGTCACATGATTCACTTCTCCTGACTGTTGACACCATCTTTCAACATTTATGTTGGTATAGCCTCATTGGAAGCTGAATCGTGACAGCGCTGTATGTTGGGCCCTTTACATTGAAAGAAACCATACTGGCATGATTGAGCGGGTGGGGACAAGCCCACTGCCGCCCGGAGACTTCCAGCTCACACAGGCAGCATTTCTTCCTTTCAGCTCGATGCAGATACATCCAGTACGCCGCTGGCAGGATTGGAGGGTTTCCCCTTACGTTCTCCTACTATTGGTCCACGGGCCTCTGAGGCTGCTTACATCGACAGGGATCCAACTCGTCTAGCAACAACCCCTTTGACCGAGAATTGGTCACTAAAGCGCGTGTACCACCTACCCTTCACGGATAGACATCCTTCCATCTCAAATGGACAAAATGGCCGGACAGGCCATGAGTGACGTGACTCGACTACGGTACCTCGTCCAGTGGTCTACTTCAATCCCGATATTCCTTTTTTCACACTACATAGCCTCACACGATAAATCCCAGTACCCGTCAAGTGATTTCAGCAGATAGCGATAGATCCTCTGAGTCCCTTCTACACTAATTCAGCCTCACTTCAACACTACGATGGCGACAGAAACTGAAATTAGGGCTGCCAACTGGACACCTCCAACAAATCCAGGACTCAAAATGCCTCTGGTCACACCAAGAAGAAGCCACGGTCAAAAAGTCGAGGGCAACTTTCCGTTAGATCAGATCGTGATTGACCAGTCTCTATTTGTATCTTCAAGCTGGAATGGAAGGAATTGAATAACTGTCTTGAGTCTCTGTTTCTCGGCATACTAAACCAAAATAATTCTATGCACTGGTTTCAATGATTTGTTAGTTGCTACCCAATCAGAAACCCGGCAATTTACAGAATACTGAATCTGGTATGTAGTCAATATATTGATAAACGATTCGTATGTATGTATGGCTGGTAATCAGATACTCCCAGGGCCCTTGGAAATACAGTTAGTTGAAGAGGACAATCAATCGCTGGAAACTTGAATGATCCCTGATTCTGTTATAACTTACCCCTCACAATAACCGATTAAAGTGACTACTGTAGTGGAGTGCACCTCTAGTTGTAAATTGAGTAAATATGAATCTACCTAGTATGGGCACAATTATATAGTCTATGGGACCTGTTGCATAATAGGGCACTCATCCATCCTACATCCCCGCTTGAATCCCTCCCAATACACATTCCTCTGCCCTCCATCACATGCAATGTGTGGTTTCGCTGTCATTGATAGTGGCAGAGTGGGGACGGTGAACCGGTCAAGTGCTGGTAGGCCGAATTCCGGAAAACAGATTATTCGGGCCGGGAGAACGGTCAGCTTTCGAATTCTGGCTCTTAAGCCCCTCATTCTCTGAAACCCAGATTTGCCCCTAGAAATCTCTCTTGTGGTGTCAATGATCTGACCCATCGCGCAATCGTCATTGGACTTGCGCGCATTCTGAGATGGAAGAAAGCTTTATATCCTCGCTCCAACCGATGCCAAACAAACTGTTCTTCTTCGGTCTTATTCTGTGAAAAGAGGACCTGTCCATACCAGTACAGACAATCGAGCGTATCTTGCTCTGAATCTCCAAACCGCTTTATTGACCCATCCAGTGCCTGGCGAAGGAGAGGTTCTGCTTCAGTGTATTTGGATCTTTTAATGTACGCCAGGCCAAGCCAGTAAGATGAGCACAATGTGTCCAGGTCATGTTCTCCAAGTGTCGTATTTCGCAATGAAAATGCACGGTGGAGGAATTGAATGGCATGTTCGTACTTTTCTTGATGATACATGGCCAGACCTAGCCAGTAGTTCGTCGACATGTCTGTGTTCTTTTGTCGTCTCGTGAAAGTCCGACGAAAAGCTTGTTCAGCTTCGCGGTACCTCTCCAGATCAAAGAGAGCACGCCCAAGCCAGTAGACGCATTCGATTGTGTCTTCAGCCATCGGTCCTGGAAGTTCGTCTCGTCTTTCCAACACGTCTTGGAGAATTCTTTCGGCCTCTTTGAAATTGCCTTGCTTATATAGGCTGTATCCAATCTGAAAGAGAACATGCACTAGATCTTGATCATGTGCATCACTTATCGGTACCAACCCTTCCAATGCAGATTCAAAATAAGACATGGCTTCCTTGTGATTTTTTTGCTTGGAAAGTGCGAGTCCAATTGCACGCAAACAATTTAGTGTCTTCCGGTCGCTTTTACCCAGGGTCTCGGTCAGCCCACTTGCGACTTCTCTGAACAAACCCTCGGCGGTTTCATATTGGCAAAGTTCATATTCATTCCGGCCAAGCCAATAGGAAGCGTCCAGTGAGTCAGCATGTGTTGGGCCAAGAACATCCTTCAATCTAATAACTGCCGTTTGGAGACGAAATTGCGCACCATCGTACTCTCCCTTCCCGTGCAGCCTTTGACCAAGCTCAGACATGGTGCGGTAGTAAGCTATTGTTTTGGAAAGTTCTGACTCATCTGACTTGGGTTTCTGTACGAGGTGTGGAGAGTTTTGCGGTAAATGCACGACGGTAGTGGAAATCGCCCCTTCTCGGTTTACCCATTTTATCTTCACCCGACCCCCTTCAAATGTGTGAGTTTCGGAGTTGGCTCGCCGAAGTAGAGGCGCGATTTTTCAAATAGATTCCTGCATAAAATTTGTGGCTTTCTCGAGCTTCAAAATTTGTGGGGAGTTGCACATTTGCGGCAGAGGTTGCACAATTTCAGGTGGCTTCTGCTTTTCACATGTAGAAAGCGAAGGAACGGTCTCTGGGTGACTCGGGCTCAGCACACGTTCCTGGATATCTGCTACATGCTGCAACATAGCCAGTCCTTCTTTGTATTCTCCTTCTCGGCAAATCAAGAGTCCGATCCAATAACGGGATTTGAGCGTCGATATACCGTTCTTTCCATACTTCATTTGTTGAGCTTTAAGTACCGATTGAAATACTTTTTTCGCCGCGGAATAATTGGACATATGGTAGTAAAGAACTGCCAGGCAATGGCACGAATTTCGTGTGTCACGGTGCGTCAATCCAGGTACTTTCTTGCGTCCTTCGGCCGCCTGTAGAAGCATAGGTTCGGCCATTCTAAAGTCGTTATCCCGATAAAGCTGCACACCTCGAAGGTGAAGAGCAAGTAATTTGTCTAGTTCATCTTGTTCCGGGGATTTGAATGCAAAACAAAAACTGTGAATTAGAGTTGCCGGTGTAGGTGACGAGGCGTTTTTCGTTGCTTCAGAAGAATCTTTTTGAGTGGAAGGTTCCAAGATATTGGGTGCATGCATTTGTGGATTTCCTCCTGCTATAGGTTGATTGACATCATTGAAAATTTTGGCAGGCGTTTTCTGCGGAGTTTTTACTGTCTTTTGGGGGTTTTTTGTCGAGGTGACCTTTGCTTCTGTTCTTTGTAAGCCTGCCGGTTCCGAGACTGGACTATCAGACCGCACCAGCCACGCCTCTCCCGTAGCTTCATGTGCAGCTAATCTCCCCGAGGCGTCCCGGAATAATGCGGCCTTTATGAAGTTTTTGCAATCCTCGCTGATCTCTGACAGTGGAGATTTTGGGAAAGAAAGATCCGCGCCTTGCATATATCCTAGCAGGCTCCATGGTTTGTCGTGGGGGAATGGATAAGAATGGAAAACCATATAGAACACGATCACACCCAGTGCCCACATGTCAACTTTCTCTGTATACTGCAATTCAGTTTTATCCTCGACAGGATGTCCAAAATGGATAGAAAACATCTGCAACTCTGGAGCACTGAAAACCAGTGTTCCAACGCATGTTTGAAGGCCATTATTCTGATCAATACGTTTGCTGAATCCAAAATCGCCGATTTTGACCCACCAATCTGGACCTTTTCGAAACACAAAGATATTCTGCTCTTGTCAGTAACGGCCTTGTTTATGGGTATGTAATCTTTTACCGCAGGTTTAAGGTCTCGGTGAGCGAATCCGTTCCAGTGGAGGGACGTCAGACCTTCTGCTATCTGCATTGTGATCTCTCGGGCTTCATTTTCGGGCAAGGGTCTGTCGAGATGGCGATCCAGATCGCCGTGTTCCATATATTCCATCACAATGAACACAGAATTAACATTTTCATACCATCCAAGAAACTCGACGAAAAGGCCCTCGTACTAAAACGATAAGTTGACTTGTTAAACCCCGAATTAATACATCGAGGTATTGGAATCAAATAGTACCTTCTTGTGTGAAAACTTTGCAATCGCTTCTAGTTCTTGGTAATAATGAATGCCCTTGAAGACGACGGCCTTGTCAATCTTTTTCACGGCCTGCAACTCTGCTGGGCCATCCATTGTCAAGCACTTGTGCACAGAAACAGTGCCAACTGATCCGCTTCCAAGGCTGTTTATCACCTTCCATCTCTCCTTTTGAGGCCTGCGCCGGACATGCTGGGTAGCAGAGACCTCAGACTTGGTTGTGAATCGATATGTGAAGCGGTTGCTAAACTCAACTCGGATTTCACTATCAAGCACGAAGTCGGAAGGGAGGTCATCCATTTCGGGTGTCTTTCTGGATCACAAGTGACAAGGCCAATGGGCGAGTTGGAAATCGGGTTGAGGTTGAGGCTGTGGCTGGTGTGTTGTGTGGCTGGTGTGTTTTCGAGCCATTGCGGGAAGGAACAGTCACCGCCCCCTGCTGAGTGTAGATTCCTAGAGACATCTTAAATGTTTCAGAATTTCTAGCCGTATACAAGAATAACTTGTTGTCTAGTGGTGAAGCAGTCTGTGCAGTGTACTAGTATGCACATGTGCGTGTGGGCCAAAGAATCTTTACTTCTATTTTCACCCGGTTCTCAGCCCTATTCTCAGTCTATAGCGTACTCACCCTTCTCGCCCCCGGTCGCGCGACGCTGGAATGGGTCTCGACTCTGACTCTCGCCCATTCCTCACCTAATTGAGTTCTGTTCGTCTCTAAATGTCCATTCTCAAGTGCTATATAACCTGCTCGAAACAAAGACTGGCTGCCTTGCCTTCTCTTACTAAACAGTATAAAGGCTACACCAGAATGGTTTAGATACTAATCAGCTACCTTAATATATTTAAGCAACGAGGAAGCGTGAATGGAGCACTGAGAAAATGATCAAAATTGAAAAGATTAAATTGATATCGTTCACATGCAAGTACGTAACTATTCAGCATTCAAAGATGTTGTCAAGAGCACCATATAATCTCCGAAAGTCACTATCCTGGCCTAACAAGGTCTCGGGTTTATCGCACTCCACCAACACCCCGTCCTTCAAAACAGCAACGAGGTCAAACAGATGAATGTATTTAAACCGATGCAACACAGCCACAACTGTCTGCTCTCTAAATTCATTTTGGAGAAGTTGCTGCATGATCGATTCTGTCTCCACATCCATACTACTCGTCGCTTCGTCTAGAATCAAGATGGGCTTTGGCACCGCGAGTGGGCGTGCTAGCGCAAAAAGTTGTTTTTCTCCTGCAGACCAATTCGTTGATGCTGTTGATAAATCCGCACTCAAAATATTTGAAGTACCAGTCTCGCCATCATTATCGCTCCCATTGGCGTTGATTCGGTTCCAGAGGCCGACTTTCTGCAAAGCAGATTCGATATCTTTATCGGAGGCCAGATTGAGAGGGTCGATGTTAAATCGCACTGTGCCGGGCGATATGATCAGAGGGTCTTGAGGAATGACGTTCATCAGAGCGTGGATTTCCTGGTGCGTGAATCCGGCAAGGTCTCGTCCGTTGATGCGTAGACTTCCAGAGCGAATTTGATTCATACGCAAAATTGACATGATTAGTGATGTTTTCCCACTACCGGATGCACCGCAGATAGCGATCTTCTTGCCTGGCGCAAATGTGATAGAAATGTTTCTCAAGGCCGGTGGGCTGCTGAGGCTGTTCGATAGAAATGTTAGCAGAGTAACTTTGGGTCTGGAAGGAGACCGGGGACGTACTCATATCCTGCGGTCAATTCCTCAAATTTCAAGGTATATTTGGTGTCGGAGTAAACTGAAGATCCAATGAAATGGGAGTCATCCAAATCGTTTTCTGTGTCACATGGGGTATCCTGAGTGAATTGTTGCACTCGTGAGACAGCACCAATGCAAGTCTCAAGACTGACCCAACATTGAAGAGTATTGGAAAGGCTATCATTCAGAGAAAGAACAAGATTGAGAGCGATGCCGATAGTAACACCGGTATATTGAGATCTCAATGAGGTGGCCATTGATACAATGATGAGAGCAATAGCACCAACGGTTAGATTCATGACAAGGGTCAGCCACTGTTGAATGCAGTAGAGCATGTAAAACGGACGTTGCGATCGATTCAGCAGGTGATACATTTTTTGCTTGAAATCCGACTCGAAATTGAAAGCGCGAATGGTGCTTATTCCTTGTACGGACTCAGCAAAATGACTGTAAAGAGGAGCCTTTGCTTCGATATCCAAAAGCCGCATCTGGCGTGACGTGCGAAGGTAATATCTTTGGAGAATCACCAAGCTGACAATAAGCAGTGGAATCGAAACTGCTAGGTAATTGCTAAGGACACATAAGATGACGACTTGAACAGCACAGTTTGCGATTCCTATGTTGAAACATTACCGGTGAGTAGCCGTATCATACAAGCAAAAAAAAGAACATACCGGCGGAAAACATCGATGCATAAAGAGGAAGTGCCATATCAATAAGATCCATATCCTGGCTGAATCTATTTGTTAGGCTCCCATGGTCTGTCGTCTGGAGGAATATAAATGGAGCTCTGCCCTTGCGTTAGTAGCATTACAAGAAAAAGTCAAGACTGGGCAGTCATATTCACCGTAGTGTTGTTCGAAGAACGTATGTATGAAGATTCAGTCCGGTATTGTTGATAATTGAAATGATCAACGCCCTGCGATTCACGTCAGGCATCCACCGGAAATCTGAGACATCAATCATAAATCCTTACCACAAACTACCAATCAAGGTTGTAAAGGCCAAAACCCAGAGCAAAGCATAAACTCCAAGGTACATGGCCAGGTCTTTGTTCGGTCGTTGTTCATTCGCTTCTACCCACCACTTAAGCCACATCGCTTTTGAGAAGCTTTTTTTCAGTATGATATTTTATGGAAAAAGGTGTAAATCGGTTAAAGAAAGAGAATGACTGGTAACTCACTAGTGAAGTTGCTACATAATGCCTCTGCCAATGTGAGGGAAATGAAAACAGCAAATGGAGCGAATCCAGCGCTTTCATAATAATATTTGTAGACAGACCAGGTGCCGTTTCGTTTAGTATGGTCTGCAGCTCCCGGGGTTGAGGGCGAAGCAGATGGCGCCGTATTTGGCTCCTTTTGATCTTTGCTTTCTTGCTCTGCGGAACCATCTTCCTCCACAATTCCTTTCGCATTTGTCCAAGCTTTGGCAGATATTTCCGGCTCTCGGCGAATTATGGACTCATAAGATCCAGTGTCGATAACTCTTCCGTTTTCAAGGACAATAATTTGATCCGCGAACTGCAGCAATGGCTCTGGTATCATGTTAGTCGTTGGAGGAGCCAAGGTGGAAATTCTCCGGGGGGAGCTTGCCAGTGTGGGTTGCCAGAAGAACAGTTATCCCTGCCGATCGAAGGTAACCACCTTGACTGAAGAGCCCATTCGAGATCAGGCTGACATTATGAGCGTCCACTCCACTGAAGATGTCATCGAGAACAAGAAGCTTTGCTCTTGAATATATCGCGCGACAGAGAGCAATTCGTTGTTTCTGCCCCCCGCTGAGGCAGACTCCATTGCTCCCTGCCTCGAACGAATCACCACCGGACATTTTTTGCAAATCCGCTTTCAAACCGCATACCGAGGTTGAAAACTCATACCATTCAGAATTGTACTCAGATCCGAGAATGATATTCTCGCGGATACTGGCGTTTATAATCCAAGGCACTTGCGCGCAATAGGCGATTTGAGACACGGAGGTCGTGACCTTGGCCTCGCCAGCTTTTACTACGGTCTCGTGAAGGACGGTTTGCAAAATTGTGGACTTTCCTGACGCAACTGGCCCGATGATCATAGTAATTCCACCTTTCCTGACTGATAGGTTGATGTCGTGAAGATGATGATCGCCCTCCTTGGACCATGCAATATCGGCGTTCTCAAAGGCAATCACGGTTCCATCATTCGGTTTGGGGGTATTGACAACCAACTCAATAGCGTCTCGATTGGAGTCGTTCGAAAAGCTGCCGATATGTCTCGAATGGGCAACGGGCTTCAGAACGTAGTCTTCAATGCGATCAAAACATGCCATCGCTTCTTTCAGTGAAGGGACTGATTGAATGAATTTGAGAAGTGGATTAGTCACTAATGTGATCAGCGAAAGCGAAGTAAAGGCCTGACTTGACAGCAGAGTCTTGTCTTTGCTCACGGCTGCTATGATTCCGTAAACAGTGAAAGTAGCGAAGGGAGCAAAAGTGGCTGGTACATTTGCTATCTCGAGAGAAGGGAGTGTTAGCACTGGTTGGCATTGGCCACCCGCGGTGGATGTACTTCAGGAGGTCTTTCTTCTTACACAGAGCAATTTCTCCTATCAACAACTTTCGGAACCTCTCTGAAATTTTCAACTCTGCCTCTCGTAGCTTCGTGATGGTTCTGTACATCACACCAGAGAGCCCCAGCATTTTGACGGATTTGATGTCTCGTAGCAAGTTGGAAGTCATGGATATTCGGCTCTGGACCCTCTCCACCCACTGGCCTTGAGCCTGTCCCATTCTGCTCGAGAGTGGAGCTACTGCCAACACTGAGCCTGTTCAAAATGTTGGGGAATGCAAAGAATATAGCTTGGGTGAGGAATGTTTTAGCTACCTATTGTAATAACACCAGGAACCACACAGGATACATCAATCTGCCTTTCTAGAAGCCAGACAGCGACTCCTAATTCTAGGACTGTTGCCCAGATCTCATGCATGCTTCTGAGATTTGACACAATCCTTTCGGTGTCTGTCCCCATGTGGGTGAGAGCCGCTGAATCAACAACATCACTAGCCTTGAGTTGAGTAGTTTGTGTAAATATCAGAGAAATCAACCCGGATCGAGTCATGGTACTGAATCGATTGAGCTGTCGCTTGTAGACCGAGTTAGAGACCTAGGACTGGAATATTAGTTTTCCAGAGCGTCACACTTTTTCACTTGACCGGTTTTTATATTCACAGCTACATACGGCTATACCCAAGTAAACTAAAACATAAGCTCCGATGATACCCTGGCCGCGTTGTTTAGTGTCGACTGTTGTGTCTTCGTTCATGTAGTTCACTGTAGCGCTGATGAGGAAAGGTTGGCAAAAGGTGAACACGGCCAAGCATAGACGGGGCACTACCCCAAATATAAGGGCCCAGCGGTACGCAGAGAATACTGATTTCATCAACCGATGGCGGCCTTTTGTTGCCTTCCACGCTATTTGCAACACCTCCTCTGTGCGCTGTGCTTGTTGATCCACATCTACTTCAGGGATATCCTCGATGGTCAAGGCTTTGGAATAGCCAGTCTGGAACAATGCCAGTGTCCAAAGGAACAAGCTTTGGCCCCAAAAACCGTAACTGGCTTCCTTGGCTGATTTCCTTTGGTGATTGGGATTTAGGAGGTTCAGCTTGTGAATTGACTCTGCGACCAACATCCCAAAGTTGAGAATGAGGATCATAATGCACAGGATGCGACATGCGTTCGTTGCATCTGGAATTTGCCATAGAGATCGGATCTGTGGAAGACTCAGGAGAGTGCTGGCCGAGTAATATAGAACTAACATATCTGATGGTCTGACTGATCGCTGGTCCTCAAGAAAAGAAAGAAAAACGGCGGCTACTGTGGCAGCAATGTTGATGATTCCCGAGGGCATTCCTAGGCCAGTGTGGAGAGCTGGATTCTCAACCCGAAACGCCGTATAAAAAACATGAACAATGATCAGGCCAAATAATATGCTCTGGAAAAGAAAGCGAGTCAGCCACTGCTTATTTACCCGGTCGGAGGTGGTGTGATAAGGAACGTCACCAATTTCAAGATCGCCAATCGATAAGAACGTAATTTGGTAGGCACTCTCCACAGAACACGGAGTCGCGGGGGAATAAGCACAAGAAACAGTACTGCGGGAAGCAAGGAGAAAAATGCATCTTCAAACAGCAGGGTGAAATCAAAAGAGCGACAAGCGGGATCAATGCGAGGACCAAATCCCATGTCACTGCTTCGTGAGCAGGCCATAGTAAGGATTTTGGAGGGACAGAGCCTTGAATCGAAAAACCAGATCAATGATGAGGAGTCAGGAGAGCGCTGTCCGGTCTTAAATGGATATTAAAGAAGTTGACTCTGGTTAGTTCCTGCACCGGACTCCGCGCAGGGTGCAGGGGTTATAATTCTCCGCCCAATAGCAATACAAAGCACTATCGACCCAAAATTGTAATAAGAGAACTTTCTGTCGCTTGAACTCATACTGACAGGTTTTCAAGTCGTCAATTCTTTGCCGCTAAATATACCTGGTAGGCTTGGATGCAACCTTGAAATCAAATTTACACCCACAACAATCGCAATTACTTACTAAAGAGCCAGATGTCAAGGAATCTGATCAGTTATCACTAATGGATACCTGGGAAAACGTGACTTGGTACAGTCACCTTCGTACGGGTATGTAAGATGTTCTCCCTACTGCATACTATGCATACTACCGTACAGAAGCACGCCAGCCACATTTCAACAATTGGTGTTGGTATGGGATGGCATACACTAATACCAGAACATCCCTGTCCCTTTAATGAAAGTAGGTACGGTAAATTTCAGGTAGCAAGATCGCGATGAGACAATGGAGGTGGTATCTTACACCATAATCGTGCATAGCCCCGAGTAGGACTCACGTCCAAATCAAGCGTTGCACGCTGTCTATAATAGAACATGTAATCCAGGATCGGCCCGATGCAGTAGGTCTCAAAATCGGCGTCGTCGGGCGTTCCTGGGTAATACAGTTGGCCCTGTAAATGACAAGGAAGATCATGTTTAAAGAAGAGACTCCCAACAGAAGCAAAAGGTATGTTGAAAGGCTTTCTTTCAATCTCCACAATGCCTGTTACTGGCGCCTTTTTCTGGTACTTTTTTGTCTCAAACCAGCCAGTATCCGCATTTACCCCTGGTGCGTGCTCCATGACGATATATTCTACACCAACTGCATTTTCAGTGGTGGACGACCATCCATAGATTTCTGGTACCGGTATCCCCTTTGAGCGAAGAAACGTAAGGGTTGCGACTTCACTGGCGGTTGCGAACGTCTTCGGGACGGATATCCTGTATGGATTTTGGCTATTGCCCTGAAGTCATCTTCCATGGTGGCTAGCAGCACTTGATTGAAACCACCTTCACTCAATTTGACAAAGCTCTTGACATTTCCGTGGCCAACATGTTTTTGGACGACAATTTTAAGCGCAGCGGCATCAAAACTCATATTTCGTTCATCAAGTCGTTTCGATTCATTGTATAGGAATCGGCCGGAGGTGTAGATAAAGAGAGGCTCATCGGAAATCAAGTCTTGGTTCAGCAATCAGTTCTGTGAGGGGACCGTGTCCAGAATCCAGACGAACACTGACCCTTTGAAATTTGGCAGGAATTTTTCAAATTGAATAAAAGCCAACGAGGAGTCCGGAATCCGGATAAACGAAGGGATTTAGTGTAGAAGTTCCGTATAGACATTGCCTGTGGGGAAGTCAAAGTTCCTTATCTATGGGTCTCCTGGGATGTGGAGCGGCTGAAATGGTACGCTCCGGCGCGGGTATCAATGGGAGCAGTTGGCCTCCGGCTGCGGCGGCCGATAGAGGCCACCCCTAGGTCATATCCCAATTTCAACTTTCGGACCGGCAGAAAGTAAATTACGAGTAATTCCAAATTCATATTAGTTTTTGAACTCCATTATGTTCAGGCAGTTCAGCACTGCATTATACATTAAATCCTTGAACTCTATAATATACTAGTAATGCTATACTATATTAGTTAACTACTTCTCTTTCTTTAGGTAAACTATCACAACAACTGGCAAGAAAGAGAGGCTGAGATCTTAGTCATATAATCCATTCTCAAGTCCCTTCACAAGACTACTCTCAAGTCTACTCGCAAGTCTATTCTCAAGTCTATTCTCAAGTCTATTCTAAAAGTGACCCGTATTTAGATCAAATCCCTTAAGATATTCCTACTATATATGATAAATACAATACAGGCGGGAAACAGGGCGGTGAAGTTAGAAACTGAAATTGGGATATGACCTAGGCCTCTATCGGCCGCCATACTCCGGCGGTGTACCTGATTTGACACCTGCAATTTTGGAAAAACATCACACAAAAAATCTCCTTGTGAAGGTGAAAAACAGAGGACCAAGTGACCACGGCCGATGAAGGCAAAAGTCAAATTGGCGAGAAATGCATGTACTACAGCAACATTGAAAAGCGCTGCAGATCAAACAACTCCTGCAAAGCCTATGAGGGAACCCCCACAAGAAAGCTTACAAAGGGGCGATGAAGAGTCAACTATCGCCAGGGCGTGAAGAGAGCCCCAGGCAGCTGCCATACTCCGCAGATGATTGAGAGGTTTCAATTGGTTGTCTGAATGATCATATGACCCTGCGCGCAACGGAAAACCCCCCATTCTGTCTAGGCTCGGGATGTGGACCACATCACCTCCATGTTTCAACCCCACGGGGAGGAGCTCGAGGTCCACATACACTATCCGTACCAAGCCTCTCCCGAACGAATACCCGACCGGCAATCCACTTAACCTGATGTTTGGCCCTCGAATCCGGCGTGGCCATTGGCAATGAGACCGGGGTAGTACAAATACCCTTGCCATCCGCCCCGAAGCACGAAAACCTCAGCTTCCATTTCGAACTCTACGACCCCACACGAAACCATTTATACACTCCAACCACGATGGACATTACTTGGAGAGACTCTGCCACCAAAGAGGCCTACGAAGAGGCGCGCGTCGGCCGCGTGTTCAATCACCGCCGCCCGTCACGATTCCCCCTCGCCGTTGTGAAGGCCACCAGTGAAGATGATATCGTCAAGGCAGTGAAGATGGCGGGGGACATGAAGTGTCGTGTCGCAGTCCGGTCGGGTGGACATTCCTGGGCTGCTTGGAGTGTGCGCGACAATTCCATTCTGATCGATCTCGGTAATTACAAGCACATGGAGGTCGATGCTTGGAATCGCACTGCCAGAGCCACGCCTAGTATGACTGGCCGCGAGATCAATGATGTTCTGGTCAAGCAGCATGGGCTGATGTTCCCGGGTGGTCATTGTCCAGATGTCGGCCTCGGTGGATTCTTGCTTCAAGGTGGTATGGGTTGGAATTGCCGGGTAAGTTGAAGTGCGTGCTGCAGGTTTGATCGATAGCTAATGACATGATGGGTGTAGAACTGGGGATGGGCAGCCGAGAGAGTTCTGGGCGTGGATGTCGTTACAGCCGAGGGCGAGTTGATCCATTGCAATGCAACACAGAATCAGGATCTGTATTGGGCGGCTAGAGGAGCTGGTCCAGGTATGTTCAACTCGCTCCCGACCAATGAGCAAGTCAATAATTGGATGTTTTGAACAGGCTTCCCGGGCGTTGTCACCAAGTTCCACCTGAGCTTGAACGAGTACCCTAAGAAAGGTGGCTTCAGATCTTCTGGCTACGTCTACCCCATCAGTCAATACCGAAAGGCCTTTGACTGGATTCTCTCAATCACCGAGACCTTCGACAACGACACAGAAATCGCCGTGATCTCAAACTACCCCGAAGGCTCCAACGAAATCCACTTCTTCATCCTGTTGGTTGTCATGAAAAACACACCCGAGGAGGCAGAGAAGGCACTCCGCCCAGCACAGGACACTCGACCCACCGGCTTCGTTGCCGAATGGTTCAGCAAGGAAGACAGTCTCGAGGAACAATACAAAAATCAGGGAACCGCCAACCCGGAAAAGCACCGCTACTGTGCCGAGAACGCATACATCAACAATGACGCCGATGTGCCCGCTGTCCTGGAAGAGGCATTCACCACCCTGCCTGACAAGAAAGCATTTGCGTTGTGGTATCCCATGAACCCCTGCAGTCGCCGGAAGCTTCCCGACATGGCTCTCAGCATGCAGTCCGATCACTACTTTGCCCTCTATACGGTTTGGGAGAATGCATCCGACGACGTGCGGTGCCAGGCCTGGGTGAAGAATGTGATGAAGAAGGTTGAGCGACAGTCGGTCGGCGCATACCTGGGTGATTCGGACTTCCAAGTGCGCCGAACTAAGTTCTGGGCCGATGACAATGCGAAGCGACTTATGAATGTTCGCCGCAAGTGGGATCCCAAGGGCCGGATCTGTGGATACTTGGATCAGAATGATAAGTCCGGACCCGCTGGCCTCGAAAACACTTTTGAGTGGAAGCTGTGAGTCATGATCTAGTTCAGCGAACTAGGTCTGACACAACTGATCTTCCACTTCGTGTTTCTGTTTCTTTTTTTTCCCTTTGCTTATTGAAACTTGATTTGAGAGTTTCTCATCATTTGCTGCGAAATTGGCCTTTTTTTTATGACTTGCATATCCTGTACTTATAGGGCCCGGTTAGACATACATTGTACATATTACGAATTCACTCTGAGAGTAAAAATTTGAATAGTCACTTATCCATTCATCTCCAAAAAATTATTGTGAGGCATTCCCAGGTTCGGATCCGAGATTAAAGCTTCGGCTTGGACTCATCAACCCGTCTTACTTTCCGCCATACATTTACTCCTTCGTCCCACATGGTATCACGCTCGATATTCACCGTCCCATCTGGCTTATACGTTCGAACACCTCGCCCACTAGTTCCCCAACCGAATCCATCTGGGCCGACCGCGGCTTGTCCCTGAACGAAACGGCCCAATGGTCCAATCAAGGCTTCATATGTGTTCTTCTTCTCAGTCGCAGTGAGCACATCCCCATTACCCCAGAACCACAACGGGTAATCGGACGAGTGGGTAACACCCCACTCGATCGGCATCGCCTTGTCCATACACTCCGCACGGTATTCAATGCGATACCTATACAGCAACTTCGACGCATCCACACCACCAGTATTAGAGGTTAGCGCATGGATGAACCCACGCTGCATATGATGGACCTGCATATCCGCATATATTTTGCCCCATGCATCCGAGACCCAGTCTTTGCAGTCAGATGGCAGTTGGCCATTAGGATAATGAAGGGGAAGAACGACGTCAACGATTTTCTCGGGATAATCGGCAATGAGTCGCTTGCGGACTGCGGATAACGTGTTGGCCTTGGGCGGGAACCAGACAGCGTATAGATGTCTTTCATCGCGGCACTCGCCCAATAGCAAGCGGACATTGCGAGCGAGCATGCGACGCGCGAATTCACCATTATCTAGTGACTGGAAGAGCGTGGGCATAATGAAGCCCGAGTCTGTTGTTGGTCTGAATTGATGCACATCGATGGAAGAGCCGGCATCGAGGAGCACTTTGGGCGGCAGTGATCGGAGCCGAGCTAACTTCTCGTTTCCGGACAGAGTGAGCGGAATGTCGAGTGCTGTGAGTAATTGGTCGAACTGGACTTGCGTCTCGGCTGGGCTCTTTGGCTGCACGGCGGGCGAGTTGGAAAACATGCATGCCTGGCGGACGATGGCCTGGGAATCGGGTTGGCGGAGGTCATAGGCTAGCTGGTGAAAGACAGAATTGGCACCTATTGAAGACTTGGATTAGCGGACGGAGCGAGGCAATGGTATATCGAGTCTCTCATACCAGCAGAATAGCCGGAGATTGTAATGTTATCGGAGTTTCCGCCGAAAAGATGAATATTCTCCTTCGTCCACTCCAATGCCAACCTCTGATCCCAGAATCCATGATTGCCCACAGTCTCGCCGACAGCCGCCGCGTCCTCCGCCAGCTCGGACGAGTATAGGAACCCGAACAAATTTACTCTGTATGCGGGCATGACAACGACGGCGTTGAAATCGGTCTCCCCCAGCAGCGCTGCCGCATTGAACCCGTTGGGCGAGCCAAATTGGAGCCAACCACCATCTGTTATCTGTGGATTAGTCTTCAATGAACAAGAGGGGGAATGAAAGGTGATAGAATATTGTAAACTTACGAATGAAAACGAAGACGGGCCACCCCCCTCGTGGAGCCTTGCCTGTTGGAACCCACACATTGCATTGAAAACAGTCCTCCGTCCATGCATCCTCCTTTTCGGGCGAAAGCTCCAAGAATCCGGGCTGCGGACATAACCCCGCTCCGCCGTCGCACTGACCTGGCGACTGTTGAGTGCCGTAGCTGAAGGATGACGGCAGGCGGCGAGCCCGACGCCATCGCTGGATAGGAGGAAGGGCATATCGGACTCCACCGAAGTAGTGACAGAGATCCGACGCCTTTGACCCAGAGGGTGAGATCGTGACGCCCTGGATTACGCCACGGTGAGCGAGATCCTTCACATAGGGACGACGTGAGGTTTCCATTCCGATGAATTAGGTCCGCAACTTTGTTGGAAGATAGGTGAATAGATGCGTAATCGGGATAATGAAGCTTGGGGGCGCTGTGATCTGTATGAATTCAACCTTCCGATTCCGATGAGATTTGGTTTTCGCAGCCATAGCGTTATCCAGGACATGCTGTGCTTTTATCGCCTGTCAGAAATCGTTCCGCGATTCCGCTATGGCCTTCTTATCCGTTCAAGATAGTGTTTGCCGAGATAAAGGGTGTAGTGGAGCATTTTCATTGGTGATGGAGACGAGCAGATCGGCAATGTCTCAACGCCAGAGTTGGAGAAATGGGTGGATTGCGGGGAACTTCCGGCGCTCGGCGATCAAATCTATCGCCGATGTCATATCTGTGTGATTACAACGTATAAAGTATCCGGGCCTCGGGTTCAAATCAGAACTTCAAAGCTTTCAAAGATCAACATTGATTACTGCGCGCTTCACATACTGGTTGCTATCTTCAAATGTTCTACTGATTTCTCGGGTGGACTCCTGTTTCTTATGCCGACTATCCTCCCTGGAGTTGTTCCCGAGGTCCATTCATACTCCAACTCACGAAGACAAGGAACTCAGGCTTAGGTACTATGTACATTTAAGCCTCAAACCTTGGGAGATTATGCATTATGCATTGTGTATTTGCCGGAAATTACAAGTACGCGTGCAAGGTTATTGCTTTCGGAATATGCATACCGTCTCTATCATGCGGATAAAGGAACTTGGTATTGTGAAACCTTGGAAAATCATTCGGGTCGAAGCCCGTTCGTCATTTATTGAAACCATTCCAGTAGGGAGAAAGGTATAATCGTGGAAATCAGATCGAGGGGAACTAGCCCCTGGGGATATATACGTAAGACCAAACGAGTGTTTCCTCGCAGGTCATTCTAGTTCCGGCATATATTACCGAGACTTATACCTTCATCTTGATGGCCTCATCACTGGATGTATTGTTATCGCCGTTATCAGACTGCGCCTGGCCAACCTGAACCTGCAGCATCCGGCGTGCAACACGGGGTGGATCGAAGATAGACTTTGACTGCGCAAAGATCTCGTCAATCTCTTCCAATGTACGTCCCTTGGTCTCGGGGAAGAAGAAGTATACACAAGGGACGATGGCTGCGTTTGTGACGGCGAAAATAATATAATAGCGATTGGAGATCGTGTCGAATCCAACGGGTGTGATCTCAGCCAACAAGAAGTTGAAGGCCCAAACAGTGGCAGTTGAAACAGCGTTCACTGCAGCGCGCACTTGCAAGGGTGCCATCTCGGCAGCGTAAAGGAATGTCAGACCGGAGTAACCGACGGTGAAGATAAATTGGAATGCATAAAGGAAGATGACAGCGACAACAAGAGCGCCAGTGTTGCCTTCTTGTCCAGTTGTGCCGGCAAGAATCGCCATACACACTGACATGGCGCCTGCAGACCAGAGCATCAGCGGACGACGACCCAGACGATCGATTGTGTAGAAGGCGAGGAAGCCGCCCAGCGGCTGTGTCAGACCCATGGCAGCAGCGAGAATTCGAGAACGCACAGCGTCCATACCGAGATATTGCTGGAAGATGGTAGTTGCGTAGTAGGTGATCAGGTTAACACCGCACATTTGTTGGAACATTTGGCCTGTCGCAGCAAGATAAGCGCGGTGGAAAAGTCGCTGTTCGCCCATTGTAAACATATCGCGCCATGATGTGGCTCCAGCTTTGGCTAGGGATGTTTCGATTTCGTAAATCTGAGTTGTGATGATCTCGGAGTCGGGTTCCACGTCCAAGAGGGCCTCTAGAACTTCTCGTGCTTCTTCAATGCGACCCATCTTGATAAGCCAGCGGGGTGACTCGGGAAGCAGCATAATAAATGACATAGCAATAAGGAGCAGGACGATCTGGAAGGCGAGCGGAAATCTCCAAGACACTGAACTTTTTTTGATGAAGTAGAAGCCAAGATCAATCCATAGCGCGCTGGTAACACCGATTCCGACGAAGATGCCATCGGTGACAACGTTGGAACCACGTTTATGTGAAGGTGATATCTCAGATTGCCAGACCGGCACTGTCGCAAGATAACCACCGATACCCAGTCCGAGGATGAGACGAGCAACGATAAATTGAGCGAATTGGAAAGATGAGGCCATAAGAACGGCGCCGATTATAGCAACGAGATTGGTGATGAAAATAACCTTGCGTCGGCCAAGGAGATCGCCGAGGTAAATGCAGGAGAGAGCACCGAAGATACCGCCCGCAGTATACAGCGCGATGACCGTGCCTACATGAACGCACGTGTCAGCGAGTCAAAATAACCATAAATTCAGCCGCACTAACCTTGAATAGTCGAGTTCTCATGCTTAGTCGCCGCGTCACCATGCAGCGTGTCCATTCGAGGGAATTGGGCATTAAATGTATCGAGCGTCAATAAACCACCCGCAACACTCATATTGTATCCATAACAAGTGAAAGTCGGGCACACGACCAGCATGACAGCCGCCCGAAGAAGGGCATTGCCCCTGAGGCCCATATACGGTTTACCCATGATTCGAGTCTCAATTAAACAAGGATTGGATTGGTATGTCGAAGAAAACGAATAGCATTAAAGTGGCAAGCGGGCCCCTATATGCCAAAATTGGATCCAGAACAGGTTAACCTAGGCTCAAATGTCTCCTACGTAACCGACGCTGGTGATTTTGTGCGGGCATCGGCGTCCGCCGTTGATCAGCACCAAGCGATCTGGCGGGGCCTATGAAATTCCGGGGGATTCCACCCTTGCAACCCCTGCTCTTCTGCAACCCCGGACTTCGAGCTGATATATTGCTAATAGTTTCATTCTATTTTAAATGACCATGTAGTAGTCTTGCAGTTGCAATTGGTGCCCGGAATCCCACCATGTGTCCTTGTGCGAAAAACGCGGGGAATTGTGCTTCCCCCACAAATTATGTAGTGGACCCGGCCGGTTTGTTGGTCAGTTACGGCCAAACTAATCTTTGAATGGATTCGTTTCTTTGGATCTACAGCCAAGCTTGTGTGCATGTACGTGAACGCGTTTTTTTTTTGTTTTTGACAGGGTAAAAGAAGTGCCGCGATCGCTAAGATTTTTAGGTCGATCAAGGTTGCAAACCTTCGCACTGCCGTCAATGTCTCAACTCACTCTTTGCTGGTTGGACCCTCGGGCAAAAGGGGCCTCGGCAATACGAGATCGGAGGGACCCACTCGGAGAGGTGATTGGACATCGTTTGTCCTCTTACACCTTCTCGTTCTCGTGCAGCCGTTGCGAATGTAGAACGCCAGCACACCAAAAAAGATATTTGCTCAGCATTACCCTTCAAGGAATAGCTGTTTCCCATTGGAGGTTGGCTATTTTGAATGATGTGAAGTTTCACCCTTGGAATGCTTCTCCTGATCATCTCTCACGGAACCGATTGACCCGACCGACAGTGAAGTGGTCTGACCCACCTCACTTCGCTTCAAACTACATTATACAGAACTTTTCAGACTTGAATAGATGACAAGCACTTGAACAGCACTGATCAGCGCAAAAATGAGCCAGCAAGAGGAGTACATGTAATAATTGGACCTCGGTGGTCTGTTTGAATTGATGCATTTGACCCGTGATAATTATATATTCAAATTTGACTCGTTCACATTTCCCCTACATATTATGTAATTGATTACATGTACACACATACATATGCAGTGCCTCCTTGATTGATCATAATGGACATCAATCAGATGTCTACTTCAATGTTTGGCAGCTCAATATTAGTGCACATGCATCAATTGATGAGATTGCACGTCGTGAAAATACGTATAGATTTTACTGTATACCCCTTGAAGAATTCACGGTGTTAAATTTCTAATTAGCTCTCGAAGGACAAATATATTTGCGCTGATAATTTTAGTAAGAACAACAAGTCGAGGTCATCGTGAAACTTACCTATTATCATCGACGAGCCGTCTACGTCCACATTGCAGGCAGTGACAAGATGGCAAAATGACACAAAGACGGTCCCAGTTGGTATACAGCTCGAAATGGTTGCGCTCAGCCACAGAACCCTCTTCTAGCGTCGGCCAATCCTCTTGGAATCGTTTCTGTACAAGGTCCACCATAGTATCCTGTCTATAAGCAAAAACGTCCTCTGCATCATATCCGTTCAGGGATAGTCGTCCAACATGCTTGCTGATCATATTTACTAATTCGGCCATGTGGAATCTGCTTTCAGGGTCTTCTGTAAGCCGCATACGAACCTCATGAAGAGTGGCTCGGATAACATCGCACTTTAGACCGAAGCACTTGCCTGGACGGGCGCCATCTTCGTAGGCGGTCATTTTTACAATATCGAATTGTTGAGCGAGGCCTTCTATTATATCAGCAATAACAGGTACACAGTCGTCTTTTGGGTCCGCGAGTCTCTTACCCCAGTCGATGAGTAGGAAAAAGAGGATTCTTCGTGCTTCGGGGAAGTCTGTTACTTCGGTTGAAATCTCGACTTTAGAGGCAAATGGATTGCTGAAGAAACCTTGTAGCATTATACTGGTAGGCTGAATAAGAGTAAATATAGATTTGGAATGGAGGTACTGTTCAAATGTTGGAAGATATGAAAGTGTTGTAGTTGATGGTTTCGTTAATATGGACTGGAAATGAGGCTTTCTTATACTTCCTGTATCTTTATTGTCTTGGGAAATGGCATTGTCTAAAGGGCTGTTTCAAACCACGGCCGTAGTCTTTGCCTATGTATAATGGGCTTTGTTTGAGAACATTCTAATTTCTGATGACTGAACCTTTGTCGACTTCGAAAAACAATGAAGCCTTTGTTTGATAGTTTCAGGGTCAAACGTATAAAGGCCTATGCTCTCTATGGCTTTGTACTTTTTGTCCTTTTAATCCTTATTCTATACCCGCGAAATTTGGCCTACTTCTAATCTATGGACTTCTTCAATTTGCAAAGTTTTCATGGTCCTCCTATGCAGTTAAGTACATATCGGTACGTCTGTTTCTCTCTTTTCTCCCCTTCTACAATCTGCTTCATCAACTGGACTATTTCAAATATATTTTATATGTCCATCGGCTTTCCTCATCCTCTCAACCACTTCTTCAGGCAGCGATATCCTTGGGAGGAAGTCTGCAGAACCACATCTTTAGTGCAATATTCGCCTGTAGCGGATACCGGCCACACGTCTGCTACGTGAAGAAGAAGAAGAAGAGAGAAGAAGACTGACCTAATACAACATAACGGGGATTGAATGATAGTAGAGGGGAGTGCTCATGCTGTCCTGAAGGGCAGACACGCCTCCCGACACAAGACTACTACTCAACAGATACGATACATAGTAGTACACAGGGGGCAATAAATCTGTGCACACTTCTGGTTTCCCAATATAAGCACTAACAAAGTACCCTTCGTTTGGCACTAATTCTGTCAAGTCAATACTATGATGAGTTATTCTTTCGATGTTAAGTATTCATTATCTTCACTTAAACGATTCAGAGATATTTTTATGTGGAGACTATACAGAATAAACTTTTGTGTACTACCTCATCGAGTTCCTTTCCGAGGTGTTCGCGGGAATTGATATACAGGACACTCAAGCTTGAAAGTAATATAGTACCAGTAAATGAAAATATACAGATAGGGTGATTAAGCAGCCGGCAGGATTCAAGGACAGAAGTGAAAGAAGACGGTAAGGTCAAGGCGAAGGCTATCTATCTTTGTTATTTCTGTTCATCCTCTTCATCCTCTCTCTTCACTCTCTTGATCCTCTCAAGTCATATTCTTCATCCTTCATCCTCTTCATCCTCTTCATCCTCTTCATCCTCTTCATCCTCTTCATCCTCTTCATCCTCTTCATCCTCTTCATCCTCTTCATCCTCTTCATCCTCTTCATCCTCTTCATCCTCTTCATCCTCTTCATCCTCTTCATCCTCTTCATCCTCTTCATCCTCTTCATCCTCTTCATCCTCTTCATCCTCTTCATCCTCTTCATCCTCTTCATCCTCTTCATCCTCTTCATCCTCTTCATCCTCTTCATCCTCTTCATCCTCTTCATCCTCTTCATCCTCTTCATCCTCTTCATCCTCTTCATCCTCTTCATCCTCTTCATCCTCTTCATCCTCTTCATCCTCTTCATCCTCTTCATCCTCTTCATCCTCTTCATCCTCTTCATCCTCTTCATCCTCTTCATCCTCTTCATCCTCTTCATCCTCTTCATCCTCTTCATCCTCTTCATCCTCTTCATCTTCCGCCTTCTCCTCCCCAGCCGTGCCTCCAACGTCGCCTCAGTAATATTGATAAATACACGTATCACCGCCGACATCGTGTGCAAAAGAAGGCCACAAGCCTCGTCTCCTAACCGAGCACAGCTGTTGTCCACCCTCCGCGCATTCAATCGAGCTTCTAATGTCTCTGCTTGGGGAATTATGGCTGATCTTGATGACCATCAGCGCGGTACTACGATGATTCCCGATTCATCAGTTGTATGGCACCTTTCGACCAACAGATTCTCGATTTAGGATTCGCCTGCGCGAGCTGGAAGAAGGTTTGGTGAGGATGAAGAAGCAGCCAATGGAGCTTGCTACCGAGCCTTTTCGGGATTTCGATGCAGAGAATCTTCAAATTCCGACGACATTCCAATGACACAGTCGGTATCCACGGGCAATATGGCATGGCGTTCTGCGGTATTTCTGTGTTATTTGTTGTTTTGTTTGCTGCTCCTTTTGTCGATCGAGGCATCATTATCGGAGGCTTTATCAATGGTCCAAATGAGAGTTTGATTGTGCGACGACCATCTCCAAATTGCAACCGATGAGTCGTCTTTATCGTATTTCTTTTGCATGACTACAGCAACGACTTTATGTCTTACGTGTGACGATCAAATTGTTTTTTACGATGATGTCTGATTCCTGTTTACTTTCATATCGGATTCTGTTTTTCTACACCGCTGAGGGCAGCTGTCGCGTTCCCCGTGGGGGACGACCAGTTCTGGGATCTTGAGTTTTGATTTCTCTATCACCATCGATGTATCAGCACTTTTGTTTCAGCATAACTTACATCTTGTATTTCATCGTCATAGTGTATGCCGACAGGCTTTGCAGGTCTGTTCTCTACGAGGACGTCGAGATCTTTGTGGTGGGGATTGTCGCGTTCCCCGCCCTACGCGTCACGTGAGACAGATAGTCATTCAGAGCCATTAGCGGAGTATTAGTTACAGAATACATCGCCCTTATGACCTCTTCATACGACAGCAGCGGTCGGTTTTCCGGCCCATGGTGTAGTAGAGTTTAGTCATAGGTCACCTGACCTAGACGGGTGTCCTCTGGGCGGTTAGCGCCATATTTTCACAACTGCTCGAATCATGGCAATGTCCGGGGACGACCGGATTCGCGGTGTGAAGTCGTTTAAAGTGCTGAGTCCTGTTTATGAATCCCCCCACAAAGCATCCGCGATGCAAACCCGCTTTCTACCTAAATTGGTCAAATCAATATGAATTTTCTAGTACTAATTTGACCTTCCACCCATTTCATCTAACCGCCAAAGCAGCATTTAAATGGGAAACCAGATTTACTATCTTACAATTCTAAAGAAATAGTACTCAAGTGTTTGAATGATAGATAATGTTTTGTAATATTTAAAAACGAATAATCAACTCCCGAGACAAAAACCAGCACTTAACCGTAATATTTCGAAATGACTCCCAAGACGCTTTCAAATCCAAGACTTCTAGCGATATTCTTTGCGACGAGCATGTGGCGACAACCAGGACGATGGAAATTCTGACCGCCGACATTCAAATTTTCGTGTCCGATGGGAACACATCCGAGAGTTGAAGCATTGAAGATCAGGTGGCATTTTCTAAGAGCTCGTTCTTCATGCAATTGCCGAAGTGAAGCATACTCCTCTATAGAAAGGTTAGAATTCACAGCTGATTCCATAATGAACTTTCTCAAATGGTTCAGCATGCGGCCTATCATAGTACCACATGAGATAGGTTTTAGTAGAGCGGACTCAGCTGAGGGGAGAACCGCCTCCAGCATTTTTTCACTCTGTTCAGTGGTCGGTTTGGCCGCAAGGTGACCTGCATTTATCAAAGACCGCCGGTCGGTGTTGTTTTCTTGGGCACCATGCTCGATGAACCAAAGCACAACGTCGAGACGATTAGCACTAATTGCAAAATGAAGGGGCGTCTGACCTTCGTTATCCCGCTGGTTCATATCAAGAGGTGAGATTTCGTACAAGTAATCTAAGAAGTCGATGCTGTTAGTCGCCGCCGCTGCGTGGTATGCATTGAGACGGTCCGTTCCATTACGGATCAGATGAAGAGGTATACCGAATTTGCGCCAATGTTTAGCCATCTTGGGAGTCGCAAATCCGCAAAGATGATACATATCTTCTATCTGAAGTGGAACTCCAAATGGACCAGGGTAATTGAATTGACGGACCCCCAGGGGGCCCAAGAATGTAAACAAAGCGCGGAGAAACTGTAAATTTCCCTGTTTAGTGATCACCGAAAGGGTATTATATCGTCGACCACGGAAAACGTTCGCCCAACGTGCAAGCAGATGAATGCAAGGGCCGTAGTATGGCTTCGAAGTGAAGAAGAAGTTGAGGATCTTTAGAGATGCATGGTATGCAGCAAGAGCGACAAAGGTCCAGCCGTTCTGACTAACACCTGTACCATCCAGTTCTGGGATCATTTTTTGCAGGCACATGAAGCAGTCTGGGCAATCATCTATAATGGTTCCTGTGATCACGTCACACTCGGGATCGTCGATTTTAGTACCATTGTCTTCCATTATGCCCATTATAGTGTCCCAGTTCCACCATTTGATTTCGCGCACAATGGATTTGATGTTGTTTGCAGTTTTCTTTTTGTTTAAATATGCTTCGATGTGGGCTGCCACGCTCTTGTTTGTGAGCGCAAGCTTGCGAAGTGAGCAAAAGCCCTTGTGGGTTAGCCGGGTTGGGTCTGGCATGAAAAGCTGATCGAAGATCGTCCATACCAGCTCCAAGGGGAGCGCATTTAAATCTCCAGGGAGGTCCGAAGAGATGTGCTCGGGTAGTGGCGGGCCAAATGTCGAAGTCGCAGGAGCAGAGGCTGCAGACGAAGAGGGTTGAGCAGAGGCTGAAGTAGACGAAGAAGCCATTGGAACATATAAATATGAATTGATTGTGAGAGATGTTTGGAAAGATAAAATCTGAAGTGTTGTTGATGCTGGATTGGCAGAAACTTGATTGATGGTGGTGAGTTGAAAAGTTCGAGGATTCCTTCCAAGGTTATATAGATTTTTCGTTAGACATCGGACAGAAATAGATGAATCCAATTGTTCTCTTTTTCTTTGTGAGCTTTCTTCCATCTCGAGTCTTTCAATGTCGTTTCCAACAATGGCCAGCTTTCACCGTCATTGATTAATCCCTTCAACAATGAAGCTAAAAATGGCGTCAATCAATGCAATGCCTTTGTGGACAATGGAAGGAAGTGCTAAATTAAGCAATAGATCTTCGAGTCCATTGATTGCAACAAAGTCTTGGTCTCATCATGTTTAGAAATTCTTTGTAGAGATCGACCTTGAAGTTTTTCATTCGAATGTTCGAAGGCCTTATTGTCTGAAATTTCCACAAGCCCTTTCGCCTTTCGGCTATATAAGAGCCCTTCCCGGCTTTGCTCATATCCATCAATCATAGTATCGACATCCATGGATCTTCGAGACGTTAGTCAATATGAATCTTCATGGTCTGTATTCAGACATGGAACGACATTGAGCATCAAGCATAACTATTTTACAAGGTCGAGGGTAAGTCAGTCAACATCCTCTCAAAATCGCTAATGAGTCTTTACAGAACATACCCAAATTGAATGGAACTTCAACGAAACTTCCAGGATTGGAACATCCAGATGTCGATACTAACAAATAGGACTCGAAATTTCGGCCTCCAACCTACATACGCGATATTGAAACTTTAGCACATGTCTCTTTGAGATGTTTTGGCCACTAACGAGTACTAGGCTCAATCATTCTCAGATGAAACGTAAAGGATATTCATTCAGCGATAGCAAACCAACCTTGGAACGTGAGTCTCGTCCACCCTCTTTTTTCTGCTAACATCGTACCACAGATACCCATTAATCGTTTGTATAAACCTGACCTATTAGTACCTCGTATTCAGAATGAATGGCACCAGAGATACAATGAAACCAGGTGAGTCTGTCCCATGGCGTTGGAAAGCTGATTGTCCTTGATAGACTTGACGTTTTCATAGGTACTTTAGATATTCACGATCGTCTGTGATACAAGTCAACTCGAAGCCCGCATTTGCATTTGCGGCCCTGATGCGTGAAATCATGTAACAAAGCGGGAAACAAAGTGGGGGATGGTGGCTTAGAAACTTCGGGCACAAGGCAAGTCGGCAAGGTTGAATCAATTCCCCTCTTTTCTTTTGAAATATTCTAATCTGGACTGCTCAATGCTGACTCGGGAAAATTGTTATAGGAAAAGTGCCTTGCTCGTATTTTCCACCTATGTGGGGGCTTTGTGAAGATCATAGGCAGCGATATTCCATGCAGGATATGCGTAACATGTCCGAAGATAGTTAGTATCTACATATAAGCAGTATTGGAGTAGATGTTAAAGTAAGGGTAAATCGGACTTTGGGGAATCCTGGTGCCTCACGTTAAAAATGAATAAATCCGGGCGGGACTATTTTTAGCTGCCGATCACTGCGCAAACCTTCCCCCTTCGTCCCCTACATTATACCGGTCCCTCCTCGCCCAGATCACTTTGCAATTCGGCAAAATGCTGGACGATAACCTACCAAGTATGATTTCCCTAAGCTTTTTCATGTCTCTGGCTTTTGTACCTGGTTCCTGTCGGCACTACGTCATCGCCGTATCCCCCCTCAATGGTGCATAATGTAAACTGACTCCACATCCAGCGTTCTTTTTGAAGAACAATTCGCAGACACCGCAGCAAAGCACAATCTTCCATCGCCAACATGGCAATGAAGTGGAACCAGCTTATACTCTGAAATACCTCGACCCCGCCGCCCAAACATCACAAAACCGCTATGGCGTCGCCCTCTACGATCCCTACGTCCCGGACATCGTCTACGGTGAAGTCGCCGTGACTCCCGAATGGACACAACCAAGTCTGTCGGCAGATACAATTCGAGCAAACGGCGGCGCCGCTCCTCCTCCAGAACCCATCCTTCCCACCGAATTCTCCATCCAACTCTACAACCCCGACCAGCAAATCGTGATCCGTCACAAGCCCAAAACGTGGAACAAACCAGCACGATGGGAGTTCGAGATGCCACAGCGCTCATTTCGAGTCCCCTCCTCTTCGACCCTAGATCGCACGCAGAGTGATCCCGCTGCTGCAGAGGTGACTCCCAAACTGCGCTTCAGTTGGCGCAAAGATGGAAAGCTCTCCAAAGACCTCTCCTGTCTGCTTCACGGGAAATCCACCACGATCGCAGAGACAAAGAATAAAAGCCGCGAGCCTGATATCACCGTCGCTATCTTCCAGGGCCTGAAAGAGTTGACACTATACGAACCAAACCTATACCGCGTCGAAATGGAGGATTTCAAGGGCCTGGAGGTCGTCCTGTTGCTAGCCGCAGTAGCCATCCGCGACATTTTCTTCGGCCCAGCCAAAGAAGCCTTCCACATCGTCCCCGGCGCCGTCCCGACCGCACAAAACGGCAAACCGCAAGCGGCCGCCGCAACAGGTCGCAAGACTCCGAATCCCCAGCCCCAAGCGCCGGCCCAGGCCACAGGCGCAACCCCAGCCCGCAAGCCCGACCCAAGACGACACTCAATCATGAACCCGCAATCCCCCGGCCCGCAGGTACGGCGCCAACAAGACGAGCTAGCAGCGCAAGAAGAACGCCGCACCCAGGAACTACTCGCAGCGGAGCAGCGAGAACAAGAAACCGCACGACGACGAAAAGAGGCCGAGCTGGAATCCGAGACGAAGCGCCTACAGGAGATTTACGGACAAGAGGAACAAAGAGTCAGAATGCAGCAACCCCGTCCCCATCCTGACACATCTCCTACCTCGCGACCGAATCTTCCCCTCCGTCACAGCGGGCCTGAGGCCCCGTACAACTCGCATCGCTACTCCCAATCGCAGGCTTTCCTCGGTGCTCAGGCCCCAACACAACCCCCTCGCCATACGCGCCCGCAATCGTATTATCCGCAAGCCAATCCAGCGCCGACGTTTGCGAATAGTCCGTACCTCCAGAATCCTGCGCACCTTGATCCACGATCCCAGTCTACTGTCAGTTTTGGCCCGCCTCGGCCTCAGGCTACGGGTGCTGGGGCGCCGAATCGCGTCCCTGTTAGCAATGGGGCTTTGGCGCCTGGACAAGCGCCCCGCCCTCAGCTTCAGCCTAAGAAAAGTAGCTTCTTTGGGCTGAGGCGGAATAAGGAGGAGGCGCGGGCCCCGAACAAGTTGGATAAGAAGCGGAGCTCCATGTTTTGATCTGATTTGGCTTTTGATACCCTGGCATTTTTGTTTGTCTTTTTCTCGTCTGTACTCGGCATTTTCGGGGCATTTCGGCTTGCGTGCATTTTGATGTTGATGTTGATGTTCATGATTGTGATTGTATAAAAGCATATGCATGGAACAAAGAATATATACCTTATGATTTGAATGAAATTCGTTACAAAGAACTTGATTACATCGGGCATCAATTGATTGAACCAGCAATTCCTCCTAGCATTTCTTAATAAATGAGACTCGGCTATGGATGCATACGTATCTCGGTGTATGGGTTTATACCCAAATAGTAGAATAATCCCAATAACCAGCAGCTAGCATGCTGCAAAGGCGGAGCCTGCAAAACTTGCAAAACATGCAAAAATCGTCGAGTACAAGTAACGCCGCCGAAATCCACAACCTTCGAATCCTCGTCTCTTGAGCCGTTGGGAACCTCAAAGGGTCACGGTGCACGCAGTAAGGACACCACTCTCCTTCAGCAAATCTGCAGTTACCTGCGGTGAAACCACGCGATCAATACCTAGGATCATCAACGCTTCCCTGCTTCTAGAGCTTGTCTCCTTGGTCAGCAGGTCAATACCGCTATCCCTGAGCGATTTAGACAAATTCGAGTCTTCGCTGACTGCCAGCTTCGAAGATACGGGTGAAACAGTCATGAAGTTGATGTTAACGCCCTCCCTTCCCAGAATGCTACCAACAACACCGATTTTGCCAGGCGAGTCGTAATTCTCGCAAATGAGAAGCGTCCCCTTTGCTTCAAAGGATGTATCGAAACGTCCCAGCCGCGTGATCAAGGGTTGGCCGGCGGAGCAAGTGCCCGAGATAATGCGCTGATGCGGCACTTGAAGCGTCAACCCAGCGCCATCGGCCGTGGCGGAGGCTCGCGATGAGGCGCGAGATTGCGAGCGTGCAACCAGAGTCACCAGCGAAGAGTATGACGAGTTATCTTCAGGGTCTCTCGAGATTCGCTCGGAAACAAAGATGCCTCGCTCGCTCGCCACCAGCTCAGCATTCACGATGTTGACGTTGAATCCCTCCACGCCGCTAATGGGCTCGAGGAGGCCCTTTATCAGGGCTGCGAACAGCGGCTTCGTGTTGTTGATGCTGGCTACCTCGCCGCGGTAGATAAGATCGAATGTATTGCGGGCCATCGATCCACCCGGCATGGAGGCATAGTGTTGCGTATACAAGCTGCCCATTTTCTCCACCAGGTGCACAAATGGCTGGAGCTTTTGATACTCCTCGGGTAAGATGAGAGGGGCATTGACTGCACTTCTTGGAAGCGAGCCCTTCAGAATATCCAATACCTGCTCGCATACATCCACGGATACGTTTTCTTGAGCCTCCACGGTGGATGCACCAAGGTGCGGCGTCACGACCGCTCGCGGGTGCGCAATCAGCCTCGCGGCAGTGGATTCGGGGTCTGGTGGCTCGGTGGTGAACACGTCCACGGCTGCACCGGCTAGATGGCCTGAGTCCAGGGCTTTGAGCAGGGCGGCTTCGTCGATGGTTCCGCCGCGTGCTACGTTGAGGATGCGGGAACGGGGTTTCATCTGTGCTAGCTCGGTGTCACTTATCATTCCTCGTGTGGATGCAATGAGCGGCGTGTGGATGGTCAGGAAATCAGCGGATGCCAGAAGCTCTGGCAATGACGAGACGAGCGTGACTGAAGCTGCTGCTGCTGCTGTGGGGGACGCATATGGATCCAATGCGTGGACTGTCATTCCGAGACCCTTTGCAATCCGGGCTACAGTCAATCCCACTGCCGAGCTCGTTAGATATTGTACGCAATTGTAGCAAGGCCTGAAACATACCTTTGCCTAGACCGATGACGCCCAACGTTTTGCCTTTGACCTCCACTCCGACAAATTTGCTGCGTTCCCATTTCCCGTCCTTGAGACTGGCACATCCTTCGGGAATCTTCCGTGCCATTGACATCATCAGTGCGATGGTATGCTCAGCTGCAGCACCGATGTTGCCGGACGGCGAATTGACCACGACAATACCAAGCTTCGTAGCCTCTGCAACGTCTATAGAAAGCAAAACATGAGCAGCCGAGCTCCGTCTGTAAATCCGAAGAAGTAAGCTGTAACTCACCAACATTGTCAACCCCAACTCCAGCTCTAGCAACGACCTTCAGGTGCTTAGCAGCCCGCAGCACTTCAGCGGTAACCTTAGTCTCAGAACGAACGAGGAGAGCCTCATAGTTGGGGATGATTTCGAGCAATTCCTCCGCAGTCAAGTTCTTGCGTTCATCCACGTCCAAGGAGCTGCGTAGCAAAGCCAGTCCATCTGGTGAAAGCTTTTCAGGCACAAGGACCTTAGGCAGAGATTGTTTGAGAAGTGGCATTCTGTTGGATGAGTTGGTTCTCCGGAGAACTCAATTGAGCGGGGGGTTTGTTTTGAAGGGGATTCAAGGAGCGCTGTAGGTACCTCAGCAAGCACGTTACATTGTCAGATTAATTGCGTCGCGCGACAGGCGCGACCATGGAACCAACACTTACTGTCGAGTGTGCATGACAAGTCACATTCTCCAGGCGACACAAAACGCGGGGTAGCTGTACAGGGAGGAGTTAGTGATTGGAGGAGATCATGCCGTCCGCTTCCTTTGTCATTGTGATTATATCAGGATTAGACGTACATTGAACTTGGCGAGGTGCAATACACACCTGTAAATGAGACAACCTTGGAAAAGCTTCTTGTGCCGATCAACACAGTAGTAGTAGTACGTTCGTTCTTGTCTACTAGTATGCATTTAACATTCCTCAAACTCTCGTTGAAACCTAGTTTTCGCCTCGAGCTACTGCTAACTCAGTCTACTGGGGCAGGACACGGGAGATTGAAATCATCATTGATCAATTGGGGATCAAGATCAAAAAAATGTCTAAGCTGTGATTCTCTATCTCTCAAATGGAGAGCAAATAACAACTGACAGCTGTCTGCCTGCAGAATTCATCTGGATTTCAAGGATTCGGGGACGAAAAGCATACATCATAACTTGGTAGATAAACACACAAAAAGAGTGTACAACAACTAGTAGTAACAAACTTGGTAAATTGGGTCTTTGTTTAGTCCCTTGACCAAGAACGATCATCATCGGAGAAGAGGTTGATTTTCACCACTTTTTCCATCTTCATACTTGGAATTCTGGCCACGCTTCTTGCGACGGCGTCTCTTCTTGGCGTTTGAGTGAGAGCTCGCGGGCTCAGAGTGATCTGCCTCTAGATCACTTACGCCATTTTTAGTTTGCGTGCCGGCATTTTTATCTTCACTTTCGGAAGAGCTGGTGCCGGTTGTGTGAAGCACAACCTTGCGGATGCCGTTGACGTCCACTATCTGTTCAGTTATGCTGCCACTCCGGGCCGGGCCACGGTGGTGATAAATGAATTCTGATCGTGATTCGTTGGATTTGACACTGGCAGTGGGACTGCTGCCTTTTTGTGTGGAGGCGGAGCGGGGTTGTCCTTCCCACTCTTCGCGGACCGAGTCGGGTATCGAGACATGTGGGAGATCTTTGAATTGTTGAGAACTTGTACTTTTGGTAACGGTGTCGTGGGGTGTGATGGTGCCATAGCCAATCTTTAACGCGTGAGCGCCATCCTTGGCCTCACATCCTGGACTAACAAGGCCTGCACCGATACCGCCTTGGTAGCCAATGGCAGGCAGATGTGGATGGGACTCAGATGTACTTTGACCAGATTCAAAATCAGTTTGAGCCGAGCGTGAGGGTGAGGTACCGCTGCGTTTGATTTTCACAGTGTGGTAACGGGTTTGGCGAGGTCGACTTGCGAGGTTTGAAGGACCCAAATGTTTCAAGTGTTCTCGAATTTCATCAGTGGCTCCTCTTTGTGTGATCCAGATATCCGATGTGTCAGTATTTTGGTCGTCCGCATGCTTGCGTAGTTGGAATCGGGGAGGGGGCGCCTCGACAGAACTGCGACGACGTAGAAGATCAGAAGCATTTGGCGCTGAAGAGAAAACGGTGTCATCTTCGTCGAGCAACTCCCCATCAACAACAGGAGTCCCCATAGGGGGTTCTTCAACGATTTTCCCCTTTGGTACTCGGGATTTAGGCGCAGGGGCCATACGACGGATAGCTTTGTGAACGTCAATAAACACGTCAGATTCATCGATGATTTCTCTGTATTTGACGTTAGTAAAATGGAAAGAGCCGGGATGGAAAAATTGTACAACATACTCTCCAATTAATTCTTCAATCACATCTTCGAGGGTGACCACTCCAAGGGCACCCCGATCTTCGCTGGGGTACTCCGACACCAGGACCATGTGAGATTTGCCTTCTTGGAAAAAATTGACAATGTCTAAACAGGAGGTTTCCGGTCGGGTTTCTGGCAGTGTAGCCAGGGCAAAATCGCGAACACGTTTGCAGTCTTCGGGATCATACGTGATCAGCATCTTGACAAGAAGCATTCCAACAAAATTCATGGGGTTTTCAGGTGCGTGAATCGGGATTCGAGAGTATCCTTGGGATAGAATGACATCCATTGTGCGTTCGTCCAACACTGTGTCGGCGGACATTGTGAACACATCTTCCATTGGCGTCATGATACTTCCAACTGATTTTTCCTTCAGATCCAGTACAGCGCTGATTATTGTAACTTCGTCGGATGTGAGTTGCTCTCCAGCTTCACCCAGAGTTCTGTGCAGAGTGACCAGGGTCTTCAGCCCAGCCTTTTTGTAGATCGTGCCATGATCCTCGCCGAGAAGTCGGTCCAGCAATTTTGCAACTGGCCAAGCAACCGGGGACATGACATACATCAGAACCAGCACACAAGGTGCCATCCAGGCTCCGATTGGCAAACCATAACGAACACAGATCGATTGGGGGACGACCTCGCCGAAGATAACAATCAATGCAGTACTTCCTAGGACTGCCGGCCATCCACCGCCAAGGGTCCGATCGAGGACAATAGGTAGAGTCTCGTTGGTGATCACGTTGCTGAGCAGGAGAGTCACAAGTACCCAATGTTTTCCACGCTTCAACAGGTTCAGAACACTGGCTGCATTCTTCTTCTCGGATTCTTCGCCGGAAGTTTGAATCACTTGGAGATACACTTCATCTTGTCCCATCAAAGCGATTGTAAGCCCTGCAAAGGCCCCGCCACTGAGGACAAGGGCCGCTGAGATTCCAAGGTACAGCCATAGACTCGGATCGTTAGGCTCTTTCGGGGAATCGACGTCATGAGAGGTAAGGTAGGTCGAAAATACGGGCGCAGCCGTTGTGAGAGGTAGATGGAAAAACGTGAGAAATATGCACTTGGCCAATCCCAGCACCATTGAGCGGGCGGCAAAAAGAGACGTCGATGGCCGATTCATCACCACTGCGGGCTTCACCAAACCACGGTCGCGCAGGAGAGAGATAGAGGGAGGGGAATTGGCGAGGGATGATATGGCAAAATCAATTATTGCAATCTAGTCCCAACTGGTACATCGCTGTGACGTGATGGACGTAAGCGCAAATGACGCAGAGAGAGGGTGGTCGAAGAGGGATGGAGTACAAGTCCGAGTCGTGACAAGGAGAAAACGCGGGGAGAGCCGTAGTTGTGGAGGAAATCGGGAGGAGAAGACGTAACGATGTGACGAAAAACAAAATATGCTCGGCTCAAAGGCGGAACCTTGACGGAGAGCTGGCGTATTTTGAAGAGGAAGCAGAATTCGAGATGGGGGGAATTGGGATTCAACAGACCGAGCTGACGAATCATGTCGCCGCCTGACAACTCGTCAGTTGCCAGGTGCCCGCTGGATTCAACCATGCATTCTCGTACCCGTCTTGATTATTGAACTGGCCTCATGTGATGTTCGCGAGATCGTCATCGCTGGCCTTCTTGCGGCCATCGTCCTTAAAATCGTCGTCATCATCCGGAGGAATATCCTTCACTTTCTCGAAAGCCAGACTGAAATCCAGGTCCACCATCTTTTGCGCATAATGGGCGTGGATGGCGGCGGTATCAGCCATATGCGCCTCTCGCTGCTCCTGGAGTTCCTCATACAGACCCTTGACCTCTAGGCTAAGTGCCTGGCATGCCTTTCGGCTTGCCTCCATAGCCTCGTCACGTCCCTTGAGCTTCTCCTCGGCTCTGGCAAGCAGGGCGCCTTGATTATCCAGTCGACGCTGTAAAGCATCAAGCTGGATATTTGGCTGCTCAGGCTCAACCATTACCTGATCCACAGCAAGGGGGTCGGTTTCCATGGAGTCGGTCTCCATGGGGTCGATCTGCATATGTTCAACTCCGGCATTGTTGACGACGGTTGCCATCACTCTCTGATGGCGAGCTTCCGCTTCGTCAATCAGAACACTCTGATGTTGCCGCAACAGAAGGTGTTGCCGCAACAGAAGGTGGTGCCGCTCGGTAGCTTCGGCGACCAACACACCTCGCTGCTCAACCATCAGCCTCTCGTGCTCAACACAGGCTTCCGCGAGGAATGCCCTGCGCTGCTCTTCGAGAAGACGATGGTGCTCATCCAGAGTGATCATCTCGACTTCGCTCTCGACCTTCGCTCTGACTGTCACCAGTTCGCACCGTAACATCTGCATTTGAAGGGCCTGTTTTTTCTCCTTCTTCAGGAGCATCTGGTTCTCATCGCGCAAGTTTTGCATCTCGGCTTCCACTTCTCGCTGCCAGACTACCTTGTCATACGCGCGGTCTTGTTCCCGAATCCAGCAGTAGGCTTCTGCTGTCTCACGAGATCGCTCGACGGCTGCTTGATCTGCCATGATCTTGAAGTCGACATTGTCAGCCAATGCGGTGAAGTCCAGTTTGCATCTGCATTGCCAGCTTCCCCATTTTGGTGCGTCCCTATATGGCTTGTTAGCACCTTGTGCTTGAAAAACAAAAGACGAGCGTAATACTTACATAGGAGAGGTGTGGCGGCGGGCAGGAGAAGGGCTGCGAGGGCGGCGGGGGGGGGGGAGGGTTTAGGTTCAACGAGGGTGGGTGGCTCATCAAATTCAAGACGGAACGGAAGACGCCCTGCACTGGCTAACATCCAAACACTCCAAAGAATCACACACCACGACATTAAGACACACAACAGAACGAACAGCAGAAAGAGGGGGTGGGAGGAGATACGAATCTCCTTTGATCCCAGAACGATCTCGATCGCAGAAAGAGAAATCATTTTGATGGATTTGATAATTTCTTGGATGAGAAGTGCCTTGTACGGTGGGAAACGGTAAGAGGGCGGGGAAGAAAAGAAGGGAAGTTCTCAGAGGGAAGAAATTCTATCTTATGTTGACATTTTGTCCTCAAGGCGACGCGTTTCTCTCACTTCGCCTGTCTTCCCACCTGTCCTCCCCCACCTGCCCAAAGGGGTTTCATTCCTTAATCTCTGGACCATCCTCCATTGTCCTGATGGCTCTTGATGGCTCTTGCCGTGCCTTGCTGGTAGATAATATCTTCTTATGTTTTCAGACTAATTGACCTTGCTTCTTTCAATCTATCATAATACTCCCCATATTCAGACTTTCTCCATTGATTTTAGCATCCATCGGTCATATCTGAGCTATCTTACTAGTAGTTTGTATAAAAATATCCTTTTTCATCGTACACTTTATGCTGTTCCACTCCGTCCTTGCACAGTTTGTACCTTTTTTTCTACGACTTCAAGTACTGTAATCCAGCTAGCAAGACAAGAAGCATGGATATCTCAGCAAACCTAAAAACTTGAGAATTATCGTTGATTTTGCGAAGAAAGAGAACCTAAATTGTTTCTTTTCATATCTAGTTTACGTGTGGTGGAATGGTTAAGCTTTGCGGCCCGTGTGGGCCTCTAGCCGCTGCGGGAACGGCATGCCGAGGTGGTCTCGACTCTCGCAATCGACCCGAGCATGCTTCTTGGGGAGCCTCCCACAAAACAAAGTGCAGTGTAATAAACCCTCCTGCTTATTGAATGATCATTAAGATTGAAACACTCAAACCAAGGTTACTTACTGCCTTATTCCAAGTTTTGACTTCCAGAGACATCGGTGTTCTCGGGGAAGCTCCTGGGCCTCGGGAACGCTTCAAGCGTCCACCTGGGCACACATCTTAAGATTTCTGCCTCGAACTTTCAGCCCTTGAATGTAATAACATTTTAACCAGGGCCATTGACATCGGTATACACACTGTTTGTTTTCTTTTATCAATATATAAACATTCTTACATTTGAAGTTCTAAGTATGCCCAAGTGCCCATTACGGGGGCAGCTGCTCGTTACATACCAGGTGCCCACATGCAAGTGCCTACTACTGTTGCCTGAATCACTCAAGTACTCCAGCGATATCGGCAGCACACTAGAGCCTCTCAAGGATTGTTTGTGGGTCAATGGGAGTGCTCAGTCGGCTCCAGCACGCGCCGCGTTATAACCGACCAATCACCGTTGACCTGAGCAGCATACGCACACGTGCAGGTTCCAACATTGAAAGTACAAACGGCCCTCTAGGTGAAAGGCAAGTACTCTCAACTGCTTGCTTAGCCCGTGCCATGGAAAAAGGTCGGATCAATAGATCCATGCCTATGTAAGGCTAGAACATTTGGAGCATGTTGTTCTTATGTAAGTACCAGTTGATCTCGGGGATATATATCCAGCAAAATACATACAAAGTTAATGTATGTACCTGATTATTCTTCCGAAGGTCCCGGGGTCCTGAACTCGGGACGTCACGGAAGAGCCTTTCCGATCGTGATAGAACATTCAATGTTTCAAACTTGCACGGTTTAAACCTGCTGCTCCAAGGAAGAATCAATTCTCAGGTCCCGATGTCTTTCGAATATTCACATCCAGGGCTTTTATTGGAACGGGCACCTAGGAGCTATGTATAGTATTCCACCTGGGCACGACACCCGTGGACTCCGTGTATACCTACATAATGTACCTATTCATGTCGATGTCTAGGCAGGATATCTTCAATATAGAAGGTTTGGAACCGACTTCAAATGTTGAATGTTTAAATTTTGGGATCTTGGAATTCACATCGTCCACCAGTTGACGGGTCGACCTCGAGCTTGGACTATGTTTGGGAAGCACCCAAGCCCAACCTTCAAATGTTGGTGTCAACTGGTGTCAATGGAGGGCACTCCCAACCTTGAAATCCATACCTACACAGGAACAAATCTGGATCTGGCTACAAGGTTGCAGTACATCCACAGGTGCATACTTGTCCCCTGTCCAGGTGGGTAGTCTCCATGGCTTGGAGGCCGAACTGCGGATTGATGGATTGAAACCCGCTCCCAAAGTTGAGAACCCATGTGGAGAATGTGCAGGTCAGCGGATACTTATTGCATATTCATGGATATATAACAATGTATACTGTGTTCTCCAAGCACTTGAGTACCATTGGTACATAGTGAGACAACGCAGCAAGCACTTGAGGGCATTTACACATCGATGTTTGAACCGAACCTTGGAACCACACACTTGCGATCAATGGGGGAAATGCAAATCTATATCTACTTAGGGAATAAGTCAAGATATCTGGAGAATTACTGCAGGATTACGCTTCAAATGTTGGGCATATGAATTGTAAAGTATTCTTCCTCGGCAGAGAATCTGATGGCAGGGTGTGTCTTCGAGTGCATTGATGAATTATATGCAAACAAGACAAACAACCTTGGATCCCTTGGATCCGTTATGACGTTGGACGGTGGGCCTTGAATATTGACTAACATTGGGAGTACCTTACGAGTTCGCATTCCCCGCGGACAACATTTGAAGGTATTTAAGCTGAGTCATATCATTGAATAATTATATAGCTAATTACTAGATATACGCCATGCACATGTGCATAGTTGATTGGCACTGAGATTACTTAGACGAGCGAGTCGTACATGTACTAGCTGGTAGCTTTGGGGGCGATTTGACAAACGTACATGTCTCCAGCAGCAAACCTTTGCCCTGTGACTTTTTACGTGAAAGTATCATATCATTTGTTGAGCCTGCTTCAAATGTTGACGGTATTTCTAGCTAGTGTAGTAGAGTATCCGATCCTTATTCGTGGGTGGTGGCAGGTTGTGTGCGCCCCTCCCTTATCAGAGCTTATCGGCCGGTGTCGGCGCCAAGAGGCGTGACTTCCCCGGCCCGCACCAAAAATCCGCCTTTTTTTCGAATGACTCAATCTCCGACCTTCTTCAATTCATTCTACCCAGCTTTACGATTCCCCAATTTGATTCTTCACATCATTCAAAATGGCCCAGGGAAAGGTATGGCTACTTAATTGAGGCGTTTGGCGAGGTGACTATCACACTCATCCCCAAACCGCCACTTAATCCTCCCCTCTATCCCCTCCTTTGCTCCAACGACGCCGACTGACACATAATTCAAACAGGTTTGCTTGGCTTACTCCGGTGGTCTCGACACCAGCTGTATCCGTACGATTCATCTGCCCTGAGCTTCTTCCAATGGCTGTTACTGATCGACATTCCCAGTCAAATACCTTATCGAGGAGGGCTATGAGGTCGTTTGTTTCAGTGAGTTCACCCCCATCATGGATGGATGAAATATACCAAAGCAAAGCTAATCCAATTCGCAGTGGCCGATGTTGGCCAGGAAGGTACAGTTCGCACTGATTCCAAGGCGATACGACCAAGCGTGACTAAATGACTTCCACAGAGGACTTCGAGGCTGCCCGCGAGAAGGCTTTGAAGATCGGTGCCCTTAAGTGCGAGATTGTCGATCTCCGCCGTGAGTTCATCGAGGAGCTTTGCTTCCCCGCCATTGCTTGCAATGCAGTCTATGAGAACGTCTACCTCCTCGGTATGTTACATCCATCATATACACAACAGTCCCGTTGAAATCCTTACTAAAAGTGTCCGCAGGTACATCCCTTGCCCGCCCCGTGATTGCCCGTGCCCAGATCGATGTCGCCCAGGTACGTAAAATTTTAGTATGATTCGTGTTGTCTCGAAACAGTTACTCACAGTGGTACTTCTTTTCAATAGCGCGAGGGTTGCTTCGCTGTTTCCCACGGCTGCACTGGTAAGGGCAACGATCAGGTTCGCTTCGAGCTTGCTTTCTACGCTCTTCAGCCCAAGATCAAGGTCATTGCCCCGTGGCGCGATCCCATTTTCTACGAACGCTTCGCTGGCCGTAACGACCTTTTGGCCTACGCCGCCGAGAAGGGTATCCCTGTCACCTCCACCAAGTCCAAGCCCTGGAGCATGGACGAGAACCTGGCCCACTGCTCTTACGAGGCTGGTATCTTGGAAGATCCCGATACTACTCCCCCCGCCGATATGTGGAAGTTGACCCAGGATCCTTTGTCTGCCCCCGATCAACCCGAGGACTTCACCATCCATTTCGAGAAGGGTGTCCCTGTCAAGCTGGAGCTTACCGAGAACGGCCAGAAGAAGACGTGCACTGATTCCGTCGATATCTTCCTGACTGCCAACGCTATTGCTCGTCGCCACGGTGTTGGCCGTATTGATATCGTGAGCCTCACCATGATCTGAGATATACCTTGTAGATGCTGTACTGACCCCCCAACCAGGTTGAGAACCGCTTCATTGGTATCAAGTCTCGTGGTTGCTACGAGACCCCTGGTCTCACCTGCCTCCGCACTGCTCACATGTAAGTTCACTGACTATCATTGTTAATTCGTCCTCTTTGCTAACCAATACAAGCGATCTCGAGGGTCTCGTGATGGACCGTGAAGTTCGCGCCCTCCGTGACCAGTTTGTCACCTTCAACTACTCCAAGGTCAGTAACAATTTGCTTTTATTTTGATTGAGCTATATTTTGACCATCCTGCAGCTCCTCTACAACGGTTTGTACTTCTCCCCCGAGCGTGAGTTCCTCGAGTCCTCTATCACTGCCTCCCAGAAGTCTGTCAATGGCCAGGTTCGCTGCCGTGCCTACAAGGGTATGGTCTCCGTCCTGGGTCGCTCTTCCGAGACCGAGAAGCTGTATGATATGACCGAGTCTAGCATGGACGAGATCGGTGACTTCTCCCCTGCTGAGACCACCGGTTTCATCACCGTGTCTGCTATTCGCTTGAAGAAGTATGGCCAGATGAAGACTGCCGCTGGTGAGAAGATGTAAATATCCATCCAAAAACGAAATACTTTCCTACCTTGCTACGGGAAATAGGAAGCGAAAAGTTGAATGTTGAACATTACTTCTCTATTCCTAAGCGACAATGCTGGAGATTGATTCATATCTACCACTCTCGGCATAAATATTGGAATAGGTATCCAACTTGGGAACGGGCAGTTTGAATGATTGTATGATGAAATAGAAACAAAATTGCAATTATGAGAAATCAATTAGGACAGATTTGAATGCTGGACCCACCCTCCGTGTATCGTGTGTATGTATGTCAGGGTTGTCCGCTGTAGATCGGGACAATCTTGGACGATATGTATTTAGCATGTACATTCTAAAATTCCCACTTCCAGCAAGAAGCATTCACGTTCAATGCTACCTCCAGGGCAATACATGATATTCAACCTCAGAACCTTGCTTCAAATGGCAGGGGGACCTTAGGACTAACGGATTTAACTTCAAATGTTAATTGCCTACGTAAAAATTCTCAACGGTATCGCGTGAGCCTGAGGCCACTAGAGGCTGGCGTTCAACTTCGTCTCGTCCGTGCCCATTTCTAGTCAGCTAAATTAGCATTCAACTCGCAGCCCTACCATACAATCGGGAACAATGTGAACATACTTTTCCAGGCATCCAACGAAGCCTGCTCTGCATCCCAGCCCCACAAGAACTTCTGCGTTTCGCGATCAGACCACTTATCAGGATTGGAGCCGGTAGCCGCTGCGCGGAATTGCTCGTCGCGGGCGATTTGATCAGGTCCGTCAGGGAAATGCAAAGTGATACGGTTTTCAGAACCTGACTGCTGTACAGTCTCCGCACGCTGCTTTCTAGATACCTCATATACCTGCAGTGCACGGGGGATCTCATGACGGGAAGTGATGTTGGACAAAAGGACGCCCAATGCAGCTGCATCCTCCACTGCCTGTGCCGCCCCCTGGGCAACATAAGGGCTGAGATTGGTTAGTACATCACAGGCAGAGAGAACAACGGGTTTCAACATACAGCATTGGGTGACATGCGTCACCAATAAGAGCTACTGACTCTCGGATCCAGGTTTTGAGAGGGCTATGAAGACACAATTTCCACTCAAGAACCTCGTCGTCGTCCACCAAGTCAATCAACTTCCTCACAGTCTGGTCCCATCCTCGATAATTGTCAATCATGGCCTGCTTTGAGCCCTTGGTTGTCCAGGATTCCTCGACCTCTTGGCGGTCTGGGTGCAATAGAACAACGTTATACAACTCATGATTCCGAACGGGATACGCGATAATATGCCGTGAGGGGCCCAGCCAGCGAGTCGCCTGCGGCTCGTCGATCAGTTGCTTCAGTTCTGGATCTGCCTCCATGACACTACGGGGAAGCATAATTCGATAAGCGGCATCTCCGGTGGGGATGGCTTTGATGGATGAATCATCCAAGAGATGACCCCGAATAGTGGATTTGATCCCGTCAGCCCCAATGACAATGTCGCCACGAACAACGGTCCCGTTAGCCAATGTGACTGACGCAGGGCTGAACTCGACACTAGTCACAATCGAGTCCACTCGCAATTCCACATTCTTGAGTTCCAATGCCTTGTCAATTAAAGCGTTGTGGAGGTCTGCGCGATGGATGACAACTTGCTGTCCAAAGGTCTTATTGACGGGCATTGTTCCCAGCAGGGAGCCATCCTCCCATCGTCGAACGTGGATATGCTCAAGTGCAACATCTTGAGCGTGGATCAAGTCCGAAACTCCCCATCCTAGCGCGGGTAAGCATCCAATCCATGTGCCGACACCAGAAATGAATCCAACTTACGATCAAATAGTCGCAACATGTTGGGAGAAACTTGAATTCCAGCACCGACTTCCATGAGCTATAAGTAATTCACAAATCAGCGAATGGTCTTCTTCTTGGCTTGAGACCAGAGCAGAGCATACTTTTGGTGCACCCTCAAGAACCACCACCCGATGACCTCGTAGGCCTAATGTCAAGGCCGCTGCCATGCCACCAATGCCTAGAAAAAAAAAAGTCAATTATGACATTCGGGCTTCAATCTGGCTATCAGAACGATTCCAGCTCAGAATGACCATACCGGCTCTGGGAAACGTTAGCAACTCGATCCTATCTGGAAAAAAGGCGAAAAATCCCTACCCCACAATGACCACGTCCAAAGGCACATTTGCCTGAGGGATATCCATGATGAAATGACCCAACAATGAACAATCTACAAATGAGCCCTGCTTAATTGGCAACTGAATGCAACTCAAAGCAACTGAAAGGCAAGAAAAGGAGGCTACAGGTACTGGTTTTCGACGAAACTTGGACAGGAGTATTTGGTGGCTATTTCAGAAAATTACTACCGAGCTTTATTTGTCCGAAGGTTTGCCGTCCCACCCGTGCCACAGGTACACCTTAGTCCGAAAGAATAAAATCTCTATTTATTTTTACGAGCGATAATCTTATTCTTACCCCTTGGGGTATGGAACGTTGATCACTTGAACATGACCCTCTTCTTCTCCACAGACCGGGGGGCCGCATCAGATGAGTTACATGGCCATGCAGTAGTCTGACCATCATTATATTCGGCTTGGTCGGCGCCTGTGGCTCAAGCGACGGTACTTGGCGGCTTGCGGGGCCAACGGGCCATGTCACAAAGCGTCGGGGATATTCCGATGGCTCTTGAATCTTCATGCAGTCTACTATACTGTGAACAATGTTTCCCCGAAGAAAACTCCGTGTTCTCTATCTTAGTCTGGAACTGCTCTACACTGCCTCGATCGGTCTTTGATTTTCACCCTTTTTTACCAAATTCCCTGTTTTTGTGGCGTGCATCCGGAACCCCGAGTGCACTTCGGCAACAAAGCGACCGGAGCGCGGGCTCCACATGAACCAAATCGCATTTTTTTCTGGAGAACCGATACATACTAGCCGGCTTTTCCTCTACCTTTCATCTGCCGAGACATCCCCCAGTCTAACTGTCTAAGTTATCAAGTCCGTCTCCGCATCTCATAATTGACCCTCGTATCTTTACGTCTTCCATGCCAGCTCCGACCCCTCCTTTCTCTCCACATTTGGTCCTGAGCTCTTCTCACGGCAAATTTCGATATCATCCATTGCCGATTTGTTCTTGTGCAATATTTGCGGCTCTATCGCCTCCCTGGAACTTTATAGCCTGAGTGTTGTGACCTTCGATCGCGACCGCCCTGGGAGCAGAATCATCAAATTTTCCTGATACATTCCATTGGATTGACTCATTGCTTGCCTAATTGTCATACTTATTTGATCCCAAATACTCAAGTCTATCATCATATCATAAGAACCGGAATCAGGAATTTTCGATTCACTACACTACTGCAGCTCTAGATTGCAAGGATCCCCGGATCAGAGTTTAGATTGATGTGATCTAGCGCGATAAATCCCCAGCCAACATTGCCCATACTCCACACCCGGCCGTGTCTCCATAATGGCTGATCCTCCTATTAGCTTTGATGTTCGGCTGATATTGGACACCCTCCTTGCCGGGACCATACATCCTTTCTATAGGATTCAACGCCACTTGTGGAAATCCAAAGCGACTATTGTCTCAATTTCCTACGCGTGATGACCGCGGGCGAAATTGACCTATCAGATTTTTTCCATGGCGTAAAACGTGCTCATGCGATATTTCGATTCACCGTCATATTCGGACAGATCTTGCAGTGCTTGTTGGCCCTCTCTCTCAATGGTTGCACGGATCTCTGAGCTGCGAGGCGTGATTCGGCATTCAAACGGATTTGGTCTCATGTTGAGGCCGTTGCTGAACCCGCACGCGGAATAATCCAGACCATCAGTTTTCAAATAAATCAAAGGTGAAAGGAATATGATGCTTGAAAAGAACTCACGTGAAATCAAATATATCCACATTGATTTCGTTGCCGTCTTTGTCAAGAGCCTTTTCAATGTTAAAGCCCCAGAGCAGACGTGCGATCGTGATAAATGTTCCCTGCTCCGCTAATCCCTGCCCACTACAGACACGCCGTCCCCAACCGAAAGTCATGTACCCCTTCTCACTGGGAAACGGGCGGGATTCAGGACTGTCCTTCAACCAGCGATCGGGGTTGAAACGATCTGGGTCTGGGAATTCTCGCTCATGATGATGAATGGCCCAAACGTTTCCCTGGACCCAAGTATCTCGCGGGATCAGCCAACCCTAGATCAATTTGATCAGCATATTGGCCCGGGTGCCAGGGATATATCTCAGCTATTACCTTGTAATAATCGTCCTGGATCGGTGCATGCGGTTGGCCTCCGATGATAGCCACGGATCTCCACCGAAGAACTTCTTTCATGACTGCCTTGACGTATGGCAAGTCGGATTCGTCCTGGAACGTAGGACTCCGCCATGGCCCCACTACTTGGTCAAGCTCTTTCCTTGCTTTTGCCAGTGCCTCCGGAAATGCACAGCATGCTAAAATGAAAGTAACAAGCGTTGAGCTGGAAGTGTCGGCACCTGCCCCAAAAAGATTGCCTGCGAGTGAAGAGATTTCCATTCTTGAAAGGTTATGTTTCGGTGCCTCTTCAAATACCTTTTTCGCATAGCAATGCCCGGTATCTTCGCTTGTCGCGGCTTCCTCGGCGAGGGCATAGAAAAATGGTCTGCCGCGCCCCTGGCCTTGACCTAGACCGTGCTTCCATGGCGCCATCCAGTTTGGGAACTTGGCAAGGACTGGCTACGTGTCAGCTTTCACGTCTTTTCATATACCCTGATCTCGAAATTCCCAAGAAAACGACCGATTATCCTCGAAACTTACACGGGAAAGATTCCATCAGCATGGGAAATGTTTTGCCGGGTACATTCAGCTCAGCGGCATGTTGCATCAGCGCAATGACCTCCGTGATAATCGGATCCGTGAACGTAGCAACACGTCGACCAAAGCCGATGATGGAGACCACGCTTGTGGCATAGCGCTCGAAATGCTTGACGTATTCTTTTGGCTCGCGAATAAGATCAAACGCAACCACTTTACTCTCGTCATTCTGGAAGCCGCGGTAATTCCGAACTTGTTGAAGACCGACACCCATATGTGTCAACTTTCTGTGCAAGCGCCATCGATCGCCATAATACATGTTGACCATGTTGGACTGTCCGGCACCAAGCTCGCTGAAAACCACCATACGCGGCCTTGACGCGTAGATTGCCGCTCGTTTGTCGAGGATCTCACTCGCTGCCCACGCGTCACATATCCAGATTGTTGGTCGTCGGCCGGTCCAGAATGTTATCATGGGAGATTTGTATTCCTTTGCCAGATTCTCAAAGTAAATCCAAGGCTTATTATCGGGAAGTAGATGCGTGTTTCCGATAAGAGGGAGTGGAAATGGACCTGGAGGCTGTAGACATTGTTCAAGATGTCAGATGCAATCTAATCAGATACGTGAATACTCGCATTGAAAATAGGAACTCACCATCTTAAAATGCAAATACACCATATAGCCATAGTCTATTATGAGTATAAAACCAATAACAGCTAACCCCCAAAGGGTCGCAACGGAAATGCTGATACCGCCTCGCCTTGAAAAATCAAGTGCTAGATTGGCCTTGGCCAAAGCCAATAATTCTTCTGCCTTTTCAGCAATCATCTTGCTTCAGTATGCACATCAGCGGGAAATTCAAGATCTAGCACTGAGAATGTTGGAATATGCGATCGGTGATGTAGACCTTGAGTGGGTTCTACCACCTGACGCAGGAAACGCATTTCATTTAATCTCTTGATTCCAAGTCTTGGAACTCTCGGATTTGAAATAGTACACATCTGCATAAATGACCCCACCTCCAGAGTGCATGCCAAGGTAAAAATGTGGGCTTGATCATTCTAACGTTGCGGGGTACATAGTAAAGTCATTATCATAATCAGTAATAGCACTGCAAGGATAGGTGGACGTTTTCACATGCGCAGAGAAGCCACGTAAAATTGAAAATTATATTCGTAAATTACTCGCCCCACATGTTCAAATGTTCAATCTTAGCTAATGGTCTATCTTTGAGTAGAAGATTGGCTGTTTTGAATCTTGACATTTTCACTAGCTATTCCAAGCAGTGCACAAGTGCTTCCAGGTAGGTATTCGTGGTTAGGGCTACACCCGCAGTCATGGCACTCATATGTTGGCGGCAGCCATTTAAAGTGATTTATGCCACTTGAAAATACTTTTCCTCACTATTCCGTGAAACATGACGCTTGCATATCTTAATTTGAATAGATATTAATCTTAAAATCCATATCGGCTAATTGCCGTCGTATGTCGGAGGTGGGGCTGCCCCAGGTTTCCCCCAGCTTTGAAGTCCACTAAACGATGCGGGGTTTGTGGGGAGGTAGGTCTACGTGCAGAGACTGACTGATTTACGTGTTGTGTGACGGGCAAGATGTTGATTGGGTCACGTATCACTCTGGAATCCCAAGCTATCAAGCACTCGGTGTGATACATTAGTAGCGGTGCCCCGCTCATGAGGGTATCTGCATAAGCGGTTTCCTCTCGAGCTTGCTCAATATGGCTGAGACTAGTATGTCATCAACGACACTATGGCAGAACCGGAAGTGCCTGCTTCTATGCTGCCTCGTCTCAATGGCCAATATGCAGTACGGTTTTGATTTAGCTGCTATTGGTTCATTGCAAGCCATGACCGGTTTCCTGAAGGTATTTGGATACCGCGATCCAAGTAGCGACACCGGATATGCAATTGATGTGAGTATTACCTTCTTCCTGATCCACCAGCAGACCACAAGTTGGCTGACAACATGGTATTCCAGAGCACCGTACAACAACTCATAACATCGCTTCTGACATTGGGATCTTTCGTTTCTTCCTTAGTGGCAGGTTTTTTCTCGGCCTACTTAGGCCGCCGTCATGCACTCTGGCTTGCCTGTGTCGTCAATGCAGTTGCAGTTGGAATCCAAATCGGGACAACATCGGCAGGCGTCCTGTATTTCGGACGCTTACTACTAGGATTCGCCAATGGCTTTTTAGTCACTTTCTCAAATATTTACACTTCTGAAGTGGCACCGGCTCATCTTCGGGGTGTCATGGTCGCTTTGTTCGCATACTGGGTGAATATAGGAAGTATTCTGGGCTCGGTGGTTGATAACTACACTCAAACGCGACTTGACCGACTGTCGTACAGGATTCCTCTTGCTTGCCTTTACATTGTTCCCACCCTGCTATTCGTTGCGTTATTTTTCGTCCCCGAAAGCCCCAGGTGGTTGCTTCATCGTGGTGATGATAAGGCAGCCAGGACGTCACTGGAAAGACTTCGGGGCACTGGTTTTCTCACTGTCCTATCTATCTCCGGTGCCAATCGTGGAGCTGAAGATCGAAGCTCCAGTAGCACAGCTGCTATGCCATCGCTCTTGGAGTTGGAGTGGGCAGAGATGGTCAAGGGCGTGGAAGAGGAAAAGCGTGAACAAGGGAATGTAGCGGCAATGGATATGTTCCGAGGTGAGATTAGGACATCCTCATCCCGAGGCCCCTTACTTGAATTCTCGTTTTCTGTTATACTAATACTGCCTTGACTTCTAGGTGTTGATCTTCGCCGGACTATACTTTGCTACTGTATGATTGGTTGTCAAACTGCATCAGGTGTATGGTTCCTCATTGGCTACCAAGCATACTTCTTCACAATTTGCGGCATCACTAAGCCATTCCAATACTCTATTATGAACACATGCTTTGGCTTTCTGGGGGTCAATGTCGGCATGTACGCCATCCGTGAGTTATTCGGGCGTCGCTCCATTCTTATAATCGGCGCGATTGGATGCGGTCTATGCCAATTAGCGAGTGCCATCGCTGCTACAGTGAGCCCCAATACTTTACCTACTGGCAGAACACTGGTGGCCTTTACAGCATTGTTCATGTTTTTCTATAATGGCTGTGTCGGTGCTGCAAGTTACCCCGTCGCTACCGAACTCGTCAGTTCCAGACTCCGTGCATGGACTATTGGGACGGCAACCTCACTGGGCTATCTTCTTGCATGGCTGGTGAATTTTTGTACGCCATACTTCATTAACCCTGAGCATATGAACTGGGTGGGTCAATTCATGGAGATATAGGGCATGCGAATAATGCAAGTCACGCTTTTTTAAGCAACAATACTAATCTGGCTATGGCACAGGGCGCTCAATATGGATACATTTGGGCTGTATCTAACTTTCTCTGTGTGATTTTCTTTTATTTCTTCATGCCAGAAATGAAAGGCCGTTCTCTGGAGGAACTGGATGAAATATTCGCTGCGCGTGTCCCAGCACGCAAATTCAGATCATACCACTGTCTCATTGGTGAAACAGCAAGAATCGAGGCTCTGAATGCTAAGTCTGATCGAGACTAGTTCCATAAATAAAAACCTCGGGATGTTTATGGAACACCTGTCCAGGTACCCAGATGTCATTTGCGACCAATTCCAACATTTGAAGGTTTCTAAAGCTGGGAAATGGCAAACAGAAAATGATTAAATATGTGCTTACCACCTACTATTTATTAGGTTGCAGTATTTCAATGTTAATCCAGAGTCTATCAATTGATCTCTTGAGTATGTACTATGTACATAAGTTCTTACCTATATGAACTCTTGCGAAATTAATGTTCCTCTAAGATACCTACATAGGTTTTTGATGACTTTCAATACTAGGTATATACCCATCCTAAGTACCAAGCAGGTACATAAGAATATACCCATCCTAAGCACCAAGAAAATACATAATAATATGCCCATCCTAAATACCAAGTATGTATATAAGAATATTCCCATTCTAAGTACCAAGTAGGTACGTAAGGATATACCCATCCGACATATGAAGTAGGTACATAAGAATATACCCATCCTAAGTACTAAGAAGGTACATAATGATATACCTATCCTAAATACCAAGTTGGTTTATAAGAATATACCTATCCTAAGAACTAAGAAGGTATGTAAGTAAATACCTATCCCAAGTATTAAGTAGGTGCCTAAGTACATATACATATAGGTAGAGACATATATACCTGTACTGCAACATAGGAGCTCACCGAATGATGCCTACAGTACTATGTACATAAGTATTTATGTTAAACAATGTAAATTATGTAATTGATTAAGATCAATATATACTTGCTTAATATAGGCTGAAAAATCTAGAATATATCCACTTAAAATAACATTGGAATACCTGGGAAGCTAGTACCGAAATTCTATCCAAGTACAACCTAAATAGGATTTCCTATGTCCTAGAGAAATCAAGAGTAAGAAAAAGATCATGAAATCTATATTTATTCAAGAATTCGGAGCACAAGTTCATCGCTGCCTCAGGCTCCAATCGGGGTATAAAAGCAACATTCTAGCCTTTCATCTTCTTCTCTTCTCCACTCCTCTCCTCAACAGCTTCTTTCCATATTATCTTACTACCTTATATTCCCTCACTTCCCTCACTTTCTTCTTACTTGCTCTCACTTCCTCTTCAGTTCTTCTCACTTTCTATTCAATTACTCTCACTTTCTCTTCAATTGCTCTCACTTTCTCTTCAATTGCTCTCACTTTCTCTTCAATTGCTCTCACTTCCTCTTTATTTACTCTTACTTCGTCTTCACTTCATTATCAAACATCTCCCTTTAACAACTACCATGACCTACGCTCAAGGAAGCCAGATATGAAGCAAACTTTGCAATGTCAATGAGCGGTACACGAAACACGCTACACGACTTTTGCATCCTTGGAAAATCTCTCTTCAACAATCCCGGGATTGAACCGATTGAGAATCGACACTGTTGAAACCGACCCCCTTGGAAGTGGATCAGGTACTTAAGGGACGTGACGGAGCGACGGAGGCAAGCCGAAAGGCATGTCAGGCGCTGAGTGAAGAAGTCCGGGGTCTTTACGAGGAACTCCAGGAGCGGCGGGAGGGTCAGATGGCTGATACCGCCGCCATCCACGCCCATTGTGCGCAAAAGATGGTGGACCCTGATATTCACGGGCCGCTATCCAACCTGATCGTCTTTATCCTATTGAATTCCTTGAAGTCAATAAGATTATTTAGACGGTGATTTTGAAGAGAATTCTCAATGCATAGAAGTGTTTTGAATTCATGTCCCGGGAGAAACAATGCTAGAATAATGCATATTTTACAGAATACGAATAGAGTCCGATATAGCCAAACCAAGGACAAAGAGGTCCTTATGTCTTGTCAACCAAATGAGCAAACACATATCGGAAAATCTCGCGACTCTTGTACAGGTTTTCCACGCGCATGCGCTCGTTATCCAAATGCGCGTTATCACTCGCCTGTCCACAAGGCAAATTAGCTGCCGGGGCAGAAAATACCTTTTCCAGGAAGCGAATGGTGGGGATCGATCCACCCTCGCGGATGAAGATGGGCTTGACCGCTGCAGGAGAGGTGGCCGGGGTAGAAGATCCGGTTGTGGCATCCGGGGTCTCGGACTGTGCGTCGGACTTGGGCTTCGTGCGAATAGGCAGCGAGGAAGAGTCATCGGAGCTTGCGGCAGTTTGAGTGAGAGTGGAAGATGTCGGGACAGTAGCGGATTGCAAGGACCGTTTGCGGGCAGCTGCCTTTTCAGCTGACGACGTGGTGGTGGACGTGATCACGCGGTCAACGCGTGATGCTAGGCTGTCTGAGGAATCCTTGCGGAGAAGGCTCGGGCCGGAAGGAATGGGTGGCTTGGGAGTGACTTGCTTCCGCCCGTTTGTGGGAGGAGGCATGGGTGGGTACTGATGTTTCGAACCTTGTTGGTCTGGAGTCCATGCTGCGGTGATTGCTTCAGAGAGAGTGGCGAAGATTTCGTTGTCTGGGTCTCCTAGCCAGGCATCTGACTTTCCGGTGATCTCGACGGTGAGGTCGTTTTGAGATTCGAGTAAGGCGAATTGCTCCTGAGCGAATGCTGTGAGAGTTGCGGCGACATCGTCAGCTTGTTGGTCGGGAACGATACGGATCGAGAGGCTGGCCTTCGCAAGTCGTGCGATGGTTGTGGTTGCGTTTTTGCTTCCTGGGACTTCCAGGGAGTGGATTGTGAGCGATGGTTCGCGCCAGCGATACATCAGTGATTTGACTAATGCTTGGCGGTCTTGAATCTCGGGGTGTTGGGGTAGCAATATGTCTGCGATGGCCTCAAATCGCTTCTGCTCGGCTTCTGTGATAGGCCGGACGGAGTCGTGGAACCCAGGCAGGTTGATTCGACCCTTGCGTCCAACTAGAGTGGAAACCAAAATTGAAACATCTTTGACTGGTTCGTCTAGTAGAGCACTACCATCAATACCACTATGCAAGTCAGGGTGATCGCTAGTTACGACCAAGTTGGCATGGACCACACCTCGAAGGCCGTAGGTCAGACAAGGATTATAGTCATCCAGCCAATAACTGTTGGCTAGCAAAATCCAATCGACAGGACCGATTTCAGCCTGGTGCTCGTGGACCGTTTGGTGAAATCCTTGGGATCCAGATTCTTCCTCTCCTTCGATGAGGAATACCACATTGCAACGGAGTGACTTTGTGCGAGCAAGATCGGCCGCAGCATACAGAGATGCCAAAATCGGACCTTTATTATCAGAAACACCACGACCATAGAGGAATCCATTGATCGAAGTCAATTGATAAGGATCGGATCTCCACTTAGGGCGATTGGTATCAGCACCAACAACGTCGTAGTGGCCGTAGAAAAGAATGGTCTTGTCAACTTTCTCGGGGGAAGTTGCATTGAATCGGGCATACACAACAGGATTTGTGTCTGCGCCCGTAGTCAAAAGTTTTGTCTTTGCACCAAGATAGTTGCAGTGTCGACGCAGGAAGGCTGCTCCCTGGTTGCACTCGCCCTTGAATTTAGGACTTGAGGAAATAGTCTTGAATGAGACAAATTTGGCCAGACTGTTTACCATTTCATCTATACCAAACAAACGTTAGCAAGCTGGCGCCGTTTGTCCGATCAGGAATAAATAACATACCGTTGCTGATGGGTGGCAGCTCCTCCTGTGTGAGGAAAAACTCTGTCAGGTCCCAAATGCCAACAGAGTTATCATTGCCTCCAGTAGCATAGATGTGTCGATCTTTGACTCGTCCGGTAGCAGATGCAAGCATGGTGCCCTCATGAGCGACCCACCCACCGACTTCCTCAAATCGGGAGTTAAATTTCTGGCAAAGTCAGCGATTAGAAAATAAGGGGTCCACCTAGAATCCTGCATACCTTGACTGTTCCTGTTGAGTCACCACAGATAGCAACGCCATGGATCACGTGAACTGCCCATAAATCTCCAGTGTGGCGAACAATACGCTTGACCAGCTGCTGGGAATCCAAATTCCAAATGTTCAAAGCACCGCCTGCCAAACCACAGTAGAGTAACGAGCCTTCAACAGCGATGGAGAGGACAGGGTCATCATTTTGCAACTTGGCAATTTGAACCGGTGCGGCTCCTGGCTGCGAGCCGATTCTCCATAACTTGACAGCACCATCTCCGGAACCTGTCAACAAGACCTCTTCAGAGGGGGCAGACTCAATAAGGCCCTTGACCAAAAGCATCGAGTAAACATAACCATGGTGAGCAAACAATTTGTGGTGATCCCGCTTAAAGGATAAGACTCGACCTCCTCCTGAGACTGAGTGGGCACCGTCGGATGGCCGTGGAGCAGGTGTCCCGTCCGGGCCGCGGGAGTCAAAAAAGCGATGCGTCCGCTTTCCTGGGTGCGCCACAGATGTTTGGCTCAGGGCGCTTTCCTCAGACAGGTCACACCATTGGATGCTGGTGTTCTGCGCACCACAGTAGATGGTTTGATTACTCGCGGAATACACCACAGTAAAGATATCACCCACATCATGATGCGGGTAGATAGAATACAGTCGCTCAAAGGTCCTTGTTGACCAAACCTAGGTAAGGGGGTTAGTGACCCGCAGCTCCGCGACGCGATAGGCGATGTCTGATAAACCACTTACATTAATTACAGAATCTCCGCCACTAGAGAAGAGAAGGTTCCCATCCTCTGATAAATACAGACCCAAAACGCTCTCTTTGTGGGCGTGGACTGACAGAACAAGGTCGTATGTTTCCAGAGACCAAGCCTAATGGAATGAGTCAGACCGCACAAGAGGAAGTTGCCGTCAAAATAGACGATTCTAAACCAGGATTTAACAGTGCATATACTTACCACGATATCTCCTCCTTGTAAGCCGGCAAATACACACTCTTCGTCAACGACCAATGCGAGGACGGAACGGCTAGCAAGCACGCGATGACCGATCCCGCAATCACTTAGCGGCGCGCTGGTGGCATCATCTTTAGCTTGCGCTAAAGACCGAGCATCGGATCCCCAAGTCTTAGATTGGTCTTCCACCTCGTCGGTAAATCCGGAATCCACTATATCCATTGCGTGGTTTCCCGTCAGTCAATGATAGATCTGGGGGAGGTATTTTCTCTTGGGGACGTGAAGTTGTGTGTGGAGGACGAGATCTCCCCGCGACGGATGATTGGATCCACCCAGAAAAACGATCTTTTGGTTCGCAGTTCCGGGTTTAAATCCACTTCCAACAATGAATGTAGTGGGAAAGCTCTTTGGTTTTTGAAAACGAAGAGAGAGAAAAGAAGGATAGTATGGAAAGAAACATTAAGGAGATTTTTTTTCTTTTTAAAAAAAGGAGACAAATGGCGGTGCGGGAAATCATAACCATTGCACCATCGATAAAGTATTCGACTCACCACCCCTTGAATAATATCTTTTATGATTCCAACAACATGCGGGTCTATTGGGTTGATCGCTAGTCAGTCAGACATTGTGTCCTGTTCATAGTGATATCCTTCATTCCAAAGGGTTTTATTACGGTCGCGTGGGCTTGATCATTGGGAACATGGATGTATGGAAAAGGAAATCTACTAACATACCTGGGCTCCCACTGTAACCGAGCCAAGGGAGGCCTTGACTGAAAATCAAGCACCGCCATCAATCAAATCGAATGAGGGAGTCAGAAATGTGGAATATAGAATAATCATAGAAGTTCCAGGAACAAATTCGGAATGAAAAAAAGGAGAACTTTAACAGGCACTGATCAGCAGCGGTGGACAGATAAGGCGGAGGCTTTTCTAATGACTTCACCCGGATTTCTATTCGCATCCAGCCCCTACTCCGGTTTCATCTATAATTTCACCGCAAGACACGTCTTCTACAAGCTATTGTTTGCTTTCTTTTCTTTTCCTGCAGTTGTCCATTCCATACCAAGCCGAGAATTCATCGTTAACGATCCAATTGGGATATAGGGAGGCATCCAAATTCATTGTCAAGTAGTACGGCAGTGATCGCGCCATGAATCGTCATCGACTCCTGGATTTCAAAGTTTTCAAGGCTTCCAAGGGGGCTTTTCTTTGTGCCTGGTGACGGTTGTGCACGGAACATTGCATATACGTACGTCTCTTCTTTTTACAGGTCTAGTGATCTATGCCATACATACAGCACCGCCACAGTGGCTGATGTATGACTGAATCTGACAAATATCAGCTGACTTGAGGGCACCAGCCACAGTGGCGGTGACTCGGATCCATCAATTCAACCAATCACAATCATCAAGTCACCGCTTCTTTGTCTTTACCGTTATGCTCCGTATCAAATACTAGAAACACAGACTCCGGGGCATATCGGCGCTATTCATCTTCCCACTGGCACGGACTAGCCGCTTGTTCTCAGGGATTTTTCAGAGAGGGACCAATGGGTTCATCCTTCCCAATCACAGCTCGACAACAAACCCTTCCCCCCCCCACTGTGGTCTTTTGCGCCCAACCATTCAGTCTTGCCGATGTGATGCGAGCTTCCCATCCGTTGTAATTCGTTTCTGCCTGTCGCATCACTGGAACCCAAGTTACCCAACTCTGCCAGATAGGTGAGGGCCCTGCAGCTACCGTTCGTTGCTCTGTGCCCAACTCCTGCGCGCTGATGCCATCGCCCCCAGCCTCCTCCATTTTCCCGCAGCACAGTTCCCCATAAGTAACCCATATCATATCCCTGAGTCCAATCGGACCTGACCGCTGATCTATTTTCACGTTCTGCGGAGGTTTAAAGATAACCAGCTTAATCAGCCCTGGGGATTAAGAATTCTCCTTTTTTCCTTGCTATATTATCTCATTTTATACTTCGGCTTCTCCAGTTTCGTCTTTTTCCATTTCTCTCAAGTGCTTCACCGTTATTTATGTCCCCTTTGTGAGATCGCCCAGGTCGCAGGTGGAATCACTAGTCCCGTACACCGCTCCTCGGCCCATCTCAATAAAACGAACTACAAAAACTCTGATGAGGTGATCGTTCCAAGGTTCACGGTCGACGATCCTATCTGATGGCGCCGCTCGGCCAGACGATCGCTGTCATTGACAAGTCCGGCAAAGTTGTTAGCACGGTAAGCTAGCCCGGATTCAAATCATCGAATCGAAGGTTATCCTGACAGCACCAGAGTAAACAACTCTTCGGCGTCTTCCATCAGGCGAAAGCCGCGTACCGCGAACGCAAGGCGCATTTTGACTCCGAGCGTAATGCCAAGATTGCGGAGCAGCAGGCATTGCAAGCTCTCGCCACCTACACAATCGATGACTCCCCATCGGTAGCTCCATCACGACGGAGTCACGCATCGAGGTCACGACATCAATCTAGTCGCAGTGTGCATCATCGCCGTCCCCCTTCTCGATACGAACAAGATTTGCATTCGGGTGTTGCGAGGACAGAGTCGGGCTTCGAGGCACCAGCAGAGCTTCCCCGCAGACATACCCATCATGACGTCGCGCTTAGACAACCTGAGGATCGACCAACAACAGCTCGGTCTAAATCGGATGCCTACATTGACATGGATCTTGCATACGGGGATGCACACCCGGTCACACTAGCAAAGTATACCCCTCCGGTGGAGAGTCCGGAAGATCCAAACCAACTAAATGGCCTGGTCACTCGGGCCCAGTGGCTTCTGGAAGAAGCGCACTGTATGCAGCACAGTGCGACCGCCACCATCGCGCATCTTCAAAAGAATCCGGATGCGATGGCTGCGGTCGCTCTCACTCTGGCGGAAATCAGCAACGTCGCCGGAAAAATGGCACCAACGGCACTTGCTGCATTCAAGTCCGCCTCTCCCGCAATTTGGGCCTTACTTGCGAGCCCGCAATTCCTGATCGCTGCCGGTGTCGGACTAGGAGTGACGGTGGTCATGTTCGGAGGATATAAAATCATCAAGAAGATACAGTCTAACACGATCGGAATCACCCAAGAGCCGGAATGTGCACCGGCAGATGAGGAGCCGGAAGAGATGGAGGAATTAATGGAGCTGAATGTGCAATCGGGAAGTCGTGTTGAAATGTGGAGGCGTGGCGTGGCAGACATTGAAGCTGTCAGCATGGGCACATCAGTTGATGGCGAATTCATTACCCAACGAGCTGCGGCCTTGTCTGGAATCGACGTGACCACGGCCCGCATGGAAAGAGATCCACGCTTTAAGTTCGATGACGATACGTCCATGGCTTCCTCCCGACGCTCTCGACGTTCGCGTACATCCAGGTCACATGCACATGCTCCCTCGGAGGCACCTTCCAGGAGAGAGTCCAGATCCGCTCCTAAAAGTGTCTTCACCAAATCGACCAAAGAACCATCGAGGGCCCCAAGCAGGGCCCCAAGCAGAGCCCCTAGCCAGGCTCCAAGTCAAGCCCCGAGCAAAGCTCCAAGCAGGCCCTCAAGCAGAGCGCCAAGTAGGGCGCCTTCCAAATCTGGCTATATGTCAGAAAAGGAGACGCGACCCAAAGAGAAGAAGAAGAAGGGGCCGAGTCGCTTGCGTCTCATGTTCACTGCTTAAACATCAATTTCCAAAGAAGCCTTTATTCCACCATCAACATACGACAGTTTGCCCTTCCAACGCCGACATGCTTCGCTGGCCCAATATTGTACATTTTCATACTGCGTGTCAATACTTGAAGATATGTCCCGCCATGATCACGACCAAAATTTCTTCAAATATTTCTTTTCGTCTTCTGCATATATATGAGATGCGATCCATGGATATCATTCATGTGTATTGTGCCATGAAGAAGATTTCTCAGGCGAGGCCATGTTGCCCATACCAACGCCGGCCCAAGACTCTCCCATGTCCGCCATCGCGGAGCAGAGCTTATGACTACACATTGAAGCGTTCTTTTCTTGTTTTCATCACGATTCAGTTTATGCATTTTGGAGTTTGGGGTCATTTCATAATATCATGCTTCTCGTTACGAGGTCTGGTTCACATTGGTTTTTTGTCCATCTCTAGACCCAAATAAACCCAGCTGTTCTGATACACATACTCATACACTGACAATTCGTTTTTTTTTTTTGTGGAAGACTAATTACCTAGGACACAAGTTCATCAACCATCCCACTGTTTCTTGGAAGGGGTTCGGAGAATAGGACCCTTTGGAGTTCGTTGACCCCTCTGATCCAAGTGGACCTCGGAATAACCGCTCGAAGAGGGAAGCGATCGGCTAACTCCGGGCTAGGCCCAATCAGATGAGACACGGCATGGAACGATATACGCGGGGTAGGAAGCGACGAATGGGATTTGATTAGGGAAACAGTAATTGAAATGCCTTTCTAGTTAGCGTTATCCGGTAAGTAGCAATAGGCAAGTAATTTCCCTCGTTTTTTTCCTCGTGTTCCAATTTCTCTAAAAATCGTGATCTGTGACGCATCCAACATCAATTGATCGTCACTCCACGCAGTAGGAGTCAGACACAATGTCTGTGTCATCCAAGCCAGATACCGCTAAAAATGCGGAAAAAGAACAGCCGGCTGCGCATATGTTTTCCGGGGCATACAATGAGGCTGATGAAGAGAACATGCCCTCGGCGGAGTCGATTCCGGGTCCAGCCCTGAAGCGCAAGCTGAAGAGCAGGCATCTTCAAATGATCGCAATCGGTAGGTGATCAAGCTGCCATTCAAATCCCCCCATCCGCCTATGCTTGATTACTCAATCTCTAACTGGATGGGCAATAGGTGGTACAATCGGAACTGGTTTGTTCATATCTAGCGGCGAAGCTTTAGCACACGCTGGACCGATTGGCGCTCTCATTGCTTATATTTTCATCGGCTCCATTGTGTTTTCCGTCATGACTTCTCTCGGTGAGATCGCCACATATCTGCCTGTATCCGGAGCATTCACTTCCTATGCTACTCGACTGATCGATCCCAGCCTTGGATTCGCGATGGGCTGGATCTATTGGTTCTCATGGGCTATTACGTTCGCGCTTGAATTGACTGCGACAAGCCTTATAATCCAATACTGGGACCCTACGATTAACACTGCGATATTCATCGCTGTCTTCTGGGTCGTTATTACAATTTTAAATTTGTTGCCGGTTAACTTTTATGGCGAGATTGAGTTTTGGTTATCTACAGCCAAGGTGAGTTCCTCGAATTTGAATACAACGGACCTTCTTTAAGCTAACGATCATTCATAGGTACTAACAGTGATCGGATTTATCCTCTTCGGTATCTGCATCGACGCTGGCGCTGGGGATCAAGGATACCTTGGCTTCCACAACTGGGTTCACCCGGGTCCCTTCGTCGACTACCTTGTGACTCCAGGACCCACAGCAAAGTTTGTAGGATTCTGGGCCGTGCTCATCCAAGCTGGATTCTCCTGCCAGGGCACCGAACTCGTTGGTTTAGCCGCGGGTGAAACCGAAAACCCACGGCAGACAGTCCCCAAAGCGATTCGAGCGACCTTTTTCCGCATCCTCCTCTTCTACGTGTTTTCCATTTTCTTCATGGGTCTTCTCGTGCCATCCGACAACCCAGACCTTCTTTCAGGCTCTTCTAACGCAAGCGCCTCGCCATTCGTCATTGCCGCCAAACTAGCCGGCGTCAAAGTTCTCCCCGGCCTCATCAACGCAGTCTTATTGACCGTTGTGCTCTCAGCAGCCAATTCCAACGTCTACAGCGGAAGCCGTATGCTAGTCGGTCTAGCAGCTGACGGATACGCTCCCTCGCTCTTCGCCAAGACGACAAAAGGTGGTGTCCCGTATTTTGCGGTCGTCCTTACTGCACTGTTCGGACTGCTTGGTTTCATGAATATCTCAACTTCCGGTACCACCGTCTTCAACTGGTTGCTCAATATCTCAACTGTGGCAGGCTTCATTCTGTGGGCTTCGTTGAACGCGTGCCACATTGCTTTCATGCGGGCTTTGAAGGCTCGGAATGTCTCCCGCAATATTCTACCTTATAAAGCCCCGTTCCAGCCTTTCCTTGCTTACTATGGTCTGTTTTTCAACCTCCTCATCCTTTTCACTCAAGGGTTCACGGCTTGGATTCCGTCTTTCAGTGTGCAGAACTTCTTCGTGGCGTATGTCAGCCTTATCCTTTTTGCTGTGCTTTGGATCGGCCACAAACTCGTGTTCCGTGATAGTCTGGTGTCGCCGCTACAGGCTGATCTTGATACTGGACGGGCGGAAATCGAGAGTGAGCATTGGGATGTGTCGGTTCCTACTACATGGTATGGCAAGATTTGGTATGGGATCAACGGGTGAAGGACGCTCAAAATGATCATCTATAAGATCGACTTCTCTTATGTAATTAACGTTCAACAGTATATATGCTCTCGGGATTTCCGCTTGGGAGGTGCCAAGAAGTGATGCAAATTCGGACATCACTCCTGGACAACATTGCACAAGGCGCGCATCATGCATGTGTTCAAATCAAATGACAATCGACTTCGGGAATCAATGTCAACTGATATTTTCAAGTGCTGTAGAGTGGACAGGCTTACCCTTTCATATTTATAATCTAGGATACTTGGAACATTGAATATTACAAGTCGCTATATTCCTATTTTTCCTTCGCGCAATTTTGTCCCATTGGCAACCCTGAGATCTTTCGTTGTGTTATCTGATCGCTATTAGCCTTAATACTCATAGCTTCGACTTCTGTATAAGTATGTGCTGCTCCAGTGGTACTTTCTCGGTTTGAGCGCTAGGGCACGCATGGAAAATCTTTCTCTTAGCTCCTTCGAAGTCGACAACGTACTTCTGTTTATAGCACGAAGAAGGAAATGCCACTTGATGCAGACATCTGGACTCTGACACTTATCGAAATGCTAGTGGTAAAGACTTTGTTAGGATGTGCGCGTTATCATCTGCGCATAAACAATACTAAAAGCAATAATAAGAGTCCTATAGCGATCGACGCGAGTATCGCGCAGTGTCGCGCAAGGATGAGGTTTAGTTGAAGATTAACGGCTTCGTTAAGATATCCGCATGATTAGATCTAATGTCACGAACCTCGCGACGCTCGGAATGTGCAGTATCTTGCAAAGTTGACGCGTAATACTTATCTTGACAAATTTGTTAGGATATGTGCATTTTTGGGAATCGCTAGTTACGAATTACGAATCACGAATTGCGAACTCTACGAATCCTACGTATAACATTTAACGGGAGAATTGTTTCTTATAAGATCCACACTTCACATTTATATAATTGAATTTGTTAGGATATGTTCTTTTTTTTTTTCGAATGACTCGTAAATTGCGAATTCGAATCCCGCCAATCCTACCACACTCGAACAGTATATTGCAAGGTTGATGCTTAATGCTTATATTGGCGGGTTTATTAGGATATGCCCATTATTATTATCTGTTGCGTAAGCGCTTATCCTTAACCCTTGGCGCAAAGACTAATGTTTACTAGTATAATGCTAGTATGAATGACTTTGATCGGATATGCGCATTTTTCTAATTGATTATGCTTCGAATTTTGCGAATCCAGCGACGCGAGCGCTCGACGTACGGTTGACACTTGCTTCTCACCTCGCGAAAGAGATATTGAAAACACGTTTTTGCAATAATTTGAATAGGGAACCTATTTTCGTTTGTCTTCTTGCCAAGTAGTGTCTCAGAGTTATAAGAATAGGCTATACTCATTCTTGCCGAACAAAGTAAGATTGAACGATGACTGTATAACAGACTCTGACAGTGGATAACGGTTACCAAGGGGACTTCGGGTTGATCTCAACTTCTCAAGTGCTTTGGCGATGTTGAATTTCCAGCTCGGCTACGACTTAATTCTCTTAGCATTTCTCAGAGACTATGTAGTACTAGTCTTTATTATGTACCACATACGGAGACTCATCCTCCTATTCATTCTTATCACCAGTCACTTAGCTAGGAAAAGTAAGGAAGAAGTATAGCGTCAATCCTTTAATAGGGAATGCTCTTCTATTCGATGTTCTCAGTAGGAGGAGCCAGAGTATTATAGATAATAGTTCTCAACTAAGCACCGTTGCTGTGATCTCTTGGAATTGGGGGATGAATTCCTAAGAATCCTAACAATTCGAAGCTAAGGGCGGGGTTCTGTCCCGTCTACAACATCACGTGAATCGAAGTGGCACTAACAGAGGGTCACACAACAACCGTGCTAAGTAGGCAGAACTTAGAAGTAGCTAACATATCCTCTTCTCCCTTCTTTTCCACACAACCCAGTGTCATAAATAAGCTATAACTACCTATTGCTTTAAGCAGAACAATCCGGGGCTGGAGATCAAGCAGGAGCGTCGGTTGGATGTGGCTAAGAGCCATTATGTCCTTGCACAAGTAGCTTCTCGTCTGAGCATCGATATCATCGTCAAAACCGCCATCGAAGTCCATTGGGTGCCGGCTAATTGCATGCGGTTGATTGACGCGAGTACTTTTCAGTGTAACCGAGCAAAGCCGAAGTTGCTCATGCTACCATCTATTACGGTGTTAGCAAGGCTGCATGTTCGCATTGTCTGGCTGTTGTAAGCTGTTTTGAAACAGCGTGTACACGCTTGTTTCCATCCAACAGCCTTTGTTTCGCTTTCGGGAATGAGGTTGTTATTTGCACTTTGGCCACTTCGTTTGCCACCAGCTGCCTATACGCAGCCTGATAGGAAGGGCGAACGTGTAAATATGCCTCGTCTGCCCTTCGGGATCATTTTACCTGGACTCTATCGACCAGGATTTGAAATTAGCACTCTACTTTATGGCTTTGGTGGTCAGGCTGCATTGGGAGCAGTTGCCAGTGACTTTGTTCATCCTTATAGCGTAGACTTCGGACCCAGAAAGCGCAGCAGATCATGAAGCCCATCTCGAGACAGTGCGATACCCAGGTGGGCTTACAGCCTGGGGTAGGCTGTTTTCCATCATAAGGCTTAGATCATACCGGTATCCAGCAGAGTACGGTACGGAAGAAATCGATTTCGCGGTTGAAATTGTTGAGTAATGACACCAATCTGGATGAACAAGTTAGAATCCTTAGTGTTAAGCACCAGCAAAGGGGGAGAGACTTACTTTCTTGTTGGCAGCGGCCAGCCAAAATCTTTTGCTGATAGAGGAATTATCGATAAACCTCCAGGTAAAACCGATCGAAGAACTTTCAGATTGCTGCGGTTGACGGTGGAATCGTCTAAGAGCATTCTTGGCTTTGACTCTTGAGAAGCCACTCAGAAATTATCATGGTGATATGACATGGTCGAAGCCCGCCTCCGATGTTGAGATCCTAAATGGACTGTTAGAGCCCTGTGTTTGAAAAAGAAAGGAGTAATACTTACTCGACAAAAGAGGGGGTACGCAGTTTTTTGGTAGGGGGGATTTGCCCATCACGTCCGGCAAGGAGAGAGAAATGTTCGTTGAAGAAGGCTCAAGCTGACCGTATGAACCACAAGAAGACCTGCCAAGAGGTAACCAACAGATCGGACAACTGATTCGGGAACGAAACAGTAGTATTGTTGGTATACGACCACAAAGATCAGACAGTTAGAGTTGATAATCGGCATAGGCCCGAATGGTGGACACGTCGGTCGAATCGTACCGTTGCTCGCAAAGTTAATTGGATAGCAATGTCCGCGCATCTTTGCTGGCATCCGTTTGATCGCGTCGTACACCAAACTGCTGCCTAGAACCACTCCTGCAGGTGGTGGCCATGAGCCGGAATTTCCACGTGTGTGCCCGTCAAAGACAGGCCATGCGGAAGTGTCAGGCGAACCTGTTCCTGGTCGCGTCGGGTCAAACCCGGGAGGTGCGGAGCTGTAGTCGGGCTTGTACTGTGGTGTCCAGGCTTTCCGGTTCTTCCAGAATTTATCCCCGTACTGTATCGATTTGTCAAGGGACTTCTTGCATTACAGGGGTCGCTTCTGTTGTGATTTGATGGCCGAAAACCATACCCTGCAGTAGTAGTAGTAGGATTATAAGAGGGACGGAGATAAGAATCTCCTTCGATTCCAGAAGCAGCACAATCGCAAATAAAGCACTGATTTTGTCAGAAGGGGAGAAGAAGAGGTAAGGATAGAAAAAGCTGTTTTACCCAAATTTGCCCTATGGCTGCGATGAATCTTTACCGTAACATGTTTAATCTTCATAGTTTAGATTCCTTTTGATTACTGCTGATCTCTCTCTAGGGTACTGAAAATTGTTATGGCTCCAAGTTTCATAGGCTTTAAGCTACTTCCTCCCTCCCTCCCAAAGTAAGAGATACGTAGTACGTACTCAGTCTAAGTCTCAAGTATATACCCACTCTAATAATTAATTATATACTCAATCGAAGTATTAAGTACCGACTCACTCAGTCTATAAGTACATACTCATTTCAAGTATCAAGTTGTCGATAATCAACATCATATAATTCTAATTTACTTCAATATACCGCAACATTAATTCCAGCTAGCCTGGCACCTAATTAGATTTGAAGCGACTCCTAGACCTGTTTGAACAGAAACCTTGAAAAAGCAGCGAAGCATACCAGTGCTTAGTTCACATCATTCGAACATAATCCGTATCATAACTTCCATATATTATTCTCCAGATTCGTTAAGCATAACATATACGGCACAACAATCATCATCAAAGTACATTCATATCCCATCCACATCAACAACCCCCATCCAAACCAGAAGCAGACCTCTCAAAGCGCCAACAAAGCAGCCGCAAACGCCACTCCACCAACAACGCTACCAGCAGTCGCAACAGGCGCAGCGTTTACCGACGAATCGTCCGAATAAGTAGACTCAGAGTCAGCAGTATACGTCGTAGCCTGGCTATCACCATTGTAATCACTAGTGGATGTCGGGCTCGCCTCATTCGAAGCCGGCCCATTAGTCGTAGAAGTAGTGCTGGAGTTCGAGTCCGAGTCCGAGTCCGAGCGACCGGAGGACACAGCCGCCGAGACAATGCTCGAGTATCCGTCCGCGGAGAATGGGACGCGGGTGATGCAGGTTGGCGCGCTGGTCCAGGTCACGGACGGGCCGCCGTAGTCGCTGCCGCTGCAGAAGGGGAAGCAGTCTGAGAAGTGGACGTCGGCGTTGTTGTATTCGTTGTAGTTCATCACGCAGCAGTTGGGTACGTTATCTTCTTCGACGGATAGCACTCCGTGGCAGCATTTGTCGTTGCCGTTGTAGTTGACGGGTGTCCATTCGTTGGGGCAGTTTGTAACAAGACGCTTTCCGAAAAGATCACCCTGGTATAGTGTTAGTTCAAAGGTGGGTAGGATGCTTTGGTGCGTTTGGGAGTGGTGGGGGTGGAGGGCTTCTTACGAAGTTGGGGCGGGCGTTGGCGGCTGCTGCGAGAGAGAGAACTGCTGGGATGATGAGACTTTGGACGGAGGGCATTTTGAAGAGAGATGTATGGAGGTTGTATTCCGAGGTTGAGAATTTCCAAGCTTTTAGTGTGTGGTCTGGTAAGGCCGTACTTCCTGGATGACTGTGTGGGTTTTATATAGCAAAAGCACGGACTGACCGCCAATCTAGGAGGTGCAGATAATCCTAGACTGGATATGTCATATTCACCGAGATGAGATCTATCAGCTTGTCATTCCAGGGGAGAATTGTGGGGGATGTGGAAAGCCCCAATGGGTGCGGCTGTGGAGGGACTCCTTGCGGGTACACCCATGTGGCATCAAAGACACAACATCAATCACCTGTGGACATCTTGCGAACGACTGGCCAATACTGAATGAGTATCTCTTTGGGCTGGCAAGGATGACATGAGAAGAAAATCAATTTCTGGGATATCCCTTCGAATTTGTCGATCGTTACTGCAGATGATCTGCAAGGGACACGAGCTATTGAGTGTCCGGCTAGGGTCGTTCGCAAAAGTTCCGGAAGGACTGATGGGATCGGCGCGGAGAAAGAGTGTTGAAGCCATGAGATTGAATACGTGGATCTGATACTCAGAAAGCAAAATTTGAAACCCTTGCCTGCATTGATTCTAACGATCCATGACGTAGATTAACAAATTTGAGTCAATTCAGTGGTGCCTGATGCTCTATTTACAGTAGTCTCAAGCTGACGTATGCCTGGTGCAGGAGATGCAAGGAATCAGCACTAACAAATGTAACGATAGCATGGAAGTTGTTATTCATGGTTAAATGCTGACCACACAAGGGCCCGGGAATCAATGCAAAGTCTAAAGCTTGGACAAGTGAGCTGCCCGACAAGCTGCAAGGTTAGATGGCCCATCAAAGATCTGTTGTTCTACTAGCCGGGTATTGATCTGGAAGCAGTCATTAGTAGCTGCCTGGATACAAGGCGCATTGTAGATCGCCTATGAAACTGATACTCACATGTTGCATTCCAAGTTGGTCGACCCTCTCCACGCCCAGGAGTCTCATACAAGTCTTGGTCTCATCGGCTAGGACTAGACAATACTGTCAATGATATGCTCGTGAAAACAACGGAGTTAAGACTTACTCTGCAGCACTCTCTTCACACCATCAACCCCCCCAGCAGATAAACCAAATAAGGCAGGTCGCCCAATACCGACGCCCTTAGCACCTAGGCAAATCGCCTTGACCACGTCGGTACCTCTCCTTATTCCTCCATCAACCCAGACTTCCAGTTTGTCGAAGACTTCGGGGCAGTATTTTCGCATTTCAAGAAGGGTGTGCACGACCGGGGGAGAAGTGTCCAGAGACCTGCCGCCATGATTTGACAGAATTATGGCCTTCACTTGGGGTCTATGCAAAGAAGCGATGTAGGCATCCTCATGAGTCTGAACACCCTTAAGAATAATAGGAAGACTGGTGTGTTTTGCCAACCATCCCAGCGTCTCCGTCCATGTCAGAGTGGGATCCATCCCAGCGAAAACCTTCTTCTCTCGAGCTTTTGCCGCTTCTTCCGGGGTTCCCAGATCTTCAGTGGTAATCTCATCAATCACATTACCGCCACGTTGGTCGTCTTCCCGCTTGCCCATCACCGGCGTATCTAGCGTTAAAACCAAGAACTTGATAGCAGCCAGTTTGTTGACCCGAGCAATCAAGCGCTCACTTTTTGTTCGATCCTCTTGCACATATAGCTGCCAGCCGAATACCTGCTCCGGGGACGCATTGGCAACAATCTCTTCCGGTGTCATCGAGGCGCTGTGGGAGATGATCTGTAACGCGCCAAAGCTGCGACATGCCTCGGCAATTCCTGCTTCGCCGGATGGATGACCCAGACGTGCTTGGGCTGCTGGGGAGACGTATATAGGCATTGAGACGTCGTTGCCAAGTAGTTTTGTCTCAAGACTGCATTTTGCGCAGTCAATGAAGATTCTTGGGCGGAGTAGAATGGAGCGGAATGCTTCCGTATTGAATCGCTTGGAGATCAGGTCGTCGGCAGCAGAGTAGTAGTACGCCCATGCCTTCTTGCTGAGCTTCGCTGTGGCCAATGCTTCGATTTCGTCCATATTTAAAAGCGTGTTGACAGAGGGGTGGTCATCGACTTTCTGTAAAGCTGTGGATGATGACTCATTCTTAGGTAGGGTCTTTAGGTCAACGGTACCAAGAAGTGACTCGGGCTTCAGATTGTCTTCCAGAGTACCCGCCGGGTGAACAGGATCGAATTTTTCAGTCGCATCTTTGCCTGCTAGCCTGAGGATGACATTTGCACCTCCGGGGTGTTCAGCCACAAAGTCGGTCACCTAAACACGAGGTAAGTCTTTGTGAGAAGAGAGCTTGTCGTCACAGATTCGATTGATCTCACATCGTACACCTTGCCATATAGAATGACCCAACAGCTCTTGCTGTTGTTGTGTTTGGCCACTGTGACCCGATTAGTGAACTGTCAAGACTCAATGGTATGAAAGGGGGGAACTGTATACCTTCGGCAGCATCAAATACTTTCCCCATTCTGTAAAGTGGCAGCGCTTCGCTGTGAACTTTTTACCCTCTGGTGGTGGATGTTGCGGTACAGGGTTAAGAGATCGTTGATTCAAGGAGCTCCCTTCCTTTAGCCACGTTTAAAGCACATAGCGCATCGGGGTAATTGCCGACCCAAGCCGTAAGCAAAAGTGGGGGTGACACCATTTGATCTTGGATAAGCTTGGGGTCTTAGTGGGTCTTCTTCTCGTATTTCTCCGCAATGTACCCAATGGAAGACAATGTTTTACCGAATGTAACAACATTTGAATGCGGCAATGCCCTCGAGTCCGGTGTGGGAAGTTGATTATGCAGCATTCAATGTTTGCTCCGACAGCCCCCTTGAGTTGGGCTTGACCACTTGCTGTTTGGGGAATTGGACGCCTAACACTTTAAAAGGTCTAGGCGCCAGTTTGCCCCTTCAACCGCCCGAATGTTAATACAGCTCCCCAATTGACCAACAAACGGTCCTAATGGTCGAACCGAGGTTACTTCGATTCTCTAACATGCTGCTCTAAGCGTTCTAGGAGCTGCACAGTCCAACAACTGTAACACGGTCGCTAGTCGCCATGCTTGTGGCACATGCACCGGTCGCGCAAATCGCGGCAGTATTGGGCATGAGAACTGTCCATCTCTTATTTCGAAATCGACAAGAGAAAAAAAAATTGTACATAGCCAGTCGGGCGTAGTGACGCCGAACACGCCTGAGCTTTCTAGGGAAATTGTTGAACGCGACCGGACGTCGTGAAGATGACTCCCTACAGAGGGGTGTAGATAAAGTTCTTGGTATTTTTGAGCCAAGTGTTCCAGATATCACCAAGGAGGGGATTGAGGCGAATATTTTGAGAGACTATCGTGAATTTTTCTGAGGTTGGTGTAATGCATGTGGACTCTCAGGTTCAACATTTGGATGTTGAGGGGTCCGTCCAGATTGAAGATAGCAGTGATATACCTTGGGAGAAATGCATGTATATTTCCGAAAAGGGGGGTTTTGCGTCAATTCAATCAATTGATGTTGATCACACAACTAATCAATTGATCTTGGAACGCATTGTCCATGTCAACATCAATTTGAATACTAGTGACTAGATAGAAAGATGGAAAGTCTCTGTAACAGGTTTTAACATTGAACATTGAAGGTTTAGGCCACGATCAACGCCAGCTGGCTGTACCTCAGTGCTAACATTGAAACATTGAAGTCAACATTTGAATTGATCACTCTCAAATGTGCATATTCTCCGATCAACATTTAATTGATTTACTGACAAGATTCAGCTCATATCATATATTTAGTTTTGAAAATACCAAGCTCATAGAGCATTGGCATAAAATTCATCATCTATCATTGAGACGTATTTTAAACATTTCAGTTCAAAGTCGTAGTAACAGTCGTCACAGGCGTCAACGTAGTGGTCGTAATTGTTGTGTTTGCCTCAAACAAGTCCTTCACGGCCTGTTTCTTCTGTTCTTCATCCAGAGATTCATCTGCATAGATGGCTCTGGCTTTGGCGGAGAAGTCGCCACGACTTTGTGCTTCCTCCTCAGCCTTTGCACGAGCTGCTTCTTTCTCCAGCTCCTCCTCCTCATCATCCTCTCCAATAACATCACCAGATTCAACATAGAAGTCATCCTCAGCATTTGGGTTCTCCTCTTCGAGTTTCTTCTGCTCCTCCTCTCTCGCCTTCTCCTCGGCCTCCTTGTCGAACTTCTCCTCTCCAATTTGCTTTCCGTTCTCGTCATATACGGGCCGGAAGTACTCTCCGCCAATCTGGTTTCCGTTCTCATCGAAAATAGGCTTGTAAATCTCCTGGATGTCGGTGGCTGCTCTTTCGGTTTGTTTGAGTGGCTATCACAATGTCAGCTGAGTTGATCTGGAGAGCTTATCTGGGAGACGCTTACGTTCTTGCTGTGGAACATTTGGATCTTGTGAAGTCTGAATGCGGCTCCGCCGTACGAAACGACGAGTGCTTTCTCCTCCTGCTCCAGAGTCAGTTTTTGTATCAAGGCCAAAGACAAAGTGGGAACTCAAACCTCTGTAGCCTTGTATGTCCTCCAGCCCTCGTTGGTGCTCTTGGACATTGAGGAGCCGCTTGCGCCAACCTTGCCGATACCGGTGCCCGAGAGGTCTACTCCACCGCTGGTATCCCGGTTGTGGGCGCTGGTCATCTTGATAGCACACTCCTGAGTAGACCATGTCTTCTTGATGGCCCACAGTCCATAATCCTTGATGTAGCTACCCCAATCACCCTTGACGAGGTCTTTGGCGTTCTGCTCAACCCACTTCGTGATAACATCTCTGCAGGGGACCTTCAGCCACTCGTTCACCACGACGGAGTCGTCAGTGATGAGAGCTGCGTTGCCGGTCTGGCCCCATTTGTTCTTCGCCTCAGCAGAGACATCGATGGGAGCGGCAGCGGCAGCAGCAGAAACTCCAGCCTTGAGCCCAAAGCTAGACTCGGCTTCGCTGCTCGAACTTGTGGATCTCCAGATTGATTCGGTGGGCTTTTCGTAGTTAACGACTTGGCTGGGTGCTTTGAAGCCATCCTTTTCAGGACGGCCAGGAACTGAAAGGTCGGTAATCAGATTCCAGCCTCCCTGCTTATCGAAAAAGCCGACCGCACCAGGGTGCAGGTCACTGAATCGCTGAGGGGTGTATAGGAAGTGGCCCTTGTTAATGGGTTTCATGAGCTCGGCATACTCGTCGGGGATACTGATAGTCATTTTGGCGGGTGTGGTGGGATATTCGAGTGAATTGAAATTTTTATTCTCTCGGAGCTGGCGATCAGGAGGGCGGGCCAGTTAAATAAGTTGCAAGATTGGCGAAGGTGCGTGGGTCAAAGCCTAAGTCCAGTGACGGTATTTCGCACGATCATCGCTGAAAAAGTGCCAATTAGGAGTGGGCATGGTCGATCTTCAGCCCCTCAGTTCGTGACATCGTTCGGTACCCCTCCAGATGGTACAAGCCACAATCGACGATCCAAATCTCAGGAATTATGCGAGACGATGAATGGGCGGAACAAAACATAAATTCCGAGCCAATATTTTCCAACAAGACCATATCGCCGAAAATACCATTTGTCCACTCTGATATGCCACTCAAGTATTCACATGTCCTCAGCCAAGGGCGTTCATCTTCGACGATCAATCGGAAATACGCGTCATAAATACCTTGGATGACATCGCAAGATCCACAGTTATGACCCGACAGTTTGGCTAAGTGGGCAGTAAGATTTAGTGTGGGTACAGCGCACAGAACACAGATTGAAGAGAACACATGTCAAGGCGGGAGGTGTGCTTCTGGCATGTACTGATTGGCATATGAAGTAATGCATGCGCACATGTGGCGGCTGCCATCACCTAAAAAGAGTAAAAATAAGTTGTATCTACTGGCGGAGAACGAAGATCTTCAAGTTCCTTGTTTTTCTTCTCAAAATTCCAGCTGTAGCTACAATCTTGGTCGGGAAATGCTACATAAATTCGCATGTGGTGGCACTCTGTGCGTTTTTTGCAATTGATCTTCAAATGTTATCTGGAACATTCAAGGTACTTTGACTATTGCAAAGAACATGCAATGACAATCAAGTGAGTCAAGATTCACTTGTTTACTTGAATCTCGATTGACCCGACCCTAATCTAGCCTAGCGTATGCCAAACACAGGATAGCGTTGTATTTGCAGATGAAGCTAGCCCGATTGGGAATCTATGTTTGCATTGCGGTTTGTCTACTGCTGCCTGAGGTGTTAGTCAATAACTCAAGTCGACGCTTTGATGTCAGGAGCTATGTAATTATACAAGCAGCACTAGCTTTATAGATCAGTCTAGTTATTGAATTCCATTTATGATTCAGCGTTCAAATAATGCACATGCTTAATAAACAATCAACTGAATTGAGCATGTACTCGATACTTAAAATGATTCTTTGAATGTTATATATCTCAATGTTAGTATATTAGGACATCTGGAAGGTTAGAACATTTGAATCTTGCGATACGTAGTAAGTTATATTACATATTTTGATTATCAAGGCTTATAGTTAGGTAGTAGGACGCAAGTCTCTGGGAACCACTCAACTATACCCCTTTGGATAACTTGTAGCATCCAACTCCACCCGAGCCGAAACGCCATGAGAATCCAACTCTACAGGGTTCCCGTAGGCGTCCATTAGCTCCGACGATCCCGTATCCAATTCAGCAGCCGGTTGGTGCGTGTGTCTCATCGTATTCTGATCAAGTCTCGCTGGCACAAACTTGGGCTTGCGCCTACGATAAAACACCACAGCCGCAATTATAAGTAAAATAGCGCCCGCTGCACAACCAATGCCTATTCCAGCCTTTGCGCCCGCAGAAAGTCCGCTAGTCGCATAGTATGTGTTGGTAGTACCGTTCACCGACTCACTCGTGCCGGTTGCCGTAGCGTCTCTCTTCAATGTCGAGGTTGAGGTCGAGGTCATGAAAGTTAAAGAATCGGATGTCGAGGTTGCGGACACGAAATCAGTCGATTGCCAACGGATCGAAACGCCCTTGCCCTGGATCCCGAATGTACCCGTTTGGCTCGAGACCGTGCCGTCGAATGTGTATACGTAGACGGAATCCGAATTTGTGTTGGAGGACGTGCACGGGTTGCTGGAGTACCATGGCCAGCCATCTCCGGTCTGCGCATTGTAGCCGCTAAAAATAACAAATAAATCGTCAGATCACGACCTGAGTGCGCTCATGCGCATGTGGAAGACGAGCGCGGGTGGAATCATGTACGGCAGTACCTACCTAGGACAGCATGTTGCTCTTGTCTCGATATTGCTGTCGAGCGAGACCTCTGAGAGACCGGCAGCCGTGTAGCCGGATGGACATAGACCTGGCGAGAAATAGCTTGTTGTTGCCGTGGCAAAGGCTGATGGGAAACATGTGCTCCAGTCGCTGGCGCCGAGACTAATCCACCACCAGGTGTAGGTGGCTGAGACGGGTGTGTAGTAGTTTGTGCCGGACAGCCACTGCATGTGGTACGAGTCTGTGAAGCAGTCTGCTGGCGGTGTGAAGGTCGTGGTCAGTGGGACTGGGCCACTGGTTATTGTTGAAGTCATCGCGACTTTTCAGGGGAAGAGCCCTGGAGAGATGAGGTGTGTGACGCAGAAAGGTTTGGCGTGCTGAGAGAGATCCATGGGGGTCTCTCTCTTTTAGTGGGCTCGCGGGTCATTGGGGGCTGAGTGGGTGTGTGCATGGCGTTTCACGGGGTTGCTGGCGATTGGAGAGTGGGAAATTGGTGCATGCACGTTTTCGAGCTAAGGATAGACTGGCGGCTAGAAGTGCTGCGGGCGTTCCCGGGCCAATTTTGATGGGAGAAATACGTCTGTGTAGGATATAAGACTTTGTTATGTGTTTATGTGGTGATGAAGTCAGTTGCAATTTCCAACCGACCGAAGTCGCCTCACGATGTCCATTGTATAGAGCAGGAAGAGAGAAATTATTACTTCGGGGCATTTTCCAAGTGTAAATTGAAGAGTGGGGTATCGGGCAGGCATAATCACGCTAGAGGAAGGCGGCTATTAGTGCATGTAGGAGCACGGCCACCAAATCTAAAAGCCAAAACCGCCCCTTTGGACCTGCGTGCGGGGCTCATTTTGCGGCCGATTGGAATTGGTATGTAAATCGCGGAGGCCAACTTCTGAATTTCATGACATATGTGATTGGAGCAGGGACTCAAAGCTCAATTTTACAAGACTCAAAACCTACTACATCTACCCTGAACCCTTCAAGGGTGGATCCTTCGACATTCCAAGGTTGAGCAGCCAGTGCTTAGCGAGAGCCGCGGAGTGTACTGAAGTATGCCTAGTAGTATAATTCGTCAACGCCAGAACATTGAATCCATCCATGGATATTAGTCAAGGAAAATCTCAAGGAAAATCAGACATATTTTGATTCGCGTCTAATTTTTTGAATGCTGTATCTATTTTGTTCCTCCACCTTAATCTAGTTCTTTCCCAGCTCCGCAGACCGCGAAGTAGCCGCCTGGACAGCCTTATCAACAATCTCCTTGAAGCCCTGAGCCTCAAAGGACTGCAAAGCAGCATATGTAGTTCCGTTGGGGCTGGTAACATTCTTGCGCAGCTGACCAGGCTCATCAGAAGACTCAACAAGCATCTTTCCAGCACCAAGGCAAGTCTGAGTAGCCAAGCGAGTGGCCTGTTCTTGAGGCAAGCCCAAAGCGGTTGCGCTAGCGATGAGGTGCTCCACCATAGCGAAAAAGTAGGCTGGTCCAGATCCTATATAATAAAGTCGGTCAAAAAGATAATTCAATTCATAAGACACAGGCTCGATTCTGTTTCTGCTTTATCGTGTATGTCGGGAGGGAGATACACTTACCAGAAAGACCAGTCACGACATCCAGAAGCTCCTCCTTCTCAACCCACTCAGTGGCCTTGCTGACACTGCTCAGCAGCGCGTTCACAAGCTCCTTCTCCTCAGAGCTAACATCAGTGCTGGCGTAAGCGCCGGACGCACCCTCGCCGACAAGCGCGGGGGTGTTGGGCATGACGCGAACAACGTGCGGGGTACGTCCGTCGGCGGTCCGCGACCACTCTTGCAAGCTGCTGAGTGTGATACCGGCGGCAATACTGACGACAACGGGTAAAGATGCGCGCTTCGACCAGGAAGCGCCCAGCTCTTCGCAGACACCCTTGGTAACCTGGGGCTTGACGGCGATGATGACGAGGTCGGCATTCGCACCGGCCTCGGTGTTGTCGGTGGTGGTCTTCACGCCGACGGCGGCAAGCTTCTCCCGGTTGACGTCCCATGGCTCGGAGACGGTGATGTTCTGCTTGTTAACGCCCTTGGTGACGAGGCCGCCGATGATGGCGGAGGCCATGTTGCCACCGCCGATGAAGGCGAGCTTGCTGTCTTGGAGAGAGGGCATTGTATTGATGTGTTGGGGGTATCTGTTTTGGTGGTCTTTGTCGCGAATGTTCAATTGGATGTTCTTGATGTTGAAAATCCCCCACTTTTGCTGGCTTATCGGAGGTGGGGCAGAATATACAGGTAACCAACAATGCCGATATCGGTTGAGGGGAAAGAAGGTTGGAAATTATTATATTATGCGATTAACAGGATTGAGATGGGAGATTGAAATATTTAAGCCATTTTCCTTTGCAATTCGACCCCGCAAAAGGTCAACTATGACACATCGATGGTGACCCCAGACTATGCACGTGACTGCTTATCGCCTGTTCACCGGGCCGGTCAGCCGGTACACTTGGGGTCCATAGAGCTGTTCCTGTGTGATGAAGCTTAGGAACGACTGGAAGTTGATGTCAAGATTTGAGATGGCATGTTTATTGGTGTTTAGCAGGGCCCAGAGAGGAGCTTCCAAAGTTGGTGGAGACGGGCATTGAGAATCCACGTCGCAAAGGAAATCTCTGGCCCGTCCAGACTTTCTACATCTGTTCCTGGGACATTCGGAGTTCGTGGGTAATCAAATCAATTCGAAATTTTGAAGATGGATACCTGGATACCGCCGAAGAGTAACAAATATGTGTGCACCCGTGGACATTGTAGAACGTTGTCAACAAAATGAATAGAATGAGAATATGAGAATAAACAAATGTATCACAGCCCCGAGAGAATAGAATAAAAATGACAAAGACCCAACATTTGAATATATTTAAACATTAGAAAAACGCCCGCTGAAATGCTTCAGACAAAAAAATTGGTTGATCAGGGCAGACACCCTGATTCAAGACAACCAAATCCGTAACGGAAAAACGAAAAAAAAGCACGAATGGTGTATCAGTATGCAAGACCCCAATATGTACAGTGGGTAGTGTGCCAAAGTGGAAAATGATGTGAAATAAAAGTCGGAATTTTAATCAACTTCCTGGAAGTAGGCCGTAGCTGGTGAGGGTGGTTCAATTACCAAGTCTCGGCAATGTATTGGCCAGCTTCCTTCTTGCGCTGCCAGAACAACTCAGCTTCCTGGGAGTTCAGGTTGCCCTTAGCCATGGCGACTTCAATAAGAGCAGCCTCAACACCTTCACCCATTCCCTTACCGCTGCCGCAGACAAAGACACGACCGTCGAGGGCGTTGATCACATACCAGACCAAATCGGCCTGGTGGCGGACCTCTTCCTGGACGTAGCGGCTCTCACCGCGACGGCTTTGTACAACAGTGCGAACCTTGTCCTCGTGCACACCCCACTCGCCACTGTAGAGCTCGTCAAGCAAGGAATCACGCACGCCTTGGAGAACCCAGACCTTGTTGGCACAGTTGGCAGACTGCAGACGACGCTGGACGAAACCACGGAATGGGGCGATTCCAACGCCAGCACCGATCAGAAGCATGGGCCCATCGGATGCAAACCGAGTGGCAAGTGGGTTGGCCATCAGACCACGGAACATGGGCACATGAACGTCAATCTTCTCACCAGCGGCTTCGGCCTTGATGGCCCGCTGAGCGAGCTGCTCAAGGTAGCCAGAACCAACACCGGTACGCTGGCCGCCTCGCCAGTCGTTGGAATCGGCGACAGTCACGGCGACTTCGACCAACCGGCGACATTCCGTACCCTTGAATCGACAAGAGATCATAGGATCTTGGGAAAGGGAATAGAATCGAGGCATCAGGGTGTTCAGCACGGAAAGAAGGTGGTCCAATGGAGGCTGAGAGCTGGGGAAAGCATGTAGCAACTGGGAAAGGGTGACATGAGAGCTGGTACGAAGATCACAGAAAGCACCCTGGCCCTGTGCAGATGCAAGGTACTCCAAGACCTTTTTCTCGTTTTCCTCGGTTGTGTATTCGGCCAAAGTTCGGAAAAGCGCCTTTGTTGGGGCGTAACTCTGAATATCGGAGCACCAGCTCAGGACCTCTCGCCGTGTTGTGATAAGCTCGCGTGGTTCATCATCACCCCAGATAGTCGGCCAGCGACCCTTGGTAGTACGCATGAGGACCTTCTTATCTCGCATCGACCTCGGCACGCACAGCAAATCCAGAAGATCCTCGACTTCTTCGTCCTTATTCTTAGGGCACACACCAATTGCACCTCCAACAACGAAATCTACCATTCCACTCTCGGCCGGGTAGTCGGTGACGTCAATATCAAAGTGATAGGTACGCTTCTCGGCGCCACCCTTGGTCAATTCACGTGCAGAGTGAAGAGGCGCACGGTAAACCTCATAGGGAGGATGAGGCTGCACAAATTGTGGCGGGTGATCTGATGGGCCCATGGGCAGATTCTTTGCAGATGTGGGGGCGGGCGAGAAAGACACAGTCTTCTCTGGGAGTGGGGTAATGTTGGAGAGAGCACTATCCAAGGTGAGGAGGTTCAAATTAAGCTTCAAGCTGGCAAAAGCCTTGTTGTCTGGAGCAGTGATCGAATTAAACCCGGAGATTGGGCCATCCTGCAGCTGCAGTGGCCGACCTGCGCAACAGCCCCCACCACAGCACATGGACTGAATCTTCTGTGTGCCACCTGCGCCAACATTCTCCAGGACTCTTCTCATATCTTCTGAGTTCTGCGAGATCAGAATGGTCGAGGCCCGTCGTCGTCGGCCCTGGGACTTGCCCTCATCCTCGCTCTGGGTATCGGGTGGCGTAATTGGGGTGGAAGGCGAGCGAGAGCCATTGGACTCCGATTCTGAAGAGGGCAAGCCATTGAAAGAGAAATCGGTGATGGATAGAGATCGTACACCACGTGGCTCTTCTGGGATCGGGTTATCTGGGTGGGAGGTCGAGGAAACGGGGATCTCTTGGAAGGTGCCCTTACGGGGGCGACCCAATGCAATAGTTGCGGTGGGCATGGTGTTGACAGCGTGGACTATGGGAAGTAATTGGTTAAGCCTTGGTACATATGGGATGTCGCGAAGGGAACACAGTTCATACCCATGAAGGTGGTGTATCAAAGTACCGAGGGTCGTCGCTGGGAGAGATCGGAAATGTCGGAGGCGAAAGGCGAGTTTATGGAATAGTTTGCAGCGGAAGACCGGGGAGCAAGTTTGATTTTAATGTAACATTGAGAACAAGGTGGAATGAGAATGGAGGCAGTGGACCCGGCGCTCGGTTCCAGACGGGAAATGGTGAAAAGATTAGGGAAATAAGTCTCAGGTTTAGTGGAAACAGAAATGAAGTTGGGAAAAATACGGGAAGTGCAAACCAGATTTGGAGATGGAAATTATCTGATTTTGCCACATTCCTCGTCAAACCCGGTAATGGTTTTCGTAAACTAAAAGTTACCGCGGAAGCACAGGGGATGATTCCAAAGGGATTTGAAGGTGGCCAATTTCAATGTTTTCTTGCACTAATACTATGGGGTGGAATTATAGTATCCATTCTGACCCTCTTAACGATCGACCATGCATTACCAGTTAGACCAGTCGGGGGCGTTGTAGAGGTCATCCTGTTCTTCTTCAGAAACCGGGAACTCTTGTAATGAATTTACCCAAAAAAAAATACACTACTAGTATAGATAACATCTCCACTGAGGACGAAAAGTGGCTGATTAGCCGACTGCGGCTCCGACCGGATCTAAACTGGACCGTGACAAGTGCCGGTCTCAGTCAAGGGATAGTTATAGTTTGGCATGTTCTACCCGAGGCAATAGTACCTTGGGAAGTATAGATTGATTTAGCCAAAAATTTAGTATTTGTGTGCACATCTTCCCAATATCGGGGGAATTCCAAAGGCTAAAGAAAACAAAAGCACCTTTGGGGGAAAAAAAAAGGAGGGTAAGCACTTTGTATGGTACGCAGGCGGAGTGGGCCGACACCGGATCGTACTTTCCCCAACCGATTAAGTAATACATACAAATTCCCACTTATCAATCAATCAGATAGTGCACGTCGCACCAACACGGGAACCCTTGACCTTATCTGATTCGCTATTCTGGGAGCCAAGAAAAAAGGGGGCGTTTTATACGGAATTACGGAGTATGTACTTATTCCTTTTTCGAACACGCAATGGATCAGGTCCACTTCCCGACTGACCGGGCCCTTCTCGATCTAGCCTCGTCCCTATCCTCTGGGTCTTGGTTCAACAATATTCCCGACTATTGGGAATTTCGGTGGGTAAAACCGTTACCGACAGTGGGTCGTTCTAGAAACTCCATGGACGCGTTCCCTACGGAGTACTGTAAGCTTCCCCGACAGGGGAGAATGGGGAAAGCTCCTTTTCTGGAGACAGGATCGTCACAGGCCTGAGCTAGGCTGAAAGTTGATATCATCTTGCCTCGGAAGCTCGCCATCCTGGGTGTGCTGAGATGGGAGATCCCAAATAGACTGGGGACAGGGATGCTGGCGTTCGAAGACACCCGTCCTACCTTCCCGTCTTAGGTAGTGTTCGGTACATAAATGACCCCATCTGATAACTTAAATCCATGAAAATCCTCATACATAGTAAATAAAACTGTACATACCCTACGACACGGACTTGGTTGGGCACGCAAGTTTTTCTTTCCGTGAATTTTTCGGATAATGGTCTCCGTGCACAGGATGAAACGAGATTCTTCGTCATTCTGCAGGGATCTTGTAGTCAGATTACACTTGTGTGGGGCGATGGTGATGGTGTAGGGAATACGCCCGTGAAGAGTGGTGTCTTCTCCCTACTTTCCATAAGAGGGATGGTTCAAATGTTACAAGTGGAAATTTCGACTCGTTATTTCATTGCAAAATGAGACCAATCGGTGGTTTGTCCGACTTGCAAGCCCTGGCCTTGGCTGCATATTTTATCAACATCACGTCATCGCAGCACATGAACAAAATAGGTACAAGTATGTAGTTGAATCAACCCAAGACCAAAGAAGAAAGAAGAAAGAAGAAAGACATTATACAGACTCCACATCAGGCATTCAAAGACATCACCGTTATTTTCCGGCATCCCCTTGAGTTCTAGATACCATCCCTTTGAATCAATGCCACAGGGGGGATGAAATGATGCCGGCCCCTGACCCAATAATATATCGTTGCCGATCCGATGACGCCAACGTACATCACCACACTCCAATTCATTGTCTCACGTGTCACCGGCGTTGACAACGGAAAGAACGCGAAGATAAAGATGGGCAGGAGGAAAGCCAAGGCCCCAATGTTGATCGCCATACCATATCTGCCCAGTGTCCATCGATGGGCTGGAAGTGGTTCGCCACGGAGCCGCTTCAACAACACACAGCCAATAGATACGATGTATGCTGACATGAGCGACGTGATTGTCAGAGAAATGACTGCGTTGAGGGCTACTTCTGACCCAATATTGATCATCGAAAGGATAACAGTGACCCCGAGGGACACCATCACGGAGTTGAGAGGGATGTTCCAACCTGGTGTAACCTGTACGTACAGTCAGCCCGACTCATTCAAAAGACTCAGCGGGCTTTAACCCCTCTATCTTGAATTCTTGACCTACATAAGCGAAGAAGGATGAGAATGGAATTCCCTCATCCCGAGCAAATGACCAGAGCTGGCGCGAGGCGGTGGCCACTTCGGTGATGGTGCTAGCGGTTAATGTCACGATCAGAACCGCCGTCATGGCGTTTGTCGCAACTAGACTGCCGGTCGTATTGTAGAATATCTGAATGAATGGATATCCGGTTGGTGTATCTAGTACAGTGTTGACCTCGCCTAGTGTGAAACATAAGGTGACCAACATGATGAATCCTAGGACTCCGTTAACGGCTACAGAGCACATCATGGCCTTGGGAAGTGTCTCTGATGCATCTTTGATTTCCTCCGCTACCAAGCGTTAGCGCTATCCGTTATTCAGGCGGACTATCAGACTTACACATGTGAACGGAGCAGTCGTACCCCAGCATCGAGGTAATAGTGGTTGAGAGTCCAACTAGAGTCGCAGTCCCAGAATTGTCCCAACCGCCACCATTGTTGAAGCTGGTGAAGACAGCACGGACATTGTTGCGTGGGGCTAGTACCCATAGTGGAATAATGATAGCAAACAGGCCGATGACATGGATGATCAAAATCAAACCTTCGACAAATGGCAGATTCTTAGCCATGAAGGTGTTGAACATTATTGAAAAAGACGAAATGGCAATCACCAGCATTGTCCCATGCCATCGTTGAAAATCGTAATCGGGGTGGTTCAACACGATCAGTCCTTGGATGATCGTGCCAGCCAGATACGCGATCGAGACAATGGCACATTGCCAGCCCATTGCAGAAAGCCATCCTGAAAGAACGTCAATAATCTGTAGCACTCACAGCTTTGGAGCTCTAAAAAACAAAAGTCCTTACCTGTCATGTAACTCAAGAACTTTTGTCCACGCCGGGGAGCAAATTCTGATACCCAGTGGTACTGCCCGCCAGCGGTCGGTGCCCTAGATTATTGGTCAGTACCAAGCACCAATAACCCCGCCAAATATAGCTCGAATCTGTTAGCTCTACTTACATCGATGCCATTTCAGCTATGCTGGCATACACAAGAGTAAATCCAATGGAAACACCAATGAACCCCCAAATCAATCCCGCAGTGCCACCATCAGTCAGCCCGGAGGATAGCAATCTATAAACATCCAAGTCAGCAACCACTTCAATTCTTCAATCTCAGTAGCCAACAAATAAACTAACGTGAGGATAACCTCCCAAGTGCAAATAAGAGTGCACCCAAATCCCACAATGGAAATAAATCGAAAGTTCCTCTACTCAGTGTTAGCCATGCAAACTTTGAAATCAAAACATGTCTCAACCGAGCAAACGTACGCGCAGAACCTGTACGCGCCCTAACGCACTCATATCCCGCTGATCAGCCACCGTCCCCATATACCGCGGCGCAACGAGGCCCTTGGGCGCCTTCTGGAAATCCTCAACATCATCGTCGATCACGCTGTCTGACATCTGAGAGTCATTCCTGGATCTATGGGAGATAGGCATCGTGGACAAGGCCAACAAAAAGTACTGTGCTTCAGCAACGGCGTTTTCCAACAAGTCCAAACTGCCCCCGCAATAGCAAGTCTCGTAAATTTAACAGCGGACTGACTTGGACAATTCAAATATCCGACTCGGAGTGACTGCATGCGCAGTCCAAGTCGCAATGTCCGGGAGAGATGGATATAAGAAACTCAACGGCCCCTAGTTGCAACTTGTAACAGAAGGGGGAAGGAGGCCCTGGAGACACTTGGAAGTTTAGTTCCAGGTCATAGATGACCTATACTAAACCGAAAGAAGCAGGTGCGTGGAGAAGGGTCCGGGAGTATTCTCTCATTCCATTTAGAGTCCAGGGCGCTGGTCGTCACATCGCAGGATTCAAGCGTGGCCAGAAGGCATGGGAGAAATTTCTACGACGCCATGTGGGATTCCCAAAACTCAGGTTTCGACACATCGGATGTTTGACACTGTCGATTTTGTTTATGTATCGAGTTTGGGCCGCTGAAGTCGTGAAAGCCGATTGCTATCCCTTGAACACAAATCTGGCCGGAGAATGGGCGATGAAGCGACGGCGCCTTGCATGCCAAGGGGGGATGCAGTGACCCTTTCCAGAGTCCAGTAGGCAACTAATTTTGCACAGATGTGTATGCCCAATTGCTTCCATTATTTCAGCTTTTGCCAATTACCGCCATCTGGCTTGCATTATTTCTTTGTTTCTGCTTTTTTTTTAGACTTTGTTTATCTGTCACGAACATTTGTACTGGTGCATTGGAGGCGGATCCTGATCATGGGAGTAGAGAGTAGAGAGATATTTGCTTTTTTTCTTCTTCAAACGGGGTTGATCGCTCAATAGCGCGCCCAACTATCTTGGCATGAGCCCTGATCCCTGCATAGATCACCCCTTGATGCTTAAACTTCGAGCCCGCCACTCACCTCTTATACCTCAATCCGCACTAGCCGAATGTACCCTCGCCTGCTTGTCCCCACATGGTCCTATCGGAGACCTGTCCGACCCACGAGTACATAACTCGCATGTTGATCGACGCCTGGATGGCGGAATGGCAGCTACCGTCTGCACCGAAGAGTTGTGCTCGGTCGCCGGCGTTCGCGACGTGAGGGAGTCGCCGCTAGTCCAGTTCCAAGGTTTCATGTATGATATCCAAAAAAAAAGAATAGTACGGCCCATGCACAGAATATCTAATTATCATTCTCATTCTTATCGTGCCTGCGAAGGGATGGGCTGATAATTTCGCCACAAACTCTACTCCGTACTTCCTGCGCTACTAGGCTGCTGGGGCGAGGGCAAGAAGACGGAGAGGCTAGCTATCCCATACTATTATCAGATAGTTATACTGGGGACCGTGTACAATACAACGAAATCGACTCCCGGCCAACGCTTGAAAATTGACAATAACTTGCCTGGCTAATCACAGCTGTCGGCACCTGCCCTAACGGTTACACTGCTAAATTGATTTCATTGCGGGGAGATCGATCGATTACTATCTAAGATCCCCCTGGTCTCTGTTGCGGCCCGGCGCTGATGCCGTTTGCCTTGCGTAGCTGGATATACGCAGCGATTCGATCGGAACCCGTGCCCAGGTGGCCCTCTATCTTGGAACCCGAAAAACCATCTTCATGCCCATGGATTAACCTGAAGCATCGCCCATTCCGCCCATAGCCATCGCGTCTGCCATGGGCCCCTATGTACCCCCGGGCCAGTCACCACCATTCGAAGTAGTCGACGATTTCCACCATGGCGCCTGGATCATCATAACAGCGGCGCTGGGCCTGGTGGTCTCACTAGTCTGCTGCTTGATCCGATTATACGTCCGCTTAATGCTGATGCCCCCGTTCGCGCGCGACGATGTTGTCCTTTTGGGCGCAACGGTGAGTGAGTTCTTGGACCGCGTTGTACTGCGCTTGCACCCCGCACACAACCTTGAGGCAACCGCGGCAGTTGAAAGAACTTTGCTGAAGATACTGATTGATTACCTTAGGGAATCGGTATTATCCAATCAATCCTGGTCTTCTACGCGTGCTCCCGCGGCTTGGGTACTTCGCTCTCTCTACTAAATGAATCGCGACTTGTTCAGATCCAAACAGTATGTAAGTCGTCCCTCGAACATATATCCATTGCAAGACCTAATTTTGAATACTTGACCAGTTAGTTGCGACAAGTGACGTGTTTGCGCTGGTAGTGATCTATCTCTCGAAATGCTGCGTCGTCACTATTTACCTTCGCCTTACACCTCAGAAACCGCATAATTGGGCTTCGTGGGCGACGCTTGCTTTGTGTACCGCTTGGCTTATACCTGCTGCTTTTATCCTGCTGGTTGACTGTGAGCTCAATCAGCCGTGGAGGGTACAGGGTGGACAATGTCGGAATTTAGTAAGTTTACCTAAATCGACGCAGTGCTCCCCTCCTATGTCGGATTCCTCCCAGAGTTGGGTAGGGTATTTGGACGGTCTTGTTAATCGTGCAACCCGCCTCAGTACAAAAGGTGGCAGTTTATAGCCGCCGTGGATATCATCACGGAGATAATTCTCTTCTCGCTGGCCGTCGCCCTTCTCAAGGGGCTATTCATGTCTGTTAAGCGCAAGCTTGGAATCGGCTTTGCGTTTATATTCCGATTCCCGTAAGTACTGCACCTTCAACTCGACCTCAGCCTTACCTTACTATGCGCCGTCCACCGTCCACCCAGAATCATCAGTCCAGATCCCCCACATGCATCGCGTGAAACACTTGAAACCAGAAAAAAAAAACTAATATCCACCTCCGTGACAGTTTAATCGTATTCGCCCTCCTCCACATGTCAACCCTCCACTCCTCCCTCGCCGACAACGACGTCACCCTCGCAGCCGTCAAACCCGCCCTCTGGCTCCAAGTCCAGCTCCACTACGCCCTCGTCGCCTGCAGCGTCTTCTGCCTCCGACCCTTCATGGCAGCCGTCAGCACCAACTACGGGACAGCGGGCGACTCGAATCTCGAGAGCAGCGCATCTGCCTCGCGCTCAAGGGGCACGAAAGAGAGTTCGAAGTCTGGATCAGGCTCTGGCTCAAATGCAGACTCTAGGTCGCGGTCTTTGTCGCGCGTGAGGAGGAAGAGGGCCGGAACAGGGGCCGGGCTGGGATCGGCATCCGGCATAGGACTGTTGCCGAGATCGGGATCGAAAGAGGCGCTTTGTCGCGATGCGTGCGTTGGTGGTGATGGCGCTGATGCGGGTCGCGGGGAGAGTAGACAGAAGATTCCGAAACAGGCTGTGTGGATGCATGGTGCTGAGGGCGGCGGTGGTGGTGTGGTGCGAGCGCCGGTTCGTCGGTCTCTGTTTGCGCTTGCGGGCTCCGGTAGATCTGTTAAGAGTGATAAGGGTGGGGTTGGGGCTCGGGACCAGGGGGGCTCGGCTTTGGAGTTTGAGTCGGATGCTTTGGAGCTCATGCCTCAGTTGCATAGGCAGTATGGGCGCAGGGATGAGGACGGTGTTGAGGATCCGGATAAGATGGTTATTCGCAAAGAAGTTGAGTACTCCGTTCGGTTTGAACGGGGGAGGGCGCGAAGGAAGTGTCGACTGATGCGACGGCTTATGTTTGATGTAGTCTGGTGCTGTGATTTGATTTATACATGTATACATACTAGGAATCTAAGCAGCTGATTTGAGACTTGTTACTTGGATTTGTTAAACAAGAGTAAAGGAATTGTCTACCGAGAGACTCTTCAAATATTGAGACAAATTTGAACTTTGAACAATTTCTATGAGATGTCCCCATGGTAAAGATGAAAATGAATATTTGAAACACTGAACACCGCGCGTCGCTAATGATCAATGTCAATCCGCTTAAAGGAAAATGTACAAGTATATAAATTAAACGAAGCCCGAGGGTCGCTTGAAAGGGTGGGCTTCGGTGCTCCTAAATAGAACGCGTGAGCTTCAAAAACTTAGCAGACGGGCAGAATGAATACACTTACAAGACATACTCATCCAAGCTGACATGGTCAGGCTCCGAAAAGATAAGGTACAAATACTTGAGCGTCTCGGCGAGCCAGTAACTTTCCATCTTATCAGCCTTTCTCGTAGACAGATCACGGACATCGTCAACAGCCGAGTGACCGAAATTCGTATGCGTCATCTTCTCGATGTTCTGGAACATGCGCCAAGCCGCATCTTGAAGCGACTTGTCGCCAGTGATGCGGTACATGATGAAGACAGACTCAACAGCCTCGGGTCTGGGAATCAGGTTAGTACACTCCTATAGCCACTACGTAACGCCATGTTTCACGGACGCGAATCTTGCATACCTGAGCTTGTACGAAGAATCTTTGGTCCCGACCATTCCCGGCGGGATCACCTCCGCGGCGACGATCTTCTGCGCTTCTCTGCGCTGCTGTTGAAGTTGGACAGGTTGTCCGAGCACAGACTCGTACCACTGGTTCTCGTCCCATGCGCAATCCTCCAGGTCGGTGCAGGGCGTGAACTGGAAGGATTCGGGCATGACGCCCGTTGGCATCGAGTCGTATGCCCAGATGCATGCGTCTGTGAGTCCCTGCGCGATGGATAGATCTTGAGGACGGTTGAAGATTTTGGCGGCGATGCCTACTGTGCCGCCGATGAAGCACTTCAAATGGTCTGAGGTGTGCTGGATGTGGCTTATTCCACCTTCTGTGATTCGCAAGTTGGAGGTGAAGAGAATCTGCTTGTCTTCTTCCTTGGTCACGGCGCGGAAAAGCAGGTTCTTTTTGATGGCGGCCAGAGACCGCTCCCACATCTTCTTGTACTGGTCTGTCTGGCCGCCCAGGAGAATGTGTTCCTTGGGCAGGTATTCGTACGTTGAATCGGCGCCGCCACCAAGAGAGAACTCGGAGCCGTTGAAGTCAAGGCGTAATGCGTCGATGAAGTTGGGCCAGAGACCTGGGGCTTTGGTGTGCATTTGGACTTTGTCTAGCTCGTTGGTGATGCGCTGCACGGCGTCGTAGTACATCGGGTTGCCGGTTAATTGGGTTAGACGGGTGAATTCGACGGTCAGAGAGCCTAGCTCTGCCAAGCTGGTGTGGGTGTTTGCCTCGATCTCCTGGCCAATGGCGGACCGGCCCCATTTCCAGCGCATCTGCGGCATGTGGTTGTTTGTATCGAAGGCATAGAAGATCATTTGACCGAGTTCCTCTGCTTTCTTTAGGAGGATCGGGTGAGTTCCGTTTGTCAGATCGTGGGCTGCGATCAATCCGCCCATGTATCTGATCACGATTTCGAAAACATTGACTTCTTTGCTGAACGTTGTGGAGAAGTCGATCTGCTTGAGCGCCTCCAGGGCAAGCTTCAATTCATCATCGAGTCCCATTATAATTAGAGTATCCAATGAGTCGACCAGGGTAGCGCCCCAGCCGCTGAAGGAGTCTTCATATTTCCCGGTCACGGGCGAGACCTCGTCTCGTAGCCAAGCATGGTTTTTATAGCCATTCCAAGAGTGGAGAAATGATTTCTTGACAGCTTTTTGTCTCTGAAGTCTTGTCCTGCGCTCTGACCAGCCCTCTGGCTCGAATTCGTGTTGAATCCGTGGAAGCGGTGTTGGATTAGTTGGCAAGGGGATATATTCTAGAATGGGGTGTATCTTGTGGGCGTTTTTTAAATGAATATTGTCCGGTCGAATATTTTCATTTATAACTGCGGTTGGTTTTCGGTGGTAACCCCAGGGTGAACAGCTGAAGGGTAGTTGAAGTAATAAGAAATATCCTAGGATTAGGAGGAAAAGTGCGGTGGTCAATGACCGGCCCCTGCGATTGGGGACCATAATGAATGGCGGTTCGCGAAAGCGCTGAACTCGAAAAGCGATTTGAAGCCTATAAATAAATAAGGTCGACAGGCGAAGGAGTGTGGAGAAAAGAATGTAGAGTAGATCAAAATGAAAGGCAAAGAGCATAAAACAAGACGAAAAATGAAGAATTAAAAATGAGTGTTAAAAGGATTGGATGGGGAAAACTTCCACCATGTTGTGGCAGAATGTCAATTGAATGAGTTTTGACAATCCTGGAGATCCAGGGGTGTCTGAGCTTTAAAAAAAATGTCACATTTAGGGGAATCACGTCAGTGGGGGGCACAAAAGGTCAATATCATGATAGGGTCAGGAGCAAGGCTGGCTCCAGTGATCATCAAGATCTACTCGATGGATTTGTGATTGATGATACTTGATACGCGTCAGTGGGGGTAACTCATATGGGACCCTGTTGATCGGATTGACCTGGATGTCACATTTGAACATGCATTCCAGAATACCAAGAGACCAAGACAACTGTAAACAGTCAAGCTTCTTGGATACTTTGTGGCTTGTGTTAACCCTGGATTCGATACATCGCGGGATAAAGTAAGGTTGATAGCTATGGCCTAGACCGATGTTCATGGCACAGCCCGGCTTGGCTTCTCTTGTACTGGTTGGTTTTCCGTCTGCCTAAGACAAAGCTTCATCTGAGTTCCACTTGTCCCCTGAATTGTGTCTCGATTAGGTATAGATGGAGTTGATCCACAGCAGAAAAGTTATTGTGGCGGAGCCAACCGATGCGGGTCTGGAATCTGGTTTGAACTTGAGTAAAGAGTTCAATTCATTCACTTTTGCGATGAGAATGAGCTTTGTACTTACTAATAATTGAGTATTCTCTCTGCGAATGAAGTGCAAATGTGAGCTTATTATAGTATCAAAGCTATGAGTCTCCCTGGTTTTTAGCTTAGACCCTTTTTGGGACCGAAACCTTCGAACACGCGACCGCCACTGCCAGCCGTGTATTCACCCAATAACTTCTTAAATCACTAACCCAGTCATCTATCAGTATTTTGGATCAACGTCACAACTGCCTGTAGGGTTAAAATAGAAATAAACTAGTTCCAAACCTTGGACTTAGGAAAAAATAGTTGACAACAATCTGTTGTTCGCGACATGAACAAACGTGGGAAGGGTATTTGTGTTTGCATTGTTTGCAGCTTCAACGTCTGCAATGAATTCGAGCTTGGTTAACTGGGACTCAAATCTACACATATCAGCTAATTCAGCATTTAAATAAGGTGAGTATACTCTGAATATGATTGTAATAGGATATACTAACTAGAGGTATAGATTAAGAGCATCAATACCGTGTCCCAGACATTGGATCATAATTACTCAAGCTCTAATCTCATCTATCGACAACGCCTAATCGAGCGAAGCAGCCACATTATACATAGACTATATTCACCAGCGGGGAATCAATATCTATACTTCCCCGGCACCAATCTTCAAATCAGAGTCTATAACATCTGCATCGGGCTCCTACTGCCCCAACTCCGACATCTGAACCCCGCGCAATAAGCAGGCCAAAAAAGAAAATCAAATCACCATGCCAATCACAGGGTACAGCTACCCAATCCCACCTACTTTACCAACAATATTCAAAGATCCCAACTAACCTGCCCCCAAAAGTGTCTACTTCATCCCCTCACATCCCAACTCCTCAACCGCCCTGGGAACAATCACCGAGCGCCTCCGCTCCGCCTACCCCGATGAAGAGCTCATCCCCCTCGGCCGCTGGGCCCTAGAACAAAAGCTAATGCGAGACACCCCAAGTCTCATCCCCGCCTCTGCCAATCCCGCCGCAGGAAAACCACGCTACATGCAATTCCTCTCTCTATCCCACTACCACACCCACGGCTTCATCTACACCTCCGAGCCCCAAGAGAAGCCCTATCACCCCCCACACGCCCCGGCCGGCGCGAGCCCCAGTCCCGGACCAGGACCGGCATCAATGGCTCAATCCCCATCTCAGCCGCAATCCCACTCAACAACTAACAGCGCCAGCAATAGCTTCACGGCTTCCTCGGACTCCTCGCCGATGAACATGACCATTCTGCCCATGTCGTCGTTCAGCACAATGTTTCACCATTTCACGTACGCGTGCCAGCCCTTCTGGGCCCACCGATTGACGGTCGCCGTGCCCAACGGCGTGATCTTCGACGTGGGCGATTTCCGTGTGCGGGTCGGTGATGTGCGGCAGACGTTCCCGACTGCGCGTCCGCGTGGAACGGTTATTGAGATTGAGTGGCGGGGGCCGACGGTTTTGGATTCGGTTTTTGCGGCTTCGGGGCTTGAGGGGAAAGGTCGGTTGGGAGTGGAGATGGATGCGGATGTTGATGCTGATTCTGGGATTGATGTCGATTTCGCGATTGAGGAGGAGGATGTTGATGCGGAGTATGTGGCTACTGCGGCTTTGATTCGTGAGTTTTGGGCTAGGCTGGGGGTCGAGGGGGCTAGGGAGGCGATTCTTGTTCCTGGGGTGGGGAAGGAGGTTAAGGAGCGGTTGGAGGGGTGGAAGGCGGCGAGGCTGAAGGGTTTGGATACCGCTGTTGCTGGTGGTGGTGGTGAGCGTGGGGTGGATGTTGATGGGGCGGATGTTGCGCGGCAGTATATGGAGGTTTTGCGGTTTAATCGGTAGATTGAAGATGATAGATTGAATTTGGTAGATTTTGTACGCATTGGGATGTCCATGTTTCAAATGTTGGTCTTCCTATTCCTGGAAGAAGGGAAACATTGCCGTTTTATAATGGCCTTAAGTGCTTCTTTGTGTAGCTGGTGGAAACAGGGTTCAAACTCAAGTTCATTGACTACATTATGATATCTCTTGGAACGCACGAAACATTCGATCAGATCTTGAAAGTGTTATTTGCATTCAAATAGCACGCTTGGTCATGAATCATCCAAGCTGAAGCCTGACATTGGGAAAGCATAGACTACAGAAGACCGGTATAGGGCTAACGGAGAAGAGAAACAGAGACATCCTCGTTGACAACAGTGAATCACGACTTCAGCTAATAGTGAACAAAAATTTGGCGACATGAGTTGTTTATTTTTGCATCATGAGCTGGACGAACTCGTTGTCTGTGAAATGTTAGCATGTGGACTCCATGACAAGGGACCGAAGCTCCGCTTCAAGTAGAAAATAGACTGGGGAAACGAACAGTCAATCCGGCCATCACCATCCTGATCCGCCTCACGGATCATCTCATCAACCTCATCATCGGTCAGCTTCTCGCCGATGGAAGTCATAACATGGCGCAGCTCAGCGGCAGAGATGAAGCCGTTGTTGTCACGATCGAACACCTTGAAAGCCTCACGGATCTCCTCCTCGGAGTCGGTGTCCTTCATCTTACGGGCCATCATGGTAAGGAATTCTGTCACATGTCAACATATGTCCGGGGTAGAGGGAGTTTATGAGACTCGGTGGGAGAGGGGAGATATCGTACCAGGGAAGTCAATGGTACCGTTGTTATCGGCATCGACCTCGTTGATCATATCCTGCAACTCAGACTCGGAGGGGTTCTGGCCGAGGGAGCGCATGACAGTGCCCAGCTCCTTGGTGGTAATTTGTCCTATTCGATTCATTCGTCTCAGTAATGTGTTCGCGTAGGGGTGAGGTGTTATCCGGCGTGGAGGCATCGGAACCAGTCGCACTCACCATCGCCATCCTTGTCCTGTTATGAGGAAAGTATCCATTAGTGATCGAGTCTAGGCAGCAGTGTTCAATCGCAGGTTGGGGCACTCACGAACAAGGAGAAGGCCTCCTTGTACTCAGAAACTTGCTCTTCGGTCAGAGAATCGGCCTATACGCATTGCGACATTATGGTCAGTCACGGTATCTTTAAGATGATTTGTTATCTCACTGCCCCGCAAAGCAAAGCGGGGGAGTTTTGCTCCAAGCCATTCGACTGAATTACATGGGGCAAAGCAAATGAGATGGCGGATATTATAATAGGCTAGGGCATACCATGGTGAAAGTCTGGTGGGATAATGAGGAATGGAGAAAGGTCGGAGGGGTTGAAGGTGGGGAGAGAAGAAGTTAAGGGGAAACGGGCCAGCCTTACGAGGGTACATGTTACCGTACACAAAAATAGTGTGCCTGGTAAGTACACCAGTCACAGCCCGTGCTGGACAGGCGGTCTGCTCCAAAGGCAGAAAAACAATAACAGAAAGATGTTTACTGTACTTGGAGATTATTATTTCAAATTCTACTTTGAAACTTACAGGGCTGAGAAGTAAAGCTCTCTCCTCAGCTGAAAAAAGCTGAAAAAATCCTCCCTGGTGGGCCTTTGACATCTGCAGATGACTTTAATCGGGGTCCTATCACCCGGGTTAACAGCACATAGCACATCCACCAGACTAACATTGCCCAGACTTGAGAGATTAGCGAAGCCTTGGCATTCTGGGCTGACGACAACAGACTTGCGAAATAAAGCTTGTGAGTCTCCCGATTGCTGCTACCGATCGCTTTTCTCAGGCTTCTGGTGGTGCAATCAACCCCGCACTTACTACTAAGGCCGGGCAAGGTTACTCCGAACAAGGATCTGCAATTATCAAACTACATGTACGGAATACATGCAGTTGGTTGATCTCGATAACCCGAGTATGCAACGAAAAAGCCCCAACATTTTTGAGATAAGACGTAAGGCTAAGTGAGAAATAGTCCCGAGATCAGCTGGACATAGTAAATCAAACAGTAAACAAACTTAACCCCGGTTGTAGTACGAAATCAACTCTGTTCTCTGTATCTTGACTAATGTGAGCTGTTTCCTGTTTGAGTCTAATTCTACCCGTTCGAAACTAACCATTCATCTCAACTTTTTTTCCATTTTGTCAACATTCTCAAAAAATATCACATGGCATGGTTGAAACAATGCAAGACGCCTAAGTTGCTGTTTTGGACAGTTCCAATCGCCAAACTTGCTATATCATATTCTATGCAAATGACTAGGGGTAAGGGCACTATACACATGCATAAGCCTCTACCCTAAATTAGAACTTGGAAACCTTGGACTTGTTGCTATCAGCTTAACATGGTAAAAGTGTCCAATAAACACGAGTAGGGAGTACGTACTATGGGGTTTTTACTGATACAAAGATACTATCAAGTATGGCCTTTGTGATCAATCAATCTAGATGAAAGAACTCAGGAGTCAGCATTCTACAACACACTAGTATCACTGCACATGTGTACTACTACTAATCAGACCTCGGGTCTAAGTTTGAAGGTTCGAACCCACCACGACCGTTGGAAGTACCAAGTACTGTACTATATAAATTCACGTGAGCGTATCTAACACATTCAAAAGAACATTGAGGTTGACTTCCGATCAGCATTGCTCCGAATACTATTTCAAATTATGAGTAGAATTTGGGCTGACCCGTAGCCACTGTAAAAATAAAATGCAAGAGAATCTTGCAGAGCTTGGAAAAGAGCTCCCAATCATGTAAATGGTAGGGAGGCTTTCCTAATGAGTGGGGCTCTAGGATACCGAATGACCGGCTTCTCCTTCGTAGTGGAGAGAGCTTCCCGGAGACCATCAACTCCGCTGCAACATACTCCCAGCACCGCCATCTCCACGAACATATCCCAATTCCTGACGACTGATCATGAAATCTGAAACTATACCATTCTCCCCATAATAACCACCCGCCAAATCCTCCACCATCCCCAACCACAATGTGGCGGGATCGAACCAACCTGTACGCCTACCCCCTCCCACCCGCTACGTCAACCTGGACAGAAACACAAAGACTAACAAAACCCCTGCCCTCCACAGCTACATATCCTACCGCCAGTCCTTCGCACACCACCCAGCCAAAAAACCGCGCTTTACAGGCCCCTCCAATGGCTTCGACTCTCCCTCCCACCCGGAGGAAAGCCGCCGACTAATCTCCGAGTCGGGCGGCTTCGAGGAAGATGGCGACATGGTCATCGAGATGGACCTCCTACCACCGCGATGGGTCGATATTCAAGACGAAGTCTCAGAACACCTGGGCGACATCGCGCAAAAGTCCGCGGAGCTGGATAAGCTGCACCAGAAACACCTGCTGCCTGGGTTCGGGGACGAGGATGTCCGGAGACAGGACGAGGGCCTGATTGAGCGCTTGACGCAGGAGATTACGCGCAGCTTCCACGACTGTCAGAAGGCTATTAAGAGGATCGAGAGGATGGTGCACGAGTCGAAGGAACAGGGCGGCGTGACGAGTGGTGAGGAGACCATGGCGCAGAATATCCAGATTTCTCTGGCGTCGAGGGTCCAGGAGGCGAGTGCGAGGTTTCGCAAGAAGCAGAGCACATACCTGAGGAGTAAGAGATCCCTTATTCTTTTTTGTTTTCTGCGTGTGGCTGGCTGGGTCTCATCCTTTTTGAGAGGAGATCCGGCCTTTCTTTCTTGCGTGCGTACATGGGACTAATCGGCTTGAATCGTTGCGCAGAATTACGAGATATAGAGGGCTTTGCGACGCCGTTCGATCGGGCGCCGACTCCTGTTCAGAATCCGTACACGGATCCCTCTTTGATGGAGTCTGATGCCGACAAGTCCTTTTCACAGACTATGCTGATGCAGACGCAACAACGCGCGACGGGGCAGAATGATGCGGTTATTGCGCAGCGTGAGCGCGAGATCAACGATATTGCGAAGGGAATTATTGAGCTTTCGGATATCTTCCGTGAACTGCAGACTATGGTTATTGATCAAGGTACTATGCTCGATCGCATTGATTATAATGTTGAGAGGATGGGGACCGAAGTCAGGGGCGCGGAGAAGGAGCTCAAAGTGGTATGTTCAAGTTGTTTCTTTTTTCTCTCGCAATAAATCGGCATTGAAAATGGCTAATTGGGATTCGCTAGGCTACAAATTATCAACGTCGAACTACCAAACGCAAAGTCATGCTTCTGTTAGTCTTGGTGGTGGTGGGACTGATTATCGTTCTTGTTGTGAAACCAAAGAATCACAGTTCAACAACACAAGCACCAGAGCCCCCTGCTGATGAATCATCTAATAATATCCGGTCTGTGTTGGTATCAGCAAAGCGAGAAACGCGACATCCGTCATCGAGGCGAGATCGTTGGACAGATCCGGATATACTTCGATAATGGTCCTAATATCCTGTGCAAATAGTTTTAAATTAGCAATTAGCGGGAAAGGTCACTTGTGTTATTTCTAAGCGAGTCTTCATTCAATATCGGCGAAATCTATATCCGACGATGAGACAGACAGAATCAATATTGCTACATAATAGAAGATAGATGAAGTATGGAGAGAAATCCTAGGAGCTTTGACAAAATGCGCACTGCATATGGATGTATGAGAAAAAAACAAGATAGACCCAGAGTAATCAACTGGATAAAATATACACAAGAAGAGTACTCCGAAATAAAGACACAGTGAAATCTTGCCAATCATTACTTGCCTTGCTGCGCAATCAGAGCAGCAACATCATCATCCAAGTCTCCAGTTGCAAACTGGCTGTAGTCATCCTCTCCGTGTGTCACCTTGCGTCGTTTGATCCCAGCGCCATTTGTGCTGAGGTCAAAATCATTACCCACCGGAGAGAGTTCAGCCGAATCTAGTGGAAGTCCACTGTCTGGTCCCAGGTCAGGAATAACTAATCCATCGAGGGGCGTCATGTCTGCTTCTTCGGTGAAAGGCCCACTGCTAGTCTGCTGTTGTTCAGGCTTAGGTGATCCAACGGGAGTTAAAGCTTCGACAGAGGGAGGGGTCAGAGCCTCGGCCTCGGGCCGGGGCACCTCTCCTTCACCAAAGTAATGGGGCCCCGAAGTTTCATCAGACATGTTTTGCATTATGGCGTCCTCAACTTCACGCTTCTTCGAATCAGTCTGAGCCTTCCTCTCTGAAATCTGCGCCACCAAGGTCTCCTCTTTCGCAAGCTCGGATCGATTGGTTGCGAGCAGTTTCTCAAGTCCGTCAATGAGCGCGTGACGGGACTTGATGACCTCCGAAACAGAGCTCTCGGCGTTAGCGAGGGATTTGAGGAGTTGGCTGAGACGCGCAGCATGCACCGGAGGAGTAGGCTGTGGCTCCCTAGTATCATGCATCTTATTGTACTCGGACTCGGCATTGGCGGCAGTACTGGTCGAGGTGAAGGCAGCTTTGTTAAGGGCAACTTGCAGTGGAACCAATGGTTGGATTTCGGACGGCGCAGATCCAGAAGAGGGCTCCTTGTTGAAGAGCGAGCCACCAAGAGGCTGTTTCTTGGTGGTCGAACGGGTCTTGTCGATTTCTAGGAAGAAATCACAGTTAGAAGGGCTGGCGCAAGGCAACAAAAGCGTTTGGCGGGGCTAACTTACCACTGAGACGGGCTTCCACCGCATCTAGAATGGGGGCTGCGAAAACATTTCGTGATCTCCACACCTCCACCACACGGCGCAGCTTGATCTGAATATCATTTGATGAACCTTTGTAAGCCGTTGCTGTGGCCTCCGCGACGATCTATGTCTTTATTAATTCTGCAATTGTGGAGGGGAGTATATTGGACGACTGACTGGCGCAAAGGCTGTGAGGAATTCTTCTCGATTCCGTGCCTTGGATTGCTGGGAGACCTCTGTACATATATTAGTCGGCGAAGATGAAGCTTGGTGGGACGTTTTGTACCATTGGCCAGGTAAACCAAGTTCAGGCGCTTGAGAGGCTGAGAGTCGCGGATCTTCTGTAACCAAATTTGCGCAGTCTTGTCGGCGTGTCGCCTGGATAAATGAAGCCAGGTCAGCAATCGTTTGTAAATATCCAACAGAAGATATTGCGGCGTTAGTCTCATACCTATGAAACATGACCCACTGGGCAACAGTGACAATGCTCTCTTGAGTCTCATTGAGAGCAGAGAGCTTTGCCTTGACGGCATCATCCGTGTATGCCATTGTTACAGATAATTTCACAGGATGTGCGAGGTAAAAAAGAGACGATAGAAGAAAGCGTGTACGTTGGGAGGTTGAGTTGCGACAATGACAGCCCGGACCAATTGGCGATACGCGGTCAGAACTGAGAGCAATTGAGAGTCGTGGAACAGAGTGAAGGGGAAATCAATAGAAACAACTTTGTTTCACAGGTAAGCTCCAGGCATTCACTAGCAAAGAGAACTCTAGGCTTTATTTGCACACTCTTGAAAACAACAAGGAAGAGTGAGTGAAGCAACTCTTTAAACCCAGCGCCGACCTTAGCTCACTGACCGCCCTGGTAGAGTACGGGGCCCCGAGCGTCTCGCCGACAACCTGTCAACTACTAACTTACTTCCCAGCTCTCATCTTCTCTTCTCTTGCTTTTGTCTTTTCCTTTGGGCCATTCCCTTCTTAAAATACAATCTCTCATATCTCATATTTCACCGCCCACATCATGGCAGAGCAAACAGACGAACTCTCCCACAGCTTCCCCATCCTCTCCGATGGTATGTCTTATCCACCCGCACCCGGTGCCTGAACCCATACGTGTAATCAGCACTAACACCATGATTTCTAGCCCCGATCGGAGCTGGTGAGACCGACAATAGCGATGGTCTTACTTGGGAGCAGCGTGAAGCCCAAACTGGACTTGCAGACGAATTTTCGGGACAGGTCCCAGCCAACGAGGATGCGGGCGACGACGACCTTCTAGGTGGTGGTAGCGACACTGTGCAGGGCATCGAACAATTCAAGGACTCATACCCCGACATGGCCTCATATGACCAGAATCAGGTACGACCAAGGAATCCGATGTGCATAACCCCTCAAGGTCCAAGTTGCGCTGACATCATTGTGTTTATCTAGAGAGTCGCCCCTGGCGGTACAATCACCGGCACCGGATCCCCCTTCCCTCCTACCGGCTACCAAAGCCCTCCCCAACCCGAAGATGAAGGCGATGCTGTTCGGTGAGTTGAATTGACCCCACAGTACAAGCGGGCGCATGGCGTCCGCCCCCCGCATAACTTGGCTAACCGTTGTATGTTTATGCGTACAGTGAATGGCGTGAGAAGCGCGACTCTGAGATTGCCCGCCGCGCAGAGGTCTCAGCCGAAAAGAAGGAAACCACCGTCAAGAAGGCTCGCGAGAACATTGATGACTTCTACGTCTCCTACAACAACAAGGCCGAAAAGCACCGTGCTCAGACCAAGGCCGAGGCCGAACAGTTCAAGGAGAACCGTGAAGACACCTCCGCTGGTGGCACTAGCTGGGAGCGCATTGCTAAGCTGGTTGATGTGTCCGGAAAGGGCAACACTGGTGGTGCCAGTGGCTCTGGCAAGGAGCGTTTCCGTGAGCTGTTGATCGACTTGCGCAAAGACCAGGAGGCTCCGGGCGCCAGCGGGATCTAGGCTGCTCTGATTTTTGTTTCTTTTTCTTGCCCAGTTCACTGAGAGGAAGGAGTGAGGGGCCACGAGTACAGGTGTTGCTTCAAGACTAAGGAGCGAGTGATATTTAGTACCATCGACACTCCGGCGCGTGCGAGGTATTTGGTTCTCTGTATTGTTTCCTAACCTACAAACGTTATGCGTCAGTCGCCGGTCTAGAGAGGTTTATTTTCTATTTTCTATTTTTTTTTTTTACCCTTGCCATGTTTCCTTTTCTCTTCCTCTGCATGCAGCGACGTCTTCAGGGGAATTTGTGTGATTTAAAGTATTTCAAACCGACGGCATCGTTAATACCAAGGTTACTGTTTTTGTGTTACCTATGACTATATTAAACAAAGATGAATCCATAAGATAACTTATTTGATCAATGCCAGACCAGACCATTCATTCAAGACATTTCCAATTCATTTTTGTCTCGTTGGTCCTAGTCCAATTCAGTAATGTCACCAGCAGGTTCTCCGACTTCTTCATGTTGGCGTTCAGCCTCAAACTCAGCAAGCTTTTGTTTTCCCTCCTCAGTAGTACTATCGATGATACCTTGCTCCATGCTGAGCATACCGCTTTCACCCAGCTGCTCAACAACAACTTCCGCATCTTCCACGGACAACTTGCCAAGGACCTTGTTCACTTCATCCAGGGACTCGGATTCCAGGGCCTTTTGAAGCTCTGGGGAGAAAGCATCAAAGATCTTGCGGGCCTCAATCTCAATAGGCTCCTGGCTGTTTGGTTGAGGGAGGTTGATAGTGATCTTTGTGTTGGGGTCAACGGCGTGCAACTGGATTTGTTCGACACCCGCGGGGTCGTTAGAGGCAGAGCCATCTTTGCTCAGCTCAGCGGCACGGCTCTTGATACGGTGATAAGTTTCATTGACGTCGTTGCGGAACAGACCTGATGCCCGGTGGTCCTTGGTTGTGATGCTAATTTTTGTTAGTGAGGACCTTGACAATTGCTCAAATTGGGGAAACGTACCGGGTGAAAAAGAGCTTGATACCATCGGGGCCCAAGGAGCGACAGTATTGCAAGAGTAAAGCCTGGTGAACACACTGCCGGGCATACTCTTCCTGGCCCTTCATTTGAGTGTTGAAAGCCTCGACAAGCAGGCCATCAGTCTCCTTCTCGGCGACAATCTGGGGGTTGGCGCTGATAAATTGAAGGTAGGCAGCGTAGTCGTTGGGACGAAGATGGGCAAACTTGCGGCCTAATTCGCTAATCTCGACATCGGCAGGATCATCATCGTCGTCTTCATTCTCGGCCGCGGCCTGGCTGCTGCTCGCACCGGGGTTCAGCAGTTGGACCTCAGTAGACTTGGATGAAGCAGCTTGCGACTTCTCAGTAGCCTTGGCAACGTGAGATGTATTGAAGCCGTCGTGCAATTGGTCGCTGGTAATCTTGCTGCCCTCTTCCTTCTCCAGTCCCGCGAGCCTTGTCAACAATTCCTTCTGCAGATTCTGCACCTTGGTCTGGTGACCCTCGACGCCCTTGATGTATGCATCGATCATATTGTCGGGTTTCGAGTCCTCAAACTCTTTCTTCACCATATCGAGCAGCGAGCTCATCATCTGAGAGTATTTGGGCTGCTCCTTTTCATGTGTATAAACGCCCTCTGGTGGTGGCGGGGCTTGGTCGTCTGCGGGGTTGCTGGCAAATTCCATGATAGTCTGGAAGATAGGCTGTTCGGGGGAGGTAGAGGTGCCTTCGTGCTGCTTTAGCGCTGAGAGGAGCTTGTCGATGCGCACAAGGAGACCATCGTTGATGATGCGCTCATACTTCAGGGTCTTGATGTCGTGGCGGCGCTGTTCTCGTTGCTGATGGATTTGATTCTGCTTGGCTCGGATAAAAGAGCGTTTGTCAACATTAGGGTGAACCTCAATGTCGGAGTCATCGGATAGCTCTAGAGCATCCCACTTGCTGTAGTCAAGAACCATCTTGGCGACTTGTGAATTTGGATTGGGTGAGGCGGGGTATGTATGTGAGAAGATGGATGATGGGATGGCGTTCCAAGTGAGCGGGAGTACTGGGTAAGTAAACCAATCACGAACAATCTTCCAATTACTGCTAGAAGAGATATGCGACTAGTCCTGCAAGTACTCAAGAAATACTCAGACAAAACCCAAAACATCCAAAAGCATCCAGAGCTCTCTATTAGCTTCGACAGGCGGTGAGGGATTCTGCCACTGGCTTTGCCGACAATCGGGGGCTTGCGATCTTACATCTCCACATGCTTTCGGGGAATGCTCTCAATGGTCATGGAACGTGCTGAATTACTGGTTCTTCCATGAAAAGTACAAATAATGGCCTCACCTGTCTCCTACCAGTGAATACCTTCCCCTGATATCCTACTAAGATCTTGACTTCACTGCTACTCCGAAAAAATGCGCGGTGTCCGGCTGCCGGCCTGGGCCCCGGGCTTGAGCCCTCGGTCGGTTTTGAGACCGCAGAGTGCTGTGCTCCGAGACCTGTTTCCCCAGTCAATTCGATCATCCATACAATCTGTCGGCATCTCTCATACCCACCGACCCTATTCGACCCCTTCCGAAGCTTCTCGCGACAGGTCCGGTGCTCTTCTCCGGTCGCCCGAGGCTCCCCTGCTGGTTAACCAAAATGGCCTCCAATATACCCCGTCAATGACCCGCATGATTTCACAAACTCGTCCATTCTGTTCTACCTCTCAGCTCCTCCAAGCAAAGCCGCCTGCGCCCTCCGAATCCACTGCTTCCCCAGCCCGCTCTGTTCCGGAAAAGGAAGAAGAGTACACGGAGAAAGGATTCGAGCTTTCGGAGCGAGCTGCACAAGCTGCACAGGTCAATTTGAGCGCGAGACTGGCCAAAGAAGGGGGAAAGAAGTCGAGCTTTTCCGAGATTTGGCGGCTGTTAAAGGTTGCACAGCCCGAATCTAGAAAGCTCGGGCTTGCATTCTTCTTTTTGCTGATCTCGTCGGGTATTACAATGTCGATTCCCTTGTCGATTGGAAAGATCATGGACACGGCTACCAAGAGTGTGACAGAGGGCGGCGGTGAACTATTTGGTTTGAGCCTTCCGATGTTTTACAGCGCCCTCGCCGGTGTTCTGGTTATTGGTGCCGCCGCCAACTATGGTCGTATCATCATCCTTCGCATCGTTGGTGAACGTATTGTCTCTAGACTTCGTTCTAAGCTCTTCCGTCAAACCTTCATTCAGGACGCCGAGTTCTTTGACGCGAACCGCGTCGGTGACCTTATTTCTCGATTGGGCTCTGATACCATCATCGTGGGTAAGAGTATTACGCAGAACTTGTCCGATGGATTACGTGCCGCTGTTAGTGGTGTAGCCGGCTTCAGTCTTATGGCTTACACCAGTGTGAAGCTGTCCAGTATTCTGTTCTTGCTGCTTCCACCCATCGGTCTAGGTGCACTCTTCTATGGTCGAGCCATCCGGAACCTCAGTCGTCAGATGCAGAAGAACCTGGGTACATTAACCAAAATCGCCGAAGAGCGCTTGGGCAACGTCAAGACGAGCCAGTCTTTTGCAGGCGAGATTATTGAGGTGAACCGATACAACAAACAAGTTCGCAAGATATTCGATACCGGCAAGCGCGAATCTCTGATCAGTGCGGCTTTCTTCAGCTCGGTAGGTCCTTACAGCCATGCTCGCCTATGAAAGCTTGCTAATCATTTTTAGACTGGACTTATGGGCAACATGACGGTTCTGTGTCTTCTCTACGTTGGAGGCGGCATGGTTCAATCAGGAGCCATCAGCATCGGAGAGTTGACTTCTTTCTTGATGTATACAGCATACGCTGGCTCCAGCATGATTGGTCTTTCCAGTTTCTATTCTGAGCTCATGAAAGGTGTTGGCGCTGCCAGTCGTCTTTTCGAACTGCAGGATCGACACCCAACCATCCACCCGACCAAGGGCAGGAGAGTAGAGTCTGCACGTGGACCTATTCGGTTCGAGAATGTCACCTTCAGCTATCCTACTCGCCCTGCGGTAACCATCTTCAAGAATCTGGACTTTGAGATCCCACAGGGAACTAATGTCGCTATCGTCGGACCTTCCGGAGGTGGCAAGTCAACTATCGCCTCTATCCTCCTCCGCTTCTACAGCCCTACTGCTGGTAGAGTTTTGATCAACGGAACGGACATTAGTGGCATGAACGCCAAATCCCTCCGAAGAAAGGTTGGCGTTGTTTCCCAAGAACCTGTGCTATTCTCCGGTAGCATTGCAGACAACATTTCCTATGGCTTGCCAGATGCAAGTCGATCAGAGATCATTGCAGCGGCCCGCAAAGCCAACTGCCAGTTTATCAGTGATTTCGTGAGTGATACTATTGATAAAATCTGATTCTTGCAAAGACTAACAATTATTTAGCCCGATGGTCTCGATACCCATGTTGGAGCTCGTGGTGCACAATTGTCCGGTGGACAGAAGCAGCGCATTGCTATTGCCCGTGCGCTGATTAAGAACCCTGATATTCTGATTCTTGACGAGGCTACATCAGCGCTTGATGCCGAATCGGAAACCCTGGTCAACGGTGCATTGGCTGCTTTGTTACAGGGTAACAACACCACAATCAGCATTGCCCATCGTCTGTCCACAATCAAACGCTCTGACACCATCATTGTCCTTGGACCTGATGGCACTGTCGCTGAACAAGGCTCATACACCGAGCTTAGTGCTCGCCCAGATGGAGCTTTCAGCAAGCTTATGGAGTGGCAAATGAGCGGCGGAGAAGCTACTCAGCCCCCCAAACGGGCGGTGGAACCCGAAGAGCTTTGGGAACTCCAGAAGGAATCGGAGGCGGATCCAGAGGTTCCGGATGAGGAGACTGTTGAACAGCCATCTAATAAGAAGGAGTAAAAAACGAGTGTCTCTGCTTCATTCCTACTATCCTGTCATATTCATCTAGCGAAGTTTGATGAGGGATTGTAACTCTTGCATACTCTTACACTCAACTGTTTGAGATTCCACTCTCTTCTCATACCACATTACTTTTTTTTTCTTTGGGTGTTTTTTTTCTTGTTTCTCTTCTTGGCGATAGATATTATACGGACCTGCACTTATGTATAAACAACCAACTCATTGGACTACCAAACACATCATTTTCTTTCTCGAGAATAGGCCGTACATAGTACTTCATAGCATGTATGCATGCAGCACATGGCATGACCACATGTGCACCTGCATTAGTAAGAGTAAGGTCATTTGCGCTGCCCGCATTCTTAAGTACAATCTTACTCCACTTTTGGTCACGTGAATCCGAGGTTCCGGCTTATTCATCCGAGCTGCAGCAGCATCCCCTCACGAGGTCTCTTGCCAGACGCTCTTTCTTCTTCTAATACCTTTTCGTTCCAATAATTGTTTCATTGAATATAGATACTCAGAAATTGGTACTATGGATCAAGCCCGGGGACTCCTTTCAGACTCCGTGGCATACGAGCGTCTGGAAGACACAGCGGAAGATGATACTAATGCAGATCACCCTGAGTCACGGCCCCAATCTCGCTTTTCGCGGCTTGAATATGTCGTTTTCTTTCTATTGGGAGTGACCATGCTATGGGCGTGGTGAGTAAAGTCTAGAATTTCGTGTCCGCTGTCCATCGGGGCTCTCCGATAAGCCACATGGATCTAACCTCCGTGGTGCGATAGGAACATGATGTTAGCTGCTGCGCCTTATTTCCATCAACGTTTCGAGTCAAACAAGTGGACATCAACAAATTACCAATCCTCAATCATGTCCGTCTCAACAGTTACCAATCTCGCCACCGCATATACCCTTGCCAAGGTGCAGAAGAACGTCTCGTACCCATGGCGTATCACGGTCTCGCTGCTAATGAATTGCATGCTTTTCACTGTACTCGCCGTTTCGACAATCTTTTTCAAAGACGTTCCCGCGAAAGGCTATTTTGCCTTCTTGATGGTCATGGTATGGGGCATCAGCCTGGCCACGGGTGTCAATCAGAATGGCGTTTTCGCATACGTTTCGAGCTTCGGTAGGGAGGAGTATACACAGGCGATTATGAGTGGTCAGGGCGTGGCTGGTGTGTTACCGTGCATCGTCCAGATCATCTCTGTCTTGATAGTACCCAAGAAAGCCCCCGGCGCACAGGCAATGTCGCCGAAATCTGCCTTCATTTACTTTATCACTGCCACGGTTGTGTCGGTGGTGACATTATTGGCTTTTCTCTATCTTCTGCGGAATCGGCCTGATCTGAAACCGAAGTCTACTGAAGAAGAGAATGAGACCCTCGTCGACCATGGCCATGTGCATGATAAGACTGTAGGTTTGTGGACACTGTTCAAGAAGCTTCGATACCTGGCCATTGCAGTTTTTCTATGCTTCGTCATCACCATGATGGCATTCCCAGTTTACACCTCTTCAATCCTCTCCGTCAATGATCCCGAGAAATCGCGAATGTTCGACCCGTCTGTCTTCATTCCGTTGGCCTTCCTATTCTGGAATGTAGGAGATCTTTGTGGAAGAATGCTCGTAGCTGTGCCAGGATTATCTCTCAGCCACCGCCCATGGACCGCTTTTATCTTTTCAGTTGCACGTGTTGGCTTTATTCCGCTTTATCTGTTCTGCAACGTGAAAGGCCAGGGAGCTCTTGTCTCGAGCGACTTTTTCTACCTTGTCATTGTGCAGTTCCTTTTCGGAGTCACGAATGGATACCTGGTTTCAAGTTGCATGATGGGCACAGGATATTGGGTTGCTCCCCATGAGCGTGAAGCCGCGGGTGGTTTCATGAACATGATGCTGGTCGGTGGTTTGACAGCTGGTAGCTTGCTGAGCTTCCTGGTGGGCGGTTAATTCCCCCCTATCTATTTTTGCATATATTCTAATATTTCCGCGCTGTTTATTCTTATTAATGACTTACGACACGTGTTTCTGTCTTGTAAATAAGGCCTTTTGGTTGCTTCTGGGAATCAAGGTCACTTACTAGTATCTATAGAAGTTACATACAAAGTATCAAAGGTCAAGCTTGCATACTAACATTGGATCTGAAGATCGTGTGTTTCAAATTTTATTCTTTCAACTGAGCACTTGCAGTGGATGGAGTGAGCTCAAAACCTCTGGGCAAAGAAGGGTACCTACCTAGTACGAACACACCGAGCCTTCCAAGGTTGCCTCAACCAGCGTAAGATGCCGTCTTGAAGCAGACAAAGGTTTATACAGGACTGACTGTAGCTATGAATGTGGACATGTGTAGTATCCGTCGATGGATGAGACATTTTCGCAGCAAGTACAATCAACCTTTCCGTCAAAGAAATTAAGATGTCTTAAGTTTTAAGCATACCTCAAATGAAAGGCCACGAGACGTCAATCAAAGGCCAATTTCAAAGCGCTGCCGGATCTTGCCAGCTAATCAAGGCTTTGCATCACGAGTGCGTTTGGCTATAATGATATGATCATTCGTTCTCGGTCCTAAAATCCGAATACTTTCTCATCAATCTCTCATCTCTCAACAACCATCATCTTCACCTGTCAACTGAATCTTCCTTCAATCAATACTTCTGTGCTAAGTTATTGGAGTCTCTACAACGATACCTCGGTATACTCAGTGGATACTAACGGCTTAATGGTCGATCAAAACTTTGGTCCTCTGATTGTGGGTTATGGCTCAGCCATGATTTCTGTTTGGGGACTTGCTTGGGCCCTGATCATACTAGTGAGTGCAAAGATTCAGATCTCTTTCCAAGTCACATGGACATAACTTCTCATGTGGATCAATTTCATAGGCACTGGGCTCTATTTCGGGATGGACTGTGTATGCTTTGTATCTTCACCCACTGAGTCGGTACCCAGGTCCTACACTTGCAGCCCTGTCGCCAATCTTTCACCTTCTCTGGGACATTCAGGGAAAGCAGCACTCAGTGATCAAAGACCTACACGACAAGTACGGGGACGCTGTCCGTATCTCACCCAATGCACTGGTCTATCGAGATTCAGCTGCTTGGAAAGACATATATGGTCATCGAAAGAAGGGTCAAAAGACTTTCGTCAAAGACCCTTCTCTCTATGCACCAACTCCAAACGGCGTCAACGCCATCATCACCGCGAATGAGCACGATCACCAGCGCATGCGCCGTCTCCTAACTCACGCATTCTCCAACAAAGCCCTGAGCGAGCAAGAGGATATCCTCCATACATACGCCGACATGCTGATCCAAAAGCTGGCCGGAGTATCAAGCGAATCATCATCCTCCGCCATCATCGATCTCACCCGCTGGTTCGACTTCACCACTTTCGACGTGATCGGTGACCTGGCTTTCGGCGAGCCGTTCGACTGTCTTGCCAATAGCAAGTACCACTGGTGGGTGCTTATTATATTGGACGCCGTCAAGGCAAGTGCATATCTGAAAGTCTTCTGGTTCTACCCACTCCTCCTTCCCTTATTCACGCTGCTCGTTCCAAAGCATCTTCTCGAGAAACGCACCGCCAGCTTCAATCTCAGCGTCGAAAAGATGCGTCGCTGGCTCACAAGCAATACTACCCGCCCGGACTTCACCTCCTACATCCTCAAACACAGCAAAGGGGGCAAGGGACTCTCTCCGTCCGAGATAGATGCCAATGCCGCTGTCTTTGTGCTGGCCGGTAGTGAGACAACCTCTGCGCTGCTGTCGGGTTGCATGTACTACCTGCTTTGCCATAGAGAGAAATACATCCGACTTGTTCGGGAAATCCGTGACGCTTTCAAGGACCAGGCTGATATTACGCTCGCGCGCATTGCTGGACTTCCGTACCTCAGTGCTGTCCTCACCGAAACCCTTAGGATCTACCCTCCCATCCCGGCTATGCTGCCACGTCTTGTACCGGAGGGTGGTGCTGTTATTGGCAATGCATATGTGCCCGCAGGTGTAAGTTGGACGGACCACTGGTCTCCTTTGCAGCATACATACTGAAAGTATTAGGTCTCGGTTTCAATCTCCCTGTACTCCGCCTTTCGCGCAGCTACCCATTTCAAACAGCCCGATTCCTTCATCCCGGAGCGCTGGCTTGCTGGGTCAGAGTCTGAGGATTTTGCCTCGGACAAGAAAGAGGCTTTCCACCCGTTCTCATATGGCCCGCGGAACTGTTTAGGACAGCAGTAAGTATCTCATTCTTCTCTGAACAATCGAGCGATCTTCTTTTCTTCCTTTCTTAGCCCAGTGCCACTATCACAAGCTAACAGCCAGAATAGTCTTGCTAACGCGGAAATGCGTCTTATTCTTACGAAACTGCTGTGGAACTTTGATTTTGAGCTCCAACCCGAGTCTATGGACTGGCATCAGCAGCGCTCGTTCTCTCTTTGGTCTCGCTCCGCTCTCATGGTCAAACTCGCCCGTGCTAGTCAGGGGGGTTGAGGTCTCCTCTTTGTGCTTAGGCATTCGCTTAACTAATACTATGTATGATAGTACTTAGTTAATTCTTTGTTCGTCTTTCATCTGACTTTATCTGCTTTGGTTTTTCTTAGGGGCACTTATTTTATGAGTAAAACAGCGAGGTGACTGCCTGACTAACGCACGGGATCTTTCTCTCCTCTTGCGGTTTATTTTACCCCTGTTTCTCATCTTAGGATCATTGTTGGCTTTCGGACTGTGTAAATTTCAATGTTTAGCTCACTTTATCAAAATCAGGCAGTGAGTAGTACCTATTAGAGTATCAGATAGAGCCATTTGTGAATTGATGACTATTATAGTATGTGCACTTGAAAACAAACGTGTAATCCCCCCTTCAAATGCTCCAACTCCGCCCAATGTTGATATCAAAATAAAACAAATGTCCCATCCAATCGCAAATAAACAAGATTCTATAGACATGCACATGAATAAAAGATGCAGCGCTTTTACAAAATTCCCTAGGGTAGCACCTAGTTTAGAAAAAGTCTTGTTCAGCCAGCCATTGTGAGTCCATGGCGTAAGCAACCAGATCAGCCGCACAACACATATCCTCATGACCATCTTCCAGGTCCAAAAGATTGAGCACAGCACCGAGTCTATCTTCGAGGGTTTTCTTGAGCTGTGCTATGCCAGTTTGCAGATCCTTGGTCTGCCGTTCTTTTATAATAGCTCCAGTCACACTTGGGTCTTTTTGCTTGGTCGCTTTGCCCGTGACTGATTGTCTTTCAACACCCCGGTTGGGAGAGCAAGGGGCCAAGGCCTTCCGTTGCGGCGGCGCTGATGCAGGCTGGGGAGCTTCGGGCTTTCTGTTCTTCAATAGGTTCTTCAAGATGAAAAGTAACCAGACTAGGTTGGTACGCGGTGCATACTCTGCCCAGATTCCGGGGATGTCAGGTGTCTTCTCGGTTTGGGATGGGTTTCCCGTATAGACGGTTGCGCGCATACTGAAGCAGGGTGTTAGTTATACAGTGTTCTTGGAGCTGAAAGATTCGACCTTCAACGTACTGTCTATAAGTGTCTCTCAGCAAAATCTCGTCCTCGTCTTGGCCAATGGCATCGAAAATTTGCTTTTTATCCAAGTCTGAGGAGGCATTCTCAATAATGCCCTCTGGGTCATCAGGGAGATCTGCTAAGCGTAGGTCGGCTCGAGAGAGGGAGTAATCGATAATAGTCGTCTCTAGGGTACTGATCCCGAATCCACTGGGAGACTGCTGGCGAGCAATCTCCATATCTGTGGGTGAGTGCATCGAACCATCTGGCCGGGTAGATCGAATACAGACGTTTCCCAAGTGAAGATCACGGTGCTAGTAAATAACCCTATTAGGAAAGTTCAAACAAGGGTTCTCTGTCAGGCTAAAACTCACCTCAAATAGAGCATACTCCTCCGCACGAGCCAAAGCCATCGCGACGCCCCAGAAAATGTCATAGATCTGGAAGATAGACGACCAGCTGAATTTCTCCAATTCGCACCCCGCATCATCCATCTCAATGATCGCCCATAATTGAGTTTCCGGATACGCCTTCTTATTCGCCGGGTTCGGGTTCATACAGTCATCCTTGGTCTTCTTGTAGTGGTCCCAGGCAGTCTGGAAAGACTCCGGGAAGCGACCCTGCACGACGTGAATCTCTCGGAATCGGGCAAATCCGGGGATGGGATCTAGGTACTTGAGCATCTTCACTTCCGAGACGATCTCGTCGATGCTGGTGAATTTCTTGGAGCCTGGGCCACTCTTCGCATTCAGTGGTACCACTTTGAACACCCCGTCTCCGTACGCACTTAGTTTCGCCAATTTGGACTTTGAAACTGCCGGTCGACTGCCTTCTTCGCGTAAATGTAATTTGTAAACCTCTCCATATGATCCTTCTGCTAGCTTCGCGACATGAAACATGGTGGCGGAACGTGAGGCCCAGGTGCCGAATCTTTGGATGTCTTGTGATGATAGCGGTGATAATGCTTCGTTAAGAATGGGTCGAACGTAGGCGTTGGCCTTGGCGTCGTGGACATACCCCGAGGATCTTCGTGGTGCAGGTGTCTTCTTCCGTGCTGTTCTTTCCCTTGATGGTAGAGCTTCGGTCTTATCTTCGGTCTTCTCTTCGGCTCTCTCTGCGGCCTTCTCTTCGGTCTTCTCTTCAGCCTTCACTTCAGCCTTCACTTCAGTCTTTCCGTTGGCTCTCGTGCTCGCTGGTTGTCTCTCGCGGTTATCAATTCGTACCTCCAACATCGTCTGGTATTTCTTTTTCTCGGGGGCCTCGGCGGAGGGCTTCTTGACTGGGTTGCGCACAGGTCTCGGAGAAGGCTGGCTTGTCGGTCCATCGTGTTTAATCTTCAGGTTTTTGGTTTGTTCGTCTGGAATTTTGGTTGGTGGTGGAATTATGGCCTCCTGGACAGAAACTGGCTTGTCCTCGATGGACACCTCGGCCAACTTGGCCTGGATGGCTTCTACCCCGTCATTCGGTTGTTGAAAGCGAGTAACAGCTCTTGCTGGACTCTTTGGATCGAATACTGCTCTGGGGGCATTGTTCCTCTTCTTGCCGTAAACTTTTCGTTGAGCGACTGTTCTGGTGGAAGGTTTCCGGGGTTGTGTGGGTGTCGCGTGACACTGTGGCGAGGGCGACCGTGTTGCCATGGTGCTTTCAAAGGACACTGTAAGCTCAGATATGTGAAGCAGTCATGTATACAACTTTCTTCACCAGAAAGGTTGACCGTGGGGAGGGCAAGGGCTGTTGGGAGACAATTCACTGACGATGATGCGGTCGGTCGCAAGTATTGATCTTTATCCGAAAGTGGTTTAGCGTATCCGTTGCTCTGGTGAAGCATTCCTCTCGTGTAAGCCAATCACAGCTTGACTCTACTATACACCCTCATGAGAACACGAAAAAATGAATTTGATGCAAACATTGAAAGGTGTCAAAAAAAGTTCCTTGGAAGCTACTAGTATTAATTGATGTGTTGATAATTAACATTGAATGGTCCAGATCTGGTCAACTGGCCCTAAGACGGGACATTCCGAAGTTTTAGGTGCGTTCCAAGGTTCGGATTCCAATGTTCCAATAGCCTGATGCACATGTGTGCGGCAAGTTGACCTTGGAGGTCTCACGATATATATTCAATTTGTTAAAACCCCCAGAGAATTTTGAAATTCACAAACTTCCGCTCTCGATGACTTCAATGTTGAATGAATTCCCTCGAAGATCATATTTATTGAGATACCACGTATCTCTGCGATTCAAGATAACCAAATGTAGGTCTTACATATTAGTGCATTTTAACCAAGGGGTGAGAGTGAGAGGATTAGAAGATATTAATGCAAGACCGCTATGCAGCTTGGCCCAATAAAAAGGTCGCGAATGTAGTCGCATCTGGCCCCCGAACCAATGCTCCGTATCAGTGTACATAAGTGTAAGCCCAGACTCCCCTTGCGAGATCGACATAGGCCATGCCCATTTCTAGCCCGCGTAGAACATGGCGGTTTTCAATGTTTTGATCCATCCCCCCCCCCTTTCCCCGGTGGTTTTCCCGAGCAGGTGGCTGCGGTTCAAAAGGAGACTTATGCATCGCATAGAAGCTAAATGAATTGTGAATGGTCCATTGATACCCCAAGTGGGAATGCCTTCGGGGCTGGTCGGAAAGAGTGGGACCGCCTGCACGAAGTCCCAGATGTGACGTACCCGGACTCGTTCTGGATTCTGGATTTTAGAATGTGATTTAGAATGATCAAATCAAGTTGGAAACAAGGAAAACAGTGAGAATAAAAAGAAAGCAAGTAGAGACGAAACAAAGATGATGATAATTTATATAGAAAAAGGAGAATCAACGTTTGACACGCGAGATCCCGGTCCCTGTGACTTTTCTGTGTGACCTGTGACCCTCGGGATCTTCTTTTTCCTTTTTTTTTTTTTTTCTTTGCGCTTTGCCTCCTGAAATTCGCCTCCACTTCCCCGGCGCGTCTTTCTCTATTCTTTTCATTCCAGTTTCTACTCCTTTAGTCTTCCTTTCCAATGCGAGGGCATGGCGTTCAACTTCAACTGGTCGCCTTTGATGGCAGACGCGGGTTTTTACACTCGTGCTCAAGAACTGCTGACAGCCGCCCTCAATAAATCCCCCAAACCGCCCATCATCGTCGATGATATTATTGTAACCGAACTCAACCTGGGCTCTATGCCCCCTAATCTGGAGATCCTGGAGATCGGAGACCTGGCGGAGGATCGTTTTCGTGGAATTTTCAAAATGTCCTATTCCGGAGACGCCTTTTTGACTCTCAAGACCCGAGTCCAAGCCAACCCACTCAATACCTACTTGATCACTCGCCCTTCTTTTGCATCGCCAAAACCCCTAGCGGCCGCGTAAGTCTTCTCCGGTAGTTGCGCACCGGTCGCAGTGATCGTAGCGCCTAGACTAACCCCGGATCGCAATCTAGTACCCCGCTCACCATCCCTCTCCAAATCACTCTGTCGGATTTTAAGCTCTCCGGCTTCGTCATACTGGTCTTTTCCAAACAAAAGGGTATTACTGTCGTCTTTCGAAATGATCCACTTGAGTCGCTCAAAGTCTCCTCCACATTCGACTCGATTCCGTTCGTACGCGACTTCCTGCAAAAAGCCATCGAGGCTCAACTACGCATCCTGTTCATGGATGAACTACCTGCGATCATTCATCGGTTATCTCTTCGCCTATGGGTTCCGGATTACCGCGCAGGGGAGGATGCTCAGAATCAGACAGAGAACACCAACCAAACGACCAGCGAAGGCCCCGGCCAAGATCCGCTGGCGAGCCCACCACAAGATCCCGTCGACTCTCTTGGAAATGCGCTGAACGAATCCGAAATCGCATCTCTATCCCTAGACTCCTCGGTCGAGACTCATTCCCTGTTCTCACAGAAGAATCTTCTCCGTCTTGCCGCTTTGACGGATTCTCAACGCACCTTGTCGTTATTCACACCCTCTATCAATGAAGTGGTCTACCGCGCCTGGACTTCTTCCTCCGATTCGAATGAGTTCGCTGCCAGTGTAATTTCACCTCTGAGCCCCGCTCTTTCCCGCACAAACTCGCACGTCGGTAGCATGGCTTCATCTATTCACGAGACCGGTAGCACAATATCCTTGCAAAGCCGACCTTCCGTATCAAGCCACTCAGTTAGCAGCTACGGTCTCAGCTTAGGTGCTGGACGTCATTCTAAAGCCCATTCTCGAAAGCGCAAGAAGCGTGTAGTGGACTTGCGTCGTCCCAAGACAACCGATGACGCGATGAGCGTGAGTGACGATGGCAGCCATGCCGAGTCCTCGGCCCCTCGATCCATCGCCTCCGCGCCGCTACCAATCCTGAACGAGCAGTCTGATGATCCAGTGACCCCGCCCTTGTCACCCGAGTTGGACTTTCACCTCCAGACGATCCCGGAACGAGACCGCATGAGCATTTCCCGACCAGCTTTCCCTCGGGCCAATGCGGCACACGAGGAACCATCTTATGCCCGTGACACAATCCGCGCTTCTCAGGTTCCGGATGTAGATGCGACTCCTCGTCCTGTACGAGCCATTTTCAACGATGAAAAGGCTGAAGCCGGCCCTTCTTCAGGTGCCGCTCGTAACCCTTTACCCGCCACCATTCTTCCATTCACCAAGGAAGATGAGGAAACCAAGGGCGAGTCCGTTGATCCTCGACTGGTTGAGCGACTTGCGGGTGAAATTGCCCGCCGAATGCGCGAGGATAAGCTCATGACCAATGCCTGCAGTAACTTCTGGGCTCGCTCCCAGGATGATGCACCACCGGCCTATGGCCATTAAGCCCATTACCACTTCTACTTCTCTTTTTCTCCTACCTCTCGAGCAAGACTCGTTTTTAATGACCGCTACGACTTTATTTTTGTTTTCTGTTCATTTTTCTTATTTTCTTATTTTTTTTTTCTTTTTGTTGGAATTTGATTTCTCTGCAAGCGGGATTGTACAAAAAATGGGTTTCTGTTGTGGATGTTTGGCGTGTGACTGATTTCTTCTCGGGGGTTTTCTCTTCTTTTACTTTTGCGGGGGCTTTTTTACCTTCTCCTTTTCTCCTTTTCTCCTTTTTTTTCTCGTTCTCGTTTTATCGGATACCACACTCACTCGAGTATTATTTTTTGTATTATCTTGGGCTTTCAGGGATACAAGGGTGGGAATATACATGGAAACAGGAATCTGATTTTGGACTTTATCTGCTGAAATGTGTCTATGCGTCGATTGTAGCAAAAAACTGGAGAATTGCGTGGGGGCGCTAGAGCCCGGCGCAGCTTAGCTCCGCGCTCCGCACTTCATTTCTCTCAACCTCCTTTCCCTTCCATCTTGTCTCCATCCAAATCATGGCGGGTGTGTTCAAGAACGTATTTGGCAGCCAGCCATCTGGCGCTGCCTCAGATGATGGTAAGAATTGTACCGCGCAATTGTATCTCCCTAGAAACCTCAACCTAACTGCAGATCTTCCGTAGATTTCGCCGACTTCGTCGAGGCCCCGAATCCATCGCCTGCGTCCATTATCGCCGACACAACCACCATCCCAGCTGCTAACACCCATGGCGCCACTGCTCCCTACACAGCATGGTACCGCATCTGGGAGCGGACCTCTCCCAAGGACTTCAAGCAGGAGGCGATGATCATGCCTTTTGTCCTGATCCTTATCCTCTTCCACGTTTGGGGCACCAAGAAGAACCGCCGCAAGGCGCGGGAATGGGCCAATGCTCACGTTCCTTCTCTCCAGAAGGAGTTTGCCGTCGTCGGATTCGATGGTATTGCCCGCAACAACAATGATGAGGCCATCACCGTGGAATTGGCCAACCCGGAGAAGAGCCTGAAGGAGAAGTCCGCCCACGAGTTCTCGACTTATGCCACCGGTCGCCAGAACGTCGCTTTCCTTGATATTGCCCTGAAGATGCCCAAGCGCTACAACCCAATCACTTACCTTATGGAGTACGCTTTCAGCTTCTTCTTTGAGAGCTGGGAGGCCCCCGCCGAGAAGTACGAGGCTCTCATGTATGCGTTCGATGGCAAGGAGAAGGATTTGGTTCCTGTCTTCGCCAAGGATACTCCCCTGAAAGTGAACAACTCGACCTACGACGGATTCATCTGGGCTGTGGTTCACAAGAGCCACATGCGCAAGTTCCGCACTGATCGTTACGATGCCTCGATTACCTTCTCCAAGGACCACCCCAAGCTCCCCTCCTGGGTCACTGTGATGTCTGAGAGCGCCGAGATTACCGATACTCTTCTCACCAAGGACCTCATCGAGGCCATTGAAAAAGCTGGAAATGACTTTGAATTCTTGATTGTGACTGACCAGCCCATTGATAAGCCCACCAAGTAAGCCATCTATTTCCCAGTAATTTTGTATTTATTTCCACTTGCTAACTTTATCTACTCTTTAGGATTGATGAGACCGTCCCCAAGAAGCGTGTTCAGCTCTCGGTCAACCTTTCCTCTGCTGCCGGTTACGCCGCCACCGTTCCCCTCTTCAACCAGTTCCTTCGCTTTGGTGACAAGCTTGTTGCAGCTGCCCACTTCCGTGGTGAGGTTCTGCGTAAGGTTCGCAACGTCCGTGACGAGGAGATCAAGAAGCTGCGCCGTGTCGAGGAGGAAGAGAAGGCTGAGGAGCGCAAGATCGCCGCCGAGAAGCTCAAGAAGGATGAGCGTGAGCGTCTTTTGCGTGGTATGACCGCCGATGAGCAACGCAAGTATCTGGATCGCGAGAGCCAGAAGGAGCAGCGCCGCTCGTCCAAGCGCATGACCCGTAAGGGTTAAACGGTCCGCAGATCATAAATCTGGGGATTATTCACTTTCTTTCCCTCTTGCATCTTGCATGAACCGCAACCTACTAACTTGGAGTGGGATTGCAAGAGCGAAGCTGTTTTAATCTGCCACTTTAACTATCACTTATCTGTCCCCAGATGTATTCATATCTATTCATGGGCGATTGGATGTTCAATGTCTTTCGATACGAGGGGCTTGCTGATGTCGTGAAATTTCAATGTTCAAAAGTATGAACGAACGAGTTTTCTTTTTTTTCTCCAAATGTACTACCCTGTATTGGCAACCACGATCTCGGTGATCGCAGTGCTTGCCCTTTGCTCAATTCCTAAACCACTCCAAGCATGCATTTCCAAACCAATCAATCTCCCTGCGTATTCTCCCAACTATCCCAGTCCACACTCTACTCTGGTCTCCATCATTAGCCGCCGCGCTCACTCAAAATGCATCTTCGTAGCCCATGGAGAGCCACGATCCTACTATACATAGCTCTATCCATCGGCCTATCATCCGCCATGCTGATACCAAGCACCTCTCCCGACCTCCTCCCACCAACCCCCCACCTAAACACCACTGCCACAAAGCGACAAGCCTCGCCCATCCCCTACGGCCTCATAATAACCCACTGCAACATCCCCAACACAGTCGCCCTCACCTTCGACGACGGCCCCTTCACCTACACCAACCAAATCCTCGAAACTCTCTCCAAACACAACGCCCGCGCAACCTTCTTCCTCAACGGCATCAACAAAGGCAACATAGACGTATTCCAGGACGTCGTAAAACGCTCCCTCGCAGAAGGCCACCAGCTCGCCTCCCACACGTACGTACTCACCATCAATCCCTCCCGGGCGGCCGCCCAACTAATCCGCCCGATACAGATGGGGCCACCTCTCCCTCGACACCCTAAGCTACGCTGAAATCATTGCCCAGATGACGACCCTCGAGGACGCCTTCATGCGCATCCTGGGCTTCTACCCCACCTACATGCGCGCGCCTTACCTGATGGTCACGGCCGATGTCCTGGATGCCATGACGGCCCTGGAGTACCATGTTATTGGCGCCAGTATCGATACGAAGGACTATGAGAACGATCATCCGGATGATAGCTGGCGCAGCTTTGAGAAGTTCCGCGCTGAGCTCGATGCCGGTGGCACGATTGTTTTGGCGCATGATACGCATCAGACTACGGTTGAGATCTTGGTAGATAATCTTTTGGCGGAGATTGAGCTGCGCGGGCATGAGAGTAGGTTTTGGTTTTTGGTTTTGCTGCTTTTTTTGCTTGCGCTTTGCTGCTGCTCGTGGTGAGGTTCGTGGGATTTGGTTCCTTTTGGCTAACTCCAGGTTTTACGGTAGCTGTTACGGTTGGCGAGTGTCTTGGGGATCCACCGGAGTGGTGGTACCGTACGAGTCGGTAGGTGGGTTTTGTATACAGAGTCTGTACAGGCGGGCGTCTTTCTGTGGTCGGGCGGGTTGGTTGGGATTATAGTGCGTGACTTGTGAGTTTGGGTTGGTGGGTTGGGTTTCTGGTTGAAGGGTATTCTTTTCTTGCTGAGTTTGTATATCGGTTATTTTTATGCTTCGGTGGACTGTCTGGAAGACGTCAATTGAAGATAGAGTATGGATTTGCCGATTTGCCGATTTGGACTTTTTTGACTCTAGTATACCCTTGGCGCTGTCGATCTCTAATTTTTAATCTTGACCGCGAACAAAGTACCAAATGGAAACCTAATCTGATGCAGCAACCTTGGAACTTTACCCTAGATACCAAGATACTTCAACCACGAGAATACTCACTTCAACCTTCAAACCGAATACAAACAGAAACAATAACAATGATAGTAAGACACATTCTATATTTGTACTAGTATGTACTCTACTCTATTCTAATCTATGTTCAGCATCCTCCAAAAACGCGCTTGCAAAGATACATGCATAAAAGCCACAAGCGCGCCAGATGCGAAAACAAAACGAAACCAATTCATTTCAGACATAAAGGATCCCCGGAAGCAAGCTTGAGGCAAAAACAGCCTACTGCTTGCCGAAGATCTTGACCCGCTCCTCAACGGGAGTCTGGGCCTTGTCACCAGCGGGTGCCTCGGGGCTACCGAAGACCAGCTGGGCGACCAGGCGCCACTCAGCGGGGATGCTCCACTGCTTGGCGACGGGCTCGTTGATCAAGGGGTTGTAGTGCTGCAGGTTGGCGCCGAAGCCGAGAGACTCGAGGGCGGTCCAGACTGGGATGGGTGTTAGTTTTTACTCTAAATGGATGTTTGGGGATTTGGGGATTTGGGGAGGCAGGAGTCACGTACGGAAGTACTGGTGCATGGCGTTGGAGTGGTCGGCCCAGGGCTCGAAGTGGTCCTTGAAGGAGGCGAACTTCTCCTGGAAGCCCTTGATGTGAGCGGGGTCCTCGTAGAAGAGGATCTGGAGGGGGTGTGTACGTTAGCATTGATGGCATTATACATTTTGTGTCTTTCTTTCTTTCTTTCTTCCTTTCTTCTCGGGGGAATGTTTGCTGGAGGTTTCAAACGTACGGTACCGTAAGCAGCCTTGAACATCTGCAGCTTAGGCAGAGTCTGGTTCTTGAAGGTCTCCTCGGGGACAGCGCCGGTAGCGACGAGGCCCTCGAAGGTGGTAGCAGCGAGGTCCCAGAGACGCTCGTGCTCCTCCTTCAGGAGGACAACCAGGCGGGTAGACTGGGTGTTGAAGGAGCTGGGAACATTGAGGATAGCGGCGTTGACAAGCTCCTCGATCTTGGCGTCCGGGACGGGGCTGTTCTTGCCCAGCTTGTAGATGGTGCGGCGGTTGGCAGCCGCCTGGATGAGAGCGTCGATGGACATGTTGTGTGTTGGGGGTGAGGAGGTGAATTGGGGAGTGGGAGAAGTAGAAAAGGGACGGAGGGGCAGCTGTGATGGCGGGGCTTGGGCAGATAATAAAGACGGGCGTGGCCGTGTAGTGGATCTTAATGCGCGGCAGATGGGGTGGAGATTGGAAACTGGTCGAAGAGTGCGGGATGCCATTGCTTTTATAGGGATTTTGTTGTGTCAATTGTGCTTGAGGCGCTGATAGGTTGATTGGGTTGTGCAATTGAGCGGTGCCTTGGGTGGCTATTTTTTTTCTTTTTCTTTTTTTTTTTGCGCTCTTCGGCGTCGTTCCGCGGGGCTTTTCAATCACAAATGCTGGGGATTAGTGTTGATTGATGAGATGTTATATCCGAAACCCCTGGAATTCCAGGCCTCAGGGGCAAAATCACGGATTTACGGCTTTGCGCTGAATAAGCGTGGCTTGATCATCATGACCAACCAGTTATTTGATTTGGCTTCAAGCCCCACCTGCGATGCTGAACCATGAATCCCAGTTATGTTCTGGAGTACCGATGCCATAGCAATAACTACATGGGATCTTTATTGTGTTTGACAGACTTGGGAATCGTCGCTGATTTTCAAGGTCTTCGCTATTTCAATAAGTTTCGATAGTTACAGTAGATATATGGTTATTTCTTCATGTCTGCTTGATATCCAAAATGTTGGTCTTGTGTAGCGGTGAAGAAATCCCAAAAGGGAGCTCACATGCAGACCATTAATTCTCATCTAACGCTAGTTATCCCCGGGAGGAGACGTGCTCTCATCCTCTTTGTCTTTGCATGGCCAATTGCGCCAACTGATCTCCCGCTCGCCCACGTCGGCTTGCCGAACCATTTCCATCCGAATTTGCTGATTGCCCTCTACTGCCCACTTGTAATTATATGGCAGGGTCCCGCCTTTTTGATCAATACGAAGGTGCTCTCTGACGCGCGACAGTAGCTGTTCAGACTCATTCCATTTCTGCGATTCTGTCATAGCAACCTCCCGTTCTTCACCGCTGAATACAACCGGACATTGTACTCCCGGGAGATATTGCTCCATACTGAAGGGGTCGTGATACCTACTAGCGCAGCACGCAGACTAATTATATTCTAAAGTCCTTCTTATGGTATGGGCTTCAATAAGCAGGAAAATCGAAGTCGAAAATCTTCTTCTCCACATCCACGATTTCTTTCATGATTTCTACCACCTCACCAGGGGTACATTCTTAGTCAGCTTGGATGCTCTTCGCGATGGCTTCACGCTTAGTTCTCAAGTGCTAGCACCTGCACATGTGGACATATACTGTCTACTATCTAGGTTTAACTCTGGCTTCGAGTATAACAAACCAAGGAGGATCCACTTGGTAATTTCATGTGGGGTCGATTTCTCGGATATATCATGTAAGATACCTTTTTTTCGTTCTTCCGAAGTTCCGCTATTCAACATTTGAAGCTTTCTACTCTGTAAAAACGGTTCAATCAGGGGCAAAGAGGGCGAAGGTTCTGGGTCGTAAAATGCTGACAGATCATATGTAGACGTGCATTTAGAATATTGCGCTTGGCATTAAGAACCTTTGAAGGGTCCAACTTGCCAAGGAAAACAGATGCTTGGAAAAAGCGATCGTAATGTTGCCTCAATAAAAGAAAAGAAAATATGACTTGGATAAATGTTTGTGATCAATATGAGAATCAAATTAAGTATCTAGCTACTTCAACTTTGAACGCGGGACATTCCAAATAATTCAAATGACCAGATGGCACAGCATATAACACAAACCAATGCAGATAGCGACAGCAACTCAGACGACCAAAAGTAAACAATGTATAGTAGATAGACATAGTTTCCACAGAATTCTTTGCAGAAAGGGAAGTGGTCAATCATCATAGAAGCTGTGGTTTCGCTCATGCATTGGAATGAGGTTCTTGGCCTTGCATGGGACGATGAAACGGGGAGGAAACAGTAGGCAATAATTGAAAATGCAAGCAAAACAAAACGCAAAAAAAAAAAGAGGCAAAAAAAAAAAAGAAATTAAAGAAAAATCTTTCAAATATGGCAAACGCTCGTGGACTCGAATCGAACATAAGAAATTCTAGATCTGATGAAGCGACACAATTAGTCATGAATGCTTCAAAAAGAACTGCAAGTGTGCGATCCAACTAATAATGGACTTTGCAAATCAGAGACCCGTCTTGAAACATATTAGGATGTCCAGTTTTCTCCAAAATCTTTACAGAGAATGGAAATAGGTCATCATCACCGAAGCCGGGGATGTATGTGCGATTTGAGGTGTATCGGATAGTAAATTCAACTGGGGGGGAAATGCGTACCTGAACCAGTCGGAGCGCTCCCGCTAGTGGGGAGATTAGAGATTTGGTGGCGTAAAAATGGGCGGGAACTAAGATCCTGGAAACATTCTCCAGGAACCATGACACCGACGCCATCAAAGGCTTATCTGCTGTACCTGGACCCGATCTGGAGTATAATGGCTCCGATCGAAGTCGTTGTTAGTCTTGGGATTGTCGTGAAAGGGCGAAATCGCTCTTTTCTCAAGGGAAAAGATGGTCCGAAAGGAAATCATCCTTTCAAATTACCCTGAGGTGAAATCTCGAGGGTTTTCGAGGGTTGAAAGGACTGGATTCTCTTCTCCTCTGACCTTCTTAAATACCTTTTGCTGGGTAGGGGCTAGGGCATTGGCCCTATCCCTTATTTCCAGTTTTCATATGTGTTCCGATGGATCTCATAACGTCATTTATGGACCCGTGCGAGGTCAGACCGGGTCGCATTCACCCCGAGTGGGTCAAATCTATGCTGGATGGGTATCATTTTCGGAGGAATAAGAGCCCCGAGGTTGAATTTACGTATTATGTTGACTATTGGGTGGTTTTATTCTATACTGTGGCGAGGAATGCCGTGATGAAGATTCTTCAATGTTCTTGGCAAGAGCAAAACTCGGGTAGATGTTGCAGGAGAGAATATGCACGGTTCAGGTTCCAACTTGGATGGGTTACCCGAATGCCATTAGTAATTGAGAAGGTAAAGGGGGGAAAATGTATCCCATCATTTTATCGAGGAAACGTTGAATCTCATTGTCAGATATTTTAGCTTGTATAGATGTTTTGAGCCTCATGTCAAGCTTCGGGAAAAGAAATCCAGCACTTCTGAATGGCGTGCCTTGTGAATCCTGATGGTTGATCTAAACCATTTCAAGTAACTGTTCGTTCGATGATATCATCTACTGATGTCACCAGATCTCAGTAATACCATTTGCACCTCGTTTCTTCTATCGCATAGAAAATGATCAAATTTTAACAAGGCAAGTAGAATAACATTAAAACCATGAATATAATGAATATCAAGACACGTTATGTTTCTCAACGAAAAAGAGAATCATGGGATGGATCATAATTCGCCCATATTGGAACCGATCCAGTCTAAGCATGTGACTGGCTCCCCTCAGCCGACACCGTCTTCGCAACATTCGCACTATTCCCCCAATCACCCATTCTAACAGCAACAACCTTATCCCGCTGAACCTTACGCTGGTGTCGGCCCCACAACAGAAACAAGCCGCCCGCAATCAAAGCAGCACCAACCACACAGCCAACAACAATACCCGCAATCTGACCACCAGATAGACCACCCGCTTTGGCTATACTGGTGCTCGTGCTCGTGGCCGTGGCAGTCGACGTAGCCACCGAGACATTGAAGCAGAGAACATCAGTCGTGAAATCAGCCAGAGACACGTAGGTAATATCCGCACAAGCATAGTACGTTTTGTTCGTATCGGTGTCAAATGTGGATTGGTATTTCAGCTGCAGCGTGGCATTATCACCCGAGGATGTGTTAGAGGGAGCGTTGGGGATAGAATAGCATTCATGTCCTGGGTAGAGATCTGGGAAATTGGAGCCCGAGACATCAGTTACGAAATCGCTATTTGAGCTCGGATCTGGATGGAGTCGGTTATTTCCATTAGCCTTTGCTACTTTCTTCAATGTTTCCTGGGTGTGATTGCTAATCGTGCAGAAGCTCAACTTACCGCTGTGATAGGAGATGGCAAGATTGACATTGTACGACTCGTCCTGCAGGACTAATGAAACCTCTCCACTCGCTGTGACCGTTAGAGAAAACGAAGATGATACACCTGTAAGCTGCGAGGTATAGATTCTTACTGAGGGGAAATTCCGTCCGGTTGCCAATATTAGCATTTGATCCGCACGGCGCGGTATTGTCGGCTGTGCTTGACCAAGTCCGATCAGGAGGCCATAAAAAGGCCGCTGGACCCATATCTGTATATGTAGCATCGGCAGCTTGGGAAGGGACGAATGAAAAACTGGCAAGAGCCAAGAAAGCCCTATACCCCCGCATGACTGTATGTAATCTTTTCGTGGATTGCGGGTGGGTGCAAGGGAGAAGATCAAACTTGATTGATGTCCAAGAAAGAAGACGGCGGCGTCGAATATCTACAAGAAGATCCCGAGGGCGCTTAAATAGTCTGATAAAAAAGCCCAAGGTCCGCGAGAACCCAAACTCCCAAATGACAGACCATGTCGGCAGCACGTACCGAGCCCCAGCAACCAAAAAATGTGGATTAGATCCACAGCCCAAAGAAGCTCATATTATAGCCGGAGACACTAACGGAGAATCCGAATACCACCCAGAAACTGCACGGCCATCTTGAACCGGGCATGTGACAGCCACTTCCCTATCTTAAACAGGGAAATAGTAGTGGGTGGGGTCAGGACGGTGTGAGAAACACATGGTTGCAGATGGGTATTGTCCGAATTCGACTAGGTAATCTGACAGATCGAGCTAGAGTAGATTTTAGCGTCAACTCAGAAACAATTTCGGACATAGTCTGGCAAAATTTCAGTGGATGATGCTACTCGGATGGACACTCGCCGGAGCAGATTAGATTGATAAGATCAAGCGGGGCGTGTGATTGGAGCCAAATGCCCCCCCCCCAATTCCCCTCTTTCCCTCACTTCTTTGCCTGGGCATCGTAAACGAGGACCAGAGAATCCTAGCTTTGAAAAGGTTTCTGCCGGAGTTTGAATTATCCCCGGAATACCCGCGAGGAAATTTTATCAATCGCTTGTCCCCGTTATGAAGCCGCGGTTTCGAGTCATCTTCGAGTTTTCTTTGGTGAGTGATGTCAGGTTCCTTGCGCTGCGAGTCGCGAATGTTGCGAATAATTTGGAAGAGATCGATTCATCGATTGACGAACTCATCCATTGATTGAAATGATTTGCTGCTTGGGTCCTCCCATAGTCAGGTGTCACGTCTCCGGCTCCGGACAAAACCCGCCCTCAGTCGCGCGGTACCCTGCCGAGATGTCCCAAGTGGGGCATGAAGGATTGGTATCCTTGTCCCATGTAGAAACGAAATATGCAATTGATGCTTTGTGGATAGAACCAGTAATCTTGGCGAGAGGCAAAGGTATGCTCCGATCACAGGCGGAATCGGAAGCGAGAGCACCGTTTGTTAAATCTTGCGGTAAAGCTCGAGCGGGTGCGGCTGCTATAAAACCACTGGCCCCGATCCACGTCTAGTATTTCATTCTTATACATAAGAGCACAAGAAAGGAAGAAGGTTGAATACCACTAGCCAAACATCGCCAATTTCCATTTCCATCTTCATTTTTTACCTTTTTAACCTTTCTTTATACCCCATTCTTATCACTCCACCTACAAAATGCTCCGCCTATCCATTTCCGCCATCTGCATCGCCGCCCTAACAGCTCCAGCCTTAGCAAGCCAGCACGATATCTTCGGGAAGCGCGAGACGATCGAAACCGGCTCCCCCCTCTACGATTGCCACGAAGCATGCGGTAAGACCAACCCATCCCATTCAAAACATGCCTAGCCATCTCGCCGAACATTGAACGTCACCCCCTAACAAAATGCTTCACAGGCGAGGTCATCCTGATGGCCGAAGAGTCTAGCTATTGCTCCAGCTCTAATTACACCTCCGATCTCAGCAGCTGTCTGAAATGCGCCGAGACCTGCGGCATTTGGCAGTACTACGGCACAGAGGTCAAGTCTGCTGCTGAAAATTGTAGCGACTCGGCTACGCCTAGTTCGTCCTCTTCTGCGGGCTCTTGTGCGTCTACGACCGGCGCGGAGACGGCTACGAACGTGGCTGCTACCGCTACTTCGACTGCTGAGTCTGCTTCTGGTACTACCGTATGTCGCGTTCTTTGATTTAATGATCGGCTTGTGATGCAGGTACGTCGTTTGTGCTAAACGTTTTTAGGGTACTTCTACCGCCACGGCTTCTTCTGCAACTTCTAGCACTGGTGCTGGAGCGTTGTTTGAGCAAAATATTGCTCTTGCGGGTATAATGGGTTTGTTTGTATTGGGGTTGACTGTTTAGATAATTGTTTTTCAAAAGCGAAGATGATCACATTGATTATCAGAACATCATGTGTGCAAACCTTCCTCATTATCACCGATATTTATGCACTCTTTAATTCTAGAAATCAATTCATACTGCATGTGATGTAATCAAACATAGTTCGACACCCTGAAATAGAAAGATCAGTCATATACACTCCAATGTTAACGATCAAAAATTGAAGGAGTTCCAAGGCATACTCAATAAGATTCCCATCCGGATCTCTCACATACACACTCTTCAATTTCCCCGCCGCACCCGTTCTATCCACAATCTTGGCGCCCTCAAGGACCTAAATCGATCAGCGAACAGAATTCCAATGTTCCAAATTGCCGAAAGTCAGTACGAAAAGCTCGCGTACATCTATTTTAGCATCCTGAAAAGCTTGCAGCACTTTCTCCACATTGTCGTCTGTTAAAAAGCACAGATCGGCGCTCCCGGGCATGACGCTTTGCGCTTTCGGCTCGAACTCTTTTCCCGATAGGTGGAGGTTGATCTTTTGGCTTCCGAAGATAAGAGCGTGTCTTGTTGTCTGTTAACTTATGCAATGAAGAACTGGAAAATGGGGTTTTTTGCAAAAGAAAACTTTTGATTCGATTCAATCCATCCTTGGATGTTATCTCATACCTTTGAATTGTGGGGTTGGCTGGTGAGGCGAAAACCTCGTGCCGCATGCCGAGGTGGGTCGTGTAGAATGCTACTGTCTCGGGGATGGAGCGGACGGTTAGGACGAGGTGGTCGAGTGATTTTACTGCGAATTTAGCCATTTTTGATATCCAAAGCTGATGTGCCGGGTTTCTGTTGATTGAGTAGGTGAAAGTAAGATGTTGCGGGGGACTGAGATGATGGATCGGCGAGTTGTCGGATCGCCGAGGTACCCGAATTCGGCTGCAGTGGAAAGTACCCGATTGGAGATGCTTAGTAGTACTGCTTACGCGAGTGTGATTCCATTTGAAATTGCTTAAATATGAACAGAAAATGAAATTTCCATGGACAACGAAAATAACTCCAGTTAGTTCTTAGAGGGAAACTTGAGCCACTTCTTGACGAAGCTCTTCCGCTCGCCACTCTCTGCATCTTTCGGAGCATAAAATCTCCTGGATGCATCGAGGTCGATCTCTAGGAGATCATTCCACCGTCTGCCACCGTAGTAGATCTTAGCTCCAATGTACAGGAACAAGATGGCTACAACAGACAGGTAGTTTGCGAAGAAGTTCTTCGCACTCGGCTTGTCGCCAAGTGGCCATACGGCGAGATAGAATTCCACAATGATGAGAAGAGAGCACCAGAACAGGCCCCAGTATGCGGCCCAAGGAAAAGCCCATGACTTCCATGGAAGCTCGGCCAGGGTACGGCCTTGGGCTTTCCAGGCGGCGCGCATACGGATGTGGGATAGACAGATCATGCCCCACCCGAAGAGAGTAAATAGAGATGTCAAGTTGGAGAACCAGCCGAATACGGTTGAGCCGCTGTCGCTAACGTTGAGGTAGGCTAGACCTCCTCCAATGATGAGAGTAGGAGCAAGGCCCCACCACGGACGACCCCAGCTATCGGTGTTTTGCATCTTCTATATTTGTTTAAGATAAGAGTACTGTTGTTAGCAAAGCTTGAGACTTAGAATTGAGGGAGAAGACTAACCTTTGGAGCCATGCCGAGCTGAGATAGACCGACCAAGATGCGAGATCCACCGTATCCGGAGATGCCACCGGTAGAGAGGACTGAGATGAGAATCACAGCGTTCATGATGTGTGCGAGCGGTTGCACTCCAGCATTTCGGTACATGATAACGAAGGGGCTGGCGTTGGTGCCGGATCCACCAAACAGGTTGTCATCCAGAGGGCTAACGTTGATTGTGATGATCAAGCTGCCGAGAATATAGAACAGACTCAATCGGATCCACATTGACTTTACGGCTTTGGGGACCGATCGGAGAGGGTTGCTCGTCTCAGCAGCAACGAGACCGGCATTCTCGGATCCGGATAGCGCAAAGATACAAGTCGGCATGACGGAGATGAATCCCTTGAACCCGTTGATGAAGGGCATCTCGTTCCAGAACTGGAACCCGATGGTACCTCCCGGTCTGGCTGGGTAGCCGCCTTCGGGGCCACCACCCGCTGACAGGACAATGCCGGAGATGATCACGATAAAGATAAAGCCGAATTTAATGGTAGCAGCAACTACTTCGATCTCGGCGAACCATTTCACAGCACCGACGTTCATGGCGACGATAACGAGCCAGAAAATGGTAATCAAAGCAGCTGTCGGGACCGCACTTGTCCAGAACCCGATAACAGTCACGACACCTTGTAATTCGTTGGCAATTGTGATCCAGAATGAAAGCCAGTAGGCCCAACCCAGGGCAAAGCCGGCGGATTGATCGACAAAAGTGTTGGTCCATTGCACGAACTACAATGGGATTCACAGGTGATTAGCATTATGACGGTAGAATAGTAGGCCGGAGAATAAAACTTACGGCGCTAGGCAGGGGATACATGATTGCCATCTCTCCAATACTGTGGCTGACACTCCAAATGATGCTCCCAGACAGCAGATAACCGATGAATATACCAGCTGGACCGGCGTTCATCAACGAGGTTCCTGATCCAAGCCAGAGACCCATGCCAATGGAGGACGCCAGACCGATCATACTAATATGACGGGATCCCAGCTGTCGCTTCAGTTGTGAGTCTGCACCATGGTCGGTCACCTCGTAGCTTTCTCCCTCCATAACCACCTCGGCATCGTTGCTCGGCAGAGCTTTTGTGTCACCATGCTTTTCGAAAGATGGGGTAGACATGCTGTATGATCAGCGGGCGCAAAACCCAATCAAAATGATGAAGCGATAGAAAGAAACTGGATTAACGAGGGCTCGCTCTTAGAAGCTCTCTCAAGGCGAGTACTGCAACGAGAGAAAGTCCCGGGGGCAAGAGCATTTTATAATGCGTTATCAGACTCGGGAGCTGGAGATCAAACCATCTCAGCAAGATATAGATCGAAACCGAAGGCAAATCTACCCCGAGGGCAGTACATAGTCGCGTGGCAGTGATTGGGTTGGACAAGGAGTAGGGGGGTCGTAGCGCCCGGGCTTATCAGTGGAATGCACCCATGATGCATGATTGGGGCCAAGGATGTCAACATCGCGACATATTTTTTGGGATTGAGCTGATTGGCCCCCGGGCTTAGATAACCATCACTGAAACAAATGGTGTGGATGGCCACGCGAAACAAGATAACCTAGATGAATTATCATGCGGGCCAAGAGCCCTACGTAACCCCGAGGCCCTCGGCCAAGGCTAAACTAGCCGCGTCTGATAACAATTGCACTAGTGAATTCGAGGTTAGAATGGGAGCTCAAAAAGAGGAGAATTGACGGTATGCAAAATCAAGAGTGGGGAATATTAAATAATGATGGAAAACTGTCGTCAATTCCATATAGAACATATGCATGAGAAATTTGCATGGTGCTCGCAGCCTCCAGCTGCAGATAAGAGGCCGCCATACTTTCTTGGCTACCAAGAGTCCAAGAGTCCAAGACTCCAAGACTCCAAGAGCGGAGGCAACAAAGTTCGCATTCTGGAAGGTTTCGCCAAGGTCACTAAGATCCTTGTATGTACAGGCAATAATAACCTTATCAGTAAGACGGGCATCAGATGCTTTCCCGATTCTCCTAGATAACCATAACTTATTTTTGGCTTATCGCGCCAAGTTATGCACCAGGTTATGAAGGCCCCCATTCAAATTCTGGAAAGAATACCGAAAAGGATCCTGTTAGTGCTCTAGGCCGAGCTCCTTTTTCTCTGTTCGGTGAATTAATCCGAAAATCCTCATTCGTATAGCCATTAGAGTTCGAAGTAGCACTCCTTATATGGAGTGATATTGGGGAAATATTTAGCGACGGCCTGCTCACATCTAGTGACACTTTCCAAGAGGTATAGAAATGCACTTCGCTCAAAAGAGTCATTAGTGCGTTGGAGTTCAGCTCTCGGCTTTGACCGTGCCACCCGGAAGGGGGAGGAAGATTTGCAATGCCATAACCGCATTGGAACGGCAGTGGCATGTATTTGCCACATTGATATTGAATCTGGGGTAGTCGGGCAATGCAAGCAGGCGAAACCGGTTCTCTTTCCGATCGACCTGCGCCGAGACAAATGCCCAGAGGGGGACTCTAGGTTCGTGCTACAATAGGGTCTCGTCGGTTGGCCCGATTGGTGCATGCCGATAAGCAGGGGGTATAAGTCGTTGATGCAATAGGGTCGATCCCTGTCACGTTTCCTTGCAGGTCTGCGGCTCGGCATGGGACATAATTCGAAGCAAGGAATGCTAGAGTCGGTGACCGCAAGAACCACATTCGGGGTTTCCTTTGACATCACTGTTCCGAAGTTATGGCATGCCGTTAAGACTGTTTGAGCGAAATCTGAGTGTAGATTATCAACAAGGAAAGTATTCTCTTCTTTCGCTTTGGGGGAATGTCTGGGTAAGCAGAGGAAAACCCTGGGATTCACTTAGGTGAGTCACGAAGATTATGTACGGGCTTTAATGTAAACACGGGTTACTCTCATGCTCACACCGTCACACGGGTCATATGACGCGCTAAGCATAATCGGGATGTATTGATGTCTTGATCTGCCTGAATCTGCCTCAAATTGATCCCTTCTCAAGTCTATTCTCGAGTCTATTCTTAAGTCTATTTTTAAGTTCATTCTTAAGACCATTCTCGTTTAGACACTAAGATCTATACGCGTTCTGGAATACAACTCATCGGACCTCCTATGAATTATGATGAGCCATTGACATCAATCTGGAGAACATGCATATAACCGAAATTTAACATTTGAATAACATTTGAAACTATACTCAAAGAAATATCACCAACAACACAATCTCATTGGCGAAGCTAATATTGGCGTGAAGCCGACCGACACAAAACCTTGGAACAATTAGCCAAATCGTCCAGAAAGCGCAGCCAAAGAGATTTTAAAGTCTCTGACAGTGGGACATTCCAAAAACACATGACTTTGCAGTACTATGTTGAGTTCAGTTGCGAACTTTTCCACCAAAACAAGCGATAGGAGGGAATCAACTCCCATCGAAGACAGCGATGTCTCATCAGTCATATCTTCCAGGTCCATTCCTGTCTCAGAGGCAATCAAAGCCATTGCTTGAGCGACCACGACACTTTCTGTGACTTGCCCTTGATTGCCAACAGAGAAACCCTTTCTTGGCCCTGGCAAATTGCTGGAACATTCTCTTTCAACTGGGCTTGGAGTCACTGTAGAGAGATCTGTTGGCGGTGTGGATACAGTCATTTCATCTTCAGAAGAGACGACACAACGATGAAGTCCCACTCCAGCCGATACAAGCGATTTGAGTCCGTCTCGTGGAAAGAACCGACCGAGGAGTACTCGCGGATATGACCGAAGCGTCATTCTTCCGATGACGCCGATCACCTCGTTGGCTTCGAGGACATATACGTCGCCCTTGCAGAGTGTTGTGCTCTCAGGGACAGGTTGCATCTTGACATAGGTTTGATACTTGATTCCCGGCGTTAGTGGTCGTGCGAAGCGCATTGATTGCCAACTGTCCATCACGAATATGTTGTTTCGATTGTCTGCAGCATTGCCGCAGTTGAGAGCAAAGCCTCGGATGTGAGCAATGGGGTCAATAAACTGCGGGCAGACGGTCCACTTGCCATCGGATGGAGGGCTGAGAATAACCTCTGCTGTGGCCTCCATACCGTTGAGAACGACGGACTGCATTCCATGGTAGGGTTTGGAGTACTCGACAAGTGTCTGGAAGAGAGTGTATATCAGGTCTCGCGATAGGCGACTAGCCTGGCCCTTGTTTGCCATCTTGTTGAGAATATCGATTCGACTGGTAAGTAAATGGGTGAGATCTGCCCATTCTTTCATCCATACTTGCGAGTTTTCAAGTTGCACAACACCAGTTGCGACCAACTCTTGGTTATTTTCAGAGAGGAGGTGATACCACGACATATCGATCACGCCTCGCTTGAGGTCTGCAGAAGCTTTAACTTGAACAATTTGAGTCCCCGTCTGATGTTCATGGGGCATCAGGCCTTTGAGAATCTGCACGTTGGAAAAATCCATTGCGGGCAAAGGTGCTCCTGGCCGAATATTTGTGTGAAGATAATTCGCTAATGTCAAGGCCATGTCGGTATAGGCAAACTTGATGATTGAGAGTTAGTTTAGTTGACGCAAGAAGATCTTTCTGATTATGACTTACCACAGACACGACGGGTCGGCCATTCATCTTATGACCTGACGCAACACGGAAGAAATCCGAGTCGACAATATTGGACCGAACAGTCACTGTGCCTCTGTCATCCAATATACTCTCCTCTACCAGCTGGTGTATCAAGGTTGTGCGCAAAGAAGGCTCATGCATGATCCCGGTAGCCTGAGGGCTGCGAGACCCTTTGTCCTTGACAAGCATCCAGTCACCGTTATACTGGATCCAGTGATTCTTATTCTTCCAGTGGTATGCTGGAAGATTCAGAAGACGTAGCTCAGTCTCGAAGGGCTGATACCAAGAATTCCAATTCAATTCCACGCCTGCGTGGTATAACTCTGCCATTCCCTTTGCGAATGTATGCCAATTATCTTCCTCTTGCCTCAAGCTTGGGAAAATGAGAGGAGGTTTCTCAAATGCCGCACGAACCGAGTTACTGTACGTTGGGTGGGCTCCAATCTCAATCCAAATCGTGTTGGAATCAATCGCACCCAATTCTTGAGCCTTTTCAAGCACATTGACAAATTGCACAGGCAGTCGTGTCATATTCCGCAGATAATGACTGTCAAATGTATTTCCATCGCTGATGCAGCTTGCCAAGGATGGTGATAGTACAGGTACTTGGGGCTCTTTGAATGTCACTGCTTGGGCGACCTTTTCAAACCTGTCAAGGATTGGCTCAATCTGCGAAGAGTGAAAGGCATACTCCACATTGAGCTTGGTTGATCGATAACCGCACGATGTGAGGGCCAATTGAACCTTTGAGATGCTGTCGGCAGTTCCCGCGATCGAAATATTGTTGTGTCCATTGAGACAGGCCACTTCAAATGGTATATCCTGTGCGATGTTCCGAATCTGGTCAATGGTCGCCCGGACTGCGAGCATGGCATGGGTGTTTGGTGTGCAGAGTTCCTTGAGCAGCATTGCTCGTTGACCGACAAGAAATATGATATCGCTGGCGCAGAGAACACCCGCTGCATACAATGCTGGGTATTCTCCCAGACTGGCACCGATGACCATTCCAGGAGTCACTCCAAGGCTGCTCCATAAGCGACACAGTGCCATTGCAATGCAAACTGCCAGTAAATTGATCACAACAGGATCTGTCTCTATTGAATCGGAAGTTTTGGTCGCGATTGACGGTACAATAGATGGAAAGCCATGGAGAATACAGATCTCGTCCAGACGCCTAATTTCGTCTCCAAAAACGGGTTGATTTTCAAACAACTGACGGCCAACACCAACATAATGACTACCTTGACCAGAGAAAACTAATGCAGTCGATCGTGGGGTCTTTGAGACTGGCCTCTGAGAATCGTTGGTTTGCAATTGCTGACGAAGGGAATTGGTGATCTGCTGGATTGTCGCACCCTCAGCAGCCACACGATATGGGTGATGCATTCGACGTGCTGTAGTGGTATAAGATAGACTGGGGAGGTGAATGGTGGGATCGCTTTCTAAGTGATCAATGAGATTTTGCAAGTTTCCTTTCAGAGAGAAGATATTCTTGGCTGAGACCCCTACGACGAAATTTGTGCACGCCCAGCCTTTTGGATCAGGCCTGACAGGAGGTTCTTCTAATAAAAGACTGGTATTACCTCCGGCCGCACTGAAATTGTTCACCATAGCATATCGCTTGCGCGTTGAACTTCTGGGCCATGGGGTGTTTGTTTGTGGGATGCGTATATTCAAGTCGTCGAGTGCAGGGAATCGCGGATTCAATGCTGTTTTGATGCCAACGTGTCGAGGAATTTCATTGTGTTGAAATGCCAGAAGAACTTTGATGAGTGCTGCCATCCCAGCCGCTGCCTCCGCGTGCCCGACATTGGCTTTCACGGAGCTGATGTACAATGGGTGTGTTCGTTCCACACCCGGGGGGCTAAAAACGCTGGTAACAGATTCCATCTCGATCACATCGCCGACTTGGGTCCCCGTACCATGCATTTCGACCACATCCACATCCAGTGGGCTGACACCTGATTGAGTCAAAATTTGCCTGAAAAGGTTGGCCTGTGTTGCCGCGTGAGGATGGGTGATGGAGACTGCATTAGCAGAGTGATTGGTCGCACTTCCAACAATGATGCCCAGTATGTTGTCATTGTCTTGCTGCGCGTCTGCGAGTCTCTTGAGCACGACAGACCCAACCCCGTCTGCGCGACAGTAACCGTCCGCGTTGGAGTCAAAGACTTTACAGCCGCCGGTCAATGAGAGAAAATATCCTCTGCTCAGGCCAGCAAAGCTATCTGAGTTCGTGAGGATATTGACTCCCCCTGCAACCACCATGTCCGCATCACCGTGGAGAAGCGACGTGCAGGCAATCTGAATTGTGGCCAGGCTTGCAGAGCACGCCGTGTCGCAGTTGAAACTTGGACCACTAAACTTGAAGAAGTAGCTAATCCGACCGGGCGCAAAGGCTCGATAATTGCCAGGAATGAAATAAGTATCGACGTTCTGTTCGGCATTTGCCTCGCGATAATCATCACAGCATTGGCCGTAGAACGTTCCAACTCGGAGTTTGTTGGATGACGGTGTGCGATCATGGGTATATCCAGCATGTTCAAGAGCCTCATAAGCTGTGACAAGAGCCAAGCGATGAGTAGGGTCGGTTTGTCCAGCCTCGCGGGGGGACATGTCAAAAAAACCAGCATCAAACAATCCAGGTTGGTCAATAAAGCAACCGAAGGGGCTCATGCTCGTGTTTGGACGTTTGCCCGTAATATCGGTATGGGTGTCAACATCGAATCTATCTGCTGGGACCTTGCAATGAACATCACGTCCCCCTTCCAGCAACTGCCAGAACTTCTCTGGATCATTCGCTCCGCCTGGAAAACGACATGATATGCCGACGATAGCAATCTTCTTTGATCCAATGCCGGGAAAGGCTTTGTCTTCTTCGATCCATTTCCCTAAATCATGAAGTGTTGACCTGATGCCGGGATAGATGGCTGAAATCTCGTGTATTAAATTATCCACGGTGATATGAGTAGTTCCCACTATCTCAACAATGAGCTGTGTTTCATCGCTTAAAGCTGGCGATTCACAAAGAGCTGCGGCCACTTTGTCCCAGCGAGTCAGTTTCGTTAATAGTTCATTAACTGCGGCCTGAAAGAGTTCGAAGACTGTGCGACTAGCCATAAATTCCCCATCACTGGGAGATATTATGTTAGCGACATTGAGAAGATCATCATGTCCTCGAAGTGTTTCTTTGCTTTCCTTGACAACCCAAAGAACGTGGCTCTGGTCGAACAAATGGGGTGCGTGAGATGGGCCCCAATGCATATGCAATGCAGGTGCATGACTTGCATCCTTTAGCGGCCCGCACTGCATTAGTCTGCCCAATTTGGAAGGAGATCCAGAAATCATGACATTGTCGACTCCATGTATAGCGCTTAAAAAGATTCGACTGGGATGCGAATCAGGAAGTCCCTTTGAAGATCTAGGTTAGCAATCAGTCGAATTCGCATTTGACGTTTAGCCCCACCACATCTACTCCGTGGTCATTGGTGCTTACTTACCAGGTAGGCATTGAAATCCTGGACTTCATCTCGGATTGTGTCTTCGCTAGCGCCTTGAGCATTCAAAGTCCAACTGTTAAGAGCGGTACTTGTGGTCTGGGGTTCGAGCTGCCGGGCTCTCTGCTGCATGACGATGCCGGTCCTAAATGCGATACGGATTGCCTCCGCCCCGACAGTTGGTAAGTCTGCCAATGTAGGAGTGAATTGACCCTGAGGGTCTTGAATCCTGCTGTGCGATTCTCGTAGTTCCTATGACTGTTAATTGTCGACCGGAGAATTCATTCGAGGATTTGAGTGCTTACCCAAGAAAAAGACAAAGTGATATGAAACAAGAGAAAGCATTGCTCAACGGCCCAGCCAATGGCGCAGACTGCCAATCTTAACTCTCGATCATGTCCAGTACAGACTGGAATGGAGGCAGGTCGGTCTTCAACTCAGCTGAAAGCCGGCGAAACTCCTCTCGCAGCACCCTCGTGCTCTCCGATAAGTACCATCTCAGTATGTGATCATCTGAAGACTTTGATCGAATTCGCAGCTTCTTGCAGATAATTGAGTATTCGTGTACCGCGGGCGGCTCGACGAACAAGATGAGTTTCATCCTGGATGATCTAAACAACAAAACTTGATGGTCAATAAAAAACTTCTACCATTAAGCTCACTCCCAGTCTGTTATAGCAGTTGGCAAGCTCAATGATTGACCCTTTTATGTGACCCCTGATGTTATCACGGATCAATTCGGAAGCAAAAACAATTCAAGTGGCGCCGAGTACTCGGTTTACCCAAGACATAAGTCTTAGATCACTCATGCAAAGAGACAACATCACCGGTGGCTGAGAACGAAATCACCACATCTCGTGCTCAGTATCCAATGAAAGATTCACGTTCGTATCATTGATCTGTAGATTGGAACCGGAATGAATTGAACGATTTGCATGATGGGAATACTGCAATCGAGCTTGATGAACGACAGGTGTGGTTGCATCGATTGAGATTAGGATACATGCCATGGTTCAATCAATTCATCAATCAATCAATTATGCCAAGGGTAGTTATGCTGTCAGATTACCGGCAAGGGTAGGCTAGAATTTGACTGGGTAAGCTTGAAATCTTCTACGAGATAGTTGTTCGAGGCCACGTTGTCTCACCTGGCAGGTAGGCTGGTAGCCAACGAAAAACTTTCCAGCGCCTCATTAACATAGTAAGAGGAAGGTGAAAGCGAAGTGAAAGCAGTAGATACTTGCTTCGATACGTATGCACGTTCATGCAAATAGTATCGATAAATTTTCGCGAACACGAGAAGTGAATGTAGGAATCTATGCGAAGGGGAATTTGGACATCGGCAGTATTGATCGATGCGCACGGTCAATAAAAAGGGTCACCCACTCGCTTTGAACTCTCATCGAAATTGCATTATCAGTGTCCAACGATGGGTATCGCCGCTTCAATTCTACATTCACTGTTGCTTATGACGGAGAAGGCTCTGGCTGGTGGGATGGCCATTGACCCAACCCAGCAAGACAGCATCTTTCGAGTTTGCCAACGCCTTTGTTTACGACTTCAGTCCCCATCTCGCCGACTGGATGATCTGTCATACAGAGTGATTATTCTCCTTCCTCTCTTTACCTCCTAGTATTCATGGCTGATTACGAGCGTGTATATCTGATAGTTATCTGAATTGGTCACTGTGAAGATCGCGATCGATATGGGAGTGTTCGACATACTTTCCAAGCAGGATTCTGAGTTCACAGCCGCCAATATTGCATCGGACCTAGGAATTGACACCCTTCTCGTGGGTGAGTGACTTTGTTCCTACGACTTCCCCGAGAAATCTCTAACGATACTAGAACGTGTCATGCGCTTCTTGGCCGTTAGTGGACTTGTGCATATCACACCCACCAACGCCTATACGTCAGATCCATGCGTGAAATATTTCAGTCAGGGCGGATATATGCGAGACCAAATGATCTTTCTCCAGTAAATACTACCCTCCAGGCTTCTTATACTATCATTTTGTATACTGACAGTCGCCTCCTACTAAGTGACGTGCATTACCAAGTGTTTCCCAAGCTGGCTGGTTTTCTGGCTGACACCAAATACCGATCACCCGACGATGCCGACTCAGGACCATTTCAAGTGGCCATGAATACAACTGAGCACTTCTTCGAGTGGCTGGGAAAGCGAGATAAGCAACAGACTGCTTTCAACAATCTTATGCAGAGCAGTCGTGGAAGGAAATACCTTGTCAAATGGCCAGAGATCTTCCCTGCTGGAGAACAGCTTTGCCGTTTCCGAGGTCTCACTCCCTCCAATCACATCCAGTTTGTGGATATTGGAGGCGGAGTGGGCCAGGAAATCGAAGCCCTTGTTGACTCAGTACCAGATCTATCGGGTACCTTCATACTGCAGGATATCCCTGAGGTTGTAGCAAGCTGTGTCCTGGCCAAACGAAACGCGTTCCTAAAAACGCAAGAGTTTCAGATTATGGAACATGACTTCTTCCAGCCCCAGCTGGTGAAAGGTGCTGACTTCTACTTTCTTGGTCGTATCTTGCACGATTGGCCTGATGTCCAGGCTCGCCAGATTCTCGGCCATATTAGGGATGCTATGGACGAACACTCGGTTCTTCTTGTTCATGATCGTGTTCTCCCGGATTGTGCAAGCGAGGTATACCCGAAAGATGTTCAAGCTGACTTTATTATGATGGTTATATTTTCTTCTTTGGAGCGCACCGAGTCACAGTTTAGGGACCTGTTCGAGTCAGTTGGTCTCGTGCTGTGCCGGGTATGGAGACCGAAGAAATGCCTGGAATCCAGACAAGCAGTGTTGGAAATTGTGAAAGAGAAATCGTCTCCTTCCATTATATTGCCGTTGAGCGCATGAGAAGTCTTGATGGTGTAATTGTTTAATATGTTCGACTTATTATCGGTTCTTGTTCATATCGAATATCCCCCCACTCCATTATGTTCATGTTTCTATCTCGGATTCTTTATTTTTGCTCCTTCAAATACAAGTTTACAGAAGTTTTTGAACGTTTGAATTCCTATGTAATCTCTCGCAAGTTACCTCGGTATGAGAGTAAGTTTTGAAGATAATTGAAATATAGATTGGACCAGTCTCTTCAATGTTGGTTTCAGACACCGTATGTAAATCTTGGAATGTCTCAAGATACGTACAGGAAGAGACAACCTTAGACTGCGGGACTCAATCGTTTATCGAGGCTTCGTAACTGACGAGGTTCTACTATATAGCGTACTCGCTTACATATTATTGATTAAGTTTACGAATCCCTTAACTTCCACGGTTAGAGAGAGTATAAATCACATTAGTAACGGAGATGTCATGTACTCCCTAGTACTCATTGCCTATGTCCGACAGTTTACTCTCCAAATGCCAAATATCTCGAAAGCGCATCAATTGATGCACAGGAACGGATCATTAGGCATTCCCATGGTAGTGGAAATGATACTCACGCCACCTGCAGACTTCGTGAAGTTTTCAATAGGGCGTAACGCATAGACCCCCCTACATGTAAGCACCGTTATCAATCCAGCCATCAAAAGGCTACATAGGGCTAAACCTATCATTTCCGTATACCTACTATGCCGAGAACTTCTCGGAAGTGCCATATCCGAGAGCTCCTGTCAAAAACCTGACCAATATGCCAGTTCCCAGTTTTCACCTTCACATTTCCGTTATATCCTAGGAACCGCGTGACCTCAAGTTCTTGTAGTCTGACCCCCCTTTTCTCCAAGCTGCTGTTTAGATGTATAGTCAATCGAACATGACTGGGTGCATCATGTTTCCTGCTTATCTTACAGGGTTCCTCATATGAATATCAGAATAATACATTAGAATATTGTTCTGAAGAAGAAGAATCCGGAAAAGTATTCCGGCGAATCCATCTTGGAAGGTGATCAGAAATCTTTCCGTTTTTTGTAACATAACATAAAAACATTTCCACATTCAATTTAGCGCTGAAGGTGTTCCTATGGATATTGAAAATCAAAGTTGGAAGTCAATCAGGATGTGCACTAATATTTGCGTTTGTTACATGATTTATTTCTGATACCTCGGCGTTTGAAGTCTCGGCATCTGAACATTGAAGTATCCGGCTTTCCGATTTCGGGATTTGTTATTGCGGGATCCGGAAGTTCGGGATCTGGCTGTACGGCCTATGATAAAACGGCATCTGAAACTTCGCTGTTTGATACAAATAAATCGGGCTCGTCGCTCATGTAGCATATTTAGTAGTGCCAGTAGTGATTTCCTAAAAGAATCACATATTTTTTCAGGGTCTAGTTGCTGGCCGTGGAGGTCATCGGCGCTGCACAATGCGCCAATTTCGATATCCGTTGTTGGATGTAGTTGGCTCGAGCTGCACTGTAACGCTGTCTCCGATAACACCGTCGTAAACCTTGTGAATACTTCCAGACATCACAAAGGCATCGAAAATCGCAGACAATGTAAGTACCAATGTCCGATGCTGCAAGATAACGGATGAGATAGTTGAATACAGAGTCAAGTCTCACATCCGTCAAGTATATCCTGCAATATGCTCCGGGGCTGTAATTCCACGTTGCAAGTACCGCACTGTGAACATTAGAAAGTTCACGCGGGAGGAAACAAAAACTAAGAGGTGCGGGGCGCAAATGGCCATATCAGATCCTTGAGATCCTTGATATTACTAGTCAACGGTGTTTCCCGGCGTTCAGGCACGAGAATCGCACGTAAGAACTAGTGCACCGACCAATGAATTAACATCCCTCGATGTATGCATGTGTGGTGGGGTTGAATGAACCACGAAGTGTGGATTTTGCGGAGAGGGTTAGGCAGATGAGCCAAACGGAACCCAAGGCATAATGTCAGCTGAAGCGTAAACTATGCATTGTTGATTTTGATCTCAGCTGCTTGTGTCTTGCCTTTTTTGGATGGGTGTTTCTGTATGATTCGGCTAAACCAGGAGTGAACAGAGAAGAAAGAAAAATGCAAAAAGGAGAAGAACAAAGAGGTGCATCCAACTGATGCTTTCGGTCAGAAGCTCCGTTAGTTCCATGGTTGACTTTTCGAAGACAAAGGTATCAAATACCCGCCTGACAGGTTTCTTACACAATTCAGCCAATGAAAGGTCGCAGAATACGAGACCGGGGAGTTTACTGCCAGAAAGTTGTAATGCGAGTCATGATGCTATCTAGATCTTACTCGGGGTCTAGCCTCACTTAGACATTGTGGCGTCGAGGAGACAAGGAAATACGTCGGAAATGAAGTTTATTCATCTATCGCGATTTCTTTATAATAATGAGATAGTCTTTCTTGCGACTCGGAGCTGATTTTATCCTTATTTCATTTTTTTTGAAAGAAAGCATCTCTAGCACAGTCAATCCGACTCAAAGCGATGGAAAAAAGATCAACACTTCAAATATTCCGAAATCTTTTGCGGCTCTCGCGGTTCGACAAGTACAACCCATTTTTAGGTACTTTTGCTGGCGGTAAGATGGGCCTTTGAGCAAACATCAGCGAAACGCTTCTTCTAACGCGATGACTTCAGTTTGGTCTGCTTTTCTAGCAGGCATTACCAAGGTGCATACCGAGCCCACCACAAGCGACATACGCACGATATTCCAGCAAATCGGCCTATGCTTCCTATACCTCTATGTTCTTACAGGCGCGGGAATGGTCTGGAATGATTGGGTTGATAGAGACATCGACCGCCAAGTAGCGCGAACCAAAAACCACCCTCTCGCGTCTGGCAAGATCAAGACATCCGAGGCGCTATCATGGATGGTTTTCCAATACGTGGTCGCGTGGTACATTCTCGACTTTATGCTCTCAGGTGAAGATATGTAAGCACTGCGAACCCAACTTGAAAATACCAGGGAAATTCCCGCTAATGGCTTTGGCATGGAGTAGATCTTATTCTTTGCTCCCAACAACCGCCGGGATTATCCTATACCCCTTCTGCAAGCGACCCACCGCCCAAAAACTTGGAGTCTATCCCCAATTCGTTCTTGCTGGTGCAGCCGCCTGGACCATTATCACCGGGGGAGCAGCAGTTGCCCCTGAATATTTGGCCTACCAGTACCCGCTGTGTATGCTCGTGGTAACATGGATTGTGTATATCAATACCGCGTACAGCTATCAGGACATGGTAGACGATGCGAAGATGAAAGTCAATTCTCTCTATGTTCTTGCGGGCGGATATCTTAAGTTGGTTGTCACGGTTTTCGCGGTTGGCGTTCCGATCTCCATTGCCTGGGTATTAACACGCGTTGATGCGTCGCCGTGGCTTTGGATCTCTTGGATGGGTGTTTGGTCTGTGTCTTACGTGGAGCAATTGGCTGGATTCTCGGCGACGGATCCCCGCAGCGGAGGTCCTGTTCATGCGAAGAATTTTGCTTTAGCGGCTTGGACTTTTGTGGCTTGCAGTGTTGAGCTCCTGCTCGGTGTCTACCCGAAGCTTCACTGGTCTGTTTCTGTTTGATAGAGACATGCTCGTTGCGAGTGACAGCGATTTCCATGTCATATACTATGATTTCTTGGGTTTAGTGAATATGAAGACACACCTGTTAATAGGAAATTTTTTCGAGTGCTGGAGCTTGGTACTAGTCACAATTACTAATGATTGAAATTATTTTGATAAAAGATTCGGTGTTCGGTTCGGCGATCAAAAATTACAAGTAACGATCTCCGAGTCTTCAAAGGCCGAGAGACCAAAGGCCGAGAACATCAGACACCGACTGTACAATGCCGTAAAGTCATAAGCCGACATCGAGCGTCGATACGGCCTTTACTACAATCTACTTGCAATTTTCAGTGCGAATATTGCCTAATTTTTGAATTTATTGTTTTTATTGATTTTCACCTTCTAGAGCTTTTCGACTAAAAATTGATCATGAGACTACGGGTTACTCACCTTTGCTGATCAATTTCCAACGGTATGATCTCGTTAGGCCCACGCCCTGCCTGCAGTTAATATGCATTGAACGAATTTATCCTGTCCACAATTCATGTCTGGAGCTCACATGCACATGCAATATCCAATTTTCTATCAAATCATGACTCTGAAACCTATACGAAGCACGATATGTACGCGAGAAGATCTTATGCGACTCAATTATCAAAGCACACACCAAAATTTGACTCTACTCTGCCTTATTTGCTGCTTATCTAGGAACCGCTGCTGAGCCGAGCAGAGCCGAGCTGCAATAACGCTTTCGCTTTTGGTTATAGTTTGAACATGCAGGTCGAAACAAAATGCTAAACTTACAAGCAAGTACATATACCTTCTAAGTACATAAGACAGACCCTTCAAATGTTCACCCGAGAGCGTAAAGTCGAGAATGCATGTGCACGCGACCACGTCGAACCTTGAAATCACATGAAGCTATGGTACGTTTCCATGTAGCTGCAATGGAATGAATGGACCTCGGAGGTCCGGATCATAGTTCCAGGCAAACCTTTGCATTTATCGAAATACGGGAAAAATCAATTGCAGATGAAATACTAAAAAAAATACAAAGGCAATACTGATAAAAACAAGGAATAGGAAAGAGTCGGAAAGAGAGAAAGGGAAAGGTAAGTTCGGGGCATAGTAGAATTGTGTAAGATATCATATCGGTCACATTAAGTTCAGGAAACAGTGAGGAACTGTAGTAATCATGGTGGAAACGAATCAGGTCATCCATTACAGAATATACAAGGATGAAATTTCAACCGCTACATTGTATGCTATTCTAAACATTCCAACCTCAATTCCATTAATCAAACAAAATGGACCTACTTGACCTAAGCACGGCTCCAGTGGAGTATCAAAAATATGCATGGATCGCCAACCTCTCTTTCTCTGCTCAAGGACTAGGGTGGGCCATACACTACTTCCTACAGGCACGAAAATCACTTCGTGACAAAACCTACTCGCAGGCCATCTTTCCACTTTGCGCCAACATGGCCTGGGAATTCGTGTATACATTTATCTATCCCCCAAAGAGCCGAATTCATGCGACCATCATGGGCTCTTGGTTCTTCCTAGGATTGATCGTCATGTACTCGGCAGTGAAATCGTCGCCGCGTGAGTGGAAACACACCACCTTGGTTCAGCGTTATCTTCCAATCATATTCGCTGTCGTGTTGCTGTACTTTATTTCTCTGCACTGGGCCTTTGCGGAGACTTGGGGGCCTGCAGTCACGGGGCCATGGTCGGCGATGTTTTGCCAGGAATTACTCCTCTGGGGATCGTTGTCCCAGCTTCTGGTTCGGGAGGACAGTCGGGGCACTTCGTATACTATCTGGTAAGTCAAGTCTTGCAAAGTTGCTATCATGAAGCACTACACTAGGTGTTCACCCTTGCTGATGTATATTTAATGTTGGCACAGGCTTACGCGATTCCTGGGGACCTTGGCTGGAGCTCCGGGGCAATCACTTCGGTACCGTTATTGGCCGGAGCAGTTCGGTTGGCTTCGGAGTCCAATAGTGAGATTTCACGTGTTGTTTGGTACTGTAGCTGAGATTTCGTATGGTATTATTCTATGGCGGATTCGACGGAAGGAGGCCCAGGATGTGAAAAAGGTCACCTAGCCCTACAACCCGTTTGTGATCCCGGTCCGGTGGGAATTGAGGAGACTCGCGGACAGAAATCAATATAATGTCATGTGTCCTCCAAAAGAGGAAGGGGGCCTGGGTCGGGCTCAAATGTTTTTCTTTTTAGGAAATAGGGGTGGGTTGTGACTTATCAGCTTGAAAGATGTCGAAATTCCAACAAATATGCACATGTGGACTAGGATGGTCTTGGTCGAGGTAATTCCTAGATACTACCTTGATAGTTTTTCGGTTAATGCACAATATTGAGGTTGACACTCTGGTAGTCTCCAATTTATTACAATGTATTCTGTAGTTACAAGGCTTAGTCGCGGCCAACTTTCTCTCTGTCAACAGCCAGCTAGGGGTGATCATGTGACGGGTGTTCTCGAACCGCAGGCACCCGAAAGACAAAGAGATAAAGTTCAAGATAAGCCTGTCCTCGTTCAGGCGTGAGTGAACAATATAAGAAAACTCCCTCTCCGCATTTTTATTTCGTGTTCATACGATTAAGCACCTAGAGGCTTAGTATGTCTTGACTCCACAATTGAAGATTTCTTAAAGCCATAAAGTAGAGCCTAGAGGCTCCCAGGTTTTCATGACGACACAGGAAATCAAGAGCCCTCGGGGCAATGGACCTTTTAAGGTGGTCATTGTCGGCGGCTCTATCGCTGGTTTAACTCTCGCCCACTGTCTGGATCGTGCTGGAATCGATTATGTTATCTTAGAGCGACGCAAAGATGTTGCTCCACAAGAGGGGGCTTCTATTGGAATTATGCCTAATGGCGCTCGCATCTTGGAACAGCTAGGGCTCTACTCAGAATTGGAGGCTGCTGTCCACCCGCTTGAAACCGCCCACATAACGTATCCTGACGGATTTTGTTATCAAAGTTATTTTCCTACTCTTATCTCTGAACGGTGAGTTAGACTTCTTTCATTGTCTTCTTTTTCTCCTAGTTAAACATTATACCTACCTTGCTCTCCCATTTTTCCTCAACCCCTTCCTCCCCCCAGCTGCTCATCCTCTAAAACTAATTTCCCCTAGATTCGGTTTTCCTCTAGCTTTCCTCGATCGGCAAAAAGTTCTCGAACACTTGAGCGGTTCTCTTGCAGACGCGAGCCGGCTCCACTGCAGCAAGACAGTACATCGCGTCGAGCAACGCGAGAACAATATCCGAGTGCACACTACAGACGGAGCCTACTTTGACGGCGATCTTGTCGTGGGTGCAGATGGCGTCCACAGCACAATTCGAACCGAGATGCTGCGCCTGGCAGAGAAACGCAAGACATTGGCACAGTCGCTCAGTTCCATCACGGTAGAATACGGCTGCATATTCGGCATATCTAAACCCCATCCAAATCTCAAAGCAGGACAACAAATATCCTGCTACAACGATGGCTGGAGCATCCTGAGTGTCATCGGCAAGAACGGCCATATCTACTGGTTCTTGTTCTTCCGTCTCGACCAACGCTATAGCTATAGCGACGCCCCGCGCTTCTCCTCCTCCGAAGGTGCTAAGCAGTGTGAAACTTTTGCTAGCGAGCCATACTGGCAGCAGATAACCTTCGGCGAGGTGTGGGAGCGAAGAGAAACGTTCAATACAACTGTTCTGGATGAATATGTGCTTTCGAGATGGCACTGGGGCAGGATTGTTTGTCTGGGCGATAGTGTGCATAAAATCGCTCCGCATACGGGACAGGGCGCTAACTGTGCTATGGAGGACGCCGCTGCTCTCTGTAACATCTTGCAGCCGTTCGCTAAATCTGGGCCTCCTTCTCAGGTTCATCTCGATGGCCTACTACGGGCGTTTGTGAGCGATCGTCGACGTCGAATGGAACAGATAGCGAATATTTCTCGGATTTCCATGAGGATCCAGGCTCGTGAGGGCCTCGTGAAGCTGATTGTGGGTCGGTATATATTTCCATACGCTGGTGATATCCCAGCCAATAAGGCTTCTCATGGAATTGCTGATGCCCCGATGTTGGCGTTCCTGCCGGCCCCTCAACGATCTGGGACCGGCTGGAATGAGTTTGGGAGCAAAACGAACGGGCGCAAGGGTATCCTCATCACTGTGCTCATGCTAGTATTTGGGGTCCTGCTATGCCTCAAGATAAGGTAGGAAGACAATTTATCTGGGATTATCAAGAATCTCAACATGAGGCATTTCTTTTTGTTGGTCTCGTGTGTATATGTCATCACCTTACTTTATTTGTACGAGATCTTGCCTGCACATGTGTACTCTATCTATACCCTCCAGCCTTCAATGTTCCTACGGTATATTTTTTTCGGGATCAATATCACACATTTTCACTTATATCCTCCCCTCACAGGCTGAGTTGGCCCTGAATCATCCGAGGATATTGATGCAGCGCCTTATTTGGTTTAAGTCTCCCATGTTCTTGGAAAAAGACGGGGCCTCAAATCGAGATGCAAATAATACTAGAATCCTATGTACTCCACCAGCTCCACCATGAACACTATCTGGTGGAGCCACTTCGGCTATCTACCCGGGCCCCGCCCTGTCCGTCCCGTCAATCCCGTAGAATACATATGAGTGACCTGCAGCATATATAACTTCAAGGTTTGTTGTCTTCTCCTGCATCAAACGTCTGGGTGTGATGATTGAAATTGTGACCCAAATCCTATGGCCATGATTCTCGTTTTGACTTGACGACCTCCTTGTTCCGGATATAATCCTTATCGTTTCCATTGATAATCCCGGCGTCTTCGAGGTCGTTCAAGACACCCAGCACGTAGTCCTGACAACTCCAATCTACCACCTCATTGCCGATGTGGGTGGAGTCTGCTATATATTTGACCATCTCGATTTTGCTTGTATCGATTCGACAAAGCGGCAAGAGGTCGATAAGGTCGGTCGAAACGCGTGGATTTGACGGCGTTCTTATCACACGAAAGTATTTGTGACGCGTGCCGAGGACTTGGATGATGGTCTTGTCGGTATTCTTTTCAGTCTCGATAAATAGGCTCCAATCCATAATGCCTGGATTGTCTTCTATGGCCACGAAAATCGGAGAGGTGGAACCCATTTTGCCTCGTTTTCAATGAACTGCTAGAGGATGTGGAAAGCAAAGTCAAAATGATTTATTGGGCCGAAAGAGGTGCACTTGAAAAGACAGACTTACTCCGCACTAAAGTACATCAAATCACGCTACGCGCGGTGAATCTGGCGCCAAGGCAATCGGGCATCCACAATTTGGCCCCCAATTTCACGATTACACTGCCTCGATTGAGGCTGTTGTTTGTTCCTTCTATTTTAGTCGTCTTTCCCCGCCCAACCACTTTCGTCACTTTTTTTTTGCGCTTCCGTGAGCTTCCACTCCATCTAAAATACATATTCTACTTGGTATTAGGATCTCCCATGGCTCTCGTCACTTCAAATTCGAGACGAGGCCCAAGCGAAGACCCTACGCAGGCTCTCATGCGCGCATTAGCGGATTTCAAACAGAGCCTGACAGATGAAGAAAAACAACAGTACCGGGCTCATGAGGCAAACCCGGGCGCTTCGAGCATCATTGAATTCATGAGAGTGGTTGATGAAAGTAAGCCTCAGACGAATATGAGGTGTTTGGGATCTCGACTATGCACATTCCTGGACAAGACACAACAGTTTGCTACTATCGTCGAAACCTTCGTCAGCTCCAATCCCGTGATCGCTGCCCTTGTATGGGGAAGTGTAAAATTCGCCATTTTATCGGCAAACAACGCGGCATCTTACTTCGAAAAAGTCACTGGCTTGATTATGTCAATAGGCAAGCTTTGCCCCAGTTATGAGAAATTTGGTCAACTTTATCCTGGTTGCACTGAGCTACAAACCGAGCTGTGTGGTTTTTACTCTATTATCATTCGCATGTGCATGAAAATTGTCGAGGTCTCTCGAAGACAGACAGTCACGCAGATGATCTCATCACTGTTTAGTCCTTTCGAGAGCGACTTTGGCCACTTTCTTGCACTTTTGCAAAAATCGGAGAAAGACATCGAGCGCGAGATACAGTTTGCATCTCAGAAATCCAACCAGGACGCGATCAAGTTGCAAGCGTACGATAGAAAGTTGCAAGAGTACGATAGAAAAAGAAACGCAAGATTTCGTGTCGACTTTCAAAGAGCGACCAGGAGGCAAGAAGATCAAGCAAACGATTTGCGGGTTGCCAAATTGGCGAGAGACTCGGCAAGACTGCGATCTCTAATTCGAAAGAACCTCTCTACAATCGATCACTTGAAGCCGTGGAAACAGGTCAACAAACAACGGGTTTCGGGGACAGCGGAGTGGCTATGCAAAGACGAGGCCTTCGTGAAATGGAAAAACAGCTCCCGGAATGCAGTCTTTTGGTGCTCAGGCAAAATAGGTGTCGGGAAGACTGTACTTTCCGCAAATGTGATTTCCAAACTACACGAGTCATCCAAAGCCAATAGAATAATCTCCCATCACTTCTGCTGCACCGACAACAAAGCCACCTTATCAGCAAGAAATATCATGGGGAGTTTGGCCTGTCAATTGCTGGACAGTCAAATTAACAGCTATCAACTCGGTGATCTTCAATCTTTACATGATAAAACGCAGGACCTCGACACCGAGGAGGTGACCGAGCTATTGTTGTCTTGCTTGGAAGACGGCAAAGCCTTCTTTATTGTCATAGATGGGCTAGACGAGTGTGAGGAAAAGGAGTGCCGTGAAGTCATCGCAAACCTAATGCGCCTTCGTCAGTTCGATACTAGCTCTGTGAAACTATTTTTCGCAAGCCGACCCGATATCGAAGCCCAGCTGTTTGGCGTGGCGGAGCCAGAATACAGAATCACGGTGACCAAAGAAAGGGCTAAACCAGACATGGATGCTTATATCGACGCAATGCTGAGTCAATTTTTGGAAGAAGGGAAGCTCAAACTGAGAGATGGAACACTCATCGTTACAATATCTCAAGCGTTACGGGATGGATCGGATGGAATGTAAGTGAAACAAAGGCCCAGTCTTAGATTGATTTATCCCTCCCTAGGGCTCAACGTGCTCTCTTGTTTTCAGTGTCACTGATTGTCCTCAAATAATAAGGATTCTCTGGACTCGACTCTTTATGGAAGAGCTGTGCGCACAGGGGAGTGACCGAGCGATATTAGAAGCCTTAACCCAACTGCCGCGGGGTCTTGCTGAGCTTTATAATCAAAGGCTCCGTCGTGTAATGGGCAAACGGAATGGAGGACAAGCAAATTCCCTGCTGCGCTTCTGTGCTTTCTTGAGGCGACCGCTGACGCGTCCGGAGTATGAAGACCTTCTTGGCATCAAACCAGAGCAAGAATCTCATGACCCTGGCAATTGTCCCAATGATATGACTCAAGTGATCAGCGACTGCTGTGGGCTAGTTTTCGTGGAAGAAGAAGATAGCACAGTTCACTATGTTCACCATAGTGTGGGAGAACATATTTTGTCAATTGACGGGTCTTGTTCTGCCATGTTTGATATGGCAGACGTGGATCAGTATCTTGGCAATCTTTGCCTGACATATCTTGATTTCACTGACTTCAAAATGCCATTAGCAAACGCACGACAAGGCTTCAGTACTCCTATTCAACCTCTGCAATTTGGGGTTTTACCTCTTCCTAGCACGGGTAGACGGGTCGCCTTGGAAATATTATCTCGTGGTCGAAACCTGCAATATTTGCGCTCCGCAGAGGTCGAAAGCAAAACCAGAATTAGCATTGAGGACAAAAATTCACCAGTATCAGAGCACGATCGACACAGAGCGTACCCTTTTCTTCTCTATGCACAGACATACTGGATTGAACATCTGCAAGAATTGAATGTCCCGACCGATAGCAAGATTTGGCGGTTATTCTGTGAATGCGTCGAAGGGCGCAATATTACAGTAAAGAGACCATGGTATGAGAACCAGGAAGCCCACGACCAGTCTGCCCAACGAAGAACGGTTTGGTTATCAAAAAACCGACATCGCGCCTTGCTCTGGTACTATGGCATGTCTCAACCCAGTACTGAGCTTGACTCGGTGGACACCGACATCATCAAGGAAATTATACACCGACTTGATCATGGCTGTGGCTTGAGTGATGAATTGCCAAGAAGTCCGCTATGGAGGTGGGATGAACATTGTGGGCCTCTATACTGCATCATGGTTGGTGCTGCGTGGGCAGGGTGTCAGGAGTGCATTGACAATCTGATTGGAAAAGACTGGAGTGATCATCAAATTCTGTCATTATCTGCAGACTATCACTCTAATCGAACAGTTCTTCAAGCAGCAGCTGGAGGTGGGTACCTTGAAGTTGTGAATAGATTGATAAAGGCAAAAGCGGATATCCATGAAGCCCCGGCAAAGAAGTATGGTCGAACAGCTCTCCAGGCAGCAGCTGAAGGTGGACACCTTCAAGTTGTGAATATATTATTACAGCAAAATGCAGATGTCAATGCGGCCCCAGCAAAGGAGTATGGCCGAACAGCTCTCCAAGCAGCAGCTGGAGGTGGGTACCTTGAAGTTGTGAATAGATTGATAAAGGCAAAAGCGGATATCCATGAAGCCCCGGCAAAGAAGTATGGTCGAACAGCTCTCCAAGCAGCAGCTGAAGGGGGGCACCTTCAAGTTGTGAATATATTATTACAGCAAAATGCAGATGTCAATGCGGCCCTAGCAAAAGGGTATGGCCGAACAGCTCTCCAAGCAGCAGCTGGAGGGGGGCACCTTCAAGTTGTGAACAGATTGATACAGGAAAACACAGATATCAATACAGACCCAACAGGATACAATGGTCGAACAGCTCTCCAGGCAGCAGCTGAGGGAGGGCACCTTGAAGTGGTGAATCGATTGATACAGGAAAACGTGTATATGAATGCAGCCCCGGCAGAATACCGTGGTCGAACAGCTCTCCAGGCAGCAGCTGAGGGAGGGCACCTTAAAGTGGTGAATCGATTGATACAGGAAAATGCGGATGTCAATGCAGCCGCGGCAGATTACTATGGTCGAACAGCTCTCCAAGCGGCGGCTGAAGGGGGGCACCTTGAAGTTGTGGGTACATTATTACAGGCAAAAGCCAAAAGGACTGCAACCGCGTCAGGATCTCATGACCAAGATGCTCTCCAAGCCGTATCGAAGGCCGCGTATCATGAAGTTCTGGATAAATTCGGTGGTGAAGACCTAAGAATCAAATCCGCTTTAGCTTTCATTTTGAGCCGTGCGAATACCTCCGTCGATGAAATTTGAAGAATAAAAATCCGGAGTTACATTCCAATTGGCACTTACCGGAATAAAGGGAGCATGTTAGCAAATAAGTTAAGGCCTACCGATATGAGCATAGTTTTTTTGCATCTGAAATATGTATGGACAAATCAACCCATGTGCAAGTTCGAACGCTCACAGCAGAGATCCCAAATTTGAAAGGTGTAATTTCCATGGTTCCCGAGTCTGGAAAGCTCTCATTCAAATCGTGGACATGTAGCTTCAACTCACAAAGTTATAGTGCTGAAAATCACCTCCCGTCTACACATCTCGCTCAACTCTATTGGATATACAAGAAAAGGGCATCATGCCCGGAATTCATGATTGCTCAATTTTGACTGATTTGGAGGAAGAGGAGAGATTGAACCCTAGGACACGGAAGATCGGCAGCGATCACACGGTTTATTTTTCTCGCACCTTGACAATAACGAAAGACCATGGGCGAACTGTGTTTTTCTAACTTTGGTCAACATTTGAAGCTCTTTTGGGATCAAATGAATGCTGTGACGATATTCAATCATACATACATCGAGCTCCTGAAGTGCTCCTCCAAAGAAAATGCTCCAGGACAATGTCTATGCGGCTGAGTTCTTTGATGCTGAAGATATTTTTGAGTTAATCCACACTGGCTGGAGCTGACTAAAGATATCAAGGCAAGTGGAAGGGGATAGTTCCTACTTCTTCAGTCACGTTAGAAAAGCTTGAAGGAAACTCGTGAAGTGCACAGCAGAAACACTTTGTTACATTCATGCGCAAGATACTTCAATAACGCCCTAGGAAGAGAAGCCTCGAAAAGAATTTATTGTTGGGTCCTTGATTAAGATCGCCGTAGCGTGTAGATAATTTACGATATTAGTAGATATACTACATGTAATAACTTCACTTCCATGATTGGCAATTTACAGTACTACATGCAATGATTTCATGGGAGCTGGACAGCACAACACGTTTACGTTTAGCTCATGCCATAATAACATTTGAATGCGAGCTAAAGACATAGCAGCCGAGAGCTCAATCTTGCCACAAAATATACGGCCTCGACATTTCGAACCACATAACCCCAGTCCTACCATCACGCCACCTAAAAAGGATCTCGGCTTCCAAGCTTTCGACCACTTCGTCCGTCATACTCTAAGAAGAAATGGTGACACTAGCGCTGCCTTCACCACTCCAAGCCTCAACAGCCACGACCTGATAATTGAAGTTGCTGTTGCCGAAGCCATGCTCCGCCCAGAAATTGAAATGGTTGGCAACCGTCACCGTACCAGAAGTACGCGTGCTCTCTCGAACAGAGAAGTACTGCGTGAACGTGCTCGTTCCCGTGATGGATGGCTCGTTGGTCCGGGTGTCGGTGCAGACCTGGTAGGTGGCTCCATCAGAGGTTACCGTACCAAGGCTTGTAGCTGCGCTGCAAGGGTTGTAATCGCCGTAGTCTTCGACGATGTAGTACTCAGCCTGGGGAGAGTTGACCCAGCCGTACACGGCGAGATAGGAGCCCGAGCCAGAGGCGCTGTAGCTAGCTGAGTAGGTAATGGAGCTGAGAGAAGTTAGATCCTAGTAGACTGGTATCAATGGATATAGGGGGATCACCCACGCAGAGCTGCCAGTGGTCCAGCCCAGACCAACGACGAAATCGGAGCTCACTCCATCCTCCCAGTACATAGAGAAAGTTCCGGCACTCTCGCTGTAGGTGAAGTCACCGAGGTTGCCGTTGTAGTTCTGGACGTAGTTGATGTTGGCACTTCGTGGCATCAGGACAGGTTCGGGAGCAGGCGCCGCGAGTGCGGTGGCCAGGAGGCCGGTGAAAGCTGCGGCGACCTTCATGATGGGGATGATTGAATGCTTTTGAGTGGATGTGTCTAGTAGCTACTTGTCTGGGAAGCCTATGCTAGAAACTTTGTTGCGGGCTCGTTCTACCTCTACTTATACCCTGTGAACTCGAGTATTTATCCTTTTTCCCCGCACGGCGAAGCGGTTTGAATAGGCAAATTCTTCCGTATAAACTTCGTCAGATGAACTAGAGGAACCTTCTTTGAGCCTGTTTTCAGGGACGCCTCTATCCATAGTTCCAAGATCTCTGCTCGGCTAGGTACCCGTCTAGGGCACTCCGGCTGGCTAAAGGGGATGAAGTTGGCTAAAAAGCCTATAGCTGGCTAAAAAGGCTGTAGTTGGGCAGAAAGTCTATAGTTGGCTAAAAGGACTTCGGTTGGCTAAAACGACCCCGGTTTTCTAGAAAAGCTACAGTTGGCTAAATGGACTGCAATTGGGTAAACAGTTCGTGAAAGCTTAAAAATATGGTGGGGAAGTGGAGATTCTTCACGTATCTTCACGGCTTTCCCCGCAGAAGTTTTGCCGGCTCCACAGAAATCATCCATGGATGATTGCCGGCTAGTTGTGAGGGAAGTCCCTGCATATGGGCACTGTAGCTGGTGATGACTCTGCGTAACCTCATGCTCTTTAACTGAACCCTGTTTTTGGACCTTAATTTTGAAGTTGTAAGCAATCTTCGGAAAAGGTCAGTGCATCCTATAGGCTGAAGCAGTTTCCATGGATATTAAACAAGGGAAACTGCGTGACACTGACTGATCTATTCGGAAGGGAAATTAGCACGCCTTCATCCATCAATACAACACGGATTATGTCACGAACTGAAGCCTGAGGCTGGGACATGCGGGGTACATGCGCCTGTACGCCTGCGCCTCTTTCGTCAAGGGCGTTTTCCTTCCGTGTATTGACAATCCATTGAAATCAGAATTAAATCAAATTGACCAGGAATGTCACTTGTTGTCGCTTTTCATATGGTCCCGAATTATACTAGCGATCGTAGGTTGCGGCCCGAATCTCCCGATACTGATGATCTCATTGATCTGCGACCCCAGCGGGGCAACGCGGTGTTTTCACACTCGCTCAGTCGCAGTTCGCAACGTATCACATGATTTCTTGGTTAGTACAGGAGGGGCGCTAACTCCCAGAATGACAAAGTTGATCGATTTAGGTAAATATTCGGTCTATCGGGCCTGCATGTTATATAAGCAACATTCCAACTTCAAAGGGCACATTCCACGTTCGCGCTGGGCCTCTTGGGGCTCCTTCCACTCATCAGACCCTTCTCCATCTCAACCACGGCTGTGGGTTATTTTGGAATTTTGGACTGCATCGGCCCGCTCCGATCCACATTAACCCGAACCTTGGAATACGAGATCAGTTACCTACAGAGGGTACCACCAGTAATATTCTCGTACTGCTGTATGGAGTTACATGAGCTGACGGAATACTAGGTACAAGTTTGTGCTGACGATGGGTGGAATTCCCTACCAATCTGCAGGCTGCTCCAGTTGCAGGAAACGTAAAATTAAAGTACATATTTGCTTCCTCTTGCCTGTGGAAATGAACTGACAAATTTCTGTACCTAGTGTGACCTCGCTAGGCCGGAGTGCGCGATGTGCACTAAGAAAGGTATTCCTTGCCCTGGCTATGTTGAGAATCGAAACATTATACCACACCGGCTCGTCCTGACCCGCACGCAAAACCGCGAGACTATTCGACCAGTTGCTCGCTTCCCTAATAAAATTCAGCCTCTTCCCTCACAGTCTCGGTTGAACATGAGCGCCCAAGTCCGAACCCAGTTTTTCTCGGGTTTTATGAACACCCTCTTCGCTCATAATACTCTTACCCATGGCAAAGATGATACCTGGTATCTCTTGATGGCTCACTTTCCCAGTATGGCCGGTGAGTCTGAGCTGGTGGACCGGTCTGTCTTTGCAATAGCAGCTACTGTCCTCGCCAGGAAGACGGGAGATGCTCATTTAATACGCCATGGGGTTGAGATCTATAACATTGCGATTGCAGGATTGGCCCGCATGCTACAACGAAATTGCAAACCAACCCTTGAGATGTTTTATGCGATGATTCTTTTCCATACTTATGAGGTGTGTTGATTGAGCAAAGTCACTTGAACCTTCTTGGTTAGTTAGTTGCTAAAGCTGCCTCCACAGTTGATGCAAACTGGCGATGATACATTGCGGAATTGTTTGGTCCATGTCCAAGGTGGAACGGCTATTTTGAAAAACATCAGCTGCGTCGATGAAAAAGAAACCTCTTTTCTCCAGGCCATGATGACGAGGCAGAAATGGGCAGCGGTAAGCCAGCCCGTCTAGATCTTTCAACTTTGGGACTAATGAGTGGCCCCCAGACTTTCTTCATTCTGAACCCAGAATACAGGTCAGAGACTAGTTCGGAGTGCCTTTCCATAGGAGTTGAATATAGCCCCCTGGACAAACTTTTTGGACTCGTCGCGGAATGTGCATTGCTCCATGCATCCCTCGATCATAGTAGAGATCAGCGTTCTCAAGACATAGAAGATTCATGCAAGCAACTCCTGCATCGCTGCCTTGAGACCAAGAGGAAACTTCAGAAAGACTGGCTTAACAACTATGCCCCAAAGCTCAATGGCAAGCCTACTCCTACTAAGGACAAGCTGAGATATAATCCAAACACCTTACCCTTCGGCCACACTCTTGATCCATACGAATTTCCTTCACTGGATACTGTCAAAGCCTATATTCTCTTCTGGGTCTGCCTACTAAGGGTCCACCGTGTGATATACCACACCGAAATTCTCCTGAGGAAGTCCCCAGATCTTGCGAATATGATATTCTATGCAGGCGAAATTTGTCGGTGCATCGCTTTCTGCATCCGTTCCAACAACCGGGTTTCTGCGGCGCAAGTAGTTCTGTTCGGAGTATCGCAGGCAGCTCAGTGCTATATCGAGTGTGGGGACAGGGAACGATTTTTATGGTGCCAGAATATCTACCCCATGGTCAGATCGTTGGGCTTTACGGTAGTCCAGCGCTTGCATCAGGCAGAGTGCGCTTACTGGAATGCAGCTCATAGCCAGTCTGTGTCTCATAAAGACATACTTACAGATGGCGGTTCCATTTAATGCTGAGTATTCTGTGGACTCCTAATGAGCGGTTGCCGAACCTTTTACAAGCATCAATTATGAGACTTCATGTGGATGATTCTTTCATGCTCCTTGGTTTTTCTTTGTTCTGTCACAACTTCATTGTAAAGAGTCAGGACATATAATACATCAGGTCTGTATGGGTCGCGTCCTGACTCCTGAATCTCCACCGTGGAATACTCGTGTGGGCCGTGCGGGCCGTGCCCAGACGACTCTTGTTCAGCCCCCAAAATCAAGACCGCGAGAAGCAATGGCTTTACGCGAGCAGTATTCCAAATTGGAGACAGCATGGCGAAAAGCGGTTTTTCCCTCGATGACCTGGGAATCGGATTCGATGTGGTAAGCGGTGGAACCTTTTATGACTCCAATTCGGTCTTATGCCTTTCCAGCTGGAAACATGGCATGCTTTCCAATTTCCACAATTCCAAGCTTTGCGTGGAGGCTTCTTGCCTCACCCCGGCGATAGTTGATCATGTATCGACGCAGTTGACATTTTGCCTTAGTCCACTGTTTGCGTGGTGGCGGCAGCGTCCCGGGTGCAACCCATCTTTTGTTCTCTGTTGTGAATCTGTGATCGCTTTCGATCGCCCTCCACGAAGCATTGTTGTGGCATTCAGATCTGCTCGAATACTTGATCTTGCAGGCGCATGGGCCTCCCTTTCGATCCTGAAATCATTGGTTTTCGAGAAATAAAGTGTAAAAATGTGGATGTTCCTGGTATGTTTCAAAAACAGAGTTGTTTCGCCGGAGTGACTTCTTTAGGTCGGGATGGAGATCAACTAAGTCCATTGCTGGAAAGTATTTCGATTTCAATAGCCCCTCGGAGGTATATACTCGCCGGAATTGCTTCCGGATTATAGGAGGTTGGTAGAACGAAGCAATCAGGTCTCGCAACTGGGTGGAATCGGTAGCATCCACCTCCAGTGTCGCCCGGTCAGCAGCATTCTCCCACGAAGCAGGGAGTTTCAAATCCTTGTCATAGGGGTATCGAGTGTATGACTTTTCCTGTTTCAATTCGGGCTTCATCAGGTTGTGAAGCAATCCGGTTCCTCCGACAACTTGTGGCCGACGCTTGTCCTGTCCTCCGACATTTCGTACTTTCCTTGGATGTCTGGGTATCGGGGATTCAATACCGGATTCGCGATCCGGGAGCAGCGGAGAGACTCGTGAGGCTTGTGAGCGAAGCCGTGATGGTGGATTGGCCGGGCGACGTGTGGGAGTTGATGTGTCTGGAGTAATCGGATAATTAAAGAAACCAGGTCGCCATGGAAATTTCTCTGTAGCATTCGCAGTCCTGGGTGCATCGGATTCGTCCATGCGTGATCAACGTCGATTTCGAGACCGTTTGTGATTCTGGTGATGTCAGTTTTCATTAGCCCGTCCGTTGTGCACTCATCATGTAAGCTCAGTTGCAAGTATTATCAACATATGAATAGGGCCTACTAGTCACCTGGGTAGACTCACAGCCATTTTGTCTGGAATGTTCTTAAGGTTTCGGAAACGTTGGATGGAAGGCCGCCTCCTACTAAGATCAGGCATGTGGAGGGGTTGTTTCAAGTATCAAGTGACGGGTAGGTAGTAGGTTCGATGTTGCGTAAACAGTCAACTGTTTCAAACTTTGCTAATGCTAGCGGTTACATATTGTGCCGCTGCTCAGGGGAAGGGGGGGGGAAGCAACTGTATTGGCTGTGGGCAATCTCTCTTGGAGAGATGGAGAGAAGAGGATGGGAAAAGGGAGGAAGTAAGTACTGGATATCTAGAAGGGGTCACCTGACCCCTCTCTGACCGGTAATGGTAGCGCTAGGAAGCTTGGCGTGTACAGACTGAGAAGATACGTAGCAGACAAGTATGTAGCAGCTGATGTAGTAGGTGGGATGTACAGGTGCTTAGTTTGCTCAACTTTCATCTCACTTACTACCTCAGCTGCTACATACTTGTCTAATAGTAAGACTGATACACATCTTCTCATGAGACTTTGCACGCCAAGCTTCCCAGCACTACCATTACCGGCATAATCTTGAAACAGTTGACAGTTTACGCAACCCGTGGTCATCGAATTTACCCGCCATTTGATATTGAAACAATACCTACACTGATCTCGGGAGTCAACCTTCAATCCAACCTTTCCAAAACCTTGAGAATCATACTAAATGGCTGTGAGTCTATATCCAAGATTTGAAAGAAGAGAAAAATATATTTGGAAAAGCTATTTAGAAAAGCTATTTGTTGGGCCGCCTGGACGGGGCATCTTTCAGCTGTATTCAAAACCTAAGGTTCCGAAAGACATGATTCTGCAAACTGCCGCTATCAATTCTAATATTTCAACGTCATCGCTTTGAACTTTTTAAGTCCCATATTTGGTTACATGTAGTAGGTGTTGCGTTTTCGGTTTCTCAAAAGCGGGTTTGGTCTATTAACGCGATCATATGCATCGTATCTACACTCTGTCCCGGGACATGGCCATCCCATGGCAAGCTGTACCAACTTGCAATACTACTGACTACTATTTCTCTAGTGAGTAATATTACGATTACTTCATAGTCAGGTTTGGGTCAAACATGCTTCAAACTTCAAAGGCGACCGGGCCGCGGATCAAGTCAAAACAATGAACTGGCATCAATTGATCAACGGAGACTGAAGAGTGGGATTTCTCAATGATCGTGTGCTCCGCACTGAGATTGAAGATTTCAGCATTCGGCATACTGACATCAATCTTGTACTCAAGTGCTGTCCGTTTTGTCTGCATGGTCCATAAAAAAAGTCCAAAAAAATTGACCGACGCAGGGATCGAACCTGCAATCTCTTGATTCGTAGTCAAGCGCCTTGCCATTGGGCCAGCCGGCCGTGATTGTTGGAGTGAAAGTTCGGAAAATGCGTCAGAGCCTCATTTATTAATCCACGATGCAGTTTTCCGACCTTCCGGGCAGTTACAGTATCTAAACACCTCTTCCTGTGATACTGTTGTACTATTCATTGAGGGGCAATCAAATGCGGGTAATTTTTAGTAGTATCCACCTACCAAGACGCCATGGAATGTAGTGTCTTGATTTCCCGTTACTCAGACCCGCATGCCGCATCATTTGAAAACGTAACGGATCACAATGCTTGCGATATTGCGATAACTTAGGGAATTATTGCTACTATTTATGAAAAATAAAGCCCGTTTCAACATAGCGAGCCCGGCGGCAAAGCGCTCATTACCTTGTCAATTGTGTGACTGGGCGGCAGGTGCCTGGATAAGCCTTGTCTAAGCCCCCTAGGAAGGCAGACTTACATCAGTTTGATACTATACTAGAGCCCAACTGTTGGATATAGTCGCTAAAGCTATAGTTTTCAATTGAGTCATTTAAAGGGTTGTTTCTCTCTCAGGAAAACATTTTTGAAAATCCCCAAGCGCTTCCTTTCAGTGTTCTGATCACTTTTGTGCAAGAAGTTTTCTTTTTCGACCCCGCCCCGCGCCCCACGAGTCACAGATCATTTGCTCCCAAGCTTGCAGCTCAGCTCCATCCAAAACATTTCTCTGTGCACAACACACGACCAAAAGCAAGAACAAATTCAAAAGCAATTCCAGCAATGTCCAAAACCATGATTCATCCGCGAGTCGGAATTGCGGTCTTTGCTATGAATGCCGAGGGCAAATTCGTCTTTGGCAAGAGAAAAGGCAGCCATGGAGCAGGTTGGTGTAGTCCCCATGGCTTCAAGCCATCAATTAAACAACTACTGAACTAAGGTCTCCTTTAGGCCGTTGGGCTCTCCCAGGAGGTCATCTCGAGATGAACGAGGATTTTGCCGAATGTGCGGCGCGAGAGATGCTTGAAGAGACAGGTCTGGAGCTTACCAACTTGAAGCTTTTGACTGCGACAAACGATGTCATGCTGGATGAGAGCAGACATTATGTCACTATTTTCATGAGGGGTGATCTTAAAGATCAGTCTGCTCAGCCGCAGGTGAGGCTCTATCACATGTTGCTTTTGGGGCCCCTGCTTCGTGCATTTAACTAACATAAAATCAAGATTATGGAGCCCGAGAAGTGTGATGCATGGGTATGGATGTCTTGGGACGAAATGCGAACCATTAGGGATGCACAGTTGGAGTCTGGCGAGGATTCTCAAGGGCGGAAGCTATTTTCGCCGATGATGGCTTTGTTCAAGCAATGTCCGGATGTCAGTGTTTAGTAGCTTAGTGTAGAGAAGGTTGGCGGTTAATTTCATTGGAATCAAGCATTTCAAAATCATCAAGATATTTGAATTGAACAGTTGCAGATTATGACTTATATACACGTTGCCTACGCGTAATCTTGTCTTTGAGAAAACGCCTGGTTTGAGGAACACTGTCTGCGAATATGGCATATTGAGAAATGATCAATCTTTGCGAATCCCACGTACGATATATTGCCCATGCAATCAACGCGAAATAACAAATATAATACCCATATCGATTGAGAAAGGAAACAAGAAAAGCCAAGTTTCCAAGCTCAATTTGTGCTTTTGGTTGAACAGGCTATGGGTGATATGTGTGATATGTGCAACCCCACGGGCATGATCATCTCTCGACTTGCTTTAGTCCACGCAGATCAGTATTACCATCACAGAAACTCTCTTGAAGAGAACCAAAAAAAGCCAGGCCTTCTATATGAAGTACGATTCGCTCACCGTCCAAAATACCTTTGAGCTCGGCGCGGTAGATCCATCTACCCTGATTGCAAAGCGGCTTGACAAAGTCGCTAGACAGGCAAATGTGGTACCTGGGGACAACGTCAGCGAGGTGGCTCATAACCTTGCTCGGAGGGACATGAATCCGGAAAACATGCTGGAGGGGCTTCTTGGAGACTCCTCCAGTTCCTCCATGGTTCCGACCGGAACCCCTTCTGCAAACTATTCGTTTAGCAAGCAGCGACATTTGGCAACTCCAACTCCAACTACAAGCCCAACATCGACACCGATACCTTCCTCTTCCTCTTCTTCTTCCGCCAATCCACTGGCAATATTGGAGGGCCTTCTAGGTGCCAGGGATGCGACTTCAGAGATGGGGGAGTTTCCGAAATTCTTCGATACCACCGGGCCAACACCAGTCCGGATGGATGGCGTCGCTCCTGGGCCTCCAGGTGGTAGGCCCATGGAAAAGCGTCGGGGTAAGGATGTGGGAGCAAATGACAGCCCAGAACCAACCACATTGGAGAAACGTCTTGCACCAACTCAAGTTGTTTGAATCGGTATATTCCAAGGTTTCGGTGCAGCGGTGTGGGCTACATACATCCTTGTGACGTGTACACAACATTGAATGTACACATATGTATTTTTCATGTCCTCCGGGGCTATGTATCTTGTTTTCTTCCGGGTGTTGATGGACATATGAGTGGTGGATCTGGCTTGAGCAATTGATAATCTAACATTTTGTTTTTTTCATGAATGCATTCACTCTTTGATAAACTTGTATCAAGTGAGTGATATCATGTGCAGTTATGGACAAGGGTTGTAACTTCAAAGTATACCTCGGAGTGGGGGCGTCAACCATTCTGCTTCGATAACCTAATCCGGTTTAGCGTGAACTGCAGGCCATTCCCGATTATCGCGAGTTAAACGGAGCTCATTCTCCGTTCTTTTCCTCGCATTTCCTGCTTATTGACTTTCAATCTTCTACTGTGCTGACAGGCTCAAGTTGACTTTCAACCTCAGCTCTGTCAAATTCAGCTGACTGCGATTTGGCATCAATCTTGGCTGGAGTAAAGTTTCAGGAGATCCTTTCAAGTCGATTGCCGCGCTTCAACTGATATGATCGGCCCTAGACCCAACGCCACTGATGCTGATGCCCACCCCACATAAAGAACTAATCCCTGCACGCTATTCCCCCTAGTTTATCTTTCTGGGGCTTTTCGATCTATCACGCACTGCCGCGTGCACCCTTTCCTCTCCGCCTTTTCCTAATCCTCCCTGCGCTTTTTAAACTCTTGTGGATCATATCTTTCCTTTTTTTTCTTTTCTTTTTCTATGAGCCTGGGGTGCATCCTCCGATCCACAACCCACATTGCCTTCGAATGACAAACCCCAGTCTCCTGGAGCTACCCCGAGGGGTCCAGCTCGTGTATCTCGCAGAGGGCGGCGCCAATGTCATTTACCGCTTTGTCGCCGCCCCATTAAAATCCGCTCTCGTCGTGAGTGAAGCAAAGAAACAACTTTCCCCTATCATGATCGACGATCCGTGTGTGCCTCCTAGCTTCCAGGGGAAATTGCTCCGGCTGCGCAAACAGACTGCCGGCGATATATCATATAAAGAAATCCATCGAAACTTCAATACCATTGTGCGCCCCTTATTCAGACCAGACCACTTAGTCGACCAGTCTCTTATTCTTCTTCCGGGTGGACTTCTCCAGCGCTGTAATGAGCAGCTGCGTGCTGCCGAACTCAACGGTCAACGTCCTAAAAAGCGCCATGGTGGCTATCTTTGTGCTGATGAGCCTTTCGGTTTACTGATCACTGATATGACAACCTTTGATACGCCCGGCGCCACGCTGGCGGAGCTCAAGCCGAAGTGGCTTATACAATCTCCTTCTGCGCCGCCCATGGCGCATCGGTGTCGGACCTGTGCGCTGAGGGAGATGAAGAACCACGATGCGAGGTCTTTGGGCTTGAAAGAACAGCGCTCCTTTTGTCCGCTGGATCTTGTGTCGGGCTGCTTTGAGGATGTTTTACGTGCTACGGCTTTCATCAAGGGCTGTAATGATCGCGCTCGACTGGCGCGCATTTTATTTCATAATCCTGTTCTTCATACGTTGCAAGTTCAGCAGACATCGTGGGCACAAGTGGGTCTGCATGGGCCGCCTGCTTTCTCTCCAAAGACTTCCCTTGACATGACACTGCGAGATTGTACAATGTTCATTAAGGTATGGTATTATCACAAGCGTCTTGTATCTTATCATTGACTAACCATGACTAGATCCCAAATGATGAAAAATCCCCCGTGGAGATCCGCTTGGGCGATCTGGACTTGAAAACAGGCGCCGGGGGAAAATCTACCTACTGGAGAAAGCTTGAAATGCAGCTTCTTGACGGTGGCTGGTATGATGGATCCAACGCCAATCAAGATCCCACCGAATGCGCACTTCAATATCCAGGCCAATAATTCCTGGGATCTTCTATATTACAACTCTGATGCATTTTAATATCGACCTCGGCATTTGCATATTGGGTGCTTTCTTCAGTCTTCTGTTATTCGGAAAACTCTTATGATGCATGATTCATAATTAATACTGGGCGGCTTCTCTGGTTCTTGACTTCTTGTTATCGCTGTTTAATTAACTCTTCAACCTCTTGTCTTCTCAATCCAATATATATCATCCTCAAAGGATACCTGGCCTGACTCTCCGAACTGCCAAAATTGAAAAACTGTTAGTTACACTTTGAACCTCTATAAATAAAACAGACCTAAAAATTTCCTCGGTTCCCTACGATTTATAACATAGAGTGGTTGCATGTGGGCGCCTGTGTCCCCAGATGATGAAATCCAGCGGGCGTTGGAAACAGTACTTCAAAAACAAAAATAAAGCTCCGCTCCCCCACCATCTCAAACTCCCCACTCCAACACCCTCCAGAGTCCAGACACAATGGACTATAAATCTCTCCCCACACCCACCCACTGCCTCGCAGACTTTTGCCTGATTCCCGTTCGTAGCATTCCCTCCCCCCCATCAATCCCAGCCGATGGTGATTGGCGCTTGGCGCCTGGTGATACACTCAGCTTACGGGATTCCAATTAGATCGGCACCGCATCGGCTTCAGTCTCGGCCCAAATCGCTGATGTCCAGCGACTGATCGAGCAATCCGGTGTCAAATATGTGATGCATTCAGCCGGCACTACGCTCGGTGTGTGACCTTCTTCTTCCCATTCTTTCCTTGTTTTTTTTTTCTTCGTGCATTATCGGGTTGCCCCATGAAGGTCTATGCATACATTTGAATATGTACGTTAGGTGGTTACTAGTATCTGGCAACTGATGTCCGTTTAAATCATTAGAGGGAGACTGGGATAGTGTCCACAGGGTCATTGGACAGGCGCATACAATGCTGCACCAGCAGGGTGTTGTGCGGATTCAGACTGATATCCGGGTCGGATCGAGGTATGTTTGCTTGGGATTTTGATTGCCCTGGAGGAACTTCGCTCTGATTGGAGATGGGCGCCTCGTGTTGGTGTGTTTGTGGTACTTTGGCTGACGACGGTTCGATTGGAATCAGGACTGATAAGGTGCAGACGTCTGAGGATAAGGTGAATAAGGTGCGGGAGTTGTTGGGGAAGGAGTAGAGGCTCTACTACTATGTCTGGTACTTGAGGGTAAGCAATACTCAATTACATAGTATGAATTGGATTATCCAGATGTCTGCCATTCGCAAGTGCTATGTATATTTATGTACCGGTAGGCATCCGAAACTTGGAGAAGGATTCGTCGTTTGTAGGATTTATTTCGCTCTAGACATAACATGATATCTTGTACAAAAACTACAGCTCGTGTCATTTAATCGTTCCAATCCAGTCAATACCAATACCCAAAACGCCTTTACCTTTTGCGTGGGCGCTTGCGCCAAATTTGCCATCCAATGACCCAAACAAAACACGCTGTGCCTTCCCATATCCATGCTCTATATACCGGGCGAGACAGGATCGAGAAATCCCGTACCCAGGAAATGTTCGTGAGAGAAACGAGAACAAAACGCTATACAGTGATAAACACACGTGGGGAAAAAAGTCCAAAACGCACGCAGAAACTCAGCCACACGGTTCAATCAGAGGCTGATGCCACCTCCAAGAATACTGCCCCAGCTACCACCAACCCAGATCCAATTACCCATCGTGGGGGTAGATCCAGACCGAGCAGACTCGGCCAGATTGACTAGGCTAGTGAGGACACCGTTAACGGTCGAGCCATCACTGCTGGACGTCGAGGCAGTCGTCGATACAGAGGTCCTGCCGACGGCATTGGTAACGTTGTTCAAGCTATCGACGGTATCGATGGCCGGACCACGGTTGAAGAAGTCCACAAGGATAAACGTCGGCTGGCGACCGTTGTACGCCTCTTTGCACTTCGTCGCCGTCGATCCCAGGTTGCCCGTGCCGCCGGACGGAGCGTTCGTGGTAGCGACGTAGCTGGCGTTCGGGTACTCGATGTCCAGGACTGAGATGGTGGAGTAGAGGAAGTGGTTCATCAGGGGGAGGAAGTTGGAGGCAAGCGCGGACGTGAGGTCGTTGTCGTAGGTGGAGGGTCGGTTGGGTGTGCAGGTGAAGTTCGAGGCGTCGGTCACGTCGTAGTTGTTTTCCCAGACAAAGTCCCATTCTGAGAGCAGGTAGGGGTAGCTGGAGCTTGTGTCGAGGGATGCGACGAAGTTCACGAGCCGCGTGCCGTTGTTGATCATCTCCTGGAGCGTTGGCCAGCTGGATGGGGCGGTGGTCTGGGAGGTGGGCTCATATGCGTAGCTGGTTATGTTGGCGGCCTCGTAGATGGCGCCGAGCTCGGCGGCGGTCGCGGAGTCGGAGTTTACGAGGAGAATGGTGACGACTGTGGAATGGAGGGCCTTGTTAGTGGGTGTTTATACTGGGTATGTTTTTTTGGCTTGGGATGTTGCTTGCGCACCTTCGTTGGGGTTGTCGTCTAGCCAGGTCTTGATTTTGCCGAGCCATGTCTGCAGTAATCCTGCGTCGAGCAGGTCACAGCTGCTGTGGCATAGGTGCCATGCTGAGTCGCTCTTGTGGACTTGCGCGGTTACTAATCGGACGCCGGCGTCGAGTTGGGTGGTGGTGTCGTAGTATCTATGGAGAAGAGTGGGGTTAGTATTATGATTCTAGCCGCTTTTTGGTATAGGTTGTCTTGATCGTGGTCCAACATACTGGTCACCGGCAATAGATTCATCGGTAGTAGAGTCACGCACGAACGGACTGTCGTGGGCACCCAAATGTGTAATCTCGCCATAAGTCTTATCGCAAAGGTCGGGAGAGTTGTTGCAGGCGGTGGTGCGGACATTCAGCGGGTTGGCGAGTACCAGCGGCAATAACGCTAAGAGATTAAATGATCGCATATTGTATATAGTGGTATAAATGGACAGGTAGTTTCAATGATTGAAAAAGAAAATAGGAAACAGAGAGGCGTTAAGACGACAGGAATAATAGAGCAGACTGTCATGGAGAATGTTTATGTGATGCCGATCAATACTAAGCGGGTCCAGGCCGCGTTGCCGTCTCAACTATTCTTAGATCGCCTTTCACAGCCACAGTACTCTATTGGCCGCCTAACACTACGTACTCATAACTTCTTGGGTCTTGGCTTGAAATTTCAACTCTCTTTCTTTCTTGTTGCCTGGAATCGTACATTATTCCCCTGAGAATAAGCGGGCGAAGCGCTGATGACACAAGGTGACACGGCCTACATTCAGAAAACTCCTATTTACTAGACGCGAGGGATCAATCAAGTGGATGATCCCGACCATTCATGCATATGATCAATGATCGATTCTCATTTGTATTCAGTATTATACATTTATTGATACATCTAAACTAATAATTTATTTCTGCTTCATCGAGCTCGCCTTTTAGACAACATGACCTTGGCTGTGTTCCTCAGAGAAAAGGGTGAGCGTGGAGGGTTCAGAAGCTTCTCTGGTTCCGAGTGTTCCTTGCCCTCGAATAGAGACTGGCCCCAGGCAAGATTGATGTCCTTATAAACCTGATCTTGATTGTATGGGTTGACCCTCCGCAGCATACGGTTGAAGCGGACCGCAGAATGGCAATACACTCCAAACAGTAGGTTCAAGCGGATCTGAGTCGCACGGCGGATTGGGCCTAGCCGAAGAGCAAGACCGGCTTCCTCAAGCTCCCGTAGAAGTATTAAGCCTCGTGTCCAAGCAATGAGCTTGGCACCGGTGGCGGGGTGTGGACAATAGATTTCGTTTGTGGTGGCACGCGTCACACGCAACTTGAAGCCCCAGGAAATGATGGCTTGTTGCATTTCCTCGTCAAAGATAAGACCAAGCACTCGATTATCTGATCGAATGGTGGGCATTTGCTGAGAAGAAAGGATTCCTCGGTGTTTCCCCTTCTCTTCCGGTCTGTGGGTGTATTGGTCAACAAGCCACATAGAGCATTCTCGTAATTCATCCCAATGGTTGCCCATGCCGAACCGCTTGAGAAGTTCTTGCCAGAAAGCCGGGCTAACATAGCAGCCGGTGGGGACCACGCGCTGAAGAACCTTGAACACAAAAATCGCTGCATCATGGGCAGGTAGCCCTGGGGTCACTTGTGGTCTATGATGCATTCGGCGAGATGGCAAGACCTTTTCGGCCATAAAGTCCACACTGTCCTCGCTCAGGGTCTTCCCAAGTAATGTGAGCTCATCTACCACTTTGGAAGCAGCACTTAGCTCTCCAGTAGCCAGATGTTTTCGGAAGTGAATATCAAGTAAGCCTGTAGAATCCGGGAAATGCTCTGCCAATATGGCTAATGACATGTTGTACTGACGTGAGTCACGAGCCATGTAGTATGAGATCAAGAGTGATTCCTGTAGCTTGGCATCTTCCAGAGTATCAGGATGCTGATCGCTCTGTAACAAGTCGGAAAGCAGGAATTCGCGAGTCTGGGCTGCAAGCTTTGGTACCAGTTTCGCGAAGACACTGTCCGTGGTGGTGATACCAGCCTGGCGAAGCAATTTGAGATTTGTTAAAATTTCCTGGCTGTCGTGGGCTCTCACGGCCATCTCCCGTAAGGTTCGTGGGCCGATTTTGGAAATGCCGAGCATTCTCAGACCACCGATAACCATGTCGAAATTGAGAGCACGAGTGGCAAACAACCTGGCAGCGATGTCGTCTTTGTATTCACGTTTCCGTGAGCTGCCAGATTTGGTATCCTTTTCGCTTGCTTGCTGTCCTTGTGACATATTTTGTTCGGGATTGTCCGACGGAAACTGAAGTTGGGCATAATCTCGGAGATTGTCATATTCCTGACGAAGCCCGTACTTCCTTGTATATTCCAATAAATGTTCTAGCTCCTGCATTGATTGGGGGTGGTCGCGGCGAGCAATCAACCAGCCATGCATTGCTAATGCATCTTCTCCATAGCCTTGCTCCAGTAGACTTAAAATGACAGGGCCGTATATGCGATGATCAATTCCGCGACATAGAGCTTTCAGGGTTTTGATCCGCATTAATGGTGTCTTGGACTGTAGCGTGGGGCGAGGGGTGGCAAACAATAGCACATCATTAACGGCAGGCACAATTGGCGGGGGTATGGCGTATGGAATTATTCGTAAGAGGTCACTGGGGCTCGCCAGCTGAGAATCTTGAAGCTTTCGGTGCCAATCAATGGCCTGTTTCTTCATGTCTCGTTCCAGAAGACCACCCACCACTCTCTCATAGAGTCCTGACCAGCAGCAGCCATCACTACCCCCAAGAATTACTGCATAGTCCAGGACTTCTTTTAGGAATGTCTCCCGTTTCAGTCCCAGGTCCACGAAACTTTGCCAGAAGAAATCCGCGTGCTTTCCCGTCAGAGGCAACTTCACCCCACCCGCACGGTTTGTGATTCCGTCCCAAATAACCTTTGTACCATGATCCCCATATTGGCGCTGGCGAAAACGAAGCAGTTCTTCCCAAAGCTCAAAGTTGTTCCTATGTTCTGGGAGGTCCACTAATCGTGTACCGAGGTCCTTGGAGTGTCCGATGTCTGACTCGAATTCCAGCCTTTCCGGGTCGAGTCGTAGGGATTTGGTGATACATTCTGGAGTTCCGCTCGGGGCAGAGTCGTTTGCGCGAAAGGAAGGTTCGGGTGAAGGGGTATTTGGTTCAATGTCGTATATAGAGAAACTGAGAGGCTTTGTCTTCGATTTGCTCAGCCATGGATTGCTCGTCTTCTCCTGGTGTGAAACGCCGGTATCTTTGTTATCGGCCAGTTTGGGTTGACTGGCACATTTTGACTGACATCGTGATTGGCATTGTAGGCGCGTGTATCGGAATTCCAACTGCTCGATTCCGATTGAAGTTGTGATGAGGCTGTCGATTATCGAGAGGGCAGACGGCCTTTTCAATAATCGATTCAAAGCCGGTCGCATAGGTGCAAAAAATGAGATGGCACCCAATGCTGGACCATGCTGGAAATATGACTTGAAAAAAAGGTAGAATAACCAGCAAGCCAGCTTCCGCGCGGAGGGACTAATGACGCTTTCCCCTTTCGAGAAATTCGTGTTCTTAATAAGCACACGAGTTTGATTGGCAAAAAAGCGGGCGGAGGAAAGAGGGAAGTCACATGATCTCTGAAGCTCGATCCTAAACCTCAAGAACATCACCCCATTCAACTCCCTCCCATTGCCTAACCCCTCCACTCCCTTCCAACCGCCAAAATGTTCCGCACTGTGCCTCGCATGGCTGGGTATGTCACCACCTATCCTTGCTCCTGCTACCCTTAAACCCCCCCAATTCCACTCAGGACCGCGTCTCCGAGTGCGCCCGAATCTCGCTTCGCAGCTTCTCGACAACGCAATGACCAATTGTTCTACATATTGCACCGGGATACGGGCAATAGTCTCGGACTTGACGAATCGTTACTAATACGTGTTTTTCCGGCTATAGGTTCGTGTTCCGTGAGAACCGTGTCCCCTACTACCAGCGTCTGTTCCAGAACAACGACGGCAAGCGTCAGTGGTGGAAGGTTAGTTTGATTCGAATCAATTGTTTTATAACGGCAATGATCTGACTTGGCGCTTTTCTACAGACCTCCCGCAGTGGTTACATCATGTACCCCTACCTGATCTCCGTCTACGGTCTCGGTGCTGGTAAGTTGACCTTTTGTGGGACCGGAAACGTACTATGACCGGTATACTGATAATACAATAATAGCCACCACCTACGCCATGTGCCGCATGGTTTTCGTGAGTTTTACCTCCCTTCTTTTCCTCACCATCCCCGCCAATGAATCAGATCGGGAAATTTCTATGACACTGTGAACATCAGCTAACCCATTGAACAGGGCCACAAGACCTGGATCTAAATTAGTTCGACGATAGACGATGGTGCTATCTGCAGTTGGCGGGATCGTTGGATACGAAGTCTTGGGTGACTCGACATGGTGTATTTCTATTCCGGTGAAGGTTAGATTGGTTTGCAGGCATACTGGTTTGGGGCTGTATATACCACCAATTCTAGTGCCAATTAAGTTACGTTTGCTTCTTTAAACATTTCCAAGGTTGGGTCAACTGGTGCTTGCGTTTCGCAGCTGTTTCCAAGGCCCAGGCGGGCGGAGCTTTGAAGGTGTGCACTTTGCACCATTTATATGGGCTGTGCGCAAGATTTTTTGCGCATAGTCTTACAACCCACGGAGTTTTGACATCTGGATGGTTTAGACCAAATACTTATATGGGCTACGCGCAATATTCTTAAGGAGTTTTTCGCGCATAGCCTTAGTTACAATCGACGGAGTTTTGATGCCTTTAGCAGTGTCATTCCAAGGCTTGAGTGCGTATTGCTCAACTTAAAAAAGCAAGTAGCTGAGCTGTTTAGCACCAAACATCCACATTTTCAAACAATTGCCTAATAGGTAGTCCTGTATGTCTTCGAAGCTGCATTTTCAGAATCTCTAATCTAACATTGAATGTCTACTATATACTAGTTCCTACTTATTCCAAGGTTCCGGGCTCTATTCCGTGTTCCGCTCCATCTGCGGCCCGGATACAGTATCCATTAGTCATCTAATCAAAGACATGTCTGCCAACATTTGAGCATAAGGCTTCACACACAAATTGTTGTACCCCAGCAAATTCTGGAGACTATGGGTCTTGGTTCATACCACCACTCGTAGATGTGATGGCCTCGCCATATGCAGAAGTTGCTGGCAAGCGGGTTCGACAGGCCTGTGAGCCCTGCAGGTAGGCCCGGAAAACCTCATCCGTATTAGACGCGATACTCATGTTTCTCTAGACGGAAAAAGGCTAAATGCCACGGGGAGCAGCCGGTTTGCTCTTTGTGTGCTAGGTTGCGCCAAGAGTGCGTATATGCGGAGTCAAGACGCCGACATGTACCACCGGAGGATCAGTCGAGGTCGAGTGTCCCGCCTCCGGGTCCGCCCCTACATGCATCGTCTCCAAATCTCGTAGGTCCTGACGTTCGAGTCGTATGGGTGTGAAAATTACTAAGAAGCGATTCAGGAAGATCGACTACGCAGCTTAGAGGGAAAGCTGGGAGCAGTGCTTGATCATTTGGGGTATGAACCCGTATAACGTCAAAAAAAAACTGTTCCGTACTGATATGTCGGGGCAACCCAGATCTAGAGCTGAGCATTCGATGCCAAATGATGTTCTCTCTGCGACGCCGTCGGGCATTGGCTCGTCTGTAATTCTGCCGCCGTGGGAAGATATCATCCCTATAGCAGAGCTTTACTTACTGTATTGTGAATCTCAGCCTCTGCCTCTGTTCCACATAAGTAGCTTCATCACCAGTCTTCAAGGGCGCGATATTGAGATCATATATGGAATTCTGGCTCTGAGTCTCAGATTCTCCGACTCATACCGCAATTACCACAACTTAACAGAATTGGTGAACAGCTATGCAGAAGTGGCGCGGGGTCTGGTTATGAAGCGGGTCTCCGAGGGGCCAGTCGAAATTTCAACCCTCCAGTGCCTGTGTCTCTTGAGTCTAGTTGACTTTACAAGTGAGTAAAATATACCCAAAATCCAACCTATCAGTCGCTCATCTTCCCCAGATGGAAATACACACCGCTCCAGCATCCACAGCAGTCTGGCAGTGAACCTTGCACGCTGCGCCAACCTTGGCCTCGAGTCTCGTGCAACGACAAATAACATCCTCCGCGAAGAGCGAAGGCGATGCTATTGGAGCATATTTCTTCTGAAACGCATACACGGCGGCGACTTCTCCATTCTAGATCTCCCAGATGCCGGAGGTCCGCCCTACCCCCAGAGTCCCACCCGACCAGCCCGTGCCATCTCTCCTGTTCCCCCGACCCCAGGTGTCCGGCGAAGTGAGCTGCAGGACCAGGGAATCGTCGCGTACGTCATCATGCTGAGCGAGGCGTTTGGAAGAACTGCTCGATACGTGCGACACCGCGGTCGCCCGGGTAATGTGCCGCCTTGGTCGCCGGACTCCGAGTACTCGAAGATCATTGCCTTGCAGATGGATCTGGAAACTCTCATGCCGCTGACGCACCGCTTTAAGCCCGCGAACCTGAGTGATAGGTCGTTGGAGGAATTGCAGACTCATAGAGAGTATTGGGGTCCGTGGTTTTTAAATCAGTTCATGTACCACACCATCCTCTGTCTCCTCAATCACCCGTTGCTCCTGTCGTTGAGTCTGCGTACGTTTCGAAGTACCATTCCTGAGATTTTCTTGCAACATACTTCGGATTTAATCTCGTCTCATACGACTTGGATCATTCATTTCATCAACTTTTTTGAAGAGAAGTCTTTCTTGGTGTCGGATCCGTTGCTGGGGTATAGCGCTGCGGTCGTGGCTACTATCGAGCTCCAGTTAAGCTTCACGGAGAATCCGGCTATTAGAGAACAGAAGCGAGACCGGTTTGCGAAATGTGTTAAATTTGTACAACAAATCGGTGAGAGGTGGCCTCATATGGCTCGCTTGGTATGTTGATGCACTTAGTGACTCTTTTTAACCTGATATGGCTAGCTAATCTTCGCCTTTTTCATTCTCTAGGCAGAACGACTGGAACACCTGGAAAATGCTGTTTCAGCCACATACCAATCTGATCCGGGTGTCCAGAACCAAAGTCTTCTGATTGATCTCTCTCGCTTCTGGGAAATCCTCGAGTACTCATCAAACAGTGATGTGGATTCCGCCAGACGTTTATTCGGAAATTCGCTTTACACCGGGCCCCCCACTGTGGCTAATGAGGTATCGCAAACTTCGCCTTTACCGGCACCGACTCGGTTGAATGCACTAGAAGAATCGTCTTCGACTCTTCAATCCCCGAACTTCAATGCCAATCCCGTCTTTTCCAATGGGCCGGATTATTCTCAAGGCGCGCTGCTGGCACCGCAGCAGCTGGCTTTGTCCAACGATGACTTCTCCATCCTTGCGACCAACTTCTTCTCACAGGGGCAAGAGTTTCTTCGGGGTAGTGATAGTTGGGAGAACGTTGGAAACTTCTAAAAAATAGCATAATTTGATATTTTATAGATAAATGGTATCATATACATAATCTTGACCCCAGCTCCGAAATATTAAATAAAGAGCTTGAGCAAACATAACCAGCCACCAAATCGAAGCACTAGATCAACATTATTTGAAATGTTCCTGGTTTCCTGCTTCCTGAAATGCCACAGACAGATCGCATAAATTCATAGATATGGCAAAAGAATTTTCGTTTAGGCACTCAAAGCCCCTCTGAATGTTTCCACAAAAGTGTAAACTTCAGAAAAAGTGTTGTAAAGAGGAACAGGTGCAACACGAACAACGTCGGGCTCCCGCTTATCACAGATAATGCCGGCATCTTGGAGTCGTTCAGCTACCTTGTGCAGAAGTCCGGGCTTAAGCAAAACGCTCAATTGAGCGCCACGGGCATGAGGATCCGACGGAGTGATAATATCAAATTGACGAGTCTCGTCAGTGGTATCCTTCAAAAGAAGGAACTCCAAGTATGCAGTAAGCTTAAGCGATTTCTGACGCAAGTCAGCCATTGATGTTTGATCAAAAACGGACAGCGAAGCACAGAGAGTTGTCAAATCGATCACTGAGGGGTTGGAGATAACGAAGCCGTTAGCGCCGGGAATAGGTTTAAATTCTAAAACGTAAGTATTAGCACATGTGTGGGGAATGGATCCTGACAATGCAACTTACTGTTGTCCATCTTAAATCGTACAGATCGGTCACCGCCGTACCAGCCGGTCAACCGGTGTCGGAACTTGGGCGCATCCTCTCCCTGGCTGTAATCCACTTCGCCGTGGCGCTCGTGCACGAAAAGACCGCCCATTGCTCCGGGCCCGGCATTGCCATATTTGTAAGTGCACCAAGCGGCAAAATCAACATTCCAGTCGTGAAGCTTAATCTCAACATTTCCATATGCGTGTGCCAGATCCCAGCCCACGATCAGGCCCCGAGACTGGGCGTATGATGTAATGCGGGGAATGTCAAATAACTGGCCTGTGTAGTATTGGATACCGGGTAGTAGAATAACAGCAGCATCTTCCGCATGTTCGTCAATGTACGAGAGAATCTTTTCAGTCGAGATCTCATACTGGTCTTCATCGGGGCCAATCAGGACCATGTTCTCCTTGGCGTCGAGGCCGTGCCAGGCGACATGGGATTCAATCGCGTACTGATTAGAGGTTAGTATGCTGTGTTTTTCCTTTTGCATAGTGACGCCCAATGCTTTGTTTATATTTGACTTACATGGTCGCTAGGGAATGCCTTCCAGTCCATGAGAATCTTGTGTCGCTTCTCTGTCGGTCTGTAGAAACTCGCGAGCAGGAAGTGTAGGTTCATAGTTAGGGTTCCCATAGCGGCGACTTCCTGCGGGCTTGCGCCCACAACCTTGCACATGGACGCCGATGCCTGCTCGGAAAGAAGTTGCCATTCCTTCAAAGGCGAGTCTTCGAGGCGGGTAAAGTGCCCACAGACACCAATAGATGACCAGGTATCGAGCTGAGCTTCCATGTACTTGGAAACAGCCTTGGGCTGGATTCCCAATGAGTTGCCACAGAAATAAATGCTTGGCTCATTAGAAAGGCCTGTGATACATATTATTCAATGTTAGCTCCTGTGATACTTGACGCCGCAATGTGTCTACACTTGTTTACGCGATGCTCTCGGGGACTTGCCTGGCTTAGCTAGCTTCTTCGAAGACAGATTTGCCTTGGAAGGGATAATAAACAGATCTCGCAGCTCTCGGAGGGGATCAGTGGCGTCGAGGGAAGCCGCATATTCTTTTGACGCGGCCTCGGCGGGAAAGACAGGCTTCGGCGCCTTGGTTCCATTTGTTGCGTTTCCTCCGCCCATATTGAATTGTTGATAGATCAACAAGAAACGGACTAGCGATGTAGATGACAGGGGTATGCAGTAAGTCGTGACACCTGGACTGGATATATATTAGATATGGATCAGGCCGAGACTGGGATCAAATCGAACATACAATTCAGCTGGGTTTTATAACTGCAGCTTGTGAGATCGGGAGGGGGGAAATGCAGTTGCATCCGGGCTGGAACTTCCGCTTCCGCCCCTGATCCGTCCCCACACTATTAGCTTTCTTCCAAGTGCTTATCAGCCAATTCCAATCAATTCATGTTTTTTTTTGAATGCTGGACTATCATATGATAACATACGTAATGCCTAAGTATTTATGTACATATTCAAGTTTTACTTGAAGGAATCCGGGTGGATCTAATTCCGTTATCATTTTTGTTTATTTCTGGTGTTACCAGATGCGAGTTGTTCGCAGTTAACATTATAACTCGTCATAGTGGTATCTCAAAGGCCGACGCATGTTTGCTTTTGGAGGATAAGCAGGGATCACTAGTTATTTCCCGAACTGGGAAAGTAACTCAAGAGTCACTCAAGAAAGTATACAAAGGAACTAATGAACTTGACAGTATAAAAACATCAATGTCATCATGAGTCTCCAGTTCCGTGGTAAAGTTCCAAGCACGGAACACGGATATAGGAAGCGGGTGAAAGATCCGTGTTTTATAGATAGCCAAAATAACCATCGGCCGACGCCAGCCGTTAATCATCCCTATTATATTAACATCCGAGTAAGTAGTATTTTTCTTTATTTGAATCGGTTTCAATCTTAACCTGGTTGGCTTCATTTTCAGCGCTCTATCCTACCCGCCTTATCCTACTTTCATAACTTTGGAACAACTTTAATCTACTAGACTTTCCATCTTCTCATATCCGCAATTTATTCGCCCCTTGACCTCTTTTACCTCGTTATCTCCATCCTCTACCGCGTCGACATGCTCGAATATCCGATCATCAGATTGGAAGATTATGCGGTATCCGACAAAAATGGCTTCCTCCCCTCCACTCCTCCTATCGCCAATTTACCCAATACATACTATGAGCCCTGGGAAAGCCTCGCCAGTCAATTATCAACACTCATCAAAGATGGCAGTATCCGATCACTAATCGATAATATGCCAATACTCGACGTGGACTTGTTGTTGACAGAGCCGGAATGGCAACGTGCTTATTCGGTGTTGGGGTTCCTGACCCACGCCTACATCTGGGGCGGCACAAAGCCCAAAGATGTATGCTCTCCTCCGTGGCACTTTAGTCCCTTCAGCTCTAATCAATGAAAATCATATCTAGACAATCCCGCCTTGTATCACAAAGCCTTTCTTGAAGATCTGCGCTCATCTCGGACTCCCACCCTGTGCAACATATGCAGGGCTGACGCTGTGGAACTACACTGCACGCAGTGACGCCGATATCTCGGACCCAGATAACCTGTCCCTGTTGACTTCGTTTACGAACACGCCGGATGAGGAGTGGTTTCTCGTAATCTCAGTGGCTATCGAAGCAAAGGGTGGCAAACTGGTCACGCTTATGCTTGATGCTATCGCTGCAGCTTCTGCCAACGAAGTACAGCGACTGACTGCCCTGCTGTGGAAATTTACCGACGGCCTCCGCGACTTCACCTCCACACTTCAGCGTATGCATGAGAAATGCGACCCCAGCGTTTTCTTCTACCAGCTCCGTCCTTTTTTGGCTGGTAGTAAGAATATGGCTAGTGCTGGTCTGCCTAGAGGCGTGTTTTATGATGAGGGAAATGGCCAAGGAGAGTGGCGCCAATACAGCGGAGGCAGTAATGGACAGAGCTCGCTGATTCAGACTTTTGATATCTTTCTTGGCGTGAATCATCATGCCACGGGCGGTTTAAGTGGCTCGTCTAGCTATCTACAGGTAGAATTCCCTCCTTCTACGTACATATACCGCCCCGTGGATACAGTGCTAATATTGCATTTGCGTAACATCAGGAAATGCGAAACTACATGCCTGATTCCCACAAGCGGTTCTTGGAGATTCTTGGCCGCCACTGCAACATCAGGTCTTTTGTGATGTCTTCGCTGGCCGAGAAATTATTGAAAGATGCATACAATGACGCTTGCATGACCCTCTCTGCATTCAGGGACACACATATGAGGATTGTCTCACGGTACATTGTCCTGGCAGCTAGACGGGGTGCGCCGACTCCGCCATCGCCTGATAATGTTAACCTCGCTACCGCGAGTGCCCAGGTGGATGGACTGAAGGATGAGAACCCGTCTGGCCTGTATGGGACTGGAGGAACTGCTTTGATGCCCTTTCTTAAGCAAACCCGGGACACGACCAAGGACGCCACTTTTTAGGTCAAAGTTGACTGTTTGAGCTTGTCTCGGGGTAGCATTCTCATTAATAATATTATGTATCACCATTACGCATGAACGCCCTAAGAGCCATACGTCAAACCGCCGTGTTTCTTACTAAATTAATCCTTTAAAATGTTGATCATGCCCTTGAACATCGAGAATCTGCTTATAATTGGTGTATTGAGTGTGTATGGCTTCAATAGTAGTTGCAACGCTTTATCTTTTAGAGTAAACCGATCCTCGAAAAATGCCATGTAGAGGTGGGTTTAAGGATATGCTCGGTAGGTAGCGTTCCAAATCCAGATGCTCTAAGTCGGATTAGACACCTGGATGGTACGCCTGGAAAAACTGGGTAAGAGCTTGCCAGCCTTGACGCGTTCATTTGAAAGCGAATGCTGGTCAGTTGTCGATATTCAACAGTTCCTGCTGGAGGAGCCCGGGCTTTTTGATAACTCATGATCTTCGATCATTCCATGTGTTGCACTGTATTGTCGCGAGACTGGCCATTTCATGGAGTCAAATGAATAGCAATGGCAGATCATGTTAAAGCTCAGGTGTGTTGTGAGATTGGTATTTGCTGTGGTTGACATCACGAGGCAGATCGAGGTTTTGCCGTAAGCCCGTGATTTCATAGACCGAATACAATAGTCTGGGAAGACCATCGAGAAAAGAAAACGCCTTGTGCGTAATCATCTCTTCTTCGTATTAGCGGAAACACCTTCACTCTCCCGTAATTCAGCAAGTGTTTTCTCCCGCTCAACCAAGCGATCTTTCTCCTCTTTGATCATCGCCTCCACTGTCTTCATAGCCTCCGACATCCGATCAAGTTCCTTATTCTCCGTCGTCCGACTGTATGGATTCTTCGGCGCATCGTTGATGGGGATTTCCGCAGTCCGCCCAGCGCCCTGCTTTGAGTTCTTTCCCTTAGCCCGAGGCGGAGCAGTACCGGCAGGGCCTCCGGTAAGAACCTCATAGAAGGGCTCCACGGGCTCATTGAAGATGACTTCCTCGTAATTCTGACTAATAACCACTTCCCGGCGCTCCTTCATACCCTCCGCATCCGGGCCATAGGGATGCAGCTTCAAGCTGTGCCAGAGTGTCTGTGGCTTCTCGTTTGACTCGGGGACGAAGTACAATTTGATCTGGATCTCGAATTCACCCCAGCCAGTCTCGACAACTTCGAAGGGAGGCGCCTCGATTGTGCGAACACTTTGTGCGTATGTCTCGTGGAGTTTGAATTGGACTTTCTTCAGCCAGTAGGAGATATCCTCATCGTTGATGCCTTTAACGAAGATGCGCCATTGATGAGTGTGGTCGACAGGTGCGTTTGCTGGCTTCTTCTCGGGGTCAAATAGTTGTGCTTCACTGCCAAAAACTGAGGGTCTGCGCGTTAGTCTTTATTTTACCCGTGGCTTTGCTGCGAAGACATACTGAATGGGCGGAATACTGAGACTCCCTATGAAGGGATTAGCTTGGTTTCTTGATTTCCGAATACTAGACCCTGTCAAAGGCGGGGTAACTCACTCTAACGCGCTTGTTTGCTGGTGTGGATGGCATGTTGAAGTTTTTGGGCCGGTCAAGGGATGGCTTGGGTGTAGAATGAATGATTATGCTCAGGCAATAATTCGAGCTGCTAAACGGGCGCGACGGGCGGAAAAAGGCGCTCGCGACACACGTGACCCGGTGACGGCATGCGGCCCGCGGGAGCTTTCCATAGCTTGAATTCTTGTCAATTGATAACATATGCAGGCTGCCTTTTTTTGCAAATTTTGAACTCTGCGCCCCTGGAAAACATTTCATCTACACTGTAAACGTACACAATGGCTACTAAGAGGCTTGTTGTTGCCGGTGGAAGCGGTTTCTTAGGTTTGTGGTGCATGCGCAGATGAGGCGATATTAATTATGCTAATATACGGATCCAGGATCTAGGATCTGCAAATCAGCCGCAGCGCGGGGATGGTCGGTAGTCTCATTAAGGTAAGCTGGAGCTGTGTTTGCCAGCCTCTTTTCTCTTCCTTTGAGATACTCATATCTTCCTCAGTCGATCAGGCGAACCGCGGTGGGACACCGTCACTAGTTCCTCGGCGCGCCCAAGCTGGGCAAGCTCAGTCGAATGGGCCAAGGCTGATCTTTTGAAGCCGGAGAGCTACAAATCGTTCCTGAGTGGTGCTACTGCCGTCGTTCACTCCATGGGCATTCTTCTGGAGGCCGATTACAAGGGTGTAGTACAAGGCAGAGAGCCCATTATTGGTGGACTCCAGCGGGCTTTCAGCTCATCCAAGTTGGGAAGCCAAGATCCATTAACCCTAAAAGATGGCGAGGCTCTTAAGCCAAAGGAAAGGGATGGTCAATTGACTTATGAGCTTATGAACAGAGATTCAGGTAGGTTTGTTTGATTGTGGATATCTAGAGTCTGAAACAAGTTGCCAGGGATCTGACTATCTCTCGCAAAACAGCTATCGCATTAGCTAAAGAATCCTTGACCGAACACGTTCCAGCCTTCGTGTACATCTCTGCTGCGGCCGGCGCGCCAGTCCTTCCGGCCCGATACATCACCACCAAGAGGGAGGCGGAAGACACAATCGCCTCCACCCTTCCGGAATTGCGGAGTATTTTCATTCGACCCGGTTTCATGTTCGATTCCAGCAGAAAGTTCACATTGCCAATCGCCCTAGGCGGCTTTCTCACGTCGGAGGTCAACACTTTTCTGGGAAACAAGCTTGGATTCCTTGGCGCCATGGCTGAAAAGCCGTTGAAAGTCGATACCGTGGGCGAGGCTGTAGTGGAGGCTTTGGAAGACGAGTCAACAAGGGGAGCAGTAGGAACGAAGCAGATTGAGGCATTAGCCACAAAGGCCTGGAGGAAAGCAATGCTATAAGCCCGATTCGAATCTGAGGTTTGGCATCCCGAGAGTTGACACAAAAGCACACGATATGTTGTGAAGGGATGGCGAGTGTCTTATTCCGAACCCGACCCAGAAAAGTGCCCAGCACATGTATATTATTTCTAATCTTGTATTTTTTTTCTCTCTCGTGGCGCATTAGATCATAGTTCCTCGCTCGAAACTGTCCCGAATCTCGGTTGTGTACTAAAAAAAAGAGATAAAAGTTAGATAGAATGCCCACGTGGACGAGTACGACTGGCAGATGCCTACCTTGTTGTAGAATCGGGCAAGCTTCTGGTTGAACTGCTTGTTCTTTTCGTTGATGTACGTCACATCGGCCTCATCATCACCACGACGCTCCTTGCGTTTCTTAAGGCGCACTTCTTCGGCCTTGTGGATATCGCCGACAAGTCGGTCTATGGCTGCGCGATCTGGTTTGTTTTCGGTGAAGCCCACGCTATCAGCGGTGGAATAGAAGCTGCCATTCTTATCAACCGCGATCATTTCCCCGTCGGCGGTCTCCACAATCTCGAGGTCGCCATTGGCAGCGGCCTTCTCAATTGCAGCCAGTTTCTCCTTTTCATATGCCTCCAAGTTCGCGGGAAGTTCTCGCATTTGTCGCTTGTACACCTTGTTGGCGTCTTGTGTGTAATCTTGGAACGCGACGTTGTCGCGATGGCGCTGTTTCTTGTCCATACGTCGATCCCACTTCTCAGATTCGTCAACAGTCCAGTCCCAGGCTCGCTTGCGCTCGAAATCTTCACCAGCCGCTTCTGTGTCTGCTTTTAGGAGGTTGTGAGAGGCAAAGGCATGTTTGCGGGCAAGTGAAGTGGCCAAATTCGGATCCGTAGCAAGTCGCTGGGTTTCCGCAGCAGTTTCTTTCAGATTGCGCTCATTGGCAGATTTCTAAAATACATCAGTATTGTAATCGATCCAAATCTCATTGCTTAGATATTAGATCTCTTACCGCTCTTGCCTGAAGTGCTTTAAATCTTTGCAGTCTGTCCTTTGCCTTACCAGCTGCATCATCCTCTTGCTTCTCAGTATTTGAGTCGGCTGTGTTGGGTGTTTCGGTGGGTGTAACGTCCGAAGTAACATCAGTTAGGTCTGGCTTTTCGGCCTCCTCGGTGGACACGGTCTGGTTTCGTGTCTTCGGCATGGTGAAACACGCTGGCGCTGGGTAGGGTAGTGATAGTTCGTGGGGGAAAGGTGATGAGAGGGTGGGAAGAGAGGTTGCGACTGCAGTTTTCCGCGACGAGATGACATCAGCCTCACCGCCCGTTGCCCACCGCTTTTGGCTCTAAACAATCTGCCACCCCAGAATTCCCGTCGTGCGGGTCAGCTCTCATCTCCACCCGTGGGTCGTCTTGTTCTCCGCGCATTGGTTTTATTTACGATTTCGCCCAACATGAGATGCGCAACTCCCCAGATCCCAAGATACAAACCCCTCTACTATTCAGCTTGCATTGTGCGCCCATCATCTCGCTATCACTCTTCCATTGGTGCTGTCCGCAGCTCCGACAACGAGACTCGGTATAGGTCTATTGTCCCTTCTCCGACACAACTGCTTCGGTCCAGTTTTATCACCTCAAATAATATACGACCTGATAATGAACCCGAAAAATTGTCACACAGACAGGCTCAACAGCTTCTCGATGCAGAATGGAAGTTGGGTAGTCCTCCTGCGGCCTTGTGGTTACCCCTCAAAGGTGTCCATCCCATAAACCGACGACAAGATACGCTATTGCTCAACTTTGTAACCGATGTATCAGCCTTAAAGGCCACTATTGAAAAAATGGTTGTTGATTCAGAAGGAGCTGCGCGGCTACAAGTGAAAAACTGTACTCTTCTCGCGCAGGCACTACGGCGCTGTCAGTCTCACAACACATATTCAGAGATCGTTGCACTATTGAGCGATATCCTTGCTAGACTTGAACGACTCAAATTGCCTATTTATTCCCAGTTCTGTGAGCTTGGTATCTACTATGCAGCGCTAGATCTGTCTTTTCCGGCCTTGCAACGCTTTCTCGCTGCATGGCAAAGAAAGACCGCTGTACGACTGACTTTTGGAGACCGAATTGTCCAAGCATTTTCGTCTGCTATCAATGCGAAACTGTTTGAAGTCCCAACTTATGACACTTCGGCGTTGCTTGCCACGATCACAGGAGAAGGGGGTGTTCCTTCAGATGTGCATAGTATCTTGTTTGAGTCGCTGTGCCACGATCAGCATGACTTTGCTGCACTTCTCCGCCTTCTAGCTGGCATAGGCAGTGACGAAATACTCTATGGATTCTGGGCTGTATTTCTTCAGACGCTTGATACCAAAGATTTGGAAGCCTGCCGCTCGGCTTACAGTGTAATTCTGGTCCTGATTCAATCTGGGCGCTCGGAGACAGCACGAGACTTCTTGGAAGACATCTCCAAACAGTGCAGTGGCACATTGCCTAATATCGACGCCTCCCATAATCTACAAGCTTTGTTCAAGGACCCAATTGTTGGAGAATCGTTGGCCGATTTGGTCACTGATGAAGATTATAAAAAGTTGCTGGAAGCTGGCTTCAGCAATATGGAACAGAGGTTAGGCATTAAATGGCAAGAATCTCAAGAACAAACAGGCGACAGAAAGACACATTCTGGGGTAACCCCAAACTCTCTTTGGGCCACTTTCACGGATCAGCCGCTCTTCACCATTGATGGTAATTCAACCGGATACGACGATATCGCTCGACTTTATCCCGAGTTGCTTGCTCACGGATGCTCTAAATCACGCGAGGAGCTTGGCCAGGTTGTTGATTTGCTAAATGATTATGATGGCGATGTCTACAATGTGACTGTACAGCTCAACTTGGATCAAAAACAGTGGGAAGCCTTTCAAGCGGAGTTCCCCACTGTCGAATTCCGATGGTGTCCTCAACGATCACCAATAGAGTTCTCAGATCTCTCACCACCCGCCTCGACAGACCAGTCTGAGCGGTGGACACCGGCTTCGCTCGGTTTAATGCGGGCGCGGCCTTTTATCAATGGAGAACCCCAAGTGGGGGCTAACAGCTTGCATTTGATGCAATTGGGATACTTGGAAACACGACCTGGCCCAGACACACCGTGGAAACCATCTGGGTATATCGTGGCATGGGATCGTCAGTTCGGTGAAACCGTTGCGCTTTTTGTTGGGGCATATTCGGCTGTCATGGACCGCGGTCCAACCCCATCCAATGGTCCATTTGGGGCTGTGATGTATATCCGGCCATTTGACAAGCCTCATGCATTACCCTTGTCCCCTGATCGTCAACATCGAGATTACTCTGGTCGTTATTATCTGGACATCGACCCGAGTCCGGACTTGGGTCCGTGATGTGTTCGTCAAAGCCCATTGAACTAGTGCCCACGCATAAGGAAGATCGTTCGTTGATCACATGTGGAGATGATCTTCCAGTGTGACTGCGATGATCCAGCGGTGTATCTTTTTTTTTTTGAAAATTTCTTTTTCTAGCATACATATGAGATTCCTAGACCCACTTTGTGATAAGTTTTCAATGTCTCTGCACAATTTTTCTTTTTTAGTTTTTCACCCCCTATCTATCTGTGCATCATTCCCAAGTCCGAGCAACGCAAGAAGCGAGAAAAGAGAGAAAACCCACTTTTTGAGTTCCCCACTGGTCTCCGGTACTCCACTCACTGCCAGTTGGATTCGAGACCCCAATCAGAAAATCAGAAACCGCTTCCATTCACTTTTGATAAATAACAAAGCTCCAGTCCTGATCGACATTCTTCGTATGGAGTGTGAAATACATACTCCGTACAAGTCTCGAGTGGGGAGCACGTATCTGGTTTGCCCTGCATGGCCAATTGAATCCAAGGCAGAGCTGCTCTTCAGCACACAAGAGTTTTCCAGCGAATGATTGGAGACTCAGCAGGGGCTGAAGAAGGATGGATCGACGGTAAGGGCCAGCAAGCCACTCATCTGACCGAGCGATGTGTCCCGTCCGATTCTTTCCAGGCTGCAGGGATCTTGTCGAACATTGAATGTAGCGTCCAAACGGTAGTAGAGCGCGATCTTCATCGCCTCGAATGGTATTTCCGAGGCGCTGACTGGTCGGAACATGGCAGGTGTATATCCGAATTCGATGACGTTCACAGCGTACTTGATCATACTTAGTTGATCAGTCATTTCAGTGGGACCCCGCCACAGCTCGTTCAAAGCAAAGACCACCTTTTGTTTATCCATATGTGTACAATCTACAACCTACAACCCACTGGGGTCTTGTGGGGGCCACGCCTAAATAGCGCCCCTCCCTCGCCAAGGATCCAAAGTTCTGGGATTTTGGCGCTTGTCACGCGAGTCTAGCTCACACTTGACGGCACATTTGGCGATTACGGCTATTTGCCGACGGACACTTGAAGCCTATGACTTAGGAGGCGTGCTCAATCTTTTTGGATTCACTGAATTTACCTTTTCTTCTATCTATTTACTTCTATTTGTTTATCTTTTTCTTCCGAGATGTCAGCAACTCACCATTTCAATGAGCTTTGCGGACCTTTTTTTAGATGTACTTGTGATCGATCCCATACAATGTTTGCCTACTATTGCCTCGACGCTTGGACCCACCAGACTCATCAGACCCATCTGTTAATCAAACGATGAGAAAACTGGTCCGCTTTTCCCTCTCACGGCTGCCTTTTTTCTTTTCTCTTCCTTTTTAATTATGATTTTTTTTTGCATTTTTTACGTATATTTACGTATGAGGGGGTTTACCAAACCCTGCCGAACTGCCATGCGAGGGATAGTCGGAGCCCACTGCCGTGAAACGCTAACTTACTTTCATTTCCTGGAAATACCTGAGTTTACAGAGTTCCTTCCGAAAAGCTTGCCACTCTCGTCATGGTATGGAGACGGCGACCTGACTGGCTCAGTTCCCCACCATTACGGCGAGCCTGGCGAGCTTGGCTGCCACTGACGTGGTTTCAAGATCCCCGCTGTGGGGGGGCATGGGAAGATCTCTTTCTCTCTTCCTCTCTCTTCGCTGCGGCATCTCCGTGCTCCCTCCATAATAGCGGTTGCCAAGCCCTTGGAGTTGCAGGCCCCATTCCCAGGATGGCAACAGTCGCTCCATCCGAGAACTACTTGGTCAGCATCTGATCGCCGGGTGTGCCCGTTCTCGCTACGCTACCAAATTTGCGTGTTTTATGCTTTGGCTTTTGAATCTCCATTCTATACTCCGTAAAGCGGAGGTCAAGGTTTTGATTTTTACATTTTCATGTTTCATTTTGACAAGCGAATACGGAGTATGGCAGTTGGTACTATTTGGGTACTATTTGGGTACTGTTCTTGTGGGACACAGCCCTGAAGAACCAGTACAGCCAAAGCCAACTATCCATACGGAGTAATCCGTTACATGTTTGTAATATCCATTCCCTTTGTAAGTTGGAGGTTGTTCTCTCCTTGACTATTCTTATCTTTTTTCTCATTATTATTTGATAAAAAAACTGGATTTTTCTCTCTATTGCTATCCGGTTTCGGTCCTATTCTTCCCTCAAACCCTTAAACCACAGGCCACTGTAGCCACGCCACACGATCCCAAATTGGAGTTAGACGCTAACGCTCAGAATCCCAAACTCTGCTGAGCCAAGCCCCCCCGCTGACCGTCCTTTCAAGGGCCTCAGAGACTCGGGTGACAGTTGCTGTCAGGAACCTATTTCCGAGTATATCATCACGCTTCACGCACAGACTCGATAGAGACACAAATCCACATTTGCCCACTTGTGCATCCACCACACTGTGGCGGGACCAATGTCTGTTCGGCCCGTTCCCCCGGCTCTTCCCTTTTATTTTTTTTTCCTTTACCATCTCGGTGGATCACTCAATCTGGTACAGTCTCCGTAACGAGGGGTCCTGAACAAATGTAGAAATGAAGACCGAAATAGTGGATAGAAAAGAATTATAAGAGAATGAGAAAATCAGAGAAGAGAGTGAAAAAAACGAAAAATGAAAAGAGGTGCCTAAAATATCTGGTACTAATATTCATACTCTCTCAGAGTCTCTCTATACTTGGGACTCTCTTAGTGGCCTTTTATACAAGTTTGATACCTGATGGTTTAACTACCAGTCATGTCTCTGAAGCTGAAAAAAAAGTAACAAACAAAGCAAAGACAAACAAACCCCAAAAACAAGGAAACCAAGTAATATTTCATGACAATTACACATACCACAAAACACAAAAGAAAAGCAAAAAAAAACCCCCCAGCAAACTTCCATTAAAAAAAATCCAAACCCCCTCGCAGAGTCGCAGCTCCATAGATCCAAAAAAATTCTTTACGGTAAAAAAAAAAAAAAAAACTGGACAATCTCTGCCTTGGCCAGCTGCAGTGGGGTTATCAGATTCTTGGCCCGCTCAAAGATCCGGGATATGCAATCTGGAAGGTCTTGCGTGATTACCGATCCTGCACAACTTTGGGTCCTTACATATAAATGATCCCAGAAAGGAGACAATCTACATCTGAGACCACTTTCTCTTCCACGCGGGTGTGGCTGACTGACCGCTTTGTGGATCATCATCCAATGCCTAATTCCGAGCTGAAAATCCACTGCTTGGCCTTACTTAAGGCTGCCTAACGTCCGTCGAAGGGCCTGCGTGCTCCACCTGCGCAGTCTTGAATAGATGTCGAGGACCCCGTCACAGCAATGGGGGCATCCCGCCGACACTCCTCATCTCGATCAGAGGCCATATCAACATCCGGGCCCGGGGCCCGCCACATATCAACCTTATCCACATCATGACTTTCGCCATTTTCGCCCGTCAGAATCCATGGCTTATGACCTGCCGCTCTTGTCGCCACCCATGGCGGCTCCGAGATTACCGCCGCCGGACTGCTTGCTGAGGAACTCGCAGCCGCAGCCGCAGCCGCAGCCTAGATATATGCTTTCGGCGCATAGTGACTATATGAATCGTCCGGCTTTGGCTTTGCCTCAGATGCCCATGTCCAGGCCCATGCCCATGCCCATGCCCATGCCGTTGCCGTTGCAGATGCAGGCTCAGACTCAAGCTCAGGCTCAGAATCGCATACAGACGCTGCCGTTGCGGATGCATCATCAGGCCCCTCTGCCAGCTACCGATCTACGCGACTATAGTGCCTCGTACACGGAGAGATCGAGTCCTATGCTAGCCCATGGCCATGAGTATCCCATTCCGATTCCGATTTCTAGTAATCGGGCCCGGACATACGACCAGGAGTCCCAGTAAAGTTCCTCTTTTTTCTTTTCGTTTCTTCCGTCGAATCACCACTTGTCAGTTGTCCGTCCTTGTATATGTGTGTTCGAGTGTGTGTATGTGTGTGTGTGGTGCACCGTGCAGGTGCAGGTGCACACGGTTCTCCATCGCCAGCTCTACTTTTCAAGCATTGCTGTTCGTGGAAACTAGATCCTCAACTTTGCATCCTCTTTTTCTGACTACATCTCTCTCAGGCATAGCAACAGCTCCATAGCTACTATACTTAGTCCTATACATTCGGAAAAGAGCCCCATCTCCCTCGTGGGTAACCAACTTCCACCCACCACCCACACAAGCACAAGCACAAGCACAAGCACAACAAAGCAAAAAGAAAAGGAGCTCCCCCGACGCACTCGCACACCCCCATACAGCATGCCACATGGTTTCGACAAGCTCCTCAACCACGAAGATCCATCGCCCTCACCACCACCCCGTCGCAAATCCGCTCTACCAAGATACCACCTCCACGTCCGCCAGCAGCCCATTGCTGCCCGCGCCTGCGGCGCAGGAGACCGTGACCGCCGCCCCGTCGACCCACCACCAATCGTGCAGATCCTCCTCACAGACTTCGACCCAGACTCCCAAGACGACAAAGATACCCTCCAAGACCCCCGCTTCACCGTCGGCTGTCTGCTCTTCCCCTTCCCAGAAACAAACCCCTCTTCCTCCTCCACAGTCTCCCAGCCCCCCGACCCAGACCAAGCAGACCGCGACAGAGATAGAGATAGAGATAGAGATGGCAGAGACCTTTGTAAAGAGAAGGAGTCCGACGGCGTCGCGCGCGCAGACGACGACTTCTCCACCCCCCTTCTCTCCGGCAAGGCTTTCATGTCCCCGTTCTACGTCGAAGCGGACCCAGATCCAAATTCCGCCCCTACGCACCCTTCCTCCGTGGATGATCTCCCCGCCAACCCTCTCGCCCCGGCTTCGCCGCCTCCCAATCCGAATCTGCGCAATGCCTCCAAGCTGCATCAGCCTGCTACGTTTTTCATCTTTGCGGATCTGTCGATTCGTACTGCGGGGCTGTATCGGCTGCAGTTTAGACTTATGAATTGGGGCTCTGTGGAGGATACGGGTCAATCTATGCCTATTCTTGCTGAGGCGTGGTCGGATCCGTTCCGTGTGTATCCGGCTAAGGATTTCCCGGGGATGAGCGATTCGTCTATTTTGGCGGAGGGTTTGAAGGAGCTTGGGTTTGTGGAGTTGAAGACGAGGGGGAATGGGAAGGGGAAGGGGCGGAAGAAGTGGTGATGATCTTTTTTTTGATTTTTTTGAAAGGCTTTGAATTATCGCTTTTTGTGGTTTTCATTTTTTCTTCGTTTCTTGTTTCCTGTTTCCTTTTTGCTTGTGCTTGTGCTTGTGCTTTCTTTCATTTTCTCACTTTCTATATCCATCTAGTGCTTAGCTAGTTCGTTTTTCTTGCCTTTACTTTAGAAGCTTGTTTGGGCCGATGTTTCGGTGTCTTGTGTTTGGGGCTGGATGGGATGAACAGAGACGAATGCGGCGTTTATGTTGTCCCCACTTTTTGATTTTTGGATGCTGCTATGATATCTGTTTTTTTTTTTGGATTTCATATGCGCGCGTTTGATATGAGATATGAATTATGACGTGCTTTGACGATTTTCTTATGTGGCCTTGTGGTTTCGGTGCACACGTGGTGTTGGGATTGATCCATACTATACGCTATCAACTCTTGAATATTGTGCCCAGGTGGATACGTGGTGTTTCTCGGATGTGGTTCGTGAGCAGTAGATTATAAAGGATGATACGAAAATTATATGATTTAGATTTCTTGTGTGGATTGGTCTGTGCCTCTGTTTTATTTACCCTCCAGCATTAGGCACATGCACATGTACACCGAGCACTCCTGGGTTATTATGCATTGAATCGGCGTCAAGCATTGAAATCGATTCCAAGGTCTATTCAATGTTGCGAGCGTTAGGTAGTACATTCATACTACCTACTAGGTAGTAGGTACCCAATAGGTCAAAGATGTGCTATGTAGATACACACCATCCAAGCCTAGAACAAATCAATTTTATCACTACTAGTACCAATATGGATTTGTCTATCTTCAATCTACAAATGTTGCCTGAGCCCTAAGAAAATAAAAAACCGAATTGACTTTCAATATTTTCAGTCTCAAAATAGACACCAACAACCAAGCCCTTAGAACTACTGACATATACATATACTTAAGGAAAACCAAGCCTAACTCCATCAATCCAAAGGTACACAAACATTTGAAACAACCAGTTGACCTAATATCCCGCACCCCGCTGGTTCCCAGCAAGACCCTGCTGCTCATTCGCCCGCGTAACCCTAGGATCAATCTTATTCATAGGATCCACATTCTGACCCTGACCCTGACCCTGCCCCATCATCCCGCTATTATCTCCAACCCCACTTCCACCAGCAGCAGCATTGCCGCCAAAGCCCGACTGGCCCTGGCCGCCCTGGCCGCCCTGGATACCCCCACTACCCATCGCACCACCGACATTCATATTCGGGTTCCGGTTCTGGTTCTGGCCCGTCTGGCACGGCGCAGTGTGGCTGGTCGTCGAGTGCGACTTGTTCTCCTGCGTCGACAGGTTATAGTTGTCCTCGCTGCCTAGCTGGTCTGCGCTGCCTGAGTGCGACTGGTGCTCCTGTGTCGACTTGTTGTAGCTGTCCTCGGTGGATTTGTGGTTGTCGAAGCCCTGGAGGCCGGCCTGCTGCTGCGGGTTAAGGTCTTGGTTTAGGTTCTGGCCCTGGTTTTGGTTTTGGTTTCGGCCGAGGGAGGCCGTGTTGTTGGGGTTGAAGCCTTCGGCTGTGGTTACGTTGGGGCGTTGCGTGCCCGTGCCTGTGCCCGTGCCCATGCCCGTGTTACTGGTGCTGGGGTTTTTGGCTTGGTTTGCGCGGTGGTCTGGTGGGAGTTGTTAGCTTTGTTTTGTTTGTTGCTTTGTTGTTTGATTTGTGGAGGTTTGTGGAGGTTTGTGGGTAGGTGGGTATGTGGGTATGTGGTTTAGGGCTTGTATGTGTCTGTATATGCATGTATATGCATGTATAGATGTGTTTATATGTCATTTACCTTGATCGCTGTCCACACGAGGATCCATCTTGTTGGCTACGGCCGAATCGTGAGGGCCGGCATTGGTTGCGCGTCCGACGCCGCCGCCATCAGCGGGGTTTCGAGTGCCCATGCCGGTGGTGGTGGAGTCGCCTACGTTCTGGGGGTCTTTTTGGTGTTAGCGGATGTGTCTGGGGATAGAGTGTATGCTGGTGGAAGGTAGGGGATATGCCATGTTCAAAGGTAAACTAACCATTGAATCTAGTGTGACGAGTACCACCACCAGTGCCAGTACCGTCACCAGAGCGGGTAGAACCAAATGGGTTCGAGCCTCGTGCAGACGGGTTGGTATTGGTGTTGGTGTTGGTGTTTGCGGTGGTGTCCATGGGAGCATTAGATGAACCGTAAGCCTCCTGGTCTCTGAAGCCGCGGTCTGCCTCTTTGTCGTGATCAGTCATGGCGTCCTTGACTTTGTGCATGAAATTGGACATGATGGTATTGTTGAAGGTTTCAGTTCAATGTTTAGTTCAAATTGTAGTAGCTATCGTTTGTTCCACTTGAGTGATGAGATAATACTAGCGGAAAGTATCACCACTGCTTCTCCCGCAGCAAGCAGGCTTTATATGCATATTCCTCGCATCCACCCTTCGCCCCAACTAGGCACCGAGTACCCTAAAGCATCATTGATATCTTGGAATCTCCCTATCCCTGAAAGCCGCCATGACGCCATTTGAAGCGTTCATACGAGCCCCAAATCAAGACCTATGCACAATGGCCTGTTCATTCGAATATTCTCATGACGTCTCAAACAGGTTCGGCTTGGATGCAAGCCACTGAGGTGGACTGTTTTGTTGAAAGTAGGTTGAGCCATCAATGTCATCGGACCTCGTGTCTTTAATCTTTGGCTTTTCTGAGGTCAGATATGACGTCGAACCGGGGTAATGCATTTCGGTCTTTGTAGATGGATGTCATTTGGATCAGATCTGACTTTGGCCAGTGATATGTATAAGGGGATTGTGGGGGATCTCTAATGATGCGGTGATCCGGGACACGAGCTTTCCCCGTTTGTTCTGGGAGTGGTGTTCCATGGGTTTTGGTGTCGAGGGGAAATTGGAACCATGGGTTCATATTCAGGTTTTTGGATATGTGAGATTCCGGTATCTGGGGTTATTGAGCTTAGCGATTGATTGGGATTTTGTTCATTGCATGGTTCAGGTTGGTAGTATTAAAAGGGCTTGAGGTTTGGATTTCGTGGTGGTGTATTCCAGGTGTGCCTGAGGCCTCGACTGTTCTGGCTTCAAGCTTCAATGTTGGGAAATGTTCGCTTTCATGTCTGGAGATGGACTTGATGTATTGCTTGTTTCTTATGCATCAGTAGCAACTTTTTTAACCTTGGTATATGTGTTGTTCAAAGCTTGAAATCAATCCTAACATTGCCCTGGTGAACATCCACGACGTCTTTGCCAAAAATAAATCGCATATCAGTATAGATACAAAAGTAATATTATGTACACAACATTGAATTCAAAAGATCACAGACCAGTCGATGATTTCAAACCCTGTCACTACCGCACAGGTAACATCTTTCTCGGTACAGACGGCTCATAATCCTTATTATACCAATTAAGCTTCAACTCCTTGATCTTCTTCGCATAAAGAGGATCCTTATCCATCATGGCGCTCTCCAACTGCATCCGGCCATTAAACATCAAGTTCAAATCACGCGATAAAAGCGCATGCATAAAGTATGCCCTGGGCTCACCATACCCAGAAGCAACATCATACCACATGTGCGCAAGCAAGTGGTAATCATGCCGAGGCATAGCCCGGTTGAAAGAACTTTGGAACTTATCAACGACAAACTGCCACAGGCTCAGATTTTCAATCTTGTCCCTAGACTCTATCGAAACGGGCTTCCAATTCGCCGCTGGGTTCGGGTTGGCCTTGGTGGGCTTCTGCTCGCCCCGCGTCGGGTATAAGCCTTGGTACGTGAGATAATAGAAATTGGCGAGGTACAGGCACGCATGGTGGCTGCCTGCGGCTGCTGCTTTGCCCATGCATTCTTCGTACATCTCCAGATTATGCTGGTTCATCATGAGGCTCGCGTAGTCCAGTAGCGCGCCGGGGTCGTTAAACTCCAATGCCGCGCGTCGGATCGCCTCGTCTGATTTGTCACGGTGCGCCTGCGAATTGAGCTGATCGCCCAGGGTCGCCTGCGTCAGCGCATATAGCCTGAGTGGCGATGGCAGCAATTCGCCTAGCAGGACGTCTTCGAATGGGATCGGCTTCCGTCCTGATGGGGAGAGGTACGGCAGCACCTTGGTTTCCAGGATCTCGGCCGCACGCTTGTAGTCTCCGTGCTGGTGAAGTACTTGCGCTTGCAATAATAGCGCAGGAGGGTACCCTTTGTCCGCGATCTCAAATAGCCTGGCCATCGTGGGGGTGTGCATTGGCGGCTCGTCGAAATAGAGGAAGCTGTTCTTCGCATAGATCACATATGGAAGGAGAGCACCGGCGTTTGCACAAGCTGCAATAAGCCAGCCGCGGAAGTATCGGTTCGAGGCCGTGACCATCCACCCAATACGGAATACAGCGTCGGCATCTGTAATTCATTCGTTCTCGTCAGTAAAAGAGGTTCTCGGGGTGGTCTACTTTGCCAATCCATTGCCCTGGACCAGAAGTTGATAATGCCAATTCGACAATCATCCAGTCTCGATGAAAGTAAAGCCGGATAGCCAAAGACCAAAAAGCATCAAACTCACCAGTCGAAATAGCTCTGATCGCTTGCGAAGAAGGTTCCCCCGCAAACGCCGCCGTGACCAACTGCGCACCTACATTTCGGTATGTAGCCTCACTAATACCAGTGGGAATCAATCCGTCCCTAATACCGGCTTCATACGCGTATTTCGACTCCCGCATATGCTCTGCCATCAACGAATCGACAGGCGCCATTAAATCTGGCCTGATATCGGATAAACATCCGAAGTATACGCCGAAATCTGGGTTGAGTGACCTAAATTTGTTCTTGGGATCTGTTTTTTCCTTTCGACTCATTCTCGCAGCAGGTGCGGGGGCTCTCGTCCGCTGCCTGGACGAGGTGCTGTGGAATGGTCGTGCGGCGCGGACTGCGTCATTGGCTTTGAGTAGGGTAGGGGCTGGGAGACGGTTTGTAAGGGCAGCTTTTCTTGTCGCGGAGGTATTCGTGAGAGACTTTTGGAGTGACAGGCATTGCCTTAGGACTGGCTGGGGCCTCACCATGGTAGCGCGGTGGGAATGGGAGGAGCGTGGGAGGTTGGTTGAGGTTGAAAATCCGCGGAGGTCGGGATTGATCCGCATTTTGACGTTTCGCGGATCTGCCCAGGTACGACAAGTCAGCACCTGCATGTGTACTACTTCAAAATCAACAATCAAGTACACATGTGTATGCTAGGCCATATCTAGTATCTATTTACACGTTTTTAATTGATTTAATAATTTAGGTATCAGAGAAAAGAATTGCTGAAATGCTCAATGCAGTCAATTAAACAAAAACGAGCCCTCTGTACTAGACGGGTCCATATAACAATGCGTATAATATACATTTGCCCTCCACCAAGGCCAACGCTCCAGAACATTTGAATATCCTCGAAGCCCCTAAAATCCTCGTACAAAACCCAAGTCGTATAAAAAAAACAAGGAGAGAGCAAAGTGTCAAAACGAAAGCAGCTCTATCCGATCCCTCATCTCCAATCGGAACTAATAGTCCCTGGTTCGATTCACTTGTGCTTTTTTGGCTTCTTCTCTTTCTTCTTTTACTCCATGACAACCTTAGCACCAAGAGCCTTGAGGGTCTCGATGATCTTCTCAGCCTCCTCCTTGGGCACAGACTCCTTCAGCACCTTCGGCACGGACTCAACGAACTTCTTGCTGTCCACCAGTGACAGACCAAGCATGTTCTTAACCTCCTTGATGACCTTGGGCTTGGAAGTAGCCTCGAAAGACTCGAGCTTCAAGTTGAACAGGGTCTTCTCGGCAGCAGCGGGGGCAGCCTCTTCTTCCTCAACGGCGGCAGCAGCTCCGGGGGCACCGGCGCCGGGGGCCATGGCGAAGCCACCGACGGGGAGGTCGGGGATGTTCAGGCGGGTCTGGAAGATTAGGTGTTAGCTTTGCCCTGATTGTCCTGTGCATTCTTGTTTGACGAAAACCATGTATTGTGTCGGGGCTGTATGCCCATTGACGCAATTGCATATGGTATTGCGATCCATCCGTCAAGAAAAGTGGTGACCAACCTTCAAGCTGGAAACAAGATCGGCGGTCTCCAAAAGGGTCAATGTGCTGATCTGGTCAACGATCTGGGAGATCTTGGGGTTAACGGGCGCAGCGGCCTCGGTGGACTCCCATCGTCGGCAGGCAGGTGTGCGGGCTGTGGGCAGGTATGTGGACGCGATGCGCAGGGAGGATGAGCGAACGGAGCCGGAGAGCTGGCGGTAGGCGCGGACTGAGAGAGACATGGCGGAGACGGTGATGGGGAGCGAGGAGAAAATGAAAGAAATTCTCAATTGAGGGAGGCGCTCCGTGGTAGAGGAATGGGGGGAGATAACTAGCTTCGCCGCGTTTACAGGACGAAAAGTGAGTGATGGGTTTCGGGGAAAATCTGGGTGTCACGTGGACGATTTGGATTATGTCAGCTTTCGATATGGCCAACCACAATTGAACTATCATCTATGTAGCTTTAACTATGGGCCGATTTTGTACACATGTTTCCTTTTTAGTGCAATTACTTCATGCTAATGTTTTTTCTTTCTTTAATTTACTTGATAAAGATCTAGACCATCATGTGGATGTATTATCATACTCGGCTATACACACCAGGCGACTTTTTTTTTTCGTGATATCGTACCGGAATCTATCAGCGTACCAACGGTCTCGAAGCCAACGGAAAAAGAAGAAATGAATCCCACGTAAATGCACGTTTAAAACACGTTTTTATCAAGCGTTAGATTTAATCCTCATCCCAGTTGGCATTGGGACCAGGGGGCTTAGGTCCACCGGCTTGGCGAGCCACGATGATCTGATCGACGCTCAGCACTGTCCGGGCAGCCTCGCTGGCCAGACGGATAGCCCAGCTCTTTGAGGCCAACAGGTCAAGAATACCCTCATCCACGGCATCGAGAGTACCGTCGGAGTCAGGGCCAGTCTCAAGGTCCACACCGGTGGACCAGTATTGATCTTCCTCCTCAGATGACTCCTCTTCCGCTGTGGCGGGAGTAGAGCGGTGGTGTGCGGTGTACAGACGGGAGAGAACCTCGGTGGCATCCAGACCAGCAGACTCAGCGAGGGTGCGGGGAATGACCTCGAAGGCCTCGGCGTACTTGCGGATGGCGTGCTGGGGCAGACCAGGGGTCTTGTCAGCAAAGTTGCTGATACGCTCAACGAGCTGGATCTCAGTAGCACCAGCACCGGGAACCAGACGAGGGTCCTTAGTGATGGCCTTGACAACGTTCACACCATCATCAATGGCGCGCTCAACGTCCTCAAGGTGGTTCTGAGTAGCACCGCGGAGCACAATAGTGGCAGTGCGGGTAACGGCGTTAACGTCCTCTTGACGGAAGACAGTGACACGGTCACCGCCAATCTCAGTAGTCTCGATAACATCGACTTGACCCATCTCATCGGGCATAGGGGCACCCAGACGAGCCAGGGGGGTGGCACCGACAACTCGGCACAGACGGCGGAGCTCAAACTTGGACAGAATCTTGATAACCAGGATGTTGAAACGGTTAAGGTAGTGGAGGGCCAGCTCGCCAACGGTGGAACCAGCAACAACCACACGGAGACCAGAGTCGTATAGCTCCTTGATGGCAGTCTCAAGACGCTCCTCCTCACCCTTGGTATAATCCATCATCTCCTGGGCGTTCTTCAACAGAACCGTACCCTTGGTCTCGGTTTGGGAGACATCAATCGGGCAGCTGAACACACCGACCTTGGCTCTCTTGGCCGACTTGACAACTCCATCCGGCTCACGTCCGAACACCATACCCTTGACAACCTTGGACTGCTCCAAGCTACCACCCATAATCTTAACAACACGCACGTTATCGACGTTGAAGTTAGCGGCGTTCTTGGGCAGAACCGCAAGGACAGCATCTGCTACCAAACCAGCCAAGATATCCTCAGTGCCAGACTGCTTGCTAGCCACGACTGTGCGAAGAGCCTTGCTAAGTTCTTCCTTCGAACGCATATCCTGGAGACGGTCGACCTCGAGATCTAATCACGGCAAAAAGAAAGAACCAGTCAGCAAGCCGTAATATATATCAAATATCCTTCCCCTTCCCATTCGAAGCACATCCAAAACCAAGGACTCCCGGAAAGAACATACCCTCTAGAACCTTAAGAGCGAAGTTCTGTGCCTTTTCGTAACCTGAAACAATATCGCTGGTCTTTAATCCCAACCGAATGAGCTCCTCCGCCTTCTTCAGCAACTCGCCGGCCAGAACAATGACCAAGTTGGTACCATCGCCCATCTCGGCATCCTGTTGCTGACTGGCCATGACAAGCAGCTTGGCAGCAGGGTGGACAACATCCAACTCGCGCAGGATGGTGGCGGCGTCGGAGGTGAGGATCATCTTCTGCAAGTGGTTGATGACGATCTTGTTGCGGCCGTAGGGGCCTAAGGAGGTCTGCACAGTCTGCGAGATGGCCTGGCAGGCCTCGATGTTACGGATGACAGCTCCATCTTCGGAGTCGTGACTGAATTGATAGGGCGGTTAGTGATATTGTGGTGCTGGTGTTGTGCTTTGCGGGCGGGACAGATAAGGAGGTGTGGGAGATGCGGCGGTGGGATGGAGTTTGGAATGGATGTTCTTTTTCCTCTTCTGCTTACCTCTGGTACCCGGCCTTGAAAAGGCCCGCTTGGGAGGGCCCGGGAATTGATAGCGACATTGTGAGTAGTCGCGTCTGAGAAAGATGCGACGGGGATATGAGGGGGGGGATGTCGATGCTTGGTCGAGTTGTGCCGGGGATTTTTTGGGAGCTCGGGGATGGTGGGTTTGCTCCGTTTGCACGAGGGGAACTCGCCAGTTGATGCACTACTAGGTTTACCGCTTCAATCAATTGATATCGATTTGAAAGAGATGAGCATAGAGTATATATTCGTTATCTAATAATACAATGATAAAATTCCCTTCATGATTTTGGCTGTTTTTCTGATGGAAATTTTCTTTACCATCCAAACGAACCAACTTGCGAACGCAGCGCATTTTGAAACTGGGGCACTATTGCACATTTGAAACCCGTAGTCAGTAATCGATCCGATGTAATGTAAGGGAGAAAATCTTACTGTAACTTCCAAGGGAACTGCAGCCATTCTCTGCGTATATGTTTTCTGCTTTTTCGAGCCTGCAACGGGTCAGTCAAATATTAGAGCATCGGCAGGTTGGAAGCTTCATCTTACCAGCCACGGATGGCTTCTTCGCGATTGTAACTCTATAAGTAATGTTAGCCATGAGAATCCCGACAAGCCTGTACACTTCTACTAGCGGGTTAGACTTACGGAGGGGTGAGTGGACAAGAATTCTGGTGGTGCCTGCTTTTCTAGTTGCTGCATGCGCTGCCATCTGGGACATTGTTAGTCTGGGGACGAGAGACTTGGAATGTATAGGGATACGTACAACCTAACAGCAGCTTCCGGATTGAAGCAAGCCTTGGACATCATCACTAATGGTCATAGTCAGCACCCAAGTCAGAAGATTAATTACCTGTCGCTATACATACACAATCCAATGTGGTCTGCTTCGGCCTAGATGAATTCACCCAGTCAGTCATATAGTCCTCTAATCATCCAATTACAACCATCAACTAACCTCCTGTGTCCGGGAGTTTGGCAGACTATACATGTAGTTCATGATAGCCGAGCTAGCCTGTCCAGAGAAATCAAGCAACAGCGCAACAAACAACGCAACCCCCACAGTGATGAAGCTGTTACTTGCACGCTCCGCTGGGTGATGTGCCACAACATGCGCAATTTCATGTCCCAGGACAGCCGCAAGTCCGTCATCATCTTGACAAACGGGCAAAATGCCAGTGTAGACAAATACTTTCCCTCTGTATCGACCGATTTTCGAGTTAGCAAGCAGTTTGCACAACAACTTATAATCAAGGAGACTGGTCTATGCAACGGCTTGTCCACTTACCCCGGAAGTACAAACGCATTCTTCATGTTAGGATCGGCGATGACATGGACTTTCCAGTCAGCACCCTCGATAGGTGCCAGAGGAATTAAACGCTGTAAGACTCGGTCCACTTGCTGTGTGACGGGGTGGCCGTCGGGAAGAATCTTGCCGCGCTCCTCGTTGAGAACCTGGCGGTAGGTCTGTTCGCCCATTTCCAGTTCCATCTTTGCAGATACCATATTGAAGCGGCGTCGTCCAGTTATCTTATTTCGAGCATGTCAGATCAGCTGATCTTTTTATTATGCCTCAAATGCGCGTGACTTACCTCCACCACATCGGTGTTGTAGAAGTACACACCAGATAGTCCCAGTCCAATCATAACATAATGTCGAGGTTTCAAGTATTGGACCAAAGTGTAAATTAAGGGTTGGCGCCGTCCTCCTCCGCCGCCGAATCGATTATAGGTGTTTCGGGGATAGCTGAATCGCGGGCCTGAGGAGAATGCTCTGTGGGACGATCGGTATGTAGTAGATAATGACTTGGGGATTTGAGGAAGCTTTCTGAGAAGTGTGCTGGAGGCCCATTGTGAGTATGATCGGGGAGAAACTGTTTGGATTGCACGCGACAACTGCGGTCCTAGCAAATGAGAAGCGCGGAGTCGTGGGACGGTTGGTTGCGCCCAGGCCAGTGGGAACAGGCGAGGGCCTCGTAGAGCGCGCGAAAATGGTCTTTGTAACATGGTTTCAGCTGTGAGTGATCATGGTATGTCTCAGAAGTCAGAAGGTAGATGGCGAGGAGAGTAGGATTTGGAGGTGTGACTCTTGATCTCGAAAGGTGCCCAGGCGCGAAAGCGGAGCCATCGGCGATAAGCAGCCACGCTTCCGGGGTTTAGCCATGGAAGTATCTAGTGGGCCAGAGCGGAAATAAAATATTACAGGCTAAGATTTACAGACCCTAAATGCAACAGATCTCCTCAATTGTCATATTAGTAAAGAAAAATTCTTACATCACTTTTAGGCGATATTATAGATTCATGAATGCCCAAAATCAATTGATAATATTAGTAGTCATGTGAAAAAGATATAGTATAGGGATGTATTTGGAGAAAAGTCTCTTTACCATGCAACGCATTTATCATTAATCACAATGGGAATTATGCAAGTGCTATTTCAGTCCAGGAGATCGTCACAGGATTTCAACAATAATCAGTAAACAAAAAGATATACACAAAATAACCTATCCCATCCTCACACCATAGCCAAGACCGTTAGAGCATTGTAGAGAAACAGATGGACTGGTCCAAAATAGCAAACACACCAAAACGAAAGCCCCTGGTAATATGCTGTACAGTCATGGCGGGAACAAAAGTGGTATCATAGGGCAAAATTGAAAAAGGGAAAAAAGGAAAAGATTCAAGTCATGAGCCGACTCCCCAAGGAACGCACGTATCAACCCAGAACAAACAGAAAAGTAGAGGGGGAAATATGGGAATGGCAAAATTATGCAAGAAGATGAATAAGAAACAAAAGATGAGAGACCAGATTGTGAAAGAGTGAAATCTTTCACTCTTCGGTCAACGCGTCTTCACCCCCAATCTCCCGCCAGTCTTTTGAACGGTCGGTCAATCGACGGACACCCGAAATCCGTTGCGCCCAGTGAGCTTCAGACGGTGTGCGGTAGGTGTAGGCGCGCTGTGATGAAATAACGCCGATGCTCTGTAAGACCGCTTTACGAGAATCGCGACCGAAGACGGCCGGGTGGTTGATCCACTCCAGTGCTGAATCTAGATCCGCGTTGAGGGCAGTCATGGTCTGACCGTCAACAGCAGAGGAAGGTGTGATGGTAGCGGTTTCAGAGGCATGGCCATCACCGAAATTGGAAGATTTGGGGGATGAGGAGCTCGGAGTATTGTCGCCTCGGCTGCCCGAGTCACTGGTACCCGACGGGCGCGAAGCTCCTGGGGGAAGGGGAGGCAAGCCACCCTTGCCAAGACCCTTGAGAATACTTCGGGTTTCGTTCAAAAGATGCTGGCCACGGTCTTGTTGACCACGGGAAACGAGAGTGAGCGCGCGAGTCAACATATCAGAGGTAAGCAGCTCCATGCGACGCTGCACAATAGATGGGTGAGGGGGGATGGGAGGAGTCATGGGTCTTTGGTTCTTGGCCTTGGGGTTTGGTGGAAGCATGGTGATAGCAAGCAGCGACGGGCGAGGAGAATGAGTGAGGTGTCCATCACGAAGAAGGTCACCATAGGTCAGGTCAGCCTGGATCAGTGGGACCTCTTCCACACTGAGAACCCGCTGCTCATCTCCATCCATACCACCGCCCAACGCCTCCAATCCGGAGACCAAGCTCTCCCAAGGGTCCTGGGGCATGTTGTCCTGCGTAGCATTGTCAGGAGAGATAACTAGCTGCACCAAGACATCACGCTTGTCACCAAATCGGAGGTCTCCCAGAGCGGCTTCAGCGTCCTTGCCTGTAGCACGCTTGGTGGTGTGAAGGGCACCGCTGATCTTCACAAACTTGGCTGGAGAACCTTCAGGCAAGCGAAGCTTGAGCTTGACATTTTGATGAGATGTGGTCTGCAAGGCACCCAGGCAGCCGGCAACACATTCACGCAGCATCATCCAGTCCTTCACGTAGAGATATGAGCCTTTGGTGCGTGTGGATAGCTCGATCATCGTGTCCGGTTTGTGGGTGAGACCAAGTCCAAACGAGTGGATGTTGATCTTGGCTGCCTCGGCGCGCGAGACCACGAAATCAACACTTTCGGGATCCGAGGTAGACGAATCACTAATCAACAAGATAGTTGAAACGGGGTTGTTTAACTTGCGCTGCATCAGGAGATCCATTGCCACATTTGCACCCTCGACCACATCAGCACGCAGACTCTTCTGTCCCACGGGCCTGATTGAATCAAGGATCTTATTCCATCCATTCCAGTTCTTGGTGGTCATGCCCACCAATGGTACACCACCGCCACTCGAACCAAATGTCACCAAACCCATGCGGTCCCGGGGACCCAAATTCATAACAAGGAACTTCAGGGCATCGCGTAACAGGGTAATCTTAAGACCCTGCATAGATGAAGATACCGGAATGACCACGACGATATCAATAGGAACGTGGAACGAATCGAACGACGGTTTGTCCAGATCGGGGTTGCTATAATCGGTGATGGCAGTGTTGTTCGACTTGCCCGCACCATAAGATGAATTGATGGAAGCTTGTCGTTGAATGCGGCTGTTCCGGTAATCATCCTCCTCTGCGCCGGAGTTCTCGAACTCGTAATCCTGGCCACGCGACAGATTCTCAATTGGGTGCAGATCCATCAAGGCCCGGCGCCATATTTCTAGTTGCTGGCGAGACTGGAAGCGTAGGTAGAAGTAAGGGAGTTCGCTGACTGATAGGTTGAGGGAGAGGATAGGTTGATCGGTCCCTGCTTCGAGGGATTTCAAGTGCTTCTTGATAAGAATCGAACCCTTGAGGGTGAAGCGTGGGCGCTTGCGCTTCTCGGGGTCTTCGTATTGCTGTGAACTGGAGGGCTTCTTTTCCTTGACGCAGATAAGCATCTCAGCGAATAGATAACATTCCAACTCTTGCCATGATTCTCGGTCTTTGCCAACACGCATTTGACCGTGCAGACGGAGCTTGCCGAATCTAATATCACAATTATCAGGGTTAGCTTTGAAACGAAAAACAGATTTTCAACTTTCCAAACTCCGGTCACGTACCTGTTAAACTCCAAGCCGTGCCAATTGTCTACTCGGCTCTTGAGGTCTTCCGCGATCTCGTCCAGATTCTCTGCCGGCTCCTGCTGGATAGAACGAGCATCCTGAGAACCTCCAAATCGCGCAGAATATGGCTCATCCAGCTGCTGTTGGGTGGCTTGGCTGTGTCGCAAGTCATCTGCATTGGGGCGCCAGTTTCCCTCGGGGACTTCCACGGTGATCAAACATGTCAGGGACTGTTGTTGGCGGGATCTGTTCATAGTGGGGAATTCGCTGCGCACGGTAACAATTGGGGCTGGGATGGGGTTCTTGGTGACTCCTTGGCGCGGACTCAAATCGGATTCCATGGCTTGCACGTCATAGTCATGGCGTCGGCCACTGCTAGGATGTTGACCCTCATGGTAATCCCCGGAGGAGCCCGCTACACTGCCGTTCCGTGAGTGGGTCTGACGAGGTTGCGATGCGGTGGTAAGACGCTCGACACGTTCTCGCTGACCTGTAGTGTCCCGACTGTCGCGGCGCGTACCGAATGAGGGGTCCCGGTTGTTTGAGCGACTCCCACTATCACTGGGGGGCCGACGAATTGATTGTTGTTCCCAAGCATTCTGGCCCGTCATTCCACTTCGCGTTGTGGCAGCATCACTCATGGTCACTGAGCGCACAATATTACTGATTTTCTCTGTAGGTGCCAGATTGTCTGGTTAGTCTATGTCGCATTGTTGGGGTAAATTGGCTTTCTCTCTTTGGGTTGCTTGTTTTTTTTTTGGTATTTTGGGTGGGGGGGATTAACGAACCGATATCCAAAACATTGCCTCCGCGACTCGTATCGAGGCCAAGAGGCGCATTGCAAGTAGGGCAGTACTGGGATTCAAATTCGCGAATGTACTCGTAGAAGCATGCTTCGTGAGACACGTGGCTGCAGGAAAACTGCAATACCCGTTCTCCCCGCAAAGTGTGTTCGAGCGGCTCCTCGCAGACGGCGCATTCGCTGCCAATGAACGTTCTCTCCCTCCGGGTACGGGTTCGGTCAACCTCCATCGGGCCGGTTGGATGTCTGCCCGATCTAGAATTAAAAGACACGCGAGATCTGTTGGAGTGCGACAAGACCGGGTCCGGGTAGTCTGAATGAACGGAGCTGGCAACGGTGGAGGTTGCACGTGGACGGCCTTGATTGCTGTCGATATGGGAGAGAGAACTGCCGGGTCGATCTGTATCGGTCTTGCGACCAAATGAACGTAAGGAACGGAAAGGTGAACGGGATGGGGAATCTGGTCGTGATTGAGATTCTGTACGTCACCCCCGTTAGTTTCTCTGCGGGGGAGTCCAAAAGGGTAAAAAAAGAAAAGAAAGTGATGACCCCTGCTGATTTGGAGATTGACCAAGACTTGGGGAATGGGTAGTCTTGGAATGTGGGAAAGGCAAGAAAAAGAAAAGCAGGGGAAAAGAAAGGAAAAATGTAAGAGAAAAAAGAGAAGGGGAATGTTGGAAGTAATTGTAATCAGGGGAGGTTGTGAGGAGAGAACATCTAGAACGGGCAACACAAGTCTCAGATTCCCGGCTTCTCCGATCTCCAAACGTACCAGGTAGTAGGGACTTTCTCTTAGATCGACTTAAGAAAGCCGTTTCTGGTGAACGATTAGAATCACTCCCAGACTTAGAATCCGATCTGGGAGAAAGTCGAGGTTTCCACATGGGGGTCACTCTTAACAAGAGTCACAACCAGAGGTGGGGGGGCAAAAAAGAGATAAAAATCCCAAAAACCAAAAAATAATAATAAATCCAAAATGACCGAAAGTTTAAAACGCAATAAAAAACGCGGATTTAAAGTGGTTTTTTTTATAAATATTGCTTTTTTTTGAAGGATTAGGGGAAGGAGGAGAAAAGAAGAGAGGGAATTCAATCAGAAAGATCGGAAGCAAAAGCGGGACCCAAGTACCTCGTAAAGCTATAATCCAGGGGCTTAGCATGTGGTTATTGGTGGACTTCAACAAGGGAAACTTTGAATCCGTTTCGTTTTTTTTTTCTTCAATTAATGAATTTCTACTCTAAGAAAAATATTAAAAAATATAAAAATATAAAACAAGAAAAAAAAAAACTAGCAAAACGTGGGAATTCCAAAAAAACAACCCTTAAAAACTCCCTTTACACAGAAAAGGAGAAAACTGACGATCGTGCACTGTGAACTGGAGAAGCACGATCGGATCCACTACCGACTAGCGAATAATGAGCCATGGAACCAATTTAGCTTGGGTCGGGGATTTTCTCTTTTCTCTCTTTTTTTTTGGTCTTTTTTTTCTTTTTTCTTCTGTTCCTATTATTCTTGGTGGAGTAGAAAATTGGAGACTGAAAACCTTTGATTCGTTCCATATGTTCTCAAATGGAAGGAAAATGGAAGTTTCCATCCCACATGGCAAAACGTGGACATGCATCCCCTTACTCCGTACTAGTACAGTAGTAGTATGTGCAAATGTAATCAATTCCTACCTTAGCGCATCCGCCACCAATATCGCCCCCATTTTCCCTGATTTTTCTTTGCCTAAGAACTACCAAAAGAAAAAGAAAAAAGAAAAAAAAATTACTGCTATATTGTAAACAAGATGAGCGTTCGATAGCGTCGGGCTTCGAGTGGTTCATGTACGAGAGTGGGACTGCAAATGCGGAACATGACGTGGAGCTCATACTTCCCACTTGGAGAGTTTACAACAGAACCATACCCAATTCTTAAGCGCCCTGCGTTGCATGTACGTGTACGTCTTCAATATGGCCCCTTTCTCTTGCGTCTTTTTTATTACTTTTTTTGCTTTTTTCTGCCTGTTTTTTTTCTTATCGGGCTTATACCTGTAGTTTATGCGTCCATGGTTCCGGTTGAGGCAAATGATAGAGAGTACTAATCCTCGGGACACCAATGCAACCCTGTAGATTCAAGTAGAGTGTATCATATACTAGCTAAATTCTCAGCCCTAGTGCTCCTTCACGTATGTATACTAGCAAATACGATGAATTAAATTACGTGAAGATTTAATAGGGCTAGCATCAACTCTATGAACCTTAGAAGCATCTATGGTACTTTTGCTTTTCAAACTCTCACCTTCACTCTTGTATCTCAAGTATCCAGGTATAAAGGCATTCCTAGCCTCAATACAACTTCCGATTCCATTCAAAATGTCCCTTCCAATCTTACTTCGATTTCTCCAATTTCATCATTGCCCGTGCCCTGGGATCGCCCGTCATGGTTAAATCTATCCATGGATTCATTATTCCTGCAGATATTCCCCAGATGCTCGGCAAGATTGACCCTTCTCCTCATCCGAACTGACCAGACCGTCTTTAAAGTATTTGATCTAACCTTGGAACCCGTCGGAACCAAAGAGCTGAACTGGCGAGATCTGGGCTGACATAATCACCTTAATAGGAAAAAGTGGACACCCGCAAAACTTGGAATCTCTCTGATTCGTCAGCAGCCGACTTGTCGATCACGCCCAAACGTTTTCTGTCAATGGCACTGCAGAATTCTCTATTCCCAAGGTTCATTTTCCAGATCCCTTTTTTAAGCTTTTGCCTCATTTTTGCTTTTCCTCTCCTCTTGAGCAGCTTAAACGTCATTCTTTGCTCAACTCAGGAACCACCTTCGGCAAATCCCCCAATCCCTCCTTCCCGGCAAATCTTGACCCGTGTCGAGGTGCCGACGTTTCAGACTAAAAGCGTCAGGGTGGCGGATCTCCAGTTTGTTTATTCTCCGCGTCCAAATGCATTCGGGAGCTGGGAAATGCCCACCCGCGGAGATTTCGTGACCCAGATCCATACTTTACCAGTGCGGCACCCATCTCTGCCCACATCCACTTTGTGCCCTGACCCTCAGTAAAATCGCAATCGTCTGCCGCCCTGGCTCGTCCTTGTTCAGCGCCGCCATGCCATGTCCACCATTCCCCACAGTCGCCACCCCTACCGTCCCCTAGTGGCTACGTCCAAAATGACCTGCGCGAGCTAAACGAAATTATTTGCACATCAGCCCCATATTCCATTCGCTCGGTCCAATGTACGGAGAGTACCTCCGTACAACTGCCTCGAGGTGGATTCGCTCTCATATCCCATGCACAATGTGATCGGCCCAGCCTCTGCTTTTTGGGTCTGAAGTTGCTAACAATCATGATTCATGACTGTCGATCCCCTGCTTTTGTCCACCCTGACTCCTCCTGTCATGGCTTCTGGGACCCGTCCTGTAGCCGCAGTCTGGCCTGGACTGCGACGCACAGGCATATGGGCGTCGGCTAGGACTAACCGACCCTCCGCCATTGGACGTGTCCACGGCAACGGTGATCAGTGGCGGATCCTTATACACCTTTTAACTGGTGATCGGGGAATTGGATTCATCTACACGTGTGGGCTCGTAAAATTAGATGTGTACGTAGGGTGTAAGTATGTACGTGTAGGTCAACCTCGTGCGAGATGTATCTGTTTCTCTCCTGGGAGCTGTCAACACGGGCCCTGCAGAGATTAATGCCCCATCCGAGCCCCTCCGATCTTCACTACTATTGCCGAGCTAATATGACAGCTTTCAAGTGGCCCCCCCTTTTTCCTCATTTTCTCGTTTTCCCCTTTTCGGTCGTTGGAGGGGACCACGGTAATTGAATTTAAACTCTACTTAATTTTCGGGGACACCAAAAATAAGACCATACTAGTATATGTATAAACCTTCACCATCAATCATGCATGACCTATATAAACCGCACTACTTATCACAATGCTATGGAGAGATCGGCATGGAATATGCATGAGCAAAACCCAATTCAAACTCAAAACGATCTTCTTCCCAGTTATCTGAGTCCCGAAATTTCAGTCCACTGCTTACGCGCCTTTTCGAGGCTTGCATGATGATCTTCGCCGTTGAAGGCTTTGTAAAAGCGGGGATATATGCTCCTCCTCATCTTCTTCCTCCACCACCAACATCCGGTTCTCCACTCCAGTTAATAACCCTGATTCTAATCCGCACTTAGTTTGATACCAACAATACATAAAAAGTACCCCCAGTACATACATACATACATACTATCAACGACATGATGGAGGTTTTTTCCCCCTGATCACTCGTCAAACTCCCTTTGTCTCCTCTTCTCTTCAAATGTTCCCCATTGTCCCACCCAATCCACTGAACCCACTTACAACGTGCGTATCGTATACAACGTATTCCTAACCGAAAGGAGATTATAACCTTCTTCACACCCGCCCTGGACGTCTGTGCTCGGCGGAGATCATGAGGCCAGCGTTTCAGGATGCGAATGTGAGCCTGATTTCTTACATAACATCGAATACAACCTAAGCTACTTTAAGTATCCAGCAAACATTGAAAGTCCTGGGACAGGTCCGATTGAGCTTGCCCATGTCAAATTGACTTGTTGCTTCCATATTTCTAATTCATTTGCCTCATTGGCTGGCGCAGAAAGCTGTGTTTAAGGTTTGGAAGTGAAACGCTCTGCTCCAGGTCTGGCTGCAGCTTCTACAAACTATTCGCTGGGGCTGGTCCCGGTGGTGCAGGAACAGCGTGCATACGGGACTCGGGATGCCCTCCCGCTGTCATGTCACCGTCCATTCGATGCTGGTGTTTGTGAGCGGTTTTTGGGTGATTGAGGCTGCAGCTTCGAGGGGATTGTAGATAGGTCGTGCATATTCGTTTACGGAAGGTCCAAATTTGGCCTATATGCGGATCTACGCATTGGCTTGGTATGTACGTTTGTGGTAAAACATTTGAAGGAGAAGTGCGCTAGGTGTTAGTTGTATCTACTAGATACGTGTATACATATGCATCATGTGCTCTATGCACATGTGCGAAGGGCTAGGAAGTCAATAACAGTACTTATGCGGTAAACGACTAGACTCGTTTTCCTCTTTGGGATGGTCGACCCGACCGTACATTTTGAGCCAACTCACCTTTAACCGACTTGACTTTCGCTAGCAGAGGTTACATGTCGTACTAAGGCTTCTAGCTTCTAGCTTCTAACTCTTCGATGTTGGTCTGAGACCCTACCAAAGTCATTGAAGGA